AGAGTATGTAGTATCTGCGTCCACAATAAAGAAAACAGTGGAAATTTTCTTTGGTCCGACCTCAATTGTGGCAACCATCATACCTTCAGGCTTGGTCGGCTGCCCTGTAAAACTTGTCATTTCGAATTCCACAGGGGACAGATCATGAATTCCTTTCCCTAGCTTCTTGAGAGTCTTCAATGGCATAACATTAAAGACTGCTCCATTATCCACGAAAACCTTTGTGATTGGTTTCCCACAAATGTGAGCATTAACATACAGGGGTTTCAAATGGGAGTTCGCACCCTCTGGAATAGGAGGAAACACAATTGAAGGTGCTTCCGACTGAGGCTCAGAATCTGTAATCTTTGCCCACTCTGTTTCCTCTAATTCGCCATCTGCCAAGAATGCCCATAAAGGTTCGTCCATAGTATCATCTACCAGACTCGCCCACGTCGGTTCATCACTCATCTGATTAACCTCTGTCATTCGACAAGGGATTCGTGGTCCCAGACGAGATTTAACAGATCTTGAATTTTCCTCTGTAGGCACCACTTCTTCCTTCGTCTCATTCCGAGATTGAACCGTCAAGGATTCAATACGAAATTCTTCCAGAGATGGATTGATGTTGATCCGTTCACAATGTTGGCATCTAAAACCTTTAATTATTTCATCTGCCATTCCTTTACCTTTCCCCTGTCCCGACGAACTTCTTTTGGTATAGTCGGAAGCTCCTAATCCGTCCTTCGGTTGCTTTCCTGACCAGACCCGACTGGACCAACTTATTGGAGACTGAATGGCCGCTCCCTGCTCGTCGGTCGTTTGTTCTGTAAAGACTCTAATGGACTGATCTCCTGTCAAGTGGTCGGCCGCATTTTGTTCGTCGGTTCTTTGTTGCACTGCAGGAACTCGTTTCCCATACTTTGCAGCATACCTGCGTTTGGCATTGCGAATCTGTGTACGATTCATACCTGGGAAACGAGGATCTATATCAACGGGTAAAGGCTTTTTATTTCGAGCCCAATCGTTCCCGACTGAACCCGTTTTTCTGGTCGGGTGGTCTCTCACTAAAACCTTTTCCTTCACTTCCACGTTAAAAGAACCGTCTGGACGGTCCCATTTTTCAGCGACTGGCCTTTCAACAACCTTGAGTCGTTCTTCCGGTCGGCTGCTATTTGGCTGATTCCCTTTCTTTTTTCCGGGACTTGCCTGAGTTTGCTCCCCTGTTTGTCCACTATTGACCGAACTTTTCCTTGTTTCCGAACTTGGTTGGATGTCAACCATTGCAGTTGTTACTTTCGGAAATGGTTGCTGGTCTACACCTAAAGTGATGTATTTGAGCCGACCTGTCTTGATGGCTTTTTGAATTTCCTTCCTAAAATGAGTACACTGACTTGTAGTGTGTGTGAAAGAATTATGCCACTTACAATATGGTCTCCCTTTGATTTCTTCTTTAGTGGCAAGTCTTTGGCCCTTTGGAATACGGATCTGCCCATCAGTCAGTAGGATATCAAAGATTTCATCAGCTTTCGAACTATCAAAGGTCGGTTGCTCCTTTCCTTCAGATCCTGGTACTGGCTTCAATTTAGGACATACATACGGTTTTCCAGAAAGGATTTCGGCTGCCATCTCTTCTGACTGATTAAAATCAAAGTCGCATGTTTCTGTTCCCATACTCGCCATATGTTGGCCTCTATTACGCCTGTTATGCTGATCTTCCTCTCTGAACAAAGACTCTAGACGTCCTGCCTTGGATGCAAGATTTGCCAAATCCTCAACATCCAGGGCAGTGAGTGCCTTTCTTAAACGATTATGCATATTCCGGACCACTAAATTGGTCATCTCTTTCTCACTGATTACCGTAGGACATCGTCCCTTCATCAATCGCACCCTTTCTATAAACTGTGAAGCAGTTTCTTCTGGATACTGTCTCAATTCAAGTAAATCAGTTAAAGAAACAACTGGTAAAGGATTAAAGAATCTAGCGTGAAATGCCATCTCCAATCCTTCCCATGTCTGAATTTGTCCAGGAGGTAGACTTACAAACCATGAAAACGCCGTTCTGGTAAGAGACAAACCAAACAGCTGTAACTTATAAAAAGGGTTATTGCCAACCTCTCCTAATTGTGCTGTGAACCGACCAACATGTTCTACGGTGGAAGATCCGTCCTCCCCTGAGAATGCATGAAAGTCGGGTGGTCGAAAATTCCTTGGGAGAGGGTGTTCATGAATGATCCTTTCTGGGAAAGGTCTTTGATATGCAGGGCGGTTAGCCATCTGAGGAGTTAATCCATACTGATCCCTTAATATATGTGCAATCTCATCAGGATCTACATGAAAGCGTTGATGATCAGGAACCTGGAACGGATCCTGCACAGGAATATGAATCGGATCATGTATATATCCTTCAGGCCTGTCCTCCCTTGTATTGTTCGGCTGCGAACTGGTAACCCTTGGTCCCAGTGGAACATTGTTGGGAAAAGTCAAAGGAGTTTTTCCCCGATCCATTCGGTTGGGATTTGTGGCACTTGGGAATGTACTATCCACGAATGATGGCCCTGCGAAATTTGCCTGTGGTCTGGACGGTGACACTCCTGGTGGCGTTTGAGTGGGTTGAAGACTAACCCTTGACAATGCTTGATCTATCATGTTCTGCAACTGACTCTGTTGCTCACGCAACATGTTCGTTTGTTGCTCACGCAACATATTCTGCATAACCAAGGTATGCTGGTTGTTCATTTGTTGAACATAAGACCACCAATCAGTTGGTGGTTGTGGGATTTCCCCGGCATTTGGCACAATGGGTGGTGGAACGGATTCTCCCACCGGTGTCGAAGATGCTTGCGGTTGTGACCCTGCCATATGGACCCTTCCGATGATTCGGCCGGATCTAAGACGTATGAAATTATCGCCGGAATTGGAATGAGCAATTTTGTCTTGCTCCCACTGTGGTCGCCAATTTGTTGATGTATTTTTTCAACAAAAATAAAGTAAAATTCAAAGATATAGAAAATATCCTTAAACTTGATTATTTAGTGCCTGAGATTAGGAATCTCTAAACACTGTAACGTACAGAAACTAAACTGGAAAATAAAAGACTGAAATTTAAAGTGGTGATCCCCAAATCTGACTTTGCTTTGTTGAAGTTGATTGAAGATATCTTGCCAAATGATGATCCAAATCCTTAAATATTCCCTGGGAAACCGTACTGAAAACCGTCACCCGAACGGTTACAACGTCTCCTTCTCAACCGTCTTCCAACCTTTCTTATGCTGACACGTGTCCCCAGCAGACCAAAATTCCCTATATTTCACTCCTTGAGCCGACCACAGACCTTCCGCTCTTTTGGCCCGACTTCGTCCTTCGTCCGACCTACTTCTTCGCCCGACTCCACTTGGGCCGACCTCCATATCAACCGCCCCCTGTCTTTGATCAAAGGCCTCCGTGTTTGTCCGACTCCTCCTTCTATCCGACCTACAGTTTACCCGACCTGCGGATATCCCATCTCAACGACTTTCCGTCTCGAGGACCTCCCGACTTGAAAACCTTCCGACTCATCGTCTTTCCGTCTTGCGGACCTCCCGACCTGAAAACCTTCCGACTTGAGGTCTTTCCGTCTTGCGGACCTCCCGACCGGAAGACCTTCCGACTTGAGGTCTTTCCGTCTTGCGGATCTCCCGACCTGAAGACCGTCCGACTTGAGGTCTTTCATCTTGAGGGCCTCCCGACCTGAAGACCTTCCGACTTGAGGTCTTTCCGTCTTGCGGACCTCTCGACCTGAAGACCTTCCGACTTGAGGTCTTTCCGTCTTGCGGACCTCCCGACCTGAAGACCGTCCGACTTGAGGTCTTTCAGTCTTGCGGATCTCCCGACCTGAAGACCGTCCGACTTGAGGTCTTTCATCTTGAGGGCCTCCCGACCTGAAGACCTTCCGACTTGAGGTCTTTCCGTCTTGCGGACCTCTCGACCTGAAGACCTTCCGTCCTGAATTTTTCTTAGAAATAAATAAATAAATTTATTTTCCTTGATTTCCTCACGGTGTCCTTCAGCCAGTTCAATCAACCCTATTGCCAGGCCCATTCCTCGTTTTACCTTGGGCTTTTAACCTAATTCTAAATTTCGTACGTAACACATTCATTTAAACTACTTTGCGTTTAATTACAAATTTTGTCAAATCGTTCAAATTGATTACTTAACATGCATGGATTCATTTGAGTTTTCAATCCCTAAAACTAAAATTCACTACATTTGGGATGAGTTGGACCTCCTCGTTATCATATCATATCAACACAACAAAATACTCTCACATACAAAAAATAAATTAATTAAATTAACAAGGGAGGGATCGGAACAAAAGAAATGTAAAAAGAAATATAATCATAGTGAATCTCACATTTGCCCCTCTCTAATTTTACTTCTTTATTATTCTTTTCTTTCTGTAATATTCTAAAATATTTGTTTTCTTTACATATATTTTCATTTTTATTTTTTTACTGTAAAATAATAATTATTTATTTTTATTAAATTTCTACCCAACCAAATAGACGTCATTTTCGATTAGGGAAGAAGTGTATATTAATACGTGTTGTGTTCTAAGTAAATGCATATGAGGGAGAATTAGACAAAAGTAATTATCTAATAAGTATATATTATTAAAAAAGATCATGTGATTACAAAAATATGAAATAATAATAATAATAATAGTATTATAACTCTGTGCATTCATTAATAAAGTTTTGATTGAGGCTGGTTAAAAATGCTGAACAGAATCCATGCTTGTTTTAACTTAAGTAGCGCCTACAACATATAACTTTTAAATTTAAATTCACATAAATGTTAAATAACCACAAAGTCAAATACCATTCACCATTGTTGTTTTGTCCCTATCCCTATCTACTTTACTCTGTAAGGTTAAGATAAAAGTAAAAGTGAAAAATAGTAAAATGTATATTCCCAAAATGGGAATTAAAAGGAAGAAACGGCGTCGTCCTCTATGACTCATCACACTATTTTATAGCGTCCACGTCGTCCCCCGGGTTATAAACTAAACTCATCTCGCCACTTCTCTTCTCTCACTGCCCTGCAGACGCACAAGCCTAAACAAGGAAAAGCTCCATGGGAGAGGTACGCTTCATCTTCCTAATACCTCACATTCTACGCGATTCAGTTGTCCTGCTTTCTTAATTTGTATCTGCGCTTGAGCAGGAGGAGAAGAGGCCGGAGGAGGAGGAGCAGGAGAAGAAGAAAACAGAGCAATCCGACGTCAAGGCGGAGGATGGGAAGAAGGAAGCAGAGGCGAAACTCGAAGAGTGCAAGGAGACTAAAGAGCCACCGCCAGAAATTGTTCTGAAAGTTTACATGCATTGCGAAGGCTGCGCTAGGAAAGTTCGTCGACACCTCAAAGGCTTCCAAGGTAATTAATTCATTTGCTCGTTCGTTTTCTCTGTGGTTAGTTTTTTTTTTTTTTTTTTTTTTGTTAATTTGCCTGAACGTGAATCAATTAACGGTTCTGTTCTTCAATTTGGGGGAGTGCAGGAGTCGAAGATGTGATAACGGATTGCAAGGAAAGTAAGGTGGTTGTGAAAGGGGAAAAAGCAGATCCGCTCAAGGTTTTGGAGCGAATTCAGAGGAAGAGCCACCGCCAAGTGGAGCTCATATCTCCAATCCCTAAACCTCCGACTGAAGATCCGCCGCCTGCTGAAGAAAAACCAATTGCCAAAGTAGAAGACAAAAAAGTTGAGGTTTGAGTTAATTCGATCATGAGTGGTTCATTACCTTTCCGCTCCTCTTTAATTCTATCTTCTCTAGATCTTCGAGCACTGGTAACTTTGAGCTCCAAATTTCTGCAGCTTCCAGTGATAACAGTGGTTTTGAGAATATACATGCATTGTGAAGCTTGTGCACTGGGAATCAAAAAACGCATTCAGAGAATGAAAGGTTTGATTTAATGATTCTGCATTGCTTTGCGAGTAAATTAATCATATATCAGTTCCATTGCCTTGTGATCTTTTCTACAGTCTTGATTGTTTTTTCCTCTTTAACTCAAGTCGAATGATCTTGCATTGCTGTGTTTTGAAATCTATCTACTTTTATTTGCTATGGAATATTCTATCGTTCAAATTTATGAATTGTTCTGTTTGGATTCCTTCGAACTGAGGTCAATTCAAGATCTCCCCTTTTCCCACCAATTATAAATTCCATATAAGCTTAAAATAGTTTTTGGTCGGAAACTCCGATTCAGTGTAGTAAATAAAAAACTAAAATTTCTGTCGGTGGAAAGAAATATACAAAGAAGGGAATTTTTAATGCTGAGCTTTTGGGTCAGGGGTTGAAAACGCAGAGCCGGAGCTGAAGAGTTCAGAGGTGACTGTAAAAGGCGCCTTCGAAGCCGAGAAACTCGCCGATTACGTTTACCGGAGAACGGGAAAGCACGCGACGATCGTCAAGGTTGAGCCGGAGAAGAAAGAGGAGGAGGAGGAGGAGAAAGGGAAAGAGGAGAAGAAAGCAGTTGCAGAAGGGGAAGGGGCAGGAGAAGGAGAACAAAAATCAGAAGCAGGGAATAAAAGTGAAGATTCCGGCGGCGATAAAGAAAACAAGGAATCCGGCGGCGGCGACCCTCCTCCGGCGGAGATGAAGCTGGAAATCAAAAGAAACGATTATTATTACCCGGCTTACTTCTACCCACAGAACCACCTCCAGATGAATAATTATCCTCCGCAGGGATTTGTCCAAGAACATTATTATTATGCAGCAGATCCACGGATCGTGAGCCCTCAGATCTTCAGCGATGAGAATCCAAATGCATGTTCCGTAATGTAAATGTGGAGGAATCTGAGGGCAGAGTCGGGAAGAACTTGGAAGGACAACTCGGTAATTTCAACTCCTACTGTATCAGTATGTATCCTGTACTGTAGCATGTTCGTGTTTGCGTGCGAGTGTAAAAAACAAAAGGGAAAAGAAAAAGGAAAGTTATCTGGAATTTTGTGAGCCCTTTTGGATCCTTTTGTTTATTGTACTAATATCTATCTCACTCACTCACTGTGGATTGGATGAATAAAATATTTTTCACAATTTACCCCCAACCACTTGCCGTTGAATTCACCTGTAATAGTAACAGACCCACACACAAACGCACTTATTAATTTGTGAATATATGTCTGGTTGAGTGTCATGTCAAGCTAGCCTAGGTAGTCGACTGCCTTGCCTTAGCTTAGCTTAGCTTGCCTTGCCTTCCGCTCCCCTCCCCTCCCCTCATTATTATGTAATTGCAACAGAAAACCGACTACAGTTGATTTGGATTTTGGTAGCTAGCTAGGTAAGTGGGAGGTGGGGCATCAGCATCACATTTATAGAGAGAGCACACCTTTACTTAGAGCTTCATTGCAAGCTGCAGGACAGCAGTCAGCAGCAGCAGTAGATTTGTGATTTCAACCATATTGCATTATCACATTCACCTCAGGTGGTATTTAAATAGCTAGTTGGTAATCAGCATGCATCATCATTACTTTAATTAATTCATCTCCTGCACACTTGTCCTCCTCCTCCTCATCAGTTAACTAATGGAGTACATATATCTTGTAGTAGTAGCTAGGGAAAGTATTGCAGTTTTAACCTTACGTGGTGGACTTTTAAAGTTTTCACATGGCGGCCACTCATATACCGTAGTACTGTAGTACTGGCTTTTTTCATAGTTAAGTGAGGCTAGCTAGCTAGCTACCTTGCTTTGAGAGCATGGGACATCTGATGCCAAAGCAGCTCTTGCTCCTGCTAGTGCTACTGCTTACTCTCTCTCTCTCTTTATCACTACACCTTTTCTTTATTTTTTATTACTCCATCTGAGATTTAATATCAATTCGGACCATACCCTTTGTCTGCTGGCCTGGACTGATATTCATAAAAAGGTGCACAGCCACATGGCCAGTTTGAACAAAAATGATACATCGAGGAGCTTTGTAACAGTAATAATATGCATAATAATAATAATAATAAGAGTATATAATGCAAGTGAAGTAGTAGTATGTCTTAATTAGTTCAAACTATTATTGTGGATGCATTATTGGATTCTGTGATGCATGTATGTATGTATGTTGTACTCACAAAGTGTGTATCTGACCTAGACTTAGGTCGGCTTAGATTTGATTCAAATGGATAGTATATTGTTATTGAAATATGAGGGTTTAATTTGGAAATCCCAAAACTAGTGTTTCCAATGTGCTGCTTTACACGTCGGCTAGCTAGCTATTTGTATCTAACCTCTTAACTCATTTTTACTTTGTTCTCTTCTCACATTGGGATCCCAATCCCAATCCCAATCCCAATCCCAAGATTTGTACAAAATACATATGCATTTTGAGATATTAATAAAGCAACAGAGAACAAGAATGAATAGAATAGATTGTACACTATAATTAATTGGCTGTTTGGCTGTATATTGATTGCAAATTCATGTGGAAGGAAGGCCATGCAATATGGAGCAAGTAATATTATACATGGAAGTGGGAAATTAAGTTGACTGGTGGAGAAAAGCACTGGACTGGGCTAACCCCATGTGCCTCCACCCCGAGTCCATGTTCCACATATACTTATAATAATTTAATCACATACATATATACCGTTTTTCTACACGTACGCAGCTGCGCAGCTACGTTATATATGTACAACATACATACTATGTAAAAGCTAATTAAGTTACAAAAGGACGTAGAAAAGATACATGTATAATTGTCTATAACACGTATATGTATATCTCAAAACGATACAAAGTTACTAGTTACCTACAGGAAATGAGAGCCTGATTAATGGAGTATATAGAGAAACAATATATTAATTAATTAAGAGAGGCCTGGTTGGGTTGGTTCGTTGAGTATTTATTTTGGTTTGCCAGATGGACCTTCCGCGAACAATCTCGGCATTATTGTCTTCCATTTGAAGCAGATGCGTGCACTCCCATTCTTGTTGTTGTTGATGATGGTCGGGTGGGATATTGGCAGGTTTGGTCTTGGTTAAGGATTGGAGCTGATTGCTCTGGCGGCATTCGCGGCGGTACTCCAGTGTCATGCTTCTCATGTAGTAATTTTCCAGGATGTTTATAGGCACACTCTGCACCCATTCATTCATTATCATCGATCCATTATATTATTGACATAAATAGTATTTACAGTAGTGGCCAGTTTTGTATGTATGTACCTCCAAAATCCAGCCAATGTACTTGACGTTGTTGACGTGCTGATTGGCGTCCATGTCGCTCCACCGTGGCTGCACGCATAGTAATAATAATAATAATTAAGAGCTAAGAAGAGTAGAGAAAGAGATGATAGTATGCATGTATTATGTATATACTTACAGCGAGGCCTGTCTTAATGGCGTCTGCAGTTTGGTCAGTGAGCTTGTCGATGTTGTCCCTCGTCGTGTCTTCTTCGCCCTCCACTATCGCTCTCCTGTTGAAGAAGAACGGAAGAAGCTCGCTTTTCACATCGTCCGGCATTTTGCTCAGCCTTCTGGTCTCTCGGTTCATGATCACCCACGTACTGCATATATATATATCTTTATTTATATCGATTCTATTTGTAGCTGCCTAATTAATTAACCTAACCTGGTGGCTCTGGTAATGACTTTCTGGGTGTTGTACTCCCGAATGATCCAGTCTCGCCGCATCCCATTCTTCCCCGCCGCGTCTACCCACGTGTCGATCTCCACCACATCTCCCCTGTCCCACCCACCATTATATACATATCATCAATCCACTAATTAATTGATTGATTAATTGTTGGTGTAAGAATGGGTACGCCTACCAGGAACTGTATTTTTGGACTTGGACATGTATTCTGGTGACCACCCATATCAGCTTCCTGATGCTCATCTGACGGGTGGCGCCGAACCCGTCTCCGGCCAACCCCGACATCGCCACATGATTCAACGCCGTCTCCTACACGCACGCACCTCCAATTATATTACTCTCAATCAATTTTCAATTATCAAACACACAGATCGATTAAGATAATTATATCATTACCTGGAGGAGGTTCATGAGGGTCTCCATGGTAGCCGTTTTGTCGGGCCCAATTTCATACGACCTTATTACAAACGACTGTCTGAACACGAACCGATCCTCCACGAATCTCCCCAGCAGGTACTCATTATCCACCAGGTTCCCATCCCCCCCACCTATCACCAACTCATTGCTCCTTTGCTCCAGAAACAGATCACCCCGATTCACCCCGTTCACTTTCTTCCCCGCCACACCACCACCGCTACTACTACTGCTGCTGCTGCTGCAACCCTCCATGTTCCCCTTAATAATAACTCTCACGCCGCCTCCACGCCGTCCGTACATCTTCCGACCACCCCACGACATCCCGACCACCTGCAGATTCTTGCCCCCCGCCCTGCTGCTGCAGTAACCCCCCTCATTTTTGCACCAATCTTGCCTTACAACCAGGCCTGCTGGATTTCTTGTTAAAGCCGCCGCCATTCCATCCATCGATTTATATATATATATATATATATATATGATCTCCTCCCTGGAATGATTAATTTAATTTGTTCTCTTTCTCTTTCTCCCCAAATGAGAAAATCGAATTAGATTATATTCTTGCAAGTTTGATAACAGGCATTAGTAACAATATAACTTAGTTATCGGCAAGCCTCAGCTGAAAACCAGGGAAAAAACTAATTTACTTAAATTCTCTGATGGATTGGAGAGGAGATCCACACCACACCATGCCCACAGTCAAGGGCTGCCCACAAATTTAGGACCCTATTTAATTAATGATCATATCCTCCTAAATATGTGTTTTAACAAATCATTCAATACTTAATTAATCTAGATAATTTTTTTACATAAAATATCATATGCACCGTACCCATGCGTGCGTGTGAAATATAAATAAATTGAAAGAATAAGGCTTGGTGGGTGGTGTGATGATGTCACAAGAAGCCAATAGCATAGCTGAAATCTAGCTACCGCAAATACGATGACAACACAGACCTCTTTTAAGGTACTTAATAATTAATCATAATGCTCCATAGACTGCATTACATTATAAATTATTGTGCTATTAATTATAATAATATATATAATATTCCATCTATCTAACTATATATATATATATATATATGCTCCATTACTCACTCACTGCTTCCATCCTATCCCATGGTTATATACTACCATTAATACATAAATAAAAACTATTATATATATATATATATATGTATACACATTATTGATGATTCTTGAAATAAATCCCTAGTGCCCGACACTCATATCTGAACAACCCTCACCGTAAACAATCAGCAGAATTGAAGTCCTACGCGTGGAAAGCTCAGCCCGCACATCCAATCATTAATTAGTTAAATTAATTATATATTTAATTAAACTAATATCAACACAAAGATTGTGAAGAAGATCGATCCCTTTAATTAATTTGGGTGAAGGGCTTTATATATAGAATTTCCTTTTTACATATATACGCGATGACATTTTATATTAATTGTGATTAGCATATCTTGATCAATATTTTAATTAATTACAATGTTTCTGTTTATAAGAATATATATATATGTACGTGGCGCTGCATTGTTAGCTAGCTAGCTGCTAGTTGCTGCTGACAACATATGTGGGATCGATCAAATTTTCTTAAAACCTCGGATATTGTGATTGTTGAGTTTGAACCATACACGATCGTGCACTAATTACACTCAATCAATTTTCAAATAATTCATTTAATTAAAGAAAAATTAAAAAGTTGTAACCAAACTTTGCATGACTCATCCATCATTGGACATCTATAAATACCCGCGGGACTTGGCTCCCAATCTCATCAACAAAAACACTTAAAAAACTCCAACTTACTTTTCTTGTACTTCAAGAAGATAATGGCAAAAAAATGTGGTTTTGGTGTAGTGGTGATGGCTGCAATAATAACAATTGGGGTTTTAGCGACGGCTCCAAAAGCCGTGGAGTGTGCTATTGGGATCAATTTGAGCCCTTGCACGCTCCCGGCATGCATCTCCGCTTGTAAAAGAGTGTTGGAGGGTAAGTATATGAGCGCTACTTGTGCTTCCGGCCCCAATGGGAAGTATTGCATTTGTCTAGGTTAATATTCAATATGTTAACAAATTTGGCGCAGAAGCTTGCATAGTGATGTTATCCTTATCGAGCGTGTAACTATTAATTAACTAGTGTGTTATTCGAGGGTTTTTCCCTTGAAGAAGAGCATATATATATATGTGTGTGTGTTTGTGGGTACTATGTATATGCGCGCAAATGTTGGTGCGCGGCTAGCTAATAAAAGGATGAAGAAGTCTAGCTTGCTACTATGTAATATAGTTGAGTTCCCTCTAGGGTTCTATGTGTAACTTAAATTTGCATTTCCATGTTATAATTTTTCTTCTCTCTTTCTATATATATATCTCAATTCCACGAAGATCGTATATAATGGGAAACTATTGCAGATTTACATGTTGTATAATAGGAAAAGTTACACAATCACAAGTCCTTTTGATTATTTTTGTCACAAACATACAATAATTTTGAATTATATATTTCATCTAGTGAAGGTGGGAATATAAACACATGCAAGCACAATTTATTCTATTTTTTATAATATAAAAAAATTAATCATACAACGCTTCATGTGATTATCAATAAAAAAAAAAAAAATATTTTCTTCACATAATATAATATTCAAATCTCTATTTTTTAAAAAATAAATTAAAATTAAAATCAACCCTAAAAAACAATCACCAAGTAAGTACACCAAACTAGTAAAAATACTGGAATGTGGGGAATGTAATTTATTATAAAAATACAGGAAACACTATAAGGATTTTATTTTATTTTATTTTTTCTTTAAAAAAGGCCACTTCAATTATTCGAGATCTACACATTAGTTTTATATAAATATTATTCAAAAAATAGTTTATGGATATTTTATAATACCATTTTAAGCTTATATTCACTTGATAGCTTCTACATGAAGGAGCAATATTTACAGTGCAAAGTTACAATAATTGTTTATCAAATCAGTGCAATCGAAAAAATGTGAAGTTGTATATTTATTCCACTATTTTTATTCAACAATTATCTTAATTTCTTGTTGTATAATTAATATCTTTTGCGCATGAGGATTTCTTTCAACTTCTAATATTAACCATCAAAACTGATTGCATACAATTCCAACAAAATCAACATTCACTGCATATATATTGGTTCTATTGGAGTTTGGGTTTTTAAATAATAAGATTTTAAATTTGAATAAGTATTTGATGGTATATAAATAAATACTATTAACTTAATATTTTGAGTTTAAAATTAATTTTTTAGTATAATAAAAAATAAATATCTAAATGTTCGATTTGATATATTTTTTTTTTCATGAATATAAAAATTCCTTAAACAAAGGCAGTCAACTTGATCTCATCTCAAGAGTTTACAAGCCAAATTAAAGTTTGAATTGCAACAATTTTAACTTAAAATCATATATACTAACTATTATTTAAATTTCAGATTAAAATGTAAAATGTGATAGTCCCAAAATTGGTTTATAGGTAGGTGTTAGGCAAGCAGATTTCACCTGCAAAGTTGCATTACATACAAGAATTGAAGGCTTATTGAATACAAGTTACATACACTCTACTCTACTCTACTAAAGGTGATACCAATCTATTAAGTTAGCTCATATTTCATTGAGTATATAATTAAATATTTAGATGGTCTTTTTTAATTAATTTTCTCGATAGATAGATGCACCTATATTAAGCCATGCCAAATTAAATTACAATACTGCATTGGTACCACTATATATAGTTTTAATGATATTTGGTGACCGGATTTGTGCGTGAATAATTGATTAAATAATGGTAATTAGAATTGATGCAGTCGCCATCAAAATTTATTGCCTAATTAATTAATTAATGTATATGTATTAGCTGAATTGTGCATTCACAAAACTATATTAATAATTATTTATAGTATAATAATATTTTAATTATCAGTTTTTATTATTTTTGAAAAAATAAAATTTCAACTCTGAACCCAATAAATAAATTCATTCGAGGCCCTTTATATTCTGCTCTGCTGCGCTGCGATCAGAGGTCTCACTGAGCTCATCTATCTATCGTCAAATTCTTCTCATGGCGTTTTCCGGCGAGGTTTTGGCCTCCAAATTGCACGTCGAAGCACTGCAAAGCGTGGTTCCCAAAACCCCAACAGACCCCAGAATTTCCTCCATCCGCCGAAACGCCGCCGCCATTCTCCACCGCCGCTTCCACGCACTCCTCCTCTACCACAACAACAACGCCGACCATACCTCCGGCAGCCACGTGGCCGCCGGAATTAAGGCCTCTCTCCAAATGGCCTTGCAGGATCACCCACTGCTGGCCGGCCGCCTCCGCCCGGCGCCCGACGGCGGACAAAATCTCGAGATAGTTTCCAATGATTCCGGCGCCAGGATAGTGGAGGCCCGCGCTGATTTCAACCTCCACGAATTTCTCGACTTCAACAACAATGGCGGCGCCGCCGATCATCATCTCGTCTTCTGGGAGGATGTTGATCACGACAACCCTCAATTCTGCCCACTCTTTTACGTCCAGGTAAGATTTTCTTATCAATTAATCAATCAGTAATCAGCTACCCAAGTAATCAATCAATCAATCAATTAGGTCACCAAATTTGGGTGCGGAGGGTATTCCATTGGGATCAGCTGCAGCCTTCTGGTTATGGATCCTTTCGTCCTTACAGCCTTCATCAAGAAATGGGCCGACATCCATAACCGCATGCTGCAGGAGGATGCCCAAACTCCCATGTTATTCTACCTTCCTAGTATGGCAAAGCCCCTGTCCTATCAGCCTCTGCAAACCGGATCCAATGCAACCAAGAATTCCCCTGCTGCCAGTGTCATTTTCAAGACTCCTACAAAGGCTGCAAAAGATTCAGAGAGTCTTGCCTTAATGTGCATCGAGAGGGCCGAGAGTGAGATTGGCGCGAAAATGCCCTCGGAGGTCTGTCTCTTTGCGGCGCAGGGAGACCCCGCCGAGGTTGAGGTAATTAGTCAGAGTCAAGGGGTTTTGGAAAGTTTGCCATCCGACAATATTGGTGGATCGAAGTGTGTAAGAACTTGGTGGGACGAGGAATTCGGATTGGGCGGCGTATGCTTCGTTGGGAAGAATAAACCTGCCTATGCATCGAGTTGGATGAACTCAATTGTCGAACAAGGTTGTGTGATGATTGTCGGGGCATCGGATCATGAAACCAAAGTTGTCGTGACATTCACCTGAAAGCATATTTATGAATTAATGTGTGGTTATGTGTTGTGTGTTTCGACGTTCCTGAGGATCGGTTGTAAGTTCATTTCAAGACCACAGCATATGGTCAATGAGGACAGCGAAGGCTATGCTATAATCTTCGAATGTAAAAGGATGTACTCTCTTTGGTCTTTTCTTCCAATCAACAAGACTTTGAGAACATTATGAATATAAGTGGTTAAGGATGTAAGATTATAAGATTCGATACTTCCATTGCTCATTGTAAAATTATTTTACAGAAATTGAACAATTGATTTATTATTCGATACTCCAATTGGTCACTGTGGTTCAGTGTGTCATATAGCTTATCGATATAGAATAAAAAATTAAAATAATATACATAAATGAAGAAAACTAAAGCTGAGGGCAAGATTATCGGTTCATAGATTGAGCAATCGTCACAAAGATGATGTGAAGCAGACAAACATTGCAACTTGAAGTTGAACCATAGATTGCTTGCAGGCCCCACCAACCGCCCACATTACATTGATTCTCTACTACCAATTTATACACGAGTGATCACGACAGGATACCTCACACATTACACATACACACACACACATATATATATATATAAGTTATTTATGTGTGTATCGGTATTAAATAATAATAATGACAATATATCACGAGCTGAACAGACACAGTTCATGCCTGCATGCAAGGATTCGGACACCAAACACTAAAACACAAAGTCAAACCCAAAACAAAAACGACAAACATAAAACGTAAAAATAAAACAAGACTTGTCCGTTCCACGGCGTTATTAAAACTGATTGATTTTGAGCATCCGCGGCGGCGTGAGCAGACCGTACGAGCCGCAGCCCCCGCCGCCGACCCTGCTATGGCGGCGACCCGGAGTAAAGGGGCTGCACCCGCCCGACCCGAACCCGTAACCACCACCGAGGATCTCTCTCTCCTTACCGTCGTGGTCCATCTCGGCGAGGACTCTGTAAAAAAGATCGACGTCGCAGGGGAGCAGCAGCGGGCCGTCGCTGGTGAAGCCGTATTCGAGCTCGGCGTCCTCCAGCAGCATCCTGAACAGCGGGTGGTTCGCCAACTCCGTCTTTATCACGAACCTTTGTTTCTCCGGGCCCACGTAGACGCAGAAACACCCGCTCGGGGCCACCTGGTGCTGCTGCTGATGATGGCCCGGCCACGACTTGCTCTTCGTGAAAACGCTTCGGGTCCGGGTCCTTTTCGGGCCTTTGATCGACAGGTACCGTTCGAGCTTCTTCAGTACGGACGACCCTGAACTAGCCTTCTTCTCGCCCTTGCCGCCGGTAAACTCCATTCAAATTAAACCACCAGATTTCAAAGGATCTAATAATTAAACGGACCTGTACGTAGTTATATGGAACTGTATGTACGTATGTATGTATATATATATCAACCCCTGTCATAAGCCAAGCCAGACAAGGACTTGTTCATTCTGGGCTCTAGATCTCTTGTGTTGCTCATTATCTGAATATATATGTATATAATTGCAACAGCTTGAATTCCAACAGTACGGATCAGGATGTAACCTGGAGATTTATCATCTCATCTCCTCACATCGATCAGTGCTTTCCACAATGAAACTCGTAGCGTATGTATGTATGTATGTGGGTGTTTATGTAAGAGAGCTAGGTAGAGAGAAGGTGAGGTAGGGAAGTTGTGATTTTTCCTACCAGGCAATCTATGATTGATTGAATGAATTGCTTAGAGGTTAGCAATATATATATATATATATATATATAAATCAAGACACTTACACCCACCCACACCCCATATGCACACACATACATACAAATTACAAAGCTAGATTCCCAAACAGGGACTATAAAACACCAAATGGGACCTACATTATGAAATGTCAAACTGCTATCATAATAAACATATATATATATATATATATATACATACTCCTTTCTTTAATCTCTTGGTCATTGAATTATATGTTTAAACATAAGTTTTATTTAAGCAGTATTTTTTATACAGTAGAAAAAATGTATAAATAATATAACATAAATATGATTTTTTTCAATAAAAATTAAAATAAGAATATTTTTATGATGATTCAAAAAAGAAAGTAAATACTACTAGTATCATTTTAGATGACATATAGAGAGTATCAATATCGATTAAAATGTCCTAGTAAATAATAAGATATTAATAGTATTATTAATTTTGAATGAAATATAACTGTAACATTGTTCCAGACTAAATAAGAAGATGAATATAGTAACGGTAGATTGATGTGTTATGGGATTTCAATTTTCAACGCCTGCTAAAGCTGAAATAATAATGTATATTAATATAGATAGATGGATGCGTGTACAGTTTATATTTATTTGTTGACATTCTTGCCATTTTAATACGTTAGCTTATAGATTAAATATTAGTAATCTTTACTTGAAGTATGTCAATTAATTAATAGGTTAAGTTAAATCAATCATTTCATAGTGTATTATTATTATTATTAATTAACCTGCGGGCTGCAGCAGCAGTTTTCAAACCTGCAAATATAATTTTTTATCAGTTGAAATAGTCCAATACCATTTTATAACTTGCTTAGTTTAATTAAAGCTTAGAGTAGAATCAATAATGCCGTTGTTTATGTTTTTTTGTTGCTATCCAAACAGGTTTGACTTGCGAATGGTAGGCAATCTATCGACCATTAAAGACGTGGGCCATGTAAAAGAGGATGTCACTTTCCTTCAATCCTTGCATCATATGTGACCTCATCCTACCATTTTTTAGATTGGATATTTTAAGAGAATAAATCATCTATGAAATGAAATGAAATGGTGACTCTTAAATTATATTTAAACTACGGTAGTAAACTTGGCCTTTCAGTGTCACCAGTTTTAACGTTAGAGGGTTGCCATTAATGTAGTTGGGGAGGAGCTGTGACTCTGGGGTACTGAAAAAGTCTCCAATAGTATTGAGCTACGTGGACCAATCAAATATCTACCATTATTTTGATATATTAATAATAATAATAATAGTAGTAGTATTAAATATAATAAAAATCATTCTTAAGTAAATACGTGAATAAAAGTCTTTCCAATTAATTTAGTGCGAATAATTTGTTAAATTAGTAGTTGAGACGACTCATTTATCGCGAAACCACCACCGCCACTACCATCACCACGTCCGCCTGCAAATTTGAGAAGCATTCAAACTCCAATTATGCTGCTAAGATTAATATATTGTAGCATTTGAATACGACCTCTTCATCTCCATCTCTCCCGAATCTGCTGCGATCGGACCACCAAAACACGAATTCTCTCTCTGCGCCGCAGTTTTCTACCTCTTCGAGTCTCGCTCGACCAAGTTTCATTTTTGGAGGTGAAGTTATTGAGTTCTAAACCTGCATGAGTATTTGCAGTTGCATCATATCCGCTTCAATCTCTCGGATCAGGCTTGGTTTTTGTTATTGAAGTTTGTGATTGTTGTTTTTTAATATGTTCTGTTTCTGTGTTTTTGAGATATACAGTCCGTGGGTGAATTTTGGAATATTACGAATCTAATTATTATCATTCTGATTTCAATTTCAAAGCTGCTGCATTAAATGGGAAATAAATATGCATTGAAGAAAATGGGCGCTATGTCGGCAACGCGTGGTTGCTCACTTCCAGCTTTATGCATAAATTTACGAAACTAACTGGTGAATTGTGTTTACTTGAACATCCACTCTTGTCTCTTGCTTGATTTTGTATGCTGAATTCAAAGTATAGATTCCCCTTTCTTACTCGAATTCGCCCTAGCCTGTTTCTCTTCAATTCATTAAATCTGAATCTATCTATGTACGCGAGTTTATTGATGATTTGATGATGTTGTGCTACAGAGAATCGGTTAACACTGGTGAAATTGAAGCTTCCACGTCACTCCGAACGCATTGTTTGGACTTCTCCTTCTCCACTCTCCAAGTAGAAAAAAAGTAGCTACCGGAAGCAAAAATCGATAAGGCTACGTACGTCTCTTCAGTTAGAAGATTTTCCAATCGTCCGGATCCAACGTGATTCAGTTCGCCTAAAGCTGATAATAAGAACATGTGTTCTGAATCACCGTCACCAACAAGGATGCGGCGGAGAATCGGTTCACTATCCGTGGTGCTCGCAGTCGCTTTCTCGCTGCTAATAATTGGAACCTTTGCAGGTCAGTATTCACTCGAATCTCAAACCGCGCATATGCATACATTCAATGTGAGTTCTATTCGCGTGCATTATAATTAATCAATTAGGTCCGTTGGGGTTTGCAAATAGCTTTAAATTAGAACTGGCCCTTTCATCCAGTCTATGTGAGATTAAGCCTCACGTTTTCCACTGGACAATAATTTCAAGTTTCCATCATCTCCTCCTTAATTGCTCCGCCTGAATTCAACATTACCATGCGTTCTTCAATAAACTACTTACTTCTCTTCCTTCTTTCATATCTATGTGCTACAATTGTTGAATTTGAATATATCCATCACACCATTGATCATGCAGTTAAATCTGATCAGAAGGCAAGCTCCATGAATGCCAGGAAGAGTACTACCGCAACTCCCCATGCTCGCAAGTTGCTGAATAACCACGGTAACTAAAACTTCCCTAATTAAAATCTAATCTATTCAACACACATATATACACGATTCCTTCCTTATATCCAAATCCAGAGTGATTTTTTGCATGTTTGGTGATACTACTGAAGGCGCGGTGGTGGTGCCAAGCCGGATATGGAGCGAAAAGTGTTCGAAATCGGACATAATGATAAGCCAGGGGGCGACGCAGCCGCTGCCCAACGGAATTCCGACGTACACGGTGGAGATCATTAACGTCTGCGTCCGTGGCTGCTACATCTCCGCCATCCATCTCAACTGCGGCTGGTTCAGCTCCGCTCGGATCATTAACCCCCGAGTCTTCAAGCGCCTTCGATTTAACGACTGCCTCGTTAACGACGGCAAGCCGCTGGCGTACGGACGCACCTTAACCTTCCAGTACGCCAACACCTTCCGTTATCCTCTCTCCGTCGCCTCCGTTAATTGCTGACTCACACTGCTGCTACCACGCGCCGCCGTGCGTGCCCGCTCGATGAAGATGATTCGGTGAACTACATACAGTTTGTGCAGTACAATAAGTTAGAATTTAGACTCAGAGTGAGAGGAAAAGAAGAAGAAGAAGACGTATACGTTCTTAGGGAAAATACACGTATCAAAATGAAGATGAAAAAAAATAAATAAATACGTACAGAAATTTTGGCATCATTTATATTGGAATATTGGATATGTGGGGAGTTTTGAGTAGGTGTGTTTATTCTGACTTGTGGTCCAGTGCTAGCTGTATTCTTTTTTAAATATCTGAATTGTTGAATGTGAGTTTTCTTGGGCTTTAAAATACCCAATCTACCCGATTACTGTACCCATAATGGGAGGCTCAACCCAATTCTAATATATTCTGTTATTATATTCTCTGAAAATGGGTTTTTAAGATGGAGAGGGAATTGAAGTAATAAAGATAGAAATTTTGTGAGAAGAAGAATTCTTATATACACAAAAATCGAATTCTTATTTTAATATTTGTATATAGATTAATTTTACTTTAACTATCTAATAAAAATTTTATAAAATTAAAAAATATAAATATATTGTACAAAATTAATTATATTACTATAATTTTTATTTTGTAAATACAAAATACTATTTTTATGAATTTTAAGTTATTACCCTAATAATTTCATACCTTAGCCGCCGCCACACAAGTTTTCCCCTATTTTTTTCCTCTTCTGTTGTTCTTTTTGTTCTTTTCTTCTTCATCCAACTGGCTTCTGCTCCGCAGGTGACCGGTAAAGACTGCTCCTACATTTTTTCCTTAAAAAAAAATAAATATACTTAATCGAACGTTTCGAGCAGGCGGTTTAGTGTTCAATATATACTGAAACCTAAAAATAGATTTTGATTTCGGTCCGAAACCGATTGGGTAAGTCTAGTCCAGTGCTGAATTACACTTCACCGCTGAAAATTTACTACAAAACTGTTAAACCCTAATATACGTCGCCGGTGAAAAGGGGAGTTCAAATCACATGTCGAAAAGGAAGAGAAACGAGTCCGAAGAAACCATGGAGATTTTATGGCAAACCCCTGCCAACCCTCCCCAGCGCCAAGACTACATTTTTCGAGACGGTAAGCAGGTTTGGAATCTGGCACGCAAGCACCAATTCAGGGAAATGGCCCAAACTTTCTTATCTTTTTTTTTGGCAGGAATAAGGTACGTGAGACCTTACTATTTCGAGTTCATCTCACATGTAAGTATTTTCATCTCTGCACAATCTTATTTTCCGTTGTTTAATTTGGTTTGAGGTTTGTAACTGGACGTGGAATTATGGATTCTGGGCGCAGGCTAAGAATCGATGGGCAGGGAAAACCATTGTGGATTTATTTGCTGATGAATTCAAAGGGCGGCCGCGTGATTATTATGTAAGTAGCTTGTTTATCTTATGTTCTGTCTTTCTCCCATTTTCTATTGCCTCGACTCTGTTAACATTCTCTTATAAACAACATATTGCAAAGGGGCAAATCGTGCTTTATTGTTAGGTTTCTAAATCTTTGTGTTTGGTTTGGCTAATGGAATATTGCCCTGGTCAATCCGGTTAGTATTATTCTGAATTTAGAAAGAAATCGATATGGCAACAAACAGATACTAATGAAAAGAAATTGATCATGATGAACTAAACAATTGTGTGAATTTGATTGTTATGAATGAGGTCTATTGTCGAGTAAACTGGATTTGTAGTAACCTCTGATATATCGTCAAGCATCACACATAGCAATTAAGTAATCTGAACTATATATTTACATTAAGTATATGATGGCTTAAGCAAATATAGGTATCTGCAGTGAAGGCTGGGCGTATACAAGTTGATGGACAGACTGTGCCTGTATCATATGTAATTAAGTCGTCACAGAAAATAAGCCATTTTGTGCACAGGTCTGCGTTTTTTTCATCCATGCCCTCTATCACATTTAGTAATTTTGATTTATTTAATTTTCTTAATGCTGTAAACCACTTCTTTTGTCTTTGTTATGACAAAATTATAGTTAACTGACACACTAAAGGATGTAGGCATGAACCGCCAGTAAGGGCAAAGGATATCCAGATTCTCCATTCTGAGCCTGATGTCTTGACTATTTGTAAGCCTGCATCAGTTCCTGTAAGTTATTTCATCTGAGTAAGGATATGTTAGCTAGTTGCATTGGTTTTGCATTACATTATATGTTTCTATTCATTAAAAACTGAAGACTCCAAGTCTCCAATCTTATTTCTCTTTTGTAGAGTAAGCAGCAATGCTCTATGCACAGTTCCTTTCATACTGTTGTCTTATTTTATATTTAAGCCAGTATGGATTAGCGATTGCCATTCAGGAGTGAATGCAGTAATTATCTTATTTGTTTCTCAGTTCCTGAAAGTTGTTGTTACATTCCATAATGCTATGAAAACCATACACACAGTTGATTACACTATGACCTATTGAAATTTTTACAATCGGGGTATCTCTTTTGGTGAGTCGAATCCCTTCTCTAACATTAGGTACATCCCTGTGGGCAATATCGGAAGAACACAGTCATTAGTATACTGCAAGCAGAGCATGATATGGAACCCTTGTTTCGTATCCTATTTTTTCTTGGCTTGAACCACACTCTTTCTCATTATCTGATACACCTTTAGCTTTATATCCTTAGCTTGTAAATATCAGCAATACATAGGTTAGACCGCTTGGTCTCTGGACTTCTTATCCTAGCCAGAAGTGCTTCTAAAGCTGACATTTTTCGGCAGCAGGTAGTTTATACATTAAAGGAATATTTACACGTGTGTTATGTGCAAAGATTCTAATCATTTTTTAAACCTCTTTTATGCAGCAAATAGACTTGGATGATAAATATACTGATTTTTATCATATCATGGCTTAATGTTTTAGATTGAATCAGGAGAGATTAAGAAACAGTATATTGCAAGGGTGAGGGGAGTATTTCCTGAAACAGAGGTACTTCAATTTGTCTGTTTTGCAGATTCCCATTCGCATCTGGTTTTGGATATGTATACCCCTTTCCTTCCATTGAGTATTCATGCTTTCCTTAGTTTTATTTTTAAAATCTTTGATGTACAGCAAGTTGCCAATGCAAGCATTGACTATAATCCTCGAGAAGGAAAGAGCACAGTAGAGGTAAATATCTTCTCACAATCTCTTTAAAATGCTATTGTGGAGTGTTATTTTCTTTTCATCTGTCCCATTATTTAATCAAACTGTGTTCCATATGTTGCTAGTCTTTTGATGATGTAGTGTGGTCCACTGTTTGAATTTTTATCCTGATATTGATATTATAGATAGCATATTTATTCTAGTGGTTTTTCACCAATGTCATGGATTTTGCTTGGGATAACACATCCTGCCATTTCATGCTTAGAAATTTAGGATCAACCAATGTCATTGATTGGGACACATATTTACAGTTATCAAATAATCCAAATGGGAAAAATCCTTCCAAAGGCAAGGCCGCCTGCACAAAGTTCACTAGAATTAGCACTAACGGAACACAAAGCCTTGTCTTGTGTGAACCAATCACCGGAAGGACACATCAGGTAAAATATGACAGTATTAGAGATATATGCTTATGTTTACATTAAGAGTATATCTTCACAGTCCACATCTTTTATGAGAATCGAAATTGCCTTTGTCTTAGATACGCGTCCACTTGCAATTTTTGGGGCATCCTATAGCAAATGACATGCTTTACCTATCAGAATCCGCTCCCCTTCGTTCTATTGAAGGATTAAGTGCGGATAGAGCTGCTTCTAACTCAAGGCCTCTTAAAGAAGCAAGTTTTAACGAGATCCAAGTGCCTCAACCTTCCTATGAGCTCACTGAAGATTTCCACATTGATCCTATGTGTACCAACTGTCCAAATCTAGAACCTAAAGGGTAAGTATTATCATTACTATTATATTTGTTAGACTCGATGATAACCTAATTCCCTCCAGATTTCTTGCAATGCCATACTGCTTGAATCAGAAACCTGTGTCTGTCAATGATGATTTACCAGGCAGCATGTTACCTGATTGTTTTTATTACCAATTTCTTGAGAAGCCTGCATCAGGCTGTTTACAATGTGGTATTGAATGTGTTTGCAGATATGATGGGCATGAAGAGGGACTATGGCTGCACTGTGTTAAGTATTCAGGGCCTGACTGGACTTATGAGTGCCCATACCCTTCCTGGGCATCTCTTTGTTAACACACTTGTCTTCTGTAAGTTGTCCTGTATATGCATCCATAACCCATTATTTATACTCAGTTCTTTCTCTAATTCTTGGGCTCCAGAGGGTTTAGGAATACATGTCAAGAACCTAAAAGCCTCATCTTGTTTGTCAAGATTATTACATTTTAGTCTCTCTTTTTGGTCGAAAGTAGTCATGATCCTAAATTCAGATCTAAAACTCACCATTCTAACATGAGGTGAGTGCTGGTGGGCTGGGATGGGATAATATGTTATGTCTTCTTTCTCATAAAATATTGAATCTAAAGTACTTTTAAATCAGAATTCAAGATGTGAATTAGAATTATTTCTAGAAAGCTCATCAATATTGGATTTGGAGTATATTCAAACAATACAATTCATATTATTCAGTGATATGTTGTATATGTTAAACGACTTCAATCATCAATGGAATTTATCACGACCAGTAATAACAAAAATATTTACAAATAATTCAATAAATCAATCAATTGCAACAGTAGTCCAATTATCTCATCATAGCATGTTATTCAAAGTTCACACCACTTTTCATTTCACACCACTTTTCATACACTAATGATAATATATGTGCGTGTATATATATATATATATATATATCATAAAACATAAGCACAGCCCTTTATATAAGTCTCAGTAATTACTTAATTAATTATAAGTAATATATAAATCTAGCTAGCTACACAGCTAATCCACTTAGCTTCACTGCATCCATAATTGTGGGGTCCTTAAGCTCCTCGTCTTCTACTGTTATTATATCATTATCATCCGCAGGCTCTTTCTTCTTGACATTCCTGTAAATTATATACACCACCATTTGCACCACTCCAAAGCTGAATCCCAACACATTAGGGATCTGTCATCAAAACTCACACATTCAATAACATTAATCAGTGCTCAAAGAGTTTTTTTTTTTTTTTTTTTCAAGATATGTGTGTTCTTGATCATGATATACAACAAATCAAAATGAACTCACAGCAATGTTATAGTCCTTGAGCAGTAATCCATAAAAGAGCCACATAACAGCACTTAGTGTTAGAAAAAATGATGGGAGAAAAGGCATGTATTCTACACTTTTGCTTCTTATCACTTTCCTCTGCATAAATTGAATTCAAACTATTAATTCCTTTAACAAATTACTTAGGAAGGCAATAAATCATAAAAATTATAAAATAAAAGAAATCATTTACCAGAATGCATAGGGGTGCAACAAACACACAGAGAGAAAAAATCAGGCAAATCCACCCCACTGTATTAACACGGCGCAAACCTTCTTCTAAGAGATAGGTTAGCAACACAATAAGGCCAAATCCAATGACGTTTAGCAGGAGAAACAACTTGACAGTATTGGCCTGAACATTGATCATACCAAGAAATTAAATTCCATGCATGTATATGCATAGATCATAGTGAATTAATACTTGTGTCGAACACAAACATACCCTCTCATGTTTGTGTGCAAAAAATATGAAGAAGCAAATGTATGCAGAATAAATGAAACAAGCAATTGAGTTGATGGTCATGAGAAGAATCATGTTCCCTTTGAGGAGCGAATAATAAATCCAAAGCATTGCGCTGAATAGCCCTACAACGTATAGCACAGATTGGAACCCTTCTGTAGATTTCTTCTTGAATATTTCATAGAATGTTGGCCTGCAAGTGGATTATAATCAAATCAAATGATAACATATATACTCATAAGGAATGAAAGATGAAATTTAATATGAGAGAAACTCACAATGGAGAAAGAAGAACCATGAAGGAGACTATATTGCCTGCCAAAGAAAAGCCAATAATATTATCATATTCAACACTATAATATAATTAGATTATTAGCCTTGTGTTATATGTGAATTCCTTAAAATTGTACCCAGAAGACCAAAGACAAAGGCCAAGTGAGTCATCATCTTCTCCAAATTTGGAGCAATGAATTATAAACTGAAGCAGATGAAATCCATTTATCTCTCTCTCTCTCTCTATATATATATACATAGCTGAGAGCATTGACAGAGGTATGCCAAATTTTCATGTAAAAAAGGTACAATAGCTGTATCAAAATTGGGGGGTGGTGGAGGCTTGAATTGAATTAAATTAATTTCATTACCTCTCACATATATTTCATCTTAAGATCAGTTAGTTGCTCCAGACTCATCAAATCTGCAGTGCTCATTTTGTCACTATGCCCTAATTTTGCCCTTCCCTCTCCACCTCCATCTTACCCTAATTAGTTTGGATATATAATAGTTTAATTCTAGACACACACGGACACAAACACACACACACACACACATATATATATATATGTATATACACACACATGTATATGTACAACTTTTTTGTTAGGTTCAGCTACAGCCTTCAGAAAGAAACCCTAAATTAACATGGATGTGTCACCCACTCATAGACGAACCCAAGCTCAAGAATTACAACTGGAAAATTTTAATAAATACATTTTCTTTGGTTTATCATTTTTATCATGTCTATTATTTTAGCCATATTTTGGTTTGTGCATAAATTTGCAGAACAAAATTCTTCAACTATTATACTGCAATTTAATTAGATGACTGGTTGTGCAAAATAACATAGAATTATAAGCACACATACATATGTGCATGGACTAAAAAAATGAGGGTTTGTGTGTGTGTGGGTGTGTTTTATTGAATAAATAATTTTGTATGAAAAAAAAAAAAGTATATGATGTGATGTTTTACGGTGAAAAATGACTTATTGTGTAAATAAAATTAGAGTATAGAAAAGGAAAAAAATATTTCCATCACATCATCTGCAGTTTCAGGTATATTTTTGGTGCTTCAATGGCTGCTTTAATAAATTGAATGGGATAGAATGCATTTTTCAACTTTGCTAAATCAATTCAGCAACTTTCAATAATTATTATTTCAACAATATATATGTAGATTGAATGAGGATAGAATAAATGATATATTTTTATATCAATGACTTCATTGTGTAGACCAATAAAATTTTATTAACAATCACATTATTTCATCAACCCAACGTTATTCTTATACGCAAACTGTTAGTTGGCCAAGAAAATTGTTAGTTACTAATTAATTTTTGTGTCCTTTGTCAACAATATTGTATGTATAAATGGTATTTATATTTTCCAATTAAGAATAAAATAAAACGAAATTAAATAATATAAACTGATAATGTATACGACCCATGAAATCAAAATTTCTAGCTAGTCAATGACTTAATATTATCCAATATCTTGAGAACTTATATAGTACTTTGTTTCATTAAATAATATTTCCATTATACATAACTTATGAGATAAATATAGATTTATTTGTCCAATTTTTTTTCCACATGATTATATATATATAAATATATCATAGCATAAAGAGCTAACATTCAACATAAAATATTATATTTTATATTATCGACACGATAATATATTCTTCTTATAAAAAAAATACATAAAATCAAAACACTAAACAATTGTTTAATAAAGTATAATATATAATAGTTTATTTTCAGGCAAAATGTGTATATATTAATTACTACCAAAAAAATAAGCTCATTAAGACAAACTTGAAGCTCACAACACATTGGGCTACCTTACCCTACCAATTAATATATAATATATATTCATATAGATAACATTTTTAGGTTGCATCCATTCCACAAAGAAACCAAATCATTAATATATCACCAAAAAATCAAGAAAAAGGACAAACAATATTAGTAATGATAACTTCATTCCTTTGCCTTTGCCTGTACCTATTAATTAGCTTAGAGTTCATTAGAGATTAAGTTTCAATACCATTATATTAATTTCATCCACCCATAAACTAATGCACAATTTTCATGTTTCAAAAATTATAGAGAAAGTTGTAGCAGTTTGCAAATAATAATAATAATAATAATCTAAAGCAATTTTTCACAAGAGTGTTAAATATCGATTTACATAGTACTTACAAAATAATATTTGTGGGATATAGAAATTGAAGAATAAGGACTAACATGATCAAGAAAAACCCGTCATGTAGCCAATACAACCGCCCGTAGATCTTTAAAATATACCCGGTTAGGGTATAGGGTTCGCATACCCCAAGAGTTTACGGGCAAGTCATTCTTGGCTATTAGACATGGTTCCTCTCTTCATGTAAGCCCTATCTTCATCACATATAGTGGCATGCCTATTGAATTGGTGGTGATGAGTTATTTTGGTATTGGATTGTATGTTGTGTATTTATAGGCGACGAGGCTTAGGCTCAAGGCGATATCGAGCAGACATTGTCATGTCCATAATATTCTCATATTCTTACATGCTATTTGACCCTTGGGAGCCAAGTTGGGCTTATCCACAACATTCTTGAATTTTTTGCCCCATACACTAGAATATATCCTCAAATCTCGAATGGAATGTCAACGTTGAATCTTGATCGCATCCTTGATTGAAAACCTTTTTTTCATTTCTAATAATAATGTCAACTGCATTATTATTGGAACCATATATATCAACTTACATCTGCAATCTCTTCTCAATATAATATTGAGTTCATTAGCATACAAAATTGCCATCAATGCCAAATAGATTATTTTGATAATTTCACACACACACACACACACACACATATATATATATATATGTATATATAGCTACAATAATACTTTTGCCCATGCCTATTCTTACAAGGAAAGGTGAAAGTGGGGATAAAATCGAATCTTTGCTATTCTCACTAGGAAGTGAATCATTGGCTGTCTTGTTAAATACAGATTTTATGCATATCTAATAATAATAATTTTTAAACTCCGACGCCACCAGGTTTACCTGTCACGCACAGTTCGCCTAAGGTGACTTATCTTGTCGGATCTAATTTGCAGGGTATTAATTTGGTTGTAGGTTTATTTAATGCACACGTTCGGATAGCGATTAACGATTGCAGATTCCTATGTTATAAAATAATAATAAAAATAAAAACTTCATTATTATTGACATTGTTTTTGGATCAACCATATTTATATATGAAAAAATTTCTTCTCTAAATAGTGGCTGCGGTTTCACGATATGAAAAAAAAAAAAAAAAAAAAAAAAAAAAAAAAAAAGTAAGTGATATATATACAGTATATGACTAATAATCCCATAAAAAGGAAAAATTAAAGAAGCGATTTTATTAATTAACTGGATATAAATTAGGGGCATTGAAGTCATTTCACCATGTTTAAAGACCACTTTTTCATCTGACCTGTTTATTTGTACAGATGAGATCGAAAGGATAGGATGTACGAATTGTGCATGATCAGGATCGCGAGTAATGCTTTGATTTATCATTATTCAAAATGTCATGGAATGGACCATTTCTCTTTTTAGACACATACTCAAAATTGTTGTGTTTAATACTAATACGAATAATAATAATAATAATAATAATAATAAAAGCATAAAGATATATCTGCATTGCATGCATGGGTTGTTTGATTGTAAATTTGATTTTTTAGTTTAGATTTTCGAGTAGTAAAAGTTTGAATTTAAATAATTATTTAATGTAATATAAATAATAATAAAAATAATTATTAATTTAATATAATTTTTTTATAAAAAAAAAATTAAATAGTAAAATCTTATTAGAAATTTACAATAGAAAACTGGGCATTCATAAATTTTACAAAAGGGTTCCATATATCCATCCGCGCCTTTCCACACGATCATTACACAAATTAAAAAGATGAATAATAGTAATTAATAACACGATATTAATTATTTATGCACACACATATGCTAATTATTTAATTTCATTTCATTTGATCCATCCCTCGTTACTATCACTTGGTCACTGACCTCGTCCTGTGTGACCATATCACCATCACCATCACCACTGTAATTAGTATTTTTGTTGTTGCCATTAACATTAATATCCAAATTATTATTATTATTATTATTATTATTATTATTATTATTATTATTATTAAATGGCAGAGAACAAACTGGATGTATCTCACAGTTGGGCTTCACAGCAGTCACTGGTAACTTGTCTTCTGAATTGGCCTTGCCATTTCTGTATATCAAATACAGTATAATTTGGACCACCCCAAATATCACTCCAACAACGTTTGGAACCTGCGAATGTAATAATTATTTACAACACAAATAATTGACTATATAATTGATTGATTGATTATTCACTACACTTCAATTATAGACAAACAGTATCATACTATTTGATATAATATTTTGTGAGCAAATAATTAAATTATCTAGCAATAGTTACATACCGCAACAAAAAAATCTTTGAGGAGCAAACCATAGAAAAACCACATAACCGCGTTGAACAAGAGGGCGATCGATAAGGCGACTGGCATGAACTCCACGCTCTTTGTGCGAATAACTCGACTCTACATGTACACGGACACACCATACAACATTAAAATTCACAAATTAATTAATATGAAAATGATTAAATTCGAAATACTTACCATTATGCTCAAAGGCGCAATATACACACTTATAGACAATACCACGGATATCCATCCAAGAACTTGAACTTGTTGCGAGCCCTTTACAAAATAGTGCGTGAAGACAAGAATCAATCCGAATCCGACAAAATTAATAAGAAAAAGCATCTTCAAAGCCACCATCTGCAATAAAAAAGACTAATTAATCAAAATAAACACGGAAAATTTGTATATATATTTTTTGCAGGGAATTAGAACAAGATTATGCGTCGCATTCGTACCCGGGCTAATTTGGGGGCGTAAGAAATGTAAATGAAGATATAAATGGCCTCAATGAAGCATCCAAAGGAGTTTATGGTAATAAGAAGTATTTCATTCGATTTGAGAGTCGCGTAATATATCCAAAGCATGCTACTCAACAAAGCTACGATGTATGGCACCGAATGGAACCCTCCTGTCGTTTTTTTCTTGTAAATGCTATAAAATGTCGGCCTGTATTATTGTAATAAGCAAATTTATTAATTGGCATGAATGCTTAGGAGTTGATAAGTGATTGTTAATTGACAAATGAACAAAACTTACACAGGGGCAAGATACACCATGAAGGCCACCAGATTTCCTGCATAATTAATATATATATATATATATATATTATTAATAGATTTATCGTTTATATATTACAGCTAGCACATGACTAGAATATGGGAATCTAATGAAAGTAAAATCATGTCCTTATTTTTGTCGAAACATTCGATTGTATCATCAAGATTATTTCATTTACCTAAAATCCCAAAGATGAATACCAGTGAGCTGTGAGTGATGATATGTGCCATTCTCTCTCTCTCTCTCTCTCTCTCTCTCTCTCTCTAGATATATATATATATATGTATTAAAACCTTCCAAATTTGATGAATTTGAAGTGGGGGAAACGGGTATATATAGAAGTATTGAGCTAGCTGTTGACACATTTTCCTATAATATATTTAAAAATATTATCAGATTGAGTAAAAAAAAAACATGCTACACTTAGACACCTTCGAGCACAACCTTTTTTTAAAAAAAAAAAAATTAATTTAACTTGCCCACCCAACATTATTACTTAATTAATTGAAAACAATTAACTTCACCTTAATCTCCTCAGCATTATTGTCTGTTTTATACATTTTATAGTTGCATATATAATATGACCTCACTAATTTGTTACTCAAACGATCACGTAGCTAATTATTAAAATTAAGATGTATGTACATATGCTTCTCATTTTCATTCTATAAATGGAAACCTTACAATTATTGGACATGGGATTTTAATTAACTTTATGTTGAAGACAATATAGGTTATATTGATTACTGATTCTTATGTTTCTAGGCAATATATATATATATATATATATATAGTGCAATTTCTAATTGATAAATTTGAGGCCTATTTTTAATTATGCTAATTACCTTGCAATAAATTAAATTATAAATGGTTAATTAGTCCATATCTAGAAAATCATAACTACTTCAAAATTTGGATGTTACCTACTTAATTTGCAGAAACAAATATATACATATTATCTATATTAAAAATTGATCAAAAAACTAATGGTACATAGAATTTTTATATACATATGTATGCAATGGATGTATATTTATAATCGATCAGTTTGTATTCAATTCCACTGAGGTTACGTATGTGCACTCCATAAAACTAACACCTGGCCAGCATCATCATATTTTGTACGTTTGTACTGATTTATTTATATATTTAACTATTCTAAATTAATCTAAAGGTAAAGCTTCATGATCAATAATATAAATTAATCTAAATTCTATGCCATACCTTCCTAGCTCCCACTTATTATTATTATTTCATCCATCTATGTAAATACGTGTTTAAAAATATATCCCATTAATTAAATGTGTAGTTAAAAAAAAAAAAAAAAGCCTAGTTAGTAATACTATTTATTAACAATATATATATTTAAAAATATCTATTTATTTTTTATTTAAAATATTAAAAAACATCTACCAATTTAACAAGTACTTAATTAAAGGCTGTCATGATAGGAAGATCGTGCATGTTTATGTAATATGATGTGAGGTGTTAAGTGATAATGCGTTCTATCTCCATTCACTTTAATTTTTTGACTCGACTAATCTTTCAAACTAATTAAGGTTTCATCAAAATATCTTCAATTCGACATATATACATCAATTTAATTGGATGATGATCGTGATGATCATGTTCCAATAAGATATATTTTTATATATAAAATTAAGAATGTAGACACAAAGAAAGTTTTTAATTTGGTTTATCGTTTTCTTTTAGAAATGTTTTGAGCCTAATCAAATAACATGCAATCATTTATATTAATGATAAAAATAATTAATAAAAGACTATGATCTTTAAGCTGTCATCGTTTCTGGACAGCATTATGTTGTCTTCTTGCATGTCATTTTCCTCTGTACGGAAATCAAATTTGTTGCTTCTGATATTATGCCATTTCCATTTTCCATGCATCATATCTAGCTCAATGAAATAATTTTAACCAATAATATGCCAAGAGTCATTTCTTTTTTTCTTTTCTATTTTCATCCCTTTATTTCCCTTTACAAGGCACAAAGATAATTCAGCTATCACAATTATATATGTTGAATATTGCAATTATAATTTTTTATCATTATTAACACGGTTCTATTATGATTCAACAGCTTTCTTTCAACAAATTATGCACTAGTTAAGTAGTATTTTTTATGTCATGAAGCATTTAACAAATTTATGGAGTAACTCAACATAAATAAGTAATCATTTAACATATTTATATTAGTACAATTTCAATAATTCAATACAATATGATGTAAACCCTTAGTGTAAAGAGACCTACTAATGGCCTGCTCTTTCATTATTACATGTGTACAGGTATTCCCTTTAATTTAACTTCATTATATAAAAATGGCATGATGTAAACTCAAAGCACTATATATATTAAATCACATTATTTAGCAATGTTGATTTTTTTTCCCTTCCTAAATTGATATCTATAGAAAATTGCTGCAAACTATTTGTGACATCTGTTGTTTTAAAAAGCTATGTTCATATAAATATGGTTCATTTTACCAATTATTAGGCAGAAAGGTAATTAGAAAGTGGTTAATTAATTGGCAGGATAAGATTGCCTTTATTAGTGTAAATCTCCAATGATTAATTACAATATTACTTGCTACCAGGATTAATTAATTAATAACCAATTATGTATCAAAGCCACTTTCAGCATATAAGTATATTTTATAGACCAATGCACCTAATTTTGGCCCAAGAGTGTTTCTTACTACTTAAACTTTTCGAAAAATGTATATATATATATAGTTAAAAAATATTGCATCCAACATTATTTACTAAAGACCCAATTAAACTTAATTCCAAACTCAATTTCAGACAAAAAAGAAACACATTTGGGTTTGTTTATTTGTGGGTGTGTACATTACTTATAAGTAGTGATTAAATGTACTGTTTTAAATTATTATTTTTTTTAAATATGGTATTTTTTAATGTCAAATTAATTGAAGAAACTCGAGATGTTTAATAATTTATAACAAAATAAAAAAGCCAGATATTACTAGAAAATTTTACAAATTATATTAATATTAATTTTCTCTATCTTTAAGTACGCCCAAGGTTCTATGGTGTAGTGGTTAGCACTCTGGACTTTGAATCCAGCGACCTGGGTTCGACTCCCGGTAGGACCTTTTTTTATCAACTGTTTCAACCAGACAGACGTATCTGGGCTGCCTACTGACTCACCCATATTTTGAAGAAAATTGGGTTAAAGCCCAATAGTTGTTGGGCCTATTGTTTAAGGCCCAGTTAATTAACAATTTTAGTACGATTGCACATAACCCATAAACAAACCACTAGAGCTTTTTGTTTTATTTTTTTAATAATGATTTAGATATAATTAAAATAAATGGACGTAACCCCTATTATAAAGGTTGTGTAGTTGATATTTTGGGGAATCGTAAAGACTTCTTAGTAAAAAAACATAAAAAGAAAATGTAAATGAACACAATCTTCTTTACCAAATACTCCTATTTTTGATGCTATGAATAATACACATACATTTACAGTTTAGTCAACTTTTAGAAGCTACATTCAGTTTCAGACATGTAACATAATTATTTGTATATTCTATCGAGAGAGCCATCAAATCATTCTTTTCTTCTTCACTGTTGAGGCCAAAACACAGCTCAGATTTGCTGTTGCTCCAAGTAATAGGTATAGCCTACCTGCCAACCAATCGCCGTCGCCCACCGTCGCCGGAAACTTTGGGTAATTCCTAATCTCATTGAATGCTCCAACCATCAATTGTTCTTATTAAATCCTGTGATTAATTCTATACATGATTGGGAAAAACAAAAAAAAAACGAAGGAATTCTGATTCCTCTCCGTCCGCCAGGCAACGGCGAGCTAGTTGCCGGAAGTCGTCGCCGGTGGTGATACCCCATACCCCTGGTCAAGGTCAAAGCCGACACGCAGAAATTCAAGCGACTTTTCTAGCAACTGGTTATTCACAAAATTAATGCTCTGCTTCCCAATCTTTCGTATCTGCTAAATTGCCCGCGTCATACGATTAATTCGCACCTACCATTTCATTTTCCATCATTTGCAGAGACAGAGAGTAAAGGAGAAAAGCTTGTTAAGAGGAATTAGGGATAGAGGCGATGGATGCACTGGCGCCGCCTGATTCCCAGGAAAGATCCGTCGGTGGTGCGGCGAGGATGATCCGAACTTATCAGGCGTGGGAAGGCAGTAATGTAACCCCACTTATCCTCTTTACATGCTCATTAATGGATTCCTGTCATCAAATTAGGGTTTGGGATTGCTAAATGAAGGTTTTTGAATGAGCTTCATCTTCTATGATCTCTTCATGGTTTAATTTGATGAATTGAATTGTATGCTTCTGATAAATGCTTGTTTCCGTGATTGAGTTTATGCAAATGTCTGATTAGGGTTTCCTGTATTAATTTTGGGCAAAAACTGCTGATACTACCTGTTACATCTGTTCATTGTCTATCTAACTTGATTAGTATGGCATAGAGCTACATCACTGCCATTCTAAATTTCGTCATTTTTCTATCTTTGCTGCAGAAATTTTGTCTTGGGGGAAGGTTGATATTTGGGCCTGATGTACAGTCGATACTTTTTACGATATTTCTTATAGTTGCTCCAGTAGCTGTTTTCTGCGTGTTTGTTGCAAGAAAGCTGAGAAATCATTTTCCTGGCAATTCGGGGATCGCAATTATGGCTGCATGTATTGCTTTCACACTATATGTGAGTATTAATTACTACTTTTAAGGTTTGATGTCGGCTTCCCATGTTTCGGCAACCAACTAATAACTACTAAATCTGACGTTGTGATTATCAATGCGGAAAGACTGTCATCTTATTTGCCATTTGCAATGGACATTTGGCATATAGTTTTCTAGTTTGATTCTAGTGATATTATCGGGAGTCGATCTCTCTACCGGTTAGCGATTTTGGCAATATTCTCCACAACAACCTGGATTATAATATTGATCTCCTTAATACTTATGATTCATCCCTTATTTAGTAACCCCTTTTGTCAAGGAAATACTTTTCAAAACCTTTCGACACCAATTTTAACTCCACTAATGGATCGAGCTTACTGAAGTGAAAGCATCTATTTCTAATCTATATTAGACTTAGTTACATCATATCATTTATTCAGTTCCGTTTTGTGGCATATCTCAATAGGCTCATAAGTTGTGAAGTCCTATTAAGAGTGGTGAAAATGCTTATAACATTTCCTATTATTGGCATATATTTATCTTGAAGAGATTGTTGTCACAAAGTAGGAATTTCCAAGAAAGTAAAAAACCGGAGAAAAGTTGGATGAATTAGGCTACTCTTGAACTAGAAAATAGTTGTTCTACTGGTGTGGAGAAGACATTTCTTTGTTATGTATTTCGAATTAAATTTTGATATTTGATTCTTTGATCTTCTGATCGTTGTTGCAACTGCAAAGATAAGTTGTAGGGAAATCATTCATTAAGCCAAGGCTCATCATGTGCCGTGCATAACATAATGTTCGGGTTACATTAAGTGAGTAAAATTTCTAATTTGTGGATAATATTTAAGGATTACTAAGAAGCTACATAATGCCTGGATTGACAAAAAGATGACTTGTGAAACAGTCCATACCCTGCTTCAGCGTAACAACAATCAACTACAATATTAGGATTTGTTCGGATAAGAAAAAATCATGAATCCTTTTTTGCATTCTGTGAAAATTGATTTCAGGATATGGTCATAATCAACATGGCTATTCTTGTTGTTTCCAGGTGCTAGTTCTTCTTCTGATGACTTCTGGAAGGGATCCCGGTATTATTCCTCGCAGCGCTAACCCTCCAGAGCCAGAAACTAATGAAAACAGTCTTGATTTTGGGCAAGGTTCAGCCCCCCGCCTTCCTCGGACAAAAGATGTTGTAATTAATGGGACAACTGTGAAAGTCAAATACTGTGACACGTGCATGCATTACAGGCCTCCACGTTGTTCGCATTGTTCAATTTGCGACAACTGTGTTGAGCAATTTGATCATCACTGTCCGTGGGTTGGACAATGCATCGGATTGGTAAGTAGAGATTTTTTATGCATTACTGTTCATGGGTCTAAATTCATGTAGGACTAGGCTATTATATTCTGCATCTAAATTTCATTTTTTTGATTCTGGGTGCAGAGGAACTACCGATTCTTTTTCATGTTTATCTTTTCGACCACATTGCTCTGCTTATATGTTCATGGGTTTTGCTGGGTCTACATTAAGATGATAATGAACAGTGAGAAGACTACAATATGGAAAGCAATGATCAAAACACCTGCCTCCATTGCACTTATTATCTATACTTTTCTTGCACTCTGGTTTGTGGGCGGGCTGTCGGTCTTCCATCTCTACCTCATCAGCACAAACCAGGTAAATGAGCTGTGATCAATGATCAATTCCATTATAACAATTATCTGGCAAATTTATGTACCTTTAAGAACTTGTATTGCGACAGTAGTTTCCAAACTCACTGATATTTTGGGTCAATTTTCCAACATGAAATTTTGTTCTCTGTTGCAGTCCACATATGAAAACTTTAGGTATCGATACAGTATGCGATCCAACCCCTACAATAAAGGAATAATTGCAAACTTCATGGAGATATTCTGCAGTAGCATCCCTCCGTCAAAGAACAAATTCCGGGCAAAAGTGCTGAAGAAACCTGCTGTGCAGACTCCTTCTGTGAGTAATGCTTTTGGCAGCCGACAATCATCGAGCTCCAAATATGATCAACAAGAGAAGACGATTTGGGGCGAGACTGCAGATAGAGTCCTGACAATAGGATCCAATCGGATACCTCGTGTGAGCAGTGATTATATTACAGAAAATCAACAATAGCAATTGGTTTTGAGATAGCATTTGATCTTGCTATTACTACAGTCTGTCACTTAAATCAAGATTGCAGATTATTTGATGTAGCTATTGTTCAAGTGCTGGGAGCGTATACTTTTAAGGGTCCCGCTGTTGCATGTATAAATAATTGGGGTTTTTTTTTTGGGAGTTTATATTCAAATCTGAGAAGAGTATTGCATGTAGTAGGTTTAGCTTCTTTTGGCTGACCTTTATGACTTTGAACAGCACAAGTAAGGAGTAAGAAAAGCTACTTCTTCTCCATGAAGGAAAGAACAATGCGAAAGCCAAAACCAATTCAAGACACACACCTTCTATCTATCATCTTTTGAGGGATCTTGCTTTTCCTAAAAGGGAGAAACTTTCTTCATTGTCTTTTGCTTTCAGCCCATAATAACCAGGAAAAAGAAGGTATCTGATTTCACTCTTTATATGAATCTCTCCTGATCAAATGTGTGGAACACTGAACTTTAGATGTCAGATTTCCATAACTTAAAGCAACTAATTACAAGATTTATACATGTATACTGAATCATGATTATAATAATAAGAGCATGTAATGAGCTGATCAGACAGAAAATCCTCAAGTCTAAGCTTCTACTATTAAGCAAACTCCTTTACTTGCAGTGGTTAGATCTTTATGGAGACACTTTAAAGAAAGAGACTGAGCCTTTAGTCAGAACGCAAATATATGTCAATAAGTAAGAAATAGGGTGGACTAAGGAACCTGTGATTCCATCTATATAAAGAACTCCAAGAGCAAAAGCCTTCCTGTGCACGTTCAAACTCTAACTGTCGTGTGCACTGCAGCATTCTTACTTGCAGGGAAAATCTGAGGTACTTTCCGGTGCTATCAGATCAGGAATGGACAAGTGGAATTTTGTTAAAGATGGAGGCAGCAAGTTACCTCTTGGATTCCGGTTCCAGCCTACTGATGAAGAGATCGTTTTCCAGTATCTGGCGCGTAAAATATTTTGTCATCCTTTGCCTGCTCTAGTTATTCCAGAAATTAACGTTTTCAGCTTTGATCCGTGGGAACTTCCAGGTTTGCTATTCTTCAAGGTTTTCAGCATCGTCTGAATGCTTGAACTCTGCATGAAAAGATTTGGCTAATCAAAGAATTATATGAATAGGCGATTTGGATCAGGACAAGTACTTCTTTAACAACCAGGAAAGCAATCACAGGCATGGAATCAGAACTGGGAGGGCCACTTGTTCCGGTTACTGGAAAGCCACTGGTTCAGCCAAACGGATAGTAAGTTCAAAAGGGGCACCAATAGTCGGAATCAGAAACTCGCTGGTGTTCTACAAGGCGAAGCACCCCCGCCCTGTTAGAACTGATTGGATTATGCACGAGTACTGCATTGCCCTTTCAGGAAATACAGACTGTAATATCCAACAAAGAAGGAACTCTCAGGTAGAAACAAATCTCTCTTTCTTTCTAGTAACAAAAATCATGTTTAACATACAAATTTCTGCTAAGCAGCTTGGCAACTAAGCATTTTCTTGATGCTGATAAAATGCTCATATTGGGCTTTCTCAGGGTTCTTTGATTCGAATCGGAAACTGGACTCTATGCCATATAATTTTGAGGAAAAGAAGCTGCACATCAGAAGTAAATCAAGAATATGATCACACTAATAGTTATGGCTATACAGCAGGTGAAGTGAGTGATACAGATTCTAGCTCTGCATCATCCTCATCACCATATTTTGATTCTACTGCTCTCACTGAGGTTACTTCAAGTAGTGCTAATTGTGATGAATCTAGCTCTCAGAACAGCGCATAATTTCAAACTCAATAATTTGTTGCCTCATGTACTATCTCTCGATTTCTTAAGCACAATCCTACTCTTGATGAAGAATAGCGGCTGTAAATCACATGCATTCATTCTTCGTCGACATTCAAGACCAGAGCAATATATGTTCAAGGGGTTTTTGCTATTTGCCTTATGGGTTCTATAGGATAATCATAGAAAGTAACAAATTAAACAATGGTTTATCTTATTTCCTTATCTAATAAAGCCACAAATATAACGAGTGGCGATCATCCTTCCACCCTCTAGAAATGATTGATCACTCATATCAGCTAAAGTTTATAATGAAAATTACCAAAATTAACATATAATCCACCTTTCTTACCTGCAAACATTTTGCAGCTGTTGATCCTCCTGAAGTATAACACATACCTACAACCCATAGGTACTTCCTGAATACTTTCCCTCTTATCCACTTATTGCAATCCCCAATTCTAGACCTAATTTCAACAATTCTTCCATGCTTCCATCATTTGCGCAATTGCATTTTACCCGATCGATAATGGGTTGCACCGGTTCGCGATTTGATGGCAATGAAAAAACTCAGTCGTCCGCCGGCGGACACACCAACCGTCCGATCAAGCATTTCCGTCCCATCCATTCTAGAAAATATCGGCTTCGGCGTGAAAACAAGGACGTCGATCACCAGAATTTTACTTCACCAAAATTGGCGCAAACTCTGAGGAAGACAAACCGCATGGAAAACCGAACAAGGAGGCCTCGAACGATGAGGAAAGAAAGATCAGGCGTCTCCCTGGCTCCCCGAGCTTTCGAGTTTATTTCAACGAGAATGGCGGAGATTCTCGTCAACCATTCCAGCATGTACATTTCTCAATCAAAACTCGTCTCTTTAATGCATACACTAGCTATTTCGCCATTTTCATGTCTTCTGTGCTCACGAGATCTTGAAATAATATATACATAAATATATGTAGTGCTGCAAATGCGGGTTCCCTTGCACCAAATATTAATATTATTAGTATTATTATTATTTACGTAGAAACGGTCATCTTCTTCACCATCAACGCCTCGCCATGATAGTTCAGAATTAACTGCTTATTGGCGGAGATAAACAAACCCTTTTTTAATTTCACATTTTTTAAAATTAAATTAATCTAATAAAATTCGATAATTCCTAACTAAGAGGCTGTTTGATGTCTGATGATCATAGCGATTGACACAGCTTTGGACGGGTGTCAAAATCAAGATTAATTTAACAACAATTAATTACGAAAGTAATACTATAATTTAACTCCGCAAGAAGTTAGTTTAACGTATCATCTTTTATATAAAATTAAAAAATAAATAAACACTCTGAACCTAACGGGCCTGATCTGTTTGTTTTGATTCAGATCAGGCCTGGCCTATGTGGCCCAAATGACCATCAGTAATAATGGGCCTACTTATATGCGTCCGAGTTTTTGGTCATTAATACTCCGAATGAGCCTTTTCTGGACAGCCCAATTTTATGGGCCTGTTTGCCCATGATACCCAATTATATGGGCCTGATGTGTACTTTGTAGCTGTAATAAAATGACTTGCTGGATATTATTGGATATTATTGTATATTGACTTATAAAAAATATTAATATATCAGTAAACGACGGGAACGCCGGTTCGATTTCAAACCCAACGAAGCTCTCATTTCATTTGTTTTGGGCCCAAATCGTTCGTCGTCGATAGTGAATTGAATGAATATCAGTATCACATTCACGACGGGGATTTATAAGCATCAGCCTCACAAGAGTTCCACTGGTGTTGTGGCGGACTGGATGGCGCTCTCCAATTCCCCCTCCCTCTTATCGTCTTCTTGCTCGGTATGCTACTACAGGCTCAACCCACTGCTCTTCTCCATCCAACGGCGTCGCCATGTCTCTCTCTCACGCCCTCATTTCATTTGTTCGAGAAGCACCCGTCTTGCTACTGGTAAGCATTTGGTTGAGTTGAGAAATGGGTGGAGACTCTTGCTTTTTGGAGAAAAGAATAGAGAGTCTTTTGCAAGATTTCTTTTATGTCCAAGCTAAAGAAAAATGAATCTTTTCCATTTTGTATCGTTCCTGATTTTTGAAAGTTGAAAATCTACGTGTTTCTTGATGTAACTTTTAGTGGCTGGGATGAAGGATAGTGGTGCGTTTACTTCTCCCGAAGTAGCAAAATCTTTTGACTTCACAGCCGAAGAAAGGATATACAAATGGTAAGTTGATTGTGATAAGATTTTATCTATTTTCACTTTCAGTTATATATGTGAAATGTCCAAGCAAAATGCCTTAGTGTTTTAAAATTCAGTGTTTGAACAGCGTTCGTGATTTTCATTTTGTTAGATCAAGTGACAATCTTCTATTGATACGCTTTTAAAAAGCGGTTCTTTTGAAAGCATCTTTCTTGTATAAACTAGTATATAATCTTAACAAGTTTATGATGGATATTAGGTGGGAGTCGCAGGGGTATTTCAAACCAAATTCTGAGAGAGGAAGTGAACCATTTGTAATTTCGATGCCCCCTCCCAACGTTACAGGCTCATTACATATGGGGCATGCCATGTTTGTAACACTTGAGGTTAGAAATGGTGATCATTTTCTTGGATTGTTTTCAATCTTTTAATTTCTATTCTAGTTTCCATTTTTCAGGTATAGCTGCGGGTGTGTTTACTTTGTGTTTTTAGATGTATGTATTTTTTTATGTGGAGTATGGAAAATTGTGTTATTAAAATAAAAATATAATTTTTTATATTGCATTGTTGGTTTTTTTTTTTTTTTTGTGAGTGAATAGAGTATAATTATATATATTAAATTATTATATTTTTTTGGTAATATTCATGGTGAATTGTCTCACCAAAAAATGTTGGGTGAACTCACCCATGGATTCTCCTTAGATTTATTTTGCATGCACAAGCATTTTCTATTTTATTCTGTTTCAAAACATAGCTGAAAGAATATCACTTGTCAAGCAATCATTTGTTTGTCCCGTCCAAATAATCAATTTACAACTCTTGTATTCTTTATTAGCCCTTCTACTTGTTTATAATTATTGATCTTATTGATTTCATGCAATTGTAGGATATTATGATTAGATACCATAGAATGAGAGGAAGACCTACGCTCTGGCTTCCTGGGACTGATCATGCTGGTATTGCAACCCAGGTTGACATTGCATCTACACTTGTTGTTTTGCATTTACTTGGATCTGTTTGGTTGCACAATATCTTCTGGTATCTTAGATACCGAACTTTAAATTGTGATGAATCGAACACCCTATCATCTTTGATGTACTAGCTAACTTTCAAAGACTGCTGCAATGTTGGTTGTGATTGTCTTGTTGTTCAGTGATCCTTTTAGATTTTTAGAAAACTATTTTATTTTGTCATGAATGCACTCTCATTTTCAGCTGGTGGTGGAAAGAATGCTGGCTGCAGAAGGAGTAAAAAGAGTTGATTTGGGCAGAGAAGAATTTACCAAAAGAGTATGGGAATGGAAAGAAAAGTATTGTACTCATTCTGATTCCATTTTATCTTTGCTTATGTTTTCCCAACATGCTTTATCCATATTTTGCTTTCTTTTGATATTGGATGAAATTTGAAACATGTAGAATTAGTAAATATGTTTGAATGCTAATTCATCCTTGTATTAGGCATAGTTCTCATGATCATAATGAATTGATCATGTGATACCCTTTATAAGTTGGGGGCCAGTTATCTTAAGTTGTTTGGAAGAATCTTGCTTGAACTTTCAAGTCTTGATGTAAGTTATCTCTTTGGTTTTGTTTTACTAATGTGCCTCTTTCAATATGTTACCTGTAGATATGGTGGAACAATCACAAATCAAATTAAGAGACTTGGTGCTTCTTGTGATTGGACCAGAGAACGTTTTACCCTTGATGCCCAGCTGAGTCGTAAGGAAGTTTCTCCAGTAAATCCCTCATCAATCATGCATCACTCGTAGCATAATATTGCAAAGTTTCTACAATATGCAAAGTTTGGTGCCAAGTTATCACAATCTGTTACATATGGTTTAAGTGTAAAGCTTTACAAGTTAAGATAATTGTATTCCTCTTCTGCTTCAAGCCTTCAAGTTAAAATGTTTCAAGCAACCAGTCATGCTATTTAATTTTTGGTGAATCAAAGGTGCATATGGCAATACAATTATCTGGTACTGCTTGCACTAATATTTATTTTCTTACTGTCTGCAGGAGCAGTAGTTGAAGCATTTGTCAGGCTGCATGAGAAAGGTCTCATTTATCAAGGTATAGATTATGACTTTGTAAGAATTTTCCTATTTTGTAGTGAATCTCTAATTGAAAGCTGAAGCAATTCCTTCCTCACAAACTAAAATAATCTAATGGAATTGCAACATCGAAACTTTGTATAACTGTATTACCTTATAGCTTATATTTAGCATTGGGTATCTTTGTCAAGTTTTAGTGTGAATGTCCAATAAAAAGAAATTCAAGAAACGGACTATCTATTTTGATCAATTTTTTTTCAACTTTCTCAAGAGATAAGCATGACTTGAATTGGTGGTCCCTTTTTTTTTTTGTACTTCTTACTACTCGTGGTAATGATTTGAAATTTTGAATACATGTGGATTGAAAGGTTCATCATACCATACTGCAAAACATTTATTTCCAAATATCCACTGAGCTGTGAATGTCAAGACTTCCATGTTGTGCTCTGATATATGTATTAACAAAAGTTTCTTGCAGGTTCTTATCTGGTCAATTGGTCCCCCAATTTGCAGACTGCAGTTTCTGACCTTGTATGTAGTTTATGACTAGTTTTCCACTATCATAGGTTTGCCTTCTTATATATGATTCAATGATTGTGAGGAGGATAGGAGTATAATAAAATTGCAAATGCAATAAAAAGATGCAATGTCTCATATAAGAAATTCATAAAGTAAATTATTATTGTTGTGGAAAAGCAACAGGTGGAAGACTTGAAAGTTTGGGTTTTGAAAAAAAGACAATCAACTGTAATTTTTGGGATTATAATGATTTTTCCTTCCATAAAGTACATTTTCCTTACTATAACATTTTCATTAACAACCTTATAACTTTAATTGTTTTGCCAACTATTTGTCTTTCCTTTTTTCTCTCGTAAATTTTCAGCCAAGCACAGGGTTAATGATACCATTCTTCACTTTTCAATGTGATGTTTTTCATTTTAGGAAGTGGAGTACTCAGAAGAACCAGGTGCACTGTACTACATCAAGTATCGTGTTGCTGGTGGTTCGAGGTATTATGATATTAAATGGTGAAAGATCATATTTACATATTCATGCAATTCGTATGATAATCATGTTATTTGTCATTCCACCGTCATGTGTCCTTTCCTGTTGTTTTTGACAGCGTGGGCTTTGCATTTAGCCATTTACTTACACTTCCTTAATAACATTGCATTTACTTACACTTTCTTAATAACATTGCAAACATGCGATAAGTAAATGTAAGTAAATGCAAAGCCCAAGCTATCAGCAGCAACAGGAAAGGATACATGATGGTGGAACTTGGAATGAATACAAATAACATGACTTATCATATGAATGAGCAGTTAAATAGAGCACCCACCATAAGACTTTAAACTTGTCTGTGCTTGTGCACAATCAGATTCTGAAAGATATGTACATGTTCATTTGCTTTTATAATAAAGTTAGTCCTCCACATAACAGGAGTGACTTCTTGACAATTGCAACAACAAGGCCCGAGACTTTATTTGGTGATACAGCTGTAGCAGTGAATCCAGCGGTTAGTGTCTGTTTTAACATATCAGGAAAGAATTTCATGAACAATGTGTCTTGTGAAATGGCATCGAAGGAAAGCTAATGTGTCTTGTGAATGCCCACAATTAATCAGCTTCTTTATGGAACTACTTCTTTAGTGAAGCTTAGTTGCTACTTGAGTGTGCTTTGTTGTTGTCTATTGGTTTGAAAATATGCTTTATTCCAACTATCTATGACTACTTCACAATTCTCTCTCTCGTTATATATGCTTTATTCCAACTATCTATATATATATATATATTATTTTGGGTTATGCTTCAACCTTTTATCCAATCGAAAGTTTCATTACTATGGGTGTTATTCTCACAATCAGTTCCACTGATAACATTTCTGCTAGTAATTCCATAGGATGAGCGATATTCGAAGTACATTGGGAAAATGGCTATTGTTCCTATGACATACGGCAGGCACGTGCCCATTATCTCCGATAAGGTGAATGATTTTCCTCCATATTTATTACTTTTAATTTGTAAAGAATTTAAGTGCCTCGTGGATTTTTATTTTTATTTTTAGTATAGAAAAGATGACGATATATGTAGATTATGTAAAACATGTCTGTTGTAGGATGCCTTATGGATTAAGAGGATGTTGAGGCTTGTAGCCATCAAAATTCATAGTATCAAACTAAAATATGTTGTCATGCATTTCAAGGCTTTGTTTGATCATATGCACCATACATTTTGGATTTTGTTAAAGAGTGATGCATGCTGATTGCCTTTTTTTGTTCCTACGAAAATATGTGGGGAAAATTTTTCGTTCTTCAACGTTAAAAGGAAATGTTGGAATGTAAATGAACATGGAATTGGACTTACCATGAGATTTTACATGTCTACTGTTAACTGTTTTATTCCCATCTTGAGAATGAAAGTGATGTTTTTTTGAAATTTCGGAACCTTTCAGTTACCCTCCATTGCCTCTACTCACATTCGACATGCTTTATTTATTCAGGCAGGTGTCTATTTCTGAAATTACTTTCTTTTTGAGATGCAGTATGTGGATAAAGACTTTGGGACTGGTGTCTTGAAGATAAGCCCTGGTCATGATCACAATGACTATCTTCTTGCTCGGAAACTTGGTCTCCCCATCCTTAATGTCATGAATAAAGATGGAACTTTAAATGAAGTTGCTGGATTATACTGGTAATTGTTGCAATTTGGGATGCCAAACTGTTTTTATAGGTGGTGAAGAAATTCATTTGTGACCTGATTTTATGTGATTCCTCCAATATGCTAGTGGTCTTGATCGGTTTGAGGCAAGGAAGAAACTTTGGTCAGATCTTGAGGAGACGGGGCTAGCAGTAAAAAAGGAGGCTCACACTCTACGGGTTCCAAGATCACAGCGTGGTGGAGAGGTGTGCAAACATTATTTAGCATTTGTGCTAGTAGTCATTATACTCATTTAATCCCTTCTTCTAATGAAATATCCTTATCAGATAATCGAACCCCTGGTAAGCAAGCAGTGGTTTGTGACAATGGAGCCCTTGGCAGAGAAGGCCTTCGAAGCAGTAGAAAAAGAAGAATTAACTATAGTGCCTGAAAGATTTGAGAAGGTGTGATTACAATTGTAGCTTATGTGCGCTGCATTTGTCTTGGGGCTCATTTTTATATTTTCACATGTCCCAGCTTTGCTCACTTTTGAAGCTACTAGAGTCCTAAACTTGCATCTACATTTATCCCCAGCTTCATGTTAATTATGTGAATATAGAGTTCTAAAGCCAGAAAATCAATTCCCATAAAATCACATATTTTAATTGGTATAGTCTTATTGTTAAATGGCAACCACTTGTTTTGTCTAGCCATATATTCTGACATGGGTACATGTCTATTCTAGATATATAATCACTGGCTGTCGAATATCAAAGACTGGTGTATAAGCAGGCAGCTGTGGTGGGGACACCGGATACCTGTTTGGTACATAGTGGGTAAAGATTGTGAAGAGGAGTATATTGTTGCTAGAAACACAGAAGAAGCTTTCAATAAAGCTCGTGAAAAGTATGGGGAAAGTGTTGAAATATACCAGGATCCAGATGTTCTTGACACTTGGTTTTCCAGGTTTGTCGGTATCATACATGTTTGTGTGTGTGACTGTGTGTTACCTTACTTCTTTATATATTAATTTTTGTCAATATCATTGCCCTTCAGCAGTTTTTTTCAGGGTATGAAACCCAAATTCAATTTTTTAATGGTGGTTTGGTAGTTGTGGATTATTCTTGTTGGCCTTAGTCTAACTAGAGTAAGATATTATGCCTTCTATGCCATATTCTTTTGCAGATTGTTGTTACTTATTTAAGTTACACTACTGTATATTGATTGGCTACAAACCAATTTCTCTACCTACTTTATTTTATTCATACTCTCTTAACTTAGTTGTTGTTCAAATATCGGTTGAATCCGGAATGTTATATTGATGATTGTAGATTATTTAAAAAACTAATTGTGGGATTCATCTTTCTTGTCTCTTAGTTCATTGTGGCCATTCAGCACTCTCGGTTGGCCAGACACATCCGCAAAGGATTTTAAGGCATTTTATCCTACTTCACTTCTTGAGACTGGGTATTTTCCTATCTAGTTTTGGTTTACACTTAATCTTTTTGCATAGCACAATGTGATTGTACATGTAGACACTTTGTATAGACCAGACTATTCTTGGTGGCATTATTTTATTATTATTTTTTTTAAAAAAAAAAACATTAAGTATGGATTGTACTAGACATATCTGATGTGTTGTGTTACTTAAGATTTATTTCTCTCTTCCTCAAAATATATTCTCTCTTGCTGAAATTAATTAGAACTTAAATTTATTTTATCTTCTATCTAAATAGTTGTGCATGAGAATTTAGATCGTATCGGTTATCCTTGCGACCTTGCGCCACTCTGCATGATGCATTGTTGACATCAGTTGCATTCATACTCTATTATATTATGGTTAACAGAAAGATATTTGCTTATCTTATACTCAAAAAAAGAACATAAGAGTAGATGTCTGTTGCTCCATCTAGGCATCTCTTTACTTCAAGCGAGATTCCATTTCTTATAATGCAAAAAGTTAATACAGTTTCTCCATTGAACAGGCATGACATTTTATTCTTTTGGGTGGCAAGAATGGTTATGATGGGAATAGAGTTAACTGGGACCATTCCATTTTCAAATGTTTATCTCCATGGACTTATACGAGATTCTCAAGTGAGTATCTTGTGAAACCAGAACCGTGGTCTTTAATATAATATACATCTCTAATGAGCATCAATCTGCTTGTCTCATATTTTTGGCATTATTATTGGTCATGGACTCATGATCTTAGTTTTGATGGAAAGTTTCATTTTGCTGTTGTCTCTGCTGAGAAGTTAACTACTTTACCACTGATGAGTTCCTCTCAAGAAGTACAACTTAACATTTCCTGATTTTAAATGGTGAAAAAGTAGAGATGCATAACATACACTCTAAATTTCACCATTATTAGGTGCATTCTGAATCTGATATCATTTCTAACTTATTTACATTCTTTCAGGGCCGGAAAATGTCAAAAACACTGGGAAATGTTATTGATCCACTTGATTCAATCAAAGAGTATGGCACTGATGCTCTACGCTTCACACTTTCCTTAGGAACGGCTGGACAGGTTTGTTCACTAGACATTTTCTTTGTTCAAGAATACTTGGTCCCAAGAAATCTTGTGAGGATGCTCTGTTGTGGTTGGCACACTGATATCACAGTGGATGTGTCCCATCCTAAATTCAAAGGTTGAATATCTATTGTTTTTCCTCATTCTGGTATAGGATCTAAATTTATCAACTGAGAGATTGAACTCTAACAAAGCACTCACAAACAAACTCTGGAATGCTGGAAAGTTTGTGTTACAGAATTTGCCGCGTCAAGATGATAAATTGGCTTGGGAAGCTGTACAGGACTTTAAGGTATATATGCCTATTAATATTTGGATAATGAACAGGTTTTATCAATTGATCCGAATGTATATTTTAATTCACGTTGTAGATAGCTAAGTGATTGGACGGCTATTTAAAAAGCTGCAATGATAACAAAGTAGGATTATACATATATATGATGTTTACTGGAAAAATAATTTCATCTACACTATCCGATATGATATTGTTCCTATATGTGGCCATGTTCTTGGTCTTGGGCAGTGATTTATTCCATTGTATCAACCATACATCCATTGATAGCTCAGCGATTTTGCAGTTTGATGCTGAAGATTATCTATTAAAGCTACCTCTGCCAGAATGTTGGGTGGTAAGTTATATGTTGATATTGCTATTATTTCGAGTATTTTTCTACTTTCCAATTAACATGGCTTTATGTGCAGGTATCAAAACTTCATATGTTGATAGATGCGGTCACTGCTAGTTATGACAAGTTTTTCTTTGGAGATGTTGCCAGAGAAATATATGATTTCTTTTGGTTTGATTTTGCTGATTGGTATGCCTCTCGTTGCTTTTGTCACTGTATTGTTACAATTGTTTTTTTTTTATTATTATTTTTTTATTTCAACATAGAAACAAGCCATAATTCATATTGGCATTTGGAATCTGCCTCATGAATCCCCTCTCCAGTCGATATGGATGTCATATTTAATGCATATGACACATATCTCAAATCCTGTTGCGATACAAAAATTCTTGCTCCCGCTCCCTAATGCCTCATTGTCGTGTTGGTACTCAAGACATTGGGCAGCGTGAGTGGGTGTCTCAGAACGCAACCTCAATCCCTTATCTCCTTACTTTCTCGCTTGCATTGTTTGCTTGACACAATCATTGATATATGTGATCAATGTTAGTTCCTTTAATTTTAAGCTCTCTCCTCACATAGGTTCTGGTTGTTCTGGAATACCCAGAAAGGAATGAAGGTTTCATATCCAAAACTACGTTTTGCAACAAGACAGCTTTTCAAGCACTGAAATCTGACATGATATGGTGCCAAATCAATTTTTTCCTTAAATAGTAGCAATGTCTTGATCATGTTCTTTAAGAGTTTCAGTACCTTGCACCTCGTTGTGACCAATGCTCGTTCTCAAACTATAACCAGCTTTCTTATAGTTTAATGGTCATAAAACCTTTCTTTTTGCTTGTCTTTGCTGCTCAATTATTTATTATCATTACTACTCGGTTATTTGTGTTGAGACACTTGCTATCTGTTCTCTTTAGGTATATTGAAGCAAGTAAAGCCAGGCTGTATCACTCTGGTGGTGACTCAGTTGCTTCTGTGGCGCAAGCAGTTCTCTTGTATGTCTTCGAAAACATACTGAAATTACTTCACCCATTTATGCCTTTTGTAAGCGAAGCACTTTGGCAGGTATACACATCTGAGATTTCTATGGTCATACATATGATACATCTTCATCTGTTTTAAGAATTAGCCTCTTCTAGTTCAGCTCTATTGACATTCACAAATATATTAACATGTGGATATATAACTTAGTGCTTATATATTGTCTGAAAGTGTCGCATTTATTATTTGACCCTATAAAAATGTTCAACTGACAGTCACTACCCAACCGAGAAGAAGCTTTGATAGTGTCAGCTTGGCCTCCCACTTCTCTTCCAAGGCATGCTGAATCAGTGAAGAAATTTGAGAACTTACAAGCCTTGGTAGCTCTTTTCTTTTCCTTTTGCTTTTCCCATACTTTCTTGGTCTAATGCAAATATGCGTGTGGGTTTAAATAGTGGTTTTGCGTATTGTGTATAACCCCAGACAAGAGCTATCCGCAATGCACGGGCAGAGTACTTGGTTGAGCCAGCAAGACGAATATCTGTTTGTGTTGTTGCAAGTTCAGAAGTCCTGCAATATATTTCTGTAAGTTGGCAATGCATCATACACTCATTCCTTCTAGAGCATTTGAAGAACTTATGGCAGATCCATTTTGTTTGCCTGATTCGATATTAAAGTTAAGATCTTGAGTTGGTTGTCTTTTTAAGCTTAATACTTCATGGTGCAGAACGAAAAAGAAGTCTTGGCTCTTCTCTCTAGACTAGATCTGCAAAATGTCACGTTTACAGGAACTCCCCCAGGTATCTCAACAATTACACCTCTTTTGAAAAATTGGGCATTTTGAGTGTCATTTCTAGGTTCTACAATGCTTTTTGTTGCCCTGAGTTTTTGTTAATGCTGCACTGGATATGTTTGCTTGTAATAAAAAGAATTTCCTCAGCGAAGGCTTTTTACTAATACAAGATGATCGGCAGGAGATGCCAATCAATCAGTCCATCTTGTTGCCAGTGAAGGTTTGGAGGCTTACCTTCCTCTTGCTGACATGGTAGATATTTCTGCTGAAGTTCAAAGACTTACAAAGCGCATTGCAAAAATGCAAACCGAGTATGATGCACTCATGACACGCCTAAGCTCTCCAAGTGTAAGTATATTATGTTTGTTTTAATATCATAGACAAATGTTTTAATAACTTAATTTTTTATTAGAGAAGTGTCAAGAGAGTGGACACACACATATATATACGCATATGTATACATCCTTTGGTGTGTTAACTGATTGATCAATCCACCCTATACAGTTTGTAGAGAAAGCTCCTGAGAATGTTGTCTCTGGGGTTCGAGAAAAAGCAGCAGAAGCAGAAGAAAAACTAGCTTTAACAAGAAAACGCCTTGCATTTCTCCAGTCCACAGTTTTGGTATCTAACTGAAGTCGCTAAGAGTCCTCGGCTTCCAATTAGCAACTGGGGTGCAGTCTTCAAGTTGTAGCGCGACAATGATATATTCTTTTTTGTGCTGAATCCTATCCATTGAGGTTAGTTTCTTGGGTGTAAAAGGCAGTACATATATCCAAACTAGCGTTCTTATCATTTCAAAATCACTATTATCATCTTATTAAAATCTTTTTGACAGCTCTGAATTTGAAGAAGATACATTTGTTGTGATTAGAAAGACCATAAGTTACATAGAGAAAGAAAGGTGAGCTTTGAAGAACAAGTTGTACTTCCTGCTGATTGTAATAAAATCCTCAGAATATTCTACATGTTTCGATTTCCTTGTGCTTTTGTAACTGAAAATCATATCCAAATGAATGCTTATGGCAGGAAAGGAGTTCATGAACTACACAGCACAAGCGAGGGCTATCTATAAACCATGTCTTCTATTTTTTGAAAGATAACAAAAAATTGCTATGTTCTTGATTATACACAATACACAACGTAGATTGAATGCACTTGATTATGAGCTGTTTGCAGCAAAAATCGGTAACTTGTAAAATCTGTCTACACTGACCTCTACCTTCTTTCCCCGAAATTTTCTGAAACTGCTCTTCTTCGGCCAAACCTAAAGTCCCAGCCAACAGAAGATGGATACAGAGCATTGATGAAGCTCCGGGAAGGAGCCCTTTGAGGTTCTTCTTTGAGTTTCCTCCTTGAAGCTCCACTTTTTGAGGTAGTCAACCTTAAAGATCTTGAAGACTTTGGATCAAAGATTGAGGAAGTGAATGAAGCGCCGGGGGCGCCAAATGACACGGGGCCTTGAGATGGATCGAGAGGATGGCCAACAGCTGCATCTTGATGTGGTGGTGGGAATTTGTCGCTTTTGCTTCTGATTTTAGCATCAGACATCATTCTTAGCCTCTGCACCAAAACATGCATTAGTTTTGCCATCTTGTCTCAGTACTTTACAGATAGGTACTATATGGAAAAAAGACATACATCTAAGTTGATTTGAAGCTCTGCATTAGCTTCTGGAGCAGGAACTGCATGACCAACCCTTTCGCGAGACCTCATTCGTCTAGTGCCATTGCCATTGCCAGCTAAGATCTGAGGTTTTGTGGCAATTCCTTGTTGCCTACGCAGACAATAAGGGACTCAGATTTTTTTATAACAGAGGGTGCTATATAGAAATGATGCAAAGTAGTACCTTCTGCCTGCTTCATCTCTCAGTTTTATGTCCATTTCCTTACTTGGGGGGAACTTTGGTAAGCTCGATGGCTCACAAGCAAATGGCTCAGTTGTAAAAAACTGAAATAAACAGATAGATAAACAAAAAGCACACCAACAAATTAAAGAACAAAGCTTCCAAATACAAGATCAACTATAAGAATGCAAAAACTGCTTACCTCACTACTCAAGGCAGCGGCAGCAGTGCCGCGTGCATCGGCATCAACGGCTAGGAGAGTTTCTAATAGGGAAACAGCAGTTGGTGGAAAATCTCTGAAGGCTTCTGCTATACAGCATTTATAAGGTTGCTGAGGTTTATATAGAGTTGCATTTGGTAATCGCGATTTCTTCCAGTATTCCTCCGATGGCGAACCACAGAGTTTGAATATCTTGTGCAGCTGTTCAACCTATGAACACATTGAGTGAGTAAAGCTTTGACAAAAAGAAAACTAAAAAGCTGTTACTAAACAAGGCAGGAATCAAGAAATCCTGAAGGTGTGTACCTCTGTTCGACCGCGCAATATTGGCCTCCCGGCAAACAATTCTGCCAGAATACAGCCAGCGCTCCACAAATCAACCCCTGCATCATAATAATTGGCTCCAAGCAGAAGTTCAGGGGGACGGTACCAAAGGGTGATCACACGGCTTGTCATTGGTTTCTTGCATTCTGGGTCGAAGAAAGAAGCTAGACCAAAGTCAGCTATTCTTAAGTTCCCATCATTGTCGACAAGCAAATTAGAACACTTAATATCACGGTGTAGGACGCCATTGTTGTGGCAGTGCTCTAGACCGGAAAGCAATTGTTTCATGTAGCATTTGACCTGAACAGGGTAACATAAATCTTACAACACATACAGAGCATATATAACCAACCTTGTACATACATCTAGAAAGCAATCATCCAGACAAACATATTCTTTCTCAACCATAAAAATTCTTCTCAGAATTTCAAGGATGTCTGCATTCAGAACACAAAAGGAATCCCATCCCAACAAGGCCACTAGACACTAATAACTTGATTAGAAAACAATAGCGTCACATGATCATAAGAAGTCAGAGCAAGGTGTATTCACACTTCTGATCAACAACCTAAATCGACAACTAGAAAAGGTTATGAAGTTGTACCACAGTGGCATAATGCACTACATCCAATCGTCCTAGTTTGTCACAGCTCACGGACATGTTCTAACCTATAATCAGGGAGATAGATTTTGGCACTAACCAAAGAACCTGCAGGTTCTCTTTTCAGTGATGAAGGTAAAAGAATTCCTCAGTGAACCACAAGGTGTTGTCCTAATATAAACTGAAGAAAACTTTACTTCAAAATGGCACTTTCCCTGAATCTTATTCACTAACACGAAAGTAAATTAAAAGCAAAAGGTAGAACACAAAATGCCAATAATACTTTTTAACAGCACAATGAATGTAGACTAGATACTTATCTTCTAGAAAAGGAAATTAGAGTTTTCATTCAAACAACTAAGATGTTTCAATCATGTATTAACGCCAACAGCAACCACTATAGTAAAAAACAATAGCAGTTCACTTTTAGAGAGGGAAACAAACAACTTGATAACTGTCTGAAATGGCTTGATCACGATGTCACAGCAATGTCATGTCCCTTATAGACTCTCCAATTACCACTAGAAGAAACAGCCCCGGGCACCCAATTCCCATGTCAGGATACCAATGACAAAGAAATGTCTATCAGTAGCAGCCAAAAAGCACATGATCTTAAATTTCACGAAGACAACAAACCTATCTATACACCCAAATGCAACATAAAGGAACCTCTGTCCACAACCAGTGCTTCACCGACAGAGGCAAATACACAATCTGGAAAAACAGGTAAGATTTCCTAACTGACATTTATGTAGAAAACTTCACTATCTACCCTCAAACTGAAACATAAGATCATCATTTTGCAAAGCTAACAAGACAATGAATAATCCACAAACATGCATATTCAGCGGACATAGCCAAGCATTTGAAACACTGAGCAATGATTAAACACATGAAGAAAATTGCAGACAGTTTTTTATTTTTTACCTGAGGTTCTGTGAACTTGACCGTTTGAATGGCGATAAGACCGGCGAGGTCATGCTCCATATACTCAAAAACAAGGTAGAGACTGCTAGACATTCGGGAAATAACCAGACCTTCAAGTTTAATCACATTGGGATGATCCAGCCTCCTCAGAACCAGTATTTCTCTTGCCATGAATCTTACAGTCTCCGGCTCTAAATTATCAAACCTCACTTTCTTCAGAGCTACTACCTTCCCAGTTATCAAATCCCTAGCTTTATACACATTGCTATACGTCCCTTGCCCAATCTGCACACAATTTGGATTGGATTTCATTCATAGACAGCAGTAGTATTCCTTCTTGTTTTCTTCCTCTATTACATATTTAGCAAGCCTAAGTGCAATTAGGGCAACAAAATTAAGGAAGAAGAGAGCTTAATTAGGGCAAAGAGAATGATTCTTTGTGGGGCTTGCAGAAATGGCAGCCAGTTAATTACTCAATGATCTGATGCACTTATAAGAAACGCATGCATTGCAGTATTGTACCTTTCGAATCAACAATGGTACTTCCTATTCACCGACCTTCAAAGCTATAAATAGCCTACACATTCATACATACATACGTGGATTTCAGAACCGCCGGCCGACGGAGACGGCGACGGCGACATCAATTACCTTATCCAGTTTCTCGAAGGAGTTCGCACGGCGAGGCTTCCAGTCTTTGATGGCGTCCCCGGCGACGTCGTGTAGCCACGACGGCCATCCCTCGCAGCTGGAGATTCCCCTCTTCAGCCGGAACTCCAGCAGCGTCACCGGCGCGGCCGCCGCAGGAACTTCTTCGATCTTCTTCTCCACGACAGCGTTGTCCTGCACAGCAGCGGCGGGATGCTGCACAACCTCCCGCTCGCCATTTTTTTCCTTCCGGCGAGCGTCTTTTTTCCCTCTCCGGCGGGCTTCTCTCTCCCCGGCGGTGGCTCTCTTCCCAAGAACGCACCCCATAACCAATAATTCCCTCAGATTACAACAAAATTCTCAGCCCCCCATTCCACTCCAAAATGCAGAAACTCAAAAACAATAAAAACAATCGAAACCCAATCGAGCTACCTAGAAATAACTGCTCCGCATTAATTGCTCGCTCACGAGAGAGAGAGAGGCCACAGAGTTCGTGCGCGCGCGCGTGTGAGCGCGCTGCAAATGAACCACCGAAAACAAGAAAGCTTAATCATTTTTGAAAGAATGAAAACAACACAAGAAAGAGTAGTCAATTCGAGGATTAAGAAAAACCAGAGATGGATGACAAAATCAATAAAGAAATAGAAAAAGAACCAATTGTATTATACTGCGTTGCTCAGTGACTGCATTTATTGCTCTGTGCCTACATTTATTTGTCTGAATTCCTGGGTAAGTGTTCTTTTATCCGTCAGGTAAAAAAAAAAAATACTACACACGTATGTATGTGTATCATCGGAGAGAAGCACAGGAAAAAAAAAAAGGCTCAGGTCTTTCCACATTGCAAGCTTCTGGGAAAAAGGAAACTCGGGTGGAAAGAAAAGAATTTCCCCTTTTTATCTACTTTTTCGTTCCAAGAAAGTGGAAATTGTGAAATTGCTCGAAATTGGTGAAATAGTGAATCACAGGAAGGAACAGTTGTTGAGGCTGTTTTTTTTTTTTTTTTGGTTCAGTAAAAAATTGATCTTGATTTCCGGGCATGGATCAATTAGAGAATGATGTAAATGTTAAAAGGAATATTAAATATTGCATAAACCGACAATCCAATATATATCTTGCTGGATAGTTGCTCTAGATTTCTTTGGATCTCTGAGTGAGCTGACACATGAATATGAAGAAAGGAAACTGGCCTGTCCCTTGTTTAATAAAGCTCAGAAGTTTGTCTGCTTCTTCATGTCTGAAAACTGAATCAGAGATGGAGTGGGGCAATCCAATACCTTCATTCACACCTGTATATATCTATTAAGTAGTATATTTAAACATTTTTATCTAATGCTAATCTTTTGTTTAGTCCAAATTTACAGCTGGTCGGAACTCAACCGGGTCCACTTCATTTGATTAACATGTCCAAATCAAACATGGGCTTTGTCAAACGTCAAGATCAGCCTCAATTCCCATTTCTCAAAAAGAAAAAAACCCATTTCAAAATATTTGAATTTGATGGAGTTTCTGGCTTCCAACTCTCTTCGAAATGTCATTAGATGAACGGAGGACAGTGGCAAGAAGTAGCTCAGAAATCAATTACTGGTATGTCTGCTGATTTCCTCGAAGCCATTTTCTTTGTCTTAAGAAACAAATAAAACAGCTGAAGGAATCCAAGAATATACATATATATATATAGTAATTACCAAGTGGTCCTGTCCTGGTTTGATTAGCCCTCACCCCCACGTGGTGATAATAATAACAATAAGCCCAAACTGTGTATCCTTCTCATCACTAACCCCACTTGATTATGGAATCTTTATTTCCTTTTGCTCGCTTTCGTTTAATTAATACAGTAGATAACAAAGAATTCAATTAATGCCCTGTGCAAGATTAATCACCATTCCTATTTACGACAAAAACTTTAGGATTGATATAATTGGACCCTTCTTGGCCGTTCATGTCCTGAGATGATCCCCACCATTGATGCTCTGTGACAGCAGTAAACTTTCAACTGATTAAAAAAAAAAAAAAAATCTTTGGTGGAAGGCTAGTCCAGAAGTCATCATCACCATCTTAATAATCAAGAGGGGTACAGAAAACAAATCTTGACCTTAAGAAAATTTAATTGAAACCAACTACACCCATAGTATGATTTGTAAGAAGGTAATGTGTCCCTTTATGGTTGGAGGAAGAGACTGACTAAAGCCATAATAAATCTCTTTTACAACACAACACAATCGTGTTTTACAAGATCATTTATATTTGTTGTATATTTTCAAGAAAAATGGGGAAGACAGTGTGCTGTGACGCCGGGGATGACAACGGCGGCGGCTCCACGGCTCTGCTGGGGTTTGTGGCGGCGGCGGTTATGGCGATCGTGCTGTTCATCCTCTCTCAACCTCGTCCTGTTAGAGGATACAAAGTCTACAAACCTTGTCCATGTTATAAGTTCTAATCACCTCTTCCATTTACAATTTACACGCAGACACACACATACACGTATATATAGATATATATATGTATATTGATGTTATCTACATAATATAATGTGATCATTTATTTAACGTTTATGTTCTTGATTAATCTGTGCCTCTTTCTCTCATGATGTATATTCTTTCTTCTTCTGCTTTATTTTTTTTCCATAAGTGAAACAAGATTACCGAATCCGAATTCTAGTGTGGAATACAAGGGATTTGTTTGTTATGTGTTTGAAATTGAATTTTTATTTGAAGTTTAGTTAAATTGTAGTTTAATGTAATATTTTATAAAATAAAAAATACTCTAATATATTTATATTGAAAATCTTAGGTGAATAATGTAGTTTTGGGTTTAGATTACAAAGCATACACACCCAAAGATTAGTTTAATCTGAATTAATATTGCATGGTGTACTGCCTGTTTTCTTGCCTTTACCAACATCTGTTGTGTTCATTCTTTCTTCCTTTTTCTTCTTTTCGTATTTTTTTTTATCTTGTTTTAATTTTGTAGGGGGAGGGGAGATTTCGTTCTTTCTTCTTATTTTATTTATTGTTATTATTTTTTAGGGGTGTGTGGAAGAAGGTGCAGGGGGGCTGTAAGTGGATTCATATCACAGTTGGATGGTGGGTAAAAAGAAAGAATAAAGGTGTAATAAAAAAGGGGACAAGTGTTTAAATGATGTAAGGATGCTTTAATTATGATGGAATTATGATGGAAAATAAAGCAAATCACCACTAACAAAGTCCAAAAATCAAATCAATTATTATATTATACATGATGATTCATTGACTTGAAAAATCAAACAGCAGCCCACCTAGCAGTCCTGGCTTAATTTTTTTCTGTCATTTTTTCATCTCTAACACACACTTTCCAAAATAAAAAATGCATGCATCCAGTAATCTAACCTTTTTCCTTTTATTTTTCACATATACAAAGATCACATTTCTAACATACACAATCAAGAATCATATGCTTCCAGCAATCTAACTGTTTCACTTTTATTTTAGTACCAAAGCAAAGAGAAGGCATGGAAATATAAAGAGTGAACATCCAAACCCAAATTCTAATTACTTCATCAAGTGTAACACCTCACAAGATTATATAGATATGCAAAAAAAACAACCTGATGGGGAAAAATGAAAATAAATTATCATTGTGAAGTGTTTTAATGGAGCCCTCCATTCTCATTTGGCTGCAACATTCACTTCTTTCCGAGGATTGAGAGTTAACTAGAGCAAAGCTTTTCCAGGGCTAAGTTCTCGTCGCCACCAACGCTTTCCAGAGCATTCCTTACCTGAGCTTCAGGGAAGCCCATCTCAACAAGCTTTTGCACCTGTCAAGAATTATCACAAAAGTTGGATGCTATAGCCAGATATGTGATGCATTTGGGAGTTGGGTCTGGGGAATTTTAACGTTTTAACAACCAGCTTTGTGATATAGCAAAATCTGTCACAAAAGGATGGGTAAAAGAGAGGAGATTTTGCAAACCTTCTCCTCCACGCCGAGAGATGATGTTTTTGCAAATGCTTCGGTCCAGTAACGAGCAGTGCCCACAAAAGTTTGGTGGTCCTTAAGGTACTGGGGTATGGGCAAAGACTATAAATCAGTAAATGAAGATGGATTGGAAAAGAATGAGAAGATTATTAAATAAAAAGCAGATACTAGCCAGCCAGGCTGATAACATTATAGCATATGGAAGAACAAGAACAAGAATGATGTCTTAAAGAAAAATCTAACAAAAGGAAGAGTACGAAGAAAAAATGCAGATATGAGCAGCACCTGCTGTGCAACCACAGCATCCTGGGGGTCGGCAGGTTCCGGGGCAGAGAGAAGCGCTTGAATAGAAAGAAGTGCTGTTTTCAAAGTCAGTGCCGGGCTCCACTGGTCTTTCAGGATATCCAGGCATATGGCACCACTCTGGCTGCTTATGTTAGGATGCCTTGGATGGAAATGAAAGCAACGAACATATAAAGAATTTGTGAAGCACCACACCAAAGACTCATTTACAGTCGAGAAGTGAAAAGAATGTCAAGAAACTAAATAATTGTTGTTGGCCTATTCCTCAAATCAGAATGAGGAACAAACATAATAGAACCTGTGTCCCCACATATCTCCAAAAGATGTACAAATATAACTCCTGTTTTTTTAAAATCAAATATTCTTTCATAAAGACATTGTGCAGACACCAAATACAACACAATAAATTTTATATAGTTATATTAAAACCATTCCCCTGTGCTTGCTATAACATACCATACTTTAGTGGCAAACCGCATTTTGGGAGGCTCAAAAGGGTAACCATCTGCAAAGGAAAAGACAATCAAATTGTAGGTAACTATTCTACAAGAGACATCCCTTCAAAGTAAAGACAAATAATGTTCCCCCACAATACCCAAAAGCTCATCTCAAAAGAAATATGTAATCCACCCCATAGAAGGGGGAAGTAGGCAAGCAAAGGATTACAACCTTTTTACTGCAGTGCTCCCTCAACAATTTCCCATCAAATTATAGTGAATTCCTTGGAAAAAAATAAGTTTTACAGTTCATACAAAACCAGACCAAGAACAGCACAGCAATGCTCCTGCAAGAATCTTATCTTGATATAGTGGTATAGCAGAAACCATTACATATTAATCCTTTCCAGGCATTTCTTCATTTTCCTAACTCAACCAAGCCAGGTTATATATGTTCCGTATCTGATTAAATGTCAACTAAGAAAAGAAACAGTAGGATCTGCTGCAGGAATTCAATTGTTTATATATATGACTCAGTGCATAGACAAATACAGATGATCCAAGATCATACATTTCTGCAGTCACTAGACATTGCAACATCAAATGTATAATGAAACGGTGAATTAAAGTGATTTGGGGAAAATGGTTACAACCCAACAAATAAATCAACTTGTTCATCAACCTCAAAAAATGAGAAACCGTCCTATAGAATTAGAATCATGTCAATGTAACAAAACCACCTTAATCCCAACGGAAAATTCCCACCATTTTCCATTTCAATACACAAAGAAAAAGATACCATTTACCCCCAAACATATGTAACTCAACAATCTAACCAGCGAAGTACAGATTATTATCATTGCAGAGAAAAGGGCATCACTTCCAAACGCAGAAAATGAAAACCCCATCAATACACACACGCGACAGAGAAGACAACAGCACAAACAAACCCAAAACTACGACATGCCTAAATTGCAGGCAGTAAAAACACAATCCAATAGTTTCACTACATCGTTTCCAATCAAACTCACAATCGCGTAACACTAAACCAGAAATTCAACGTAGCAACGAGAGAATTGATTACCTGGCAAAGTGATGTCGATCTTGAAGGTGCCGCCTTCGTAAGGAGTACCAAGCGGACCGGGGATTGTGCCCAGCAACTGGGTCAAATTAGCCTCACTCTTAGGGATTACCTTTATCCCCGATACCTCGAAATCCCTATTGCACTCTTGAAGCTCCTTCTGCACCCTCGCAAAATCCACCATTCTCTCACTTCTCCTCGTAAACAATTACAAAGAATCGCTTCGATAAAACCCTCAAATGCAGCAACTTATCGCGGTTTCGGCAACCAGTTGCAGTGAAGCGATGGAAATTTTCTCCTCAGTGCATCATCAACCAACAACTCTCCTTTACTCTCTACCCTGGAAAAGAAAAAAGCGCGTTGCAATCTGGCAGTGGGCTAAAGTGCTGAAACCAAAACTGCCCACTGTTCTGAGCTCATATTCCTTATTTTGGAATTATTATTGTATAAATCTTGTATATATTTTTTTCTTTTTTCTAAATAAGCCCAAAATAAATGAATATCAGACAATTAGGGAATAGGATACGCCATAGCATTAACAGGCAGATACTGGGTCGTGTTTTAATTATTAAAATTAATTTGCAATTTAATATTGATGCAGAAGTAGTGTCACTTACTACTATCTTTGCTTTAAAAGTTATAGTAGTAATGATAATCAAAGCAAATTTCCATTTGGAGAATAAGAATTTGGGCTCTCCTATTGGGCCGAAAACTTTTATAAGCCCAGATATAAGTTAAGCCCAAATTCGCATACGTTATAGTATAGACCACTTTAACATGTAAGGGTGTGTTTGTTTGGAGGTTTGGATTTTGAGTGGGGATTTGAATAGTAAAAATTTTGAATTTGAATAGTTGTATGATGTGATATAAATAGGGGTTGATGTGATGTTTTAAATGTAAAATTGATTTTTAGTATAATATAAAAAATGAAAAATAAGTGTTTGATTTGATGTTTTTGGGAAAAAAAAAATTGGGATGAATAGTAGAAGTCCACCAAAATCTTTCAAACAAACACACCCTAAATGTCAATGTAGATTAAATTCAATGGAAATTAATCTGTGCTTGCTTTGTTTATTCACATTTCAAAAATATTACATCTTGAATATTCTCAAATTTTTTAAATTCCGAAACTCTGTTATCTAGACACAAGCTTAATGTTTGAATTTGGATCTAAATTAATAGGTATTTTATATGAAAATTTATTAGTATTTGATACCATTCTATAACAACTTTTGTGAATGAGGAGTAGTTACTAAAAAAAGAAAGAATGGCGGACAGATGGCAGGATGAGGAAGGGTAGAGAACACCTCACCTCACCTCACCTCACCTCATTAATATCGCAGTTCTCGTGACTTGTAAGCAATAATTACATTGCATTGGTTGGCTCCCTATTTGATTTGGGGGTGTAAGTGTAACCTGTCCTGTCCTCTATCAAATTTAGTTATCATAGTACTATTTCTTTCCAAGACCTAACCGAAGTAGTAATTTAATTAAATAAACTGTTATTTCTAGGAAATTAAATTAAATTAGGTTGCATAGACGTGTTCGTTTCGTGGGCACAAATTATAGATTTTTTTATTTTTTTTTTTATAACTTGGGAATCCGCGGCCGCTATCCGAAAGTACGCATTAGATAAACTTTCGATCGAATTTAATATCTTACAAATCAGGCCCGACGAAAAGATCACACTAAACGAATCATGTGTGATAGGTGATCTGAAATATCGAGGATTTGAACCCATAACGTCACAGTCCCAAGTCCACCCCCTACGTCACCGCCGGCCCTTACCGGACACAAATTATGGATTTTGAGATAGCCTGTGCTGCGTCTATCTGTACAGTCCCCACCACTACATACATACGTACTACAGCCGTGTTCTATTTTTCTTACCATTCCTTTGTTTAATTTAATTCTTACTATATTCCGACCGTCCTTTCTATTTAACACCCAACCAAAGGCCTTCGATGCATTAGCAATACTGGCTCTGGCTTATGGGGGAATTTTAGAGGCACATACATTTATATATATATATATATATATCCAAATCCTTCTCTGCCAACACTTGTTATTTATTTATTTTCACAACTTTCCAATAAATTAAGTTTTCATAAATTGTTTATTGTTTCGTAGGGTTTAATCCATCTTACTGGAGGTGGTGCATCATTTGGACGGAAATCTATACGTTTTTAGAGAATCAGAAAATAAAAGGGTGTCACGCAATCATTCATTCCGGTAACAAACAAGAATTAATGAAATGATATATATACACGTACTGAAATAAAATATATATCATCGTGTGCAATCAGTCTAATATGGAAAATTAATCTTACATCTGAAATAAATTGCCACGTACACACATACATTAGTGATTAAATACAATATTTTGAAAGAGAACATTATATATATATATATATATGCGAGATAATACAAAATTCAGCTTTAAGTTGATCGGGGGTACAATAATCAAAGTAATTTGAATATGTAATGTTAAATATTTCGGATTGTGTTATTTGTGTGTGTATTTTTTATAAATATGATCAAAATTATTTTTAAATTTATTATTACTCGACTATCTAATCATTTAAGGATTTATCTACTCACACAATATAATATTCATGTAATCGCGACAACTCATGAATATTTCAAGAGTATAATAGTCTAATCACACTGTAATAACATATAAGAGAGCTATTATTATAATTCAACAGTCAATATGAATATTAATGAATTTATTTATTTATTTTTTCACTATCATTATTACGCAAAATAAACAATAAATATAATTTTCCTCAAATATGATTTCCAAAAGACAAATAGAGACACCAAAAATGATTTCGAGACCAATTTCATACATTGCTATTTAATTACAATAATAGTCCTTTGTAATAAACTAGAGAGAGAGAGAGAGAGAGAGAGAGAGAAGGATTGTGAAATTGTGGGTTGGGACAAACAGAAACGAGATGATGAAGATAAAGGCCCAACAAATGAAATGAAATATTTATTGGCAACAGGAAAAAAGAGAAAGGGGAGAGGAGAGAATCAGAAAGAAATGCGAGGGGCCGATGGCGGAATATAGGATAGCAAGATTGACTGCATTCTTTTTGCTAACCAAAAAGCTTTTACCAGAGATATAAACCCACGCCCATAGGATACATAGATAGATAGGAGGATTCAAGAACGAACAAAATCAATACCAATTACCAAATGCCACAAATTCCCTCAATTTTCCACTAGATTTTATTCCCCAAAAAGAATTAAAAATCGCCGCTGGGTGCTTCTGGATGTGGATGTAATTATCTTTAATTTCCAGCTTTGACGATGATCGATTGCGTGATTTATGCTGTTCGGCGTTGATTCATCGGGTTCGGATGCATTCGGGCAAATTTATGGGTGCTGGGTTTATGTAGTTTGGTTCTTCAGCATTATCTATCTGTTAAGGAGTTTCTATTGATGTGATATGGTTGAAGATGAACCTGCGATGATTTTGTGAGTTTCCCTTTTTATTTTTGGACGCGATGCTCTGAATTAGAATGATTTCTCAATCTAACTGTGGTTTGATTTTCTGGAATGGAAATTTTGCTACCGAATCTGGGGAGAGTTTGCTGAGCTTCTTTTCAATCCCTTATTTTTTTTCTTTTACAGAAATTCTTACCTGTTTTTACTGTTGATTGAGCTGAATTTCATTGTCACTGAATAATGGGATTTTCTACATATAGATATGTGAACTGGATTTGTCCTTTGCTTCGGTCATGGGAAGATGATTGTTTCACAGTCAATATTCTTTGTTATTTCAAGAAAAGATTGGTAGTTTGCTGCTTGTGTTTGTGTAATGATTTATTGTTGTTCTCTGTATAAGTAAAGAGAATTCTAATCATCCTATCTGTTATGCGTTTGTGATGGTCTTTATCTGCTGTGTTGCTGATGGGGATTGTATTTGGAATTATGTTTTGGTGTTTAGATTCATTTGGCAGCACATCATTGTTCTAGAAGATTGATATTATGATTACACAATTGGAAATGACTGAAAGATCTGTGCAGGAAGGTTGATCTTCTGACTCGAAATTTGTGAGGTTATTGTAAAGTTGAAGGAGAAAATTGCAGGGCTCGAAATGGGATTACCTCAAGTCCCTCCTGGAAAGATATGTGAAGAAGTTTCTACATCCACAAGTGCAATAATGCAAATTCCGACACGGTTTGGGGAGGTACGGAGCTTTGGACTGAACGAGATGAATCTAAGTAATGCTAACAATCGAATGCCGGGTGAATTTTCATGCCCTCCACCAGCAAAGGAGTCTGAATTGATAGGTTTGCACAAGGATGGTGTAGTGAGCATGCATAAACTGAGGATTAATTCCATCGACAAAAGTCGCATGATATCTTATCATGCCAGAAAGGACATTCAATCTCCAGCTTCGAGGATTGTAGGGTTTGAACCCTATGTGGCAATCAACCATGCCAATCACTATGAGGACAAAATATCTGATGACAGCATTGTTCATTTGTCTTGTGGAAATGACGTGGCTTCTAACTCAAGCGAAACCTCAAGTTCATTGGCGAGGAAACGACTATTATCTCCTCTAAACGGGATGCTTTCAAATGATGAATTTAGAGGTGAGCATCTAGAAATAGGAAGCACATTCCAACGCCGTAATCTCCACCTAGAAGGTATTAGTGGCAGCAGTATTTCAAAAGAGAATAAAAAGGCTCACATAGGAAACTTGGAGTACGATAGTGCTTCTATTTGGTCTGCGCCCAGATATTCAGGGAGCAACGAGGAAGGTTGTGGAACCATATCCAGAATAGTCACAGATGGGCCTTTACTTGAAAACTGTGAGCACAGATTGTTGAATTCTAGCTTACCTTGGAGTGGTATTTGTTGCAATGGAAGAGATGAATTACCTTCGCAACTTGATGGGCTTCAGGATGCAATTATCTCCCCGCCATTTTCTCTATCTCCTCTCGGGCCAAGATTTTGTGGGAGGATAAGAAATTCAAGAGGATCGGGAGATTCCAAGAGAGAGTTCAATGATAGTTATATAACTTTTAAGGACGTGGAACAATCTCTCGAAGGAACTATTTCTGGGTATCTGTCTTCTCCTAAAGTTGAGAATATAACAGAGGCCAGTAAAGGGTTTGAAGATGATGAAAATTTCTTCATGAACTTTGAGCAACTGACTCCTGAAAGTTGCATATCGACGCAAGGGCAGACAGTGCTAACAGCTCAAAATGCTAAAGTGGGCAGAAGTTTAAGTGGCTTATCTGTCCGAAGATCTTTGGTCGGTTCATTTGAGGAGTCATTGCTGTCTGGTAGATTAGCTTCAGGGATAGTAAATCAGGTATGTGTCCTTTGCAATAAATGGATCAATTGAAGATGTTTTTGACAATATATTGTTTCTTTGTTTGATATTATTAGTTGATTTCATAATAAATAAATAAATGATACGTATTCTTTTAAGTTTAGTATCATTATAAGTTTAAGCTTTTTAGGTGAGATGATCATTTAACAGACATTTTTGTATTGTTTCTCCTATGCAGAAAATTGATGGTTTCCTTGCTGTTCTGAATATCACTGGAGGAAAGTTTTCGCCTCATCCACAAAAACTGCCATTTTCTGTGACAAGTTTAGATGGTGATAATTACTTATTGTATTACTCATCCATAGATCTTTCCGGAAGTTTATCATCAAGCAAATGTGAAGGTCCGATGTTGAAAAGAAGCCTCAGTGCTAACAGCTCGTCTGATGAAAAGTCCCGTCTGAGAATACCAATGAAGGGGCGATTGCAATTGGTAATTGTGATATGCTCTCTGTCTTTATGTTTATTTTCTTACCCCTTATGGCCCTAATTAACACAATTCCGTAATGTTAATTAGATAATGACTTCCTAATGCAATATTGAGCACATTAAACCTTAACACGCAATGATATATCATTTTTGCAATTTGGTGAAAAATAAACTTAATAGTGTTATTTTGTGAATTTGACGGTGAGTTTGGCTCAGCGTTTATGTCTCCCATGTGAGTTTCTATGCTTGTGTTGTAACAATGTAGTTTCTTTGCAGGTCTTAAGTAATCCCGAAAGAACACCGATTCATACATTCTTCTGTAACTACGATCTTAGCGACATGCCAGTTGGTTCAAAGGTACATTTGAAATGATTTCATTCGATCCCAATCAGCAACACTTCATTCGAAAACATACTTGGTCTCAATGTTCTATTTCTAAAATCTGACATTTTCGTCGGTTTCCACTTCTTAGACATTTCTGCGCCAAAGGGCAACTCTAGCTTCAGATAGAGGAGGGCAGAAAGATTCTGGTGCGCGAAAATGTCAATTTCGGGTGATGATTCTTGACTTCCGTGGGCAATCGTTACTAATACACGTCGAACTGTTGCAGGTGCCGTATTAGACAATAGTTGCCGAAACAACAATAGTAGTACGGACAACGCTCCTTTCCCCATCTCCGGGAGTGGAGTATGTAGCTCGTCGAAAATCAACAAAAATACGAACTCTGGCGCGCTCCGCTACGCCCTGCATCTTCGTTTCATCTGTCCCCACCGAAAAAAGTCCCCGAAAGCAGGTTTGAAGAGCCAATCTGGTGGCCCGTCATCTCTCCCTTCGAAAACTGGAATCGACAGTGAATCTGATCGTCGATTCTACTTGTACAATGATATGAGAGTCGTATTCCCTCATCGCCATTCCGATTCTGATGAGGGCAAGGTATGTTCTAACCTGCGATTTTCTAACGACTTTTCCCTATTCAATTGGACATTTACGGCACATTTGAATTCTGTCTTTATCATTCGCTCTTACACTGACTTGTTTGTGTAAACATGATCATATTCTTACGATCCGGTAATAATGGCGCAGCTGCACGTGGAATGCGACTACCCGTCGAATCCGAAGTACTTCGACATCTGCCTATGAGAGGAGACAATCACATATCATATATATATATATATATGAGGTAGCTGCAGATTTACTAAGTAATTTGGTTCTATCTTTCCTGTGTACATATATATATATAATTATATATATCTGTGTGTGTGATCTGTACATTTATTGTTGTGGTTGGTGTTAGAACAGCCCGGGCTCTTTGGACGCCATGAAGGTTGTCTCACCCCATCTCGTGTCGTGTTATGTTATGGTTATGTTAAATTGTTAATAAACTGCAGCAGCAACTCGGGTTGCAGAAACTGTACATTCCATGTCTTAAGAAAAAGTAGCTTTCCAGCATTGAAGTTCGTTTGTTGGTGTTGATGATGTGTACATGTAATGTAACTTCGCCTGAACTATAATTTGGCCTTCCTATTTATGAGCCACCCAAGTTGGAAGCTTCTCGTTTGTGTTTTGGCAAGAATAAATAATAAATAAATTAGTCCCAAAGGACGGTGGGGTGGTGCGCGGTTGGATTCCTGACATCAAGATTATGGATTCAAACTTTCGATACCTCAACTCATATTTATCTTTATAAATATAATATTAAAAAATAAATAATCATTATTTTTTGACATAAAATATTCAAATCTACTATTTGAATTAAATTCAACCTTATAAATTTCAGTTTAGGAAATTCTAGTTAACCTTGTAATATGGATTTGTGATTTTTATGGGTAAAATAAATACATACAAAGAAATTCAAATAAGAAATGTAAATGATTTCTTGTTAACTATAGTTCTTTCGTGTACAATTAGTATAATTATTTTATCATTTTGAGTTCAAGATATTTATTTTTTTATTTAGTAAGTGTAACTGGCACATAATAGTAAAATACCCTTATGCTTAATATAGAATTATAAACTACCATTATTTTATTTTATGATATATACATTCATTATATTCTCAAGAATATTTGGAGTAATGTCCGTAAGGGATGGTGTGGTGTGTGGGGGTTGGACGTGTGACCGTGAGGTCACGGGAGGTTCGGCCAGGTAATATAATACTCTCCAATGTATGTATTTTTGTTTTGTTATGTCACAAAAAGCAAATGAAGTCAAGAAAAATAATTCACATAAATGTAGAGATGTTGAATATTACTTATTTGGGTTAGCTGACTACTATTTTACTTCAAAATAGATAATGAATCAACAATATCCAAAATTTGAATATATATATATAATATAATATCAGCTGGAGACAATAATGCATGCATTTAGTAGCCCTTAGTTGTGGTTAGAGACACACACAAATATGCATGCATACTGTGTGCATATATAAATAAGTATATCAGATAAGTGTCTTTATCTAAGATTCAGTAATATAATTAAAGAGGGCCTAATCTATTGTCTATCACTAATGGAATATTATTTTTTAAATAATGATGAAAGCATATGAATAGTGTTCCAGGTTGAAATATTTTTTATCATATGGAGTGTGAGTGTCATATACATTGAGAGTCATATCAATAACAAGTTAATTATAGAAATAAGAAAACAATAAATACCTATTCTACCGGTCAAACTTATGCTTATTTTTCAGTTTACCAAACTGTATTTATAATTTCGAATATTTACAAACAATTAAATATTCATGGAATCCAACATATTTTGGACATTTGAAATTATGAAATACGTGCTTAGAAGCTTATAGTCATACTATGTTAAATATATTCTTAATTACAACTGGTTAAACAAAAACATTTTTAATGTGACAATATATATATATATATCAACGTGTAAATAATCAACAAGCATTATATATATATATTGAAGGGAAAGTAGGATATACATTTGGATGATGCTAATTAAGGTTTATCTTGCTATAGTTAATATATATTACTTAAACTAAATAATAAAAAATTAAAAATTGCCTACTATAATTAAGTTCCCCATTGCCATCAAGAAACAGAAACGAAAGGACCACAAACCCAATTCCATGAGTAAATTAATAATAATAATAATAATAATAATAATAATAATAATAATAATAATAATAAAACCATGAATATAATTAAATTAGACTTCTTGATCGATCAACTTCAAGACAACATAGCTAGGCCCCTTCACTACTTATTTATATGATACGTTACGTGTCGGAAACCCTAATTGCCCTAATAATAGGCAAGAAGTCACCAATAATAATTACTACAGCCAACCCAAAACATGCACACAAGCTGTAGTTAATCAAGCCCACCCTGCAAGTATTATACAAATATTTTAATATATTTATTTATTTATTGGACGCACTTATGTTTATATTTAAATAGTAATAAAATATTTTATACGAAATAAATAATACTAGATCTATATCAGAAATTAAAAGTTACGTAATAAGAAAATTAAAAGGAATTTTAAAGAGAATAAAACCTTTATTTTTATATTATTATTATCTCTTTCCTATATAAATATATATTTAATTTATATATAAATATATATTCAATACTTTCTTTTTATTTATATAAAACTGATTTGTGTTCACGGCACACACATATTATTCTTACTTGTATTATAAATTTTTTTACATTCTACAAAATAATACTATCATATTTTATTGACTTACTTACATAAGTGTGTTTCTTTGGATTTGTATTAAAAAGATTTGATTTTAAATTTTTGTATTTAAATAATACTATTTGTTATGATATTTTGTTCCAATATTTTTTTTCTATAAATACAAAATTTAAACAATAAAATTAATTAAAAAAAATTGTCAAAAAACAAAGGGTGTTAATAACACAATTACTCAAAAGCATATTTTTTTTTTAAAAAAATATAGTATAATATATTACACACTTATTATTCTTATATATTTTTATACAATTCATATAACTTACATAAAAAAAAAAAAAATTCAAACTATTTAACTAAAAAGACATGCGCAAATTCATTCTCAAAGACTTTTAAAAGTTTAGTATTTTAAAATATTTAAGATAATAAAAATATTTAATGCAATATTTTATATATAAAAAAATTAATATAATATTTTTAAAAAAAATTAAAATACTATCTAACACTCTAACCCCTCTAGGTATTGTTTAAACAAGGCAATGTTTGAAATACTATGATAAATATTTTAAATTTTTTAAATCAAATTTATCACTCCATTATATCCCAATACTTAAATCAAACACCATCTCCTTATTTCATTAAAAATAAAAAATAAACAAAATCCCTCTAAAACTCAATAAGAAATTCCAAACAAACACAACACACTCACAATTAATCAAAATTCCATATTCATCCCCCATACTTGCTCAACATGGCCACGTCTCCCTCCTACACAATACCTTAAAAACTCCAAAACTCTCCTATAAATGCCACAAACTTATCATCATCATCGATCCCTTATTGGAACCCCTCCAAACTAAACTTGCTCAAAAGCATCAATGGCCACCATTGCAGACAAGTCCATCCACACCCCTCCTCAAAGCCAAAGAGCCAATGCTAATAATTCTATCTTCTTTATTACATCCCAGGTTTTGCTAAGATCATTACTCTTTGCTCTCACTCTAGCCGCTGCATGTCTTATGCTCACCAGCAAGCAGACCGTCGAAGTCTACGGCATCGAAGCTACTGCTAGTTACACTCATTCCCCAGCTTTTCAGTTAATTAATATTCTTCATTGAGCTTTAATTTACTTAATCTTGTCTTTAATTTTCAGGGTGTTATTTTATTTATTTTTTATTGTCCTTGTCTTCTTGTTTTTATGCAGATTCTTTACTTATGTGAATATTGTGGCATTTGTGTTGTCAATTGCTTCGGCTTTTCTTGCTTTTCTGTTGGAGAAAGGAGCTTTGAGTCCACAATACTACTTGTACCTTTTCTTGCATGATCTGGTGAGTTATAAATAAGTATTGGATGTGATATTTTACGTGATTCTGATAGTTTGGATTGAACTAAATTGTCAGATTCTTGTTGCGATATTTGGCTCGGCTTGCGCTGCATCCACGGCCGTTGGATGGGTAGGAAAGTACGGCAACAGTCACACCGGATGGACCGCTATTTGTGACCATTTTGGGAGATTTTGCAACAGAATTATTGCTGCTGTTGTGCTTGCTTATATTGGCCTTGCCTTGTTTATGATCCTCACAGCCATTTCTGCCAAGAGAATTGCATCAAGCCATGGTTAGATATATATACATACATACATATATATATATGTGTACAGTTTGATACGATGATTCTGTTAAATTTATATGTAAAATGATGTGCAATAGTGTGAATAAGATTGTGGCCATGAGGAGTGTCAGCACTGTAATAAACTCTTGTATCCTTAATGAAGGTAATTTAAGGGAAATTGGTCCTCTACGTAATTATGCATATATAGGCTTAGCTTGCCTCTAAGTTATTGAATTTCCTCAGTTAGGACCAATTTCATTTAAAAACTTCATTCAATTTGTGTCACTAAATTGACCCAAGAATATCCTTATTTATTTATTGTTGGGCTTCTGTGGTCATGCTTGTCCTGTGATGACCACTTAGAACAGCTACGTTCATAAGAGCAATTAATGTCCCCTTAGGACACCTTTGTCAACTGAATTTGCATAACTTGTATTCAAAAGAAAAGACTGTTAAGAACATGATCTGCTAACATCAAGCCAGAGGTTATGAACAATGTGGAAGCCAAAAGAATCAAGATCAGACCTAATAAGAATAAAATTTAAAACTGAAGGAGCTAGCTAAAAACACTAGAAAAGATTATTATTATTATTACAGAAAACAGGTTAGCAAATTCATCAGGGCCTAACAAAGACTCCCCACAGCTTCCCATGTCCGAGACCGTCGAGAAGCTTCTTCGCACCATCGACTTCCTTTTCGGCGAGCTTTTTCAGATACTCCCGAGCCCCAGCGGCGACCATTTCTTTCCGGAACCTCTTGGAATGCGCGAGCGCAGCTAGTAACCCGACGGGATGCTTCTTGTCCAAATTCTGCAGCAAAGGGTCCAGCAGCTGAACTGCCAACGCGATTGCCTTCTCTTCCTTCCTTAAAGTCCTCTGATTCGCCGCGCAGTTTATTACCAGCGTCGATAGAGCTTTCGCCGCAGCCTCCTTTTCCTCCACAGCCTTCCCATCCATCATTCTCACCAGCGGTGCAATGCACCCTGTTTCGCCGAATTCCCTCCTTGACTTGCTGCTGCTATTCAGCCCTAAATAATACACTGCTTCTGCAGCAGCTATTCTCGCGCCTTGAACGTCGCAACCCAATACTGAAACTATGCGCGGAACGAAACCGTTTGCTAATAAAGAATCGACTATATTCGGGCATTGGGACAATGATCTCGTCATATGAACAACCACCTCGAGGGATTGAGCAGAGGGAGATGAATCCCAGAAATTTTTCATCCTTGTTATCCCACCTTGAGCAGCGAAAAACAGCCTCAATTCATCGTTTCCGGATACCAAATTGCATAAACATCCGATCGAATTCTCTTGCGCTGGAAAAGTACCCGAATTGCACAATGATAACAGCGTTGACACTGCATTTTCCTCAATGAACTCCCCTCTGATTTCTTCGAAAACAGAGAGGCTTCGGAGGACGGTGGCGGCTAATGCCTGCGAATTCGGCGTTCCTTCGATGCAAACCTCTAACAACGACGATATTCCACCTCGGGATGCAATTGCCCGGGCGTTCTCCTTCGAATTGCTCAGAACTCGAAGAATGATGCACGTTTTTTCCTTTGCAAAAATGCTGCCGGATTCGAGCACTCGAAGCAAGTTGTTTACCAATGGCAATCCCTCCGCGAGCAAGACGTGCTTGCTTGAATCCACGGTGGAGATTTTGGCTATGGCGGAAACTGTCTTCTCCTTGATCTCGGAGGAGGAGCTCGAATCGAGTAAATGGGAAAGGATTGGTATTATCCCCTGCGCCACCGCAATCAGAACGTTCTTATCATCTTCCTGTAGAAGTCCCAGCACCGAATCGAGAGCCGAGCTTTTAGAAGCGTTGGATCCGATCTGCAGCCGCGTCATCAGATTCCGAGCCTCCGCCCGGACTGATTCCCTGGTATTCGAAGATGCCGCCGCCGGCAGCGGCGGCGGAGCGGCGTTTGACGAGGTCGACAAAGCGCCGCTCTGGGAAAGCACTTCGAGGTCGTTGATGTGCGAATCGAGCTTCGCCGACACTGAATCGATGTCGTTCTGCGTCTTGAGCTTCCCACCGGCGGGAGGACTCGGTGATTGGCAGAGGGCGGCCAGAGACGCGGCGGAGGAACAGGCGGCGGAGAGCGACCAGAGAAGGTCCGTCAAAAGCGGGTTTTCCGACGAAATCGGAACTTGGGATAGATGGGATTGCAAAGCGGTGAGTTTCACACTGATCAGTAGCCATTTGCCCTTCAAGAATTGGACTCGATTGATCGATTCTAATAGACCACGAATGGTACCTTCAACTTCAGCCAGCTTCGTCGGCTCTTTCATGGCGTCCGGCGGAGGAGACGACGCCGTATCGGTAAATCCCAAATCCTGACCTCCTAATTCCCAAAAACCATTCGATTCATTGCGCAAACTCGTCCACATTAAAAAAATCGAAGCTTTTCAGAGTACTTTTACAACCTGTGTGAAATAGAATCGATCCTTTCCGCCGCCAGCCAATGGTCAAGTTAACGTCACAGCTGTTCACGCTAACTGCGTCAACTGCACCGCAAATTTTACGCCACGCTATTAGCTGGTTGACTCGACAGATCACAGTTTCCCGCCGTGACTGTGGCTTTATCAAACCTGCCCGCGAACATGGCTCCCGTATCCCGAGGAAAAGGTTCTTGTAGGGCCCACTCCACAATGTATCCGGGTCGGGTATATCCAAATACGGGTCAATGCCCCGGTGGCAATTTGATAAATGTGAATGTAATTAAATGGCTTGGAAGCTAAGCACCCTTAGTTGACTTCAAATGCTAATCATTCTAATTCAGCACCATATATGTTTGTATAAGGTTGTTTGGTAGTAGTCATTATTAATGATTGATTCTTTTTTCGGAAATAATTGCACCTACTTTATTATTTTTTTATTGAGACATTTTTTCTATTATTAACGATAAGTAATCAGTAGGTATTGGGCAGTTTTTATTGGGCCTTCATTTTTGTTGAGTCCAACAATATAGGCCCTAAAATGAGACATTTTGGGCCGACAATTATGGGCCTCATATGAAACAGTTCGTACCTTCATGGAAACTGACAACTGAAAAAGTGACAGTTTCGGAGTTTCCCCAGAGGACAAACGAAGGTGGAAGCGTCAAATCGTTTCTGCCAAATTCAATGGTGTGTTTTCCAATCGATGTTCATTGCTCTGCTATTGGTCCTTACATGTTCATTTTTCTGCATTTTGCACAATCCAGAACTTTTCCATTTATTACAACTCTAAAACGGGTGTATAACAGGAAGCGGAAAGCCGATCTGGAACAGGCATCAATACCCTTGGATACTTACAATGCTGCATTCCTTGTGTGGTGATTATTTGTGTGATCGTTGTTAATGTAGTGATTTTGGCGTATGCCAGGTGCTCCGTGCATTGATTTCATTCTGCTATAAATAAAAAAAATCTGGACTGCTGCCGTTTTTTTGGCTTTACTCGTCCTCTTTGTTTTAGTTTTGATGAATAGGAAGTTTAATCGCTTTAGCTAATATTCTTGACGGCCTTTTGCTTCAGTTTCTGACGGTAGAGATCTTTTATTTGAGTTTGATCTGATATTTGCTTGTTCTTCGTAAAAAAAAATGGAGGTTAAGCAAAACGGTTTTAATGCTGACATGAAGGCTGAAGTAATGCATATTTTGAAAGGTAGAAGTCTTAATATGTTCTGTAGAATATCTTGTTTGTCCATTGTGATTTGTGAAGAGCCATACGCTAAAAGTAAAAGCTTGTTGTTTGATATTAATGCCACAACTGACTATAATGCCAAGACATGCTGAAATTGGATTTATTCTCTCAATTTTAAGCTTTAAGTCTTTGTCTATTGCTTGCCATGCCACCCATTCATACCTCATCAGTGGGATGATATAATCATAGAATACAATATGCAATAGATAAGTATCTGTTTATATTTCATTTCCCTTGAGAGTGATGTTTATGTTCTTTGATGAATGATGCAACAATATTAAACAGTTAATTGGGATTACAGAATCTGTTCAATGCAGAACTGTGCTTGTGATTTGGTTTAACCCTGACAGGGTATAGTTGGGCGTAAGAAGTTTTTGGGATCCATTATTTGTATCATATTTTTGGACAGGGGATGCCAGGTTCATGAGCACAATTTTTACAAATTAGATTTCTATTTTTATTTTTATTGTTATTGTTATTTTTATTTTTTCTCATTAATGTATTCTGAATTGATCAGTTAATCCTGCTTGAACAATTAAGTTAGTAAATCTAATATGATCAATTCATGTTATATTGTTGGTTTTAGATTCAGAATAAATTGCAGGTTTTATTTATCTGTTATTTCCTGGGACCCCATGTTTTTGCTCAAAATGACTCCGGAATCATTTATTTTTTCACAAATTCACGACAACAATGAATTTGTGATATCTAAAGCAAATGGGAGATTATCACAAAGGTGTAGTAAAGGCAATAACAAATGATTATTAACAAAAACCCTCTTGGCCTTTTGTGATTGGATATATTAAGTATAAAATGCTCTAAAACTATTATAAGACTGATGGCTTGTTCTTCTAGACCTTTTGCGGTTGGAAATATAAAATATTGCTGAATTGGAATATAAAAAAGCTCAAATGTACATAAACTTTAATTTAATTGCAGCAGAAAATTACACAGAAATTCAAATTAGAATTAGAGAAGCTAAATATAAGTTAGAAAATCTGAGCTAAGTAGGAAAATCCTTTATAAAAATCCTAAAACCATACTCACATGTGCAGTAAGTCGAAGACTGAAATACCTACTTGTACACAAATCCTGATTTCTGGTACTAATGTTGAAATTGTAGAGTGCTTGTGTCTTTTGTAGCCACAGACCTCAACAATATTTATGTGTGTCATGATCAGTCGAACAGCAAATGGTGTAGACAGTAGAGTGCGTGTGTCTTCTATGCGAATTACAGTGGCTCCATATGGTTAGGCACCTCTCAAATGTTGTCTTTGGCTCTTTGGAAGGATGGATATTGTGATCCAATTTTGTTTGAACTTTAATCAATCACAGGACTACTGCTGGCTTTATAACTTTCATGTCCCAAATAATTCATTATGTTATTTGCTGCCTTAATGATTTTTTTTTTTTTTTAATTTTTTGTGCTGAGGAGACTCTTGAAATTATAGAATTCTAAAAAAATTGATCGCTGAAAAAATACAAATAAAAAACGCTAATTCGCAATTAATTAGGTCAGAAGTGAGGCTATCATTATGCATTTCTTATCTATCCTAGTACTTCCTTTCTTCATTGTTTATGTTATTCCTTTCTCTTGTTTTTCTATATTTGCTTCCATTTGTCACCCTGATTTGATTTTTTTCTTTGATTTCTCCCACCTATGATCCTACCAATGCTTCATATTGTTTTGTACATACTTCACCTCTCATCTAACATGGACATGTTTGTGGGCACAGAATTTGCTGGCAAATCATGGCCCACATGTTTCAGATGTTCTTCTGAGCATCCCTTTTGCTCTTGCAAGTGGACAAGAGGCCTTTTCATGGATTTGTAGATACTATACGAATATCATTTTAAATTTGTATATATTTTAAGTAATCATCTCAAGTTAACGGCATTGGGCTGTCTATCTTTTTATTATCTTGCATCAGTCAGAAAATTTTTCTCGTTTATTCTTGTGAATACATAAACAGAAACCGTTATTATTCTTTTTACACAAGGGAACAGACAAATAGAAGGACATGGATATCCAATTTTTGAGCTGCCATTTGGTAATAACCACATATAAAAATATGATTCACTATTTTATACTTTGGGTGGTATCAGATGTGTCCATGCCTTTGATGCTGATAGTGGTTTTTGTTTAACTGTGTTGAACATGTTATTTCCAAAAGGGCATGTGTTTGATGGTCCTGACACCTCGTGAATTCTGATCTCTTTCAAATACTTGACTAGATGAAGCTTCATTTGTCTTGTTTGTGTAACTGCAGCACATTCTGGAAAACAGAGGATCAATGGAGGGATGGGCACTTTTGCAGGCTAAGGTGACAAGCCTCTTACGTCTTCTTCATATAAACTTAGTTAAGGTAAGACAACATTGTTTATTTGCTTAGCATGGTATTTTGGTGATTACAAAACATGGGCATATGCTATCTGTGCTTGCTTGATAGGGAGTAATTTATCCTGTAAAATATCTGCATCAGTTTTTGTTGCCTCCAAGGTTTTATTTGCTTAATAGTCTGTAATATCAGTAGAATATTCAATAATCTATATCCACCCTGGTAATCTGTGAAGTGAAGGTATTAATGACAGTGGTCCTGGAGGCTTGTGCTTTTCCAGTTTTCCACGTTTTTATTGGTAACAAGATGCATTGATTCTTACTGACTGCTGAATCCATACCCATATCGGTGGACCAAATGTAGAGTGTCTCTTGAGAACACCTGGGAGCCCAACTCCTCTTACCATCATTCATGGTGTAGATCTGGGATGTAATCTTTTGGGTGGCAGACTGCTAGGAGTCTCCAAAATCATTGCTAAATATACACATTATCTTTGAACAACTTTTGGTCAATTACTACTGGTTTAGTATAACTGAAACCCCTTAATATTTGAAATTGAAATAGAATTTAGATTTGGTGATTCACATTTAGAATCTTGTTTGACTCATATGGAGGGTGTGGATGTTCCTATGCCCAATGATGTGCATGTTCAAGGATAATAGGAAATGGACACTATTGCGTGTAACTCCATTCCATAGCATAACTGAACAAGACATTGCTTTGCTTGTGGATAATTTATCTTCACGCCATGGTATGCCTGCAGCCATGTGCATTTTAGCTTGTGATGAGCTTACACGATCTCTGATGTGGTGCAAGGGAGTCAATCCCTGCAGGTCTACTATCGACGAAAACGGCATGAGCCCACCGTTCATGTGCTATCGTTTATTTGATTTCCTATTTTGATATTGTCTGTTTAATACTCATAACCGTTTCTGTTGATGATAGACCTGCAGGGTTGACACTCTTGCACCATATCAATCTCTTTTTAAGAGAAGAAGATTTTGTATGCTAATGGTGAGTCTTTCTTGTGTGCCATAGGCAGAAAGCCTAGATTGAACAATGTTGGAAATGGTTCTTGAAGGTCTAAAGTGACTAGAGTGGAACATTACTTTGCGCAACCTAAGTTCTTAAGTAGGGTATGCTTCTTTTATGCTCCTATAGAGAAATGAAGGCATCCATCATGCATAATACTAGCATGCAAGTTTATGCAGTAGTTATGCATTATGTCATGCCTCCTTAGCATTAGAATCGATTCATCATGTGGTGTCTTATGCAATTCCCATCAGGCAAATTATTACCAGTGCATAGCATACTTGTCTTTGCATGCACTAATAGAATGAGGCAACCTTCCTCATTATTTTTGACAAGCTAAAGTGTATGATATATTTGCAAAACCCAATAGTAGGGGAGAAGGTGACATAAAAGATCTGACGGCTATGAGCAAAACTAGAAGACTTATCCTCATCTATATTGACTCCTTAGGACCATTTATTAATAGGACAAAAAGACCAACGTCCCAACGAGAAAACATAGATTAGAAGAAAAATCAGATAAACCAAGCAGACAAAGGAACGAGTGGGGACGATTACTGAGTCCCATTAAGATAGGCCCTGCCCTTAGATACATCACATGAGGACAGGACACCATACCTTATTTATAAGTCAACGTCACTTCTTCCCTCTTGTTTTCTCCCCTTACCTTATGAACACAGATTAAGCAGACAACCCAATTTAATACCTCAGGTACATGGTACACCCATCCGCCGCCGGGCCCCATCCTCCCACCGCCCTCCCTACGTCTAAACTTGTGCTGAAAGCCACCATAAGTTTACTTTCTGTAGATGATTATTGCTCAATTTTTGACCCCTCAAAATGGTTTTACTGTTTCTAAAAAATTAAGGTCAGTTGATTGAAGTTTGTTTAGAGTGTAATGTTGGAATTGGATGTGAGGACTGATTTCAAGATTAAGGAGAGATAGACTGATTTTCTAGACTAATGAAAAGGGCTGTGTGTATTTTATTATATTGTATTAATATAACATACATAGATAAATCCAAAAGATGCCGACATATATGGGTACAAAAGAAGAGCAGCGAAATGACAATAGTAATAATGTGGATGGGGCAATGGTTTAGTTATTGAAATAGCAATTAAGACAAAATGATGGAAGATCTGTTTGTCTGGGAAATTATTGTTGTTAACCCCACCCACCCCATCCCCAACAAAACATTGATATCTAAGGAGTGTTTATCATCTAATTCTCTATCTTAGATTCATTGAATTGTGAAAACACTCTTGTCCTAGTCCTTGAATAGACCTCATATCCTATTATTTAAATGCTCCCCGTGTTTAATACTACTTGTAATAAAAACACAACATTGAATTCTTACAAAGATGCATAATTTAAAGTCTTTGGATCGTGTGCCAAATCATATTTTTTAGATTTAAATATTTTAAAGGAGATAAAAATAATATAATAATAAGATTGTAGAAAGAACACTATAGTCATACAGAGAAAGAAAGTTCGCTGTCTTTCTTGCACAACGCTTCCATTTTAACTGTTAATCAATTGAAAAATTCAATATAATAAACTTGTTTAATCCTATAGATATATTGATCTGTTAAACAAAATAAATTATATATTGAACTGCATTCAGCAGAGCCGAACTTTTTTGAGGCGGCCAAACCAACCCATAAATTAATTATTAAGATATGCATGAGATGATATTATTAATATGATGTGAGAGAGATCGATCGATCGTTCAAGAACTTGGGACCCTACAGAGCGACAAGTTGATTAGTTTGGTGACAAGAGACCCCACAATTATCTTTTAGTTGACAACTCCACTTCTGTTTTTCCATTCAGGTTTTGAGTTTTGAAGTTTGATTGGAGGAGAGAGCAGAATCGAGTTATAATCAAATCCATGTGCAACACATATATAGATCTGAGGATTAAATTGAATTTTCCCTAACATGAATTAAATTTGTGTGGGTCACCATAAACTTAGGTTTATGTTTTCCCTGTTTCTCTTTTTGGGAAAGCTGGTTGTAATTTAATGTAATAATTGAGGAAAAGTTTGCAGGTGGAAGTAAAATATAGGCTATGCGGTACCTTAACTTTTGGATAAATCTAAATCATGACTACTAAATCCATCATTATTGAATGAATGATTCTAATGGATTTTGTGTCTTTAAGGTATGATTGACAGCTTTATTCAGACTCATCATATCTTATTCATGTGTTAGTGTGTGCATGTATATATAACAGGGAATGAAAAAGGAGATTAATATGATTCATTTTCTGAAAATATTCATATTATATTGAGTGGGTGTTATTTTATTGTCATTATTTTTAGTTCCATACATCTATGAGAGAGATAGAGAGGAGTTGCGTATACTACTGTTCTTACCACATGCTATATTAAATTGCATTATATGGTTTCATCATCCAATCCAAGTTGATGACAAATATTATTCTCATTAAAAATTATTGATCATCCTTATTCTTTAATATCAGTTAGTATTATGGTACTATTAAATAACAATAATAAAAATAATTGCTGCATATGTGTGGGTATTAGGATTAAATTTAGTTTGATAATAAGACGACAATTTTATTAAGATCCTTGAAATCTACATGGAACATGCAATGTTGGTCTAAGTCTTGAATAATGTGTATATGAATGCATTGATACAGCTTTTCTTGAATTCATATAAGACCGAAATCTGTGTTTGTATTTGTGTCTCAGTATCTCTCTCTCTCTCCCACACACAATGTGAAGTCATGTCAGTAGAAATATATATATATATATATATACACATGTGTGTGTGTCCAAAGTCAAGACATGGACAAGAAAGAAACGCTTAACTGTAAAATTAACTGTAATAACAGACTCACTGTGAAACTCAGAATTAAATACACGAACCAGCAGCAATATATACATGCATACATCTCTGCTCTTGCCATGGGCCATCTTTTTTCTTTTTCTTTTTCCTTTTATACACCAACAATATATTTTTCTAATACTAGGTAGCTAGAGAGAGCTTCATGCATTGAATTCTAACCACCACAGAGCATAGGGTGCTGCAGGAATTTGTGCTTGTATATTCGAGAGTCAAATGAGGAACAAAGCAGATCTGTATTAAAGATAGAGCCTCTTATTTGGTCGGTTTGCATTTATTTGTTCCTCCAACTTCCCTTCAATTTCTGGCTGCACCCCATTAATGTTTTTTCAGATCAACAATACATGTACAGAATCTTCAACACCTACCCCTCCCATGGCTTCCATCTTCTTCTCCATCTCATTTTTTGATATATCCCATTCCATACGAGACTCACCAGCTTTGTCCTATTATTTACCTACACCTTGATTTTCATACAGTCTGTCACAAAAGAGAAAGAAAAGATTAAATGGGCAGTTCATGATTATTTTCTGAGTAATTCTTGGGAAACCCTACTAAAAGAATAATCCATGTTTTGCGTTGTATTCTGTGCGTGTGTGAGAATAGAATAGGTTGAGCAGTGAGCAATAAATGACTAATTAAGACTAGAGAGAATAAGAATGGTGGAGACAATGAATGAGGTCTCACCAGATGCTTGTAGGGTAGGTATGTGTTGGTTTTTATATTAATGGTGTGAGAACAATGTGGTGCTGGTGCCTGACTGATCAACAATAATTTTCTGTCTTGGTTCTTCTTCCACTTCCCAATATAATGCCTGTTTATGTTCCTGAAAATGATGTGTATTATTTTACATACATCACCAATATCAAACAAGCTGCTAAAATCGGATGTGAATCTCGCAGACACATACACACACACATATATGTATATATACATTGATATATCGATACACACCTCTTGGGGCATCATAGTATTATTTGGAAGAATTTGAGGTGGTTGGAACACTAGAGGGTTAACAGAATTATCCCAGTGAGGAAACATGTTGGCTGCTGTGGGGCTGCTAATGCTATTCAAGCTCTGCATGCATTCATCCATCACACAATCAAATTATTGAAATCGAAAGATATCCAAAGGAGAGGAGAGAATGTGTAGATATATATATATATATGTATGTATGTATATAACTGTGTAGGTGTGTTGATTAGGACTAACCATGAAAGAGTCCATCCCAAAGTCATAAAACATGGGACTAACAGAGGCAAGCCTCATTGAAAGAAACTGCTCGTATGCCAGGAATACAATGGTATTAGTGAATCCATCTACCATATGAGTGATGAGAATAAATGATGGAAGTAATCATGATCATCACCTCAACTTGGTTCTGTAGTGACTGTACGTAGTTTATGATTTCATCCAGCATTAGGGCCTTTCCAGTCACCTGTATGTTGCTCAAAAACACACATGTAGCTGTCAGAGTCAGACAAAAAACCACCCTGATATTGGACGCAGATCATAAGATGAATCAGACCTTGTCACAGCCAGGGACAAGGGCTTGGAGAAGCTTCATTCTTTCACTTATCCTCTCCCTCCTAACCTGAATCAGTCATTAGCCCAAAATGGATGCATATTAAAACAAAGCATGAGACTTTAATCTCATCAATACCAGAAGATTCTGTTCATTATGATGATGTAAGAAAGTTTGTTGAGTACCCTTTCAGCAAGGCTGTGGCTATCTGTGGCTTGTCCCCTTTTAGCCCTCACATGAACATAACCAGTAGGAGGAGCTTCTCCTGCTTTCTCCTTGGATTTCTTCCTCTCTTCACTGTCTTCCATCTTCTTCTGCTTCTTTCCTTTCACACCCTTTTTAACACAAGTCACAGCCATTACAATCCCATAAGTTCTAATGTAAGAAAATAATACTCACAAAAGTAGTTGGTGTCTGAACCTTGAGGCTAGAACAACAGCTCTGTTTGGTCCTCCTCTTTCTGGGCTTTGCCCTGGGGATTTCAGTTTCAGTGGTGTCACAACACACAGCAGATGATGAATTCATGCTGTTCTTGTTTGCAGCACTCAAAACAGAAACCTCGTCATTCTGTGGACCTGATGACACTTTTACACTCTTGTCAAGGCTCTCAATGGCTTCCTCAAGTCCATTGTAGAGCTGAGGAGTGAAGCTGGAGAAGACACTGTCTGGATGCTCCAAAATGGCAGTTGGTAGCAACATTGTGGTGTCCAAGAAGTGGAATGATGGATAGGCTGCCATTACTACCACTATTATTACTATTTTGACAGGTTCTTGAAATCTGTTGTTTGAGGGAGAATTGGTGTGTGAATGGGGAGAGATGATCAGAAGGGCATGCAAAGGAGAGAGGAGAAAAACACAATCATGTGTCTTAGGCAATGGCAAGAGGGATGGATACCAGCCATGAGGTTTATAGAGTGAGAGAGGGGGAGAGAGAGAGAGAGAGAGAGAGAAGCATGCATGTCCAGACACACACATTTGACTGGTCTTCTCACACATAAAGAACTCACATTGAATGTTCATAATCAGACAATGGATAAGACAAACTCTGTTCATAATGGGAAAGTACCTTCAAGTGGATGCCATTTTTTTTTTTACTGTTCAGTCATCCTACAGTGAACACTCTTATTACTTTCACTTTCTATGGAGCTTATGTAAGTCAATGGATCCATAGGCATTTCAATGGAGAGATTGAAGTTAATCTCAGGGTAAAATACCTCCGTAACAAAGAATAATATTACTTTTAATCTCATTTGTCTAACGTTTACTTATTATTATGCTGATATGTTTGCTGAGTTATCATTTGCCAATCCACTCTTCAATGAAACGTGCATTGGATGTGACTCAACAAGGTTGAATTATATATGTGTTTTCTGTACTTATCATCATTTTACAGTTTTTTTGTTTTTTTTTTTTTGTTTTTTATTAATATGTTTAATACATATCTTTTTTTTTAAATTAATTCTTTATTTAGAATATGATATATATTACTTTTTATTTAAAATTTTATTATCATCAAAATGCTAGTGAACACATTTGAATTAGGTCCTACGTTAGAGAATGAGTTGTGATGCAAGATTTATTAAAACTAAATTTGTTTGGGGTTTTATTTGGGTTTAAGTTACCACTCAAACAAGCCCTTGTTACTCAATATGATAAATGGGACCCTATGTAATTCATTTTATTTTATTTTCTCTTGATATGGATGCATAGATACTTAAATAAGTTAGCGTAGTGCAGCATTCAACAAATATGATTTTAACTACAATTACATAGAGCCGTTGAATGCCAAACCTTCTTAGTTGCTAGTATGACAATAACTCATCATTGGACTACTTTGTTCTAATATTAAGTGCCCATTTTATTAGACTTCTAGAATTCGTATACTAACATGTATGACTAATCTGATTAATTGTACTATAATGTATATACATTGTAATAATGCATGCTGCATTTTAATTGTATAGTGTACATGCATTTTAGACTTGGATAGTTACAACTCGGCTAGTTCGAATAGTACTTAATAGCAAAATGTTGCAGAAAATTTTGATAAAAGAAATAAAAATGGGCTTTATTGTTTGTAGTAAGCTCTACCGAAGTGGGCTGGCCCAACACTATTTCTCTAAACCGAATTAGAAAACTAACTTTCAGTACTTCTATAAATTGATTAAATTATAGTAATAAAGTTAAAACAAAAAAATTATATGTATTCGTTGTATAATAAGCCTGTTTTTGTTCCTTGATACATAAAATTACAAACATCCAAGGGAACTAATTTAAAAGCCTATATTAGGCAAGAAAGACAATGGAAATTTCCAGGCATGACGCTAATCTTCAGTGCTGAAGTATGTACATAGTAATCCCAGAACCATTTTGCCTAGGACATATGCAGACTCTAGGGGCTCCTTCATCTTGTTCTTGTTCGAGATGACCGGCTACCCACATTGGAATCGTCTTTCTTCCAGTCTGGACTCTGGAAGCATTTCAATGGGAAGATCTGTGTATGTATAGAAAATAACAAATCATGCATTAGAGTTACTTACAACAATGAATCAGAAAGTCTCACTGAACTGAATTGAAGAGACTAGAGTGGAAGGAGAAGATAAGGGGAGGGAAAACCTTCCAGCGCTTTCTACGGCCAAAACTGTTGGATATATCATCCAGTCGAGGAATAATTTGCTTAAATGTTGGCCTATCAGATGGATTTTCACTCCAACACTGCACAATCAATCTGAAAAGAAAGCATGTCAAGTAGCTAATCAGTGTCTAGTGTTATTACCAACAACCTAGTCTTTTCCCACTTGTGTATATATCTTCGAAACGAAATGCCACAAGCAGTTTTACCAAAGAAAAGTGAAACCTTGGGCAGAATGATGTTGCTTCTTTTGATTAAGATCGCAGGTTATAAAAAAGACCGACTACATTTATATTATTTTTACACATGCATCTACGTGGGTATGGAAAGATGAAAACTCTAATAGAAGACATTAAATACAAAATAACAGATCTTGTGCAGAATGATGTTGCCTTGTGTAGGAGACTAGGAAACATTTGTAACCAGAGGAAAACCATAAAAAGCTTACGTACTCTTTCAGCCCGTGTGCATAACAATTTGGCGAGGCTCTAAATGGAGGTCGCTGTTTCGCAATATAAGAATTGGGCACTTCATGGTCTTGCTTTGAACAGAATGGGGGGCTTCCTTCGATCATCTGACGTTTAGTGCATCAATAAGATATCAATTTCTCAAATTAATCTTTTAACTATACATTCAATCATTGGATCCCATCTCATTGATTCAGAAAATACTACTTCCCCATTATTTCAAGCAAAATTCATAGAATTCAAGTCTATATTGAGGAAAGAAACTTCATTTTGGCCTTGCAAACAAAAAACTATACACTACCTCTTGTAAAATCAAGGCAAATGAGAATACATCAGCTTTAGTGTCATACTCTTCAATTCGGAAAACCTCAGGAGCTACATAACGACCTGTTCATGAACATATTATGTAAGATACAATAAAGCATTATATTAGGGTTATATTATTTGACATCAAATGATGATGTTTTTTACCAAAGAAAAGGAACCATAAATGAGAATCAAGTGCCTTCAACTATCCATTTAATGTTAGGGGATTTTGTGCTATAAGGAATAAAAATGACGTACTCCTACAATAAGAAATAAAAAATAAAAAATTGGGGGTCATATACTCATTACATTACAGGATCCAAAAACATAAACTCACATGAGGTGTCCTGTGACGTCAGAGGTCTGTCTTCTTTAATTCTGTTAGCCACTTTGAGTAGCTTGCTGACTCCAAAATCTGCAACTTTCAGGTGTCCAGAAGAATCCAACAATATATTCCTGTTTTTTTATTATACAAATAGGATTGAGTTATTTCACAAAATCATATAACAAAGCAGAAATAAAATTAACTAAGTTACAAACTCACGAAGGTTCAAGATCGCGGTGGATAATAGCTTCAGGTTTATGTTCATGTAGATAGTTCATTCCCCTGCAAAACCAAAACATATTGAAGCAAAAATTTCCAATCCGGTATTAAATAAAATAGACTTTACATAGCATGTGTCCATCATATTTTCATGTGAAGTTCACCTTTAAGCTATATAGTCACTAGGAGAGTTCCAGTTTTCTTTATGAATCCTTCGGTTTCTCCATTTTAAGTATTCACAAAATTCCAACCAATCACTCCTAGAGATAACAAAATTCAATCTAAATCTATTTTTATACTACCTCCATTTCACAAAATTTCATTTTAGCCTTTTGCACAATAACCAAGAAAAAAATTGTGAGGAAAATGGTAGTGTTATGGCTAATTGTACTTCTATTTAAGAAGCCTGGAAGCTATTGGACAAACTGTATATCCCATTTGATTGTTTTATCTTATTCACTATTCCTATCAAAAGCAACAAACATAGTAGACTGAAGAAAATAAAGCAGTGAGACAGAAAGTAATGGTAGTATCGTGAACCTGGCAATATCCATAGCAAGTTTTAGAGCCCTTAATGGTTTGAGTGCACCTTTTCTTTTCAAATATTCATGAAGATCACCCTACAGATGCGGGAGTATATATCAGCTCAGCCATGGATTAAACATCAATATAAGCAGTCTAAAATCAGTAATTCTGGAAAACCACATGATAAAAGTTTACACTATAAAATAGACACTTGAGATTTAAGTTGTATGAGCACCACAAGATAGCTCATATGACTCACAGTGACTGTGGATGCATCATGACATCGCTGTATATGTCGGAAAATGGCTTGTGTAGAGATTCTATAGCTAGACTTGGCTCATTCTACTGCCTTTATCAATTGTCAGAAATTTGACCTTGTTTCATATTATTAGATGGTATAAATTTCTATTTATTAGTTCAATGGCATTAAGTTATTTTAGAAAAAATGTGACATAAGATTTCCATTGGTACCTTTGGCAAATATTCCGTCACAATCATCATAGGACTGCTTTGGGTTACGGCACCAAGAAACTGGACAACGTTCGGGTGTCTTATTTTCTGAAGCAATGAAAGCTCATCTCCAAATGCCTTACTGCAAACATCTTGAGTTATAAAAGAATAATTCATTCTAAAAATAAGTATAACACGTGTATCTTTTTAGAGGTCTTACACTTTATCATCATCAGCATTTCCTTCCCAGAATGTTTTCACAGCAACTTTTGTGCCACCCCAAGAAGCCATTCTAAAAGTTCCCTGCCAATATATTCTCATCAGGAGGAAACTGAGAATTGAAATTCTTTTAAAGACCGGATAAAAAAAATTGACATGAATTTTTACAGAACCATTGCATGTGGTAGAAAATTAGAGATAGACTCATTAAACAATATCCAATACTCTGAAATAATAAAAAGTAAAATTCTATAAGTTTAATAAAAAAAGGTTGCTAATGATGAGTAGGAGACAAAAGAGAACTGGAAAAGTACCTTTGTTATTTCAATGCTATTTGTAAAATCAAGTTCTGTGGGATCTATCTCATATTCGGGTACCTCGCGGGCATTTTTTACATGCATTGGAGCCATCTACCAAAAACAACGAAATGAGAAAATACACAAATAAAGCCTTGTGCAAAGAAGACCAAACATGTCCTAAAGCACTAAAATCATTACACATGACAGAAAGTAGTATATATAGAAAGAAGCATCTCACAATTCTCTTTGCACCATGTTTCTCCAAAAGTCGGATCACATCGTGATTTTTATAATGTATGGCATCTGCAAGAGGCTGATGAAGCACATGCAGGGTGTCAGAACAGACCTAAGAATTATGATATACAAATACAATATATAACAAGCAATTATAAAACAACACTGATTTAGTTGTAAACTCTCAATAACTAGTCTTCTCATCTAATGATCCAAATATATCAAACACACACCCTCCAATATCGAATTAAAGCAAGAACTCCAAAGAATAACTTGTTTGACAGGCATTTTCACTCACAACAATTCGAGTAAATGCTCCCATAACATAACTCAACTTAGTGATCAGCAACTAAATGTAGAATAAAGTGTAGTAGTAAGTATCAAGGTTTAGAAACTACCGTGCTTCCCCACCTATCTTGGGGGTCGACTTCTGCCCCTCTTTCAATCAACAATTTGGCAACTTCACCATATCCCTGACATGCTGCAATATGAAGTGCAGTTCTGTAATCAATGTCCAAGAAATTAACATCAGCCCCCGAGTCTAAAAGCTCCTTGATGCCCTCCAAATCATTCTCATTGGTCATGTACAGAAGCTTCAGCCCTGGATCAATCTCATTCATATCACCATCTTCATTGTCTCCCCCAAGATGTGCATTGATACTGTGTTCCCTCTCAGGGGCCATAGAAGACTGCCTCCACAAATTACTTCTAACAGGCGACATGAACTCCATTAAAACTCTAAACCAAAAGGATTGTAAACGAATCAAGAATCCCTTTGAACGAAAAACTAGGATCTAGATACTATTTTTGTACCCAACTACCATCCCTTCTTGCAAGGAAATCTAGCAACAAACCTTTTTATATTTTCCCTGAAGAGAGAGGATAGATAGAATAGGGGTGGAAATCATAAACCAAGAAAGGCAAGAATCCAAAATTGTTGAGTAAGCCCTAAGAATTCAAAGAATGGGCTCCTCAAATCCATGGATTAGAGAGAGAGAGAGAGAGAGAAGAAAGAGAGAGAGGCAGCCAACAATCACGACTAGGTATATATAACCTCGTCTTGGCGATCCAGTTACCGAATCTTACTTTATAGCCCAGATTATAATGGCTATGTGAAACGGTAATGCGACAATCACGAGTAACAGTTGACCCCAAAGCTGGAAGGGAAACAGCTTAAGGAGCACGCGACTGCAAACTGAGTATAAAGAGTCCTTGAAATTTCCATTGCCGACGCCCGCCCTGCAAATACCAACTGGCGAATCATAGGGCTCCATTCGTGCAAGGAAATGGACGTGGCACATGGGCGACAGCAACGCCTTGCCTTGACCCTTCCCACCTTATGACTAGTCTTTCTTCCAAAATTTTCAAAAGATTAGGATTGATTTGTTCGAGATGAGGATTGATATGTGTGTTCATCGCTGAGGTGAGGTAGCTAATTGCCAAAAGCGACCAGTTCAATCGCAACTGGGTGATATCTATCTAGTGAATGTTTTTGGGCATCTTTCAACAGCGTCGTAAATTTTTAATTCAAACAAATTTTAGTATTATATGATATATTATCGGATGTGGGAAATAAATACATAAAAATATTAAATAATTTAAATTATAATTAACATAATTTAAATCTAATTTTTTTTTTATTCATAAATAAATAGAAATACAGATTTTTATTTTTTTTTAATATGATATTGGAGTTATGACAATCCAAAAAAATGTTAGAGAATTTTCGCTGTTCATTAAGGCGAAGAATGACGTTTTTCATCGTGCTAAGATATACAGCCAACTCATTGGTTCAATCCATAAATATTTTCTTGTGTTTAGTTTGTCTCTCACATGTCATAAATAAAAGAAAAAAATATGCTTTACATCACTACTTTTAAATTTAGTCATAAATTTGATATAGGACCAGATCAAATCTTTATCCAAATCATTATATAATGAATCTAATTCGACAGAAACAGCCTAAGATGCCACCAAAAATTTCATGGACGCAGTAATCAACAAACCGCCTAAATCGCCAGGCCAGTAAGTAGTGTAGTATCTTTGAAATTATTCCAAGACTATGCCACTTCTGTGGCATGTTCAAGAGAACCACAAGATTTGTTGACTTAGTAAGGCCAGTAGCCTAGTAATGCCTAGTCAGTTTTGAGCTCGCATTCAGACACCTTCTCCCATGACTGGCAACTTTTGTCTTCAGTATCCGTTCTGTACAGTGCCAATCGAGATACCGGGAAACTCAGATTGCCAATGCTCTCGTCAAGGGCGTAGGCTTTCTCTTGAGCAGTCTTCTTAACTTCATTTGATAAATCACCGTAGAGGAGGCTCAAGTGTGGCATATAAGCTGCAAGAGTTGAAGCAGACTTACCAGCTATGCAGTACATGAGTTTCATGATGATATGAAAAGAGAAAGGCAGAATAAATTTGCATCCATGTGTTAATGAAGCACAAATTTACAGGGACAGCATCAAGAACTCGATTTGCAGCCAAAGAATGCATGCAAATCGAGCTACCGTATGTTCAATTGAAACCTCAAAGAGGAATTGGTGTATCAAATGCCAAAATGATTTTGAATTACCATATTTTGAGGCTTTTGCTCTCCCACCAAAATGCCATACAAGTTAATGCACATGACAACTTTGAATTGGTGAGGAGTAAAAAATAGTGAAACCAAACTCCAAGTAAACAAAGTCTGAATCTTCTATATATGAACTTCATTGATGCAACTAGATATTACAAGCTTAACTACAATTCACAAATAATTGTAAACACATGAGATGGTATGCCATATGCATTTTAATTTTCGCCCACCCACTAATTTTCATGGATGGTTTTCATTCAAAACTATCACAAATGGCTTCCTACCAATTTGCAAAATGAAATTCATGTATATAATGATTCCAATATTTCTCCTTATTTGGATTGATGGATCAAAAGGAAGATTTTGTAATGATATCCAAAATGTTAGGAATCCACAAAACTGTTGAAAGGGATGGGTTAGAATATTGAAACCACTCCATCGATCGAATTGCTACAAACTTTATATAAGGAATATTACTTACGAGACGAGCTCTTGTAACCAAAATGGCTGCAGCAATGGGCACTAGCCTCAACCACCTGTTACAACAATTGCCATGAAAATTACATTAAATTGTGGTCGAGGAAGAACAATTTCGAGACACAACTATCATGGCAACACTAAAATCAAAATAGAAACATGATGGGATCACTTTTGGCCCCTTATATTTGATCTTCCTACTTAATAGTTTTATAATACTCCTACCATCAACAGTTGCCCCTAAAATCATTTATCACGTTTAGTTATCAATAGCAATTGAATTCATAAGATACAAATAATCTGATCCTACATTTCAACACTAATAACAAAACAGAAATTAGAAGCATTTCTGATCCTAATAATCAAGAACAATCCACATCCCCATCTCAATCTAAATCATAAGATTATCATCGAAAACAAACGATTCACAAACAATTGATCCATTGACGTAGAAAACAAACAGAGATTATATTAATTGAGTTATACCTGCGGGGTCGGGTGAAGCAGAAGAAATACGCACTGATAAAAGAAAGTGCCTGTAGCAACTCTGTCCACGGTAGCGGTGTAGGCCTTAAGAGCCTCGCAAGCCGTTCGCAATTTCTCGCGCGCCTCGCTCTCCGTCAATCGAATAGCCCCGACGATGGTGACGTGCGGCTCGAACTGTGGTCCACCGAACTCCGATCTAAGGCCATCCATCAATCGCTTCAGGCGCGGCGTCAATTCCTCCGGCGGAAGCCCCCACACCGAATAAACATCCCCCTTCGCTTCAGCTGGAACGGTCGCCGCAGCGGCCATACAGATACAGATACCGGAGGTAAGAAGAAAGACGGTCAATTCTCGAGCTGAGTGAAGCTTCTGCAGTACAGAGGCCGTCGGTCTATAGCACACTGTTTAAGGGTGTGTTTGTTTAGGGGTTTGGATTTTAAGTTGGGATTTGAATAGTAAAAATTTTGTATTTGAATAATTGTATGATGTGATATAAATAGGTGTTGATGTGATGTTTTGAATGTAAAATTTATTTTTAGTATAATATAAAAAATGAAAAATAGGTGTTTGATTTGATATTTTTGGGGGAAAAAAATTGGATGAATAGTGGAAATCTAATCTAATTTTCCAAACAAACACACCCTAAGTGGATTTTACTCATTCGACATTTCCTCCTTCCTTTAAAATAATATATTTTAATTATATTTTAAATTTTAAAATTTTAAAATTTTAATATTAATTAAATTATTTACTCATCTTCATTTTAATTTATAATTAATTTATTATTATTATTATTTTATTTATCATATTATTTTTTATTTTTATTTAATAAATATTTATAATATTATATTTTAATTTTTATTTATTATATTTTAACATATTTTTATTAAACTAAATCTATAATTTTATGTGAAAAAAAAATTATTTTATATCATAATCAATCCATATGTATTTCTTAAAATATAAATTTAATTCATGCAAATATACTTTTCTTGCACAAGATGAGTAATATTAAAGCAGATGTGAGAAATGTGTCTAAATTTTTTTATTTAAAGAATACACATTTAATATTTTTATTTTTAAAATAATTTGTTGACAAACATTTTGAAATGTTGACATGATTCAATTTTTTTAAAAAAATATATTATTATTAAATATATTTATAAAATATTATACTTTCTCCGTTATGCAAATTTATGCTCATTTGATCAAAAATTAATAAAAATTAGTAAAATAAAAATATAATGATGTAATAATATTTTACTTAAAAAAAATAAACATAAATTTGAATGACTCAAGGTATCAAATATTATTTAAAGATACTATATATATATATATTTTTAATCTCAAAATTCAAATAATATAAGATAAACTTATTTTAGCTGGATTTTAGGAAAACTATTAAAGTGGAACAAATTAGTTTTAAAAATATATATATTTAGACATTTTATTAATCTATATAAAAAATATATATATAAATGAGTTTAAAACAATTAACACAAAATATTCTATTTTAAGTAAAAAAACATAAAGCTGATGTTTGAAATATTTGTATTTTATATTAAAAAAAGTACTATAGGAAAATATATATCCATTAAGCCGCAATTTTACCATGTCGTGTCGGGACATGTGGCAGTCAGTCGAAAGGCCCTTCTGGAACCTACTCGTTCCTCCGTCTCCGGGCTTCATCGTTTAAGAGCTCTATTAATATGCGCTTCCATGGCGGATCTTCACCAGCTACAAAATTTGAAGCCCTACAGTATTTTTTCAATCTCTGCAAATTCTTAGTGGGTCTCTTTTTTGTTTCACTCTTATCTGCTACTTTTTGGACGAACAAGACAGGATCACTTTTCTCATCTTATTGTTTAAACAATTCCCCAATTTGACTTCCTTCTCTGAGTTTTCATCTGCGATTTTTAATCATCTTTGCCATTTACGTAATCGTCGTTACTTTTTAGGGCGAAGCAGCCAAAAGAGTGTAAAATATTAGCATAGTCATTCCTGATCGTCAATAAAAAAATTTATATTGGAGTTCCAACAATGGCGCGGCGATCAAACGATGCGACTGCCGTAATGTTGACGTCAGGGGCAAGTGGGAGAATCGGTGCGTTGTTTTCTCCGCGCTTGATGAGGAGTTTATGGCTGCTAATCAACGCATTTTTCCTGATTTTGCTGCTTCCGTTCAGCGGGAGGCGGCGATGCACGGCGGCGTCGGAGTCCGGCGAGAGAGGTGGTTGCGGAAAGGAGGAGAGGCAGCAAACGGCGCCGGGAAAAGTGGTGAGAGTTCCGGCCGCGATGGTGCCGCGGAGGAGCATGGTGGACAAGGAGGTTGCAGCGCGGCGGGCCCTGGCGATTAAGAGGGTTTTGGAAGATAATGGCGATGAAAATAAGGACACAGTGAGGGAGTTTTCTTTGTTCGTCACTGCCCGTGGTGACACTCTCTTTACCCAATCCTGGACGCCTCTTAAGCTTCCGATCAGGTAAATTTCTCTGATCTCTTCGAAATTTGATTTTCCTTGCGCCATTTCAACAGTAGAAGCCATTGTTGGAGATCTTAAGAGCTTGGTTAGGGTCACTTAATATGCAGATTTGTGATTTGCTGGTGGTGTTTGTGTGTTTTCTTTCTCCTTTTTCATTTTCTTGTTTCTGGAAATTACACAAGATTACTCCTATTAATTTGAATTTTGTGCAAGGAAAGCGACAATCATCAATTACTGCCGACATATGAGTTTCTTTTTTTCTTTCTTTTTTTGGATAAAAATTTCCTTGCCTTGCATTCATGAGAAGGAAATGTTTCGCCATCAGTTATTTATTGTTTATTTATAATTTGATGAAGTGGTTGGCTTTTATTGGTGATACATTTCTGCAGTATACTTCTGATATTCCTTCCTCTTGTATTATTTGATAATTTGTTGAATGCGGCAATTCTTTGTTGGGGTGTATTTATTGAGGCTGGCCTGGTTTATCCTCTTATATCTTCTGTTTGAGGAATTTCCCTTGTTGCTTTAGTCTGTCAAGATAAACTCGACTATTTTAGTTCTCATTATGCGGTTCCTTTCTGTAATATACATAAACATCAAAGGAGACATTCAGACATTTGATTTTATGTGGTTTTGATGCACAGGGGATTGCTGGTTCTCTTGCATGGCCTGAATGAGCACAGGTATGCATGACATAACATATACTATCTAGTGCATTTTTATTTGTTTATGTATTTGTTCTTTTTACCCTTAGTTGATAATGGGGTTTCATAACAGTGGCAGATATAATGATTTTGCAAAGAAATTGAATGCAAATGGATTCAAGGTTTATGGAATGGATTGGATTGGTAAGTTTGCATTCGACTCTGAAGAGAAAAACTATTGTGAATACTATTCACTTATGTTTGACGATTCTTTGTTTTGTGAATGTAAGGTAGAACATAAATTGAGTAAACATTAGCATTATTATTGCTATTACTAATTGTATGACATTCAGTATATCCCTCAAGACAATGTTAACTCTACTGTTTTTAGTGTGTATATAGATGCTGGAGGTTGATTTTAGCAAGAAACCAAAAATTATAATTATACACTAGTGATAAACCGAAAGACACATTATTTCAGATTTCAGAATCAACAACCAACATGAAATTTTCCGGGAAAATATAAATATTGGTGTTGTTGAAATTGTATTGTTTGCTGTTATATAGAGTATAATGCTGTAGTTTTCGATTATGCATGAACACTGGCTTGTTGCAGGGCATGGATTTGTTTTCATCCGGATGTAATTGGTGTGTAAAACTAACGTGCGAAGCCCTTCGCCATATGTAAGCTTGTTTTACATCTGCTATGCATTAAGTGAAGATTTGGAAATTAATGCAGCTAGATGATGCTAAAAGATAAATAAATAAATGGGCATATTTTCATTTGTGCGCTTCATTCTGTTCCTTTATATGCCAAAGCAAAGTTCTCTTTATTTGTCAAAATGTGTTGTGTGGATAATGAGAGTTTAAGTAAAGGCTTACCTCAATGTGTGCCAGAGTAAATGATTTCTCTAAAACCAAATTCTTGAAAGTGTTTATGTTAAAATATGACATCGATCATCATATATTTGTGTTATATAACGAGGATCTCTAGACTCAAACCTCTCTTCATTTCAGGACATGGTGGGAGTGATGGTTTGCACGCATACGTCCCTTCTCTCGATTATGCTGTTGATGATTTGGTAAGTTTGTCGGGTAATTGATTAGTTGAATGCAACTATCAAAAACTTTACTTATAAATAGCTGTCTGTTGATTACTTTGACTTCTTGTGTGCAGAAAATGTTTCTGGACAAAGTTTTAGCAGAAAATCCGGCCGTTCCTTGCTTCTGCTTCGGACACTCAACTGGCGGAGCTATAGTCCTAAAGGTAATAACATTTTCGTAAGTCCCCAAATCATCTACATCATCACAACACTCTTCCCTCCAACCCAAACCTCATTTAATTCACACCCCTTCTGATGCACAAACAGGCAGTTCTTGATCCAAAAGTGCAGAAACTCGTAGCTGGCATCGTGTTGATTTCCCCGGCTGTCGGAGTTCAGCCATCCCATCCGCTCATCGTTGTGAGATACTCTCAATATTTGCAATATTCAAACTCACTTTTTAAACACCTTAGCGAGATTCGAATTTGTCTGCTTAGGCTCTTGCCCCACTTTTCTCCATGTTCTTGCCGAGATTCCAATTCAGTGCTGCAAACAAGCCGGGCGCTGTAGTATCCAGAGATCCCCAAGCATTAATGGCCAAGTATTCGGATCCACTGGTGTTCACTGGAGCCATCAGGATGCGTACGGGCTATGAAATTCTTCAAACCACCGGCTACCTGCAGCAGAATCTGCAGCGAGTGACAGTCCCGTTTCTCGTCCTCCACGGCATGGATGACACGGTGACTGATCCAGAAGCTTCTAGAAAGCTCTATCTCGAGGCTTCGTCGGCCGACAAGTCCATCAAGCTCTATGAAGGGTTATTGCATGATCTGCTCTTTGAACCTGAGAAGCAAGAAATCACCAACACCATCCTTTCATGGTTGAGCAGCAGATCAAATAGTCGATGAAAATGGTTGTCTTGACAATTCATATTATGCAGACTGAGTTTCATTCGGACATGTGAATGATTCTCGTCACATTTGCTGGAATGTCCGATCTTGTTAAGTGGATATTGTTAAATAAAATATTGGATTCTGATTGATATCATACTTTTAATTTAATTATTATTTTTTTCTACATATTACAGCACTTTTAGACTTCAATAACAAATGTTTGAAGGCTTTCAACATCTTCAAGCTAGCTTTGATATTTGTACCTTATTATTATTATTATTATTATTATTGCACCTGTAAATATATAAGATCATTTGAAATTATTTATTTATTTCAATATAACAGATATGTTCATATATATTAAAAAAATTATTTATATAAAAATTAGTTTAGATTAATTATAAATACATATTTATATTATATATTTTTAATTTTTTACAAATTAATATTTATATTATATATTATATTTTTTAAATATTGACAGATATGTTTATATATATTAAAAAAATTATTATTGTAAAAATTAGTTTAGATTAATTATAAATAAATATTTATTTTATATATTTTAATTTTTTACAAAATTAATATTTATGTTATATATTATATTTTTTAAAATATTTAAATAGGTAAGTATTTTAATTTCTTACAAATTTTATATATTAGTCATAATCAAAGCAAACACGCTTAATTTATTAGGCCTTTACTGCAGTTCCAAAAAGCACGATTTTTTCCTTTATTGCGGTTACGTTTTTTCTTAAGAATGCGATTTTTGGGATCAAAAGGACGGAGAGAAGTTGCAACTGATGTAAAAATGAATAAATAATTAAATAAATTTCTTGTTCGGACAAGCAACCGCATTGAAATCAACAAGCATTCAACAAACAGACGACTTTATAAAGAGGCCACTGCACCAAATTCTCTAAAACCCTCAAATTTTTTCTCTCGTCTGAAGGGTTTTTTTCCCCCAAATGCTGGTCTAGAGGTTCTATTGGAGAATCCGCCCGATTGCCGCTGCCTTTGTCAATGGATTTCCAGAGCAAGAAACTCATCAATGATCCAAACGGTAGCAAAATTCCTCACTCGTTACTGTGCTTACCCATTTTTCTTCTGCATTTTCGTTTGGCTGATTTGTTGATGTATTTTCTGTTTCATTGATTGTTCTATCGTGTTGGCTCGTAGTTATGGGATGCTTGAGAGTGTGCCCATTTGTTATACGTACTCAATGGAAGTTTTGTGGCCTTTGACTTATTTGCGTCTGTTGTTGAAAGGGTTTGCGGATAATGCTTTATTAGGATTTAGGTGCTCTTTATTTGGGAATTGCGATTGCTCTTCGTTTCTTTTCTTTGCCCGTTTTTTTCACTCTGCTGTTGTTTTGTCGGATCGGAAAGAAATGCAAAGGACATACATGTACAAGATTGATAGGGTGTACGCTATCTCTTAAGAGTTGCTTGTTGTTTTGTTTGAATGGTAATTGCAATCAAGTTTTATATTAGATTTCCTTTTCCATCTTGGAGATAATCCTTTTTTTATTTTTTTTAATTTTTCTTGAAAGCTTAGATATACTTTGTTTCTTACAGTTGCGGCTGCTAGCAAGCTTGTCTTACTTTCCATCACAGATATAACTATATATCTCAATCGGAAAATAGGTGTGGAACATAGATTTGATTTATTGTCCTGTTGTTGCAGATGTAGTAACGGAATTCATTGAAGGATTGGTGGAAACTTATCCTGGTTTGCAGTATTTGGATGGTTTTCCTGATGTAATTATATTCACTTACTCCTTTTCTGTGAGCTTGGTACACCTTGTCTATTTGCACACGTTGCTAATGGCTATTGGCATACTGTGGTATGTAGGTTAAAGTTGTTATGCGGGCTGATGTTTCTGGTGAAACATACGACAAAGTAGCTGTGATATCAGGTTTGAATTATTGCCAACCTCCTTCAGTTTTTAGTTTCTTTGGTAGTGCCGAGTTACTGATATTGTTCAAAGTCAATGAGGTGGATCGTGCCTACATTTCCACTTCTGACACACATAGAATAAAATTTTATCGCGTCTTAATTGCGATATGAATAAATGATTTGCACGTGAAATTTAGCTGTATCTGTTTTTGTTTCTTACTTTCTTTTGTTAGTGTTGTCTTATTGTAGCTATGATCTCAGACTACTGTTAAACTAGAAGTTTCTGGCACTTCTGCAAACAATTATACATATTGAACTATACATTTATATTCGGTACAAGACTGAAATCCCAGAAGACCATAAATTTTATCTTATGGATGAGAACATTAGTTTTAGTATAATAAATCTAAATGATCATAAGATGTTCTTTAATAGAAAGCTTTTGAATCACTTGGCCCCACAAGCTTATGTTTTGGTAATTTAGCTGATCGGTTATAGTTCTCACTTAGAAGCCATTAATAGTAATATATCTACCTGCTGAAATTGTTTACGATCTTACTGGATAGTTGATTGTCCGAGGAAGCATTTATTAAGATAACATAGGAATAGATAAATGTTGGATAAGGATATGAAGAAGGAAAGAATCTGTGTCTGTTTAATGTCACAATTCATTATTTTTCATGGCTATAAAGGAACTGCTACTTGATTGTGGCTTTATGTTTTTGTTGGAAGTCCTATAAAATCTTTGATGATACTGATGGAAGTTGTGCCCAAAACAGGAGGTGGTAGTGGCCATGAACCTGCTCATGCTGGATTTGTTGGAGAGGGAATGCTGACAGCAGCAATATGTGGGGATGTTTTTGCCTCTCCTACTGTTGACTCCATTCTGGCAGTATGCCGCCTATCCATTAATCCTAATGATATTATCCCTTTTTAATCTAGATCATATCCTTTTGATGTGAGCTTTGTTTTTTGCATCAGGGCATTCGTTCTGTGACTGGTTCAAAGGGGTGCCTACTTATTGTCAAGGTATCTTTAATTATGATTTCATAATTGGCATAACTTATCATTTTGTTTTGATTATATTCTATTAGTTGCTTCACTTGTCTGAAAATTATGAACCTGCCTGCGGTCTATCTATGTTTTGCACTGAGAATAATATTAGATCGCATTTTCCCTGGCCTTATTTGGTTCCTGACAGAATTACACTGGCGACCGATTAAATTTTGGTTTGGCTGCGGAGCAAGCTAAGTCTGAGGGTTATAAAGTGGAGGTACATTTTCCTGCATTTTGAATATACTTATTAGTTACTATCAAACTTAAGTCAAATAATGCATGTATTCTGTAACTTGTGTTGATAGATGGTAATTGTTGGAGATGACTGTGCTCTGCCACCTCCCAGAGGCATAGCTGGGAGAAGAGGTTTAGCTGGAACTATTTTTGTTCATAAGGTTGGTTCTATATTTGGAATCATATTGCACTGTTCTCTGTCAATCTGGTCATGTTTATTACTGAGGCTCATGCCTGTGATTTAGTTTCCATTTATTTCTTTAATCAAGGCCTCTTTTATATTTTTCATAAACCTTATCCTATTGACAGTGGCATCTTATTACTTGGTTCTCTTCTGCATTTATTTCCCAGCAACTATGTCATTCCTAAGTATTGTGCTAGCCTCTCCTTAGTGCACCTGATTATATCCTAAAGTTGAGACTGTTAATATAAGTTCATCATAGATCTAATAAGTGCTTCAATTATTCATATGTCTACTGTTCTATGGCTTATCTGCCCCCTGATTTTCATATTATAGGTTGCTGGGGCAGCGGCAGCTTGTGGTCTCTCTTTAGCAGAAGTTGCTGCAGAGACAAAGAGGGCATCAGAAATGGTGGGTACAATGGGGGTTGCCTTGTCTGTTTGCACATTGCCTGGTCAAGTGACACCAGATCGCTTGGGCCCTGGAAAAATGGAGCTTGGCCTAGGAATTGTGAGTTTTTTTTTCCTACTCCATTTTGTTTTATTTCAACTGGTTGTGTATTTCACAATATGTCGGTGCTTTTCTCATTGTTATCACAAATGCATTTCTAATCATAGAAATTCAACTTGGAAATAGTGTTCTTTTGTGCATTTGGTTCCTGTTGGCACATTACTTGAAATGTTTTCTGTTTGCTTGTATCCCATATTTGGCAGCCAAAGGATTTAGCATGTGTAATGTAGTGAACTAGTTTCACTAGCCTCTGTTAGAAGTGTGACCAATTACCACATACTGAAAAATCCACCTCAATTTACTAATGACCTCAACTCTGCATTTTCTAGCATGGAGAGCCAGGAGCTGCTGTGGCTGATCTCCAACCTGTTGACATTGTAGTTACTCATGTCCTTAACCAAGTTTTGTCAACGGTATGCCACTTATTGTTAGACATGTATAATTGTTTTCTTGTCAATGCTGTATGCCCCTATGGTCAATTGTTGTCTTGGGTGATTCCTATAGTAAAATAAATTGGGAAATATGCTGTGATAAGCCTGATTTACCTGCAGGAAACAAATTATGTTCCCATATCACGTGGCAGTAGAGTTGTGCTCATGGTCAATGGGTAAGCCATCTCTAAGCATTGTGTGTTATTTATGTTACGATTTGAGTTTTTCCCACTCTTTAGTATGTTTTCCTTCTAGTTCCATTGCAAATATGACTCTAAATGTTTTTTGGTTACTCTATTGAGCTTTTTCATTGCTTTTGCTTGCAGATTAGGTGCCACTCCTCTTATGGAACTGATGATTGTGGCTGGTAAAGCTGTTCCTAAATTGCAGCTAGAGCATGGACTAGCAGTTGAAAGAGTGTATACTGGTTCATTTATGACCTCTCTGGATATGGCAGGTATGTTTTGACACTTATTTCCAACTATACACCAGTTCTGTTTTAACCTAGTGTTTTTGCAGGATTTTCAATCTCTGTAATGAAGGCTGATCAAAATATTTTGAACCGTTTGGATGCACCCACCAAGGCTCCAAATTGGCCTGTTGGTTCTGGTGGTTAGTAGACTCCTGCTTCTCTTCAATGTTGAGATTATTGGATGATGGAGATGGACACTTTTGTGAATATAGTTTTAACCTAATGCATTAATATGATTTCAGGTAACCGTCCACCTGCCAAGATTCCTGTTCCTCTCCCTCCATCTCGTTCAAAAATGAACAATGAGGTAATTTTCTTGTCATATCTGAAATGCAGCCTTTGGGTATCAACCTACCCACGGCTGCCTTATAATGGGTCGGGCTACCCACACACAAAATAGTAACAATGCCCTTTTTTAATTTAAAGCCAAATGGCAGTAGCCCTGCTTTTCTTTAAGTCAAGTCCCCTATATCATGTACTTACTGTAAGTTTACTGCAAAATGTATTTAGACAATGAGTCGGCCCGAGCAGCTTAGTCCAAATGGGCATATTCTTGAAGTGGCTATTGAAGCAGCAGCAACTGCAGTCATCAATCTCAAGGACAGCTTAAATGAATGGGACAGTAAAGTTGGTGATGGAGACTGTGGATCAACGGTGAGTGTGCGAGTATCTTTATGGTATATGTGCTCCCCTCCAATCTTTTTAAGTCCGTGGATTTACAAGTTATGTTTTTGATCTTTTCTATGTCGTAGATTTCTAAAGGTGCTTCTGTCATTCTTGAAGACATAAAAAAGAGGTGAACCCCTTGTTTGATCTATAATGCTCCTCTTCAACACACTTTGTGTTTCTCTATTTCATTTCTCTCTTTGTTATACTGTTCAGCTTTCCTTATCTGCTTTGTTAACATCCTTTTTTGAATTCTCTTCTTTCCAGTTATCCACTGAATGATCCTGCAGAAACTGCCCGTGAAATCGGATGTTCCATCAGGAAGGTCATGGGTGGAACAAGTGGCATCATGTGAGATACTCCTCTTGTCAAGCTCCTTCATGAGAGATTATTGATATTGTAGCATTAAAATGGTGACAAATGTTCCTTCTGCCATTACAGATACGACATATTCTTTAAGGCGGCATATGCGCATCTGAAAGCAAATATGTCTTCTGGCCTCACAGCAGTACAATGTGAGATGACATAGCACACTACTTGTCTAAGTATTAAATTTTGTGCATTCGAATCTACCATAATTGAAGTTTCTTTATTTAGGGGCTGGTGCTCTTGAATCTTCCATTGATGCGGTCAGTAAATACGGTGGTGCCAAAGCAGGGTACCGCACGCTGTTGGATGCACTCATCCCTGCAGCGACTGTTCTGAAGGAGGTCAGAACCAATAATAACCTCACATGTTTCTCAGCAGTCATCCAAAGCATTTAATTTACTAACAGACCCATATGTTCAGAAACTGACAGCTGGAGAAGATCCTGCCGAGGCCTTTATTATATCTGCTGATGCCGCTGTAACCGGTGCTGAGTCAACCAAAAACATGCCAGCACAGGTTGATCTTTTGAATAAATGAACAATCTTTAAGCTTTTATGTGTAATTTTGTGATGACTCTTTATATTAGTTACTCATACTAAATTATGTGCAGGCGGGTAGGTCGTCGTATGTCTCGGCTGATATTCTAGCAACGGTTCCTGATCCCGGGGCCATGGCTGTAGCTTGTTGGTACAGAGCCGCTGCAGTAGCTGTGAAGAATAAGTATCATCAGGCTTCGTAACAATGGATATGGATGGCCTCTAACATGAAAACCCTTCCGGCACATTTCATTTTTTTCCCCCTTTTTTTTTCTCTGGGTTGAGGAAATTCATGAGCAAATTTTTGTTCCTTATTGTGAGCTTTCCGCTTATGCAGTCAGATGCGTAAAAGCTGAGAGAGCTTAATCTTCATCTCTTGTCTTGTGCTCTCTGAAGTCCCAATGTAGAATGAATGCTGTTTATGCCTTTCCTTGATGATGATCAAACACCTGTTTTAGATGAATCGCGCAAATAAACATACCATACCAAGATGCTGCCCACGATTACGGTTTTAAAATGTCGGAATCAAAGAATGTTTTGGGCCCCAAAATAGCTCCGTTTTATGGTAGCCCATAATGAAATAAACCTTAAACAGAAAGGGTTATAAATGCCAGGTAAAATGGATAATCTGTGCTTTCATGGCCGCAGTGACAGATAGGGAAAGCCTCCGATGAAATTGATCTGGCATGGGTTGTACAGTGATGCGTGACATTTGTACCCATCATATATATTTCACGGATATTCTGAATTTAAACCAAATTTCAGTGAATATTCATTACTGTAGAGTGCCAGTTCCCCCCTTCCACCTCTTCTCCTCTCCCCTTCCCAAGAAGGCCTGCAAATCTGTCACAGAAGGGGCGAGAACAAAACCCTAGAAAGTATCGGTTTTCCATTCTGTCAGTGCCTTTTCTCCCTCCTCTGTATTCATATTCTCTGTTTTAGTACATTTTTTGTTAATGTTGTAGCCCGGGTTTTGCTTTTTTTTGCTGGTTATCGTCTAAATCTGTTGCGTAGATTATTTGGCGTCCCAAGCACGCTGCATTTCTTCTCTCTGAATTTTCTTAACATATATATGTATCGACATTGTTGTGTCCGATTCTGTGCGGAGATTTATGTGTTAATGGCTGTGTTTCCTGCGTGATTTTCTTGACGGATATTTTTAAGAACAGCGTTGCATTGTGTGGATTTGTTTCGTTACTTTAGATGTTGTCCTGGAGTCTCATTTTGTGTTCTTTTTGATGACACAGTGTTAAGTGTATTGAATTTTGTTTTCATGTGGTGAAGCGAGATGGATGGAGATGGAAATATGAATCTGAGGAATTGGGGATTTCTTGAACCCCCAGGGAGAACAGTTAACAGCCATCTAGGGCTTCAGTTGATTTCCCCCATTGTCGAAAAGCCCCTTTTCGGTGGAGCTTCGCGTGACCTTCAGCAAGCTCCTCAGTTGCCCGTCATGGCCTCCACAAACGGCGGTCCCTTCCATCACCATCGCGTCGGCGGCCTGTCTGAGTCATATGTTCCAATGGATTACTGGATGAATGCCAATCGTGAAAAGTACTTCAGTGTGTTATCTGGAAATCATACCCATGGCTATTATCAATCCAATTATGGAGCTGCTCCTTCACCAGAGACGTCAGCTGCTCAGTCCATACAAATGCCTCAGCAGATTCCTCTACCAAAAAATGAAAATGATGTCTCCAGAATGGATGTCTCTGAGGTACAGGATGATAATGGTTGTGGTGAGGCAGTGGTGAAGAAGAAGAGGAGTGGTAAAGTTGCAAAGTGTCCTCCAAAAGAGAAGAAACAAAGGACTACAACTCCACGGCTTCCAAAAGCCGAGACCAATTCTTCAGCACTTATTGCAGGGGCTGCCAAAAAGCATTCTGAAGTTGTGATTATTAATGGAGTCAGTATGAATATCTCGGAGCTCCCTGTTCCAGTTTGCTCGTGCACTGGGACACTGCATCAATGCTATAGGTGGGGATCCGGTGGTTGGCAGTCGGCGTGCTGCACGACTGGTTTGTCTGTGTATCCATTGCCAATGAGCACAAAGCGACGTGGTGCTAGGATTGCTGGCCGTAAGATGAGTATTGGAGCATTTAAGAAGGTGTTAGAGAAGCTTGCGACTGAAGGTTATGATTTCGCCAGCCCTATTGATCTGAGGAGTTATTGGGCGAAACATGGTACAAACAAGTTTGTGACAATCCGGTAAAAATTTTGTCGCGGGCTCCTAGTGTAATGTGGCGCTTCTTTCCCTGGTGTACATTAGTCTAAGCCCTGGTCGGACCGAAGAGTTTGTTAGTTTTTTAACTGGCAAGCTTCTTAAATTCAACATCCTGAAACATTCGAGATAAGATTTTCTGGATTTGTTCGTATCTGTAGTTTGAGAAAAACCATGACTCAGTTATTTTGTTTTGCAAACCAGGGATGGGAATTATATGTTTTGTGCAAGTATGGAACTTTGCTGTTTTCTTATCGTGATCTTGTTTGCTGCATTTCGTTTCATTCCTGATTTACCGTATATTGAGATGCTCATTGATAGAAGCGTATTATGGTTGTAAAAAGTGAACACTTGCGATTACCAATAGCGATAGCGAAGCGCAATTAAGTTTCATTGGGGAATCGCAAGAAATATTGGTGCAAACATGACATAACTAATCAGTCTCAGGTTCATTAGAATCATATCACTTGTGCATAGATTCAATATCCAAAATTTCCTGCTGTTGTTTTTGTTGTCTAATTGTTTATGATCACAAACTATAGAAGCTTTTCCTTACTCATGCCATTAATATCTTCATTCTCATGTCTTACCACGTCTGGATTATTTCGATTGGCTTTAATCTGCATCCCATTTCTTGCCTAAAACAAATTTCAGCTGTGCATATTCAAATGCATTCAGCCACATATAAAAGTTGACTACACTTGATTGAAAATTTTCCATTAGATTGATTATCTATTCCTTGATTGATTGATTGATGGGTCAATTTTCCATTCATAGTCTTTGTTCTTTGATTAAAGTGAGGTCGTTGTAGGTAATTTGAATGAGGGGTCAGTTTCTTTGGTCCTAAAGTGGACACATATATATTTATTTGTTTATAACAGGTCTCTTCTCTCATGATTATTATGCATTAGGAATCTTGGTAGATCGTCCTTACCTCCATTTTTACAGTAACTGATGGAAATGGATTGTATCTGTGGATAATGCAAGGTGATTTTGAATCACCAATTTTAGGCATGATGTCATTAAAGTGGGGCTTGATTTGTCTGTGGTCCTGAGTAGGGATTTTTGTTCAGATACTAATGTTTTGAAAATGACCATGTTTGATGTTGGAGCATGTGAAAATACAGTTTTGCCCTTCCCCCAACATGTATTAAGATCTCTTGTTGCATTTCTTTGCCTGTTAACATCTTGAAATGAGAAATTGCAGCATTATAGGCCTAAATAAAGTCCAACCATTTGAATGATATTATTGTGTATGTCTTGTACCAGTCATCTTTTCCCATTTATATTTACTTCAGTGTTCGTTAATGATCTGAAGGTTCCATTGCTTTGTTAAGGAAAACACTTGTAATTCAAAAAGCACAGGTATGACAGAAGTTTCATGATACATTGAAATGTCCCTTCAATTTAATTCTATATTTAATATCACTTTTAATTTCTTCAACTGCAATGCCACAAATGTGTTGCCAATATTTTATTTCCACTGGCAGTGATGATAATATCATTTGTATGCATTCATAGAGACAATGAAGTTCTTAAAGACATGCCAGGCTACAGCAGTGTAAATGTATCTGCAGAAATATTCCTCAGGGCCAATAATTTAATAGGAGACTGAAGCGTAATTTCGAAATTCCGGAGGGTAAATTTGTCAAAACGGCAATGGGATTGAGAGAGCAGAATGCTACAGTGAGATGATTAGACAGATAAATGAGATATGTTTAGAAACAGACAAATATTAGGCCACTAAAGATGTATAAATACATACATGCACTTGGCCTCACAGTCTTCTGGTATTTCTGCATGCAAAATTCACTGTGTTTTTGTCCCTTTGTGAGGATGTTTTATTCTTACAATAATCAAACTTTGAACCATAAATTGTATCGTTCGCAAAATGCCCTGATTTACCCTACCCCCAACCCCACCCCCCTTTCTCTCTGTCTGAGTGAATGAAAGGAAGAAAGATGTGACCCTTTTTGGAGGATACAGAAGCTGAAAAACTGAAAGCTGATTGTAGTACCCAAACCACCAAAGTTGTGACCTTTTTCCTTTCTTTCCTTATTGTTAATTTATTTTTAAATATATAATTGATTTTATGCATTTCCGCCATTGTTGTAACAGTGCATGCTAAGAAGCTGTGTTTGATGGTAAGCAACGTTAACCCTCTCCCTATTTTGGAGCGCTTCCCTTCGCCGGAGAATGGAAAACGGAAAAGACGACCCGCCGGAACTCCAGGTAACACGGCGGCGATGGGCTGACGAGAAATTGGGAAGGAAGTGGAACAGTACTGAATACTATAATTTAATTTAATTTTTTCTTGCTCGGTGGTTGCAGATCCAGATGCGGAAGTGGTTTTCCTGTCGCCGGAAACCCTCCTGGAATCCGACCGATTCGTGTGCGAGATCTGCCAGCAAGGATTCCAGCGGGACCAGAATCTGCAGATGCACCGGCGGCGGCACAAGGTGCCGTGGAAGCTGCTGAAGCGGGAGACGCCGGCGGCGAGAAAGCGCGTGTTCGTCTGCCCGGAGCCGAGCTGCCTCCACCACGACCCCCGCCACGCCCTCGGCGATCTGGTCGGGATCAAGAAGCACTTCCGGCGGAAGCACAGCAATCAAAAGAAGTGGGTCTGCCAGAAATGCTCCAAAGGATACGCCGTTGAGTCGGACTTCAAAGCTCATCTCAAAACCTGCGGGACTCGCGGCCATTCCTGTGATTGCGGCCGCGTCTTCTCCAGGTAATTAATTAATTATTAATTAATTATTACATGCATTCTATATCTATCTATATATATATATCATATATATGATATGTATGTATATATATGTGTATATGTATTCTTGGAAAGGGCTGCAGGTATTGTAGGGATAGTACTGTGTCTTTTCATACAGATTTCTGTTGGATTCAGTGCAGAATATTTCGCAGATTCAATTGTTTTTGTGCACGTCATATCATGATTTGCTCAAACCAGATCGATGAAGGCGACCTAATACCTTGAAAATTTAGGTTTTAATTTTGACGCATGTAGCCGTTCCCAATTTTGAACCCTAAATAATTCTATATATTGATATTGGCTTTTCTGTTTTAAATTAATTCTTGGATTTGTATAATCGGTGCTTCTTGAATTATTGTGCAATTTATTTCATCAAATCTTATTTTTTTTTTTATGTATTTAAAAATTAGGGTGGAGAGTTTCATTGAGCATCAGGATGCTTGTAGCTTGGGGCGGCTACGGTCCTCCGGCTCCAGCTGTCTACAACCGCCGGCGGCTTCCTCCGTCGGTCCATCGGCGGCTTACGCTCCCTCAGCCGGACCAGTCATCTTCCCCGACTGTCGGCAGCCTCCGAATCTCGAGCTTCAGCTTCTCGTCAATGGCAGAACAACTGGCATCGACGTGTTAGGCACCTCCACGAAGAGCACCTTCATAAATGGCCTCAGCCAATGCTCGCCGAGGGGGAGGAGCACCGCCGCCGGCGAGAATCTAAGGCCCACCGCGGCGGCGAGGATTGTGAAAGAACAAGCGCAGGAGCTGCTGAAATTAGCGATGACGGAGAAAGCGTGCGCGGAGGCGGCGCGGCACCAGGCGAAGTGGCAGGTGGAGCTAGCGGAGCAGGAATTCTCCACCGCCCGGCGGCTCCGGCAGCAAGCTCAGGCGGAGCTGGAAAAAGCTCAGGCGCTGAAACAACACTACTCCACGAAGCAAACCAATTCGATAATGGAGATAATCACTTGCCATTCGTGCAATCACAAGTTCCAGGAGACGCCGGCGGCGGTTTCATGGCAAATAATGCTTCCAGAACCTTCTTCTTCATCTTCTCCGGCGAGCAAATTGATCGGAGAGTGGGAAGCACGAGTTGCGTAAGTTTCATCTTCTTCAATCGTACGCACTTAATTAAATAATAATTTAACATTAATTAAGCGTATGTACCTAATTTAATTTCATCTTCATCACGTCTATGGTTTGATCTATAACGAACCTATATCTGGTACTGTAATCTATTCCATCCTTTTTATCGAATCATGTAATTACATTATAATGTTGTTTGTCTGAAAATGGAGCTACTCCAGACCAGACCAGACCAGGCATTCAAGAACGTCAGCCCTGCCACATTAATAATTACTGTCTGTAAGCACCACGTGTATATGCACATATATATATATACGTACACCATTTGCATGTACGCACGTAAATACCCGTATGTGCATATTGATAATTCCTGGAGCTGAGCCTGAGCCGCCATGGATGGAGGGAGGAGCGAGGACGATGATATATAACTCCATCTGGTGCTGGAGTCCCGGAGCTCCCAAGAATGAGAAATGCATGTAAGTATATATATATTTGCAGAGGTGGGTCAGGGTGGGGAAACAAGAGTCCTTTGTGACTGCAATTCTGAAAGCGTACATAAATGGCAATGAAAGAGACAGCATGATTTTCAGTGCCACAGATGTAATTGTTGATCCTCGTCTCGTCCCCCTCAAACTCAAACTCAAACAATCCCTACTCCCTCACTCTCACCATTAATAAGTAAGTACTGGTAAATTAATTATTACTACTCCTACTATATTATTTATTCAATTCTTACCTCCACAGGCACAGCTATAGCTATAGTATAGTATCCACACTTGTGCAGGCGCAGAGCCAGATGACGCTTTAATTTGTTTCTTTCTTCCCCTCACTTCTCTTTCTCTCCATCGGAATCAGTGCACGACACCATTTAATTATAATACATACGTACGTACATATATGTTTCTGCCTCTGAATGTAGTAGTGTATGCATATAAAAGATTTCTGGTCTACTTTTATCATGACACCCCCAACCCTAATTTATACATCCTCCCAATCCACTTGTTCGGGGCTTGTTTTGTCAGTATTACATGTTTAGACAGTGGGGTTATTTGCTTTTAGTTTGAAAATCAAATTCCTCTTAGAAAAAATACAATATTTTTATAATAAAAATATTATTTAAATCAAAATTTTTTTTGTAGACTTTTTTTCTTTTTTTTTCCTACACTATTCAACCATAATTTGTTTAAGTAAATATTATACTACCTCGATATACTCACAAAGTACATCTATTAGTATTTTGTAATACAGATACAAAAATATTTTTGGAGTAAATTATACATATTTATAATATTAAATACAATAACCCAAAATCATCTGTTTATTTTCTGACTGGACTGAGGTAGTATAAAACAATCATTATTATATTATTATATTTTTTTATATCGTGGGAACCCGTTACCCGAAAGAATTATTATATTATTATTATTATTATTATTATTAAATATCAAGTTAAATATTTACTATGTTATATAGTATTACTTTTAGATTTTCTCAAAACTCGAATAGTAGGCCCACAATTTATATGAGTTGATACTATTTTATATAAAACTGTATATATATATGTGCACACATATATTCATCATCCATGTCATTTAATGGGCCGTATGGATTATTGATTTGGGTTATGTAATAAGCCCATTCTACAATTGGGGCTTTCGGCAAAAATGTGGCGTTGGGCCCATCCCATTTCCTTCATATCTAATTTGTAATTAACTTAACGTTACGTTAAATGCACGATAATTTGAGCTTTGAATTAATTAATTAGAAGGTTATGGAGTGAAGAGAGCTCAAAATCACGTGGCATGGCGTCACCGCCCTCACAGTCCCACTTCAGTTTCCGCGTGCTCGTGTCGTCCATACTCCGTACCGTTCCTGCTTCAACAGCACGCTCTTGCCGAATCAAACAAATTAAGGAGAAATTCCATGGTTCTACACTTCTTAGTTTCCATGTGCTATTGCTGCCGCCGAGAATTTACTCCCATCCTCGTCGTTTTAGGGCGTTGAAGAAACCGAGGAATTTGAAGTGAAAAAGGATGGTGTTTAAGGGCAGATTCTTTTCCTCAAGGAAGTCTGATAGTTCTAGTCCCGACGGATCTCACAATAGCCCTCGATCTCTAGGGTCTAACTCGAATTCGCCGATCGGATTTGATAAGAAAAAACCCAAATCATTGTCGCCCTCCGTTTCTAAGGATGCTTCTTCCGCTGCTGCTTCCGGGAGCAGTTCGGCTAAGACGCTTCTTAGGAAGAAAGATTCCTCGAGAGGGAAAGAATCGCTGAATTCAAGCAAACTTTCCTCTGGAATTTCTACCGATGCTTCGGTTAATTCAAGGTTGAAGGCATCTGAAGAGTTGGCGCCTTCGGGTTCGGGAGGCCAAACGTCGGTATCTGTCTCGCCGATCGTGGCTTCGTCTTTGGGATTAAACAAAATCAAGACGCGCTCAGGGCCATTGCCGCAGGAGAGTTTTTTCAGTTTTTCAGGCAGGGAGAAGGGCGTTGCACTGGGTGCTAGTACCTTGTCTAGGCCATCGGCCATTGCTGGAAAATCTGGGGCATTGAGTGGTAAGAAGAAGAAGGACAAAGTAGTAGCTGAAAGTTCTGAAAATAGGAGTAATTCTGATGGTATGTCGTCAGATAATGGGGCATTGAGGGACCAAAACTCACATGTATTTCAGGTTCGGACTCGGCTCCAAAATGCTGAGTCATCAACATCGGAGGCTACTGGTATGAGTCTCTATGATTATTTTCTTCATTGTGTTTAGTCATCTTTGCCATTAATTATGACTACTTTGTACAATTATGGTTAGGTTATATAATCAGTGCATATAGTTTATATGAAAGTTTCACTTCCTCTTTTGGACTTCTAAGCAACAATCTTAAGAACTAGTCCTTTCATTTGATACTTGGTTGAAGGTGATTTATATAATTAAGTTGTATGAGAACAGAGTGCCCCGACTTCATTGGCCTCAGAACATTGGTGACCCATCACATCTCTGCGATCTTTCACAAAATTAGACATGCATCTAAGGGAAAATAGGCAGTGAAAATACAAACAGAACCGTGGCCAAACTAAGTTTATGATGAAGACAGATGGATTAATTAAATCTATCCCTGAATATTAGTCTCCCATGACTTAGGTTCTAAGAGATTTATCTCCATTTTCCTTTTATATATTCTTCATATATATTTATCAAGCTCATCTTGACTCTATTTTTTGTATTATCACACATATATTCGCATAAATGATAACTTTAAATTTTGTTAGTCAAAATATATTTGACCTTCCTGGTTCATGACTCCAATGTACTAATATATTAATGGTGGTAAACATGCAGTTCGTGTCCTTGTTAATGCATAAATAGAAATGTTGAAAGCATTTTCTAGTTCAATATGTCTTGGCAATAATTTATCATGGTTTATCCTAAACAATGCAGGGATTTTTGACCCACCAATTCTCAGAAATACAGATGCATGTACTCCAGAGACTAAGGTATAATGATCAATTGCTTTCTAATACTAAATTTTATTCTGATTTCAGGATTTGTTCTTGTTTCAGTTTTGCTATAAACTATTATTATCTAGCTTAATCTTTAATATTTTTCTTAGACGCCATATGATTGTGACAATCCAAAAGAATCTGAATCTCCGCGCTTTCAAGCTATACTCCGTCTTACAAGTGCACCCAGGAAGAGATTCCCCGGTGATATAAAGAGTTTCTCACATGAATTAAACTCTAAAGGAGTACGTCCTTATCCATTTTGGAAACCTGGAAGATTAAATAACTTAGAGGTAATTTCTTTATTGACATGATTATTTATCAACAAGAGGTCTTACTGTTATTGCTTATGGGTGGTATTGATATTCTTTAAATTGAATCAGGAGGTTTTAGCTACAATCCGGGCAAAATTTGACAAAGCAAAGGAAGAAGTTGATTCAGATTTGCGTGTCTTTGCAGCAGATATTGTTGGCATTCTTGAAAAGAATGCAGAAGCTCATCCAGAATGGCAGGAGACCATAGAGGACTTACTGGTCCTGGCTCGGAGCTGTGCTATGACTTCTCCAGGAGAATTTTGGCTGCAGTGTGATGGCATAGTACAAGAACTGGATGACAAACGCCAAGAGCTTCCTATGGGCATGCTAAAGCAGCTTCATACGCGAATGCTTTTTATACTCACCAGATGTACTAGATTGTTGCAGTTTCATAAGGAAAGTGGATTGGCTGAGGATGAACATTTATTTCATCTTCGCCAATCATTTCAGCCTCCAAATAAACAAGATCCTTCACTCATGGAAGTGAATGAAAAAATATCAAGTGATTCAAAAAATTTCATAGCTCCTTCTACAAGGAAGTCTTACAGTCAGGAGCAGTCCAAGGGGAGGAGGGACCAATCTGTGTCTGGAATTTCTCTGTCTTCAGTTTCTGAAACCTCTAAATACCTTGACTCTCCTGATGGTAGGAGTCGGATGGCATCTTGGAAGAAATTTCCTTCTCCTTCTGGTAAAAGCCCCAAAGAAGCTGCTTCAGCTAAGGAGGGCCATGACCAAGCTATCATCGAATCTCCAATAAAATTAGATAATCAAAGTGGAAGGAGTTATACTGATGTAGCAACTACTGCGGCTCTTGACATTCCTGCTAAGGACTCAAATGGGCCATCCCAGAGGCCTAAGCATCAACACAAAGTTTCCTGGGGCTACTGGGGAGATCAACCAAGTATATATGATGAAAGTTCAATAATTTGCCGCATATGTGAGGAGGAAGTTCCAACTTTGCATGTGGAAGGCCACTCTAAAATATGTGCAATCGCTAATAGATGTGATCAAAAGGGTCTAAGAGTGGATGAACGGCTCGTTAGAATTGCTGAAACTCTTGAGAAATTGATGGAGTCCGTTTCTGCTAAGGATTTGCAACGTGGGGTCCTTGATGGTGCTAAAGTATCAAATTCAAGTGTAACTGAAGAGTCAGAGCTTTCTCCGAAATTTAGTGATTGGTCACGTAGAGACTCTGAAGACATGCTAGATTGTTTTTCCGAAGGTGATCACAACATTGTCATGGATGACCTAAAGGCTTTACCATCCATGTCATCTAAAGCTAGATTGGCGCACAAATCGGATCAAGTAACATCAACATCATCAGCAGGCAGTGGAACTCCAAGATCTCCATTGTTGACACCACGGACGAGCCCAATTGATTTACTTTTGTCGGGGAAAGGTGCTTTTTCTGAAAATGGAGATCTTCCTCAGGTATGTTGAGTCTAGTTGTCATAATTGCCTTCATAAGTTTATTTATTGTTCATCTTTTTCTTTCTATGGGTTCCCTTCAAATTATCTGAAATTTAATTTCGTATTTAATTTTGTTAGGTATTCACATAAATTCAAAATTTCTATGAAACTTAAAACACTAGTAACAAGTGTGTTGTCTTGGTATGGTTATACACATTAGCATCAAGTTTACCTTTTTGTCCCTAGGTAGTCCCATAAAATTTATTCCGATGTTATCTCCCTTCCATTGAGGTGCTTTCAACTGTTATAATTTCCTAATTTTCTTTGGTGGTCTGTCTTGACTTTCTACTATGCAAGCCATCAGTTGTTCCTACAACGAATCAAATCCATACATTGTCACATAGATCCATATTTTCAATATACAAATAACACTGTTGTCCCCCTTGAGGAAGTGCTGGTTGTGATGAAGTCCTCACTCAATTACTCTTGTAGCTGCCATACAATGTCATAGGAATAAGTGACATAGTAATACATCAATTGAAAACTCAGTCTCCTTATGTAATCGGATTATGACGATAAATGTTTATGTTGTATTTTTTAGTGTGCCTAATTATTTTTTAAGCAGAATCTTATATACAAAGTATGGGTAAAAATAATGGTTTGACAATTATTATCAATATTGACAATGCAGATAAGTGAACTTGCTGATATTGCTCGATGTGTGGCACATACACCCCTGGATGATGATCGTTCTTTAGAGTATCTGCTTTCATGTCTTGAAGACTTGAAAGGTGTTGTAGATCGCAGAAAGTTTGACTCACTGACTGTAGATACATTTGGAGCACGCATAGAGAAATTAATCAGGTGATTTAAAAGTCTATTTTATTTTATATTATATTTTCTTTTTACCTAGAATTTAATATTTAAACACTCATGTTCTTCCAAAACCATCATATCCAATACCCAATTTTCATTTAACACATCGCATATCATTACTATATCACGGCAAAAACAACAAAAACAAAAAGCACAATAGTAATAAATACATGAGTATGATTTTTGTCTCTGCTTTTCATTAATTTCCCAAATTTCTTCCAAGAACATTACATTGAATACTTATTTTCCATTCAAAACATTATATTCAACAATTATTTCACCCAAAAAACATCTAACAAAAACACAAATAAACAAACCCTAAATCTCTTTCTATTCAAATAATATTATGCTGTCTTTGGCATGACATCATTTTGTTAAATTGTACAGGGAGAAGTATTTACAACTATGTGAACTTGTTGATGATGACAAGGTTGATGTAACAAGCACTATTATTGATGAGGATGCTCCTATGGAAGATGATGTTTTACGTAGTCTGCGAAATAGTCCTGTGCATCCTTCCAATGATCGCACGTCTATAGATGACTTTGAGATCATAAAACCAATTAGTCGTGGGGCATTTGGTCGGGTATTCTTAGCAAAGAAGAGAACAACTGGAGATCTATTTGCAATCAAGGTATATGAAGTTCTTATCAATTTTAGGTTGGAAGTAAGTTCTTATTTTTATTTATTGAAATGAATTTGACAACACATTTGATATTGGGAATCAAGAATAAATAACAGCAATGCCAAATTTCATATATCCATTTTAAACAGTGGCATGATTAAGGCAAGGTAAAATTATATTAACGAAATGAAAAATTAGAATCGATAGGACTAAGTTGAATTTTAGGATGGTTTGGTATTTCAACTTTACATGTTCCCCAGGTTCTTAAGAAGGCAGATATGATACGCAAAAATGCAGTTGAAAGTATATTGGCGGAACGTGATATACTGATATCTGTCCGCAATCCTTTTGTGGTGAGCCAGAGTCGTTGACATCAGTTTTACTCTCATTTTCTTTAATATTACCATCTTAAGGTCTTAAAATGTTGTGTTGTAGGTCCGTTTCTTCTATTCGTTCACTTGTCGCGAAAATTTATATCTTGTGATGGAGTATTTGAATGGTGGAGATCTCTACTCGCTATTGAGAAATCTAGGCTGCTTGGATGAGGATGTTGCTCGTGTGTATATTGCTGAAGTTGTAGGTTATTTTTTTTTGGACTTTTTCTCATCAGTTTCTTGTCACCCTCTAACCCAAACGCTGATTACAATTTGCACATGTTGGTTAGGTGCTTGCACTGGAATATTTGCATTCTCTTCGTGTGGTTCATCGTGATCTGAAACCAGATAATTTGCTTATAGCACATGATGGCCATATCAAGGTTGTTTCTTTCATTTTTCTGTTCTGGTTGAATTTGATATAGATGCTGTGTGTTGACATTTTAGTGTGTGCTTGTTTAACAATATTGTGTGGTTTCTCTGAAGTAACATTGTCACCATGAATTTTCAAACAGGAACGGATTTGTTGATACATTTCATTATATATTACTACTATTTAGAAACATGAAGCACATAGTGCTTCATTTAGAAATGGATGTATTTCATGATACTTTTGTAGTTTCGTTTATATAGAGCAAATATTTATTGTCACTATTAATTTGTACAGTTAACAGACTTTGGGTTATCAAAAGTGGGTCTAATCAACAGCACTGATGACTTGTCGGGACCAGCTGTCAGTGGAACATCGCTTATGGAAGAAGATGAACGGCCATTATCTGCATCAGAGCATCAGCGAGAAAGGCGTAAAAAACGCTCAGCTGTTGGCACACCTGACTACTTGGCACCTGAGATTCTTCTAGGAACTGGGCATGGTTGGTGCATCTTTTTTCACTTTTTCTACTATTGGAGTGAATTAAAGAAAGTTGTATTATATTATTAGATTAAAGTGCGTTTTTGTTGCTTTGAATAATGATGTTTATTATCCTAAAGCAAATCCATCCTCCCTCAGCCTTCCAAGAGGTAAGCAGCCCTACCAAGACTGCCAACCCGTGGCAGTGGAGGTGAGAGTTTAGGAAGAAGTGTATGAATACAGAATACTCACTTTTAACTTTCTTATGAAGTGAATAGTTATATATTATTTATCTGCATTCTGCACTATCCTCAGGTTTTACTGCTGATTGGTGGTCTGTGGGGGTTATTCTATTTGAGTTGATTGTTGGTATCCCTCCATTCAATGCTGAACATCCGCAGGTTATTATACTTACTGAACTCTTCTTCTTCTTCTTCTTTTTTTAATTAGTGTTGATTCTAATATTTGAATTGGATTGCTGGTGCCCTTCCATTAAATGCTGAACATTGACAGATTATTATAATGTTTGAGGCTTATAGCCTTGTTTATATGTATATAGATGTATGTATATATTTGTTTGTTTTGATGCTTCTATCTGGACTGCTATCCTGCATGAACTTGCACTGTGGAGAAATAATGACAGGCCCACTCATTTCTGTTCCTGCTTAAGTAGGTGAATTATGATGGGTTTAATGTTGTTTGATGCAACTTACGAACATGCAGTAATTGTGGCAAACAATTGAGAAACTTGTGGTTATCAAACTCTTGACATGGATAACTTTCTGGACAAAAATATAAGTGGTGTCTAGAGTAGCGCACATGCATCTTGAAAATTTTCTGATAATATTCACCAATTTCTATCCTCTGTTCTGTTTCTCATTTCTGTCATTTTCTGCTGCAGAAAATCTTTGAGAACATTCTCAATCAGAAGATTCCTTGGCCAGGGGTGCCTGATGAAATGAGCCTTGAAGCTTATGATTTGATTGATAGGTAAGAGGAGCCTAATCTATTTATTTTTTACAATAGAAAATGTCACAATGTAAAAGATTAAAACATGTCAAAAATTAGTTTGTCTGTTTTTAGAATTTCTCTCCAGCTTAGGCTTGTGATCACAAACCATCTTGCTTTTAGTTCCTAAATATAGATAGTCGTGAATTTAAAATATTATTATTATTATTTAAATTAGTCTATTCTAAAAGTTATTATTCTATTCTAAAAGTGAGCTTTGAAAGGAAGCAGTTTGTCTAAATGCTTCCTCTTTGAAATCCATTATATCTAAATGCTTGGTGGTCAACTCTGGCTTATAGACAGCTTAATTATTTAGAAAACTGTTCTTTATTGCTTTGTAATTTCATTTAAAGAGGAATAGGTGCATGAATTTTCCATCTGTTTTTATTTCTATTGATATTTTTAAATAATTTGTAATCCGAACAAACATAGAATGGCTTGCCAAACATAAATCAGTAATTTTTATCGCTTCTTTTTTTGATTTTTGATATTATATCCACTCGCAGATTTCTGACTGAAGATCCTAACCAGAGGCTTGGAGCTGGAGGAGCTTCAGAAGTAAAATTTTACCTTCATCTATAATCCTATTTCTACTTCTCATAACTGAAACTAAAAAGAAATATACCATTGCAGGTTAAGCAGCATCCATTTTTTAAAGATATTAACTGGGACACTCTTGCTCGACAGAAGGTTAGACTGTATCTAAGACTAAAATTAATCTTTCGTCCTTAAACCAGTGATGCCTAACTACTTACTCTACTTGTGCCAGGCTGCCTTTGTCCCAGCATCTGAGGGTGCAATGGATACCAGCTACTTCACCAGCCGTTACACTTGGAATCCTTCAAACGAGCACGTCTACACTGCTAGTGAATTAGACAACTCCAGTGAAGATGGAAGCATGAGCGGCAGCAGTAGTTGCCTAAGCAACAGACATGAAGAAGTGGTATGTGCTTTAATTCATTTTTTAACCAGTTGCATAAGTAGATTTACATTGCATCATCTCCCCCACAAAATGAAACCTTACCCCCTCAACATCTGGATTGGGTAGGGGGATGAATGTGGAGGGCTCACGGAGTTTGATTCAAGCTGTGACATCAATTACTCCTTCAGCAATTTCTCATTTAAGGTAATCCTCGAACCACCTCTGCCTATGGGTACTCTTTGCTGCCATTGATCTATTCTACTTTTGCCATGTGATGATTTGCTGCTATGTTGGAGACCTGCTTCGTGTTCTTGGCTCCTAATTTGGTTCGATTTTTGCCACAGAATCTTTCCCAGTTGGCATCGATCAATTATGATTTGCTCACAAAAGGTTGGAAGGACGATCCGCCGACGAATTCGGGTACATAAATTTATCTTTTGTGAGGTGTTTATGTGTGTGTATATATATATATGGGTGGAAATTGGTATCCCTTTGTAAATGTATCTTGCATTGCATCATTGACCACCCCTTTTAACATGTAATATTCTTATCATGTGAGAATAGTGGTGCAAAAGGATGAGTTTTTCAAACAAATAATCTTATGGCAAAATTATATTAGATAAACCGGACTACCCAAGATAAGGTTGTGCTTTGAATTGTTTTCAATTTAAAATTGATTAAAAAAAAAAAAAAAACTAAAATTTGGATATGAATTTTTAAATGTAAATAGGTGTTAAATATATTATTTTAAAATGAAAAAATAAGCTTAGTTGTAGTATTTTTAAAAAATAAAAATAAAAGCGATTTTGAAGAAAAAAACATGATGCGTGAGAGCAAATCAGCCTTAGACATATCTGACCTCCTAGAAAGCTGACCCATAAAAACTGGTTAATCCATAGCGAGAGCCTCATACAGATTGGGCTAATCAGAATCTGGCACGTATACACGAAATGTTGGGCCGATAAAACAATGCCAGTACTATTGGGCGAAAAACCCCATTTTAAAAGATTGGGCCTTAGAGACGAGGATCATAAATTGGACCACATTAAATGCAGGCCCAAATATATTGTCCTACCAAACGCAGGCCCAATCTAATGGGGCTTCCAGAAGACACCAACGTATGGGCCGATAAAATGAGAATTAGGCCCATATTGTTTTGGGCCCTCTAAAAAGGCCTCTTAACACAATTGGGCCTCCCACAACAGGCCCAAAGAATGGTCCCCAAAACCAGGTCTTGACGAATTGGGCCGAAAAACGACTACTAGGCCAAGATATTGGACCTTCTAGAACCAGGCCCCCTTCAGAGTATTGGGGGGCAGACCATGTTATTGTCGGCTTATTTCCGACACACCCATTGAAATGGCGGCGCAGCCCATATATTCCTAGAGGCCCAATGAAAAGACGGCGTGGACCACATTATTGTCGGCTGGGTGCCGACGGGCCCAATAAAAAGGCGGCGCGGACCATATTATTGTCAACTGAGCGCCGACAGGCCCAATGAAAAGTGCGCAGCCCATATTCTTCTCGCGGTATAACTTACAGGCCCAATGAAAAAGAGGCGGGCCGAAGAAAAAGGTCTCGGGCCCATGTTATTGTCGGCTGACGGCCGACAGGCCCAATGAAAAGGAGGCGGGCCCAGGAAATGGCCCCATGTTATGTCGGCTGAGGGCCGACAGGACCAATAAAAATGCGGCTGGGCCCGCGGAAATGGCGGCTTATACCATATCATTGTCGGCTGATAGCCGACAGGCGCAAACTCTGGTGACCTTGTCTATAAATGCCTAGGAAAATGTTTGGCCAAGCCCATGATGCTGTCAGATCTTTACAGACAAGCCCAATAATGCTGTCGGCTGTGTCCATACAGGTCCAGATGAATGCTGGTGTTGGTTCATTATAACGTTACTCAGTTTTCGCAGGCCCAGGAAAGTTAGGCCTTTGAAACGAGATCCGTTCCATGATATTTTGGGCTGTCTAAAACAAGATCCTAACAGATTGTGCAGCCCTAGCCATTCAATAATATATAGTCAATCCAGTACGCAGATTAAAGCGTTGCATCCAAAACGATTTAGCGAATTGGACATGCCATGTAAAAATATAAATCATGCACACGTTTTTTCAGAAAAAATATTATAATAGTGACAACAGATAGGAGGATTATGTGAACAGTACTAATGGATAAATTTGCTTGGTACTCGGAAAAATAGTTAGAGTAACTCTGCATTATGTGAGCAGTACATATGCACGCCATTGATACAAAAAACAAAAAAACAGAGCACACCAAGAAAGACAAAATCATAATACATGAATACATACAGACAGAGGGATACATGGGACAATCACTCAAATATAAAAACTTTATTAAAATCTACATAAACTCCAAGGACCACCACTCACACTTCAGAAAATAAAAGCAATATGAGATGGATTCATCTGTGAACCAATGGACCACCGCCACCACCACTGCCACCAATTACAAATTCAATTACAATTAATCAAAACACACACTTGCCCAACCACAACCAGCACTCTTTACCTGTGAAGATTTGCAGGTACCTGTCTTCTTCACTGAACAAGGTCTAATTAATTCATTTTGCCCAATCTGTTATTGTGGCCTATTTATTCTTGTTAGGTCTCATCATATTGTCCTTATCAATGACAAAAATAAAATATTTCATTTCATGTCCCCAACCATCATCACCTACTGCCATAATTTGACCAGCAAGCTATGCTACCCAATAATGCAGACATAAAATGATTCTTCCTCTACTAATTTGAATATATTTATCTATCTAGACATGCAAAATAGACTACCACCAACCATATTCCAACATACCCAAGACGAATTCACCTCAAACAGTATCCACACCACACCATCCATGCAAAAAATTAATAATAATACTAATAAAGAATATACAAGTAACCCCAACCCTAGTTTAAGGCCACAAGATAATCAGTGCAGGTTTATAAATCATTACTACATAATCAGCAACCACAGCAAAGTTGTCACTCCACATGAAAAAAGGGGGCTCATTCAAAAAAGCAAAAGAAGAAAATAAAAAGTTAAAGCTGAAGTAATAATTACAGCAACCATATTCCAACAAGAATAAATGGAACTCATATCTGCGCTCCAAGGTAGAGAATTGTACTGTAAAGAAAAGGCTGAGCTGTGAACTCTGACAAACAAATATAATGGCTTAAATTAAAAAATTAATGCCCTACCTGTTTATGAAGATCCAGCTTTACGCACATGTGGATGTGGTGGTGCTGTGCATCCAGGCTTTGATGGTTGCACGCCCAAAAGGGCCTATGAATTTCCCTCAATCCGTTTCAGTGACCCGATCCAGCTGTTGATCTCCGTGCAAGCTAGAACGGCGCAGCTCTTCGATACGGCTTGCTACTTCAGAGATTGAAGGGCGCTGATCCGGATACTGTGCTGTGCAGTCAATTCCAAGTTGCAGGAGCTGAACCATTTCCTCCTCTACATTCTGCTCCCTAAGGAGTTCAGGATCAAATACTTCAGAAGTCCATTCCTCTCGAACAATTGACTGCACCCATCGTGGGAGGTCAACTCCTTCCTCATTTAAGAGGGAGTGAGAGGGTGGTTTCCCTGTAAGAAGCTCTAACAGAAGCACGCCAAAACTGTAAACATCAGCCTTCTGAGAAATTCTGCGAGGCTCAGTCACTTCTGGTGCCCGATAACCAGAAACACGTGCGGGAGAGGATGGAGGTCCAACTAGATGGTTTAGTCCAAAGTCAGAGATGCGAGCATCGTAAGACTTTGTAAGCAAGATATTTGATGACTTAATATTTCCATGGGAAACATTGGGACCATGAAAATGCAGGTATTCTATGCCTCGGGCAGCACCCAGTGCAATGCCCGACCTGATTTGCCAAGTGAGTGGAGTCCTACCAGCTCCTTTGTTTCCTGAGGTGGAATAAACGACATTCAGAACAAATAAATGCTCATCAAATCAGGACATTACCTCTTGGCATGTTTAACCGGTACTAAAACATGTATACATTCAAAGCCAACTAAAGGTCAAGCAGATTTGCATTGGTCAAATATGCCAAATGATGAATATCTAAAACATAGTTGATATTGCAATATATATGTCTGACTACTTTGATTCACAACAAACTATAAGATTGGCACAAATTATATAAATATATCAGACTAAAGGATTATCAAATAATAAATAGAAAGTATGGCATTAGACCCTACAAGCATAAATAAAATAATGCATACTAAAAAACGCCGTAAGTGGGAGGCGGCCCAGCCTCAGACAGCAAGACATTGCAGAAAAATACAATCATCTCACCAACTCTACCTAATTGAATTGACAAGCTTAATTGCACGGATTATGACAGTGGTTTACAATGAGAATGACCATGGAGCAGCAATCTCAATTGCACAACTATATCTTCAGACAAAATGGTTTACTATTTCAAACAAATAGCACATGAAGAGAAGTTCATGATCTGGTTGTGGAACAATGCTATAACCTACAGTCAATTATTTCCCAAGCCATCTATATATTTGCATTGCCCTTAACCCACTGAAATGAACTAACCTCTGAAACACAAGATCAAGTATGCAAACACCTAAAAGAAGGCATAAAACAACTAATATCGAATCACACTTGAAGGATAAAACAACCATCATTGAATAGACATGACAAACACATATTATAGGATTGAATCCAAACAAGGAACAGCAAATTCAAATTTCGTAAACTTGGCTCACCATGTAGGAGTGCAGACAGGCTTCCCATGGGCATATAATCATAGACGAGAAGCTTCTCCTCCCTGCTATAGTAATAAGCCCTAAGAGGAACCAAATTCTCATGATCCATAGCTCCAACACCTTCAATTTTCTCCTTGAACTCTTTCTCAGGGCTGATCACATCCTTCAACCTCTTCACAGCAACCACAGTCCCCACTTCCAGGACGGCCTTATACGAAGTCCCAAAAGTCCCCTTCCCCAAAACCTCTGCAGAAGCTCTTAACAGCTCCTCCAAATCAAACACCCTCGAAGCATTCCCAAAAAATATCAATTTCTTAGAATTAGCTGGATTGCCTCCAATTTCAGCCTTTTTATCTCCATTTGCACCCATGGCAGCTGCTGCTGCTGCTGCCACTGAAAACCCACTGCCCGGTCCACCATTCTCGGCTTCAGCAATCGACTTCTCTCCAGTCTCATTTCCCAGACTCTTCACAGCCGCTACATCGGCAGACCTAGCTTTGTTTCCCGGCCTCTTCCGACACAAAAAGAACAAGAGCAATAGCAATAGCATCAACCCTACTAAAGATCCAACCACAATCCCAGAAATTGCACCACCAGACAGCTTCTTTTTCCCACTTTTACCAGATTTTCCACTCCCAGTATCCCCCGGAGATGGCCTATTTTCCTCTGGGGAAGGGGATGGCGCTGGAGCTTCGCCAGCAACATCGGGGCAAACAACACTAAGAGGCTTTCCACAGAGTGAAGTCCCTAAAAATGCATCCCTCGGCTTACCCTCAAGCCCTTTCGGCACAGAACCATTCAGATTATTAAAAGAAACATTGAACTGCACAAGGTTAGGAAGGTCAATGTTCGGTAAACTCCCATTAAACTGATTATGCTCCAAAAAAAGGGTACGCAAATGTGTCAAGTTGTTGAATCCGGACGGAATTTCACCGGAAAAATTGTTTGATGCGAGATTCAACCGCACCAGAGACTCAAGCGAGAGTAGAGACGCCGGAATCGGGGCGCTGAACCTATTCCCGTTGAGATAAAGATACTTTAGTTGAGTAAGTTTCGAAAGGTCGCCCGGAAGAGGACCGGAGAGGTGGTTCAAGCGGAGACTGATTGTACGGAGGGCGGTCAAGCTTGAGATAGTGTTGGTCGGAATAGCACCCACCAGAGAAGCGGCGGGGAGTCGGAGAGCGGTTACGCGGTTGCCCTCACACTGAACGCCTTGCCAGTTGCAGGGAGTGGTAAGGGAGGTGTTCCAAAAAAATGTGCGTCCGCCGACGGCGGAGCGGAACGCCAAGAGGGCGGCCCTATCGGTGGATAGATCTGCGGAGGCGGCGAGCGAGAGGAGGGGGAGGAGGAGGAGAAGCAAAAGGAGCGGCATTGCAGGAAGCCCCCGGCGAGCGAAGTGGGCGTCGGCCAAGGAATTATGGAGAGGGTTTAATGGGCGGAGAATCATTATCATCTCATTTGGGGGTTTGGTGCGGAAATTGCAATTATTGGGTGTGTTGAGTAGATGGGTTATGGCGGTTGGTTTATGGGTGAAGAATAATGGTGACGATGAACCAGAACTAACACTTCAATGGAGGAGGGTTACTGGTTGCTGCAGCGCAGACGTGACGGTGACTGTCTCTGAGAGAGAGAGAGAAAGATGAAAAAATATATATCTATATAAACGTGTGTGTGTATGTATATATGTAAAGGGGGCGGGGTGGAGGGAGGTGAGACTCAAATTCGCACATATGAATGGGCAGGAAGATGAATCTGGACCGGAGATCCCGGGTGCGGATAGGAGACAAACTTGGTTGAGAGGGTCCAGGCTGTAACTGAGGTTACGCAACATGGAAGAAATCCGGAAAGAAAGAATATCAAAATGGCAAAATCCGTTGGAAAAAGATTTGAAATCTACAGTAGCAGAGTGGACCGGACCCATCCATTATAATAATATTTACATACACATGTTAATCAGCTTGGTTTTGAGTTATACTTTTACTTTTACCTTTTCTTTTTTTAAATAATTAATAAATTAAATGCAGTTATTATCATTTGGAATAAGAAAATAGGAAAGCCCTCGTCTTCAATCCTGATAGGGTGTGATCATCAACCATATTATATGTTATTGAAGTAAAAAATGGAGAAATAATTTAATGTTAATGGCGGTCAAATTACACTTTTAGGAGGTGGGCTTTGGAAAATATGAACACAGGGACAATGTGAGTGTGTTTCTTTTTGTACACTGGCTACTAAATTGTTGTGGGGGTGGGGGTGGGGGTGGGGTGGGTCAACCGTCAAGAGACCTTTGAATGTGGGATTTGTAATCAATTATTCACCATAAAACTTGACTGAATCATTCATCCAAATAATTGCAGGTTAATAATTAGAAATATTATATCATTATTGATTATATTTTATGATTTTTCGAAAGTTGTTCATTAATTAAATGGTGTGCTGGTTATATACTTATAGTCAATGGAAATTGACGCAGATTGGAATCGATAATGTTGGACGAATTTATATCTGAATTTATGACCAGAGTTAATGCATATACATGCTCAAATTTCAAATTGCCAGAAATTAATGTATACATATATGTATATGTAATATTCGCTTTTATTATTATTAACGATGATCCATCTGCCGTTGGCTGGTGGTATTAAATAATTAATCAATGGAAAATCTGAACTATTTAGCCCAAAAAGTGAACAGTAATATCAATAATTTTCTCAATAGTACTTAATAATTAAGAGCAATATACAAAAGTAGATGAATGCCCAATTATCATAATAATTTGGCAGCAAGAAGACACTATTTCATTATTTTAAAAAAAGGTTGATTATCATTTCATTAAATAATCATGTGGGTTTTTCGTTCATGTCAGCAATGAGAGAAGTAATAGTTAGGTGAGAAGTTGAGCAGCTTTATTATCATACTAAATGATAAAAACAACAGTTGGTAAGTAAAAAAATAATTGGAAAATACGATTCATTGCATACCTTTAAAAAACACACTGCTGTTGATAGCCATACATTGAGTCCCCATATGATGAAACCCTACAAAAAAATCTTGGTATACAATATATACATATACATATATATAAGATAATCTTTACAAGTGTTGGCACATCACACACACTAAGACAAACTCGTGATTGCATGGCAAGAAAAGCATACACAAAAGCTTCAAATATTAAAGCATAAAATCAAGGTAGGGCAGAGGAATTGATACCCACTAAATCTATAATGTTCCCCCAAGACCAATGTTTTGGGACAAAATTTATACCAGGGTTGTTGCCAATTTGTCCTAACTTCATTGCCAAATGCTACACAAAATTACAAACGGTAGCTTGTGATAGTTAATTGAGTAAGCTGTCATTTTCCCTTCCAGTGGAATATCATGCCAGGTCAAGAGCCTAGATTGATTAAAGCCAACAAATATGGACTGCAAGTATGGAAGAAGTTAACACGCTTCGAAAAGTTGGCACCGAATTGGTTTTTTACTTGCAAGAAATCAGGAATAGAACACAATAAATCTTAAAGTAGCACCAACTAATTCGGTTTCATCAGAATTTATCTGTTTGCTATTCCCATTAGCTAATATTCAAGAAACTACCAGACCCAAGGCCAACATGTAGCCACCAGATCCAGGCTAATAGCATAAGTTGAGTTGCAACAGTTTTTTATTTATAAAGAAAAGCCCAGACAGGACCCGGTATACAGAAAAGTAAACATCCACTTATGGAGGATGCTGAACAATTAATATGTATGGAAATACAGTGAAAAAATCCATAAACCAATTATGTGAAAAAAATCCATAAGCCAAGTGAATATATATTCTAGTGTTGTTTGTGAAGCTATTTTACCTTCTTTTTTTCATGGAAGAGGTGCATGTGTAATTTGTTTCCTTTGTTGGTGGGGTTTAGACCATCCAAATCTGTTTCTTAAGAGAGTGATAGCTGCCAAAATGAAGACGGCAGAAATAGTGATGACAGAAGGCAGATTTGATGGGGGTTTGCTGTATGTCCATGGCACCAAGGAATCAATACAGATTGATGCAAATTTTTCTCTACTTCGCCTTCCCCTACGAATTGGAACGTGTATTATGAATAGTAAAAAGTAGTCACCGGAGGATTAATCCAATCAAAGATAAATCATATCAAAGCAGTCCAGTTATGAAGATACTTTCTATTATTTAGTGCATATATATTATTCCCTCCGTCCATTTTCTAATGTCCCAAGTGATATTTACACGCTTTTTTAAGTAATTAGTTTTTTATTGTAAATTGACAAAATAGCCTTTTATTTGGTGTATAGATATAAAAAGGATAAATAAAGTAAGGGTAAAAAGGTAAATTCTATGTATAAAAATTAGAAAGTAGGACATTAGTTTGTAGACGGAGGGAATATAATAATTTCCAGAAATGAGGATTTTCTTCATATCAAGCACAGGTTTCAAGACTTTGCAAGAAGTTAAAAAGAATGTAAAACACATGAACACTGCCAGCATCCCAAGTGACTTCACATTAAATAATAAAAATTATTATAAAGCTAAGCTGCAATTAAAAATAACACTAACACAACAAACAATACATAACATACCTTAATAAACCCTTGACTGACTTCCACCAACGCGAAGCAGTGCCGCCTGTACGGCTGGAAGTTTGATCTACATTACATAAATCACATGTCATGGAATATAAACAAGATGTGGCAAAAAGGTGGATTACAGGTAAAAGATAATTTTACTCAAAGCTGGATAGTGAGTTAAAACAAAGAATAAAAAGGAAAAAGAAAAAAGAAAAAGAAAAAGAAAACCTCCATCATTGTCTGGGAATGTATACCCTTCAACTTTCCTAAGAGAAGCCAACTTTGAAACCAGTTCATGTTCTGCATCGCTGGCATAGTGGTGGTATAACTCGAGTTAATAATTAATAGAAGATTCTGACAGTAGTTACTACAAGGTTCATAAAAGACAAGTGTTTGCAGAATTTATGCTAATTTTGTGACACAGCTTGAGCAACAAGATTGCTATATAGGATTTCTACTAGTGGGATGATCACACAGAACACCATAATTTTGCTTCACATTTAACTTTCAATAACAAAAGACGGCCAATAACAGAACATGCATTTAAAAAGTACTATTAATTTAATCCGTAGTTCAGTTATAAGGGAAACAACATTTTCTAAAGAATGGAAGAGGTTCTGGTAAGGAAAATGGTAAAAGAATTTAACGACTCTGATTGAAATAATCTCAAAGGGAATCCACACAAGTTTGTTCACACTGTTGAAGAGGTATACCAAAACTTCTCTGCATTCAATGTAATAATAAAGCACAGCAGGCAAGTATCCAAATTGTAAACCGGTGGGCCTGGACGCACCTAATATGTTTGGGGATGACAACGTCCACGGTGAAATAATGGTCGCCTCGTGCAGAAGGTTTATTTAGTTTTGGCACACCCATGCGTGGTAACTTTAATTTCTGACCTGGTTGTGTTCCAGGGGGAATCTGAATATCTTTTACACCCTCAACAGTATTCACCTGGGTTTAGCACGAAGAACATACCATTAAATTTAGGCCAACGAGAACAATTCCCAAACCACTTACAGTGCAACTTAACTTAGCTTGGCTGAAAACAACATATCACAGGCATCGAATCATTCCATGGAGATCAGAAGAAACAACGCATTGCTTTAATGCAATAAATGTGTCAGGTAAGACAATTTACAGATGGGAACTGAACCTAAAATAATGTATGTAAGACTTCCTATTTGTTTCATTGAAGAGAAGTTGGCGATATACACATGCATTAGCAATGACTGGATGCAAAAAATGCAATCAAAGTTCTCATGACGTTGAAGACCTTCAAGAACTCAGAATAATTTTGATAAGTTATTTTCTCATTTTCTTACTTGAACTGATCTAGACTAAATCAAAATCAAAATCAAAATATACAAGGTTTAGCAAGGTTTCCACCTTCTTAGCAGTTCCCAAAATGGCTTCTGTATAGTCGACAACTACTTTGGAGTATAGATGCACTCCATCTCTCTGAATTCCTTGTTTCTCCTTGACATGAACGATCAGATATAGGTTACCAGATATAGCCCTATGCATTGAAAGCAAAGCAAGCCAAACATCAAAACCTTATAGAGGTTTTATACCATGCAACATACAAGAAGATATATATTTTCTGACAAGCGATGTTTAATGTAGAATTATCCTACAATAAGTATTGAAAGTAGATTATGAGCCCATTCCCTGAGGCATTCGAAGGAAGTAACAGTATATGCAGAAACACTATATAAATCAAAAACCTAACTTAAAAAGAAAATGAGAAGGAGAGGCTGATGGAGTTATAGTTTGTAGAAAAGAAAACAGAGACCAAAACTGTCCCATACTAATCAAAGTCAATGTCACATTCAAAGATATTTCTAGGGGCATGAATACTATTGATGCTGTTTCCAAGTTAAGTGCATGAAGCCTTGGATACAATAATAAAAGCAAGAAATAAATTAGTCAGTATTAATCCATATCACTCTTACAATCACTCAACCCATTGCCCAGTGACGTCAAAATCTCTATCCAATCATCTACAGGAATTCAAGAGAAGGGAGAACGGTAGGTAGTTCAACATGACAATTTTATATATAAAATAACTAGTATTCACTTCAAGAACCACAAGATGCCTATAACTTCATTTAGAAAGTTACAATAACAATTGAAAACAGACCTAACTTTGTCAACATTTCCCTCTCCCCGAACCTGCATTGTAGCTCCATCATCAATACCAGGTGGAATAACCACCTCAATACTTCGCATTGCATGAATTTGACCCCGGCCATTGCATCTGCGGCACTTATCTGTAATTATCTTCCCATCACCTCGACACTTTGAGCAGGTTGTCACCTAGATTACACAGACAATCATCTACACATGATGTCAAAGAAAGATCTAGAATCAAAATGAGGATCTAGGTCCATAGAGTATCCAGCAGTGCTACATATTCATCAACCATATTAAAAAATATAGTGCAAATATCTAAATATACACCTAAAAGGATAGAGAAGCAAGTAATATAACTAAGACAAGTGACAATGGTTTCACTACAGTTCAAATTTCTTACTTGCAACATGAAGGATTTCAATAAGGATTCCAATGGGAAATCCTGGGAACATATCATAATCACTGAAGCATATTAATCTCATTTTGGTCCACTGATAGAAGATCACAATTGGTGAGTTAAGTATCTATTGTCATGCATTCACTATCATGTAATTACTGCATCATAGTACCTGGGTCATAACTCCAAAAGGTGTTTTCTGTGTCTTCATCTCCTGCCCGCTGCCTCCACATTCAACGCACTCTTTCACACAGCTGCTGGACTTGGCACCAGTTCCACTACAGCTATCACATGTCTCTAAACATGGTACCTCAATATCATGTTTCCCTCCAAAAATAGAATCTTCAAAGTTCAAATGTAAATCATATCTACATGGTAAAATCCCATACATCATTAGAATCTGAGCAATATTCTCTTCACAATGTTAAAATAAGTCAATATATATATATAGTAAAGTCTGGGACAAGAATAACACTACTATAGCAGTATAGTTTACCAAAAATATATGAAACAACAGTTGGATTATAAAGGAATATCCATCAACTCCTAATATGGCAAGTAGCTATAAAAATTTATGGCCCCCCAAAAAGTATAAATACATGATCCAGTCCCTTAACAACTATGGGAAGCTATCTTGAAGAATTATGAAACGAGCTCTATCGTGAAACTAATGGCAGCATAGAAAATTCAAGTCCTATATTGGTTACCTTTTTGAAGATTAAGATTTAAGAATGGCAGAAAAGGTTGAGCAGACAATTATCAATGTCTGGATAAATGACACTCAGTAGCACATTAATTCACCAAACTATCCATTTTAAATGCTGAGAACTGCTTGTCTTATGCTATGCCCATCAATAATGTACATAAGCAGATAAGAAGAAATACCACTATACATTACCGAATGTCAAGATTCTGGCTGTTTTTCTCTCTAAAATTAAAACTGAAGCCTCCTTGTTCACCACTTCTTCCAAAGAAGTCATTGGATTCACCAAAATATTGAGCAAAAACTTCAAAAGGATCCACCTAAAACATGAAGCATACAATAAATAGTTTGTTCGAGAATCAAACCACAGGCTAAACATATGATAATGTAGCAACTAAGCAGGGGGAAGAATGTATATTCAATATAAACATGTTAGTGGAAAGGAGCAGAGCACAGTCTTACCCCTGGTCCAGCTGTTGTGGCGTCAAATTCCCCATTTAGACCTTCTTTGCCAAAGCGATCATATACAGACTTCTTCTCAGCATCTGACAAAACCTATAAGGGCGTTTTGTTACTACAAAACCAAATGACTGAACCAGCACACGCTGCACACTCATGAAATCTGGAAAAAAAAAAAAAAGACCAACACAGGCTAAAGCATTGGTGACTTCAGTAAACTGGAGAGGATGGATTTGTTAGTCAATAATCACTACACCAAATAAATAATGGCACAAAGAGCACTGCTCTAAAGTCAGACATGTTGCAAGTTAAATAGACATTAGTGATTCCACAGCAAATGCAGGAGTGAGAATGTCCGCACGAAATGGAGGAGAACAAATAACCAGTCCATGCATAAATAATACATCATACTCCGCAAAGGCATAAAAAATCTGGAGAGCAAATCTTTATAGTAATAAAATCATTAGACGAAAAATATAAGGGTACCTCGTATGCAGCACTTATTTCCTTAAACTTCTCCTCAGCACCAGGCTGCTTGTTCATATCAGGATGATACTGCAACCACGCAAAGGACATTCGGTTATCTGTAGCTAGTGATTCAGGTGCACAAAGTATCGAAGAAAAACATAAATGGAAATACTCAACCAAATTTAGCAAACATAGATGATGCCGCATACCTTCCTAGCAAGAGAGCGATAAGCGGCTTTAATTTCTTGCAGACTGGCATTTCGATCGACATTGAGAACAGAATAGTAATCAGAGCCAGAATCCCTTCTGGCTGCAGCGGCGGCAATGAAGGGAGCCAAACCACGGTACCTGGTACTTCCGAACTTATTCGAATTCGGAAATTTAAATACGGCTCTTAAGTTAGGAAAGGGCGCAGCAGGAAAACCCAAATTCTTGTACGAGGAATGGTAGAAACAACGTGAATTGGTGAAGAAGAAGCTAGGGTTTATGGAATTTGAATAGATAGAGCGACAGCAGGAGGGGTTTTGGGACACCTGCATTGCTCTTGTTGAGAAAGAAGTTTGGTCAGTGCAAGCAGGGTTTTAGTCGTACGTCTTGACCTATTTCAGTAGAAGCTAGAAACACGGCAGCGGGAGGGATGCATACCAAACAGAAACAATTAATATCATATAATAATATAATATGATCCCTATCATTATTTTTAAAGCTCACATATTTATTAAAAATAAAAAAATATACTACTAATATACACCCTCTCGGTCGTTCATAAAATATCCATCAACTAATGTTGGTTTGTAAAATTTTTGCAAATTTTTATTATTTATTCATTTTTTTCAAAAAAAAAACACCTATTTCTAGAACAATGACAAGATAAACCTCCGGTTAGGCAAAAGATTTACAACAAATTCTTCCTTTTAAATCTACAAAACAACCTGGATATATCTCCAAAGCAGATCATTCACACAAATACGAGGAATACAGCCGTGAACAGAATTCTGAGTAGAACTAAAAGAAGGTTCTTTCTTAACCCCTCACTTCTCTTCATAACTTTCTAGTTTCGACGTCGAAGCTCGTCCTTCAGTAGATGTGCCACAGATTTGTAACCCATCTCTCTAGCTATATGTCATTCAGACAGTCAATCAAAGATAGTAGAAAAAATACTTACTATACAATTTCATTATTTCAATTAAATCAGTACACAAACCTACCCTTGAATATTGCAATCCCAGTTGGAACCATCTTTCGTTTCTTCAGACATAATGAACTGTTGGATTAGAGCCACATCAGAAAGCAAAAGAATTATCTCATTGTTGCACAAAACTTATGATCCAATGTGTGTTGTGTTATGTATATATACCTGTTGCATATCCAGAAAGGGTCGAGTCCTTTGTCTTCCACACAGTGAGGACACATCCAATCTTTATTTGTTCTCACCTCCTCCATTTCTGAAGAACAAAAACAAGGAATTAAGTTATATTTGTTTCCTAATTGATTTTGATCTTCACTAATAGTTTACAAGTTTTGAATTACCTTCACCATATCGAACCTTTAGGCAAGCTCGACAGAGAACCCCATTGCTGGAATGGCAAACTGAGCACTCTGTTTTGCCTGCAAAAAGGGCAATTTGAATACATAAATAACATTGTTAGAAGCCATTCGTCTAGGCCATGTTAACACGGACGGAGACCCACCTGCACATGGTTGAGTCATGTCCAGTTCACCACAGCGTTTACAATCTTCTTCCCCACACAGTTTCTTTTGCCTGCATTTCTCATGTAACAACAGATTTAGTGAAAAGATAATTCTTCAAGACTAGCATATAATAAAAATATTCCCATGTAATCCCTAATAAGCTTCATAGTTTCCAGCCATTTTTTGTACTTCTTAAATCTTGATGATGGCTAAAGTTTTCTAGTAATGAGAATTAACAGAAACTGCATTTTTCAATAGCAGCATTCCACAGGTGAATCTGTTGTAACTTGTAAGAAACAATTTGAGTGGAAAACCAGATCAAGGGACCTGAGCTCCAATTCCTCGATTATACTATAGGATTACAAGAATTCCTTGTGTAGTAAAAGCTGTCCTCCTAGGATACAATAAGCAAATGCCTCACAAATATGTGGTAGTGTACTATCTTAATGGTCCTTCTGATTTTCATTACCTGTCTTATATGAATTGAAAGAACATTTTAAAAACCTAAAACTGGTCCTGAAGTAATCTCAGTTAATTCCCAAAGCCACAGCTTCAAATGGCTTAATGAAACTAACCATCTCAAAATAACTCAGGATTGTATATTCAAATAAACACCACATGCACAACTCAGAGAAGAAAACAAAATTGTTCTCTAAGAAATGCAGAAACGGTAAATAAATAACAATAATAGCAGCATATATACCTGCAGAAATGGCAGCAAATACCATAAACAGGATCATATAAACTCCCTCTGCTCTTGCTTGCACATCGTCCGTCAAGCGACAGACGCCTTTTTGCATTGCTATTTCCCCTGGTGTCACTGCCTTCGAAATAGCTCAATTTCTCTGCAACCACATGCCCCAAAATAGAAACCCTAATGTCTAATAATGTCACCAAATATAATCAAGGGGATAAAAACAAAAATTCACAAAGTAATAAGGCTCCACACAGACGCGTCGCCCCGTACCTTGCAGCGGAGGCGTTTTACCTCCCAATCGAGCAGAACGGCGCAAAGGAATCGAGCTATAATCAATTTTTTTGTATTTCCTAACATGAGTTCTATCAGATTTAGCCGATGGAGTCAAGGACCGGAGATCTGCTGTGGTATTTTGAAGCCCTAGAGCAGCCAATCGAGCCTGTTCGGCGAATCAAGACATTAGCTAAACATTTCCCATCCGAAACCAACAAAATAGAACAGAACATATGCGATTCAGAATAACCTGATTCTCGCCTATATGCGCTTTTCTCAGCTCTTCATAGTCAGTTCTTGCGCTCACCATCGCCATTGTTTTAGAAAAAAGATGCAGAATGGACAGAGAATGCTCTCCAACGGCTATTTTGAATTTGAACGCAGTACCCCGAAATTACATTAATGCCCTTCCTAGATATTTATTCAATATGTTGTTGCTTCCTTAATCCTAATAAAATTGCTGTCAAACAAACTCTCTCTTTGTTGCAAGAACACCTAGAGATCTGAAAAAGAAAAAAAATAAAATAAAATATATATATATATATATCCGTTGTATATAGTGAAAAAAAATACTAAAACTTTGAAATATTGATATACAATTTAGGCTATGTTTAATCTTAAGATTTTACCAATTTTATTATTCTAATTTTCTTTTCTTTCTAAAAATATCAAATCAAACATTCAATTTTTATTTATTTTATTGCTAAAAATAAATTTTACATTCAAAATATCGTATCAATATATATTTATATCGCCTCAAACTATTATTTCAATTAAAAATTTTACGATTCAAAATCAAATTTTAAAACCAAAACCTGATAAAAAAACCAACCCTACTAATTTTATATATATACTGAAAATATTGTATACTATTTTAATACTTTGATATTGGATAGTATGATGTATTATTTTCAGTATGGCAAATCATCACTTAATAAAAACAGCAATAAACATGAAAAACGTCCGTTAGGACAAAAGGTTCTTCCATTTACACCCTCAAAAACAACTTGAAGATATCTATAAATCCCCTGGTTACATAAAATCAGTTTAGATTTCAAACAACGGAATACTATCACCACATAGCCATCAGCTAACTAAATAACAATCAGATTCTTCATCTGCAGCTTGAGATCCGATGCCGAGTCTCAACTCCTCTGTTCCGCACATAACAAATCTACGCACCGTCAGACGTTCGACAAACGCATCCAACGCCTCCTTCATCCACGAGTGCGCGCAGGCTTCCCGAGCTTCACTAACTGTCATCTGTTAGAAAACGACAATACAGTCATTAAATACAGAGCTGTTGAAGATTCTTGTTTGCGGATAAATAAATTAATTATGCATATCCTAAAACTATTAGGTGAAACAATCGTTCTGCGCATCCGACAAGAGCAATCATTACAAAATGTCATCTTACAAGAGTTTGTGAAATGCATACCCAAATTCGTCGCCGGAGATTTTTCTCCGGCCAGATGTCTAATTCCTCGTCTACTAACAGGGGAAACACCGATCCCTCGTGGAGCTTGTCTTTGCTTTTGCTCTTGAAAATCCATTCGCCTAATTTGTCCTAAGAGGTCATCAAGGCAAGTGAGTTTTGGCGATTTCATATCAAAGTATGAAAACTTTGTAATAAGAATGCGAATGAATGATACTAACCCCCAAGACTCCGACAACGCCGGCTTCCTCCAGCGTCTCTCTTATAGCGGCGAATTCAATGTTCTCGTCGAGTTCCCAGCCGCCCTGAAGAAGTTAGTACCAAAGGTAACTATGTAAGAACATAGGAATGTTAGTTGTAATAAGATATTTGACAATTACGTGTAATGATTTAGTAGTTTCTTCGTAGTACCTTCGGGAACATCAATCTTTGACTCTTCTGTGAGGTGATCAGAAGGACCTCCAATTCTTCAGTCTTCCCATGGACCAGAGGAGATTTGTTGGTATTCCTAATTCTGTAAGGAATGCATCTGCACAGATTTAAGCACAATTCTCAGATAATCCAAAACATTACTGTAAGGAATAGACATGAAATTACAGAGCTCTTCAAATTCATACATACAGACATACCCAACAACTTGACGAAATTCCTTGTTGTATCGCTGCAAATGTCTCCCCGTACGGGGCGGTAGTGACACCAGCTTCTCGATATGCATGCTGAGACCAAACAAAAAACCCTAATTTTGTGGGAAACTCTAAACCAGAAAGCAAATTGGGGAGGAAGAAGCTAGGTCACACAAGGCTTGTCCTAAAACCGCTGTAATAAAAAGACAATACAGATTAGGAAAAAAACTTGGAAGAGGTATGTGGATAACTGCAATGGCGGACGTAGTGCAAGGGCTTTATAGGAAGAAGGAGAATCTCCATACGGGCGGGCCATAGCTGGAGAGCTTCCAGATCCAATAATAATTCATCAACACCGCTGAAATTCGAGTTCAATCCGTGTGAAATATGAATATAATTAATTAATTAATCACTGTTTCGTAGTATGGGAGCATTTATGTACACATTTATTGCATTGCATCAAGGTCGTATTCGAGCAGACTATCAAACGACGTCGTCCTCGCCCCACTCCTCACCCAATGGGAACTCACCTCGTGTGCTGTCTTTATCATTTAATTTTAGTTTTATATTTAAGAGAAAAAAAAAAAACATCTACATAAAGTATGCTAGTATAAACTATATATGCATAGGTTTGTGTGTTTTTGACCCATAACTATTTGATGATTGTATAATAACATTCAACAAATTAATAATACAAAAATTTAAACTCAGCTGGTGTTTTTTTTAGATAAAAATGTGTGTCTATTGTCTAATATAATGTTTATTAAAAATAGTTGAACGGACGTAATAATTAATTAATAAAACTAAAAAAAAATTGAAGATCATGTAATAAAGGTGGGGGAAAAAACTTTGTGAATATTCAAATATTTGAAGTAACTATGTATTGCTCTAATCAAAATAGTAGATCAGTCTATTAAAAAAAAATACACCCTTTAAATATTGCTGGAACGAGATGATTGTCATTATTATTATTATTGTTGTTATTATTACTAATATATTATTTTGAATGGCATATTGAACTTCTGAAATTATGGAGAATATTTCTCAATTCTCATTACCTAATTGTTTGTTAGACCCAAAAATAATGTATTTAATGGGTGTGATCAGAGAGAATCTGAGTAACATGCAAGCAGAATGGAAAATTACACGGTCAACTTTGCCTTCTAGAAGAATCAGAAAAAAATTTAAATAGTTATTATTAAATATTAATTCCTTATTTAAAATTTTATCATTTATTAACAATCAAATTAAAACACTTGTAAATATATGCAAGCAAACCGTTGATGAGTTAACCACATATGTTTTTTCTCAAGCTACTTATTATTAGGCCAACTCTCTAGTCTCTATCATAGTTTGGGCAAGTTCAAAATAGGATTTTATTCTTATAACAATTGTTTATTATCATACAATATTAACTTAAAAGATATGCATTATTATTAATTAGTATATAATTATAGTAATTTTGTATTGCGAAATAGTCACAAAGTTTGAAAATAAATATTTTTAATGAAAACTTAAATGAATAATATGAGAACACAATAAAAAGCATATGTAAACCGACTTATTGCCAATCATCCTTATTATTGGAGACTCGGCTAAATTCAATGAAAGTGATATTTATTTAAATCTCTTAAAGGTCGATCCAGTCAAATCTGAGTTTTCCCAACCACATTAATAATGCTACTTATGATAATCAAATTTCGAATATGTGCATGAAGCAAATACAGTAGTTAATGGTATTGCTCCAAAGAGTAAACTATCAAAATATATACACATATTAATTAATATATATATATATGTATATTTTCGTAAGTGTATTCTCATCATTCCCTCTCTTAAATACAATTTATAGTTATGGAGCAAATTAAACGGAAAGTAACATGTGACACCAATAATTACAAAAAAAATCATATAATATTTCCATATTAAAAATGACATTTATCTAACAGATATGGATAGGCTTAAATTACTGAGGCAACAGCTAAAAAACATGTCACAAGCACGACCCTTCCACCAATTCTTAAATCGCACTTATGTCGACTGAAAGTTCAGTTTCAACGGCCCCATTTGTATCTTTTTAGATAGATACCAACCAGCTGCGTTCCTTCCTATTTCATTAAATATTTTTCTAGCTATAATATTTTTACTAAGTAAGAGGGCAAGAACTAGTTGCAGTGCAGTGTCCTATTAGCACTCGAAAAATAACGATAGCAGATTCTCACGTTATCAAATATATATATATATATGAATCAAGACAATATATCTATTATAATCTATAATTTCCTTCTTCAATGACTTTCCAATTTCTTCTTCTTTTTTTTATTTTTTATTTTTTATTTTAGAGAGCTTCCACAAACCGTTGATAAATAATACGTTGGATACGGATTTTGAACAAATGAAGATAAATTATTTAACTTTAATGTTGTTACCCCAACATATATATATACTAAGATTTCTTTTATAATTTTTTAGATGTTGAAGTGTGGGGGATGATCGAAAAAAAAAATCCATTTTGAATAGAATGATAAGGAGGATCTTAACACTTTTCTCTTACATATTGCATACTTACATCGGATAATAATATTATTTTTGCGTCTCCGAGATATATATACTAATATTTCTTTTAGGGGCTGTTTGGTTCATAGACTTTTTTTTGGTGGGATTGGGATTTTACAGTAGGACTTATATATTATTTTTGGTTGGTAAAATAGGGTGGGATTTATATTTGGTGGATTTGGATTTTTTATATTCTAAATTTGTCCTCTTATGAATTTTATTTATTTTGACAAATTAAACCTCTAATTCATTATTAATATAAATTGAAAATATATCAATAATTTTTATAGTACGACAATAGATTCGCATAAACTCGAGACCCTACCGAGCCCGACCTATTTATTTGAAGTTAAAGTCCAATTATTTGAGTATTAGGCCTGGATCCGGGTTATGATAAGGGTAATATAATAATAATATATCAACCATACATATGAAAAAATAATTTCGAATAATATAATTATATTAAAAATATTTTTTGAGTTTAACGTATTCATTATTTTATTATAATATTTTTCTAATAAAATACATAAATTTTAATATACATTGGATCTATACATGTGTAACTTTAAATTAAAATTTAAAAATTGTAAAAAATACATTTTTCGGATCCATCAAGTCTTACCGGGTATAGTCTCGGTCGGATCTAGTATAACGGATCCAATTTGAATCTCGGATTTAACAATATATATTTGAGATGAATATCAGTTTCGACTAAACTCGACTTATGGTCGTCCCTATAATTTTATAATTCAAATAAAATTTATAATAAATAATAATTTAAACAATGAATTTATTAATTTATTTTAAAAAATATTTTACAATAAAAAATAATATAAATTTAATTAAATATATAATTCAAATAATAATTCATTTTAAAATTATTTAATTTTTTATATAAATATAATACTATTATTTTTTTTTTTATAAAAGGATATAAATGTAAAAAATTAAAATTTCAAGAATGTGATTTAAAAGTAACAGGGGTATTCCATTACAAAAAAATTCTTTATTTGTAAGATTTTAGACCCATTTTTCAAATCCCATCATTTTAAATTCCACCTTAATCCCATGAAATTCCATTAAATCCTTGAACCAAACAACCCTTATATTTCCTTAAAATGCTCGGTGTAGCATGGTGGGGATGGTAGAAGAAAACCATTTTAAATAAAATGGATATGCTCGAAAATACAAAGAGATAGAGATTTCATTATTTTATTCTTTTATATTTCTGCATCCATGAATTACATACCTAGCTGTAATATTATTACGATATTCATGCATTGATTTCCATTTAAAATGCCAAACTAATTTATATTTGTATTTTGTATAGGTGTGAAGCCTCTGCGAATTTGTCGAAACTCAGACATCAAAACTAGATGTATAATTCCTTACATGGTGAATGACACACACACATATATATATATATATAATAGATATTGCAAAAATATTTAACCAAAACCTTAACTGGAAAAAGAGAATTAAACAGATCCATGATGAATCAATAATAACATGAAGTCAAGACAAGAAAACAATCCCAAAAAAACAACTAAACCAGATTAATTCAGTAGTCGTAAGAAAACCATGCCAAATGCATACTGATACGGTCTTTTTTAAGGTTTCCAGAGTAAGGTTGTCTCAGCGATCATGGAAGTCACAACATACGGATCCATGTTAGAAGCCGGCCTCCTGTCTTCAAAATACCCTTTTCCGGCCTTCTCCGTGTCCCGCCCCACTCTGATCGACGCTCCCCGATTTGCCACGCCCTTCAAACAACCATATAAATAAATCCGTATGTAAGCGTAAATCTTAAATTTTTAGGCCAAATGGTCATTTAATAAATCAAACATGATCGATGATCTAACATTCGAGCATTGCTCACCCATGAAAACGTGTTGATGTCGGCTGTCTCATGCTTCCCGGTGAGGCGTCGTTCATTGCCTTCTCCGTATGCAGCAATGTGATCTTTGTGCCTCAATCGCAGCTTCTCAATTGCCTTTTTTATCACATCGTAGCCGCCTTCTTCTCTCATCGACTTCGTGCTGGATAAGGTTAAGAATAGTAGAGTTAAGCCAACATAAGACAGCGGAGAATTTTAGGCGAAGATGCCGGCAGGATTGAGACCTGTAGTTTGAATGCGCCCCGGCGCCGTTCCAATCGCCCTGGATTAACAAAGGCTATGTTATTACAACATGGATGAAACAAAGAAGAAACACCAGAGTTTGTTGCTGTTTAGTCTGAGGTCTAACCGGAATTGGCTTTGGGTCGAAAGAGAGGACTGCGCCGGCAACCTCTGTGATCCTCTGTTGCAATGAAATGTTGGTTGAGTTTGTTCTTGTTCCTGTAATAAAATCTCTTTTTCTTTTGTGTGTGTGTTCTTGGTTAGGATTCAATTACCTCTAGAATGTACCGCGCTACCCATAGCTGATCTCCGGCCGAGATTCCCACAGCCGGCCCGACCTGGAATTCCCACTGACCGGAAAAACAATATATTTTTATAGAGAATCGCAAAAAAAAAGTTAAAAGAAGTTTGATGTCTGTACCTGGCCAGGCATGACTTCGCCATTAACGCCGCTGATGTTTATTCCGGCGTAGAGACAAGCTTTATAGTGAGCGTCAACTATGTCCCGGCCGAAGGCCTTGTCAGCGCCGACGCCACAGTAGTACGGACCCTGTAATGAAGTAGACAACATAAAAACACACAGATGCTACCTAAGATCAGGGCAAAGATCAAAATACCATAAACTCGAAACATCGGTCATATCATTACCTGAGGACCGGGGAATCCGCCGACAGGCCAGCCCAAAGGCCAGCTAACATCCTTCTGCAACAAGGTGTATTCCTGTTCTATCCCGAACCTGTGTTTCAAAAATTTGAAACAACCTCAGTTAAGTTTGCAATGATTTCAGATCATATATAAGTACTAGAAACAGAGGCTGGTTCGAACCAGGGCCCCTCGGCGACGACGTCCGGATGGCTAAAGATCTTAGCTGCAGCATGTCTCTTGTTTGTGGGGATAGGATCTCCAGTTGGTGTGTAACAATCACACATGGCCTATAAAATTTTACAACCAAACAATTTTGAGCACAACATTACACCATATTTATATACAGATCTAATTCAGACAAGAATCATCAGTTCTTACAAGAATGTGGTTTCCCCTCCTGAATGGATCACGGAAAATTGCCTGTGGGCTGCAAGAAAATTACAAGAAGTAACAATAATCAGTTTGTTAATCAAGAATATATATATATATATATATGTATATATATACAAAGGGGTTTGGAATTAGGGTTTTAGTATTGATTACTAGAGAATGACTTCACTGTCTTCACCAGGTGCTTGTTCTGTGCTGCTACCATCAAAGTTCCACTTTGGAAGCTTTGAAGGATCAGTGACAGGTCCAGGGAGGGTCTGGATTATACCACAGGGAAATTATCATCATTCATCAAAATCAAGAGAGATAATTGACAGACAAACAAACTGTGTTTTTTCATGTAAGAAAAGGACACACAAACTTACTCTGGCTTTGCTCCTCAGATCCCTCCCAGATCCACCAACCCTAAACCATTACAACAAAATCATACATGTCTGTGAGAACTAAAGAAAGATGAAAATAAAACAATCTTGGAAGAACCCACTGACCATATGTACTCAACAATGGTTTTCTTGGTAACATCAGATAGATTCAAGTTGAAGAGATCACTTAGCCGAGCCATTTTGGTGTTCGGAAATCTGCTCTTTTTAGGTATTTGTCAGTGTCTCTGAAAGAGCAGTCTCAGTCTCACCAAGTGCCTCATTATGGGAATATTGAGAGCGGTTTTATAGGCTAATTTGGCGTGGAAAAATAAGGGAAAATCATCATATCATCATGTTTCACATTTCTTGTTTACAAATTGGAAAAATAATGTATATATATAGATTTTCTTGTTATAGCTCATCCCATGAATACCAAAAACCTATGGGCGATGTTTTCCTAGGCTAAACAAAAGAAATACTATAAGTGAAAAACATCATTCTTAATTTCTTTCCACACTTTTCACTTCCTTTTTTAATTTTGTTACTGTGGAAGAATAGGTTAAAAGAATTAACGACCCAAATCCAAGAATGGTGGAAAAGTCCCTTATTAATTTGCTGAACTGATTCATCTCCGTCCCCAAAGATTTTAAAATACTGTAATTAATTAGGGTTCTTGAATTGCCATGGATGCAAAACAATACCTTTTCGACTTTCCCAATGGAACTTGTCCGTACATGAAGAGTTTTCAGGCATCTTGGTTTTATCGACTAATGTCGATAACTCTTACGGTTTTCCTCAATGCAATGAGAAGCCAAGAAAGAAGATGAACCAACCAATGCAATCAGAATACAAGAAAAACGACAGATGCTATAACACTAACAGTCCAAGAATCATCTCTGCATCTGCACTGTGTCTACATCTCATCTCTGAGAAACAAAATCTGTGCAAAAGAAAACTTAGTATTTACCAACAAACCAGAACCAACATTGTCCAAGAATTCATTCCACTCCAAGCCTGTAAGAACATATCTAGTCCCCTCTATCGGCAACGATCACATTCCCATTAAAATCGACGTCCAAAACAACCGAATCGCCTTCTCGAATTTCCTGTGCCAGCATTTTCTCAGCCATGCTGTCCTCAAGAAGCCTTGTAATAGCCCTTCTTAACGGTCTCGCGCCGTAGCTCGGATCATATCCTTCCTCGACGACTCTGTCTCGGAACCTCTCCGTCACCTGCAGCTCTATATCCTTTTTCTTAAGCCGATCGAATACCTGCTTCAGCATGATGTCGGATATCTTCCTCACCTCCATCTTCGTCAGCTGTTTGAAGACGATCATGTCATCCAATCTGTTCAAGAACTCAGGGGTGAAGCTCTGTTTCAGCTTCTCCGTCACCAATTTCTTGATCCGGCTGTGAATTCGATCCTTCTCGACGTTATCCACAGCTGAATCGAGGCTCCGGCTACCCTGCTCGATCTCGTTGCTCCCAACATTCGACGTCATGATCAAAAGTGTGTTCTTGAAGTCCACTGTCCTGCCTTGGCTGTCTGTCAATCTTCCATCCTCCAAAATCTGAAGCATTACATTGAAAATCTCCGACTGCGCTTTCTCAATCTCATCGAACAGGACAACAGTGTAAGGACGGCGTCGAACAGCCTCGGTCAGCTGCCCGCCGTCGAGATGACCAACATAGCCAGGAGGCGAACCGATCAGCTTTGAGACAGTATATTTATCCGAGAACTCACTCATATCCAGCCGGATCATCGCATCCTCGGATCCGAAGTAGTAATAAGCGAGCGCTTTCGCGAGCTCGGATTTCCCGACACCAGTCGGACCAGAAAAGATGAAGCTAGCAATAGGTCTGTTGGGATTCTTTAGCCCAACACGAGCACGACGAATAGCGCAGCTAATGGCTTTGATTGCGTCTTCTTGCCCGATGATCCTCTTGTGAAGAGACTCCTCCATTTTAAGGAGGAGATCGGATTCGACAGCCGAAACCTTCTCCACCGGAATGCCTGTCCATGAAAAGACAATGTGCTGAATGTCGGCTTCTGTGACGACAGGATCGCCTCCATCCCCGGCCTCATTTTCTGCCTTCCTCATTTCCTCGACAAGAACCGCTATTTGAGCCTTGAGTTCCTTCTCCCTGTCGCGTAGCTCCGCTGCCTACAAATTTTATTACATCGATTCATTCGTCGAAGATTCCAAAATTTGCAACACGACTTTTACCTTCTCAAAGTCTTCGCATTGAATAGCTTTACTTTTCTCCTTGGCGATTTGCCTTACGTCTTCATCGAGCTCGCTAGCTTCCTCAGGGAGCTGCATGGATAACGAAAACCGTTGCCGTGATACTGCGAAAAGAATTGTCGAGACAACACGAGAGGATCTTACCGGAGCACGGCGAAGCTGCGCGCGCGAACCAGCTTCGTCAACCAAGTCGATTGCTTTATCCGGCAGAAAACGGTCACTGTTGGATGCAAAGGTTGTCTTAAGACTAATAGACGATATCGCTACTGTTCGACTGCCGTAGCTGTAACAATAGTAGTACCTGATATATTGATAGGACAACTGCGCCGCGGCGGCTAAAGCTTCGTCAGCATAACGAACCTTGTGATGAATCTCGTACCGGTGTCTAAGGCCTTTAAGAATCTTGATGGTTTCCTCGACTGTCGATTCGGGCACCTTCACGGATTGGAACCTTCTTTCCAACGCAGGATCCTTCTCAATGTGCTTCCGGTATTCATCTAGCGTCGTTGCTCCAATGCACTGCAAGTGCAGCATCGTTCAGACACCCGGCTTTCGAGGGCTGTGTGTCTTATTCAGACATGTATGTATGTATCTATGTACCTGCAGTTCACCTTTAGCTAATGCAGGCTTCATGATGTTTGCAGCATCCATGGCTCCTTTCGCGGCTCCAGCTCCGACCAACATATGCACCTCATCGATGAAGAGTATAATGTCGTCGTTCTGCTTAACTTCCTCCATCACCTTCTTCAACCTCTCCTCGAACTGACCGCGATAACATGTCCCCGCGACGAGGAGAGCCATGTCCAGTGTAATAACCTGGACGCCATAAAAACAAGACAATCGAAAAGAAGTCTACACAGGCTGTAATAACCTTTAGCTAACAGACAGACCTTCTTCCCTAAAATCGCCTCCGGAACATCTTCATCAGCTATTCGCAGAGCCAGCCCCTCAGCAATGGCTGTTTTCCCGACTCCAGGCTCTCCAATGAGACAAGGATTGTTTTTAGTACGCCGTCCTAAAATTTGCGCGACGCGCTCGATTTGCTCCTGTCTCCCGACAACAGGATCTATCTTCCCCTGAAAATGATCAAGAGTGGCGCTAACGGTAACTTGTCATCATTGAAACAAAAAAAAATTGCATCTAGTTATAGGATTCTCACCTCTTCTGCAAGCTTGGTCAAGTTTGTTCCATACTTCTCCAGAGCATGAATCTTTCCACCAAGAGCTTTAACAACCTGTGTTAGAAGAAGACATCCTTAGTTTCCGACAGCGAGAAGTATTGGAATCGATCCAAGCAATGCTTTATGTACCTGAGTTCGAATCTTACGCAGATCAGCGCCTAAATTCTCGAGGACACGAGCAGCCACGCTTCCAGATTTATTAGAACTGCCCATGAACATAGGGAAACCTCCAAAGTCATTGTCACCTGAAATCAATCGCAAAATTAAATCGATCATACAAAAATCAAGCTATGTCGAAATAAGCTAAGATGAATAAGTGTATGTATACAGAACAAGCTCACCCTCTCGAAGCAATCCCAGCAACAAGTGCGCGGATCCGATGTTATTTTGGCCTGAATTGATAGCAAATGAAGCAAATGCATAGGTTTGATGATCAAAGGTTGTAAGAACATCTTTGAATGGTGCTAGTAAATGAAAAGAATACAATATATACCAAGCTGACGAGCTTCCTCTAGAGAAAGGTCAAAAACTCGTTTAGCCCCGGGAGTAAAAGGTCTGTCGACAGCAGAAAATTCACTACCTCGTCCTATTTGCTTTACAACCTCTACCCGAGCCTTCTCGAGGTTTATTCCAGCAGAATTGAGGACCTTAGCAGCAATGCCGACTTCTTCTCCAATAAGTCCGAGTAAGATTTTCTCAGTTCCTACAACAATGTGCCCAAGCTGTCTAGCCTCTTCTTGTGCAAGTGTAATAACTTTCAATGCCGATTCTGTAAAGCGTTGAAACATGGCTCGGGGGATGAGGATCACGCCAGCAGCCTCAGTAATCCTCTGATGCAATAAAATGTTCGATCATGTCACCGTAATGAAACTGTGATTGGTGTTAGGACAGAATTGGATTACCTCAAGAATGTAGCACGCAGCCAACAGCTGATATTTCGCAGACTTCCCGGCTGCTGGCCCGACTCTGAATTCCCACTGATCAGCAGAATCACAATGTGTTAAAAACATTCAGACACAAAAATAAAAGGAGTTTCGACGATACAATGATGTCTCTACCTGGCCAGGCATGTTTTCGCCATTGATTCCACCTATGTTGATCCCAGCAAAGAGACACGCTTTATAATGAGCGCCGACTATGTCGCGCCCAAAGGCCTTGTCTGCGCCGACACCACAGTAGTACGGACCCTGCAATGTAGTGCAAAAAATTATTACACAGATGCATTCACAAGATCAAGAACAATAAATGGATCCTCATTCAATTACCTTCGGACCGGGGAATCCTCCGACCGGCCAGCCTAAAGGCAACTTGACATCCTTCTGTAATAAGGTATATTCTTGATCAACCCCATCACTGTGTTTGAAACAACCTCAGTTCATTCTGCATTGAATCAGGACAATGATAGTAATAGAATCAGGGTGTCAGGACAATACCATGGCACCTCCACCTCGTCGTAGGGATGAGTAAAGATCTTCGAAGTACCATGCCTCCGGGGTTTTCGGATCGGCTTTCCAGCCGGAGTTTGAGTATCACACATCACCTATAGAACAATATATATATATATATATATAAATGAATGAATGTATGTATAGATAAAATGAGTAGTCAGTTTTCAGACAAGAATGAGGCAGAAAATTCTTACAAGAATGTGGCTTCCCCTCCTAAAAGGATCAGGAAAAATGGCCTTTGGGCTGCACAGAATTGCAAAGGATAGTAACATACAATTTAGTAATCCACAATGAATTAATGAAGAGAGGGTAATAATTTGGTAGGAATGTATGATTGTAATATTATTATTATTACAGGAGGATGACTTCACTGTCTTCACCAGTGGCTTGACCTGTGCTGGAACCATCATAGTTCCATTTTGGTAGCTTTGAAAGCTCAGTGATGGGTTCAGGGAGAGTCTGATCAGGAGATAGATCATAGCTATATTAGCAACACAATTGTAGAAACAAAAACAAGAAAGCCCAAAAATACAAAAAACAAAAAGGTAGTTTTCATGGAACCAAAAGGGCACAAAAACTCACTCTGGCTTTGCTCCTAAGATCCATCCCCGATCCACCAATCCTTCAAAAAAAACAATAAATTCCACAATCAGAACCTGAAAGAAAGACTCCATAATCTTAAAAAGAAAGGGGTTTTTCTGAGCACAAACAACCAATCATTTCATCAAACATTCATTTAAAAAAACGAAAAAAGAAACAATCTTGCAAGAACTAGCTGGCTGACCATATGTATTCAGCAATGGTTTTCTTGGTGACCTGAGAGAGGTCCAAGTTTATGAGATCACTGAGCAGAGCCATCAAATGTGGTCCGTGTTCGTCGCCTTCTGTGGCTGAAAGAATAAATATCCCTATTCGTCGCCTTCTGTGGTTGTTAACAGTACTACAAGGATGTTTTGGTCTTCGCAATTAAGTCTTCATTTGTCGTCAATGTTCCACCAATACGATGTCTCTAACTTTTTCAAAATTAACAATACCGACCATGCATGATTGCAGCCACGTCAATAATCTAACAATTTTGTTAATTAATTATAACGATTCACACTTTACAGGAAGGTAATGGGAATATACACACTTTTGAATTTCCTCTCTTGTTTTATGGCAATGGAACATTCCTTCTTCCTCACAAGTTAACATTTGAATGCTGCAGCGGAAATTCGTGCAAAATTTCCTTTTATTTATTACCAGAAACCCATTAATCTCTCTCTCGTCGGCCTTGTCGAAGAAACACAAACAAACAAAACAAAAGCCTGTAGAGAATGAAATTTCTGCCAGAAGCAAAAGCACCTTATGCAAAAGTGTAAGAATCCATTCCCTAGTGGCAGACATTTGAATATATCATACACAAACTATTTCTTTCAAGATCAAAGTCTTGTAAAATCTTAGACTGACTCGATGACGATGCCCCAAATGGGAATGTAAATCCAAAGTCTCGTCGCCATAGAAGAACAAGTTTTAAGGGAGAGCTAATCAAAAGGGACACCCACCTGCAGTAAGAAACATACTTGGTATGAGAATTTTAGATAACCACAGGCTCGGGAGACGGCTCCGGCGGGGCGCCGCTGCTGCCATTGAGCACGATCACATTGCCGTCGGAATCAACATCGACGATGACAGAGTCTCCTTCTTTGATTTCCCGCGCCAGCATTTTTTCCGCCATGCTATCCTCGAGAAGCCTCATGATAGCTCGTCGTAGGGGTCGGGCGCCGTAGCTCGGGTTGTATCCTTCCTCCACAACTCTATCTCGGAACCTCTCCGTAACCTGAAGTTCGATCTCCTTCGTTTTGAGTCGCTCGAAAACTTCCTTCAGCATTATGTCGGCGATCTCTTTCACCTCGAGCTTAGTCAGCTGTCTGAAGACGATCATTTCATCCAATCTGTTCAAGAATTCCGGCCTGAAGTACTGTTTCAGCTCCTCCGTCACCAAGCTCTTGATTCGGTTGTAACTGCTGTCCTTCTCGTCGTAATCGAGGTCAAAACCGATGCGCCGGCCTCCCTTCTCGATCACACTGCTTCCGACGTTCGACGTCATGATCAGAAGCGTGTTCTTGAAGTCCACCGTCCTGCCTTTGCTGTCCGTCAATCTCCCGTCTTCCAGAATTTGAAGCATCATGTTGAAGACGTCGGGATGGGCCTTCTCGATCTCGTCAAAGAGGACAACAGTGTACGGGCGGCGGCGAACGGCCTCGGTCAGCTGCCCACCTTCAGTGTAGCCGACGTAGCCGGGGGGCGACCCAATCAGCTTCGAGACGGTATGTCTCTCCATGAACTCACTCATGTCGAGCCGGATCATGGCCTCTTCAGATCCAAAGTAGTAAGCAGCGAGGGCTTTCGCAAGCTCGGATTTCCCCACACCCGTTGGACCGGAAAAGATGAAGCTCGCAATAGGCCTGTTGGGATTCTTGAGCCCGACGCGGGCACGGCGAATGGCGCGACTAATGGCTTTCACAGCTTCGTCCTGCCCAATGACCCTCTTGTGAAGGGTCTCCTCCATCTTAAGCAGCCGATCCGATTCATCCGTCGACACCTTCTCCACCGGAATGCCCGTCCAGGAAGAAACGATGTGTTGAATGTCAGCTTCTGTGACAATCGGACCGCCGTCCCCGGCCTCACTTTCTGCCTTCGTCATTTCCTTGCTTTTGTCCACGAGAGCAGATATTTGGGCCTTGAGGTCCATCTCTCTATCTCGTAGCTCCCCGGCCTGCAGATTTTTCGAAACAATTTAGTTCAAGAGTTGAGTATTCCAGTATTTGAAACAGGGGTACGATGAATTGGGATACCTTCTCAAAATCTTGACTTCGGACAGCCTCATTTTTCTCTTTGGTGATCTGCCTGAGTTCTTTCTCAAGCTCTCTAGCTTCCTCAGGTAGCTGCAAGGATAATCGAATCATCATAGATCAAACTGCCGAATAAATGGAAGTTGTGAGAGTGAGACAGAAGCCTACCTGAGCATGACGAAGTCGGACTCTCGAACCAGCTTCATCAACCAAGTCGATTGCTTTATCAGGCAAAAATCGGTCACTAAAAGATGTAAAGATGGTCTCAGTTGCTCTGTTAGAAAATTATCTTGAATCGAAATAATTTTTTTTTTTTTTTTTTTTGTAAATAAGTCCAAAGCTGTGAAGAATATGCACAACCAGATGTGGATAAATTATTGCAAAACACAATACCTGATATATTGATACGACAACTGTGCTGCAGCGACTAAAGCTTCATCAGTGTAACGAAGCTTGTGATGGATTTCATAGCGCTCTCGCAGCCCTTTAAGAATTTGAATAGTTTCATCCACAGTGGGTTCAGGAACCCTGACAGGCTGGAACCTTCTTTCTAATGCCGGGTCCTTCTCAATGTGCTTTCGGTATTCATCTAGTGTTGTGGCACCAATACACTGCAAGCAGAGCATTATTCAGACATAAAAATGCCCAATGAAGAAAGGTTTATCGACCAAATAAACTCAAACAAACAAACAAACAAGAGGAGAAACAGCAAAGAATTGTGATGACTTTAGGAGAATATATAAATGGCTGCAATACTTGAAACCATGTCTGCTGTTCATTACCCAACAAACGATTTTCTCACTATTCAATTTACCCATTCGGCTTTTGTGTTCTTAGCGTACCTGTAATTCACCACGAGCTAATGCAGGTTTCAAGATGTTTGCAGCATCGATTGCCCCTTCTGCAGCTCCAGCTCCAATCAAAGTGTGCACTTCATCGATGAAGAGTATAATTTCATCACTCTGCTTAATTTCCTCCATCAGCTTCTTCAACCTTTCCTCAAATTCACCACGATATTTTGTTCCAGCAACAAGAAGACCCATGTCTAGAGTTATAACCTAAGCATCACAATAACAACAACAACGGCTACTTCAAAAAACAATAAAAAAGAAACTGAAAGGCAAAGCTGCTCCACAAAACATTGCATTTCCGACATAATGCCAGCACTCAACAATGTCAAACAAGTTATCTATGATGTTCACATTCCAAGCACCATTTTTAGGATAATCATATGCTCATACTAAAGAAATGAAACAAATAGACTCGAAATGATGACAACCATTGACTCATTGATTAAGAACACAAACTGGGATACAGTCCTAATCATAAAAGCAGCTATGCGCGTACCTTTTTCCCCTCGATCGTCTCTGGAACATCCCCATTGGCTATTCTTTGAGCAAGCCCCTCAGCAATAGCTGTTTTCCCAACTCCAGGTTCTCCAATGAGGCAAGGATTATTCTTAGTGCGACGCCCTAAAATTTGAGTGACACGTTCGATTTGCTCCTGCCTTCCCACAACAGGATCTAACTTCCCCTAAAGTAATCAAGAGCACCACTTACCACCAGCCCTCAACAATAATTTACCATAGAAAATCTGAAGTGTCTTGTGTGAGCATTTCAAGAATTTACCTCCTCTGCTAGCTTGGTCAAGTTGGTACCATACTCCTCCAGTGTAGGCATCTTGTTACCTGAGCTTCCGCCTCCTACACCAGCACCAACAGCCTCTGCACTCTCCCCCACCATTCGAATAACCTAATTTCCAAGAAGATTGGTTTGAGTTTCAGAGGAGTGTAATAAACTAAAGAATGTGAAATTGAACTTACCTGAGTTCGAATATTACTGGGGTCAGCACCTAAATTCTCAAGCACACGAGCAGCCACACCTTCACCCTCACGAAGCAATCCCAGCAATAAGTGCTCAGATCCAATGTAATTGTGACCTGAATCAACACGAGGTGCCAATATCGTAACTTAAATCATGCTTAATAGAGAAAACACTCGGTTTCAATGATAAAATGCTGCATGTTTAAATATAAAGAACGTCTTTAAATACATTGAACCCACATCAAACTTACCAGCATTCTCAGAACATCATGAAAGAAGAAAGACAACATGACCAAAGAAAATTATTTAAAGAAACTGTATAAAGAGGTTACCGAGCTGGCGAGCTTCCTCTAGAGAGAGTTCAAGAACACGCTTAGCACGAGGAGTAAAAGGAATCTCCACAGCAACAAACCCACTGCCACGACCAATTATTTTTTCAACCTCTACGCGAGCATCCTTGAGATTAATTCCCATGGATTTGAGGACCTTGGCAGCAATTCCAGTGCCCTCACCAATAAGTCCCAATAAGATCTGCTCAGTTCCAACAAAATTGTGCCCTAGCCTTCTTGCCTCTTCTTGTGCAAGCATAATGACTTTGATTGCTTTCTCCGTGAAGCGTTCAAACATGGCTCGAGGCCCCGTTCTTAACTTTTTCCCTCTCTTACCATAGCTGGCAGTTAACTTTGATTGGAGAGTCTGCCCACTTCTCCTCAACGCTACATCCAGAGCATTAGCCCCTCGCAGTCCGGTGAAACTCCTCAGTCGAATGGGAGTCGACTGTACACTGGAGAGCATTGTCGACGCCTTTTTAGTCTTGGTGGACCCTTCAAACTGTCCATTATTTGCCCATCCAACCGAAGATGGCAAATTCGTTGATTGAACTAAAGCCCGCGCCATATCTGCCCCCAACAAATCTCTGCACATATTTCAATCCCAATTAGTCATATCAAATGTATTCAAAAGCTTAAACAAAAACCAACTGCATCAACAACCAACACAGCCTTAACCCTAAAAAATTCAACTCCAGTTGGATATAATCAGAAATGACAAACACAGGTTCTTGAACCATTAGTATACACTCCTGAAATTACGAAACGATTTGGACAAGAAGCAAGTGAAATGAAATTAGGCCTCACGAATCTACCAATTGACTATAAAAACAGACAATTCAAGAACAGATGCATATCAACAGTTGACGCCCAGCTCAAAGAAACAGCATAAGTTGCAAGTTTCCAATCCCCCAACGAATTACAGAATGAAAAAGAACCCGGGTGAACAAAGAACCCTAAATTACTGGGACAAACAGAAAATCCACAACTCAATTTGAAAACCCACTTCGATAAATCAGGTCAATCACAAGAGAAACACCTCACCTTAACCAACAACACGAGAAAGGAAGGCACCGAATACGGTATATCCAGAAACCGCAGCAAAACGGTCTCCTCTAACGAGAGACCGAAGACGACCCGTCAATTACCCGGCCGTAGAACCAAGAAGCAAGAGAAGATCCAATGAGATATCTTGAAGGATAGAGATATGGATTATATTAGGCTCTCCGGTTACTCTCTCTTCATTTATTTCGTTTTCTTTTTTTCTTTTTCTATCGATTTTTTCGGTTTTTGTCTCCACGCCTTCGCATTGCGTTTTCCTACGCCTACACGATTCCTTCATTGACTTACGGTGCACCGTCACACAGCGAGTAATATCTCTTCACAGCTTATCAGAGCCGTAGGATCAGAATATGAATGCAGACAGAGAATCAACGATTAGGATTCATGGGCTCCATATGTGTATATTTTTTGGACATGTAAAAAATTGAGATTTTTAATTTTAATTTATAAATATATATATATATATATATATAATTAAAATGGATGGAGTAACAAGTGTTAGATGGAATCAGCACGACCACAAGTTACGTGGAATTTTAAACAAAAATGGGAAATTAAAATATCAATCAAAACGGGCCTACCCAATTTTGTCACCACTAATTTGTGCAATAGTTGGATTCTAGATATCGATGTGCGGACAATTCTCAATTGTATTTGATGTCTAAGTTTTTCTGTAAAATTTCATTTAAATGGTGTATTATTGATACATTGATATTTCGTTTAGTATATATGAAGATTTTATAGAGAAGTGTAATTGGGCCTAATTGTTCTTTATTGAGCTTGAAATGTTTGGGCCTTTGATCCAGTATGGGCTTCTATTGTTCTTGGGTTTTGATCCAACCCATATTAATATGGGCTTCTACAGTTCTTGGGTTTTGAGGGGGGAGATCCTCCGTAGTGGTGACCCTTGACTATACTAATATGGGCTTCCTCCTTTATACTCTTCCTGTGAACTTTCTTGATTTTCAGCCATATTATAAAATTTTTGAAAATGCATAGTTCTTATAATTAATAGTACATGATTTTTATTTTTTTCTAAAAGGATAAAATATTTTTTTCCAAAAAACAATTGTGATGCAAATGACTATAGATTGTACAATTACTTTGTAGTCATTAATTAGCTATTGTCAAACTTGCTAAACTAGCCTTGTCAATTTGAGAGTTTTTTTTTCATCATTTTTTTGTATGTTTGTAGTTAGAATTGGTTGAAATTGGTACGAATCATTTGAACTGTCTAACAAGTCCGTCATCGCTTTGTTTATAGTGATATAAATGTTTTATTTGTTCTTCTACAATCCGATATCATTTAGGTTCATTCAAATAGGCATCTTTTTTTTGTTTGAATTTTTTTACAATTTTTTGGGGATTATTTTGTATTTTAAGGTTCTATTCTATAAACTTCCTTTTGCTCAAAATAAATTAGGATACAACATTTCTATATTTATTATTATAATTATTATTATTGGAGGTACAATTATTTGAACAAAGAACGTGTGGATTTTGCTGATTGAATTGATTGTGGAGCTGTAAAATTTAATTTCCATATGTGTATATATGTGTGTGATGATTTTGTTATGTCCATCTTTTGCGGTAATTGAAGAGTTCCAGCTTTTTGAAAGACTACTGCCTCAGGTGGGTTTCTCGTGAAAACTTCAATGAGTCACTGTCTTTAATTATTTTACTTTAATTTTCTAATTATATTATTTTCCCTGGAGTGGCTACCAAACTCATCTTTAGGTATTTGATGATCACATGTTGCCATTTGATTCAATTTTGCCTGCTGCAATTTGGTTCCAATTAATATATATATATATATATATATATTGTGATCGAATATCAGATAAACTCTTCTGGCCATTGTAATGATTAGCTAAATTGATTTATAATAAGAAATTTACACAAACATCCAAATCTGATGATTTTGCATGTAACTGACCTCATGATGATTTTCTTCTTCTTCGATTTCACACACACACACACGTATACGTGTTTGTGTGTTTGAGGGTTTCCCTAGCTGTAAAAAGGATGAATTGATTCTCCAGCAATATTACGTGTCCGATTGCCTCACTCAAAGACAAACACAATACCCTTTTGCCTTTTGTATTCTTCAAGCCATTTCTTGTCCACTTCTGCAACTATATATATATATATATATATATATATAAAGATGTGTGTTTTTTCTTTGTCCCCATTCCCTATTGCTTGAACCTCCATTGCAGAGTCTGTTGTGCATTCATCATTACCATCTTCGAAGCTTCGTGACTTTTAAGGATATGCTGTCGGGAGGAAACAGCATCGTTTGGAATAACCATGGCGAGCCCAATAACGAAGAACTGATGGAAATGGCAGGCACCATCTCTTCTTCTTCATTCAAATCCATTCTCGAAGCTGAAGATGATCCCACCAATATCTGGTACAACTCCGCCGCCGGCCGCCATGGCATCTCAACATTCACCTCAAGAAATTCCGGCGATCACGACGACGATGACGAGGACAACACCCATCTGATCTTACAACCTCAGGATAACTCTCCTTCCTCCTGCTCTCCATCACCAGCCTCAGTTTTCAATCCATTTCATCATCTTCAGGTAATAAACCCCTTTCTGCAACAAAGATCTTTAATCCCGACAGCAATCCCTCCTCATGTCGTCACAAAACCCTTTGAGAGCACCTTCGATTTGGGCTGTGAAAACGGGTTTCTGGACAGCAGTAATGGAGTTTCTGGCTTCACTGATCATTATAACCAATTGGGAATCCCCAATTCAAACCCTAATCACACGCAGGTTACAGGTGCATCCAATTTAAACCCTTTTTTCGAATTAGGGTTTGATGAGGCCTCCATGAAAGCAGATTATTCTTTGCCCTATTACAACCCTAAGCCACTAGTGAATAATTTCTCCACAACTATTGACAATCATAAAAAGGATTCTTTCAACTTTGGTGACCGTGAAGCCATTAATAATCAAGTTGTAAGCTTGAATCCAACAGATCAAAATGGAGTGATGATTAGTGAAAGTAAAAGGAAATCAAGTAGTGGGAATGATGAGGATGAAGCAATCAGCATCGACGATGATTCTAGTCTGAAAAACGGCGGCGGCGGCGAAAGTAGCTCGCCGGCGGTGGCCGGAGGCAATCAGAAAGGGAAGAACAAAGGGCTTCCGGCGAAGAATTTGATGGCGGAGAGGCGGAGGAGGAAGAAGCTCAATGACAGGCTGTTCATGCTTAGGTCTGTGGTGCCAAAGATCAGCAAGGTATGAAATTTTATGTCTTACATTCACATCTTATTTTGAGTTCGACTCTAATTCCGTTGAAAGTCCTATTTGAGTTCGCTTTTTCAATTTGATACATTCAGAGTTCTATTTGCATCTCGTGATCTTCAAATTTCCATTCACATGTGATATGAATTCTGATGAATGTTCGTGCAATTGTATGATCAGATCTTCTTTCACATGTTACTTGTTTCAAGTTTGGTTGCTAGCTGTCATTACATCGACGATGTTCTTGGCTTGTCTGCAGATGGACAGGGCTTCAATACTAGGAGATGCTGTCGACTACTTAAAGGAGCTTCTGCAGAAGATTAACAATCTTCAAACTGAACTAGAATCCACCCCTTGCAGCAGCTCTTCGCTTGCGCCGCCTGCCGACTTCTTCCCTTTCTCACCTCCAGCTACGCCTTCTCAACTTCCGGCGGCTCATGTCAAAGAAGAGCATAGCTTAAGCCCACTGGGACAACCTGCGAGAGTAAGACAACTGCAGTTGCAATTTGCATACACACAACGTTGTTCGGCGCTCTTTTATGACTAAAACAAATTATATTGGACAGGTTGAGGTGAACTTAACCGAAGGAAGAGGCGTAAACATACATATGTACTGCGGATTGAGGCCGGGGATTCTGCTCGCGGCGATCAGGGCTATCGACAGCCTCGGCCTCGACATTCAGCAAACTGTTATCAGTTGCTTCAATGGTTTCGCCATGGATGTTTTTCGAGCTGAGGTAGCCAAGGATCGATCTTGATCCTTTTTCCATTTTTTTGGATTTTTGAAGAAGTTGATGATGAATTTGCCTGATGATTAATGTGTTCTGTTTCTCTGTTCGAATTTGGGCAGCAATGCAAGGAAAGACAAGAACTCCATCCTGATCAGATAAAGGCTGTGCTTCTTGATTCACTTGGCTTTCATGGCGTTTTGTGACCACTTCAAATACCCCAAAAACATGTCTGAATTTTTCTCCATGTGCTATGGTCTGTATTGTCTCATTTAACATGATGTTTTTTTAACTACTTCGTCCATATGCTTTGATACTTCAAAATTTAAATTTCTTGAAAAATAACTCACAGGTCATTTGGGCTTTTAAAAGATTAAAACATGGGCAAACATGAAACATGTTCCAAAATACACTTGAAATGCAAAAGTTTCAGTTTCATACATTGCTGCAAAGTCAATAGCCCATAGAACCACCAGACACTGATCATCAGCCGCGTTGCCATTATTCGAGCTCTTTATTGGAAGAAACGGACAGGATGGAAGCAACTTATCTGTAATCGGGCACGCAGATGATCAGAGATTGAATTCAGTCAGCTGCTGTAACAGACCAGCCAATGCTGTAAATGAGGCGACTTACCTGTCCGCCTTCAGGACATCTTTTGAGTCGAAGTGGATGATGAAGGTTCGTATTTCCATGGGGCCGAGTTCGACAACCAAATCAGAATCTACGAGCCCTCCTCGGATATCAGCCTTTGGCTTTGTACTCAAGCCTTCTACTTTCCAGGATAATCTTTTCCTCTCCATTTCTTCCCTTTCTTGGTTAGCAGATAGGCTCATTTCTTTGATCTTGCGCACCTTATTTGGAAACACTTTCTTCAAATCCACCGTTGCCAACGCAGATAAATCCTTGTCCTCTCCTTCCTGTTACGCAACCAAAAACAAAGAGATCAACACTCGTGTCTAATTCAGAAAAGAATCCATGAGGTCAGTTTAAGAAGACAAACCTCGTACAGATGTGCCAAGCGAAAAAGAACACTTCCGTCTGCAAGTTCCTGAGCCACAACAAAAGTTGAATAAACATTTTGCTGCCAAAATCAAGAAAATTCACATTTTTTTCATATGAAAGCACAATGGTTTACCTCGAGCGTTAATATGGCAACATTATCAGGCAGACTGTAAGAAGGGTCCATGGCAGTAAACGTTGGCACTGGGAAGTTTGTCCATGAATCATCCTGTTGGTGTATGCAAGTAGAACCGGGTTACAAATGCAAACAGGTCGGGAATGATGTCAGTGTGGAGATATGACAAACCTGCTCGGTGAAAGCCAAAAGAAACGGCGAGTAAATCTCCTGACCAAATGACCTGCGCCATTTGGCTCCATCTCCAAGTGGATCGAGCCTGAGATAGTACTTACCTTGAACCTGTCGGGAATGGGCATAATTAATCATGAATACGTACCAAGAACAAAAATCAGGGCAGTGTTGTTTTAGTAGAAGAGCTTGCTTACAGTTAGACCAGAGCATTTATTCTGAACACAGACGGTTTCATTTAGAGCCTCGGCAACACCTCTACCATCATCATGGAGTAATCTCCTACAAAATGATGGTTTACATTGATTGTTAAGAAACAGCCAGAAAGAGAGTAAAGATAAATATGAGAAATAAATTGCAGTAGGCAATAGGTACAGACGAAAAACCTGTGTAGCATTATCTCCACTTCACCATCATTAATACTCGAGCCCCCAACTGATCTATCCACCAAAACTGAAAGTTCTGTGCTTTCATCTTTGATGTAAATTCCGAGATTGATCTGAAAGGAAAGCCGGACACAGAACAAAATATTGAAGTTTATCCACCAAAAATATGTATGAACTGTTACCCAATTATAGATTAGTGTGAACTTAGCACTTGACAGTATTCGATAAGCAACAAGAATAATGAATGGTTTATGTCTACTTGAACTATAACAAATTCAGTTGAACTTCCAAGGTACTTGAATCTAAGAAAGGTTAGTGGCTTTGACAAAAGATTCACGACTTTTCTCATTTGGCATAGAATGTGGTTGATTATATTGAAAATGTATAACCAGGGAAGCAATGTAATACTATTTTAATAGTCAGTTACATGTAATCAATCCAATTTTACTATATAGGACAGTTAAAAGTTAAAACATTGCTAGTGCCAAAACAACACACTTCAAAAGATAGTTTTAGCAAGACTCCATAGAGAACTATCACTATTGGCATAATGTGAAGCTAAGAAGATAACAGCTATATGTTCACGTCAATAAGGGATGCATAACAGCACTTAGACAGATAGTTGGATATATGCATATATAATGTCTTAGTTCTAATTCAAATACCGGGTAGTAATTTCCTGCAACCGGTTGGTTTACTTGAAGGTCCCAATCAGCTCTGTAGTCTCGAATCTATACAAAAGTGAAGATTAAAATCAGAATAGGGGAAAACTATGGTGAAGTTCATCTGTGGTACCTGCCAATAGTATCTATGATAGAGAGGAATCATTTTTTGGTAGAAATGAATTTCATACCCGCTCTAGAAAATCACGGCCGTTAGAGTCTGTGTAAAATGTTTTGTTGCTTCCTATTTGTGTTTTTAACTGGGTCACAACCTCTTTCCCAAATCCATCATCTACAGGTATGGGACCAACCTGTAATTCCAGATAATAAAGAGAGCTTCCAACATGAGAATTTCAAAGTAACGTGCTTCACCAAGCAGCTAATACAATTGAACAGATGAAGTTGTTAAAAATAGGAAAGGGAAATTATCTTACAGTAAATTCCAGCTCAACGTGTTCCTTCTCTTTGTACACTCTCGTAATCTGCGAACAAATATGTTAACTCATTACAAAAAAGACTGAAGATGATAAGAAATTGGTATCTTATTTCAGCATTTGGATGTCAAATTGGTTATACATTAAATATGAAACTGACCTGATATATCCATGAGCTAATCTTCTGATGAACTTCATCAAAGAGTGGTCCCCTAAAAACCGTAAGTGGAGTCTACAATATACAATAGATTAGATTGTTGATTATCATACAAACATAGAAGATAAACATTGGGGGGAAATTGAATACCTTTCCTGAAGGTTGTACTTGGTATGTGGCATTTGGCCGGAAAATGTATGCTCCCGAAGCCTTCATCAAGTAAATGAATTATTCAAAACAATCTTAGCGCAAATTTTGGGTCAAAAATACAAAGTTTGCATAATGAGTACCTGTAAATCTTTGGGAGAATCCTTACTCCCATCATCCGCTGTATAGTAGCTGTACGATTGCTCTAGGGAATTGTTCACCTTCATTACGAAATACAACAGTATTATGCGCCTTTAATTAACTACACCACAAATATGAAGGGGAATAGAGTGGATAGCTATTGAGAGAACTCCAGAGCAGTATATAGAAAGCTACTATTTGCATACCGTGCTTTTGCTATTGATATATTGCATAAGCTTTCCATCATGTCCTGAGTATATAAGCTTCAAATCACCAGGCCCTATTTCTATATTCTCATTCTGACTTCCATCAAAAGTATATATGGTAGGTTCAATCAAGGAAGAACCTGCATCGGAACATTCAAAAGTGAATACTTCAGAATGTACTGAACTGAAATATTAAAAATCAACAAACATCATACAGTAACTTCTTGGGACATTAGATAAAAAGGCTAACCTGCTGATGTAGCAGTGGAAATAACGTATGTGCTGAAACCAAGAGGTGGAACATCTGCTTTAAATGCAAGCCAATATGTCGGGGTGGTGGAAGGAGATTCACCCATATGTGCACTGGCGTAGAATTTTCTATTGGCCATTGAAGCATTGACTATGGGAAGAATCTGTGATGGAACTAATTTCCCAGAGGAATCTTTAACTTGAACATTCTCATTGATTACCTGATAGAGTCCATCAAATAAATGAATATCATAATCACTTGGTCATTCATTTGGCCTTTTCTCCCATTAATGGGACAAATGTACACTTATCATTTTTTAAACAAAAGGTACAAATTAAAATTAGTTACCGGAATCCTCACAACATCTGATCTTTTCCAGCCCAAAGAGTTGTAGACAAGTACCACCTAGAGATGGCAAGAAATTGAGTTGTTTATGGCACAATATATATACATACACCTTGATGATACCTTGTAAAATCTATTCTCACAATTTGAATTGACAGTACATGCATCGATACAAGCTAGAAATTTTACTTACCAACTTTTTCCCTGGGGAAAGATCAACTTCCGTTGGAGGACAATAACTTATGTTCAGAAGTGGACACTGGAAAGACGAAGAATACATTAACTCAATGGCATCTAGCAAACTCCAAAAGCTACGCACAGTTTCAGTTATCCATATCATCCATTAAAACAAATACTATAGAAGAATAGATCATTAAAATGAGCACAAACTACCAAAGGTCAAAACAGAAGAATGAATTTGATGACTAGAAAGATTTCAATTAGATCTTTGAAGATCAAAAAGAGCTAGAGGTGCCTTGATACTTGCCTGTTTGAAATTTGTGGCTGGACTCTTACACTTAGAAGATGAGGACGATTGTATGAGACAGCCAAGGGAAGTAGCTACAACACTCTCAGACTGCATAAAGATTCTAATTTAAAAAACACTTCATGCGCAAGCCACTTGGCGGTAACAAATAGCAATTTTAAATGACCATACCTCCTTGTAACCTATAAAAAGCCTTTTTGCATAGTCATCAGCAACATGTTGCTTTTCAGTACCAGAAACTGCATCATGATGCTGTGCAATTGCCAAAGCATCTGCTAAAGAGTCGGTTGTGGGTCCTGATTTACTTCTTCCTAGGAAATATTCTAACTGTCTTGCTGCCTATCAAATATTAAAGTGCATTGAGATATCGTGTTTAAATCATCCAATGAGAAGGAACATTAATGAATAGAGAACATACAACAAAGTTTCATGGCATACCAAGTAATAGCCACTCATAACTCTGACATATCGCTTGGTGGCAGGTCTACTTGTGAAATAGCCAGTCCAGTAAGCATTTATGCGATCCGCATACCTGATGTAACATCATTAAGTTACTACCACATGATGTAAATAGATCACTATCAATTTTCTGGAGACATTCAAATGATTAAAATCATAAACTCACGGAAAGTAATCGTCTGATTTAAGAGGCCATGACTCATTCAGAGCATGCTTTGCATCGGTATAGAAAGACGGTGTGGAATAAAAGGCATTGACACGGCCATCCTGCAATGAAGTTTAACAGTTTAAGCAACATACCACCATATATTGAGTAAGAACACTTCGACATTGTCTAATATCATTGGTTTAGCACAATACTTCAGTTTCAGCTAAATAAGACACTAAGGGAGCTAACAAGATACATATTAGACACAGAAACTGCTCAATAATCATCCAGCAATGATAGCATATTATGAATTGACCCAGAAGATAACAAACCAGATTCACATAATGTATAAGTTTGTCCATGTTCCGGAACCATGTCTCAGCATATTGGTACTTGAAATCTGTGCCCATAGTCCACATTATGTGATTCGAGCGTGTGACATTAGCCTGCAGACAAAACCAACAGAGTAGCAGGGTTTTCATAAGTAATATTATCCTAATCACAACAGATTTGCCATAAACAGGGGGAAAGGGGAAGGATGAATACAATATATCCAAATTCTTAATAATTAAGCAGTTCACACTGATGAAAAGTCATAAGAACATGTCAGAAGGAAATATAAACCATATAACTAATTTACCTGCGATAAGGCAGCAGCTACAAAATCATTGACACGATCGTGAACGTTATAGTCGAAGAGATCCATGTCATCCTTCAAGAAAAGCATGATAGGAGATGTCAGTATCTCCATATGCAACTAGTAAATTGGAGATCTCTAACTCAAAGGAATTACCTGGACTACAGGAGAATCATCATTGATTTCAAAATAAAAACCAGTAGGAGGTTCATAGTTCCCAGCATAAAAAGCACCAGCAAATATCTGAAATAACAAGACACAAACTTTGATGAAGTTTCCATGCAGTGGCTAGAAATAGCACATAACTATAAATTTGGGACCAAACGTTGAACAATCATTAACCTGAGAGGATGAACCACGAGTTTTGGAACCCTGCCAGATAACCTCAAGCTTCTTCTCATCTCTCCTTTTGGCTCGATCTTGATAGTCAATACGACCAAAGAAAAGAGAATCGAATCCAACCTAAAATCCAATTACAACACTAGGTCCAATTAATATGCATAAAGAATGATATAATATATTTCATGGACTACACAACAACACCTCTGCCCCCAAAAGGTAAGCCTGAACTGCAGAGTGTCCAAAGGGATCAATTTGCCATCCAGTTCTCGGAGTGACGTCAAATTGCTCCTTGATATACCGGTGTCCTAGTGTTGTCTGATCAATCATGTCGATATAATGTGGTGCCGCCTCATCGTGCATGCACATGCCACCATTTCTGCATAAGAAAAGACAAGGGAACACAATCATATATTCACAACACATAAGCAGCACAAGTCTTTTTCTCCTCGACTGTGTAATGAAGTGTTCTTTGTACATTAACTCCAGTTGGCCCGAGCTCACAAGCTTTCTAACTGTCCTTTTTACGGCTTCACTCTGTTGTCTCCACCACCTTTGGAAAAATGCCTGTCCATTACAAACAGAAAATACCCACATCAATGTGCATTCCATTAGCTTGTCAATTGAACGAATTAGTACAAAAAGTTGTACCTGCTCAACATAAATGAATCTCCGGTTTTCATCAGCAAGCAAGGCTGGAATTAAAGAATCCAACACATTCTGCACACATGCTCCCTACACACAACATTTTCAACTTTTGCATTCATCACAAATATAAACGAACACCTTTCAATCAATGCAGTTGCAAAAGAACTGCTTAGACAGTCGACTGAAAGTTAAAGTACAAAAAGAAAAGCAAAAACCCAAGTACCTGAATTGAATTGTTGGATCCCACATAGTACTGATCGACAGTCTTCAACCACCCAACATCATCATGCGTATGAGGAACCAAATGCACATTAAGCTTTCGAGGATCAATCCCCGAAGAAGTGTTGTAAACCATGTACTTGCCCTCCACCAACACACACATCAAACAAAAAATCGAAGCCACTGCAAAAGCCCACATCCCCGCCATAACGACCGTCGCTCCTCTAAAAACCCCACCAGTTTCAAAACATATATAAAACCCGAATGAAGTTCCGCACTCAAAAACACAGCGTGAATCCCGAAGATCATCAAATGGAAGCAACTCGTTGTCCTCTAATCACTGTCACCGAATAATTAAAACTAAAGAATAAACACGTCCGATGTCAAGTGCGCTGAGGATAAGGATTTCTTTGCAGTGACAAAAATGGAGTTACCACAGACTGACTTGACTCGAATTTTTGGCAAAGGGGGGCTCTTTTTGGAAAAGAAAACAGTTCAAAAATTAATGTGTTAGATCCTAAATCCAGAATAATGATCAACTGAGGTGTGGATTTAGGCTGAAGATTGCGCAAGACTTATCGGGAATCTCATTAACTACAGCGATTTTGACGATGTTTTGTATCCTTGTTTTCAACGTGAAACCCCAATTGCCTATTTTGGGTAAAGATTGAATGCTGACGGTGTAATTTTACCGCATGGATCAATTCAACGAGACCATCGGATTCAGTACTATTTTCTTTGGACCAACATTTTAAAGAATGACTACAATTTTATTGAGTAATTTGTTTTTGTAAAATACTTTGAAATGTTATTTTTTTCATAAGTAACTAATATAAAAAAATACTAAAAATATATATATATTTTTTTTATTTATTAAAGTGATGTGATAAGATAAAGTGTGGGGATATAGATTAAGTATAATTAATTATTTCCTAATAAATGTTGCAGGGTGTTTGGACATACTAAAAAACAAATATTGCACGGTGTTTGGGACGAAAAAGTAATAAATATATATAATATATTATTTTTTATAAAAAAATATATAGAAATTTTTTACAAAAACACCCTTAGACAAACAACCTTAGATAGAAATGATGCTTAAGCAACATATGCATTCGGGCATCATTGATCCCTATAGAACTTGACATTGGTGACAATGAGACGAGGGTCATAAGAGATGATGCAAAAGAAAGGGCGCAACCGAGCCGAAATGAAGCTCTGTTTCGGTATTTAATACACATCAGCATCGACCAAAAGCCAAATGTAGCACAAATTTGCTTTATGATCTTTGATCATTTCTGGAATGACAGTGTCCCAAACATATCATCTATAATTCAGAGTGTCTTTGGACTATTATATAACACAAAAAGAGATCACATGAGGAAGAAGTAAACCAAGAATATCGAAAAGCATGGGTCAAACATGGTAAGAGTAGAACCAGAATATACATAAAGATTCTGAATCTCAGGGAACAACTTTACACTTAAAGACAGCATTAGCTAGCAAAAATTTCCACACAAGTTGTACAAATGATTACATAAACTTATCTATTACACGTGGCATGGATAACGCAAGGATGAATGAGCAGATTTAGGAGGTTATAAATTGAGATAAACTTCTAAAAAATCATGTCTAACCTCTCTTTCAGCTTAAGCAGGAATGGCCTCAACAATTCGAGAAAAGTAAAACTGTGTGGTGATCAAACCTCTCTTTCTTATACGCCACCCAACCTTTTTCAACGCCCTCTCTATATCTGCCTCAGCATGAAGATATGCCCTCGTAGCCTTTGAAGGTCCGGGGAATAACTCTCCTACTCTCTTCAGTAAATCATAGTAAAATGTCTTCGGCGCAAAACTTAGAATTAAACGATCCTTGGCCAAAGAAGTCAAGTGGGCAATCATACCATCAGCCTTATGTTGTGGATAGTGTATTAAAACATCTAGGCATACAACTGTGTCGTACTTTCCATCCAAGCTCTCCAAGTCCTTCACTTCAAATTTAGGTAACACGAGTCCAGTGGGAAGTTCGTCCTTCCCTTGAAGAAGCTCTTCGCTTGCCTGCATCAAAGTCAACTTATCAGCATTGATTTGAGTAGATCATCAAATCAAACTTTATACTCAAAGTATCTGCTTTTCTTGTGCAGGATTTCAATTCAACCTCTCCGTATGCATGATACTGAGGGCCAACATGATGACTTGAATGAAAATGGGTAAACAACGAACTTCACCAAAGGTAAAGTTCAAACTCAAGCTAACAAAAATCCTTATCGGCGTCTACTACTTAATTGCCAAAGGTAGATGAAACTACTCAGCTCAAGCTAAAAAAATTCCTTATCGGCATCTACAACTTAATCGCCAAAGGTAGATGAAACTGCTCAGCTCAAGCTAACAAAAATCCTTATGGGCGCCTACTACTTAATCCCCAAAGGTAGATGAAACTACTCAGCTCAAGGTAACAAAAATCCTTATGGGCGTCAACTACTTAATCCCCAAAGGTAGATGAAACTACTCAGCTCAAGGTAACAAAAATTCTTATCGATGTCTACTACTTAATCGCCAAAGGTAGATGAAACTACTCAGCTAAAGCTAACAAAGATCCTTATCAGCGTCTACTACTTAATCGCCAAAGGTGTCGAAAATAATCAGTTCAACCTAACAAACATCTAGACAAATCTGCAAAAGTTTGATAAGTACACTAGAGTTGGACCTCAAATTCCCAGCAAGTTTTTCAGAAAATGCATCATTTAGTATATGGTTTTCTGTCATATGTTTACCATCATCAATTCATGGTTGAATTCAATCAGCATATTTAACTGGATGCCAAATTACACAAGTGGAGAAAAAATGTATGCCTGTTATGAATCAATTGGAATGTTTTCAATGGAAGAACACCTATGAGGGAAGTTTAAGTTAGTTAAGAAATGGACCTGCTTCTCAGCCTCGGCAACCATGGCGGCTGAGATATCACTCGCCGCCACAATGGCCCCTTCCTTCGCCAGCGGAATCGATAAGGAACCAGTACCGCAACCTGCATCGCACACCAAGACTCCATTCAGTGGTCCCTCATCCAGCAACATCTTCATCACATTCTCCACCGTTTTCGAATGCCCTAACCTAATGTCCTTCTGCACTCGATTAACGTCGTCGGCGTCTCCGTAAATCCTTCTCCATCTCTGAAAACCGTCGTTGTTGAAGTACTCCCGAACCACTTCCTTGTCCCCTCCGCCGACCTCCTCCGCCTGCATTTGCCGCCGCTTCTCCGGGTCGGTGAGGGACAGAACGGCAGCGAGCGCGGCGACGGAACCGCCTCCAATAACTGCGATCGTGGTGCCGTCGATGGTGTCGGAAGCTGCAGAGAGGTCTGCAACTGCGGAAAATGGTGGAATTGCGGCTGTTACTGAAATGCCTCGGCGGCGAGAGCTATGGCTGTAGATGGTGGGTAATGGGAAGTGAATTGGGGAAAATAATACCGAGGAAAATGACATTTTTATATTTTCTTTGGTGAATTTCTTGCGAATGTAGCACTGCAGCTTTGCTGCTTCACGGCGGTGCTCCGGCAGGCGGGAGACGGAAGAGCAGAAAGATGTCGGAGTGTAGTTTGGTGTTAGATTTTGAGGCTATAGCGTAATCCGGTGAGGATAGGATTTGCCACGTTTCATTGGGTGGGGCCATCTTGCAGGTCGGCACTCGTCAGCTACGCGGAACACTTCGCTCCAAGAAATTTCGGTTGTGATTTCTAATGCGATTTTGGTTTGGGTATACGATAGTACTATTTAAAATAAAAAATCCACTTAGGTGTGTTTGTTTGGAGTTTGGAATTTGAATAGTAAAAGTGTATGATGTGATATAAAGTGATGTTTTAAATGAAAAATTAAATTTTAGTATAATATAAAAAATAAAAAATATAAATTTAATTTGATGTATTTTGGAGAAAAAAATTAAATAAATAGTAAAAGTTAAAGAAAATTCCCCAAATAAACACACCTTGATCTATTTAAAATAAAAATCAAATCAATATCAAATCAAACCAAACAAATCCGTTAAATTTAAATGATACTTCGAGGAGTGTCATTGGGTATATTTGTACAAATTTCAATAAAATATAATATATGAAGTATAATTCTCACAAATTATCATATTAAATTACTATTAAAAAAAATTATATTAATTTCATCGGACTTAAGAGTCTCATATATCTTTTGCGTTATTATATTTAATATTAAAAATATCGTTATATTTGTATAATTGTTTTGCACAAGTGTCGTTACGATAGTATTAGAAGACAATAAAGAATTATTTTTGTCATTTTTTTTTAATTTGTATTTACGTTTTTATATAATAATTAATATTTAAATATCAACAAACAAATAATAAATGTCATCTTATAGCCGGATGTAGGTAGTATAACACTTAAAAATTCACAAAAACATCATTTTGATTGATTGCATGGAACTGTTTCTATTAATTTACCGCCAAAAGTATATTTGAATATAAATAAACGTATACAAATAAAAGATGTAAAACATCTTAAATATATATTTTTTTACTAAAATAAATAAATAATTAATTAATCAATAATTTATTTTTATATTTTTTTAAAAAATCAATAACAATTTGTAAAATAACAAAAATTATAAAATAAATGATTAAATAATTAATTATTTATTTATATTATTAAAAAAACATTTAAGATATATTATCTCTTTTATATATGTATAAAACTTGTATTATTGACATCATATTTACAATCAAATATGCTTTGAATGAGAAAAATGTTTCGTACAAAATATACATTAACACAAGAAATTTTATGCAATAAATAAAACACATATAGGTATTATATGTATTTTTACTCAAACACAATGGTGTCTATATAATTTATCCTTAAAAGAATTAAAATCAAAAGTCCATTATCAAATCAAAAATAAATCAAACCCTTTGGTTGTATTCGGTTTTAAGACATGTTTTTATTTTTTTCTAAAAATATCAAATAAAAAAATTATTTTTTATATTATATTATAAATTTATTTTACATTTAAAACATCACATTATTATTATTGTATATATACCATCAAACAACCATTCAAAATTAATTTTTTACTATTTATAAATCCAAACCCAAAACCCCAAATTGACAACCGAACACACTTATGTTTTAATTTTAATAGGAAAATTTGTAATTTTTGTTCATAAAAGTAGAATTTTTATGTGCAAAAAGTTCACTTTTTTTTTTTTGTTATTTTGGAGCCGAAAAGTGGCACTTGACACACGCATGTGAGCTGATGTATTTAAATTATAATTAAAATATATAATTATATTTAAAAAAAGATAAATTATATAAAACATAATAAAATATAAAATATTAACATTTTGTATAGAACAAATGATATATCATATTTATTTATAACATATCACACCTACTAATAAATTGTTTATCGATATTTTTTTTTTCTTATCTTATGATTTTCAAAATATATTACTTTATGTAACACTCAACTATACAATACCTCTTTAATGGGAGATGTCATTTTGGTTGGATTTATATATTTAAAAATAATTTTTTTTTTTTTTTAAACTTTCGCACACGAATTAAGATAAATTAATATTTATAAATATGTAAAATAATAAAGTAATATGTATTTATGTTTTCCTTAAAATTAAAGTAAAAATAATATAAAAATAAAGTATTTTTATTTTTAATTGATAATTATTTAAAAAAAAAGAAAATTTGATTTGAAAAATTAAAATAAAAAACTAAAAAGTTGATTCTTAGAAAATAATATTTTTATACAAAAATATAGATAAAAAATAAGATAAAATATTATAAAAATTATTAAATAAATAATAAAGAATAATATAATACATAAAAAATAATAAATTAATTATTATTTATTAAAATAAATATAATAATCTTATAAAAAATCAAATTATTTATTATAAATAAATTGTATGTAAAAGATTATAAAAAATAATCTTATTAATGGACTATCAGCCGAAGACATGCACGGGCCTGGCCTATTAATGGAGGCCCGGCCTAGCACTGCCAGTAAGGGAGGATCTACCGTTTGATCGACGAGGTCTTGTTGGGAGAGAGTACGTACGCAGCACATCACCCGGTTGGTTCGGCGGTAATTTGTAATATTTACTAGTATTGCTCGGGGAGGTCTCCGGCGAACGCGCGCTGATTCGTTTCTAAAACAAAAAGGTTTGATTCCATTATCTTTTTATAGTTTTCTTAACTTTGATATACTGTTTTAGGACTTTTGTTAGGGTTTCGTGACTGTAACTCTTATTCGGAAGGCCTCTTGTTGTTTTCTTTAGACACTGCAAATTAAATTTAGTTTTAGGCAGTATATGGAGTTTGACATTCATGAGCTGGAGATTTCGGTGAATTGTCTCTTGTTAAACGAGGGTAAGAGATCTAAAGCTCTTCATTCAAAATTTGTTGTTTAGGTATAACTGCGTCAGCGGATAGGACAAGGAGGAAACGAGGGAGGAGTTGAGTTGATTTGAATAGCGGATACAATGGACCAAGAAGAGATCGATAGAGTGGTGCTGGCATATTTGGATAAAAGAGGTTTTAGGCAAGCGGGTCTTGCCTTCCAGCAGGAGAAGCAGCAGCACAGTAAAGGCAGTAATGCTTCCTCAACTGCACAAATCGACCTTGATGTCGCCAAGCAAATGCTCGCACTCTCAGAGTATGAAGATATTTTTGGCACTCAATCTCACGAATTTTTTTTACTTGTGTTATTCATTGTTTTGTATTGCTTAGGCTAGGGATTCATTAAGTTTTCTTTGGCATGTTCTGTGTATCCTGTTGGTGTGCAATATCTGATTTTGCAATCTATGCACCCAGAGGTAATGAGTTATTCTAACTGGTTAAGTGCTTTTCAGGGTTGATGTTCCTGCTCAGTACCACGACAGTTATAGCAAACTCCGTTCATGGGCGTATAGTTCTCTTGATCAATACCAGGTAAGTAACACTTATATCTTTTGATATTTTGTTGCTTTGACCTGAGATGCTACCAGGTAAGTAACACTTATAAGTAACACTTATATTTGCTTTTGAAATTATTCGTTTGATGCATGGGAGTGAATTGTTTCCTGCGCGCACACCATCTACTTTTTCACACCGCAACTTCCTTTGCGCATTCATCTTATTGATTTTTTATTCTCTTTTTTGCATATTATGTTGGCTCTTCATTATGTCGAATATTATTGCAGTGTTTCTACTAATCACTGAAGAATTTCCGTGTTGTTTTAAGTTATTTTTATAATTATGTCAATGCACATGTTATCCAAGTGCTAAAAGTCATTTAAGGGCATGAGACATCTTTCATATCTCCCCCACTATGAACATTGTATCTTGTAATCTTGTACTTTTTCTAAATATAATGCAGCATGAATTGGTTCGATTGTTATATCCGGTGTTCATACATGCATTTATGGATCTTATTGGAAAGGGTCATATTCAAGAAGGTATGACCATTTAATAATTTTCTTTCTTATACACCACATTATCTGTTTAGATTAAAACCTAGAAATCATTGTTTTGCTTTCAGCTCGAGGTTTCTTTAATAACTTTCGAGGTGATCACGAAGTGGCACACTCTCGTGACCTTCAAAAGTTAGAAGGTGTTCTCTCTCCTTCACATCTTGAGGTCCATCACTTTCCTGTGACTCATGTTTGTAATTTAATGCATATGGATGCAAGTTGTTTTGAAGTGTTATTTATTTGTTTATACAGGAAATGGAATTTGCACATTCCCTTAGGCAGACAAAAGCTAACATTAAGATGTGCAAAGTAATCTCTCTCTCTCTCTCTCTCTCTATAAGTAAATATTCATATCCTTAGGGTGTGTTTACTATGGTTATTAATTATTCCTTGTGTGCAAGTTTACACATATAAGTATATATCCCTTTCATTCATTTATATCATGTTTTTACTTTTGCTTGGAGCTACTTTAGTTGCAAAGTATACTGGTGTAACAAGTTCCCTATATCTGGTATGAGCACTGTTCCAGTGGCTTGTATTGCAATGCTCTAGAATTAGGTGCGGATATTTGAAGGCGTGGGTATACGCCATATATTTTATAAAGATGGCTGATTATTATCATAAGTTGGATGTGAATTTTAATGGAGTATATGGCTACCCCTGGATAATTACAAAATCTGTCATGTGGTTGGACTTGGGACTTAATAATTACATATTTACTTTGTCTCCCTCATTTGATTATATAGCATATCTCAGAATCTGTTTCCTCGGTCAGTGTCATCATCATCATCATCATCATCATTATTATTATTATTGTAAGTATTACATGTTCTAGAAATTGAGATAATTATTGATTGTTTTTGCAATTGATGCTTCAAATGGCAGAATGAAAGTCGCTCTAGGGGACTCAAGAAACATGCCTAATAAATAGAATAGCTAATTAGTTCTGACCAAACCCATTATCAATATGGTAATTGTGTTTTTTGATCAAAACATTGACAGTATCTCATATGAAAATGTTTTTGTTTGTTCTAGAAATTAACAGAAAACTATGATTTAGGTTATGTGATGAAAAGGAAGATTTCTCATTCACTGTGTCCTGGGATTATTATGCATTAGGTTTGGGATTAATTAGCCATTTGTGCACAGTAAAATTTGAAGATGTTGATATACAGATTCCACAACATGTTACTGCTTCAGATTTTTAACATATTTTATTGTTACAAAAATGGAAGTGAGATGCTATTTTCATGTAGGAAGCATGATTGGGTGTACATTATCAGATATTCTTGCTTCTTGATTTTCATTTCAGTATTCCTATGAACTCCTTCTGCAATACCTGCACAAGTCCCAATCAATTACAATGCTTGGAATTGTCAACGAGCACATCAACTTTATAGGTACAATTCCTGACTCTCCTGATTGTTTGTCTCTGTGTTGCTTTCTTATTGATCTTGCTCTGTTTTGTCCTTACTTTTCACGACCATATTTAAACTAATGTTGATCCACCTTACAGTTTTTTCTGGACAACCAACTTCAATTGCCGATGACACAGAATTTGTCACACTGTTTGGAGATGACCAGGAAGCAGCTAATGCAATAAATCAGAAAGAAATTCACTGGGGGGTGGGTTATCTATATTACAAAAATTGTCAATTGTTGATTTGTATTTTTATGTGTTCTTGATTTGGGTATGTTACATTTTCTCATGGTTTCTTTTTGCGTGTAGCCTGGTTCAAATGTCTCGTTATTTTTAATAGAAGAAAGCGATGTGTTGGGGTTTGTTTCCTTGTGTTTCGAACTCACATTCATGCTATTCAATCTACTTTTGCCCTTGAACATCGCATCAAACATTTATTAACCTTAAAAATATTTAAACTAAAACATTAAAACAAAGTAAACACAGTTTTAAGTCTTTCGTCTTTTTAATATGATCGTGATGATGTGGGTGACGATTTTCTGTAGTAAAACACATCTGCGAAAAAGGACATAATAAGCTCAATTATGCTTTTATGGTAAAAATCTTCTAGGAATGGATGACTTTCATTTTCATGCTGTGTAATACTTTACTCAGTAGTCATGGAAGTTACAGTGGTGAGCTGATTACATCATTTGGTCTTAATTAGCTTGTTGGTTGCCAGTCTAGTGTTCTCACTATCTTGGACCTTAGCTTCAAGGTGTAAAGCAGCAAGAAGGTGTCAGTTATTATAGGTTTTATTGAAGAATTTATATTGAGTTTTTTGCTGTATTTTTAAAGGTTCTAGTGAAGCTGGTTGCTCCAAGATGTTGGTTGCACAGTGATTAAACTGGTCCTGTATTTGGTTAAATTTCAAATATATATGTTTTGGTGTTCTGGAAATATTAAGAGTTTGAATGGAAAATTGGTGTTTTATGTGATGTAAATAGGTGTTGGATGTATGTTTTGAATTATAGATAGATTTTTGAAGTACTATTTAAAATGAAAATATGTGTTGGATGTGATTTTTTAGGGGAAAATGTATAATTAGCGTGAAAACATAGTTGAAAACATAAGTAAACAGAACCAGAACTTTTGGTCCATGTAATCTTTTCTATGTTACAAAACACACTGTTTTTGGCTGATTTAATTTTGTTTTAGTTTGTATTTTTAGACTATTCTACTATCTATAGTGTTTCCATCTTCCAGAAAAAACACTCATTTCATCTCAAAATTTCACTCCAGAAAAAACATCATGTCTAGTCCTATTTTCCATTCAATCATCCAACACTCATTTCATCTCAAAATTTTCAAAATTCATAAAAGAAAAAAAAAAAAAAAAAAAAAGGGAAGCCAAAATGAAAGCAAAACACAAGTGAACACAGCCCTAATGTTTTGGTTTGCTTTGAAAATTTTGGTCATGGTTTATATTTTTCCTACCTTCACCTGTTTGCAGTACATTCTCGTAGTGTCTTTTTTCCTCCAACAGGTATAGAGCATGTAACAGTTAATAGTCTTGCATTCTTATCCGTTTAAATGCAGCAGTTGCTTGAAGATTCCTTAGAAGAGAAGTTGGAAAAGACTGGGGGTTCTAATGTGGATTCCGAAAAGGTAGATGGAGAAATGAGAGAGGAAGTGGAAGAAGTTAAGGTTATTAATTTTAAACCTTTCATAGTTCTCATCCTTCCTGAAGCATCCATTCGTTTTGTCAACTAACATGTTAGCCTTCCAGAAAAGATCTGTCGATGGTGGCAAACAAGGTGGTACACTTAAAAAGCTAAAAAAGGATAAGGTCTCTGGAGCTGCAGCCAAAGCTTCTCGTTCGGAGAGTGCCGTAGTTTCTGGAGCACAACGCGTCAAGCCAGAGTTAACCATGCCAGTAAGGTATGCAGATTATGAAGTGATGCCTTTTTCTTCTTCTTTTTTTTTTTTTTTTCTCATGTGTCTGATGGTAGACAGTAGCTCCATCATTCAAGGGGACTAGTTGAAGTTCCTACCTAACATGATTGTGCTCCTTCCTGAGCTCTTTATCCTTTTCATTCCTATGATCACACGCTGGTTCACACTTTGCTGTGATAATGGCTTTGTTTGTTGGCCACCTTGTATTTTAGAAATTATAGAACACTTTATAGATAGGTAGTAATGATTTTCTGTTAAAATTATGCTTCATATTTGTAGGCCAATAGAATTGGAACATTCTATTCTTGAAGATTTGAGGAACCGTGTACAATTGAATAGCACAGCATTGCCTTCCATCAGCTTCTATACCTTCGTCAACACTCATAACAGGTTGGGTTTTCAAGTGAGAAGTTCCATTTGAATGTTGTCAGTAGGATACAATGTTTCTCATCATTTTTAATGATCTCTAAGAATTCCGTCTTTCTTTGATAGCTTGAACTGTGCTTCAATTTCTCATGATGGTTCTATGCTAGCTGGTGGATTTTCTGACTCATCATTAAAGGTCACTGAATTTTCATAAGCAATTTATATCTTAGATTGTTGATATTTCTCTTTGATGTACCAAGTGAGAGCCAAAATTAACAGGTTTGGGACATGGCAAAGCTTGGGCAGCCAAGTGGAAATTGTACGTTGATTTCTCCCTTTAGAAAGTGTATGCTGGATGTGCAATTTATTATTGTGTCTAGACTCCTGCATGTAGTTTATTGAACTTGGATTGCCCAATAAACATAAAGAATAGGCCAATCATGAATTTTTTTAGGCTTTACAGGGAATGCTCCTTTGTGTGAGTCCTCAGAAAGGAATCTATACTATCCATGAACCAAGTGTTTAAGTCTTTGCAGTGTGTAGTTATCATGTGGCTAACTAACGATTGTTTCTTGATTGTCAAATTCATATACAGCTATATCCAGTCATTGATTCTAGTAATGTCAGCTCCTTTGCAGGGAGAAAATGAGTCAGCACCCAATGAGCATATGACTAGCTCAAGCACTGGGGCAGGATCTTATACTTTATTTCGAGGTCATGCTGGTCCTGTTCATTCTGCCACTTTTCATCCATATGGCGATTTTCTTCTGTCATCATCATCAGATTCAACAGGTAGGTTTCTCTGCTTACAATGCATTGTAACTTTTTCACTGTCCATTTTTTCTCTTAACAATTTAAGAATGGTGTGTATTTGCAGTTCGATTATGGAGCACAAAATTGAATGCAAATCTTGTTTGCTACAAGGGACACAATTATCCTGTATGGGATGTACAGGTAAAAGTAGCTTAAGAAAATTGGGTTCATGTTTTAAGGAGCTCCTGCAGTCACTTTAGAAGAATTTTATAGTGACTGATATTATGTTATTATCTCTTTGCTAGAATGGCACATTAGTGTTTTAAATTTAGTATCTTTAAAACTGCCATAAAAAGCAATATATTCATTTTTTCCTTACTCATTTTTGGGAACTTGTGTTTGCCTTTTGTTCCTATCCATATGCTCTCTAATGTTTCTGTATGCGTGTTCATCTTTTGCTTGGGCCAGTTTATTAGTTCCGTGCTTTCTTGGAAGTTTCTGACTAAAAAGAAGTTCTAGTTTTTTGATAATAAAAGTATCGAAACCTTTGATTTGGATACTATTTCTAAGTTTGTCATTCAACTTTTACTATGTTAGTCATGTCTGCATATCTGATTGGTCGCTGGATAATTCTAATGCAGTTTAGTCCAGTAGGACACTATTTTGCTACTGCTTCCCATGATCGGACAGCAAGAATCTGGTCGATGGACAGAATACAGCCTTTAAGAATAATGGCAGGCCATCTATCCGACGTAGATGTGAGCACTTCTCCTTAAATAATAAGTAGTTTTTCCATAAACATTGTTAAAATAAATGGTATCATTCTTAACAACAATTTCTTTTCCCCAATTCATCATCTAGTGCGTGCAATGGCATGTTAACTGCAACTACATTGCAACCGGATCAAGTGACAGAAGCGTACGTTTATGGGATGTCCAGAGTGGGGAGTGTGTTAGAATATTCATTGGTCACAGAAGCATGATCCTATGCTTGGCAATGTCACCTGATGGTCGTTATATGGCATCTGGTGATGAAGATGGTACAATAATGATGTGGGATCTTGCAACTGGTCGAAGTGTTTGCCCTTTAGTTGGCCACAGCTCTTGCATTTGGTCACTTGCTTTCAGGTTTGAACACATTCCATATAGTTTTTACTGAGTCCTGCATCAAAGTAGGAAGACAAAACTTGCAACCCTCAAAGGCACTGACATGCCCGTATCTATCCATTTCAGCTGTGAAGGTTCACTTCTAGCGTCTGGTTCTGCCGATTGCACTGTGAAACTATGGGATGTAACCACCAGTTCGAAGTCGCCAAAAACTGAAGAGATGTAAGTTCTCATTTATCACTCTACCAACTAGAACAAAAAATCTACCCCTTGTATTATGATTTCTCAAATATTGGTCCATTTTGCCAGCAAACATGGGAACACAAGCAGACTCAGATCATTAAAGGCCATACCAACCAAATCTACTCCCGTCTACTCTCTCCAGGTAAATTGAAGCATCTAAATCCCCCCTCTTTGCTTGTGAATCTGATGAATGTATCGTTTTATCAACAGTTCTCTAGGCGGAACCTCTTGTTTGCTGCTGGGGCGCTCTCGATGCCTTAACAAATCAATTCTCAGGCGCCGTACTATTTGGTAATGGTTTGTTTGCTGTAGCTAACTACTTTCCAAGTTTTTGGTTTATCCATGTTATGAAATCTTGAACATCTTCATACACATTGATATAATGGCTCGTGGGGTTTCGATTCAATTCTTTTGCTGTCCACTTATGTCACTTTCTACTGAAAGTACACCACCAACAAATCTTTGTAATGAATTTGTGATGATAGTTAACCTCCCTTGTTAAATTTCTCTATTTCTTTTGCAATGCACGTCAATATTGGCCCACTCAAAACCCCATTTTTAAATTTTCTTTTTCTCCATAGTGGTTGACCCCTTGACCTCCTCCATTACTTTGCAATAATAGCATAATATAATATCTAGAAATTTATAATTTGGACAAGGTGGATGATTATAACAAACTCTTTGCCAGACTGTGTTGATGATCATGATATGTAGTAGGTACTAGTTTATCAATAATTATTCACAGTTTCATTAGACATCTTTTTTTATGAAGAATCATTTCAAGGATAAGCTTTTGGCAGCATCTTATTTAAAGTTATTATTGTTGCTATTAACTCATAGGTAGTTTCACTATAATTCGAATTCATCTTATATGGTATGTGTTTATCAATGCAATGGTTACTACATTTGGCAAGAACACCAAATATATGTATATTGTTGTGTGTGTGCACATTGGACCCATATGTCTCTATCCCAGCTTTCCTAAAGTGAAATAAATAATTTATGTCTATTTAATTGTAAAAAATAATCTGTGTGGGCATATGGGTCAATGGCTGTAAAGTCATCCAATCCCAAGTACACACTATCAAATGTTTAATTTCGCTCGCTCCAACAAAAAGTGATTAGTGTCTCCTAAAGCATTTGCAATATGCCCAGTTGATTTGTTTATTTCATTATTATATTATATTATTTCTAACCTAATCACTTCAATTTTAAAAGTAAAAACTGCACAGCCGCCGGACGGAACGTAATACCTGCAGACAGTGTATATATATATATTATTATTTTAATATTTCAGATAATTATGTTTTACGAATAATGGAATCTAATTTATAGGATATTAAGTTCGACCAAAGTCCTTGCAGATTCTTACGGTATAAAAATAAAAATTTATTGATTAATAATTTTACCAATATACCTCTCTCTCTCTCTCTATATATATATATGATAGAGAAAAGTGCTTTCGGTTTTTCTTTTTTTGGAATGATCCACATGAGCAAATTTAATATATCCATCGGATATATTTCTTTTTTTTTTTTTTTTTTCCTTAAAGATTGATTATATAATTTTATTTTCAGACGAGATTGATATGTTATTGGCTTTCTAATAAGATTTTTCAGCATTGATATTCCTTTAACTATAATTATTTATTTATTGCCAAAATTATAAAAATCTATTTATGCACCTAATATTGTTACATTGATAATTGATAATTGATATTTATTATTTATTGTACACAAATAAATATACGTACATAATTTAATATGACATTTATTTTATTCTACAAAATTTTATTTCCCAAAATATATAATAAGCATTTAATTGATTTAGAAATCTATTCTTTAAAGTTATTATCCCCTCATTATTTTCCTAAATTTTAAAAAATCAACAGATTATTTTTTTTTGTTTTTTCAAAAGAAAAATTATAAAAGGTAAAAATACATTGAAATCGTACCAAAAAATAAATAGATCTACGGACGGTGTAATTAATTTGACTGATTAACGTTAACCATTTATTTTAGTTTTTTACATTATTTTATTAACGCGTAAGAAAACAAGAGATATACGGACGGAGGTAATTGATTTGACTGATTAGCATTAACCATTCAGTTTAATTTTTAACATTAGTATGTTATTTTATTGAGAAATCAATTTAACGCGTAAGAAAATAAGAGAGAGAAAATAGGAGAGAGAGGGGGTTGGGTGGGGCCCACTTCTCACTCAGTCTAGCAATGGACAGACTGCACAAGTGCACAGTGCTGCAGAGTCCATCGTTTCCTTTTTCTTCTTCGCCTTGTCTCTCTGCGTTGAAGTTTCCTCGCAGACTGTACCGTAGTATGTATATATGTATTGATACTTGACTTGATACATATACATACATACATATATATAAATAGGGGTGTGAGATTTTTGTTGGGAAAAAATTATTAGAGTTCCTTCTTCAGTTACAGCTGGGTTGCGTTGGCAATGGGAAATTGCTGTTCCGACGTGGCCGGCGGGCAGTCGGCGGTGGGAGGTGCCACGTCGAATTCGGCGGCCAGCGCTCCAAACGATGCTGTTGATGCGTTTCTCAGGTCTCGAGGCTACAAAGGGTTGTTCTCTCAGATCGAGGTCCGTGCTGTTTGATGTTTGTTTTTTGTACCTTATGTGGAGAATGAGAATGCGTCTTTGTGGCTTTGCATTTGTATGTATATATATATAGTGATTTTCTCTTCCGTTCGATGAATGGGAGATCGTTTTCTGTATGTGTTTGAACTGGCTGCGATTGGAATAGTAGTTGAGGCAAATCTTTGTTTGGTGATTCCACACTTAGGGGGATATTTAGTTGGACTTGTCTGGTTGAATGTGGTTCCATAGTTAGAAAATTAGTTTGAATGAAGCGAGCTTGGAATCTGCGCCTGATATTGGTAAATCTGATGAACCTTTTACTGACTTACGGACAATTGTATTATAAGTTTGTGAAGTGTTAAGCTAATTTAGCGCATTCGATATGGTTTCTTGCTCACGACATTGACACCAAGATGAGGAGCATGAAAGTTTAGTAGTTTGAAACATCTGATACCAGAGAATGTTAACCAGGAAATGTAGGATGTTATAGTTAGGCTCTTAAAGTTGATTTTGGACATGGCTGGTGTTTCTCGAGCCATGGCCTACACTTACTGTTCTGTTATGTTATGGAAGGCACTTGTTTCGTAATTGGGACATAAGATACATATTTGGCATTGGGTGCCTGGATGTATGTCCTAATGCGAAACTGGCCTAACCATGTAGCTCGAGAAATGGGTTGCGTATGGCTGTGTGAGGTGGCATGGAGCACACAAGTATGCATAAGGTGCATATGCTGGCACTGTCTTGCATCAGCAGTCCAATCTGTCAGGGCAGTGATGCTAACTAGAATTGATGTGATGTATCCACACACCCGGCGGCTTAGTGCGACCTGTGGCCCACACCTCCTATTTGTTCAGGATAAATGCAAAATTGCTCTAAAAGTAAATATTACTAAAAAGAATATACTTGCTGTCACAACATACAGTCGTTGGTCGATCCTGTCTAGCCACCAACTGTATTAACCCAAGCCTGCTCGCTGCACTTTGTAATAGTTTGCTAAACCAGTTTTTTCAGCCTTTTGCTTACCGGCTAGTTATTCAGGTTTGGTCCTTTGTAACCTCAAACATGCAGTTGGATACATCTGCTTAGGGGTCTTACTGAAAGGGTTTTGACTTCAAGTATTTATCTCCAATGGCGTTGGGAGTTGATGGTTCGCTTGTGTGCAAGGATTGATTACAGGGAGTTACTAATTAGATAGGAATATCTCAGGATATTGATGGCCAGAATCTGGAATAAAATTGAAGCACTTGTTAATAACTGTGTAGGAGGAACATGAAGCTGCTAATAGAATTTGAGATCCTCTATTTATATGTCCAAAATTGACATCTAAACTGGATTTTCTAACCTTTGCCCCCTTAGCCCTACTATTTTTGCTAGGCTTCATGAAGTATATGGTTTCAGTGAGCATAGTACTTATGCAAATCAGTATCTTCTAGCCAACTGCTGTGTCTGAACCTCAATTCCTTGGTTAAGTGCTTTCCCAATCATGTGTGATTTTGCCTCAGCTCTTGTAGACTTCAGTATTTAACACACAATGTAGCATAAAAACCTGTAAAAAACCATATGTTCCAGATGCAGCTTTCTCTTGCTTGGAGACTACACTTAAAATTAGCCTATTCACTGCAGTTAAGTACAATAATTTAGGCAAAGGGTAGCACAGAATATATGGATAGCCAATTTGAGACTCTATATAGTTGATACATGTTTTATGAATTAACATTCTAGACTTCAAGTAATAGCTATATCAAGTGATATAAGGTGTCCTGTTATCTCCCACTTTCTTTTAAATTATGCTTGCAGGTAATTTATTCAATTATTTTCATGATTTTGCAGCTTTCTCTGTCTGCTGAGAACTTGCGTGACCTGGATGTGTTTTCCAAGGTTGGTTGTTATATTTTCACAGAAAAAAAGAAATATTAATTTTATATATTTATATATGTATTTCAATTTCAATTATCTTCTCTTATTATTACTTTTTTTTTCTTCATACTTATTTTGTTATTCATGCTGTTTATCAAAATCATATATATTTTGTTTCTCTAGTATATGTTGATCTCCTGCCAATTTGGAAAATAGACATAATCCGTTTCACAAATTTTCCTTTCAGAGTGATCCGATGGCAGTTCTTTATATGAAAGGAAGTGATGGGTCACTTCAAGAGATTGGTCGCACTGAAGTGGTTTTAAATTCCTTGAGTCCTAAGTGGATTACAAAATTTATCGTCACCTATCACTTTGAGATGGTGCAGAATTTGATGTGAGTTTGTGTAGTTCATTATTGTTATACACTTACACCTAACTTTCTGTCCCTCTGGCCTCATGTTTGTAAAGAAACTGATATCCTTTGCAGATTTCGTATATATGATATCGACACTCAATTCCACAACATAGATATAAAGGTATATTAAATGCAAATAAACGTGCCTTTTATTTAACTGTATATCACGTCACAATGAATTCATATATTTGTTATTGCCTTTGTACAAAGTGAGAAGTTCATTAGAAATAATCCACGTTTCTGTCAGATTGCATTATACTCTTCTCTACAGTAATTTCAATATGGATACAAGTACCCATCAGTGGGAAAATGGGGAGGTTTTAATTTTATGATTCTATTACATTTGGATCTCAATTTACCCAAATTATTTAACTTTAATGTTTGTAAAAGTTGGTTTTTACTTTCAGTATTAAGTATGTCACAATTAAAGTATTTTTTATCTTCTTTCAGTTGCACTTATCCGCTTCATATTTAGTGTGCTTAGTATATGTCTTATATCTTGTATGCTCATTTAAGCTCTCTATGCATGCATCATTTAATTAACAGGCTGTCCTAAAATGTTTCTGTTTAGACAATTAAGCTGGAGGAGCAGCAGTTCCTTGGTGAGGCTAGCTGTACAATATCAGAGGTATAGTTTTGTAACTTCATTTTATTTTTTTAATGATGTTATAATTTGCTGACAGGAAAACTGAAGCAACTATTGATGCATTTCAAAGGCTTCTTGTTTTCAGTTATGATTTAGACCTTGCCTTTAATTTTTATGCATTGTTTCTCTGGGAAATAGTGCTCTTGGTTATCAAATGCCGACTATATGAAACCCCCTTTGACTTGATGTTAACTATGCATTTCTGGCCCATCTTTACTAAATGTGCATATAATCTTCTTTTTTTTCTTTTTTCGATCGAATGGGCATATAATCTTTTTTCATATAGGATAATGGAGCTTTAGAAAAAGATGGAAAGTCTGTCATTCACATTGTTATTTCACGGTTCTTTTGTAGATTATCACCAAACGGAACAGGATTTTAGCCTTAAATCTTTCACGTGATGGCGTTTCTGTTCCTTCCCATAATAAAAAGAATGGCCAACTCATGGTTTATGCTGAAGAATGTGTTGCTTCAAGGACTACAGTCGAGCTGATACTGAGATGTTCAGATTTGGAATCCAAGGATCTATTCTCGAAAAGTGTATGGAAATTCATCCTCAGAGACCTCCATTTTCTCAATGCTACACTATATGTAAATTGATTTTGAGTCATTTGTACTGTTTTGTCTTTCCAGGATCCTTTTCTGGTCATATCAAAATTCACAGAGAGTGGAACATTAGTTCCGATTTGCAAAACTGAAGTCTTGAAGAATGATCACAATCCAAGATGGAACCAAATTTTGTTGAGTATTCAGCAAGTAGGGAGCAAGGTAATGAAAAGTGGTCCTAGCAATTTGCATCACAATAATCTTATTATTACTTAATGTCTGTTTTGCATTATGACCAAAAGCTATACTGATCTTACTGTTATAATGAAAAGGTTCTCTTTCTACCGTTTTATGCTGGGATATGTTTTGTAATTGCGATATGAACAACTGCAATAAACAAAAATGAAAATGAATATAAGGCCTATGGAGATCCTTTCTATATGAATTATAGCTATGTTGTTTTGAGTTCTTTATTTGGGCAATCAAATGGACCGACTTTCATAATTCTCCTTGCTATTGCAGGACAGCCCGCTAGTTATTGAGTGTTTTAATTTCAATAGTAATGGAAAACACGATTTATTGGGGTAAGCAACTTCCTCTGTTTCATCAATATTGCAGTCAAATTTATTGAATCTGATTATCTTTTCCTCACAAAAATTGTTCAGGAAAGTTCAGAAATCACTGACTGATTTAGAAAAACTGTGTTCTGTTTCAATTGGAGAGAGTTTATTCATCCCAGTATCTGTTGGGCAGAATCACCAAAACAAGGTAAGAAGGGCTGACCTCTGAAAATTTTGAATCCATCAAAACCTTGGCTATATATTGAAGTTCTCAACCCCCTTAAATTCCGAATCATTTTTGTACACACAGAATAAACAGACACAAGAACATATACTATTCATAAGTCACCCGAAACACGTTCTATTTTTCACTTCATGAAATGGTTGCCAAACAACACCATTCTTCTCACCGGCTTGCTTCTTATTTGTATCTTAATGGCCATGCAGATCTTAAAAAGTCAGTTGTTTGTTGATAAATATTCAGAGAACATGCAGCACACATTCCTTGACTACTTGGTTGGAGGTTATGAATTGAATTTCATGGTTGCAGTTGATTTCACAGGTATACTCTTTTCTGCGCTCATTTGCTTCTTTTCTTGTGAAACCTTTTGAAGACTATAAACCATTAAATCACTGTGTGATTCTTTGTGCTAAAAACAAAACTTTCTATTTTTTTTTTTCCCTTTTTTTTACCCCGTAAATAAGTATTAAGTTTCTATGTAACTGCTGTTCCTCTCTTTTCTAATGGACAAATAGAGGGATTGCTACCCGTGTAACAAAGCAAGCCAATCTATTATGGTAGAGAATTTTATCCATATTTTCTGGTGCAATGTGGTTCCAATGTTGTTATTGCAAAAATATACTCCGCTACATTTTCCCTTATAGTGCCCTTCATATATGCTGCTGTGTTTACTTTTGCCATTGTGTTTAGATCTTAATTTTTTTTGTGTACAATGGTCTATCACTAATTTTCAGAACCCCTTTTCAGCATCAAATGGTAATCCTCGCCTGCCGGATTCATTGCATTATATTGATCCATCAGGACGGCCAAACGCATATCAGAGAGTAAGAGGTTAAACTTAATGAAGATTTGAATGGGAGAGAGGGAAACAAGCTGATTTGATCACTCTTGATGCAGGCAATCCTTGAGGTTGGAGGTGTTTTGCAATTCTACGATACCGACAGAAAATTTCCTGCTTGGGGTTTTGGAGCAAGGCCAATTGACGGCCCAGTGTCACATTGTTTCAACTTAAATGGCAGCAGTACCTATTGTGAGGTCAAACTCGGCTTTATTGATGGGCTTCCGAGTACTTGATTCTAATCCTTAGTCCTTATTTCACAGCGACTAAGCATCACCTCTGTTTTCTTCCAGGTTGAAGGAATCCACGGGATTATGACAGCGTATACAAGTGCTCTCTTTAATGTATCGTTAGCAGGACCTACATTGTTTGGACATGTGATCACTAATGCTGCTCAGATAGCTGGTGGATCGGTTGCAAGAAATGAACGGAAATACTACACTTTGTTGATTATAACGGTATACTCTTGGTTTAATATGCATCGCAATCTTTATTACTCAAGCGAGGTTTTCCATAGTGATACCTGATACTTGATTTAATCAAATTTTCTGCCCTGATAAACATTTTAGGATGGAGTGATAACCGATCTTCAGGAAACCAAGGATGCCCTCGTCACAGCATCTGATCTGCCGCTGTCCATTCTCATTGTTGGGGTTGGAGGAGCTGACTTCAAAGAAATGGAGGTTTGCCGCATCTCTTTCATTATAACGATGTATGCCATACTCATATGATGGTTATTCATCATTCTGTATCAGATACTAGATGCAGATAAAGGGGATAGACTTGAAAGTACAACCGGAAGGGTAGCATCACGAGATATTGTCCAGTTTGTCCCATTCCGAGACGTGCAGAGTAAGACACAACTTCACAAACAAAGCCAACCTTCAAAAAGTCTTCAGAAATCTAAATTACTTCCCTCACCAAATTGCAGGTGGATCCATCTCCATTGTTCAGTCACTTCTAGCAGAACTACCATCCCAGTTCTTGTCGTATGTGCGAGCTAGAGGTATTAGTCCCTAACAAGAAGAAAATCCAAGGCTGTACATACGAAGAAAGTACACGATTATTTTGTGGCTTTATTAAGCTTTGCTGCTTCATAGCCCTCAGACTTTGGCACCTGCATCATATATCATCACTATTCTCAAGTTCCCTCCAGGTTAGGCCCTTTTTAAATCCCACCATCAATACATGATCAATTTTGATTAAACAGCAATTCTCATTGTGTAATACTGTGACTTCAGTTTCAATTTTTGTCGATTGTCTCAGATAATTTCTGATCATTTCAGACTGCCAAATTTGTTGGCTTCCTTTGAAAGTGCATTTTGATAAATGGAATCGATTCTATATCCTATTGCTATAATCTCACTATCTTTTTTCAAATTCTAGTTCTTAGTATATTTTGAGCATTTTTGGTACATCACTAATATCACTGAATACACATGATCAAACTTCATCACCACAATAATTGGTCTGAAATGCTACAGAAAAAGCTCGACATTGAGGTCTTAAAACTATACTTAGAGACAACAGAGTTGACAACTTAGAACAGAAACATGCTTTACTCCATTGATTTTAATGTGAACTGGAGAGCTAAATTTGTATTAATTCTCAATGTAGAACTTTAGGTATGAGCCAAAAAATTTGGTTACAAATAGAAGCTGTTGAAGTTCAAGGCTAAATGCATTCTACATTTCTAACCCTCACTAACATATGATCATTAACCAAACAAGAACTATTTATCTCGAACATGAAGGCAGCAACCCCCAATTTGAAAAAGACGACAAAAGCCAACAAGTCAACTATTTTAACAAAGATTTCAATTTGTGCCATCCCCTTTTGGCTGATGAATATTTTCCAGGCACTCTTTAGCCCTATGAACCTTTGATTGGAGATAAAAACTACCGTTCTTAGCATTCCGCTCAAACAGGTTATCGTACCTCTGTAAACAAAACCACAGAAAATTCATCAAAACCTAAGTGAAGGTTGTTTTCTTGAACCTTGTCTTACTGTAAACATCCAACAACATGAGATTAGGACAAACCTGCAGTATCTCTTCCCATGTCGAATTCTCACTAACCCCGAGGATTTGTCTTGCCTCTGCCTCCGTCATTGTTTTACTACCTCTTTTGATGTTTTGCACTGCTTCTTGAGCAACACCATTCTTTGATGCATCTGCAAATATCATCAAATTTTCATGTTGGCCGACAAATAAAATGTAGTGCTGGCAAAACATATCAGACACCTTATCCAAATGACGGCCAATAAACAAAACCGGAAACACTACATCAAGGAATAATTGAGACCACAAGTACACCAATTAAAATCTAAGCACACTCAGCCATTCCATAAACTACCGAATGGTAATCACAAAAAACTACAATAGGGAAAAGCTTACTTGCAAGTGCCTGACGATACGCTTGAACAAATGCTCTCGCCACTATCCCAGAGCCCATAATGATCAAGTTTGCAAGAATTTTTGCGGCCTGCGAAACAATAAGTCGCAACAAACATAAATTCACAATTCCAAACATTTTCACAGCCTTGAATCTTGATAAGAAAAAAAGAGAGCCAATAATAGGATCATACCATGGCTCAAATGCAAAACCGAATCACCCGGCGATACTAACTCCAAATTGCCTATAAGAAAAGACAGCCAATGAGAAATATTCCAATACCTACAACAAAGTAACTGAAATAGAAAACTGAGATATGAATATGATCCTAGAGGTAACTAATCATTCTAATCATGTTTTTGGCTCCTCGGCCATAATCGAAACATGGCTTTTCTGTTCCATGACTAGCTATGCAAACACAAACTTCAACTCATGTTGGATCTGCAACCTATCCTCCAACTACATACAAACTTCTGCAACCTTTTTCCAACTAGATACACATATCAATCAACAATAATCGACATCACCCCAAAACTCTATCCAATGTGTTTACATGATAATTTGATGCTTATTTTCAAATAATACAATCACGTGAATCTTTTAATCTCCCCCAAAACCTAAGCAGGCAATTACAGAGCCATAACCTAAGGTCCCCAAAATCCATAAAAATATGCAGAAAAGGGGACGTTTAACAAAAAATAAAGATGATCGGACATCATTTTTCTGACATTACAAACCAGCTACATTATCAGCTTTCGAAGATTCGTCGTTTTACAAACCAAACGAATCAAAACACGCAAGAAATTTTAAAAACTTACAAAGATATTGAAGCAGATTAGGGTTCGGCGTGGACTTAAATGACTGTTCTTCTTCAGAATTGAGAAAATAGCGCGGATTCGCAGTAATCCTGTCTTCCTATTATTTATGAGCCTATGACCTTATGTGATTCTTCTGTTATAATACACAGTTTGCAAATTTCCGATGCCAACACGAAACTTCCAGATTCAATTCTTCACGTATTTTATTTTTATAGGGCTGTTTTTTCTTTTTTAAATAAATGAATTAAAGTGTTAGTACCATTTTAAAACTCGTATTTATGATTTGGAATGACAATTGGACTGGTTTTGCCTGGCTCCAATGTTAATGGAGTGGGCTGTGATTTATAATTTTATTAATTTATGAAGCTGTTTTTATTTTATATGTTAAGTATATATTTTTATAATATTTATCAACTCTTATTACAAGAAATATAAAAAATAAATCTAAACAATTCCCTTCAAAACCAATTTGGTTTACATATATTTAAATTAATAATTTTTTAAAATAATATTATATGTTTTTATAAATAATTATTCATATTATCTAAATTTATAATGGATTTTTTATGATTTTTGTTTTATTTTCAATACTATTGTATTTTTCAATTTACAATTTGCTCAGGAGGTACACTTCACTTTCTTTTCCTTCATTTTTATAATACTCATTTATTACAAATACTCCTCAAAATTAGTTTCTTTGGGATCTCCATCTCCCATGGGGAAACCCTCAAAATAGTTGTCCGTATACTGATATTTCTTCTTAATTGAATCCTTTCTTCTGTGTTGCTAATCAATCTTAATATTTGAATTTAATGTTTGTTCTCAAGTTCTAACAGCGGGCAGCAGAAGAAACAGGCAGCCATAAATGGATTGATTACCCCAGTGTGTATGTATGTGTGTGGCAAAAATGCAGTAGAAGATCAAAGGCACACCTCAAAGTTTACATAAGATCATCATGGATGTCCCTTCTTCGCAATCCTTGAAAAATGATAATACCACTTTCCATGAATGATGAGTTGGCAGTGAAGATCATCGATGCTGCAGATTTCACGGGGTAATTCGCTTGCGAAGGGGGAGTTTCTGAGAAGGAGCTGCAGGTGATGACCACAAGAGCTCCTTGGAACTGATAAATGGAGATTTGGTGTTTTCTTTTTGATCCTTGGATAGAGATGAAGAGCCCAACAGCTTCCTGGAATTGATAGGTTGAGATTTGGTGTTAGCCTTTCGAGCTGTAGTTGGAGAAGAAGAACACAACATCTTCCTGGAATTGATAGGTTGAGATTTGGTGTTAGTCTTTTGAGCTGTAGCTGAAGAAGAACACAGCAGCTTCCTGGATATGGTTATAACCGATGTGTTACTATGGGACGGAACCAATTTCGCTAACTTGAGCCTTTTGCTGCGCGTTTCCATGCCCGATGGTTCATTTGTTTCGAGATAATTGTTTGGTTCTTGGAATTTCCTCTCATTTCTCAGCAGATTCCACAGTAGATTATCATCTTTTGCTGTTTGATCTTCCTTTGTGCTCGGATGCAGAGGCTTCAATGGAGTATCAAGAAGAATAAGTCTTTCAATCATGCATCCATCTAGTGACTAGAAAAATGGAAGTTGTGGAGAACATATACCTCTTGTTGTGTCGGGTTTTCTTGTGATTCGGGGGCATCTTCAATGAGCAATCCGAGGGATATGGTTAGTTTCTTAGCTGTTTCTTCTGCTTTCTGCAACTTGATCAAAGCTTCAAGTCTACTCTGTTCTGCTAATCTTGCCTGGTTTCTTGCTACCTCCAACTCTAATTGTCCTATCTTTATTGCCTCATCCATCTCCTTAGCGATCTCTAACAAGCGCAAAGATATTCCTGTTTTCACTTCGATCTTAAGGCCGTTGACATACTCGGCCATTGGATTGCACATTTTCTCAGCCAGTTCACACACCAGATTGTCTACCCCAACCTCAACTGATCTGATGGCAATTCCTACTTGATCAGATGTGGCTTTGAGGATTTTTAGCATCATGTTGGAGAGGTCATTGCTTTGACCTGATTGATGAACTGCAGAAACGTAACTAAAAGTTTTCATGAAGAACTTTTTCATGAAAGCCTGATGGTTGGCCAGGTTCTGAAAGATGCTATTTTGGCTTGAATTGACCTGAGATTCTATCTTTTTAAGAAGGCTAATCAGCTGCGTCAGCCTTAGCTTCTGTCTCTCCATCAGTTCATTCCCTGCTGCCATAGCTTTAGTCATATAGTTGCTGTCTTCCTGCAAGTCAAAAGGCAAACAAATTAATTAGTTTGTGGTATTGGAATAATGGAATCAACATAAACATGTCATCGTTTTAGTCATGCAGTTTCACCATAAGAACATTGTATCCAACTAGCAATGCCATTACCCATTTCAACTAAATCAATTATTCATGTCTAATTTATAGTGCTTCATGCTACTGCATCTAACAATACTGTCACAGGACTCCCCCATTATCCCTAGAAATTGCTCTGCAGTTCGTCAGTTACACATCTCAAAAGAGTTAACTGCATAAGACGCTGACTACATCTTTACTCCAGGAGTTACAATGATCTGAATGTAGCGCACAAATGGACAAACACAAGACATGCATATACCAACACAGAAGGTCAATTAATCAGTGGAGCAAAACCATGGCGAATAGTTCTAATTACGTGAGAATGAGAACGATCAACAGAAGTGACTACAGTGTTGAATCTTCCCTCGCGAGCCATTTCAACTGTCTTCAGTCCGACCAGCTTCATAAGCGGAATCGCAAGAGATGCAATTACATCTTCCGTCTATAAAAAAGATAATCACATTATAATTCAACCAAAAAAAAAAACAAAGAAAACTGAATAACAAAACTGAAAGCAATCAACGAACCACGTCGATCACAATTCACAATTATACCTCATGCAGACCGATTATGATCTGAGAATGAAGCTGATGAAAGGAGACTCTTAACTGTTCGTGTTGCCAACCGATTCTCGAGAGCTTGAAATGAACAGTTTCAAGCGACGGCAGCCGATCGGCGTGAGATCGGCGTGAACGACGACGATTCATTCACTCCTAGTTTTGCTAGACAACAAAATCAAAATCGCTAGTAATGACCGTGAATTTTTTGAGCAGAAATGGCGGAAGATCAGATTGCAGACACCAGATCAGTATAATTCTATGTAGAGGTTTGGACTGTTGAGTAGTTTACTCTTCTTCTCCTTTGTCCTCACCGTATCTGTAATCTAAGTATACCGTACAAGGCTAACTACATATGTCTTATATTGCAAAAAGAAAAAATATAAGGGACTAAATTGAAGTATTTCAAAAGTACAGGGACTAAAGAGTGATTGACCCTAAACCTTGCTCTACTGTGCTCCTCTCTGAAGGAGTATAAATACGAAAAAATGAGGGATTCGGGAGAGCTACAGCAAGCGTGCTTGGAAATGGAGGCCGCACAAGAAGCACTGAAGAGGGAGGCTTTCCGGCAGGCGGTTGTTAACACTCTCGAGCGTCGTCTGTTTTACATTCCTTCCTTTAAGATCTACCGTGGTGTTGCCGGCCTTTACGATTATGGGCCGCCTGGTTGCGCCGTCAAGGCGAATGTCCTGGCTTTCTGGCGTCAGGTTGGTGTTGTTTAATTTTTCTGTTGCTGAGAATGTTAAAGCACAAAATTTGGATTCGATTATCTGTTTCTCTTTTGTCTGATTTGTTGCGTTTTGTGTATTAGTGTGTGGATGGCTGGTGGTATCTCTAAACGAATTGTTTGAATCCTGTAATCATTATCAAAGTAAAATGCATTCTTTGTGGTTAAATTTTGTCTTTAGTTACATAGTTTGCATTTTGGAGATAGAAGAGATGCATAGTTATTTGAAAGAATTTTTATACACTTTTTTTGGGAGCTGGCGATGCAGTTAGATGTTAAAGATATCTGACAGATTTAATGTTCAATGTATCAGCATTTTGTACGTGAAGAAAACATGTTAGAAGTTGATTGCCCATGTGTTACACCAGAGGTTGTGCTGAAGGCATCTGGACATGTAGAGAAGTTTACTGATCTAATGGTGAAAGATGAAAAAACTGGAACTTGTTACAGAGCTGATCATTTGCTCAAGGATTATTGCAAAGACAAGCTCGAGAAAGATCCTAAGCTTAGTGCGGACAAGGCAGCAGAACTGAAGCACGTTATGGCTGTGCTGGATGATCTCTCTGCTGCAGAACTTGGTGCAAAAATTAAAGAATACAACATCACTGCTCCTGATACAAAGAATTCTCTGTCTGAACCCTATCCTTTCAATCTAATGTTTCAGACATCAATTGGACCATCTGGATTGAGCGCTGGGTGAGAATGCATTTTTGGGATCTCGATTATGAATCTTTCTTTTACTGCTGAAGTATTAGCCCAGTTTACTTTGAGTTTTATTTTTGCTGCAGATACATGCGCCCTGAGACTGCTCAAGGTATTTTTGTGAACTTTAAGGACTTGTACTACTACAACGGAAACAAACTTCCTTTTGCAGCGGCACAAATTGGTCAAGCTTTTCGAAATGAGGTATTTTGTGCTAACACAATTACTTTTGTTGAGTGTTTTAGAACTTTTGGGTTTTTGCATTTTGTTGTATGATTTAGATCTGAATGGTGATGGGATTTGCTATCTCCTGTTTGTGTTAACTCACAACGTCTTCTTGTCTCTACTGTTTCTTTCTTGTCTCTACTGTTTCTTTACTCTTGATTTTGGTTCAAACCTTTTTCATCGTGATAACAATTAATATATTCTGTTACCCTCATTCATCCCTTGTTATTTTTTCATGATCAGCTGTCTACTGTGCATAAATAAGATTGACTTGTGAGGAACTTGCATAAAAGAACGAAGTGTATAGATGTCAGTTTAGTTGTCATGATGATGAATCTATTTTTGTTTGTTCTGTGTGTGTGTGTGTGTGTGTGTGTGTGTGTGTGCCTGTTTCTTCTTAGGGCTGTAAATGAGTTGAACGGATCTTGAGTATAAAGATACTCAAAGCTTGACTTCAGAAAACATTTAAAAGCTCAAGTTCAAGGTAGAGTAAGCTAGGTCATTAAGTTCTTTTCTAGAAACACAGTTCATTTTGGGTTTGTTTGGACTATTAGCCATGGACCCAAAGGACGCAAACTTATTGAATGCCATTGAACGGCTTAATAAGAAATGGCCCCGTAAGTTGTAGGGTTGGGCTTTTCTCAGCTAATGAATTTGAGCCACTCGGCTGAGCTCCAATCATAATTAGCAGGTGCAGTTTGTATTGTACATGAGGTTCTTTTTTTTTTTTTTTTGGGTGCAATGATAGCAAATATATGAGCTCAGTATAAGAGCTGCACAGAATGTGATTGTCATATAATTTCTTTGAAAGTGTCACATTTACATTGAATGTGCATGGCTTTTCAGATTTCTCCACGACAAGGTCTCTTAAGAGTCCGTGAATTTACGCTTGCCGAGATTGAGCATTTTGTGGATCCTGTGGACAAGTCCCATCCCAAGTTTTCAGAAGTTTCACAGTTGGAGTTTTTCATGTTCCCAAGAGAAGATCAGGTGTCAGGAAAACAAGCTAGGAAATTGACTATTGGAGAAGCAGTTACTCAGGTAGGATAGCAGAGAGATGCCAACCTTTTAGCTTCTTTCTCTCATCTTTAGGACCCCAGGATTTCTTTTTTGTTCAATGCAATTTTGTAATGTGCAGGGAATTGTCAATAATGAAACACTGGGCTATTTCATAGGAAGAGTATACTTGTTTCTAACACAACTTGGAGTTGAGAAAGACCGCCTGCGATTTCGCCAGCATTTAGCAAATGAGATGGCACACTATGCTGCAGATTGCTGGGATGCTGAAATCGAATGCTCTTATGGATGGATTGAGTGTGTTGGTATTGCTGATAGATCAGCATATGACTTGCGAGCCCACACGGTAACAGTGTCTTCTGCTATGTAATAGAAGTCTATTTATTGGTTCACGGATTTTTTTAACATTCTTATTTTATTTTATTTTAATTTTATTCCAGTGGCTTTATTATATGACTATTAGTTTTATAGGCTATAGCACATTGTGTTCTATGTTTATACTACCATTGACGGAGGATATGATGATGTTTATCTCTTTGCAGGACAAAAGCGGTGTACCACTGGTGGCACATGAAAAATATGCAGAACCTAAAGAAGTGGAGGTATCTCGTCTTCCTTCCTTCCTTCCTCTGTTATATTGTGCCATTCATTTGGGACACTAGACCTTGTTTTGAAATATGTGTGGCATTGCAGTGCCTATGCCAGTGTTGAAATTTCAGTAATTTGAACCCGTACTACATATTCTTTAAATACTTTTTTGAGGTGCCAGAAATTGCATTGTATCTCTAATGCTCTTCTATTTTCCCTTCAGAAACTTGTCATAGCTCCTGTCAAAAAGGAACTTGGTCTTGCTTTCAAGGGTAACCAAAAGATGATCGTTGAAGCATTGGAGGTAAATAATTTTACCTTTTTGCTGTCACGTCTCTTATTCGTAATGATCTTTAAATTTTGTGATGGTTGAGAATTGTTACATCTCATGCGCTTATGAAAAGTACATGGTGAGATTGTACTTCCTTACTAGGCTGAAATGAGCTGATTAGCAATGAAAATACCATTTTGATTCTGAAGTGTGAAATTTGCTTTATGTCTCCATTTAAACAGGCAATGGGAGAAGAGGAAGCAATGGAGATGAAATCAACTTTAGAAGCTAAAGGCGAGGCCGAGTTTAAAGTTTGTACGCTCGACAAAGTTGTGACTATAAAGAAAAACATGGTTTCGATTTCCAAAGAGAAGAAAAAGGAACACCAAAGGGTTTTTACACCATCAGTGATCGAGCCATCCTTCGGCATAGGAAGGATCATATACTGTCTCTATGAGCATTCATTCTACACAAGAAGCAGCAAAGACGGTGATGAGCAAATGAACGTCTTCCGGTTCCCTCCCCTCATAGCTCCAATCAAATGTACCGTATTTCCTCTCGTTCAGAATCAACAATACGAGGAAGTTGCTCGAAAAATTGCCAAGTCATTAACTGCTGCTGGTATTTCAAACAAAATTGACATAACAGGTATAGCGCGAGCAGCCAGGTCTTCATCTACTACAAAACTGTACTTTCGTCCAACTATGCACTTACATATATCTTCGTCGCAATGTACGCAGGAACTTCCATAGGAAAGAGATACGCGAGAACAGATGAACTCGGAGTCCCCTTTGCCATAACAGTTGATTCGACAACCTCAGTTACTGTCCGAGAAAGAGACAGCAAGCAGCAGATTCGCGTACCTGTCAACGAGGTAGCCTCTATGGTTAAAGATGTAACCGACGGTGCGAGCACATGGGCTGATATACAGTGGCAGTACCCGGCTCATTCTTCTTGATTTTCTTCTGACTTATCCTCACATGTCGTCACAAGTCCTATTTAGTTTTAAACAAGACACCACACAAAACTTGTCATCAAGAAAAAACTCCCATGTTTGTCTCTCTGTTCTGTTGATTCACAGACAAACTTTTTTTGTGGCTCGTTAATGCCAATGATCTGAATTTGGTCGGTCGGGCGTATGATGTTCGTGCCAAATCTTTTGTCAATATGGGCAATCAATCTTACATCAGCATGATCATAAAGAGAGATTTTTAAGAGTCAAATAATGATAATAATAGAGCAACGTGGGAATCTCCCGTAATCCCTACGCCATTATATATTCTTCCAAGAATCGATCGACAATAATTTGTCAAATGGAAGTTGCTGACTGACTATTTATTTGCAGATTTTGATTCTCTCCCCAAAATTCATATTCCCCAAAGATCCTTCTTTTCTTCTCCGTGACTCCGGTTTTTATCGTGATACCGAAAATCTGCTTTTCGATAGATCTGGGAGCCCTATTTCAGCGATTTGGTTACGCCATGCGCTACAGATAATATCCAGAACCAATTTCGTGAACCTAATTGGGAATTTCTCTCGCCTATGACTGCTGGTGTGGAGAGCCATGCGAATTTCCCAGCACAAGCTGCTGCTGCTGCAACAATGGCGAAAGGGCAGCAGGTCCGGCCCGGGTGCTGCAACCCGGTCGGAAATACGGGGCCTGTATCATTGGATCACGTGCTATCCGCCTTGAGGGAGACGAAGGAAGAGCGCGACGCGCGAATCCGGAGCCTGTTCAGTTCCTTCGACACCAATAATTTAGGGTACTTGGATTACGGACTCATCGAGAAGGGGCTGTCGGCGATGCAAATTCCGGCGGATTACAAGTTCGCGAAGGAGCTGTTGGAAGTGTGCGACGCGAACCAGGATGGGCGGGTGGATTATCAGGAGTTCAGAAAGTATATGGATGATAAGGAGCTGGAATTGTACAGGATTTTTCAGGCCATTGACGTTGAGCACAGTGGTTGCATTTTGCCTGAGGAGCTCTGGGATGCTCTTGTCAAGGCTGGTATATTGTTCATCATTTTCTTCAATTCTCTAATTTCTGAAATTCGTCTTCATTGATGGTTTCATCCTCTTTGGCCAATTGATCATTTCTGATGTGTTTTGCTTTCCCCTTTCCTCTGTTTCGATTACTGCAATTTGATGAAAAGCCTTGCTTTAATATTTCATTTTTATGCACTTTTAGTGATAGCTTCTAATGATGAAATGATGAATGTAGCTTTAATCATTGTTTGGATACATGAATGCATAATCTGTAAGATATATAGCATTTGAGCTTCAAAGATTTGCATTCAATTACACGTATCTTGCTTCTGTTGAGTTTGCCGATGAGCGAAAATGGAAATCGTTTGAAATTCGAATATGTCCTTTTTGTTAGGCCTATAGTTTTCTACTCTTTTGAGCGTGTTTATTAATAGTTTTAGTTTGATTATTCGGTGGACATCATTAAGCATTTCATGGTTTGTGTTTCTCTTGAACTCTTTTGATGAAGGATACGCGAAATCATTGGTTTTTCCTACGCATCTTTCAGATTATCTCTGTTACATTCCTTTGGCGAAACAATTATATTCGTGTCTTCTGCGATTAATATCTTTCTTCGTCCTATAAGTCGTGGCAGTTGGTTTTTTGCAGGTATAGAAATTTGTGATGATGAACTCGCTAGTTTTGTCGAACATGTTGACAAAGATAACAACGGAATTATAACTTTTGAGGAGTGGAGAGATTTCCTGCTGCTGTATCCACACGAAGCCACTTTAGAGAACATATATAGGTACTGGGAAAGAGTATATCTTGTAGATATCGGCGAACAAGCTGTGATTCCCGAAGGCATCAGCAAGCATGTCCACGCAACAAAGTACTTAATCGCAGGCGGTGTTGCCGGGGCTGCTTCTCGTACTGCAACTGCGCCTCTCGATCGCCTAAAGGTAATTTTACAAGTCCAGACCACGAACACTTCCATTGCTTCTGCTGTCAGAAACATACGGACGGAAGGTGGACTTTTAGGATTTTTCCGAGGCAATGGATTAAACGTGCTCAAGGTTGCACCCGAAAGCGCCATCAAATTTTACACTTACGAAATGCTGAAAAATGTCATCGAAGATGGTAACGGCAATGTTGGAACTGGTGGTCGTTTAGTTTCCGGTGGATTGGCCGGAGCCGTGGCGCAAACTGCTATATATCCAATGGATCTCGTCAAGACTCGCCTGCAAACTACTGCTTGTGAAGGAGGGAACGTTCCGAACCTCGGTAAATTGTCGAAGGACATCTGGGTTCACGAAGGGCCCCGAGCTTTCTACCGTGGGCTAATCCCGTCGCTTCTTGGTATCATACCTTACGCAGGCATCGACTTGGCCGTCTACGAGACCTTAAAAGACATGTCGCGGAAATATATTCTTCCCGACAACGATGGTACTCGATACATACCAATAACTAAACATTAACTTCTTATTCCACATCTACTAATATTCAACGACGTTACTCCGCAGAGCCGGGTCCATTAGTGCAGCTGAGCTGTGGCACCATCTCGGGAGCACTCGGAGCGACGTGTGTTTACCCGCTGCAGGTTGTAAGAACAAGGTAATCGTCGATGAATGCATTCCATCATAATCATAATCATCTTCTATTCGATTCAATCATTCGATCATAGATTACGAACAAGCGGGTGGCGTTTTTTTGCAGAATGCAAGCTCAATACAGCAAGGCGTCGAGCGGAGCAGCTTACTCGAACATGTCGGATGTGTTCCAGAAAACTTACCGGCGCGAAGGCTGCCGGGGATTCTACAAAGGGCTTCTCCCGAATCTGCTTAAGGTGGTGCCGGCGGCGAGCATTACTTACCTCGTCTATGAAACCATGAAGAAAAGCCTCCATCTTGACTAAGCTGCTGTTGGATGGATGGTGAATAAAATTAACCATTTTTTTGCTAACTAATGATGGGATGGATGAATATGAATATGATGATATGTTTTTGTTTGGCTAATTGATGTTTGCATTTTTTTGGCTACAATTCCAAAATAGTCTATGGGTATATTAGTTGATAATTGCAATTCGATCTCTCAATATTTTGTGTAATTGTAAAAAAATTTCAGTAAAATATTTTGTACATTTATTATAAAATAAAAGAACCATTATGCAATTTGCCTAAAATTTATAATAGGAGTGTCGGATCGGGTCGGGTACAGGGTCGACCCGGAGTGACAGTCAACAATTTAAAATGGAATGTTCTTGAACCTGGGGTTTGTCACTCGTTGCCACGTGGATCGTTCTGATTGGTCCAGTTCACGTGGCCTGCATCGTCATTGGTCGAATCAACTCGATTCTAATGAGATGTGTGTATTAGTTCGTGGTTAAAAAGCCATTCAAATCACGCCATCAGTTGAATTCCGAGAGAGAGATTTCTACTTCAGGCCTAGTTTTGCTTTAGATCCATCTGAGATTTTCTCCCCAAATCTGTGCGTGATTCTTTTCTGAGATTTGGAGGCGTGGTTTTTCGGAATGGAGGATCCGAATCGGAAGATTTGGATGCTGCAGTGTTTGTTGCTGTCTCTCGCGTGCTTCGCGTCTCACCTCTCTGCTACGGATGATGTGGTACGTACGAAGATTTTGAATATTTTTAGTATATGTATGGGTATTTGTGAATTGCTAGTTCATCTGATTGATGTTTGTATTTTTAGATCTGTTGTTATAATTAGATTATTAATGCTTCCATTTCATGGTTGATGGTTTGTAGACATTCTACGAGTCCTTTGATGAGAAGTTCGATGGAAGATGGATTGTGTCTGAGAAGCCGGAGTATAATGGTAAAACTTCACCCACTGTTCGCTGTTAGATGTGCTTTGAATATTTCATTTTTTACTCTTTGATTTGAACTATTCTTCTACTTTGTCTTGTGTTCAAGATGTACTGTATTTGAAACTGATCTTGAAATTTGAAATTTCAACCCTAATGCGTTCGCTTTTGCAATAAGCTCTTGAAGCTTTGTTTTACATTAGAAAAGACAATATGACTGAGCATAACTATGGTTGTCTAGGGATTACAGCTGCATATATTTTTATTTTGGTGGACATTAGGAGGATGGTTGAATATCAATCTTTATATGCTGTTGTGGCTTATAGCAGACCTGATTGTAGATTCGTGATGAGATTGGGTTGCAATAAGGTCTTCTTCTGTGGTGTGCTGTACACAAATGCAGTGTGTCATATGTTTCTGTATGTTCTGTTGGTTGAAATTTTGTTTGTGTTTTACTATGATATTAGGTGTATGGAAGCATGAAAAGAGTGAGGGGCATGATGACTATGGACTTCTTGTGAGTGAGCCGGCCAGGAAATATGGCATTGTAAAGGAACTTGATGAACATGTGGATCTTAAAGATGGAACTGTTGTCCTTCAGTATGAGGTTCGCCTGCAGAATGGGCTTGAATGTGGTGGTGCTTATCTGAAGTACCTACGGCCTCAGGAAGCTGGATGGATAGCCAAGGAGTTTGACAATGAGTCACCTTATACAATTATGTTTGGCCCCGATAAATGTGGCGCTACCAACAAAGTCCACTTCATATTGAAGCACAAAAACCCGAAGAGTGGAAAGTTTGTCGAGCATCATCTCAAGTTCCCTCCATCGGTACCTTCAGACAAATTGACCCATGTGTACACTGCTGTGTTGAGGCCAGATAATGAGTTGAGCATCTTGGTTGATGGGGAAGAGAAAAAGAAGGCTAATATTCTCTCGGAGAGCGAGTTTGATCCTCCACTTATCCCTCCAAAGACTATTCCTGATCCTGATGATAAAAAGCCTGAGGATTGGGATGAGAGGCCAAAAATCCCAGACCCGGAAGCCAAAAAACCTGATGACTGGGATGAGGACGCTCCAATGGAGATTGAAGATGAAGAAGCTGTAAAGCCAGAAGGTTGGTTGGATGATGAACCTGAAGAGGTTGATGACCCTGAGGCAACAAAACCAGAGGACTGGGATGATGAAGAGGATGGTGAATGGGAGGCGCCTAAAATCGACAACCCTAAATGTTCAGAAGCTCCTGGATGTGGGGAGTGGAAGAGACCAATGAAGAGGAATCCTGCTTACAAGGGAAAATGGCAGCCTCCACTTATTGACAACCCCGATTACAAGGGAATTTGGAAACCTCAGGAGATCGACAACCCTGAGTTCTTTGAGCTTGACAAACCAAACTACGAGCCCATTGCAGCTATTGGCATTGAAATCTGGACAATGCAAGATGGTATATTGTTTGACAATATTTTGATTGGATCCAGCGAGAAGGTTGCAGAATCCTACCGTCAGACTGCATGGAAGCCAAAATACGACGCTGAGAAAAAGAAACAGGATGAGGAAGAAGCAGCTACCTCCGAAGGGCTTAAGGGCGCCAAGGTAGTATTAATGAGACATTGATAAATTCCCACCACCATGTGTGAGTAATGCTACTTTGCAAGTGACTCATTATTTTTCTTTTCTCAATTGTTTTCCAGAAAGTAGTTTTCGACTATCTGTACAAGGCAGCTGACCTCCCTTTCTTGGGCGAGCACAAAACTAAAGTCCTGGTAAGTAAATCCCATTTCTTGGATGAAGGGCCAGCTTAGAATTTTGATTGGATTTTTTTTAACTTATGCTATACTATACTTGGATTCCTTCTTGCAGGAGCTCCTTGAGAAAGCAGAGAAACAAGCTAATCTCACAATTGGCATCCTTGTGTCCGTTGTTGTTATTCTCTTATCCATTCTGTTTAAGCTCATCTTTGGTAGGAAGAAACCGGTGAGTAAATGCTGTATAATAGTGTAAAACATTGTTGCTGATGTGGCTGGCTTTCTAACTGGGGTCTGATAATTGAATCCAGACTAATACACCACAAGCAGCAGCAGAGAATAGGAAACCTGATGTTGCCGAGTCTTCGACCAGCACCGCAGAGGAGGAGGAGGAAGAGGAGGAGAAGGAGGGCGACCCCGCAGCCCCTCAACGCAGAAGGAACGTGAGGCGTGCGAATTAGGTATTAATTGAACAAGAGGAAAGAATGTTGCAGCCACGCTAGTTTTTTCTTATTTTGAATTCTCTCTCTGGATATCTGTGGATTGAACTTTCTTTGCAGTTTAAGAAAGGGTCCAGGAAGGACAGTTTGTTTTTGTCTTATAAGTAGTAGGTGGGTGGTGGTGGTGGTGTTCTTTTTATACATGAGATGTATTGGAGTAACAAGTTTTGGAACTCTACCAATATCCCCTCTCTCTCTCTCTCTCTCTCTCCTTAAATATTGGTAAATGTGGTCAATTATCAATCAGAACTCAACTCATCCAATGGAATTTGAATCCCAAGTACATAACTGAAGGTTGCTTTAGGTTGTGGTATTGATAACATATTCAATATGGATAGATGGTCTGTCTATGAATTAAGTGCATATATTTATTTATATTACTTACTAGAGCTAATTAACATCTTGTTTTTTTTTCGATATCTAGCAAGAATTTAAACAAATGAATAATATAGAAAAAAAGAAGCTACTAATAAAGCAAGAAAATCATCCAAAGCTGTTCCCTCCTTGAGCTAACCAAAAATAGTCTTAAGGCTGGCTCTTAAGGCCAAGTTTCCTTAACTTAACTAGCACCAACACATCTGCTCAAAAGAAAGACAAAGACTTACCGCTTTCCGTCGGCTTTCCTCGCCGGAGGTCCCATCTCGTCATCATCCGACGCTATGTCTCCATACTCCCACATCCTGACCCTACTCTTTCGAGCCTCCGTCTGATAATTTTCAAGCTCATCAAATGCCTCCTGCCTATGCTTGGGTTCCGATCGCCGTTTTTTCTCCAACCTACAAAGTCCCTCCTGATATATTCAAGCAAATGCATGTTAATTATCGTAACGATGTTAAATGGAGAGGGGACATCGCATGATGTGACGAGTTTAAAATGTACCTGTAGCATAATGGCATTGATGCTTATATCGGACTCAAGATCGAACAATGTTACCGAAAGGATGGGGCCAGTTCCTTGTCCTTTAACTTTTCCAGCTGATGTGTCCTTTTCTTCGATCACAACTTTAAATTCTTTTGGAGAACTCAAGACGAGATCGCTCAATCGGTACGCAGCATCCTGACCATATTCATCCACCAAGCCTGGAACTTTAATGAATGCCAGGCTGCAAAGCTGGGCGAGGCCAGGGCCTGATGAGACGGAAGGATCGAGAGGGCGCAGTCGGCCGTAAGGGACGATCTCTTGATTTCCATAATCGATATAAAACACCCCAAACGTGTCTTCTGCAGATTCCACAGTACCACCGCGAGGAGTGTGGACAACCTTTTCAATTTAAATCGAGATCGAATCAGCAAAATAAAAAATACAAATCACCGGGCACAACTTTAAAGGATATATATATATATATGAACATCTGATCACATAGTTACGATGGGAACTTACCATTGCACGATTCCAAGAATTATCTGCAGTATATTGAGCTAGAAGAATGTCGCCCTTTTTAGGATTGAAGGCACCGATCACAGGAGATTCGCCAAGACTCAACGAAGCCATCTGCTTCTGAATAGTGGCTACTCTCTGATCAGCAGAGGATTGAACATAGAATTTACCGCCTCCCAAGACTTCGGTTATAACAGCCTGACGAAGAACATAGTAGTGAGTTTATGGTTAACATTCAAGAATAGAACATGATCTGAAATCATATACCTTAAACTCTTCTTTCTGCTTTCGTCCAACAGTTGAATTGTTTGAAACTTCCTCTCCTTCCTCGTACTTCTCCCAAATCTGCCACCGAAAGTGTTCATAAGTTAAGGAAAACCAGACAATAATGGGTGCTGTATAAGATATGTATATTGTCTATTCACCTTCAACTTTTTCTGTTTAGCAGATTGCTCCGCTTTGATGAGAAGATGAGCATCAGGAATCCTGTCAAGGCCAAAGGAAGTTTGAAGCTTTGCCAGGCCAGCTTCCAGAAGTGGTATTGCCGCATTCGTTCTTGATTCCCACAGAGTTCCCAAGAAAGTTCCAGTTTTATCAACAGTTTTGACTTCAATCTGCACACAAATGACAACTCTAATTATGAGATTTGACAGCAAAAAAATAACAAAGATTATAGAAAAAGGGGAAAATATAAGCTACCTCAACATCCCTTTGCATTAGTCTCTGCCTCATAAATGCAATGGCTTCGTCAGAATAAGGTTCTCCACGCGCAGGACAACGAACACCAGATAATGCAAATGCAACAAAGCAAGTTTCCTTAGGAATCTCCATCTTGTATCGATGCCCGCTAAGCACAAAGTCAACAATGGCAGGCATCCTCCTATTCCGTTGCAAAGACGGCAAGAAGTCCCGTGCTTTCTTTGCAGGAGCCTTTAAATTGTTGTGAGTCCACGTTCAAGTAAGTAAGAAGAATAACCAACAAAATATACACATCATCAATAAGGACAACAAATCTTACGGTTAGCAAGTCTGTTATATGCCTCATGGGAGCATCTTTGGCAGAATGCATACCCTTCTTCCCAGAAATAGCGCGTGATTCAGCAGCTAGAAGAGCATCATAATAGTTTGATCTCTCCTCAAAATCTCGGTGCCTAACAACAGTGGCGTAACCACGAGCAACCAGAAGCTCAGCAATATTTGTTCTAGCCTGCGCAGCAGTATTCTCATCCTTCGAAGGATTAAGGAGGAAAACAGATCCAAAGTCCATCACCTTTGTATTTGCTGTTGCCCCTTCTGATAAGTTAACCTTCCTGGAATACTCCATAGAAACCTTCACCTAAAAATATGTATGCGCATATGTAAGCATTATAGTTGAATACATGATAACATACTTAAAACAAAATATATCAATTGCCATACTTGGCCACCAATTAATCGAGTTCTCAGGAATTCCTTAGCCTCGCGGGCATAGGGGTCAGGTTTCTGGTCTCTACGAGGATTGCCCATTTTTGGGCCCCTTATACTTGACAAGTTGACTCGTCGTTCGGAAGCAGGATCACCAAATGAAATTGAATCATCAGCAACAATAATGCAGTCAGCGCTAGCAACTTCAACAACCTGTGAAGTCGGAGTGTACGTGTTAATGAAAATAATTAGCTGCCATAAAATAGAAGAGCAGCAAACTTTGATGCCACAGATAACTTACTTTCCCTGTGAAGTTCTGATCATGAATGGCCTTTGAGTTTGTCACTGGGGGAACATAATTAGTCCAAATTCTTAATCGCGACTTCTTTGCTTCAAGTTCGGCATTCTTCAACTTCCGTTGAGCATCCTCTTCCAACAAGCTAGCACTCCATTGCACATATTTAGCCAAACCCTAAAACATCATAACATTGAGGTATGAGATAAAGATAGGAATACTAACTCATGCAAAATACCATTTTGAATGATATGCGGCAATAATATCCCACACACAAATATAATAGGGTCCCGGATGAAAGAAAACTATAGAGGAATGCAGACAAGAATTTTGAACGTAAAAACCAAAACAAGCATAGTCCATTTATCATCTAAATGGAAAAACAAAAAAAGAAAAAGAAAAGAAACAAGTAATATCTTAGTTGTTTAACTTCTTTATTTAGCAAACCACGTTTAATGTATGCATAGCGGGAAAGAATGTTTAATAAAAAACCAATATTATACTCTTATTTATAGTTAGTTTGGGTATTAATTATTAAAAATTGCCATTTATAGTCCGTTTCGGTATTAAAAGTTGCCAGATGATAACATAACAATAAAGAAAAAATCTATATATCATTCATTATATGAAGGAAGAAAGAATCCACTTAGGAAAAAATGAAATGAAAAGAAAAGGACTAAATGGCTATACTCTTGCGAAATATGGCATATCTCATGATGTATCAAGTATCATGATAATGTCGACTCACTTACATTTTCAATAAGCTCCAATGCTAAGTCCTTCGCAGATTCACCATCTGGATAATAAACTGAACCAATCAAATTGCTGAATTTGTCAGAACCCTCCAACACAATCCTGACCTACAACACCAACAATAGATATACATCAGCAAGATCATAGCAATGTTTATGTAAAAAGTAGCGCCTTAGCACATTTAGAAAATACCCACATCTCTGTGCAGCACCCGAACTTCGGTAAAATGTTTGGCTTCTTTTCCAAACGGATCTGGAGGAACTTCAACTGAAGAAGCCGCAGCTCTCTGGGATGATGTCAAGGGAGCCTGGCTTTTAGCTGCTGAATCTCCATTTTGTTCCTTATGGGGTTTATCAGTTGCAACGGCAGCAATTTCTGGTGGAGCCTTTCTACCCGGGGATGGAGACTGGTCGAAAATTTTTCATTTACATCAAATTCTAGGCAACCAATTAAGAAAACTATCGTTAAGGTACAACCATACCTGAATTCCTGCAACAAACACTTGGACATACTGATAGTCTGGGAGCAAATAAACACGAATGGTGCTCCCATCACGAACATGGTCGACAATAGCCTCCAAAGGACTACCTCTCTTAGAATCTAACAGAGCCACAACATCAAGATTACTAGGATCACTAACAGCTGAAGGAGGCAAGCGCCTGATGGAGGAATCAGCAGCACCGGGCACCTGAATGCATTACAAGACAAGACTATTACTAAATCTCATTAACTGAAGTGTGTTCTACAGCCAACTATTACACATTTATGATATCTTGAAGAAAAAAGTAATTATGACACTTGTACGTCACAAAGTTAATTTCATGCCACACAACTTCTTGGCCTATATAACAATATACATAAATGAGATATATGTACAGACCCTACTCCAACGACCTAGACCTTGCTGTTTGGCCTGTTCTTCAAGGCTTTGCAACTCAGCCAAGTGTGGGCTGGCTTCTCCCTTCTGTTGACCTTGTCCTCTTACCTGCATTAGAAATACCGACAAAGTCACCTTACAGTAAGAACAAACTAATGGGAAAAATAAACGGGAAACATTTCAACAATAAACCTTTGCCCAGCCAGCAGCAACCACTAGAGAAGCTACATTATTAGTCCCAAGGAAAACAGAGCCAAACTCCCTCTTTATAGATGGTACAAGATAATCCACTCTGAAAAGGACCTCCTAAAATGCACATTAACAAAAAAAAAAAAATCTTTTAAGTTGAAAAATTCCAGAAAATCTACCTTGACAAAGTATAGATGAATAAAGGTAACACCATTTATACCTTCCCAATACAAAGCTTCCTTAAAAATTCCCTACTATCCCATGCAAATGGCTCATCTTGGCCACCTCTGCGGGGTGCCTACAGATGCGAATAATTGAATAAAGAAATAATAAGCACAATAAAAAGAGGAAAATAAAGGTCATTCCATAAAAACATGTAAGACACAATCTACATTTCAGCAATTCTCTGAAGCTATTATTGTATCAAGAAAACAAGTGCCACGGCAACACACAGACAGCCATGGAGTAAATAGATAGAAAGGGTTTAGAAACTTCAGTTCATATGCTAGAGATAACAGGGTTAATATGAATATATAATGCATACACAATTTGTATGATAGCACACTTGTTCATACAAATCAAGCATAACACATATGAAATTCATTATCATCAACTGAACCTCATACATGAAGATGAAAACGACAGGAGATTAACTTTATAGTCCCTAAAAACATGAATTACAAAGGCATTCCAATAAGAAACATAAAAGCAGCCTTCATGCTTTTGGTACATTCCCAATTCAGACGTAAAGAGAGAGTGAAAAAATTGAAACTACCTTTGAATTTATCAAACGTACCAGCCTAGGAGCAATTAGAGACGACAAAGTAATAGTCTTTTCTGGGGGAACTTCAGCCTTGGAACAAGCCATTATGACCAAGCAGTCACCGGAAGGAACTGCTTTCACAATTCCCCTAAGCAATGCTTTCGCTCCAGCTGCTGGTGCCATTTCAACTGCAAAATCTGCGAAAGCACAAATTTTATCTCTAGCTATGACTAGAATCACCTTGATAAGGATTTCTACAAGCTAAAAGAAGCTTATTAATTCAATCCAGCACAAAGTATAGAAGTTTTTAACACATGCATCATTGCAAATGGATTTATCAGCTGACAATTAGACCCAGTCAGTAATTAGACGATGATGGAGAATATGTGTAAACATTTATCACAATAAATTCACTTCTCAATCCTCAATACAGGAGAAGGCACTCACTCTACCACTAGCAGTTCATTAACTGTCATTCTTCCTCTTCCTTAAAACAATTTACTTTCCTTAAATTATTTAGTTAAATTCCTTCTGTTCTTTTCAAAAAATTTCCTTTTTTTTTTTTTTTTTCAAAGTCATTCCAAATGAAGATTTATCGCCGCCCATGGCACACCTCAGTATATCCATAGTAAAACAACTCAAGTTAGACTGTTAGACAACTTGAAAACACAGGTTCCAATGGTCCTCATGTTTTCATCTCATTCACAACTTAATAAAATACACGCTGACATGATCAAAGATTACAAGTTAGTCAAATTTGAAGTTTTGAACATATGTAATACGACAAAAAGATTTAGTAAAACTAACTTCAAGTGGTAAAAAAGATTAAATCTTTGCATATGGAACTAACTCAAACAAAAGTAAAACAATTGGCTAACATTTATTTCTTCCGAAAACTTGTTGTTAGTCTCAAGATAAACTGAAAAATTGATTTCGCAACGATCCAAACCGATCTAACCTTATCCATTCATATTTAATGATGTCTTAAAAGAGGAAAGCGATTTCTAGTTGTAACAAGACAAGTTCTTCAAAAGCTCAATTTTCATGATTTTCTTAATAAGGTGTTAAAGTTCAACATTGTGTGTATTTCCGAAAGGCGGCGGGACATATTAATCTTTACTGCTGTTCCACTAAAACCAAAAACCCACAGTCATGAAAGAATGAGATATCAAGACCAATCACAAAATTGAAAACACCACAAATTGGTGGAAATTCACCGATCAATATTATCCACAAAGTTAAAACTCGTCATAGCCCAAGCAACTTATTTGATACATCACACTGATATCGATAAGTCAAAAAATAGTCCTAATTATTAAGATCCAATCCAAGTGCTCATTCAATGTCCATCGATACACACAATCAAAATTCATTATTTCCATCTGAGTAAGTAAACACAAATTCACAGAAACCTTCACAGAGATCCGACACTCATGCATCAACGATCAGCAGAGTTCCACGCCCAAAACACACAAAAAACGAATAGAAGACCAAAATTCACCGAAGTCAAAAGCATGCATTACTTCAATCAAACTTAAACTAAAAGAAAATCTGAAAAATATAGAAAAAAAATAATAATAATTACCAAAACAACTCCGGCTAGTGCGACGATCAAGAAGATTAAGAGGCGATAGATTGAACTCTGCTCCTATCGCAACGAATTCGCTAACAATAAATTCAAAATTAAGCCTTTTTCTCCGCTTTCCTACCAATTCCAAGCGAAAATCGGGAAGTCCTTTTCGTCAGAGATAGTCTCTCGACGGCGGTCGTAAGCCAAAACTAAAAACATGCTACGCTATATATAAGCGGGGATCCCATACGTATCTTAAAATAACCTTCATATGGTATGCAATTACCAAAATGCCACTACAGGATTCCAATTCCCTCTGCTCTTCTGCCATGCATTTATTGTCATTAGATTTAGAGCTCTTCAATAATTATTTTTCAGATAATAATAATAACTAAATAAGTCTATAAATTTAAAGTAAGAATTCAGTTATTAAATAAGTCTATAAATTTAAATTATTTAACTCGACTCCATCAGACTCAATTTGTGAAATATGTATTACATCCCTGTGAAAATTCTTAATTCTAAATTCTAAACTTGGTTGGCACAGATATAATGAAAAACGATCAGGGTGCGTGACGAGTATGGTTTGCCACGTGGAAAAAGCATCCAACGAAAACGCGCCATGTGGATCTAATTTTGCCATGTCAGAGCCACGTTGTCTGTGTGGTGGCCAAGCCCAAGATGCGCAGATGGCCGACCGGTCTAACAAGGCATGTTTGATTCGGCCCGGTTTATTTTGGGCCTTCATTAAAGTATTGGGTTAGCAAATTTACTTTATAAAAAGTATGAATTAAAAACGGCTCAATTAAGGGGGGCCACATTAATACCTCTGAATTTTTTTACTGTATTGGGCCTACAGAGTTCATTTTTAAACAAGCCCAATTTTGACGACAAAAAAAAAAAAAAAAAAAAATTCATTTATAACAAATAATTTTATACATGGCTTATTTCATATCTTTCAAACACTACATTTTCTTACCATCAGTCACTGCTATTACAAAATCAATTCATTAAACATATTATTTTAATTTATTAATTCACTCGTATATATTAAAACTTGTCTTTAGTTCACATGAACGTAAATTTTGAAGCAATAAAAAGATAAGAAACTATTGAAAGTATTGATTATTGGACATATTAATCACACGATTGACTACACAAACATCCGAAATTTGAATATCGGAACCATCACCACACACACAAATATATATATATATAGTCCCGTAAGGAATGGCCTGCTAGTGTAGGCGTTGGATTTGTAAGTATGAGGTCATCTGCCACACATGGTTCGCCTAGTGTTCGTCTGTCGGGCCTAGTTTACAAGGTATTAGGTTAGACTGCGGGTTCCTACTTCATAATATATATATATATGATTTGAGACAACAAAACTTGTACATGTACCATATTTCCGAAGAATTAGAAGTTTTCCTTATGGAACTCGAACTCGGTTGTTGTTTTCCGGGAGAAATCTCGGGCAAGTTGTCTTAGCTGCTTCGCTGGCTTTGGTGGTCCGCAATAGAACACTCCTTACCACATTCACAAAACAAAATACACACATATATATATATATATATTTATCTCATCAATAAATAAATAAAATAAACGAATTGAATCGAATCGAACATAATAAATCATCGATCGAGGCTTACCAACGGTCGAATTGGGATGGTTAAGTGCAATCTCCTTGAACACATCTCGCCACTTAGGCCTCGCGAAGTGCGACTTAACCCGAGTCTCGGACACCACGTCCACCCCTGTCTTGGCGAGGTTTATCGACTGAATCATGGCGATGAGGGCGGAGCGCACGTCGCCTTCCTCGTACACGCTCGTGCAATAATTGTGCATTTCGATCACACCCTTGTGGTCCATTTCCGCGGCCTCGTTCATCACGTCGTTGAACCACCCGAGCGAGCCTTGCTCCTTGGTCACCCAATAGAAGTAGGCCCGCCGAGTCTTGAACTCCACGTGTTTCTTGCATTTCGATGATCCTCGAATCCTCCCTTCCTCCACGGCTTTCCTTTCCTCGTCCTCTTCCCGATCTATTTCTTTGATGTTGTTGATGATGTCCTTAACCACGCTGATCATCGGCGTCGCGCCAATGCCGAGCCCGGTTAGTAGCACGACATTGTAGTCCTTGTAGTCTTGTGTCGGCGCGCCATACGGCCCGTCGATTAGTACCTTTGGGAAGCTGTGAAATTTTGCATTCAAAATATTTTTGATGTATCGAGATTGGTATGTTCGAATTTTTTTCTTTTTTTTTGTATATATATGTGAATAGTAAAAGAATAAATAGAAAATAAAGTGTTTGATGCCATATAAATAAATATTGAATGGAATTTTTAAGATTTTTTATCTATGAAATAATGTTAAGAAAAGATCTTGCTTCCAATTAAAATTGGTGATAAGTGGAGTAACCGTGAACAATATTCATCATTCCCCTCCACGATCATTTCAAAAATCTATACAGAATCAATAACTAATTCGGGTATCATGACTGTGATAGAGGATCTCGGATCCTTCTTAACAAATAATTTAAAAGTCAAACTTCAACTTCAATAATTTTCAAATTAAAACTAAAAAACTGGACTATGGTGTTCGCTTTGGAACAAGTTCGAATGTTTTTTGGACTTTCCAAAAGGAAAGATCTGGAGTTAGATGTGAGAATGAAAATTTGTCTAAGAATGACACTGAGTTATGTTGATGGAAATAGACATACCTGAAAGTATCTTCTTGTTGGGATTCAGCTCTTCGATCCTAGAAACGACCAAAACCAGAAAGCCAACGATTTCATTACATACGTAAAACAAATTAAATCATCATCTTTTGTTGTCAGGTTTACCTTGGAGAGAACAGCTCTGAGTCGTCTGGTCCAATCACCACATACTCTAATATGAACACTGATATAATCATCCTTGGGTGCTGTAGTAATCGAAAATGGATGCCTGCAATACATACATAGATACATATTTATCTATGTTTATATATATATATATATATATAGATAAGGTTCTTAATTACCATTCAAATGGAGAGACAGCAGCGCATTTAACAAAAATGTATTGCCCACTTTTGTATGTGAATCCTGAAGGCTTCGACATGTGCAGTGCTATTACATCTCCAGGGTAGATTATCGGGTCCTTAAGAATTTGGACAGCTTCGACACTCGATCTGAATGTCCTGATCAATCTTTCTCCAATGAAGAGTGTAATGGGAATCGCCAAATACATCCATGTCTATTTTGACAACAATTTTCATCATCATGTAAAGCATAAAACATTGAACAATACTAATGGATTCAATGTTATAAATGACATAGAGAGCGCGCGCACCGACCGTTTTGTTGTACCATTGGTGAGTTAAGTAAAGTTGGTTGCCGTGGACGATGAGGAGAATGTAGACGATGATGAAGATATGGTGGGAATACCAAAAGGCGTTGAAGCCGGTAACTTTTTTCAATAGTTTTGAAAGTTTTAGTTCGTTGCGCCTCAATTGAGGGCTCGCTAAGAGAAAGGCTATGGCCATTAGAACCACCATGGCTATTCCGGTCAAGCTTTCGCATCCCTTTAGAAGATCCCAATAGTTTCGCGGCCGGTGCTTGAAGGCTCGCTCCATTGGCTTGAATTTTTCTTGGCTAGCGTGGAGAAGCCGCGGGTAGTCGCATGCTAGATGCATTATTGTGTGTATTCCGGTTGCGATTACAACCGCGATAGCAATCACCTGAAAAATGCCATCAAAATCGTTGAGATAATTGAGTAACATTACACTTGTTTCAATTTTTTCATTTCCATGATTTCTTATGAAAATATACTGTTTTTGTGGCGAAATATCACATCTAAACTAGTGTTAAAAAAATTCAAACCCCATGTAAACAACTTCAAGGATGTATATGTATGGAGGGACATTGGTTAAGATGCTGATTTAGATAGATTAGTATAGTGCAAATATGTTCCATCGACACAATAAAAACTAACAATTACTCCCTCCCTCGGATGATAAGTTTAGAACATTTGGATCTAACACGGAAATTTTAAAAATGAATACTTTATTTAAAAAGTTATAGTAAAAAAATAATTGAAAATATTTTTGAAAATTTAGTTAGAAATTAAACAAAATGAAAAGAGATAGGTAATAAAGATAATGTGTTGAATAAAGGATAATAGTTAAATGTGATTTGTCGATTTTGCCAAAATTAGCTATAAGAGTAAATTTAGTGGAGAGACTAAAAAAAATAAAAATAAATTTAATGGACAAAGAAAATAATATACATTGTATTATTTAAAAATATATATTGTCTGTCTATTTATATATAGAGTGTGCTGTCTATATATTATTATATTATATGCTGAAATCAATAATAATATGCATTTTTATATTGTATTATATTACCATAAACTGGGTGCACTTTATTATTATAACATGTGTCTGTCTGTTATAATTCAGTACTGTGTTGAATTCTATAATTATATTAAAACAAAGGGATTACTTACTTGGTGGAAATTAATATTGTCGTCGAAGGGCACGACAGCGCCGAGGCGGGTCTTGTTTCGGAGCCAAGTGAGCGTATTCCGGCAAATCGGCAAGAGTATGAGCGCCATGTTGAGCTTGAGCGTCTCGGCGGCGCCCTTGGCAAGGCAGAGGCAGTGCCCCATGACTGCGAACTCGGCCGCCTTGTTCTTGTATTGCACGTACTTGTAAGCATAGAGGCCGGCCATGGCGGCGATCCACGCCGCCATCACCCACACGCGCCGCCAATTGTCGGCCAGAAAGTATCCCAAATTACTGCAACTCCGCCACACCACACCCCCTTCCGTCTCCCTCAGCTTCTCGCTTAAAAGCTTGCTCAGGTTGCGCTTCTTGTCGAACCTCGCCGCCGACGACTCGCTCCGGCCTTGCAGTAGAATCATCTGCAGACTCTCCACCTATATATATATATATATATATGTATAAATAAAACCCTAATATTGATGAGATAGAGATAATTAATTAATTACCTTGATGCCGAGGCCTTTGGGGTCTAATTCTTCCATGAGAAGCCTGGCGTATTCATCTGCACGAATTTGGATATTTGAGAGCCTGTTTGCGGATGCACTCAGACTGATAATCTGTTATTTAACCAAATTAATTCAAATCACATCGCCCATCATCGTGATTCTGATTAAAAAAGTAATTAGAAGCTCAGTTCACCTCTCTCACTTCGTCTTCACTGATTCTCCCATCGGCATCTTTATCCACCCTGTAAATTTGGAATTTTGTATTTATATATATATATATATATCTGTATGTATGTGTGTGTGTTTTTTTATTTCAGAGAGGGGCTAATTATTACATGTCGAAGAAGATTTGAAGGCGGGAATCGAAGCTCTGATCGACGATGAGGTCCCAGAATTCTTTAAAGTGAGGTTTAGTTATGGAATCGGCGCCGGCGATGTTCGCCCGCCGTGCCAGCGATTCGAAGAGGGCGCCGGCGAATTCATCGTCCATACCTAATGTCGGCATAAAGAACAAGTGAATTTGGTATTTTGGTAGTTGAGAGGCTATGGAGGAATTCGATAGAGTTAATTCTACCAATGCATTTAGCAAATTGTGCGCGAGTTAGGACTCCATTGTTGCCGGCGGTAAGCTCGTCGAACTTCTTCTCCACCGCCGTCCAGGAGGCCTCGCCGTCGCTGGTCTTGGAAATGAATTTCAGTCCCTTAAGTGCACGCGCCGCCGGGGATTCGAGTCTGCCAGGGTGAGGGCTGCGGCCGGTTAGAGAACTCCAACGCCGTGAGATCATCAGCCGGAGTTTCGCCGGAGCTTCTCCGACCGTCCATGCTCCGGCCGGCGGTTCCTCTTCCTGGCCGCCTTCGCCTCCTACGCTTTGCACCACCGCCGAGTCGGGAGTGATCTCCACGCGGTCATCCTCGATACCCTTGTTCACCTCCCTGATTACCGACGGCGTTGTGCCGCCATCGCCGCCGGAGTCGCGGCGGCGCTCGGAATTGGGGCTCTGCATTAGTGACACTGATATGTAATAAACCTGCGAATGATTGATATTGCAAAAGCTTTCTGTGCATACATTTATAATAATTATCGATTCGTGCAGTATATAAACACCACAAGTTGATCTTTAAATTTGCTTTTTGCAATCAACACATATTATTGAAAGTAACAATAGTACTCAAAAAACCTTTTATAAAAAATGAATAAAAATCTGCATGCATCACGACAATGCATCATCTTTATCGTCTTTCATTACATCATCTGCGGACCTATGTAACAATATACGGTGGACTAGTAATGGTCATGTTGTGGGTTCAAATTTATGATACTTTTGGATTTGACTAGCCACACATGATTCATCTAAGTATGGTTTACTTTATCGAACTTAGTTTACAGACTATTAAATTTGGCTAGAAGTTTACCCCAAACACACTCGAATAATAACTGCGAATTCTCACGTCATTAAAAAAATAAATAAATGAACAAAAGCTATGTTCACAAACATATGCAATAGTATACTAGTTAAGAGGTCAAATTCATATGTTAAATTATATGGAAGAGAGATATATAAGTGCTAATTAGCGCTAATTAATACTCCTTCCATACCGATGAAAATACAAGGGACTCGAACTAGATACCTAAGGCTCTGATACCATATTAGATGATGTAAATAATTGATTCGTTTAAAAATTTAAATTGTTAAGATATATATCATTTATTTATTTATCTATAAACTGAAATTCACCGAGGTTTATTAATTTTCTTGAACAACAATAGCATTAATTAATTAATTTAATTATATGCATATATTTTGTGGTGGGAGAGTGCCTAAAAATGATCCCAACCATGCATGCATGGAGCTTTGAAGTACAGATAAGTTGAAAGATGATTGAAGGCCTTTTGTTGATTAAAGTGATTCCACTATGTAAATTTGATGAGATTTTAGTGACCCATAAAAATAAGGGTGGTGTGACATAAAGAAGTTTGATTATTTATCAATTCTAAAAGCATTCTTATGTTGTACTTATCATCCAAAAAAATCAACCACAATCATTGTCCAAGAATTCATCGATACATTTAGCAATTGTGAAAGCTTCCCCTTCCCCTACCCCTACCCCTACCCCTACCCCTAAAACAAGAATATGCATAACATACTTTCTTGCACTTGTTAAGGTTGAATCTTGCAAGCCCATTTCAACAAAGGTCCAATTACATCAAACCATCTTCATGCTTATTGGACTAAGATTGAATTTTTTTATTTTATTTTTTTACAAAGTAGGAAGTCGCTACCAAGATGTTATGAGGTTTTTGGTTGCAAATTATAAGGCATAGGTAAGTGAAAGTTTGATTTTATGGTTAGATAATGAACTGTTGTTTGATTGTTTGGCCGATCCGAGAGTAGTCGAAAATTTGAGCTCATGAGATCTCTACACCGTTAGATCATCTCTCATGGGACTATCACCGAGTTATATTGGTCAATACAATAAAAATCCATTAGGTATTGCACAAATAGTTTAAATGCATTTAAAACCTAAAGTTGCTTGGACGGTGTGATTGTTTTGTGTTTTAGTTTAAATTTTTTTTTATGTGAAGTATAAAAAGTTATATAAATAATATCAAAATAATTAGTGTCTATAATATATTAATTTTTTTAGAAGATTTTTGAAAAAAAAAAACAAACCCGTGTTTGTTTCTAATTTTTAGGAATTTTTACCATTCAAGTCATTTTTCATAAAAATAATTAATTTGATTGATTTTTATTATTATTATTATTTTCAAACATATAAACCAAATCCAAACATTAACCAAGCACTCCTTATGGGTTTCGTTTATTTTTTCAACTTTTTTATTGTATAATTTTATAGTTTTCTTTCAAAAGTCGCATTCAATGTATATATATATATATATATATTTATGTAGAATACTAAATTTAACAATTATTTCAATTTAAAGATATCAAAATTTTGAAATACAAATCGGAATGAAAAGTAGTACTCCTTCTGTCCCATTGAAAGGTTAATAATTTTCATTTTCGTACGTCCCAAAACAAAACAAGGTTATCATTTCCTAATTTAGTAATTATAGTACCTACTTAACATAATGAATACCTTTTCAACTTACAATATATTACACAAATGTTATTACTTTATATTACACCATACTAATAGGGTATTTTTGTCCTTTTTTTACTACAATCTAATATAATGCTAATATTAAAAAATTTACGTACAAAAAGTAAACGTCACCCTTCCAACGAGACAGAGGAAGTATAATAATATTTTGAGGAATATATCAATTTATCTACTTATTAATATTGCTGTACTAATAATAATAAAGCACGTGATACTAATAAATGTTGGAATAAATATACGTGGTAACTATTTCATCAAAGACAATAATAATAATAATAACAATAATAATAAATGCCCCATTTATTTCAACGCTTCATGTTTACATCATCCAGTGAAATAGCTAATAATGAGGTTTAAAATAGCTACACTAGTTCAAAACGTTTTTATTTATTTATTTGTTAAACCATTTTTAAATATATCAAAATTTTAATTTAACAAAAATGATAAATTTTTAAAATACAGGGTATATTTCTTTTCATAGATTTTAAAATTTTTTATCTGAATTTAATATTAAAATAATGCATAATTGAATATTTTATGAAAGAAAGATCCATATTCCGAATAGTAAAAACGATTTCGCGACAAACGAAACAAAACTATATTTTCAAATTTAATTTTATTATTTTTACTATTAACTTTTTCTAAATATAAATATATACTCTATTTATTATTCAAATTTACACCTAAATATTTAAATATAGATTTTAATAAAAAATATATATATTGATAGTTAAAAATATAAAATACTATATTTTTTTACTAAAAAATTAAATAAAAACATTTTTATGATAATCTAAAAATAAAAAATAAATAAACATATTTTTTTAAAAAAATGGTAAATTAAATGCTAGTAAATAAAAACACGGAGTAAAATTTATTAGGACATGGCCACGTCTGATGACGTAATTAAGTAAGACGACGTCGTAGTAGTAGGTGGAAACGTCGTCGTAAGGAATGACCCTCTACCGTTCGTTATGTCCACGTGGCGTATCGGACATCTGTGTATCACCTAACACACGTGACCCCACGCGCCATCATCCTCTCTTCCTCACCAACCACACCACACAGCGGCAAATTCCCAATTCTACCCCCGAACAACCCTTAATTCCCATCAACTCCCTAGTCCCGCCTTCCGCCTTCCTTCAACAACCTCTCAGTCTCCGCCGTATATATATCGCAGAGCTGCTCCCCATTCATTTCCAGGTTCAACTCAGCAATAGTTTGAATTGAACCACTTTCAGAAATTGGATCGAAAATGGAGATTGAGACTAAGCCTGAGGAGATTGTGTTCAGATCAAAGTTGCCGGATATCTACATTCCCAAGCATCTCCCGCTGCATTCCTACTGTTTCGAGAATATTGCAAAGTTTAGCTCTAGGCCATGCTTGATTAATGGCGCTACCGATGAGGTGTATAGCTATGCTGAGGTTGAGCGAACTTCGAGGAAGGTCGGAGCTGGATTGAGCAAGCTCGGGATCAACCAGGGGGATACAATCATGATCCTCCTGCACAATTCTCCGGAATTTGTGTTCGCGTTCCTCGGCGCCTCGTACATCGGCGCACTTTCGACGATGGCGAATCCTTATTTTACACCGGCGGAAGTTATCAAGCAGGCGAAGGCGTCGAGCGCTAGATTGATCATCACGCAGGCGTGCTACGTTGAAAAAGTTAGGGATTACGCGTTCGAGGAAGGTGTTAAGGTCATGTGCATCGATTCTCCGACGCCGCCGGATTGCATCCATTTCTCCGAGCTGATTTCCGCCGACGAGGCTGATATTCCAGCGGTGAAAATCAATCCGGATGACGTTGTGGCGCTGCCGTACTCTTCCGGTACCACTGGACTCCCCAAAGGCGTGATGCTCACGCACAAGGGGCTTGTTACCAGCGTCGCGCAGCAAGTGGATGGAGAAAATCCGAATCTCTATATTCATAGCGAGGATGTGATGCTCTGCGTGTTGCCGTTATTTCACATTTACTCGCTCAATTCTGTTTTGCTCTGCGGATTGCGCGTCGGGGCTGCTATCCTAATCATGCAGAAATTCGATATCGTACCATTTCTGGAGCTGATACCAAAGTACAAAGTCTCGATTGGGCCTTTCGTGCCGCCGATAGTCCTCGCCATTGCCAAGAGTCCATTGGTGGATAAATACGACCTTTCCTCTGTTCGGACGGTGATGTCCGGGGCGGCGCCGCTGGGGAAGGAGCTGGAGGATGCTGTACGGATCAAGTTTCCTAATGCCAAACTTGGTCAGGTAAATTATTTATTCATTTCTTCACCCAATACTTTGAATTCAACTAGTAAACAATCAATTTTGTTCCTGTTTTGAGGTTAAAAAACACGAGCATGAATTACATAACTAGCGTGTCCTCTTCAGTAAATTCGATCTGCTTGGAAAGTTGTTAAGTATTTTATTTATAATATGAACCGTCAATTGGATATTGGTACGTCTCTTCAAGCAATGCACTTAGCCCTTTTATAGGATCGTCAATTATATGTTTCCTTGATCGTTCAAAATGATCAATCATGTGACGTTACTGTCGTCCTTTTTACTACAGTAGGTTAATATGGAGGAGGGTGATGATGTACTGTAGGTATAAATACTCTTTTCTGCAGGACCAAATAGAGAGATATAAGATAAGACCAAAATAGTCTGGTATGCTTTAACTAATTTCTGACTCCCCATCGAACAGGCTGGCCTGCATAATTATTACCTTTCCCCTTTCTTGTAGCAATAATTTAACAACAATATATTTTGCTTCATTGAAAATTTGGTGGTGAAATAATGAGTGTACTGCTATTGTGAAGGGGTATGGAATGACAGAGGCTGGACCAGTGCTAGCCATGTGCTTGGCGTTTGCCAAAGAACCATTCCAGATCAAATCAGGGGCCTGTGGAACAGTAGTCAGAAATGCTGAGATGAAAATTGTGGATACAGAAACTGGTGCTTCACTAGGACGGAATCAGCCTGGTGAAATCTGCATTCGGGGTGATCAGATCATGAAAGGTAATAAATCAGACCATATGTGACTTTTTTATTATTTTCTTGATAGAACGTGCAAGCCATCTTCAGGGTTAGGTAGTGATCCATAGCTATACAGAAATTAAAAAAAAATAAAACTAGAAATATAATTAGGCCCATCCTTGTGTTTTATCCATTGACTGCCTTATTTGTTACATCTTGTGGTAAATTGATTCTAGTTTGGGAAAAGGAAAGCAACTAAGTTTATGAAATATACTTTTTTTTTTCTTGTGTTGTTGTTCTGGTTCTTGAAAGTAAAAAGTGAATGAGAAGAAGCCATGTGGAGTTGGTGGACAGAGATGTTTGCCCACCTAATTGCCAGTCGTGCTAATACAATTTTAGAAGCATTGTTTTTTGCCTAAGTAGTTGAAAGTAGTGACGTTTTGGACAAAGTGCGATGGCTACACAACACGCACTTTTTTTTTTTGAATAGATTGACTAATTCAATGGTGGGCAACAAGTCAAATTTTATTTTTTAATAGAAAAATTTACTTTTACCAAAATACTAGTGAACAACGTGTGATATAATAATAAAAAATGAAATTTGTTCTACATCTTAATTTTAAAGCTTCTTACTACATGTTAGGCCTCCAATATCTAGACACTTATTTTGATCATGTCACAATATTAGAGTTATATGTTTCGAGTTTGAGTCTGAGAGTTAAAAAAATAATTAATAATGTATATTCCTAAAAATTTAAAATTTATTTTTTTAAATTTATAGATGATGCGACCATTCAGATCATCTAATACTACAATTTGGCAGGCTATTTGAATGATCAGGAATCTACAAAGAGGACAATCGACAAACAAGGGTGGCTACACACGGGCGACATAGGATTCATCGACGACGACGACGAGCTCTTCATCGTGGATCGCCTCAAGGAGATAATCAAGTACAAAGGCTTTCAAGTTGCTCCGGCCGAGATCGAAGCCATCCTCCTCAACCATCCATGTATCTCCGATGCAGCCGTTGTTCCGTAAGCAATCATAACCAATCGAATCGAATCGAATCCAATTCAATCCAAGCCGTCAATCTCATGATCCAACAAACTATGCAAATGCAGGATGATAGATGAGCAAGCCGGAGAAGTTCCGGTGGCCTTTGTAGTGAAATCCAATGGCTCAACCATCACTGAGGATGAGATCAAGCAGTTCGTCTCCAAACAGGTCTTCCCAATCCCACAATATTTACTATAAATCCGTTAAAAAATAATTTACTAATTAATTAAAATTTAATTATAATTATTTTTATGTAAATTTGAGAGCAGGTAATATTCTACAAGAGGATAAACCGTGTGTTCTTCATTGAAGCCATTCCCAAGTCTCCTTCAGGTAAAATATTGAGAAAAGATTTGAGAGCAAAATTAAATGGTGCTGGTGCTGGTGTTGGTGCTTCCAAAGTAAATTGACAAGTATTTTTACTATCCCTTTGTCTATGTCTATGTATTTGTTTATAATATTTATTGGAATCAAAAGACCAGTAAATTGGTTGTAACACAAAATATTATTACCATTTACCAATACACATGATGATGGATGGATATTACTGTTGTAATATGCATGTTATAATTATTTTAATACTTTGTTTGGGTTTAGCGCATAGAGATGATCTTACACTCAACAAATGGTATATTTATTATTAAGGTTAGCTATTTTATTAAAATGGACGTTGGAATTCGATTATATAAATTTAAACTTATTAGTAATATTTTTTAAAAAATATTTAAATTAATTTCTTTTCTTATAAATCTGGCCAGGCCAGACATAGTAGAATTTGTTCAGGCCCATGTTTTTTCAACTGTTTCTAGGAAAATCTTCTCAGTGTAATTTTCTTGCCAAAAGCCTTCTTTTGTGTGCTCGAATTTTCAAGCAATGTTTATTTTTGTCACCTATAGTAATTAATTGCAGCCTGTTTGAAAACATTTAATAGGAACTAAGCACACAGTGCATTTTTTAAAATATAGTCTAATTTATATAAAATAAATACTCTTATATGTCTGAAAAAATTATATCATTTTCTTTATAAGACAAAATTATGTCAATTTTTCTGTAAATTTACAAAAAATAAAAAAATGTAGCATAATTTACCATACTAGACCTAATATTCTGATACATAAACACTTAAATTTATAGGGATACATGTCATTAATTTACATACAAAATCAACCCACAATTATTATGTGTTAAATTAGGACAAATAAAATGAATTAGACATATCTTTTATATAGATGTAATAAGTGTCATTTTAGAATAAATTGAGAAGGCAATGATAATTAAATGTAAATTTATTGTAATGATAATTTTTATAACACATTTTCTTCCAAATTTCAACATTGTATAAATATAGTACAATACTTTATAGTTAACAAATAAAATAATACATAATATAATTTATAATGTTTAATTATCGGCTTATTCAATAATTTTAATTTATTTAATAGTCATTTTTAAAAAATTGATCGCTCAAACAATAAATTGAAGTGTTTGATATATGAGTTTCTTGAAAGAACTTATTGAACTATAAAAATTAATTTTTAAAAATTATCTTACCAAGGCAACATATTTGAAGTTAAAGGTTTGGTCCGATGCATGAGTGGGTGTGTGTGAGTAAAAAATTATATATATAATAAATAATTACATATAACGAACTTACTTATAATAATGATTTTAGAATTATATGAAAAAATCTTATAAAAAAATTATACTATTTATAAGATATTTTAGCCAAACAATACACCAATGCGAAATAAAATCATATTTTTTGGGATATCCTACCAAAAAAATTAATCTTGATATTATACTTCAATCATCTTTGTTTTTTTAATTTTACATAGACAATATTATTATCAAATTCATTTACCTATAAAAAAAAATCCATTATATCCTTTTATTAAATATAATACAATCAAAATATTTTTCTTTTTATAAAATATACTGTAATATCAAAATATTAATTAAAATAAAACACAAATTTTTAATTTAAAATCAAACAAACAAACCAGAGAATCACGCATAATTATCTCTTAAATAACAACCAATTAAATCTCTGATCGATCGACAGATCACCATCCATGGAATCTCATCCAAAGAACCCCTCCCAATCCCATCCCTCCGGCGAGCTTCTGCCACCGGAATCGGAAATTCCGGCCGGCGAGTCGTTGCCGTCAAATCCAATTGAATGCCGAATATGCTTCGAGGACATTGAAACCGGCCAAATCATCGCCGCCGGCGACTGCGGCCACACGTACTGCAGCCACTGCATTACAAAGCACGTCAACACGGCCGTGTTCTCGAAAAACGAGTGGGCCGACATCGACGGTGGTCTGGTGCTGATCTGTCCCCTCCGCCGCATTAATTGCAGCGGATTCCTCGACGTCGACGCGAGCCGCGGCCGGTTGCCGGAGATGCTGGTGGCGCGGTAGGAGGACGCCGCCTGCGTGATGATGGTGCAGCACCGGAGATGCTATTGTCCGTACAAAGATTGCTTGGGGTTGATCGAGAAGGAAAACGATGGCTGCGGCGACGACATGACGGAGACGGAGTGCCCCTATTGCCGGCGGCGCGTGTGCGTCCGGTGCAATTCCACGTGGCATTCGGGGATTGGGTGTGACAAGCTCCCTGACGAGAAGCTTCATCGACTGGCGAAGGGGATGCAGTGGAAGAGATGCCCCGACTATAAACTTTACGTCGACAGGACTAGCGGATGCAGCTTTATCCATTGCAGGTAACTAAATTTACTCTATTATTAACTTGGTAAATTCTGACAAATTAAATTTAATTATTATTTTCTATTCGGCATTTATTTATTTAGAATAAATATTATTATTTTTATTATATATATTTTTTTTACTCCTTCCGTCCCACATAATATATTCCTATTTTTTATTTTCGTAGATAAACTTGTTCTTTCTATTTTTGAAAATATAATTATGCATTTTAATCGCATTTTAAATTTTATTATTTTTTTAATTTTAATTAAATTATTTAGTTATCTTAATCATAATCTATAATTATTTTTACTTATACACTTTTTAATTACCTATTAATTATATTTTATCTAAATTCTCGTATCTACGGTAATAAACCCAAAATATGTGGGACAGAGGAAGTATTTTTTAAATTTTTAATTAAATTTTTAAATCTATTACCTATACCTTTTAATTTTATTATATTTTTAATAAAATATTTATTTTTAAATTTTAACTCTCTAATTTTACGAGAGAGTTTATATTTAATTAATAATAATATGAAATGATATTTTAAAATTACGTTTAATTTTTTTTGTTTTTACTCCTAAATTTATGCATATTCTAGTTAAAACATTTTATCAAATTATTCTACAACTTTCTTTTATCAAATTTTTTATAATATTTTACTTTATTTTTTATAGACTTCATTTTAACAGTATCATTATATAATATCACTATTTTCTAATTTACATCGTATTCTTGTAATTTAGAAATCGCCTCTCATTCGAAATTATACTTTCCTTCCACCTATAAATTTTTCATTTACCATTTTAGTATATTCAAATTATTATTATTTTATTTAAAGTAACTCTAAATTAAATATCAAAATATTTTTAAAAGTAAAATAGAACATTAAATGAAAAAAATTATTTGAGACTCAATTTTTTAGTTTGTCCATCAAGTTTCAACTTTCTATGTCTATTTAATTTCGCAGAATTGCATATAACCTCTAGTTTATTTGAAAAATCTACTTCATATTCTTTTGTAACTTAAAAACTGAAACCGTTACGTATTTTAAAAAAGTTGTTTCAAATCATCCTTAAAAATTGTTTAAAACTCTTTCTTTCTTTTCCTAAATATTGCAGAAATTCAGGATTTTGAGCAATCTCACACAATTAAACTTACCAAACCATAAATGAGTTATTTTACCATTTAAACTATTTGATAATGATTGAAGTATTAATTTTAATGGATAGATGTGGATCTTACTTCTGCTATGATTGTGGAAGAAAAATGTTAAACAGATGATAATTGTTCCTGTCTTAATTTGTTTAATCTTTTTCTTGCTATTTATGTCTATCGGCTTCTATATACAAAATGAAAAAGCGAATTAGTTTAAAATTATATTGGTTGCTTTATTTTGAAAAATAGATTTTTAATTCTGTGATTTAGATTATATTTTTAAACTTCATAGCTAAAGAAGAAGATTGATACTTGTTTAGTAATGCTCTCAATCATTATTTTTCGAGTACTCACTTAATAAACTTTTGACTGAATGTAATAGTTTTGTAGAGAAGATTGATTTTGTTACCATGATATGTTGAACTTACACAAATATTATTATCATTTATCAGTTCACACGATCAATGTTATTCGTTTAGGATTGAATGTAATAGTTTCTTAAAGAATGTTGATTTTGTTACCAGTACACACGATCAATGTTATTCATTTAGGTTATTAATAATATTATTATTTACCGGTACACGTGATCAATGTTATTCGTTTAGAGTATTCATAAACTTTTGACAAAGAAGATTGATTTTGTTACCATGATATATTGAATTTACACAAATATTATTACTATTTGAATCGTTTAGGGTATTTTACTTTGTAAGATGTATTATAATCTATAATATTTTACTAATAGATTTATAATTATTAGACTAATTAATATTGTGTGTATATACATATATGTTTATTAAATACTATTCTCTTCATCCCAAACAAGGTGCTACATTTAAGTTGGACACGGAATTTTAGGTGAGAAGTATTAAGTAGGATAATTGAGTAATTAGGTGATGTGATGAAAAGAGAAGTATATATTTTATTTTTTTTATTAGGGTGATGTGATGGGATAAAGTGTGGGGATATAAATTAAGTATAATTAATTATTTTTTAATTTAGAAATGTTGCAGGGTGTTTGGGACATACCAAAAAGGAAATGTTGCACGGTGTTTGAGACGGAGGGGGTATAAGATAATACTCACTTCGTCCCATAACTAAATAGTCATTTACTTTTTACACGTAGTTTTAGAAATATTAGTATTATATTTGGATATAGTAAGAATAAAATATAAATGACTAAAATAACCTTATTAGTATGTGTGATATAAAGGTAATGACATTTGTGTAATATATTGTAAGTTGTAAGGGTATTTATAATGTTAGGTAAATAGTACAGTTACAAAAAAAAAAAATGGATATTTTGTTATGAAACGGACTAAATTAGAAAAATAAATACTTTGTAACAGAGAGTATCAATTTTTAGTACAAATTATTGTAACAATGAAGATGCTTTGCAAATTTCTGGACCATGTAACTCGATTCTAGAATTCCAACATCCAATTTGTGATACGGGTATATTTCAAGTTAGAATGCATACATAAGATCAAATAATAATCCAAATAAATCAAATTTAAATAAATATATAAATAATAAATTGAATATCTAAGAATTTTTTGACAAACATGATTTGAATGGTATGAATTGTTTGTTTGTTATTAGTTTATATATATAATTTTAATTTATTTTAATATATAAAAATAATTGACCATGGAGTTCACATAAATTTCAAATATATATAGGATGGGATTTAAATTTGTATTTATTTAAATATATTTATGTTTATATTTATATGAAAGTTAGATCTTATCTATGAAATAACCCAATACATATGTTTTAATTTTATAATTATATATGCAGATATATTTGGTTATCTATAAAAATCAAAACAGAAAAATTACAAATATTGGATAGTAAAAATACATCAAATATTGTATGTTTTTCAACCTAAGTTTATTATTCTCAATTTTTTTTTCCTCGAAAACATCAAATCAAATAGTTATTTTTTATTTATTATATTATACTAAAATTTATTTTTACATTCAAAACATCACGTCAACACATATTTATATTGCATCAAATAACTATTTCAATTCAAAATTTTACTATTTAAAAAACCAAAATTTTAAGGTAAACAAACTAATAATTCAACACACCCAAATAAAAAAATACTTAAATATAATCACATCATAATCAAAACCAACCAAATCTAATTTAACATTAAGGTGTGTTTGTTTGAAAGATTTGGAGGAATTTACACTTTTCGGATTAATTTTTTTCCCTAAAAACATCAAATCAAATACTTATTTTTTATTATTTTATATTATATTAGAAATTAATTTTATATTCAAAATATCATATCAAATACTTATTTATACCATGGTACTATCACTATTTCAATTCAAATTTTTTATTATTTAAATCCTAATCCGAAACCCAAACTCCCAAACAAACACTCCCTAAATATCCAAAATATCTTATTGCATTGGATAAAAACTATCCCCTCCATAACCAAAACCTATAAAAATCTCTACAATTTCAATTTTCTGTTTCATTATATCATTCATTCATTCGTTTCCATCATCTTCCCCATTGATCATCCATGGAATTTACGCCGGCATGCCTGGAAATCGGAGAGTCGTCGTGCTCCCGAACCACATGCAATATCTGCTGCAGGGAGAGAAACTGCGACGAATTGGTCGCCGCCGCCGGCTGCGGCCTCAAGTTCTGCGGCCACAAGTTCTGCAGCCACTGTCTGACGTGGCACGTCGCCACAATCCTAAAATCTAAGAGAGACCCAACTGTATGGCTATACATCAACGACCAATTGAAGCTCAACTGTCCCGTCGACCGCTGCGACGGATTCATCGACGGCGGCGCGTGCTCCGGCGTCTTGCCGGAGAAGATGGTGGCGCAGTGGGAAGACGCCGCCTGCGTGACGAGGATCCCACTTTGGCGGAGATTTTACTGTCCATACAGCGACTGCGCGGCGCTGATCGAGAAGGATTGCGACGAGGGGGAAGTCGACGAGTGGGACATGACGACGGAGGCAGAGTGTCCGTACTGCCGCCGGAAGATGTGCGTTTGGTGCAATGTGCCGTGGCATTCGGGGGTCGGGTGCAGCGAGTTCATCGACAGTTTGGATGAGGATGAAGTCGAGCTTCGTCGGCTGGCCAAGGCGAAGAGGTGGCAGAGATGTCCCGATTGTAAGTTGTTCGTCGACCGGGCGGACGGGTGCGACCATATCCGTTGCAAGTAAGTTCTTTGTTCAACTTCTATCTATGGTTAGGATGCTGATTAGATGATCGATGATTGTGTGTAAATTTCTAGTATGTGTGTATATGAAGTATTTTATATGCATGATGTGTTCACGTAGAGAAAAACTAGTATACAATATATATATTTTTTTAATGATGTAGACCTAAAGTTGTTATTTTTGGAGTGTGCTTTAGATTATTTGAAAGCCGCCTCGTGGATTTGAAGTCATGACCTTGCGATTCTGAGTTAATTCCTACACCATCGAACTTTATGGGATGACTAATATACAATAATTTGAAAACATGTACTGTTTGTTTATATTTATAGAGTATGTTGCATGAATGAGCGTCGATCTAGTGTTTATTAAGTCAAATCAAACTTTCTGGGTATGTTGTATGAATGAGCGTCGATCTAGTGCTTATTAAGTCAAATCAAACTTTCTGGAATGACTAATATATAATAATTTGAAATCATATGTTGTTTATTTATATTTATAGAGTATGTTGTATGAATGAGTGTCGATACAGTACTTATTAAGTCAAATCAAACTTTACGGAATGATTTCGATCTAGTGCTTACGATGTAGTGCTTATTAAGTAAAATCAAATTTTACTGAATGACTAACATACATCGATTTAGTGCTTATTAAGTCAAATCAATGTATCTATATATATATAATAAAAGCAAACATATTTTTATATAGCAGCACGTATATGTACTTTTATTTTGATGACATATCGGAGGTTTAAATCCATGACTTCAAGGTCATAAGTCCACCTCTACACCACTAAATCATTTCTTAGCAGGCCAAATTAGCATACCCGGATGCATGAATATATCATGTGATAAATCTAATAATAGTATATATTAGATAGACTATTATCACGAGTTAATTCATATGTTCAAATTTGTATTGTACTAATATAAATTATAAATTATGTATTGTCTAATGTATCATGTAATGTCTATTATAATGCGATAGAATTAAAAAAAAATTAGCACAATATAATGTTAACTAATTATAGTAATTGTTGCCCTATCTATTATCTATCTATCTGATTATTGTCTTGTGTAATTTTCCATTGATTGATAATGATATATTTAAATCTTAATTAATATTGATAGGTGTGGATGCGATTTTTGCTATGAGTGTGGAGGAAAACTTTATTACCATACAAATCATATTTGCCGCAGTGTTCCTCGTATCATAAGTACGAGGGACAAACAGCAGAAGAAGAAGAAGACGGAGACGACAGCAGATTAAGATTAATGTTAATATTATGTGGTCTGTGTGAAGTAGTGGCATATATGAAAGTCTTCACTACTCCACTATTCCCACTGCTCTACTTCATTACTAATGTTAATGTGACATATGTGAAAGATCTTCACTGCTATCCTCACTCCTCCACTCTTCATGTTAATTATTTTTTTGATGGAATGAAGTAATTGACACATTGAATTATAGATTTTTTTGGTCCCCTAAACATCACTATATAAAAGTCTTCTACACTATCTAGAAAATATAGTGGAAATGCTCAGAAGAACCAATAAAGATTGCATTAAGTTTGACACCAATGGCAGGAGGTATATTTTTTGGATTCATTTTAGTTTTGATTCTTGAGTTTTATTTCGCATTGAATCGATTATTATGCTAAGAATTAAGGGATGTACTCGATTTTGTTTTGATTTTAAATTTTTATTGAAATAATTAAAATCAAACAAATTTTGTTATATATGATGTCCGCAAACAATTGATATACTTCTTTATTAATTAAATTTTTAGTTTTTTTATTTTATATATTATACTAAAAATAATTTTGCATTAAAAATATTACTTCAACAATTATTTATATTTTGTGGTACATTAGAGATTTGAAAATATGACCTCATGTGCCAAGCCCATCCCTACACCTATAACACCATCCATTAGGGAACATATATATCATGTCTTGATGTTAATAAAATGTCAAACACTCTTAGAAAGAAAATAAAATTTAATTTTATACTCAAAATACTATATCAATACATAATAAATAACTATTGTTTTTATTTTTTATTTTTTAATTCTATATATAAATATCATGCTAGTATTATAAAATGTAAATATTATTTTTTTATTGTAAAAAACTTAAAAAATTAATATAATCATATATATACTATCCAAAATTAATTGTATTCCTTTGTATACAATAAATAGTGATAATGGATGATCTGGTGGCTTGAGAAGTGAACTTGTGACCAGATGTCATAGGTTCAAACTTCGACGCCTCCAGATCCAAGTCACACTAGGCGAAGTTCATTGTTTAAAGTAAATTATGTAATATGTCTTAATATTTTTTATTATTTTTCGACCTGATATTTGTCATCAGGTCCCATAAATGAGAGATATTATTGACATGCAAGTTTATGAGATTATTATTTTATGATTGAACTTGAGTGCATACACTTACTTATGGTGAGGCTTGTTGAGCTCGGCTTGGTTCACTTATTATTATTATACATTGATGCCGGCTGAAGGATTGGAGTTTATTGTTCATTGTTCAAAGTAAATTGAATATATTTTAATTGAAATATTTTCTACAAATTTATACATATTTTTCATGCTTTTATTAATAAGGAACTATTTCATTGCAATTTGAATAATTCGTTTATAGTTATGCATGAGTTCTCGTTTAATGTTTTCTTTATAATGCAGTATACAATATCTACCTAAATAAATGAAAACAAAGTAAGCACACATGAATTTGTTTTGTTTTACTAAGTCCATTGACCGTTAGTTTTTCCTCTGTTGTGTAATTTTCTATGTTTTACGTCGGAAGTGTGATAAAAAGGTGGAGGCATTGATTTCTATAAATTGATCTATTTGTGTCATATTTTAAAATATGACAACAAACATTTTTTTCTTTAGTAACTATAGAGTAAAATTGAGATTTGGTGAGTTGTCGTGAAGATGATTTTACAATTTCGTCCGTGCAAAAATTGTAATAAATATTTTAGTAGATTATCTCTGTTGTGAGACCGAATAATGTTAAATTATCTTATTTGACTTTATGTCTCTTCCCTTCTGTGTATTCCCACTCAATAATCATATGTAATTTTCCTTTTTTCTTTTTAAATATTGATAGAAAGGGATGAGAACATTAAAGCATAATCATCATCTTGGATAATATTTATTTATATTTAGACACCAAAATATACATTCAAACTTGCATTTGTCCATAATAAGTTGTAGCATTCAATTTCTTATTTAAACACAAAAATAATGCCATTGTCCATGGATAATAGTGGACGACGAGGAAGGGACACGTGTCAAAATCACAATGAGTTGTTAGATGATCAAGAAAAGATCAGCCGTTGATATCACCTGTCGGTGTACTGACTTAGGAAAGAATACTCTCGTGGCGTAACTGCCAAAAGCCGCGCTTTAATTTGAAGCCAAGCAGATCAAAAACCCTTCCCCTCTCTCTCTCTCTTTCTCTCTCTCTCTCTCTACATATATATAACACAGTATAGTGTGTTCTTTAAGCTAATGTGTTTTTAGGGGTGGGCTGGCGATGGAGGGAGGTCTGTATATATATATATATATGTATACATACATACAGGTGAAGAGGAAGTGTGAGGGGAGAGGGAGAGAGAGAGAGAGTGGTGGCGCTGAGTAGGCTTGGCGGCGGACGGCGGCGGCGGAATGGTGGAGGAAAATGGTGTTCCCTGTACGACGGGCCTGGCTTGTTTCCTCAGCCCGTTTCAAAGCCCGCAGAATTGGTTTGTCTCTCTGTCACTCTTCTTTCTTGCTCTATAGAAACTTTTCTTTATGTGTATATAAAGATCGAATCTTTATCCGTCAGTTGGTTGAAATAGAAATACCATGATTATACAAGTATTCGAATTCATATTATGAACCTGAAATGAATGAAACAAACAAGAAATCACAAAAAATGAAATCACAATTTAGGCATCAATCAGGTGTTAAATTAAGATCCCCACCCCAATATCGATCCATCTTACTTACTTAATTGTGAGTATACATACATACATAAGTACATACATTACATAAATACAGAATCAACTGAACTGAACTGAACTACACATTATTCCTGCAAAAACCAAAAAAAAAAAAAATCCTCAGTGAGTGTAAATTACAGGACAAAGACCAAAAAAGAAGAAACATATCAGAAAGCTAAGGGGAAATAATGCTAATCATACAACAGGCGCAACGGCGAATGGTTGCCGATGGCAGGGTAGCCCCGATCGCAGATTCGACTCAAGATTTCCAGTTCTTGTCGAGTGGGTTGATCCAGCAAGATTGAATGAATTTAGTCGAGGCTACTTGACAAATCTGAGTTCCAAGATCCGGGCTATTCATGGAATGCCTGTGTGCATATTTTCTCCAGTAGCAATGGCCAGTTTGCTCCGAGTTTTTGTGGATTCAGTTCCATAGCCACTCTGAAGTCCTGAAAACTTATTGCACGTTGAGCTTTGAGTTCTTGCATCGGGTGTTGATAACCCGGTCTGACACCATTTATCGGTTTTGTGCAGTTATGGAGCTTGTTCTTCATCAGATTGTGTGATGATCTTGACCCAGAAAACTCAATGCATGACTTGATCAATCCTTTCATGTAAGAGTCTAAAGCAATGTTCAATATGTTGGCAGAATCCATCGACACTCCTTCAAGTCCGCGCGCTGCAGAAATCTGCTCCATCAATTCCTTTAGTGTTAGATTATCGAACAAAACATGATCATCGACTGTTCCTGTACATCTCCAGCTACTCGGTGGAGGCTTTGTTCTTTGCGGCCCCGGACAAAATTGAACCCCTAAGGGAGCTCGAAGATCGCTTCTAGTAGAAGCCTGGCCCTCCAGCAATCTCCCAATCATCGTCTCATTCCCATTCGCTGATCTCCCAACAAATGGATGCAAATCTCCATTCTCAATGCGACGATCAACTCCATTCGACAAACCTAAGGATCCATTCAGCCGGTAACCATCCAAAGGAGCATTGGCTGGGGGAGGGGATTCTGCTGTGCAGGCATTTCTGAGGATCGAACGAATGAGCTGATTGTGAAGAGGAAGATTGTCCCGGCCGATTATTCGAAGACAAAGCTTGTTGAACTCAACCTTGGTTAGTTTTAAACTGAGGAACTTAGTTAGACAATAGAAGTACTGCTTGGAACCCTCTGGGCCAAGTTTCTTAACCATCTGAGCTTTCAAGTCAGCAAGATTGATCCGTGAATGGTGATGGTGATGGTGATGTGGTGGTTGCATATTTCTGTGTCTTTCTCCTCTCTTTTCTCACACTAAAAATCCATGGAACAGAGAACACAGAGCTGCCAAAGTTATTGCAAGACCTAAATTGGGGTATTGCTTCTAAAATCCCCAAATCCCAATTTCCACCACGTGATTGTTCTAACAACAGACCTAACAGTATCGGAATCTAAGCCCATCCCCAAACCCTAATTTCACAAACTACAGTGATCACAGAGTCGAGTCGACACCCAGAGATCTCAGGCTGTCAATTCAACCAACACTCCCTCCAAAATACCTAAATTCATACCCAAATTGATAACTTAACAGCAACAAACTAAACTTCATAGAAATTAGATTAAACCACCCACAATTGCAATTCGTATCGTGAAATTCAGTAACTATACATTCGCCACTCTTCCAACAGAAGATTCGAGCATGAATTATAACCTTCAAGCTCGGAATTTCATGCTCGAATCCCGAAGTTGAAGGAAACGAATCAGCGGAAAGTAAGATTCGAACTCGAAGAAAAATCAATGGCTGACCTTATTGAATGAATGCGCTGACCTTATTGAAGCTCCCAGAATTCAGATTCAGGAGAACAATCTCAACTTTAATTCCTCTTTCTATCTTCGCGTCTTAACTGATACTCTCAAACTCATACATCTTCTCCCACCATTGCTCCTTAATCCTCCATAACTCTTCTTTGCATTCACTATTTTATTCTCTTAATCCCGTCTAAACGCAAAATCGAAGACTCCCTGGCACTTTCTCCTCTTCGTATCGTCCCTCCGCTCCGATCGCTCTCCGCTTCGATACTCCGTTTTCCTCTTCTGTACCTTTTTCGTTCTCGCGTTGATTAGAACGCTAATTTCATCTCCACGTACACCCGTTGATGCACAAGGTACTACACTATAAGTGTACATTGCATTGAAAATGTTGTACCTTGGCGTGGCATGAAGAAAAATACCGTGGAACTATCAATTTCTGGCTGTGGAATGTTTAAGTCTCCCACGCGCTACAAAAAAACCGTGAAGCTACGCGCTACCCTATTGGCTGATTAAAGGTGACGTGTTCGCATCATATTGTATCATCTCCTAATTGTTTATTAGACCAATTCTTTGTTTAATCATCAATTTAAATTTTCCAAAAAGTATTTCACTTCCATCCCGTAAATTTTTTCAATTTTGAGAGGGAAGACAATAATCTTCGTGAAGGGGGCAATTCTATTTTTCAGATACGCCCTAAAATTACATTTTATTTTTTTTCACAAAAAAAAAAATAGTGATCAAGATTACATTTTTCATCCAATATGGTATCCCCTTATCCAAATTGTTAAAAATATTCTAACCCTTTTCGTTGTTCATGCCAAAGAGCCCCAAAAGAGCAAAAAACAAGAATCTTGGAGACAACCCTTAAAAAGGTAAAAATCTATGACAATATGAGCTTCTCTCGAATTATTTGAATAATCAAGAATTACAGGAGGCTTGAAAACCGCATGCATGGGAATCAAACAAACAGAATGTAAAATAAATTCACCCCAAACTATAGACTACCAAATATATATTTTTGTGTCTGTCGAGATATAACTTTAGTGATCGAATAAATCTACAATGGCTTGAGGCCATGTTTGAGTGCAGCCTCCCAGACAACATCGATTTGGTCGACATCAATTGCCCCAACCTCATGGTGTGTCCATCCCTGAAGAAAATGGACGACTCCCCCGGCATGGCAAGCATGAACAACCCCTCTTCCCATAGTGTACTGTAACAAAAATCCACAACAAAAATTCACCGGGCGACGGCAACCATTAGTCTCCGATTGTGCGCGCACGCGCGTGTGTATATATCTATATGTATGTATGTATATGTATATATGTGAGTACCTCGCAAGATCCGAGGCCCTCAACGTCGCTCGGTAGTCTCATGGCGGCGAGGTTTCCATAAGTGCAGTCTCTTCGGAATGGAATGATGGGTGGGACAACAAACTGGTGGAAATGAGTCCCCGACGGAGCCCAGTACTGTTCTCGCGGCGTCGCCCACTTTCCAATGATCCATGTCTGCAGGGGAAGGCGAAGACCAGTTGTTATGACAGCAAGTGCGACTATATATATGGTGACGATGATATGGGTAGAAGATACCTTGCAACGCTGTGCGGATTGGTACTTTGTGACTCGGACTAAGTAGCTTTGGCAGTCGACCGGCGCCTCCTTTTGAATCTTGGCGAACCTCTCGGCCGAGAGCGTAAGCATCTGCAAAGGATGTTCACGCGATATATGTAAGAATTGGAGTGATTTTAGATAATCGTCTAATGGTGGCTTTCTTACATGTTTTCATCGGAAGAGTTAGGGTGCTAGTTGAAAATATGTGCTGACAATCGATACTTTTTGTTAATAAAGCTTATTTGCTAAAATTAATGATAGTATAAGTTGGCTACATATCCTGCACTGATCCGGCCAAGTCAGCATCGTGCTGATTTAATCGGATCAGCATATGTTTATATATAATACATATAGTATACGCTAATTCGGTCAAAACAGTATTGCTGACTTGATTGGATCAGCAGCTGATCCATACCCATATAATTTAGATTATTGTTAGTTTATTTGTTGCATTTGTATGCACATTGTCAGCACAGTGCTGCATTTATCTACTGTAGCTGATTTTTATACTTACCAAGACTTTGACTTTTTTTCGGGCGAGGTAAAGGGCGATGGCGCGACCGAGCTTGGAAGTAGCTCCGGTTAGGAAAACTTCATCGACATCTTGAGGGATCTCGTGGAGGATCACGGCTGCCGTCAAGGTGTTTCCGTGAACTACTCTCACTCTCAAGTCGGGATGCTTGTTCGTAAACAGGGTGCCGCCTCCGTTTAAGCCTTCATTCTAGCGAAACTTGTTGCTATCAATAGGGCAATGAAAGATTTTCGTACAAAGAGATGTAGGAAGAGTTTACAATCAAGAATCAACCTTGTTTAGAGCAGCAAGGCTGATGACCTTAACTCCGAGTTTGTCGGCAGTTAAGATTGCGTCCTCGATTAGCTTGTTTATTCCTTCCGTTGCGAATGGTAAGAAGTACTGAAACCCGTATCTCGGGACAACCCATGTCTGATGAAGCCGTCCGCGGAGATGGTAGAAGCTGAACAAGAACATCTTCGATTTCGCCCACATGACGAGCATGACTAAATACGTAAATGGCCACATAGGGAACAAGAATGGCTTTATCCCGAATGGGATTGAGTTAAACGACCTGAACACAAACGGCGAATGCATCGCGGACATTACATCCACGACGTGTGCAAGAAACACGAAATCCGGAACCCTGCTGGCTGCAACGCAATCAAACTACATAAGAACATTATTACAGCAACATACAATGTTGCAATAAAAGGGAAGAGCCTCACTTGTCCTCGAACTAATCTCTTTTTGTCGCTGCCAAGAATCGACATTCTCTGTATTCCATATCCGGTCGTAGAGGGGGAAGAAGAGACAGAAGTTCGTCGACATGTCTGAATGATGAAGGCTGTGGTATCTACACAATCAAGAACACCGCAAATCAATCGAACTTCTGATTCGAAATCTTTTAACTCAAGATACTAAAACAATCGGATTCGTTCTTACGTAGGTGTCCGAACAAACCATTTCAGGACAGGGAATCTTTCGAAGAGGCTTCCATCGAAAATCTCGACATTGGAATGGCCTAAACACTGAAGGAAATCGAAGACCAATGGATAAATGTACATCAAAGTTATCGAGCCATGTCCTAACCAGGCAACGCCGAGAGTCGGGATGGCCGTGACGATGCAGAGCAGGAGGTGTTCGAGAAGAGTGGCGTGTCCAGCTGCATTTCTTACAGTGAGCTTACAAAAAACAAAATTATATGCAAAAGCGGTAAGAATTCGATCGTTTACCTGTGAAGGGATGCAGAACTTTTGAGGTGTGATGGAGGGAATGGTAACGTTCGAACAAACGAGGGGAATGTAATAACCTGTGCATCCAATAAAACAGTGGCTCGGAGACGAGGGCGTGGAGGCCGATGCAGAAAAGAAAACCAGTCATGTCCCAAATGGGAAAATCAGATTCAGACAACGAGAGGGATTTATACGACCAAGTGAACGTTGCGATTAGGGCTTGGAGGATTAAGAAGTTGTCCCTGTTCAGACAAGAACATATGAACAGAACAGAAGAGAAATTAAAGGATTGTATAATTAACAAGTGTAAATTGATTTGAATTGAATCGAATTGTACCAATGCCACTCGGCGTCGATCTGAGTAAACTCGATGCCTCGTTGATCGATGCGACGGGGACGATGGAGGAAGAGCATGGCGGCGTAGGTGCTCCATAGCTGATAAAGCAAGCCTCTGCAACCAAACAGGATCAGAATATGAAGGCACCATGAATTGGTACTGCTTGCAAGCTCTCCACTTTTCATTGCATACGCCACTTTTGCAACTAATGGCCCGTACAGTACATACTGTAATTAATAAATGAAAACACACAGTAGAGTACAGTCAGATTCTTGGAATCGAAATTAATTAAGAACAAGGAGGTGAAAGAAAAGGGCTTGCCTTGAAGCTTGCTAAATCCTCCCATGGCCAAGAAACTAAAGGGGCTTTCTTCTTGCTGTAGAATTTCTGGTTCCCCATTTCGTGTGTGTTTTTGAAAAGCAGCAAAGTGATAGTATATATGGTGGTAATGGAATGGCAAAAAGGGTTGTAATATTAATATGTTATAGATGAAGAAACCCTTTTCTTGAATTATCACTTGGCACCCTTCTCAACAATGGAGGAGGACCATGATACATATATATATATATGTATGTATGTATGTATGTATGTATGTGGCAACAAAAGAAGACCTGACTTGCAGTGGGCCTTAAAAACTAGGAATTGACAATTACCAAACAGAGGGAATAAAATATCAGCTGGAAAATATAGAGGGCAGCTGAGGATTTATAGTGAGGGTTTGCAAGAATCAATGATTTATTTATATATATTGATTGTAGTATGAACAGGAACAGGCAGACAAAGAATGGGTTTGCTGCTGCTATCAGTATTGCAATTGGTAACAGTGAAATTAATGAAAAAGAGAACCCAAAAGGGATCGAATTTGGTGGTGGATTGCAGTTGGGAATTTGGATGGCTTTTTAGGTCCAGCAACAGGTTCTTGATTTCATTAATGGTGCTGTAATGACGACTTTAGCAGTAGCAGCAGCAGCAGTAGTATTAGCAGAAACCCCTGATGAATGACAGCCACACGATTCCGATCATCATCGCCGCCGTCGTCGTGATGACGAGGAAGAAGAAGATCATATACATGGTGTGGGTGGGGTTTGTTTGGGGGACCAAAGTTTATAATTTTTTTTTTTAAAAAAATAAATAAAATAAAATTGTACTGTAATTTGGTTTGGTGCTTAATTAGGTAATCTCTTAATTAATTTCTTTCTTTGTCATAAACACAACCCACTTGTCCGATAACTGAATCTATACCTAACACCCCCCGTAAACTTGGGCAATCTTTTTGACATGTTCAAATATTTTCTTAAAAAAATAAAATTTAATAAATTAAATTGGGGGATTTCTTTTTTTTTGAATTTCTGTTAGTCAGTATGTCTTTCGTCTTCGTCTTGTGTTGTGCTGTGTGCTTCATTCGTAATCGTGTACCATCATAAGACTGACTGGTTCTTGGGGAGTCCTGGAGCGAGGTCCCGGGCAGTTGGAGGAAGAGGAGACACTCATGCTGAAGTGGAAGTCCCGGGAGCATCACATCCTACTCAGCTAACCGTTTGCTTTCATCAACAGACACAGGTCTCTTCCTGTCTCCAAATTATAACGCTCTGTTTGTTTGGACTTTTTTTAATTATCAAATTAAATTCTTTTTTCATTAATAATAATAATAATAATGTGAAAATTGAAACTGGGGGTGGGGTGGGGTGGGGTGGGGGTGGGGGTGGGGTAAGGGTGAAGAAGTACAGAAAAGATCAGTCAAAAATTAAATGGTGGGCGGTTTCCTTGGCGTATTCGTATCTATTATTGATTTCAATTATATATATATATATAAAAAAAGGGTCTTTATATTGATACTGATATTTAATCAATAACCAACTTCATTTCAATTTAATTTATTTTATTTTTTTAAATATAGCAATGCAATTTGCAAGATTATGGCATTAATGCTGAAAAAGAAGCTGTCTCTTTGCCAACTAATTAAGAATATTTCATAAATAAATAAACAAATCAATAATAATAATAATGGGGAGTATGTTTGTTAATAAAATGTGCTTATTATCAATTAATTAATTAATTAATAATAATAAATAGACAGGGTAGGCCTCATAGTTACCTGCCCTATCCCATACCAATTACCATACCAGCTTAAAATTAAATGAAGAATCTCTTCATCCTTTTCTAAAAAGTCTATTGTTATTAATATTGATATTTAATACCTAACTAATAATTGTTTTAGGGGTTGCGGTGGGAGTATAGCAGGTCCGGCCCGACCCGACCCGACCCGGCCCAATTTATGCTTAGTTGGGCTGTAAAGGCAAGGAACCAATTATGGTGTATGTTGTGCATTATCAACCCACTAAACCTTAAAATCATTAGTCCAATTCATCACCTATATGTTATGCTGTCACATAAAAATACACATTTTCTTTCTCAAAAACAATATATTAAATACTTAATTTTTGTTATTTTTAAAATTTTAAAAACTTTAAAAAAAATATATACTTCCTTTCGTCCAAAATAAATTGTCAATGTTACCGTAGATACAAAAATTTAGATAAAATATAATTAGTAATTAATTAAAAGATATATTAGTAAAAAAAATTATTGCAAATAAAAATGATTATAAATTAAAATTGAAATATCTAAATAATTTAATTAAGATTTAAAAATTTATAAGTTATAAATTTTAAAATGTGATTAAAGTGTATAATTATATTTTATAAAATTGAAACAATTTATGTCAAATGGAGGGAGTATAATCTAAACGTTGTTGTGGGGCCCACCATTTTATAATACACTTACATTAACATTATAATACTTCCTCTGTTCCAGATGCCGTCGTCTCTGCTACACTGTAGACACGATATTTTAGGAGGGGTGTAATTAGTAGATAATTAAGAATGCATTAGTGAAAATAATTATCCTATAATATAAATAATTATAAATTAAGATTAAGATAACTAATTAGTTTAATTAGAATTAAAAATTTAGAATGAGATTAAAGTGTGTAATCATTTTCCAAAAAAGGAAAGTGACATGGTACGTGGGACGAACAAAAACGGCAATATAAACATGGTATCTGAGACGAAGTGGGTAGTATTATATAGCATATAATATACTAATAAATACTACATATAATATACTAAAATACTACATGTTACATTATTTTAAAGTACTGTATATTAATTATAAATTAATATTTTTTATTTTTTGTATTATGTGAAATTTTATTTTCCTATCAAAATGACATCTATATGGATTATATTTATATTAATAAATTTGTAAAACTTAATTTAATGTATTTTTCTACATAATACTCTCTCCCTCCATCACTGCCTTTTTGGTTAGTAACGTTGTATTTTAGGTATTCTAGATTATTAAGTTATTAATTATAATTTATAATATATTTTATTATTTTTATATAAATAGTGTTGAAGGTATTTTAAATATTTTTATCATTATATTTTAATAGAATATATAAAATATAAATATTATAATAAAATTTTTATATAATACAAAGAAATAAAAAATATATATATTTATTTATTCATAATTAATATAAAATTAATTTTATAAAAATTGAAAAGTTTTAAATATAAATAAAAATATTTGTTTATCCAAGAGAGGAGAGGTGAAAACAAATGAATTTTGAGTGAATCTTACACAATGTTAGAAATTTAATTAAATTAACTTATATTTATTAAGTATATTTAAAATAAATAAATTTATTAAAAATAAAAAATAATCATTTTTTATGAAAAAAAAAAAAAAAAAAATCATTTGCATTCGGACAAATGAAATATTATATTAATATTCTAATTCTACCTCATCAATCATATTATTTATTATATAATATTTCCTGTTAAGGTGGGCATCTAACCATTTCTCAAGAAAAATCACATGGGGCTACATGAAATATTATTATTCAAATGAGCAGATCTAATCGTGTATAATATTATTATTCGCAAACAACATGGTGAGCAGATCTAATCGTGTATAGGGTAGACTTGTAACGATGAGACGTGAGATATAAAATTTGGCTAATGTACCTTACGTTACTTACATGATTTGCAAACTATTACATTTGACTGCAAATTTATTTAATGTGTACCAAAAAAATAGCAACAGCAAATTAGTATATATATATATATATATATATATGGGGTAAACTGTTTTTAGTCCAGTAACTAGACCCCTTTATCTCATTTTAGTTCCGTAAGTGGAGTATGTCGCAAACTAGTTCCATAAATGAAAATTTTTCGTTGTTTTAGTCCTTCGGCGTCAGAGACGCCCGCGTGGCTCCCCAGATGTGACGTGTCCGCCAGGTCAGCGACACCTGGCGGACACGTGGATTTTTTTATTTTTTTTTCATTTTTTTAAAAACTTATTTTAAATTTATTTTTAATTTTATTTGTATTTTTTTATTTTTTTTATTTAGTCCAATTTTAAAAAAATAAAAAAAATAAAAAAAAAATAAAAATCCACATGTCTGCCAGGTGTCGTTGACCTGGCAATACAGGACACCTGGCGGACACGTCACCTCCGGCGAGCCACGCGGACATCTCTGGCGCCGGAGGACTAAAACAACGAAAATTTTCCACTTATGGGACTAATTTGCGATAGGCTCCAATTATGAACTAAAATGATAAGGGTCCAGTTAGGAACTAAAAAAAACAGTTTACCCGTGTATATATATATATATTACTGACATATCTGCTATTTAAATTTATACTCACTTTTTCTTTTCATTTTTTCAGTAAAAAAAATATATCATTTTTTTTTTTTTTGCTATAAATGAAAAAGTTTCTACTTCTATTAATTTTTAAAAAAAATCCGTACCCAATCAAATGTACATAATTTTATATAACGGAGTAAGTATTACTTAAAAAATGAAATGTGGGTGAGCTCTCTCTCTCTCTCTATATAACTCAAGAACAAAAAAATAATGTATTCTATGTCTCTCGTAAAGATGGCTTGGTGGTGTAGAAATTGAATTTATGACTGTGAAGCCGGTTCGTCAGGAGTTTATCTAATGCGCATTTTCGAGTAGTTGTTGCAAATTCCCACATCATTCAATAAAAAAAAAAAAGTGTATATATATATATATATCATTAAGAAGTTTTAAGAGTTGACTTATAGCAAAACTATGGTCAAAGGGATGAAGATCCAAGCGAAGGAGGAGGTGATGGTGAGGCCACCGGCGACGGGGTCGCCGCCCCGGGGGACAACCCTGTGGCTGTCGAATTTGGACATGATGTACCGCCTCGAGTCCTACGTCAACTGCACCTTCTTCTTTAGGTCCGACACCTTCTTTGTCTCGTCTCTACTCAAGGCCACTCTCAGCCGTGCCTTGGTTGAGTTCTACCCGTTGGCCGGGCGCCTTAAACGGGTTGACCATCAAAATGGGTTTGAGATCGAGTGCAATGGGGAAGGGGTGTTGTACATTGAGGCTACGGCCAATGGCGCATTGCTCGACTTGGGGGCCGACTTAGGCCCCCGCCCGGACCTCACTTTTGCACCCGTCGTGGATTATTCCAAAGGCGCTTCGGCACTCCCACTTTTCGTCGTGCAGGTATGTGCCTACGCGCGTTTAAGTTTAATCTTTTTTACTAATATCACCGTATCGGATTTGCTTTACATGTTTCCATCCAACACATTCTATCACTAACAAAAATTATAATGGTACCTTAGTTTTGTTCAACACTTACCATAAAAGGTAGCTAAAAGTATACCTTCATGTAAAAAGAATGAATTATTTTTGAGAAAATTGAAAAAAATATTTTCATGTATACTTCGTTATCACCTCTAGCTGGCAGAATATATTTTAGGTGTTTAAAAAAATTACTATTTATGTCATTTAGGCGTGATGTTCACACTCGCAGCCAAATAATATAATAGCAAATTTTGTAAATATGTAAGATATATTTTGTCAACGTGATAAATACAAGACAAAAGTGATAATAAAATAAATAAAAAAAATTAAAGCAAAATAGCTATTATGAAACATTGAGGCATATAACATTTTAAAAATTAGTTTACTCTTTCGAAAAACTAATTTATCAAATATTTAAATAATCTTTTTGACTTTCGATATTTTAAAAACTCTTCAAAACGTCATTTTATTGATGGAGTACTGCCATAGTTCAATGTGCCTCAAAATTTGAATAGTCTTGTAATAATGATCAGTATATAGAATTGATTAGAGTTACTAATCCTAACATTTAATCAATACGATGATCGAGATATATGTGACTAGGTAACCCGTTTCACATGCGGTGGAGTTTGTTTGGGTTTTGCCTTGAGCCATTACGTATGTGACGGATTTTCACTTCTGCAATTCCTCCGCACATGGGCCGACATAGCCCGCGGCGCCGGAATTACAGCGCCGCCGTTCCACGACAGGCAGGCTGTCTTGTCCGCCCGCCACCCCCCTCAGCCGGAGTTCGACCACATCGAATACCACCCCCCTCCAACATTAATCCATCCAATCACATCAACAACTAACAACAATACATCCTACAAAAAATTCAGGCTGACTCCCGATCAGGTGAAAGCACTCAAGGAGTCGTCATTATTGTCGTCGACAAATATTGGTAATTACACGACGTACGAGGTTCTCGCCGGCCACGTGTGGCGCTGCGTGTCGATGGCCCGCCGGCTGCCGAAGAATCAGCCGACGAAGCTTCACATGGCGGTCGACGGCCGGGAGAGGCTGCTCCCCCGACTGCCACGTGGCTACTTCGGGAATGTCGTATTTTCCGCCACTCCCATTGCCCTGGCGGGTGACCTGCAAGAGAATCCCGTCGGGTTTTCCGTCCTTAAAGTTCACGAAGCGCTTGTAAGAATGGACGACCGTTACTTGCGGTCGGCGATCGATTACCTGGAGGCGGTTCGGCAAGGCGGACCGGCCATCTCAAAATACCTGTTCGATTATCGTTCCCCAAATCTTGGGATAATCAGCTGGGCTAGGCTTCCGATGTACGAGGATTTTGGGTTGGGCAAGCCGGTCTACGCCGGCTGGGGAAGCATCCCGGCCGAAGGAATAAGTCACGTGCTACCCACGCACGATGGGACATTGTTGTATGCGATCGCCTTGCCCGAACAAGAGATGGCCATCTTCGAAAAACTTTTCTACGAATTATAGTCTAGACTGTTAGAAAATTCTTTCCAATAATGTTGTATTTTACTTTTCTTTCCTTTGAATCCGTCACCATTACTGTTTAAATAATTCTCAGTCATCATGGGTCTGTCATGTTTCTGGATTTAATTATGCAATTGGATTTTTCTTGGTTTTTACTTCAATCCCAACCTTAATTTACTTTCAAGAATGCCCATATGAGCATACTTTATTAATTTGCTCAGAATGGGATTATATTTCTCATAGTTTACCTGTATGTTGGTAACTTGATTATCATGTGGAAATAATGCAGTCACCATTTTGTTGATTTAAACAAGTCCATGATAAATGAGCTAGAAATGGCGAATTTTTTACTATGCATGCACTATTATCTTGACATGTGTAAACACCAAACGATATAGTTTCATATGTAGGAGTGACTGATATCGTGAATTCAAATCCTTTCAAGGGTGTGTTTGTTTGGGGGTTTGGATTTTGAGTTGGGATTTGAATAGTTGTATGATGTGATATAAATAGGGTCTGATGTGATGTTTTGAATGTAAAATTGATTTTTATTATAATATAAAAAATGAAAAATAGGTGTTTGATTTGATGTTTTTGGGGAAAAAAAATTGGATGAATAGTGGAAATCCACCAAAATCCTTCAAACAAACACAAGTGTCTAAATAATATTATTTATATATCTTGATACTGTAAATATATTTAGTTAATAAAAAATTCAGCTAGAGAAAATTTTAGTTTTTGAATATTTGTGGGTTTCAATTCAAATATCAAACACTTGTATATTTGTATGTATTGGAATAGTGCCCAGCCCTACGTCTAACCATTTCTTCAGAATAAACAAACGCCAAATATATATACATATATTTATATATCTTGATATCTTTCAAGATGGCATCTAACAATTTCTTCAGAAAAAAAAAAAAAAAAAAAAAAAAAAAAACATAAGGCTGCATGAACTATTATTATTATTCAAGAACCACATGGGTGAGCTGTCTCTATCTCCCAAGATTTCTTATATATATTATTAAGAAGTTTTAAGAGTTGACATACAACAAAATTAGCTATGGTTGAGGGTATGAAGATCGAGGTGAAGGTGAAGGAGGAGGTGATGGTGAGGCCCGCGGCGGCGAAGACGGGATCGATGCCCCGGGGGACAACCCTGTGGCTGTCGAATTTGGACACGGTGTTCCCCCTCAAGTCGTACGTCGACTGCACCTTCTTCTTTAGGTCCATCCCCTTCTTTAACTCGTCGATACTCAAGGCCACTCTAGGCCGCGCCTTGGCTGAGTACTACCCGTTGGCCGGGCGCCTTAAGTGGGATGAGCAACGACGTCGGCTAGAGGTCGAGTGCAATGGGGAGGGGGTGTTGTTCATTGAGGCTACGGCCAATGGCGCATTGCTTGACTTGGGGGCCAACCTAGGCCCCCGCCCGGACCTCACTTTTGTACCCGTCATCGACTTCTCCAAAGAAACTTCGGCCCTCCCACTTTTCATGGTGCAGGTATGTGTGTATGGCTGTCTGAGTTTAATCTATATATGGCTATCTGAGTTTAATCTATATATATATAACGTTGCTATGTTACAGGGCGATCTGAGTAAATTTCAGAACGAACTTAATAATAAAATAAATAATGGTACTTGTTTGATATTTTTTTTTTATTTAAAATATTATATTAAATAAGTATGAGTTGTATAAAGCATTTATAAATCACACCAAATATGTCTTTATTCAATTTTGTGTTATTTCTAAAACCGTTAGATCATGTGCTGATTCGATCAAGTTAGCATAGTATTTATTTGACCGGATCAGCTTATTCTATAGACGTGATCAAAATATATTTATATATATTCCAATCTATGTTATGTTATAAGATAGTATATGTTTAATTATAATATTAGATATGATGTATCATGGCATATGCTGATCCGATCAAATCAGTATTATGATAACTTACCGGATCAGCAGCTGATTCCAGCCCTTCTAAAACACATTATATTTTGAAAACAACCTCGACTAGGTGACTCGTTTCACATGCGGTGGAATTTGCTTCGCCTTCGCCATCGACCATCACCTATGTGACGGATTCTCAGCTGTCCAATTCCTCCGCACATGGGCCGACATAGTAGGCTGCGCCGGCATTACATTGCCGCCATTCCACGACAGGCAGGCTGTCTTGTCCGCGCGCCACCCACCTCAGCTGGAGTTCGACCACATCGAATACCAACCCTCTCCAACATTAATCGATCCAATTACATCAACAACTAATAGTACATCGTACAAAAGATTCAGGCTGACTCCCGATCAGGTGAAAGCACTCAAGGCCCAATGCAAGATCAGTAGTACTAACCAAGTCTCCAACGATCCGTACACCACGTACGAGGTTATCACCGGCCACGCGTGGCGCTGCGTGTCGATGGCCCGCCGGCTGCCCAAGAATCAGCCGACGAAGCTTCACATGGCGGTCGACGGCAGGGAGAGGCTGCTCCCCCGACTGCCACCCGGATACTTCGGGAATGTCGTGTTTCGCGCCACTCCCATTGCCCTGGCGGGTGACCTGCAAGAGAATCCCGTCGGGTTTTCCGTCCTTAAAGTTCACGAAGCGCTTGTAAGAATGGACGACCGTTACATGCGGTCGGCAATCGATTACCTGGAGATTCACCAAGGGCCCTTGCCGGAAAGCCTGGCCGACTATCGGTCCCCAAATCTTGGGATTATCAGCTGGGCTAGGCTTCCGTTGTACGATGATATTAAAGTGTTGGGAAAACCGATCTATGCCGGGCCAGGATCGATCCCTGGCGAAGGGAGAAGTCAGGTGCTGCCGGCGCATGACGGGAGCTTGTTGTATGCGATCTCCCTTCCGGAACAAGAGATGGCCATCTTCGAAAAGCTTTTCTACGACATTTAGACAACATGGTATGGTGTTGTGTTGTGTTGTTAGGACGGACCCAACTCAACTCAATGCTAGCTAGTATGATTAATGATATTATCTGTTTTTGTTTTGGATCCAGTCTAGTTTGCAATCCAACACTAATTAACACATCTTCGAAAAGGTTTGTGGAAAGTTTGTTTACATGTATTCCAAAGTTTTGCATAAACACATTAAGGGTGTTTTAATTTTGAATTTGGATTTTAAATAGTATGGTTTTGAATTTAAGTAATTATTTGATGTGATATAAATAAATCTTTATGTAACGGAATGCAAAATTACTTTTTATATATTAAAAAATTAACTTTAAAATTTAATCAATACGATACTTGTAACAATTAGAGTTGACAAAAATATGTATAGCCCGAAAATTTGGTCCCAACCCCGCACGAAAATCGTGCTTGGGCCTCCAAAAATAGACTCTATATTTTTCGGGCTATGCCCAAACCTGTGAAGATCATGCCGTGCGGCCCAAGTTATTAAAATTAAAATTTAATATATTAATGCATATATGTTAACTAATGAAGTAGTAACAAAAATTAAGACATAGCTTGATGATAAAACCTTTAAATTGTTCATATTAATGAAAAATAATTTTATTTGATACAAAGAATACAAATGTTCTACTTAACCTCTAGTGAGACGGAACCACATAAGAGTTGTCAAAACAAAAAATAGTATATTGCAAAAAAATGATGTTTATGTGTGCTGCTACTCCCCTATCTTAGAAATTATCAATTTTGTAACGAAGTTTTTTCGTTCTTAAATTCACTTTTTTCGTTACTAATGATATTAGAGACGGAATTAGAGATAGAATGACATTAGCTACGTGAACTTTAGGAGCGGAATTCTGTTACAAATATACTATTTTTTTTTATAGTGTAATTATTTGATGGAAGGTAGGAATATTTTCTTTAACACGTTATGTTCCAACTAAGAGAAGAAATAAGGAAAACCGTGAAGCACTTTGGAGACAAAAGTAATTGATCCAATCACAAAATGATATTATTAGAGGTTCTATCATCAATCATGTAACATTTCGATAACATAATTTAAGAATTTTTTTAAAAAAATAAAATAAAATTAGGTAGCATTATAGAATTTTTATAAATCTTTTGGAGTACTTGCAAGTTATTCAAGTTATAAAAGAAAACTGACCGGTATGTTCTAGTCGTACTATCTACATTCAATAGAACAATGTTAAATCTCATATTCACAACAAAGATGTTGCTTTCAAGTTAACAGCAAGCAACCATAAGTTTGATATATGTTTAATTTTTAACATCTGAAATCTCTCGATCTCAATGTGAATGATTTGAGCTATTTTCAAGACATATAAAGCATTCATAGAGAGAAAGGGTATTATACAGTAAATTAGTTGGTTAGAGTTGTACAATTGTCATTTGATAGATCTCCCGAGATATTGAATAATGTGTTCCTCAGCCTACAAAGTTGTTTGATTGATATTATGAAAGTTAGAAGGCACAACAATTATAAGATTCTACGCATGAACAAAAATAGACTTATTCGACGTCTTGAGCTACCTAGAAGTCATACCAACATTAATTGAGGAATGCATGGACTATGTGAAAGAATTAGAAAACTAGGATTGTTAGGTTGTTGTTGAACCTCACACATGAAGTTTTTTTTTTTTTTTTTTTTTTTTTTTTTTTTTTTTTTATGTTCTATGAAAAATTTTAATGCTAATGAAGTATATATTAAACCTGCTTCTTTTTTAACACTGTACCCTGTAGACTCATATTAGAATTATTGATTTTTTTGATGTAAATGAGGCATATATTGAAACTTTCTATTTTTGTAATGCAAAACAAAAATATACATTTTATATTTTGTATAATCTTTACTTATTTGGGATCATGTTTTCTGTATTGAAATTTGATTTGTTAGTATCAAAACAAATCTGCAAATGATAAAGAAATATATAGATATATCATTATTGAAGTAAAAATGTCCACTTTTAAAAAGTGTATAATAAATGTTAAAAGCTTTTACATGTTCAAAGATGATAGTAGTCCATTTACAATGTATCTGTCGTTTCTTAGTTATTTTCCTATATCATTATTTAAAAATAAATGTCAGAAGATTTCTTTGACAGATTGAGTGCAAGATAAATATTAATAAACAATTTATAAATTAATATCACCAATTGCATCCAGTAAGAAGATACAATAATGGTGTGTTTGTTTGGGGGATTTTGTGGGATTTCTACTATTCCCACAAAATTTTCCCTTCAAAAATATCAAATCAAACATTTATTTTTCATTTTTTATATTATACTAAAAATCAATTTTACATTCAAAACATTACATCAATTCTTATTATATTACATCATACAACTATTCAAATTCAAAATTTTTACTATTCAAATCCCAACCCAAAATCCAAACCCTCGAACAAACACACCCTAAATTTATTTATTAAAAATTAAAAGCTTGCATAGTCGTCAATGAGTATAATAATAGGAATACCTTCAAAAGAAATTTGTGAAGAAGAAATCTGAATAACAATGGCGATATTATATGATGGTGATGATGGGTGACGTGTGCGGGGGTTGGATATGGTAGGTGGGTAATGAATTGTTAGTATGTAATAATTATGTATTTTGTTGTAAAGTTAATTAATTTAAATATATGCAAAGTTTGAGTGATAATTTTTGTTAATTTTTATTTTTATGGAAAATAGTAATATAATTGGATGGATAATCAATGAATAAAAGTAGGCCTAATTGAATAGAGCAAAGGAAGTATAAAAAATAAAACATATGAATCTAATTTGATGTTTTTATATAATAATAATAATAATAATAATAATAATAAATTAATGAGTAATAAAAGTTTTGGAAAAAACTTTAATCAAACACAACCTAAAAATCAATATAAAAATACAATATAAGAAAAGCAAGTTGAAAGTCCACAACTTCAAGATAGACTCATGGCTTTTGAAATTTTTAAAAGTTTACAAAATAATAATAAAATGGTTGGATTAGTTGCTGAATTAATGAATTCAGCTGTGCTGAATTTCATTATCATTGATTAATTAGATTAATTATTTAATTAAAATAATTAAATTTAAATTAAAGGTGGAGATTTATTTCAGTTTGTGCTGAATTTTATACTACATCAGCACTCGATTCCAATGCAATAATAAATACTTCCTCCGGCCACAAAAAAAGTATACAATTTCTTTTGTCGCGGTGTTTAAGAAATAATAGTATTTTAATTATAGTGGGTAGTTAAAAGTAGTGTAACGACATTTTTACCCTTGCTTTTTGGTGTAAAAGTAATGATGTGATGTAAAGTAGGGGTATTTGTGGAAAAAAATAAAATATTTAATGAAATGTTTACTTTGTAATTGGACGTCCAAAATAGAAACATGTATACTTTTTAGCTGAACGGAGGGGGAGGGAGTATTATATTTTAAAAAATATATATTATGTTTCCAAAATGTTACTATAAATAAATTTTAAGTGTACATGAGTATGAGTGGTTGGTGGTTTTGGATCATCATCACAGAGGATATCATTAGATTTTCTAGGTTCACCCGCAATAAAATAGCAATATATAATATATATAGTAATGACCACGTGAATTAGGTTCTCAATTGTATAGTGTGTGTGTGTGTGAATGCCTTGAAAAATAGTCATTCATATAATAATATACTCATTGGTCCCATAATCACATCATTTTTAATTTAAGTTGTCAAGTAACAAATGATACATTTTTATTATAATACTTCCTCTGTCCCAATAATCTTGTTGTGTTTGACACGAGATTTAAAAAATATTAATATTATATTATATTGATAAAGAATAAAATAAATAATTTCTTTGTCCTTGTGGATATATGAACGTAAAAAATAGTAGAAATTTTGTAATAATAATAAAAAAAAATAGAGATAGTTTGATGGTGATATTTTATTCATGAAAATGATATTATTATTTTAAAACGGACAAAATTGTATTAGGAGTGGGGAAGTAAAATTTATTAATTTAAAATATAAGTAACAAATATTAATTAATTTTATAATATAATATAACATTATACAAGGCACACTTAAAACTTATTAAATAACTCCCCCCTTAAGGAGTACTTTTTAATCTCCCCCCTTAAATAACTCATATATTGTGATTGAGAAATCTCAAGAGTATAGCGAATAAAACTATGGCTGATGGGGGGGGGGATCAAAATCCAGGTGAAGGAAGAGGTGATGGTGAGGCCACCGACGGCGACGGGCTCGGGAGGTACAACCCTGTGGCTATCAAATCTGGACACGTTGTTCCCCGTGAAGTTGTACGTCGATTGCACCTTTTTCTACAGCCCCAACACCTTCAACCACTCGTCTGATCTACTCAAGGCCACTCTCGCCCACGCCTTGGCTGAGTTCTACCCATTGGCGGGGCGCCTTAAATTGGATCATGAGCTTTCAGGTCGGATAGAGATCGAGTGCAATGGGGAGGGGGCGTTGTTCATTGAGGCTACGGCCAATGGCCCATTGATTGATTTGGGGGCCGACCTAGGCCCCCGCCCGGACCTCACTTTTGCACCCGTCGTCGACTATTCCAAAGAAACTTTGGTGCTCCCCGTTTTCATGGTACAGGTATGTATATGTGTGCATTTTTTTTTTTTTTTTACTGATACGAGAGTATTCAAGGTCGGTCATGAGTCTACTTCTGCACCATCAAGCTATTTCATAATACTTTACATAAACCAAATAAATTATATATATATATATAAATTATATGTAATTTTAATATATAACGAGTCATCAATTTGTATTGAGTCCTGGGTGAGCGTTCCGATTCCGAGGGACAGCCACGACCGTATGGGGTTTGCTTAATTTACATGAATCCTCAAACACATCCTTTTTGGTTAAAAAAAAATAATGCTAGCTTTTTGCTCAATACTAAAGGTCAGTTTCTCCAGCCCAGTTTTGAACTAAAGATCGAAAAATAAGAGTAAATCTGATTGAAGCGAATGAAATATTTTATTTAATAAAATAATTATGCAAAATATAATTCAAAAATAAATACATATTAATATGTTGATTGGATTTTTATTTCTAAAGCTCAATAAATGACCTATTTCATACAATAAGATGGGATATATGACTAGGTGACTCGTTTCACATGCGGTGGAGTTTGCTTGGGAACCACTATGAACCATCACCTATGTGACGGATTTTCAGCCATACAATTCCTCGATGCATGGTCCAATATAGCCTGCGGCGCCGACATTACAGTGCCGCCGTTCCACGACAGGCGGGCTGTCTTGTCGGCCCGCAGCCCGCCCCAGCCGGAGTTCGACCACGTCGAGTACCAACCCCCTCCAACATTAATGAACACCCCTCAGCACCACAACAACAACATCGATCCATCATCGAAAACTATATCGCACAAAATATTCAGGCTGACTCCCAATCAGGTTAAAGCACTCAAGGCCCGATGCAAGTCATCGTCCTCGTCGAATATTAATTACACCTCGTACGAGGTTCTCGCCGGCCATGCGTGGCGCTGCGTGTCAATGGCCCGCCGGCTGCCCAAGAATCAGCCGACGAAGCTTCACATGGCGGTCAACGGTCGGGAGAGGCTCCTCCCCCGACTGCCACGTGGCTACTTCGGGAATGTCGTGTTCCACGCCACTCCGGTTGCCCTGGCCGGAAACCTGCAAGAGAATCCTGTCGAATTTTCTGTCCGTAAAGTTCACGAAGCGCTTGTAAGAATGGACGACCGTTACATGCGGTCGGCAATCGATTACCTGGAGGTTCAGCGACAGAAAGGAGGCATGTTGGAAAGCGTGTTCAATTTCGAATCCCCAAACCTTGCGGTAATAAGGTGGGCTAGGCACGACGATTTTGGGGGGTTTGGGAAACCGGTGTACGGCGGGATGGGAAGGATCCCCGGCGAGGGAATGAGTGCGGTGCTGCCGAGGATGGAGGATGGGAGCTTGTCGTATGTAATCTACCTGCCAGAGAAAGACATGGCCATCTTCGAAAAGCTTTTCTACGACAATATTTAATTAGATCGATTGGACAACATGGATGGGTACGAGGTTCTGTTTATTTTTAAGTCGTCTGCCTATGATAAATTTGCGTGTTTATCGCTTTTATGATCAATGTTACGTTAAAAATATTTCAATTCAAATTTTAGTCTTTTTTTTTTTTTTTTTTTTTTGTATAGCGTGAAAATCTGGTGTTGTTATTCTTATGGTGCGTCTGGAGTAAAGCAGGCGTTATGGTTTGAACTCATTACTTATTCTTATAGTCACGAGTTCATCTCCACGCCAACATGTCATTCCTTACGGAACTAAACCTGAATTGATGTAATGCTTGAAGATTTTTCATTTTTAACAATTTGGCGTTATTATTGAAGATTTGGAGGAAATTGTTGAGAATGTTGGTTATTTCGACGTATAATCCAATTCATTTCTCGATAAATATAATAAGTTTGCTTGCTTACTCCTTAACCCAATCCACCGAAGTCATCCCAAAACCCTCTAGTACAAACCAAAACTCTTCACCCAAGGCCAAACCTTTAAACACATGAGTGATTTAGTTAGGTGTAACCTTATGTTGTGTTGTTTGGGGTAAAATAGGGATATGGGGTTTTGGTGTGAGTGAGTTAGTTTCATAGAGAAGATTCTGACCGATATACAGTGGGGGCGGAGAGACGACAAGGAGATTGAAATTCCAGCGAGTGCTTTTGGGATATTTGGGCTCTAGGTGGATATTTGCAAATATGCAAGTATTTGATATCCGAATCAAACTGAACTGAACAAATATTCGAAATCACGAATCGTATTCGAAGCAAAAATTTCGGTTAACCGAATTTTCGATTAACTCTAAACCCTAAACCGAATTTTAGGTTAACCGAAAATATTTGCAAATAATTTGAACCGAACCGAAATAAAATATAGATACTGCAAAATAATTAAAATTCTAACTAAATAAAAATATTTTCAAATATTCAAACCGAAACTGAATATAATTATTAATATAAATTTAAAATATAATAATATAAATATATTCAGTTCAGTTAAGCGAATTAAAAATATATATATATAAAAAATTGAAACCGAATCGAACCGAATAAATATCAAATATACAGTATTTGTATTCGAACCGAATTTGTTCAGTTACTTTAAAATTCAATTTGATTCAACTGTTCGATTCTATTCTTTTTTGCCCAACCCTACCGGCCTCTGCACTGTACTAAGAATCAAGTAGATTCTACCCTACAAATTTGTATAGTGACATGTAGAGAGAAGAAATAAAGAGGAAGAAACATTCATTCTGCAATGTATTATTACTACTGAAAAATCTTCAACTTATGGACTACACATGTACGTTATTTATATACATACCAAAATCTTTATTTGAATCTAAAAAGCCAAGTTCGAAAAATTTCGAGCCGTGCTTAGCCCAGCACGAGTATAAACAGAGCCATGCTTGGCCCAACTTGATTTTTAAATTAAATATAATTTTAGAAAATATTTTTATAAAGATATTGACAAATAAATTTACAATTAAAATAAAGGTGGACTAATAAAGGTGTAGTCCAATAGTTTAGTCTGTGTAGTGTAGGTATGACTTCATTTTTACACTTAATATAAAAAAAAATGTTTGAAAAGAAAATAATGGGCCAAACGGGTCGGTTCGGCTTCGGCACATTTGAAATCGGACTATACTTGGGTTTGGCTTTTCAGGTCCGGATTAAAATTGGGTCATGTCTATCTGGCCCAAAATATTATTGGGTCGGGTCTGGCTGGGCCGATTTACGACCAGTGATTAAGTATTTCCCTTTAGTGAAAATTGAGAAGGACCACTATCAAAATGTATGTACACTTACCTTGAGTTCCATGTAATAACCAGCAGTGTGATTAGAAATGTATTTAGACTAAGGGTGTGGTTGTTTGGTGGTTTGGATTTTGAGTTGGGATTTGAACAGTAAGAATTTTGAATTTGAATAGTTGTTGATGTGATATAAATAGGTATTGATGTGATGTTTTGAATATATAATTAATTTTTAGTATAATATAAAAAATAAAAAATAGGTGTTTGATTTGATATTTTTTAGGGAAAAAATTGAATAAATAGTGGAAAAAAAATCCAATCCCTCGAACAAACACACCCTAAACCGACTTCTTGACATCCTTTCGCATAAGGTGTTTTTTGGGGTTTTACGGTAGATTAAAAGATATATTCCATCCCTTTTATCTGTCACGTTCACATATTGTTTTTGTTCGTTTTATATTTTATGTTATTTTTTTTTCGAAAAATAATTACACATATGAATCTCATTTTAAATTTTTTTAATTTAATTTTTTTATTTTAATTAATTAGTTAGTTATCTTAATTTTAATTTTTAATTATTTATATTATAAAAAATTATTTTTACTAATATATTTTTAATTATCTATTAATTATATTTATCATAAATTCACGTGTGCAGTAGTTTTTTATATTTTTGTTTTTACCTTTTGTATAAAAATAAATGTACGTATAATTAGTAGTTTTGTAATTTAAATTTAAAATATTATAATAATAGGATATGATTAATTTTTTTAAATAAAAAATAAATATTTTAACGTGAGACTAATAAAAATAATAAAAAAATATTTATATTGAAATAAAAAAAAAATAATTATACTTAAAAAAGATAAAATTGATGAACTTGATGTAATACAAGTTTGAAAGTGGAGACATAATTCTATAAATAATTAAGGACAAAGGTGCATTTATTAGTCGAAATGAAACACAATTAAACAAGACACGATTTGATTATTTGATTTTATTCATTTTATTTTTCCGATCACCGTGACAGAATCATTAGACAGCCGCCGGAATAAATTACGTCTGAACCTCCTCTCCACTACACGACAAACTCCATCATTATCCACATCCACGTGTCACCATCTTCCAATCGCCACCGTTGCCTGCTGGAAGAACCTTCAAGAAAAAAAGAAGCATATACAGTAGTATATATTTATATATTTATCCACTGCATAAATAAATATATAAATAATCCTTTATTCTCAAGAAAGTACTCCCTCCATATACAGGCATACGAAAATCTATAAATTAAGTCCACGGCCGCTGGCGCAAGGTTGGATTTGTAATAATGAGATCATGAGTTCAAATTCCTGATATCTTAAGTTATTTGTCATACATAATTTATCTAATTTAATTTTTTTAGCGGACAAATTTGAATATTTGTTGATTTTTTTTATTATAATTTTATACAGAATAACTAACAAAATGTAAAATAAACTCATGACCGTAAACTTATATATTATCTTTAATTATAAATATATTGAACGTTCATATATTATATTATTTATATTTTTGTTAACATAAAATGAACTATATATATGATAGCTTTTTAAAAAAAAAAAAAAAAACAGCTAATTTATACTTATATTTAATTTGTTTATATTTTTTATTTTTCTCTTATTCCACCTAATTTAAATTTTTTTAAAAAATAATTACATATGCATTTTAAATTCTATTTTTATATATTTTTATTTAAATTAAATTAATTAATTATTATAATTTTAATTTATAATTATTTATATTATATAATAATTATTTTTATTAAAATTTATAAATTATTTACCATTTATATTCTTATTTAAATTTTTGTATTTATAAAAAATTGAATAATTAAAAAAAAGTATAAAAATAGTATTTTCTCTATATTTTTTTTTATTTTCGTTTATTTATATTTTAAAATTTATAATTTATATTTTTTTATTTTTATTAAACTATTTAGTGAATATTTTATTTAAAAAAAATTATTACAGCAATACACGTAAATCTAGTAATTAATGTTTTTACTTTAATTAGTTTTCTTTTTTAATTAGGAATATTTAAATAATAGCCACCGGAATGGATCGTCCAATAATGGAAAGAGGCGGTGCGGCGCACGTGCCGAGGCGCCCAAGGCCGAATGCTGTGTGGCGGCGACACGTGTGGCGGCGTGTCCCAATTAAACATGTCTGTTCACGCACAAGTTGAGCTCCATCGTCAATTTGTTCTTCTCCCAATAAAATCGAAAATCGAAAAGAAGGCGACTCTGCAGAAAAGGCTAGGTTGATCTCGCTTCTCTAACTGTAGCTAATTTGTTGTTGATCCCATAGTTGGGAAAAAGAAGGCAGCTGTTCGAGTGCTTGTTAATGCTGCAGTCGATGAAGGGCGGCGAATCGGGATCTCAAACTGGAAGGATGGCGGCGGCGGCGAAGATTGAGGTGGAGGATTTGTCGGAAGAGGAGCGCGGGCCACTCCACAAGCGGTCTAAAGTAAGTTTCATTTCTTCAATAGATTCAATTTGAAGCTTTTTCGAATTTGGCACTTGTTGTAAACCTAATTTAAGAGAATATGAAATCGATACTCTGAGAACTTTTAGTTTGTAAGTTTCTTGATGCAGCTTAATTTATTGAGAACACAGTTTTGTTGTGGAGATCAAGTTCAGATCAGTAACGGTTACTAAATATAATTATCGTTATTGATTTGATCAACTAGACCTAATTAAGCTTCTGTTCACGAGAAATGTTTTTTTGTCGAATCTGGTTCTGTTGAAATCGATTGTTGTTTATGATTTTTTCACTGCAGCAGCAGAGTTTGGGATTCAGTGGTGTTGCAGTGTCTGCTTCACAATACAACCCTCTTGATGAGCCAAGTCCATTAGGTTTGAGTCTCAGGAAAAGCCCATCCCTTCTGGAGTTGATTCAAATGAAGCTCTCCCAATCGAATTCATCGAAAGGTGGAAATCAAAGTCATCGTAGTAAAAAAGAGTCCAGATCAGGAGCTGCTTCTGGTGATAAGTTGAAGGCCTCTAATTTTCCTGGTTCAGTTTTAAGAATTGGAACCTGGGAGGTACATTCTAGCACATGATCTTTGGATGTGCTAAAGTAGTATAGTTTATGTTTGAAATTTTGTAAGCGTGTTTATTGGATTTTCAGTACAAGTCGAGATACGAAGGAGACTTGGTGGCAAAATGCTATTTTGCAAAGCATAAGTTAGTGTGGGAAGTTCTTGATGGGGGTCTCAAGAACAAGATTGAGATCCAGTGGTCTGATATTATGGCTTTGAAGGCGAGCTACCCCGATGACAAGCCTGGCACATTAGATGTTGTGGTAATAAGCATTATCCATTCTGCTTACTGTTTTAGAAATTTGATGTTTGACTATCTGTAATGAATCTTGGTGGTGTTCTGGCAGCTGACAAGGCAACCACTTTTCTTTAGAGAGACTAATCCTCAACCTAGGAAACACACTCTTTGGCAAGCAACATCAGACTTTACTGGGGGGCAAGCTAGTATGCATAGGTAAGACTCTTGCTTTGTCCATGATTGGCTGCATAGAGTTTATATTAAGCGTATAAAACTCTTGGGAATTCTTGATAATTGCTTTTCAATCGATGCTCTTGCATACTGTTAATAGTATACACCTCTGCTTAGGATGTTATGCCACGGAAATTTCCATTTTGAGCATTGCTGTACAATGCATGATAGCTTTTTCTGATATTGGAAGGAGAACTGTTTATCACATTAGAGTCTTGAAACGTTTAGGGTTTATTGATATTACAAGCCATTATTCAGGTACTTTAATTATCCTCCTGACAGTGGATCATATGTATAGACCAACTTGGGCATCTGCCATGACCTATAAGACCTTCTAAAAGCTACCCTGTGATGTAGTAGAGCTTTTAATACATAAAACAGGAGGCACAATTTATTTTCAAATAGGGAGTTCATATTATATTTTTCTCCTTGGAACATAGAACTAAAAGTTTTTCCCCAACATAGAAGAAATGAAAAGGAAAAATGACCATAGCAATCAGAAATCTTCTGTTGAAGAAATCCAGCAAATTCATCTCGTGAGAGTTCTCGAAACTTAATTGTAGAGATTCTTCTTAGTTATTTGAATTTATGAGGACGATTGTGTGTGCTGCTTGCTTCTCTTTTACTAGGAATGTTCTTCAAAGAAATGTAATCTGGAATTATCTTTGGCCATTGCTTGAAATTGTACCTATTCTGAGACCCTGAGTTAAACATTTCTAATATTGCAACTTGCACTATTATGTACATCCTCTGTCCATGAAATTGAGTGTGTGAATGATTATGTTATATTTTCAAATAAGTCTAATATAAATTAAAAAGTATGTAAGAAACTTTTGCTATAAATAGAAAATTCTTTTTTTTTTTTTTAGACAAATAAAAAAGAAAGCAGACATATTATTATGAGTTCGTCACTTGGCAGTTGGGAGTGAAATCTGTAATGACTACCTGAGCTTTCAATATGAAATGTCATGTTTCATTTTTAGTTTTATTAAGATCCTATCACACGGTCCTTGCGTTGTAACTTTTACTTTGCAGGCAACACTATCTGGAGTGCCCACCAGGTCTGCTGGGAAAACATTTCGAAAAGCTTATACAATGTGATCCCCGACTGAACTTTCTCAGTCAGCAAGGAGAGATCACAGTGGACTCTCCATATTTTGAACCAAAAATAATATCCGGCTTTGATGAAGAAAATGAACAAAGCAGCGAATTTGATTTGAATACAGAAGGAAGCCCTTCCCTTTTCAGCTTACAGGACACTACTTCGCCGTCTAGAGCTCAATCCTCTTCCTCAAAGAATGATATAGATGTCGTCAGCAGACATTCCGAGTCTTACCCTCAGGAAACACTGTCCCCAAGCTCAGGTAACCTTAACTGTTTATTTCTTATTTATTGCATAAGTGGTTCTTACAAAGTATCCATGGTGGATCTCTCAGGTAGGGGTGGAGGGCCAATAGTCGAAGATATAAAGCACGGTGGATTTGAGCAGCTGAAGGAGCTCAGCAACTGGGATCAGATCCAGGTTCCAGGCCTGCGATCCTCCATGTCCATGACGGATCTGGTGAGCCATCTTGAGCATCGGATATCGGAACAGGGAGCATCAAACAAGCCGAGTCTGTCCACTGAGGAATGGCAGAGCCTGCAGATTTTAGACGACATCAAAAGATGCTTGTTCAGCGACGCACAACACTTGCCACACTCTGACGAGAAGTCCCTCATGTCCAGGGTCGATTCTCTCTGTTGCCTCCTGCAGAAAGATACACCCGAGCAATTCAAAAGCGACGACGAAGCTGCTGCCACCAATCTCTCACTGGCTACAAAGCAGAACGTGGAGGATGTTAAATGCAAAGATAATTCCGAGGCGAGGGAAGACGCGGCTGGAGCCATGTCGAGGAAGGACTCTGTCGGGGATTTGCTACTGAACCTGCCAAGAATAGCTTCTCTCCCACAGTTCTTGTTAAACATTCCAGAAGATTATGAGAACCAAGCTAGATAATATCTATCTATCTATATCTCTATATATATATAGATACATAAAATCCAGGTGCAGCAGCAGCAGCAGATGCAGATGATGAATTTGCCTCAGTTAACTTGTATATGACGATAAATCTTAAATTAAGATTACCCTGTCTCGATCAATATCTGTGAGTAAATTTGGTGGTGTGGTGTGTAGTATTTAGGGATTCGGAAATTTTAAGATTGATGATGAATCCTCATGTAATATGTTCGTTTGTTTTGTCTCCTCCGAGGTATGATGAATCTTGGTGGGTTTCTATTTTTGTTTACTTGTGTGTTTTTTCTTATCCATTTTGACCAAAGTCCAAATCCCAGAATGAGTGATCATTCATTCATTCAAGTCCAACTATAAAAAAGTCACTTAACTTGGCTATAATAGCTGAGTAGAGATGTCTGTTTCTTTCTTCGATTCCATTTCGAAGAAATGTGTCGTGACGTGTGGTGTGTGGTGTCATCAGTCAATCATCAACCCGTTGAACAACAAACAATAAATGCACGCTAGTCGTATTTGTTTTATTTTCTTTGTATGGGTCAATAAATAAATCTATTGGTAACGCGATTCCAATAAATGAAGTGAGAAGAGAAGAGTCACATTGTCACATTGTAACCAGCTAAGGATGTTTGTGTATGTGTGCCTGCAAGATTCAAAATTAATATTAATAATAATAATAATAAGTGAGTTAACCTTTACTTGAAGAAAGCTAAAGAAGCTTTACTTGGGTGCCACATTACCACCCTCTTCTTCTTCTTCTTCCTCATCCTCATCTTCCTATAAACTAATCTCTGTATTATATAATAATATGCCTTCTCTGCATCATATATTATGATGGTGGTTTCTTTAGTTATTCCTAATTTTTGCATTAATTTATTCTACGTGCTGATTTATTATGCATGTGGATTGTCGTCAATGCAAGTGAGTAATAGGTAGTAGTAAAAACTGCATGTTGTTTGGAAGAGAAAAAACATTATGTATAAAAATATATATGTATGTATTTAATTAGTTTATGTTTATGGGGTGGGTTTAGCTTTAATTTGCTTTGTGTGGTTATCAGAACAGCATATTGCATTACTTATAACACACGCATTATATACATTATCAAGAAATATTAAAGAAAAGAAGAAACAGTTAGCCTGCAGAAATGAAGTCTCTTAAACGACGTCGTTTTAATGGCTGGCAAGCAAGCAACGAAAGAAGAAAGGGAGACATTGCGCATACGCTATGGTACCCATGCCATGGCTATGGAGAAATACAACATGTGACCGTTATTACTGTTATATTATTATTATTATTATTAATATCACACAAATATATACACATACATTGCTGGCTGGCTTTGACGCTTTTTTGGTGCAAGCAATCATTTTAATTCTAATTTCATTTTTTTTAATTTTTTTTTTTATTTTGAATTTATTTATTTTAAATAGAACAGAATAGAATAGAAATAGATGGTGTGGTGTTGATGCTAAATAATTTGTTTGAAGATTCAACAAAGCACGCCTCTTTTGCAAAATCTTCCCTAAATTCCAAACAGGAACCCGCGGAGAAAGAAGACCAGACCAGACCAGACCTAGCACAACACTTGGAGGAGGAAGAAGAAGAAGAAGGAGGAGGAGGATTGCAGTTTCAATTGCAATTAGGTAAACCCTAATTAATCTGCAATTCAATTCAATTCCCTTTCTTTCGCTTTTGAGGAGTTTTTTCAAGAATTCGGTTACCCTAGCAAATTAGCTTAACTCTTCGTTTCTCGCTCGACGCATTCATTCGTTCATTCGTTGATTTCCTGCAATTTGTTAATTCGTAGTCGCAGTGCTTCTTCGTTGTTAATTTCCTGCAATTTCTTGCTGCTCCAATGGCGGACAAGGGCAAATTTGGCGACGGCGCGTCGTGGATTAGGGGTTCAATCATTGGAAAGGGGGGTTTCGGCTCCGTCTATTTGGCCACTCTCAAGAACCCTAAATCCAAATTCAGTTTCTACCCGCCGTTAATGGCCGTCAAATCGGCCGAGGTTTCAGCTTCGGCTTCGATTCAGAAGGAGCGGGAGGTTCTCAGCAACATCAAGGGTTGTCCCTACGTAATCCGGTGCTTCGGCGAGGAGACAACAATGGCGGCCAACGGCGCCATGGTTTATAACCTTCTGTTAGAATACGGCGCCGGCGGTACATTATCCGACAGAATCAGGCAATCCTCCGCCGCCGGCTTGCCGGAATCGGAAGTCAAGTTATTCGCAAGGTCGATTCTCAGAGGACTTAATCACATCCACACCGTCGGCTACGTCCATTGCGATTTGAAGCCCGACAACATTCTCCTCGTCTCCGATCCCCGCCGGAAAATCGATCCGAAAATCCAATTCAGGGCTAAAATCGGCGATTTTGGATTGGCGAAGAGGGTAACGAATTCGAAACAGAGCAAGAAGAGGAAGCTGGAGCCCTACTGGCGCGGCACGCCGATGTACTTATCGCCGGAGGTTGTCCTCGACAATGTCCAAGAGCCACCGGCCGACATTTGGGCATTGGGTTGTCTTGTCCTCGAAATGCTGACAGGGAAGCCGCCATGGGAGAGGGGCGGCTCCACCACCGTCGACGACATTCTCTGGAGGATCGGCGCCGGGCGCCAGCTGCCGGAGATTCCCTCCGGCCTATCAAAACCCGCCATTGCCTTTCTAAAAGGATGCTTTGTGAGGAATTCTAAGTTCAGATTGACGGCCGAGATGCTTTTGGTACATCCCTTTCTCGAAGGGCTGCCCGAGGATGACTTCAGCGCTGATGATCTGTCGGAAAAGGCTGAGAATTTGGACGAGGATCAGCTGATCTTGGTGTTGTCTGAGACCGAGGATGACAGCTGCGACTCGTTCGATTTGTCTGAGGACGAGGATTCATTCTCAGACGAAAATGCAGAAGAAGACGAAGACGAAGAAGAAGAAGAAGAAGAGGAAGAAGAAGAAAATGTGTCGGGAATTTCTGAAGAAACAGAGTGCAAAGCGCGAGAATCCTCCCGAGCAAGAATTGATCCGCCAAATGAAAAGGCTTCGCCAAAAGTCCCGTCTCGGAGTAGACAGCATTATCCGGTTAACATCATTGTCCGCGCAGGCGTATAGCTGTTGCCTGCCTACAGACACATTTGGTAACATTATAGACTCGAATTTTTGCTCTAGTGGTAGATATTATTCGATTCATTAAGGTATAGCCGTAGGCTATCCTCGATTCATATGTCATAGCCATTCGTTTGTCTTTACTAATTGTTGCGAGTTTCCTGCTCGAAGATCAACCCTAGTCGATCCATGTCTCAGACTATACATTTCCCGGTCGGATATTTTGAACATATATATATATATAGATTTCGTATATTTGCTCATTATCCTAACTGCATTGTTCCTTTCGATTGCGTAAATTAATAGCATCCTCGGCTGCGAAAGCTCAAATCTTTCGATCTTTTTCAAGTTTTCCATCTCATACTTAACCTACATTGATCATATTCAGACACTATGGTACAAAAATGGCGTATGTACTTGCATTATAATCCTAATTCCATGGCTGTTTTTACATCGCATTACGGTAGTTATTGCTGCAAGAAAAATTTGCAGAAAAGAATGATTGCATTTGCTTTCAAGATCATGAGAATTAGTCACTCAAAATTGACTCCCACTTAACCTATAATGTAATGGATATCGATCAAATTATCCACTCTATCCTTTTCTTGCAGTCCCTCCAAAAAATCATACAACCTTTGCAGTCGAAAAGATGTTCGATCATTTCTGCGTTGCATATCCTTACCCCTTTCCCCATTCTTCGACACAGACAGAAATCTCTCTCGAGAAATCGAAGCCACCACCGCGCATTTGCTGCAAGAAGATACGACAATCAATCTGCTGAGGGCAATCCTCGAGAAAGCCTCGGCAAACAAGATTGAATCTTTAAAGTTACTAGGCCATGTATAAAATATAAACAAGAATAAATTCTTCGATTATCCCTCTCGAGCAGAAAGTAGAGAGGAATATGATTCTTATTACAGCCAGCGGCTAAAGGAACTGCAAGAATTAGTTCTGAAACCAAATATAGTTTAGTTATACATTCATCTTTGAGCATAGATTCCTGTTGTCCTTAAGAAGTAATAGATTTCGCCAATAAATAGGTCGATCGTCAAAATATTCTCGTGCGAATCGAGCTTTATCTTGCGCCCAAGGTCCTACCAACACAAAAAAAGTGTCGAATCCGCCTGATGCTAGAAGAGTATGCTAAAAAACTAGGATCATTCGCCGTAAGCTGTCCACAACAAAATTAAATCTCATCTTTTTCGAAAGCAATATTCCTAACTCAACCCATCTTCCCTCAGCATGATCTTTATAGATACATATATACATATATATATGCAGTTTCATGGTAGGTGAAAATGTTGGCCATGGCTGTCTGAAAGAAACCACCACATTTGAACCCCACCTGATATCGAAACATCTTTTTAACAGTGACCTTCCATACATTGTAAGGGAACTCATTTTCTCTCTCCCCCCCCCCCCCCCCCCCCCCCTCTCTCTCTATATATATGTATATATCTACATAATACCTTCATCTGTCATAATTTGGAAAGGGATTAAGCTCTCCTTGACACCCTCCATTGAAATGAAGAAATCTCTCTTCTTGCTTCTCTCACTCTGGGTCTTGTCATCTGCTGCTACTTTGCTTCAGTGCTTGGCTCGCGAAAGCTCGAAAGATCGAGAACATGGCCATGGTGAGAAACTCTTCATCGATCAGATCTTGAAACTTGTTTAGCAAGTGAATGTTTTCTCGTGTGGTGTGTGTTCAGGAATAAACTACACGAAGGTAGCGACGAAAGAAGATCGCAACGAAAGAGAACTCGCGGATTCAGACAAGATTTATTCGACAGAAAAGTCCGGTAAAGGAACTAAAGGATCCAACGGCGCCTCCAACGTCGTCCATCAACACCCAGGCGAAAAGAACGCTGCTGCACTGTTCTATTCGCCTTATCTCGTCGGCTCTATCTTCTTTACGCTTCTTGCTTTCGTTGCGCCGTTAATCTGATGTCGATATTGCCTTATCTGTAGTTGTCTTTGAGGGTGTGTTGTTTAGTTTTTGTTTGTTTTGCTAATCAGTTCTGTGTAGAATTCTTCCCAAGAATGTATACAGAAACTTAATAATCTCATAGCATTTTATCAATAAGAAGATGAAAACAAAGACAAATATCTTTGTGCATAAATGTATCTTAAAACAGGACATGTTGTAAATTTAAGGCCTTGCCATGTCTAAAAACATCGATTTTTCGAGCGACTCGATTAAATATCGTAGAGGAGCTTCTCGAAAACCTTCATATGCTCAGCCTGGAGAGAGATCGCGACGGATAAACTCCCATCGTTTGTCGCGCTAGGGATGATGAAGCTGAGGCCTTCGTACGCGATCCCGCCCGGTCCCATGAAGATCGGTCTGCCCCATCCGAAATCGGCGTCGTGGATAGGAAGTCGAACCCAGCTCGTTATCCCGAGATTAGGACACTTAAAAGTGTGCGCGCCGCGAACCAAGGCCTTAAGATCGGGCTGGATTTCGAGATAATCGAGAGCCGATCTTAAGTACTCGTTGTCCATTTGACCCAACGCGTCGTGAATTTTACTTGCGGCATACCAAACAGGCTTCGAAACGAGATCGCCGGACGCGGCGATTGGCGTGGTTGTGAAGATTACGTTGCCGAAGTATCCCTCCGGGAGCGGAGGCCGGAGCCTCGACCGGCCGTCGGTCGCGATGTACAGCTTGGTTTCTTGATCCTCCGGCAGGTCCCGGGACTTGCAGACGCTGCGCCAGACGTGGCCGGAGAGCATCTCGTAGGAGCTGTAAGTGACCGTGTTGCCATCCTCCTTGGACTTGGCCTTGAGGGAGGTGAGCTGATCACGAGTTAGCTTGAATATCGACACGGCCGTGTCGGGGACCGTGTTGGTGATTTTATCCCCTGTTTTCATTGACGGAGGCGGCTGGTACTCAATGTGCTTGAACTGCGGCTGCGGCGGATCTCGTGCTCGGAGCAGTGTCCTGTCGATGTACGGCGCCACCGTCAGGTCGAGGCCGCGGGCCATGTCCGACCACGTGTTGACGAAATGGAGGCCGGAGAATCCGTCGGCGACGTGGTGCTGCATACCCACGCCTAAAGAGACGCCGCCGCATTTGAAATGCGTGACCTTCAAGCAGCCATTAAAAAAACAGTTGGTAAAACGGAAATTTTGCAGGTAGGAAAAATCAATGTCGAATTAATCGCAATAAAATAGTGTTGTTCATTTCTGAGATTGCAATACGACGACAGATTTGCAGGCGATTCGATTTTCGAGGAGGATTGTGAGGCAAAAATAACTGTTTTATGTAACAGAGTAGCAGCCAATAGGTAGAGAGGTTGAAGAAAGCTAGGGTTTCGTGAGATTTAAAAAATAGGATTATAAATTTTCACGCCAAAACGACAATCTAACTAAATCTCACCTGCAATACGAGAAGTGCGTAGCTAGAAATCCCCTGGGAATAATCGACCGCCGGAATGAGGCGGCGGAGCTCCAACGTCGGAGCAAAATCGCCGAAATCGTCGATCGTGCCGTCGGACTCCGCCTCGACGAACAGCACTCCTTCGCCGTTGCAATCGATCTCGATTCGTCCGTCTTCGTCTCTTTTGAGTCTTCCTCCCATCGGATAGAACGGCACCAAGGCGCGGGAGAGCGCCGCCTTGAGCACCGCCGCGTCGAAGAAATTCTCGGCTCCGGTGGGACGGTAGAAGTAGACGCTGGGGGTGTGAAAGTTGGGGACGACCAGGTCGACGTTGGAGTTCCAGAGGCTCACCGTCGGCGTCGCCGCCGCCGGCCTCACCATCGTCGAATCCCTAATTTCGATCTTCATTGCAGAGAGATGCTCGCCGGCGGAGATCAGTTTAATTGCCAACTTTGGAATGAAGAGAGTATGGCAACCGCGTTGAGTGCGTATTTATATATATAGTGCGGGAGCCGAGTCGAGCCGAGCCGAGCCGAGCCGAGCCGAGCGGGGCCCATAGAAGCTGACTCACTAACCAACGTCATTACCACGTCACCGTCTACTCTAGAGCGCTTTCTAAAAATTTATACTTGGCTAGTTTAATGGATCTTCTTTTTAAAAATACTTCCCCCATCCAAAATATATATGTTATTAGTATTAAATTAAAATAATATATAAAGTAGAATGTAAACAATTACATTCTTTAGTATAATTTTGTTATATAATGAAAAATCATGATTACTAAATAAATAAATAGGACAATTGTTTTTTAGATAGACGGAAAAAAAAATTTCTTGTGGGACGAGGAGGGAATATAAATTAATTGAATTTGAGTTTTTTTTTTTATTAAATTTCAATTTAAATAGTATTTGAATGTTGTATTTTTTCTTTCATGAAATTAATTATGATATAAGTATCACTATAAAAACGTATTAATAAGGTAAAATAAAATTTTGAATAAGTTCAATGTATAAATGATTGATATTTTTGTAAATAAATATAATATTAAATTTGTTGAAATCATATTGGGTGAATTATGTGTAACATATAATTTTAAATTATTAAAAATTTAAACGATAACTTCACAGTTACAAGTTCAATTCATATCATTTTTTACAAGATAAGTTCAAAAACTTTATATAACATCTGAATTCGTAAATGCTATTTGACAAAAAAAAAAAAAACAGCAAGTTATCACCTTGTTATTACAAGATATTAGGATGTGTTTGATTGAAATTTCAAATCAAAATTAATATAATTTAATTATTACGATTTTTAATAAAAATATATTATTTTTATAAATATTACATAAATACCTTTTGTTTTTAAATAATAATAATAATAATAAATCAACATATTATTTCAAATTAATTTTAAATCATCAAACAACCATTAGCAATACAACAAATTAAATACAGCTTACGTTCTAATTCTATTAAGTCGATTGGAATCGACCAAACTCATTATAATAATATATTAATTATTTAAATTTATATATCGGACTTAATTAATTACACGTGTCCAAGCCACAGCACGGCTAAGAAGGTATGATAATTCAAAAAAATTAGAATGTACTAAATCGGAATTGGGTTGGTGAGACGGTGACCTATATTATTTTTTTTAAATAAAAGATTTTATTATTTTTTTCAAATAAAAATATTTTATTATTATTATTATTATTACTTTAAAATAAAATATTAAGGTTGAAGGATTGGTTATATATGGCTATATATCATTGCATCTAACCATGGTTATTCTCACCAACCTCCACAGACACTGAGTGGCCATTTCATAAATAATTACAAATTTTATTTATTACGCCATCTATATATTGTTGGAAAATGATTTTGCCTTTCTCGAAATATTATTATTTTTTTATTATTCATCCACAATATTATATTCAAACTTTAAACACTATTATTTTAAAAAATATGTTTGATACTTATTCATGTAGGGCAGTTTTAAATTTGAAAATTATTGAATAAAGATAATTTTTTAAAATATAATATTTTAAAGAGACGTAGTGTATTTATTATAAATTGTACGGTGCAAAAATAGCTACTTACTAATAACCATATAGGGAAATTAATTGCATAATTTTTTGGTAGTTTGAAATAATTGCAAGTTGGTGGGGAGAAACCAAATGAATAGGCAGGCTCATATAATGGAGGGTAGGAGATAGTTCGGACCACATAAATGGTGTATTTTTTTATTTTTTTTATTTTTAATTAGTTTGATTTTAATTACCAATTTTTTTTAAATATATATATATATATACTATTCCCTCCGTCTCAAATACCATGTCCACGTTGTCGTTTCTATCCGTCCCACATATCATGTCATTTTCTTTTTCTGAAAAATTATTACACACTTTAATCTCATTTTAAATTTTTAAATTTTTTTTTAATTTTAATTAAACTAATTAGTTATTTTAATCTTAATTTATAATTATTTATATTACAGGATAATTAATTTTTCACTAATATATTCTTAATTATCTACTAATTATACCTCTTTTAAAATACCGTATATACAATGTAGCAGATACGGTATTTGAGACGGATAGAGTATTATTTAAATATTGTTGGAGTTGGTGAACGTAAATGCAACGTTAGCTAGAGTGGATAAGGGCTAGCTAAGGTTAGGTTACTGCGGCTGAGGTTTGGGTCATCACGTGTACCCCACGTGCCTTCAGGAAGAATAATGAGTGAGTTGGCTTACCCGTGGGACTATTCACTATTCTATTAAATCATTCAATTTTTTTTTAATAAATAAATATATTTATATATGTATTCAAATTTGTTATTTTTAATAAAAATAATTTATATCAATTATATATTATTTATTCGCCTTTTATAGAATTTTATTTTTTATAAAATAATATTAGTATTATATATATACTTTTATTGAAATAATTTGTTTTTTTATATATTTAAAAATATTTTTAGAATGTTTTAATTATATATACTGCATCATAAATATATAAATATTAATTAAAAATCATTCTATCTCAACATCTAATTTAAATCTGAATAGATTATCTAAGGCAAGGTACACCCAATGTCATTTTGCTTATAATTAGAATTAACAATGGATTGATTCGTGCCGGGTTGAATATTTTAAACGGGTTAAATTACTTAATTATAACTTAATTCATTTATTATCGTGTCGGGTTCGTGTTAACCCGTTTATTATCGTGTCGGATTCGGGTTGACCCGTGTTAACTCGTATATATAATTAAGTCGAATTTTTTGATTCAAATTAAATACTCCATTCGTCCCAGATACCGTGTCTACTACACTGTATACACGGTATTTTAGGAGGGGTGTAATTAGTAGATAATTAAGAATATATTAGTGAAAATAATTATCCTATAATATAAATAATTATAAATTAAGATTAAGATAACAAATTAGTTTAATTAAAATTAAAAAAAATAAAATTTAAAAATTTAAAATGAGATTAAAGTGTAATCATTTTTCAAAAAATGAAAATGACATAGGTATGTGGGACGGACAGAAACGGCAACGTGGACATGGTATCTGGGACGGACAAAAACGACAACGTGGACATGGTATCTGGGACGGAAGGAGTAATTTTTTGCTATGTTAGTTTTTATTGGTTTGATAGTAAATTAGGTTGAATTATTTAAAATTGAACTTAGTTTAAATTAATTTATGAGAAAATTATTAAATTATAACTATTTTACATATATAATAAATATATTAATCAATATTAATATATTATAATCGGGTTGTCGTATTGGGTTCGAGTTGAGAGCCTCAAATCTAACCCAACCTGTTTACTATCGTGTCGGGTTCGTGTCAACCCGTGTACATAATTGAGTTGAAATATTTGACCCAAACTCAATTATTTTGTATCAAATTATTGTGTTGGATCAATAATTTTTGCTAACTCTACTTATAAGTAGTGCCTTAGTTATCATTTTGCCCGTGTAGATCGTCTTTAAAATGAGATTTTTTGGGTTGAAGATAACAAATATAGTCTACAAAAATATATGATGTATTACTGAAATTGATTTAAATTTTTATTTAAATGGTATTTTAATTTAATATTTTATAAAAAAATAAATAATATTAATTTTTTAATATAACATTCTTCATGGGCTTATCTTAACCCTCGTGTTAACATCCTTCAATGAGCCCAAGCTCCTTTGAGGACCTTTTTATTTAAAATTTGTTTTGGGTTTATGTTACGAACGAACATAACATTCAAATTTAAAATACAGAATCAAATAATTGCGAAATAAAAACGAAATTGCAAATAAACAAAACAAAATGAGACATTTTGTACTAGTAGAGAACATGATCCAATAAACAGGGCCCCACGCACGTGATGATGACGTGGCCCTTTACACTACACGCTTATAACAAAATCCGATCTTTGTCCCCCCCGCCCCAACTTGCCAGTTGCCACTAATATTCAAAACTCCACTTTCCTATACACGCTCTACCAGCCGTCGATATCTAGTCAAACCAATCCCCACCGTCCGATCCAGCGATGGGCAAATTCTTAACGGCCACTGCCCCGCCGTTAACGTTCCGTTATCCATCCGTTATCGACAATTACTCCTTGCAACTTTAAAACCCCAACGCTCCTTCCTACCCCCAATTCCGTCTTCCGCCATGTCCACCACCGCCACCGCCGCCATCGCCGCCGCGCTCCTCCTCCTCCTCCGCTACGCCGCCGCAACCGACCACATTGTCGGCGCTAACAGAGGCTGGAACCCCGGCATCAATTACACCCTTTGGGCGAACAACCACACCTTCTACGTCGGCGACCTCATCTGTAATAAACCCTAATTTCTAATTTTCCCCCAAATTTCTGAGCTTAATTTCCATGGATTTTTTGAGCTAAAAAATTGTTCTTCCTTCCTCCAGCTTTCAGGTATCAGAAAACGCAGTACAACGTGTTTGAGGTGAACCAGACGGGCTACGACAACTGCACCACGGAAGGCGCCGCCGGAAATTGGAGCAGCGGCAAGGATTTCATCCCGCTGAACAAGGCCAAGAGGTATTACTTCATTTGTGGAAATGGCGGATGCTTCAGTGGAATGAAGGTCTCCGTCCTCGTCCACCCGCTTCCTCCTCCGCCGTCTTCCTCCGTCGCGGGACGCCCGGAGAATTCCGCCGCCGTATCTCCCCGCCGGCGAGTTCTCGGGGCGGCGCTCGGTGTAGCTCTGTCAGCCTGGATTGGATCTGCTAGTATCTTCTGAAAAGCTTCTGGATAAATAGATAATCAATCCCACTTCCCATTTTTCTGTATAATTTTTTATTTCATTTTTTAAAATTATGTATGAATTTATGAGTGAACATTATTTCAATCGTCATCCAAATTGAGCAAAAAAAAACGATCAAACTCAATCCAATCACAGCCGTCCAATGCACTCTAATCAACGGCGCTGATGATCTTCGGCTTCCTCTTCTTCCTGCTATACGCGTTCGCCGGCGGCGACGGCGAGAACTCAAACGGCAGCTCCGGCAGCTCCATTTCCCCGCTGAGTATCCGTACAACATCTCCAACGTCCGGTCTCAGCTCCGGCGTCCTCTGCAGGCAAGCCAGAGCCAAATGGATGCACAAACTCGCCTCATTCTTGCTATAGTCATTTTTCAGGCGACCGTCGACCAAATCGAGCACATTTCCGGCGAGCGCCAAGCTCCGGGACCAGCTGATCAAATTAGCTTGCTCAAGCTTCATCGGCGACGATAGAACGTGCAAAGGACGCCGTCCCGAAACAATAACAAGGATCAACACGCCGAAGCTGTACACGTCGCCCTTCTCCATCAAATACCCGAACCCGCCGCCGTACTCCGGCGCGACGTAGCACAACGTCCCCCGCATGCTCGTCGTGCTGCTCAGCTCCCGACTGAAGAGATCGCCGCTCCACATTTCGCTCCCGATCGACTGCGCCGCCGCGCCACCCGTCTTCTTCCTCCACCCCTTCCGGAAACTGAACTCGCCGCTGTCCCGTTTCTTTTCTTCCTTACCATCCTGGCTCTCAGACAACATCGTCGTTCCATTCCTAGCCAACACGAAACATTTCCCTAATCCGAAATGCGGCACAAGTCTTCGCCTACTTCGCCTCTGTTTTTCCGAGTCGTCCATTCGCTCCTCCTTCCACCATTCGTGCATCTTCCGATGATGCATCTTCCATTTCTTCGACTCCGCCTTCTCGCCGCCGTCGAATGCAGATTGTTGTGCCGCCGGAGGAGCATTCTTATCGATATCCGCCGCGCATGATTTGTCTCGACCGGCGCTGCCTTTCTCCTCGTCCCAATCGAGTTCATTCGAATTGGGGCCAATCTGGCTTCCGATCCATTCCATTACATAGTCTTTACTACACAACTCGCCGCTCCCGTCCTGCCGCCACCACCAGTCCTTCCCCCATTGTTTGCCGCCGGCCGCCGCCTCCGGCGGCGGTGCAGCATTTAAGTTCAAATCATTACTATGATCATCCTCCTCATTATAAGACGCATCCTTACCCTTCACGTTCTTACTTTTGACAGGACGATCATCCTTATCATTATCATTATCATTATCATCATCGTCGTCGTTGTCACGCCCAATTTCAGAACTGAAATTGAAATTCAAAGAATTGAAAGCTAACCCTAATCCCATCACATTGTGGTAAATTTTACAGCTACTTTTCGACGAAGACGAAGCCTGCAAGGCCAAAGCGAAGTCCACTTCATCGTTTTCATGACTCTCCAATGGAGTCCCAATCGCAGGGCTCTCAATGTCGCCGGCGCCGGCGCCGGAATGCCGCCGTGAAAGCTCCTGACTCTTCCCCAAATCCTGGCTGAACAAATCACCCCCAATTTCAGGCTCGATTTTCAATCTCGACAGCCCAAAATCAGAAATCTTCGCCCTAAAATCCAAATCAAGCAAAACATTGCTCGGCTTGACGTCGCCGTGAATCACCGGCGGGTCACACTCACTGTGCAAGAAATTCAGCGCCTTTGCAACATCAAGAATTATATCGAACCTTCTCCCCCAATTCAAGGCCGGAGCTTTGTCGGAAAACAGACACTCTTGCAGGCTCTTATTCGGCATGTATTCGTACACGACAATTCTTTTCTCCTTCTCCAGGCAGAATCCCAACAAAGAAACCACAAATGGCGACGACGCCGGCTTCAGCCCGCCGAGAATCTTGAGCTCGTTCTGAAACTCCATTTCGCACTGGTAAGAGCCCGAGTCTAGAAGCTTCACAGCCACCATTTTCCCGTTTCTTAAAATTCCTCTGTAGACAGTGCCGGAGCCGCCCTTACCGATCGAATTCGACCCGCTGAAATTACACGTGGCATTCTTCAGCTCTCTGAAGCTGAACCTCTGCAACTTGTTCAGCGGGGAGGGGGCGTCGAAGGGGCTGGTCCGGGAGCGGCGGAGCAAGGAGTACCAGAGGTAGTAGAAGAAGTAAAGAATGGCGGAGACGATGATGGCCGCGGCGGCGACGGTGGCGGCGAGGAAAACCATGGTGGTTTTAGGGTTTTGCGGGGAGGAGGATTTATGGGTTGAATCCATTTTTTGTTTGTTTTGAGTTTAATATTCGGAAATGCGGGGTTTGTTTGAGGTTCTCTTTTAGGGTTTTTTTCAGAAAGATGGGTTCTTTCTTTTGGTTTGAATCGGGTCGACCGCCATGGATGAATTGGAAGAGGAGTGAGTTGCAGGGAATATATTATTGGAAAAATGGTTTCTTCATACTGATTTCTTGGTTAATTTTGTTTTCTTTGGTGGGATTGAGTTGAAGAATTGAGGAAAAAGAGGTTGCCTTTTGACCACACACAGCATTTTGCAGGTTTGCAGGAAGAAAATTCTGGGGAGACTTTTGAGGCATATGGATTTGAAAGGTCCCGGGAGTTTTGATCCTAAGAAATCTGAACTAGTAGTGAGGCGCTACAATGGTGTAGATGTGTCGGGTGTTGGAGGTCCTAGGCGTTGTTAAGGATTACCCAATCGGTGAGTAAAAGCCAAAGTAAATTCCTTGATGATGATGATGATGATAGTTGATTTTTTTTTTTCAACTTTTATTTTAAATTTGTTTGTTTTTATTTTTTATTTTTTTGTAAGTGAAAATATCGCCTTAATTGTTTTTAAAATTTTAAAATTGAGTGCATGAGGCTTTAAAGCAACAATAAAGTGAAGTATACTTGAGTGTACTTTATCTACTCATAGAGAGTGGCTAATACAAGGATGATGGCCTATTTCATTTTTTATATTCTTATTTAATTGTATTCAATTCATAAATTTTAATTTTAATGGTTAGAAAAGGGCAATAATAGTATAATTTTAATTTTCCTTTTGAATGCTACCACATAATTCCTTAATTTTAATTCCAAAAATACTTTCAACCAATAATTTGACATGATTAATTATAATTTTAATAATATTAATTTGTATTAACTAAAATGAAAGACAATAATTCTTGATATTGATGTTGATCATTAGTGAATCCATTTGCTAGTGAAAAATAGTTATAACCCATCCTTTTATCTTGTCTCTTCATTATTTGTCCAAAAAAAAAAAGCCATAAAAGAAAAAGGGTGTCTCTAATAAAGTCATGAGTCATCATTCCACTTGATGGATTGATTGTAGCCCAAAAGAGGCCACAAAAAACCATTCCCAACTTTCACTTAACAAAATTACCAAAACCCCTAAAAGAAAATTACCATCTCCTTATTTGAAGTTTGTTTGTTTTTTTTCTTTTAGTTATAAAAAAGGCCCACCTTTTTTTGTGAGTTGGTCAAAAGGGTCATGCTAAAAAGTGGCAAGAATTTACCCAAAATTGTAAGGGAAATCCCACTCAACTAAAGGGTTGGTTACATATCTAATATCTAATGTCCCTCAAGTAATAAATGCTTTTTTAACTACCAAATCCTTATTGTTATTTAATTTATCTTACCATCTTTCTTGCAATCCACAACATGGTAAACTCAACAGTCATTTTCCAATAGAGACCATATGCCCTACTTAGGAATAGTGCTATGCAAAACAACATGGATGGTGGGCCCATGAGATTCTTGAGTTTTTATTTTATTTTATTTTAAACTTTTTTCATGGCACATCTCTATCTCATAAATTCTTCAACAATTTAACCACTTTCCCACAATCTTTTTTTTATTTTTTATTTTTATGTGGTGTACAGCTATGTATTATATATATAACTATAATGTTCTTTATTTTTTTTTATTCAAGTAGTTTCTTGCAAAGATACATATATATATATATATATACATTGTATATTGTGTTTTATTATATGTATAAAATATTTTGTATGAATTTTTTATTATTATTATGTTAAAATATGCATAAAGTACTATTTTTAATATTTGCATTATTCGTAAATGTGCACTTAATTATATAAGTGTTATTCGGATAAATTAATTTAAGTAAAATATCTTACATATAATTTTTTTTGAATAAAATAAATAAAGCAAAATTTAATTAATTGTTAATTTTATAGTTTATAAAAATTAAGTGTGTATTTACTAACACCATCAATGATTTTACGCAAAAAATTTATAATAAAATATACTTCACTTTTAAAATTGGGTTAATAATTTTGTATTTATGGCCCAATATTGGGCCCAAATAAGGAAGGCCCAATTGAAGTCTCTGAAAGAATGGCGGACGAAAGCTCCGGGAATGGCTGCTGCAGGAGGAAATGGGGATTTTGGCATGCATAGGAGTGATATCGCCATTTCCATTCTACTACTGGCTTTGGAATTATCCGCAGGCATGGGTTGATCTGTGCGGCAGAGGGCGTGACCCCTGCAGAGTTATGGCGCTGGTCGCGCATTTCCTCAAGGTTGTCCAATTTGTGTCGGTGCTGTCTGTCTCCACGCTTTCGTGGCCGCCGCCTTTCTACTTCTGGCCGCTGCTATTCATCGGGCAGTTCCTTAATTTCAGGTTCGAGAAGGAACTCATTTATTGTGTTGTCTTTAATTTGTTCGATTAGGTTTTTGGCTTGTTGTTGCGTTTGGTGCGTACAATTAATTGGTCAATCGTGTGTTTGGAGTATATTCTGGATCCTTAGGATCTAGGAAGAACTTTTTTCTTGTTGCTCGATTGAAATGTTGTGGTTTCTGGCTTTTTAGCGATTATCCATTTGAAATTTGGAATCACTCCTCTTTTTCCTTTTTAGGTCAAAAAGAGGATCAGACTATGGTGATTAGATCGAATTGAATAGACAGTACTTTTGCTTCGAATATTTGGTCTGAGTTTGATTCATATCTGAATTTGGCTGATCACATTGATTATAGCTAATTTGATTGAAATTCATGCTTGCTGGCTTGGTGTTTATTTTCTATCTATGGATGAATTGAGCTCAAATTAGGTTTTGTTTATCAAATTCAAATCTGGTTTGAATTGATTCATACAAGGTGGATGAATGCAAGAAAATGTAGTTACAGACTCTACATTCGAATCTTGCCTTGAGTTGAATACAAGATGTAGTTCTCTATTCGTTTTCTTAGTTTCCCTTTTCCTTTTTCTAAGATAAATATGTTTGTCTACTAAAGTTTCTATACTTGATTGTTGGTTGGTGCCAATTCCGGGTTTTTGTCGCCTCTTTGTGTTATATTAAAGTGTTTAGAAAAGGGAAGCATTATTTAGGTCGGCATTGGAAGTATGAACATGAATCTAACTTTGAAAGTTCGTTTGTGATTTGGTATTTTAGAGTGTTTTGCATTTCAAAGTTTTTCAAATGGAAAGTAAGTTTTAGATGTGATGTTTATAGAAGAAAAATTGGTAGCATTTGGATATAGACTTTTGGGGTTTTGAAAAAATTTAGAAAGGTTAAAAAGTTAGTATTTGACGATGTTTTTGAAAAAATTACCGAAGATGAAGTGCCAAAAATGTCAATATAAACAGAACATTATTTTACTTTGGCAAAATTGCCCATAACTTTTCCGTATTTTAGAAACTCAGCGTACTTTAAAGTATAAAGAGACGTCATACAATTTTTAAAGTACATGGGTATTTACGCTGAGTATTGAAACTACATGGGAATTTTGAGTAAATTTTGCTTTTACAGTTTACTTTTGTGAAACATGATTGAAATCACAAACATTGCATTTGAGAGTGATATTTGCTTTTGCCGTAGGAATTACCTATTCCCATTTTGGATAATTCAGGGTATTCAAGCTGCTGGGGGAATCGGGAACATATTATGGCATACGATTCGGGAAGAACATTCCATGGGTGACAGAATTCCCCTTGGGAACAATCAGAGATCCTCAGTATGTCGGAAGCATCTTGAGTCTCCTTGCTTGCTTCCATTGGACCCCCTTGGGGTACATTTTGCTTTGGATTATCGGGTATCTCATCATCATGCAAGTCGAGGCCAAAGAAGATCCATCGACTCGGGCGAAACCGATATCGTGAGCTCATTCAGCTGCATGCGTATCTTTCTGAGGCTCTTACTCATGCTCAAATTTTGCATCTTCTTTTGTCTGGAAGATCAGTTGTTCTGTATACTTGCTAATTTGTGAGGATGGAAATAAGCAGTTTCTTTGGGGGTACTTTCGTCATTTCAGTCCTTGCTCTTAATTTCGATTTTCCTTTTAGCTGAATAAATTTGATAACTAACTTTTGTCGGTTAGTGATGCATTGATTAATACAAATCATCAAATCAGATATTTACACCGATGTGTATATATATTTTTTATTTATTTTTTCATATATAAATTATCAGTGCAGTTCCTGTGCTGAGTAGGTGATATTAGATTATTTCATTAACACAACATATGATGTTGAATTTGTATTTATATTGAACCAGCAGTATACATTATAGTAAAATATATAATTAAATTCAATAAAAATAATATATTTACAATTTAAAATAAAAATTAAATATATTTTTATATTAATATATAGTTATTTTTATTAAAATAATAAAAATAATATTTTGAATTGAAAAAAAAATATATATATTTAGTATGTCATTTATATTTATATAATATGTTGACGGTCTTTTTACAGCATAAATTATTTAGGATATATTAATAAAAGTACAAAATTAGATTAATAAATTAAAAGGAAAAAAAGAGTTAATTAATAAATAGGCTGCCTTGTCTGAGGTGGCAAGCATTTAATGGTTCGTAGTGTCCTCACCTACTTCTCCCTCTCTAGAAACATCCATAATTGCTCTCCCCGTCGCTGATCGGCCGCCGCACCAATTTCTCCTCCGCCGTCAGTGGCAGCGCCGCCACACCGGGACTGGATCGTACCTCTGTGGAATGATTTGTCCACTATCTCTCTAGTGTATTGATCGATTTTCTGCCATCGTCACTGTGCCACGATGCGCTGCCCGGAGAAGCCCTAATTACCTTTCTGCAATGCTCGTTCTGAAATTCCGCTTTCTAACTGTGATTTTGAGGAGCCTCGCGCTTGGATTCGACAATGTCTGGACCACCGGTGGCTAAATCGATGAGTTTTGCGGACCAGGAGGCGCGTTCCGTGCTTGGACCAGCTGGAAATAAAGCCAGATCTGTGGAGTTACGGAAGCCGGTAGTGAAGCTGAAGAGCGAGAAGGTGCTGCATTCGTCCGAGACGGCGTTTCAGGCGCCGGAAATGACGGTGGAGCAAATTCCATCTCCGGTGGGTTTTAGGAAGAGTGTAAGCAATGCCGCCTCGGTTCTGAGGCAGCGCCAGCATAATTTGTCGCTAAATGCTTCGTGTTCTTCAGAAGCCTCGACGGATTCTTCACACAGTAGGGCTTCTACAGGAAGGATCAGCCGTCGGACTTCCGCTTCGACTCCGCCTTTGAGGAGGAAGCAACAATGTGGCTGGAAAGGCGAGAAAATTGAGAAGATGGAGGGAAATGGGAAGATAATTGGAGCTGAGAGTGAATGTACGATGGTCGATGGTTCCATGGTTAAGAAAAGGTGTGCTTGGGTGACTTCCAATACTGGTATGATTTTCATGCCCTTCTTATTCAATTAGATGAGTATTCTCTCTGTTCGGTGTTGGATTGTGGATGTTCGTTACTGAATTAGGGTTTGTGATGTGGTATACAATGTAATGCAAGCGATGAATTTACCTTAAATTTTAGATTTGTAATCATAATCTGTTTCTGATTTCAGTGTCAGGCCATGAAATTTGACAATTTGTTTTGATCATGGAGGAGGATGATATAGCAACTAGAAATGCATATAGTTCTTTCTAACTGCAAGTCATGTTTTTTTGCACTGACGAAACTTCATAGTTTTGATCTTTTATGGTCTTCTTAATTTAGCTGGTCGATTAATGCTCCTTATGTGTGTTTACTCGTGTTTTTTGGTTGTTTTGGATTTGAATTTTCGGAGTGGAAAATAGTAGTTGCTCGTGATATTTGGGGTAGAGCTTGTGTCTAAAATGATGTTTTTGGGCGGAAGTGGAAAAGAAAAAGCTTGAAAACACAATGGAACATAGTGAAAATTATTGTTTGTTGAAGACAACTTTTCTTTTCATGGGGTATGGACCATCTATGATCTTCAAGATTCGTATGTTTGATTGTGTGTCTCGAATGGAGATACAGATACCATATAAGCATAATATTTGTTTAAACCCTCCGAATGAAATTTCTGTTACAGCCCTTTAAAGGCATTTATGCACATCTTAACCTCTGAAACTTGTCTGTGATGAGATCATAGAAACAGAATATATATATCGCAAGGCTTTTGGCAACCAAATCAATACGGCAAAATGTTTTTTCGGACCCTTTCTTTTTCTTTTGATATGGTGCCACACCAGTTTGATGAAATGAGTCTTTACCAAAGTTTAAATGACAAGATGTTTTGTTATTACTTGCATTTCATTTGTCTTTCATCTTCTATTGATTGCTTGAAACATTTCGATGATTTTCTTAAATGCATATAAAACTGCATTTTCAATTCTGTATGCTGATTTCTTTTTTGTTTTACAAAAAGAACCACTGTACACCGTATTCCATGACGAAGAATGGGGGCTTCCGGTTCATGATGACAAGTATGTATCACCACTTGCCCTATTCACTTAGAATCTAAATGGTCGCTTCCTGTTTCTCCAATCTTTTACTCATTTACCTCAAAACATTTTTCAGGAAACTTTTCGAACTGCTTAGCTTATCTACTGCATTGGCTGAACTAACATGGCCTGCCATTCTTAGCAAAAGACACATATTCAGGTATTACAGCATTTTGATGCGAATGCTACGGTTTCGTTTTATTCACTTTCTGTGGATACTAATTTGTCGCGCTTGTGTTGGATTTTACAGAGATGTCTTTATGGATTTTGATCCGGTGGCAGTGTCTAAATTAAATGACAAGAAGATTGCATTGCCGGGAAGCCCTGCAAGCTCTCTTCTGTCTGAACTAAAGCTACGAGCAATTATCGAAAATGCACATCAAATCTGCAAGGTATATGTCCCCAATCCCTTATTGGTATCAATTCTGCATCCTAAGTTAATCCTAAGTGCTTAAAAGTGGAAATGTTCGATGAAAATCCACATAATGTATAAATGAATTGAGAGAATTTGTCGAATACCAATGTTAAGTGTCCATGGACAAAAGAATCTGTACAATCTTTCGAACTTCTCCTGCAGATTATAGATGAGATCGGGTCATTCGACAAGTACATTTGGAGCTTCGTGAACTACAAGCCTATCGTTTCTAATTTTCGCTATCCTAGACAAGTCCCGATCAAGACATCGAAAGCAGATACCATTAGCAAAGACCTTGTCCGAAGAGGATTCCGGGGAGTTGGCCCTACTGTCGTCTATTCATTCATGCAAGTCTCGGGAATCACCAACGACCATCTCGTCAGTTGTTTCCGATATCACGACTGCATAATCGCCAGCGATATGGGATGTAAGAACAACGACGAGACAGAATCCAAGAATAAAGACAAACCATCCGAAGATCAGCTCGATTTATCTGGAGACATCGATGATTTAAACCTGTCGAGGTAGGAAAAATCTGTGTCTCATTCATTCAGTTTATCATCATCGATATCCCGCAACACTTTTCCCTGCTTATGTACAAATCCTTATAAAATTGTTTCCTCCAATTCGTGTATATTACGATAGAGCTTGCTCGCAAACCCGTCTGAAAATGTGAATTCGCTCGATAATTCTTACAGTTCCAATACAATCTCAACTAGGAAAATCGAATCGAAGATGTCTACGCTACACGAGAACTTCTCAGGAGGTTACCCATCGTAGTACAATATCACTATTTTCTGCTTTAACTTTTTCGACTCATTTCAAATGAATTTGATCGCGTCTTTTCTCCCGTCGCTAACGATATATATATATATACATACAACCGGCATTGATCGATCCTGCTGTCGCTACCATTTCTCCGTCCGATTCTTCTGCTGAAGAAACTTCCCGGAGATCGCCGCCGCCAGTGCGGCTTTAAAATTCGGATCTTGAGTCAATGTATTCGCCATTTGTTCCACAAGGTAATGCTGCAATTCTTGCCCATCAATTTTGCCTTCCTGACTAAGTTTTGGCTTAGTCGGATCGGTCGTCACTCCGGAGGACCCGACGCTGGTCGAGCAAGGCGGGGGCGGCGCCAAGGTTCGATTAGTCCCGGTAGCGGGAATCTCCGATTTCGACGAGTTTGGGTGGTTGTGTTCCCCCTCATAAGTTGCTACTACAACTGATTGATCCTCTACACTTCTCTGGACCTGAAAATTGACAAAAACATACAAAAGACACCAATGAAGAAGATGAAACAGAAAAAAGACACCATTTTTTGTCTGAATTTGAGGTTGTTTTTTCGAACCTTCTTTTTGACAGGACAGCTTGGAGCAAAAGAGCATTTGAAATAAGCTCTTGGACAAGGATTGTCTCTTGTAACCTTCTGTCCGTACTTCCTCCATTGATAACCATCCTTCACTATCTGCAATTATCGATCAGGCCATGAATAAACAAATCCTTTTTTTTTTTTTTTAAATCACTGCAACAATAGACGATGAGGTTCTGTTGTTCTTACAAGGCTGGTGTCGGAGGGGTCTGTACGGACATAAACGCGGGTAATTTTAGCCTTGATGTGTTCTTCCCTAGGCTTCTTTGAAGAAGAATCTTCATCACTTGAGCTGCACTCAGATGGCCCAATATTAGCAGCAGCAGATTCATTGTTGTTGTTGATAATGGCTTCTGCTTTCCTCTTTCGAACATCATTTGGAATTGGAGGATTCTTGGCTGTCTGAACCACCAATTGGCTCCTCAATTCATTGTAATTTTCACACAAAAGTGTAAGCATTTCTGTGAGCTTCTTGTTCTCTGCACTAACTCTGTTCAGCTCCTCAATCAAAGCTCCTTTCTGAGACAAAACATCCAACACGTTCAGGGCATAAAACTTGGTTAAATTTAAACCCCACTTTCTTTATTTTATTTTTTTTTGCATCCATTAATAATTAATTACCTCTTCTTTCACATTCACTTGTCTCCTAAATCCAATGAAATCACTCTCCACCACTTCTTGTTTCTAAAAACACCATCATCATCATAAGTCTCTAAAATTAAAAAAAATATATATACTAAAATTAAAATTCAAAAATTGAAAATTGTAGATACCATTGAAGAAGGGGTTTCATCAAGAAACTTGATGGGCTTTGAGTTAAGATCCAATGAAGCAGCTGCAGCAGTGTTGTTTGTAAGAAGACTGGTGAATTCCATAGCCCCTTTTTGCTCAAACGCCAATTGGATCAAAGACAAGGTTTTGAGAGGATTATAAAGACACCCACAACTTGTGTAGGAAGGTTCTGAGGAAGAAGAAAGAAGAACCACACGGATAAAATTAATTAATTAAATAAATAAGAAAAAGGGGCAAATGGGTAGAGAGACCAGAAGACAGAAAAGAGGTGTAAATTGGTAAGATCTGATTTAGAAATCAAAAACACCCACACACACTACTACTACTGAGTCAGTGTGGGGTGGGTGGGGTGGGGTGGGCAAGAAAAGTATTAAACCAAAACCATAATCTTGTCGGTTCATTTCATCCAAAAGGGATTTTGTCAAAACAAATTAAAATTTAAAATAGCCTTGAAAAACAGGCATTGAAATGTTGAAATTCTTGGGGCAAAGTCAAAGTCAAGCCCACCTAAGAAAAAGGGTAGTGAAGAAAAGGCCACACCAATTTAATTAATTAATTAATACTTCATTTCCTTTGTAATAATACAAATATTCCTTTGTGTTTATTTGATTGGACACGAATTCTAATAAAAATGAATAATAATATTTTTTTATAATAAAAAAATATAATAATTTTTTATTTAAAAAAATGAGAATATTTTTTTGATGACGACCTAAAAAAATGAGCATAAATTGTTGAATTTAAATGTCTGATCCTTAAAGCGGAAGCGTACCTGATGAAGCATATACAAATCTTGGGTAATTAAAGGTTTGGTCTTCCAAGATCAGAGAGCCGGTTTCCTTTCTGTCCTTTACGGGTGAGGAGCCGAAACTGCAGGGAGAATCAGATATGGCGTGCTGATCCTGGAGATCTAAACTTAGCCTATTTATAATAGGACAAACATAATTGCAATTACAATTATACCCTTAATTAATATCATTAATTTATCACGTCACGAAAATAATAATATTATACGGGTAGCTGCAATTTCATTCCATAACAATCAAACTTATCGGTCAAAAATTAATTAATTAGATCACTTACATAATAAGACTGAATAAAATAATAACTTTAACAACATATTCGATACATATATTTGATCCCAAATCCAACATAAATTTGAAGGATGGATGGAGTATATTTTTGTAACAAGAAGAAGCAAAGAAGCTCAACTTATTACATACAATCTCCATTGACCATTCTTTCCTCTTATTCTTTTTCCACTTGTCCTTATCTCCTCACTCTGTGTTTGTAATAACAAATCGAGGGTACTTTCGGTATTTCATCTCTGCTGGAGCGCACGCGCATTTCCCACGTTCCATTTCTCTTTTTATTATTCCTACCTACTAATTTCCCTTCACGCGCTTTACCCCTTCAATTGTTTTTCTTTTTTATTTTCTAATATTGGTGGTTTTAAATTTATTTAATTTGCATTTATTATTATTTTTTAAAATATAAAAAATGAAGAAACCCTAAATTTTGTATATAAATAATAAATTCCACGACTTATTATACGTAGTGGTCTTCGTTTTCATACTAGTGAATAATTTATCATAAGTATAGATGATATGTAGATGGAAATATCAGTTTTTAAGTTTAATGAAATTATTTCATGGTGATTTTTTATTTTTTATTTTTAAATTTTAGAACTTTGCGTTTAGAGATGGACATAATTATTGTATGATTATTAGGACAGATACGCATGCTAATTTTATTTCTTGTTAATAAATTAGTAATAATGAGAACGTCCAATCATTTAAGCCATAATAAATAAATAACCCTTCTAGAAGGAGGAGATCATGATTTGCACACGTTTTTATTGTCCATACCCAACAACAAATTGTTTTTATCATTTTTTTACATATATATATTTGTACTCATATATTTTAAATGATTAATTCAAATACAAGATGTAACCTAAAACAATTAGTGGGATATTTATAGTTAGATTTGAACATATCTTTTAAAAACTTTTTAAAAAAATACATGTAGTTTATATGTACTGTTTTTTTTTTTTTTTTTTTTTTTTTTTTTTAAGGGATGTCAATGGGACGGATTTTGCAGGCCCGGGACCTGCTTCGCTAGAAAATTTTAGGATCCAAGATCTGCTCCGCCCCACTTCAACCCGGTCTCAGGACCCGTCTCGCTCCGAACCCGGAGGGTTCGGGGTCAATCCGATAAATCCGTTTTTTTTTTCAAAAAAAAATTAAAATAATTTTTTTAAATAATTTAATACTAAAAAATATAAGTATGCGTCAAAGTATCAAAAAACTATAGTTCTAATAATAAGAACAATCAAATATTGAACATAGTTCGTAGTGATGGCGGTTAGCAGTAGTCACAATTATAAAGAAAATTGTAAGAGAAACAAATGCGAAAATAAATTTGATTTAGAATTAAAGTTCTATTTTATATTTAAATTTTTTTAAATAAAAAAATAATATAATTTATATTGTATAAAAATATAAATAAATTATTATAATTATTAAAATATTCGGGTTCGGGTCCGGGGTGGGACGGGACGGATTTATAGTAAAACCCGAAACCCGCCCTGAACTCAGCCGGGTCTAAAACTCAAAATCCACAACCCGGCCCGAACCAATTTTTTTAGACCCGAACCCGTCCTATTAAGATCGAGTCCGGAACTAACCCGCCCCATTTGACATCCATAATTTTTTCATCCTTATATATTTATTTGACGTAATAATATTAACTTAAATAAGTATACATTTGAAAATATTTATAATTTAATGTGGTTAAAAAATAAATAGGTAAATGGTATTTCCTTGTATGGGCTAATTATGTTATTTTATTATTAAAATTAAGAAATAATAGTAAAAGTTGTGGATAAAAAATAAAATAGAAGTATTAAATAACTTTATAAAAAAAAATGATAAAAATAGTAGAATAAAAAAACAATGAAAAATTAATTATTATATAATAAAATTAAGAAGAAGAGTAAAAAAATATTAGCATGATTATAACGAGAAAATTGCATATGACATTGAAAAATTGAATTGAGTAATGTAGGAGTCACCAAGTGAGTCTAATAATCCTTTCATTTCATAGTACAATTTGTTAGAAAATCAAATGCAATGAATTGAATTAGGATTTAGGACAACGTGTCAAAGTTTGCTATGTTTATATATATCCAATAAATATTTTTATTTTTATTGAGAAATTGGATAGATTTTGGGGCTTTGTAGACGACTTTGAAAATTGACACGAATTCTGTACTTACGAGGTGGGGATCTTACAATTCTTTTTATTATTATTATTATTATTATTATTATTATTATTATTATTATTATTATTTCAAATATATGTAAATATAATTATATATTTACCAGAGCTGTAAATATAAATGAATTGATTGCGAATTCAATTCAAAATTTAATGAAATTTTGTTAGGGAATTTTAAAAAGTCCATCACAAGTGAAGATTATAGTCTGTTATAATTTGAAAAGTGGATTCATTTTTTATTTTTTTTTCTTTTTGGGTGAATTTATATGTGCAAATTTTGTTGTAGAAAAAATATAAATTAGGATTATACTGTAAACAAGTTTAATTTAAAGAGTTATATATATATATAATAGTAATAATAAAAGCTCGAGTAGCGATTGGTGGTTTAATTGAAGGGTGTGGCAGTGGTGTGACGTAATAAATATTAATAAAGAAAACAAATTATTATGTAATTTAATTTGAAAAAAAAGTCAAAATCTGTGCAACACTATATTGACTTGAGAATGGACTGAATAGCTATCCAGGGTACAAGTGGTGACAGCGTGGAGTCGAACAGGAAGGAACCTGCCCAGTTGTACCTTTGGTTTTTAGTGGGGCCCACGTTTCCAGATTTTTAAGTAGTATTGTTATTATTATTTCTAATGCTCTATAAATAAATATAATATTTAAAAAAATATAAATTAAATAGTGTCTAACAAATCATTTACCATAAATTGAAAATAAATATTTTTTATAAAGAAGTAAAAAATAAACATAAATCTCATGGACAATGAAATACTGCTATTTCTGTATTTAGATTTTATTTATTTATTAGAAAATAAATAATTGTATTTGTTAATTGTTTATTTATTTTTATTATATAAAGACCAAAAAGACAGTAGAGCATGGGAAACAGGGGCGGCTGATTTATTATCTTTAAAATTGCATATTTTGACGGAAATAAAGTAGTCTCGTTTGTTTTATATATAGATCGTATACGGACAATACGACGTCGTCGGAAGAAAAATTTATATAGATTTTTGTATTTTTTATTAATATAATATTTTTGTAAATGCCACTTTTAATGTGGCAATGGTTTGCAAATTTGACACGCCTTTCTTCTTCAACTTAATTAATTAATTAACACTGTATGTACGTAGTAAGTATTAACGTGGGTTGACTTTTGGCGGTGGTTGACTTTCTTTTCTTCAATCACAGACATGCGGATGTAGTTAACCCTCCATTATGTGACCCATCAAAGACTTATTAATTATCTCATGCAGTCATGCATGACGTCATCCAGAAGTTTAATTAATTCATTCATTACCTCAAAGTACAATTAAATCATTGCTGTATTAATTCCTACCTTATGTTTAATTTATTCTCGCAACTTGTTTTTTTTTTTTTTTTTAAAAAAAACTGAGGTAATATTTTAAGGTTTATCTGGTTGGAAATCCAAGAATAATAAAAAATAAATAATAAAACAAAAAATTTGACATAATAGAAATATAAATATAAATATACGTATATTTAATTTAATATAATATAATTTAAGAATAAAGAATAATAATAAATAACATTAGACTAGAACGAACTCTAGGGATTATTACAGTATTTCTTTGTCCGTACTGAATGAATGTTCTTATGATTTGACCTTTTATTTTAATTATCATTAATATTAGTATAAAAAAGGGATGATGGCTTTCTAAAATAATTCAAATTCAGCAGGACCATAAATACGTTTCAAATGTTAGATTGAATATTAATTATGTGGTAAATAGCTTGGTCAATCTACTAAGTCTTTTTTAATTTATTTTTGTAAAGTGTACGTGTGAGATCAGTAGTATTTGTTTATTTAATTATTTAATGATATAGATATATATATGCTTTAAATGAATTTCTTACAAGACACGAAGTGGCCGACATTGGAACAGCAGTTGACGTCGGCGTTGCACATTTCTAATTATGCACACAACTATTAAAATATTATTGTTTTTATTTCAATCTTTAATAAATAAATAAATAAATAAAATATTCACACCAACAAAGATTCATTAATAATCAACCTTGATCTGTTCTGGTTTTTCTTTTTAATTATTTAATTTAATATATATATTTTAAAAATATTAATATACTACTAATGGACATATTTTTTTGTATAGGCGTCCACGACCTTCAATATATTTTAAATAAAATTAAAATAATGACTTAATATAAAAAATAAAAATCAGATTTCAAATTAACAAAATTATTTTAAAATTTTAATATTTCTATAAAATAAACCTAGTCCAAACAAAAGAAAGTAGTGCATATTGCATCAGTGGCTCCAGTATTGGGCTAAGATACTGGGCCATTTTAGACTGGGCCCAATTAAATTTATTAAACAAAAATAAATAAACAAATAATGACTTCTTATATAAATAACTAATTTGAAATATAGTTATGTTCATTAAATAATATGACATGTGAACAGTTACTCTTTTTATATACATTTTTTTTCTATAAAAAAGTTATTATTTATTTTTCAAGAGTAAATTAAAAAAAAAAAATCACACGAAATATATTTTCTCAAATAAATATTAAGTTAATACTTAATTTTTTTATTATTGTCAAAACTTTTGAAACTTAAAAAAAAAAAAAAAAAAAAAAAAAAAACTCCTATTTAAATAAAGTGTGAGTTAGATTTAAGCTAATCATAAAAATCACATATGACTACCAAATCTTGCAATAAAATCTGATTCATCCAAAGTGCCTCTGCTTGCACTTTTCTCTTTTGGACCCAAACCACTTATTTACTATTCTCTACTTTAAATGGTGGGCATATATTAACCCACCTATTCCCTATTTTTTAACTTAATTAAACAAAAATTAAATAAAATAAAATATCCCACTTATTATTATTATTATTATTTTATAATTTGTATTTTCTATTTTTAACTCCATTATTTGTACAAAGATTTTTTTATTGAGAATTATAAACTAATAAAAAATTAAATATTTGATATTATAATTTAAAAATTATTTTTTAATAAATAACGTGAAAACTTTCAAAAATACATATATGAACAAAACATCTTCTTTGATAAAATTTTGTTAAAAATAAACTACTATTAGTTTGTATGTTATACTCTTTACCAATACATAAATGGTATGAATTTATTTTTTATTTTAAAAATATTGCATTCAATTAATTATTTCAGACATAATCTAAAATATTTTAACTCAACAAAGTAAAGAGACATCACTAATTTATAATAATAATAATAGTAATAATAATAAAACACCATGGATTGATTCTGTCTTATAAATAATTGAATTCCATTTTTTGCGGCTTTAATGGGATGCCATTTTTATTTATTTATTTATTTTTTAGCTATATAATAGTAGTTAACTTTGATGCTCTTTGTGTGTGAATAATTAGAATTATTATTATTTTTAAATAAAAAATAATAAATTACTAAGCAGGAATAGAGACATAAGTCACGAGCATTGGTTGAACTATAAATGCTTCAGAGATGGCAGTTTACAGTTGAAGCAATTGGCGAGAGCAGTGGCTACAGCGAGCGAGCCAGAGTAAGCATTTCCATTTCTCGATTGTTTTCCATCTTGATTGCTTTCAGTTTTGATTTGTGAGTATTCCTGGTTTTGTTGATTGCAATTTGCATGTATGGTGCTTCGTCGAACTTCGAATTTTTGCTGTTTTGATTTTAATAGATTGAAATTTTAGTTTTCGCGAATAATTCATTCAGTTACAGAGAGCTTAAAAGCATGGCGGCGCTGCCATCGCAACAGCCACAGTTCATGACCAGAGCTCGAACCAGTGAGCCGCTTATCGATAATATTGAATACGAACAGATTGTTGTACCTGAGGCGAGTTCTTCTTTTGCCTTTTTGTATATATGGATGTATTGGCTATTGATGAGTCGCTATATTTAAAGTTGAGATTTATTGGAACAAAATTTTCAAAAATTAACTACGAGGAAGTATTGATTAATTATTTAATCATCAGTTTCTACTCGATAGGTTGTTCAGTCATTATCTATGTTGTGTGATTAGTTTTTTTGAAGCAGTTTACATGAAATAATTAACTCACTACCAGTTTCTGAACTTAAGCTACATGAGTTTCTACGGTGAAGTAACTAAAGTGATGCAGTAGATATTCTAGATGATCTTACTTACTTCAATGGACTTTTTGTGAAATTAATAAACGACAGACAGATATATATGTTGTCTTGCAATAAAACTCAAAAATGAAAATTTACATAGTTTTCACCAAGATTTATCACATCTAAATAATGCATCTTACTTTTTATGGATAGCATGAATTTCTTTGCGTTCTTTTTTCAACAGAAAGAAAGCTGGAAGAACTTATTTGCATACATGGGTCCCGGCTTTCTTGTCTCCATTGCCTATATTGATCCTGGAAATTGTAAGGCCTAATGATTACGTTTTTACCTTCTTCAATGTAACATCCATGGTTAGTGATTTTTTTCATCTCCTCTGCGTCAACAGTTCAAACTGATCTCCAGGCAGGAGCTCAATACAAGTATGGGGTGAGCAAAAGTTAGTTGTGGATCATGTAAAAGGTTTACTAATTTGGTAAATTCTCTCCTGGCTGATCAATTGTGTATTACTCTATTTATCTCACAGCTGCTATGGATTATATTGTTAGCTTCATGTGCTGCTCTTGTCATACAATCTCTTGCAGCAAACTTGGGAGTTGTTACAGGTTCAGTATTTCTTCAATTGTGTCCTTGCACATGAAAACCAGAGGTTCTTCTTTTTGGTTTGATTTCTAATGTAATGTATCTTCCACAGGGAAGCATCTAGCTGAACATTGTCGAATGGAATATCCAAAGGCCCCCAATTTTATTTTGTGGGTCCTTGCTGAAATAGCTATTGTTGCTTGTGACATTCCTGAAGGTTAGTTATTGTCAATTAAACACACACATACAGATACAATGATAAAGAGATGCTATGCTGCAGTTTACTTCTTGCTCATGCTTTAAGTGATAATGCAAAAATGAGTACCACTTTTGTATATTAACTACAACAATCGTGTTGTTAAGACAGAGGTTGCTAACGTAATGTTGTCATTTGTTTTCTTCACTTTCCCTTGATTATGCTACTTCTCGTTTCAGTTATTGGAACAGCATTTGCACTAAACATGCTTTTCAAGATACCACTTTGGTGTGGTGTTCTTATCACGGGACTCAGTACATTGATTCTTTTATTACTGCAGCAATACGGGGTACTTGAAAGTTTCATGGCTTTCATATAATTATCTCTGTGTTGTGTTAGTAGTAAGCAATGTAAATTTAGGGAAAAAAAAATAATAATAATTGTGTTACACAACCAGTATGATAAGTGATGTCCTGCTCTTTATAAAATCATATGTGAACTTTTACAGGTTAGAAAGCTTGAAATCCTTATTGCTTTGCTAGTCTTCACAATTGCTGGCTGCTTTTTTGCTGAGCTTGGATATGCAAAGCCCAAAGCTCCAGATGTTTTACATGGCCTTTTTGTTCCCCAACTTAGTGGTAGTGGAGCAACTAAGCTTGCCATTTCACTCCTTGGTGCAATGGTTATGCCGTGAGTTTCAATGCATTTTTCTATCAACAAATTGTCTTGCCATTTGATGAGTTCTAACTGTTACTCCTCCTAATTTTGCTTCAGGCACAATCTTTTTCTCCATTCAGCACTAGTACTCTCAAGAAAAATACCTCGTTCTGTTGGTGGTATCAAAGTAATAGTTTCCTTCTTTTTTTATTTTTGGTTGAAGTTATTGCATTTCTGTGCGAAAGCCTTTTATTATTTCTTGTCTTTGCAGGAGGCGTGTCGATTTTATTTGATTGAAAGTGGTTTCGCTCTAATGATTGCCTTTATCATCAATATATCAGTCATCTCGGTTAGTGGAGCTGTTTGCAATTCACCATATGTGAATGCAAATGACCTTCAAAGTTGCAAGAACTTGGACTTAAATGAGGCTTCATTTTTACTCAAAGTATGTGACTAGCATAATTACTGCAAAATATAATACTTCACGATTCCAATGTTTCATCATAGTTCTATGCTATATATTGTTTAATTACAGAATGTGCTAGGGCATTGGAGTTCCAAGCTTTTTGCAGTTGCTTTGCTGGCATCAGGTCAGAGCTCTACAATAACGGGAACATATGCAGGACAATATGTTATGCAGGTCAAATATCTTATTCCACATTTTCATTTAACCATGTATTTCATATTCCTGAATGCACTTCGTGCTACTTAGTTTTTCCTGTTATACTGTTCTGGCAAATTTTATGGATCTATATTGACATTCTTGAATTTACATTCAAAAAATGACCATCATATTTGCCTTCACACCTTGTTTTCTAATACCTTTGTCATGTTTTTCATATAGGGTTTTCTTGATCTACGATTGACACCATGGATTAGAAACTTTTTGACAAGATGCTTAGCTATTGTCCCTAGTCTAATTGTAGCTATTATTGGTGGATCTGAAGGGGCTGGAAACTTGATCATCATAGCATCGGTAAATACTCTTCTTGCCTTCAGCTTCAGTTCAATGTCATAACTACTTTACATATTACAGTCATTTTTGTTTCTTGAAATTTATTGATCTGGCAGATGATTTTATCCTTCGAACTTCCTTTTGCACTAATTCCACTTCTCAAGTTCACTAGCAGCAAGACCAAGATGGGATCATACGCCAACTCAATCTCAGTAAGAACTAATAAAACATCAATCCTTTCCACATATATTAGTACTATCTCATAACATTTTTATTTTGTCATACACTTCATCCTCATTTCGATAAACATCTTGAAACTCCATGTTACACTTACACCCCTTTTCAGGTTTCGGCCATCACATGGATCATCGGCTCCTTCATCATGGGGATAAACATCTACTACCTCGCCGAGAAGCTAGTTACTTCTCTTCAACACAGCCATTTGAACCTCGCAACCATTGTGCTCTGTGGCGTGCTAGGATTCTCAGCAATGCTCGTTTATTTAGCGAGCATTGCGTATTTAGTCGTCCGCAAGAACAAGGAGGGCTCCCATTTGTTGGCACTTACTGCAGCCGAAAATCAAGAAATGGCCAACGATAATGCACAAGTTAACAACCTACCTAGACATGATCTGGTAAATATGCAGTTGCCACAAAGAAGGTCCTCCTCATCAGCTCAAGATGATCTTCATTGAAAGCTGCTGCAACCATTATCTGGTTTGTTTTCTTATTTATGACTTCAAAATTCCTTCACTTCACTTAGATATATTAATTTGTCAATAAATTAAAATGTAACCATATTATTGACAATGCTTTAGATTGATGATCGTGTCCTCAAATAGGTACAGGTAATATTTAGGATTTCTAATACAAAACTTGAAGATGATCATTTTTTTCTGAAGGCTTGTAACTGTGTGGCACAAACACATTGGTATGAATTTCAATTTTGAATTTTAAATTTTGAGTTTTTTTTTTTTAAGTAAAGTTTTTTTCATGTGAGCTCAGGGAATCATCGCATGCTTGTATATTATTAAAAAAAATGATAAATAACACGAAATTGAAATTGAAAATGATATTCTCAAATTTAGACCAGTTTTCATTCAGGCCATCATTATAAAGTAGCCCAAATAGATGTTGGGCCGAAATAAGGTCCAAATAAAATTTGGGCTATTATTTTAGTGGCCCAATTACACATAAATGGCAATGGCACTGTTGCTTGTACTCTGATCCATCCACCACGCCTCATATCATATGCCATAGTCCATAGACTATAAAATGGAATTATTTATTTTATTTATTTTTTCTAAAGAAAGAAGGGAAGTGGGGAAAAAAGAAAAGCAAAGGTGCATCTGAGGCCACGTTTGGTTGTCGGGTGCATTTCCAGCATCTATATATATATATATATTTCTCTCTTTAGTTTCCTTTGATCAAAGATCAGATCATACCACAAAATCTCTATTAATTAATTAATTAATATGTAGTTTTGGTTGAAACCTTGATCGTTTCATCCCAAATTTCATTTCATGACAAACAAACCAGAAGAACAGAAGAGAGAGATAGAACCTTCATCATTTATTCATTATTCATATACATATATAGAATTATAGATGCAGATGCAGATGCAGTGCACACAGCACAGCACAGCACATAGACAGCAAAGCCCCAACCTAATTAGGGGAGGGGGCCCACCATTAACAAACCATGCTAAATATACCCACATACAAAAATTAAAAAAAAAAAAAAAAATCGTTCAACCCCACTCCAATCACATCACATTCATACACAAAACCCATACACTAATAAAGAAACCCTTTTTATTCCATTCCCCAACCCCATTCAATTTAATTAATAACCTCTTTCTTACTCTAAAAAAAGAAAACAACCCCACGACAGAGAACGTTTGAGATTTAATTTCAATTTTATTTTATTTTAGTTGTAATTAAAGAATTTCTATTAAAAAATACAGTGAAGAAGAATAGACCAAACTCTCGTTTCTAAAGTGGGCCCGGCCCATTCCTCTTTGGTCATCCTTTTTAATACTTTTCCTTTTTTCCTTTTTTTTTTCAAGAAAACAACAATAAATTATTTAAACGATGAAATTAAAATTAGAAAATGGGATTTAATTTAATAATAATAAATAAATAAAGAGGTAGTCGTCTCTAACCTCTGTTGTAGAGTTAAAATGGGAAGTATCGGTGAGTAGTGTTTTTTCTCCTTCCTTAGCCGCCTTACACTCCTTATCATTTTTCAAACCCTAATCCCCTTTTACACACGCACACACACACATATATATATATATATATACCCCCTTGGGGTAGTACGCCGTCGGTGTTCGTCTGCGAGCAATTTGGTACTGGATCTCGACGTTTTCGAGCCAAGATCTCTCCCTGCCTGTTTTGATTTAGGGTAAGTTTCTATGGTTGAGGTTTATCGAAATTTTTGACCTCGATTTGGGTTTATTTTCAAGGGAATCTGGGAATTAAGTGAGAAATTAGCTTAGATCTGGACGAAGGATCGCCGAAAAAGTTGTAAATCGTTCTAAAAGTTTGGAGGGTTATGAGGTTTTGTTGGGTAGGGTTTATGCCGATCTCGAGCTGATTCACGCTTCTCTTCAAATATTCTGCAGATTTTGCTTGGAAACCTCAGATCTGTCTGGAAATTGGAACTTTGACTTGACTGATTCGGAGGGTGTAAATCTGGAGATTTCGTACTACTTTAAGCCAAAATTGCTCAGATTTCGTTCGTGAGAAATGTCTCTTCTTCCCAAAAGCGATTCGATTCAAATCCGGGAGGTTTGGGCTGACAATCTGGAAGACGAATTCGTTTTGATTCGTAACATTGTCGATGAGTTTCCTTACGTCGCCATGGATACCGAGTTTCCTGGAGTGGTTATCAGACCGGTGGGAAATTTCAAAAACTCTACTGATTACCATTACCAGACCTTGAAGGATAACGTTGATCTGCTGAAGCTGATCCAGTTGGGGCTAACCTTCTCCGATGAGCAGGGGAATCTTCCGACTTGTGGAACAGATAAATACTGCATCTGGCAATTCAATTTCCGCGAATTCAATCCAAATGAGGATGTCTTTGCGAATGATTCGATCGAACTGTTGCGCCAGAGTGGGATCAACTTTGTGAAGAACAATGAGAATGGTATTGATGCAAGAAAATTTGGGGAGCTCTTGATGTCGTCAGGGATTGTTTTGAATGATAATGTGTTTTGGGTGACTTTCCATAGTGGATATGATTTCGGGTATTTGCTCAAGGTGTTGACATGCCAGAACCTTCCGGACACGCAGGCCGGGTTCTTTACTTTGATCAAAGTGTACTTCCCTGTGCTTTTCGACATTAAGCATTTGATGAAGTTCTCAAACAGCCTTCATGGTGGGCTGAACAAGCTGGCTGAGCTGTTGGAAGTTGAAAGAATTGGGGTTTGTCATCAGGCGGGTTCCGATAGTTTGCTCACTTCTTGCACTTTCAGGAAGCTGAAAGAGAATTTCTTCAGCGGCTCGATGGAGAAGTACACCGGTGTGTTGTATGGATTAGGAGTTGAGAATGGACAGAGTACTTATAGCTAACTTTGTTGTGGAAAAAACAAATTAAATAAACAAAAAATTTAAATAAATTTGTGAATTTTATGTGTTGATTAAAACTACATGTGTTGTGCACAGCTTGTTAATGATGCCACACTGTTGTACAAGTTTCTGCAGTGCTGTAGTTCTTGAGATTTAAATTTAAATTCTGCTTTGTTCTTGGTCTTCTGTATGTTTGTCTTATATTTTGGTTGGATTCTTGCAATGTTCAGTGATCTGAAGTTGTCGGATTTGCCGAGCCCTGGGGTACAGAGAAGTGTTTAAGCTTTAGGCTTTGCGGGCATGGTGATGTATATATTTAGCCGTGTGCCATTGTTTTGTATTAAACAAAGTTATTTTGTTGTGTAGCAATTTGATTTTGCAGGGCCAGATGACCTGTAAGTTACCAGCATTCTTTGAAAGTCAGTGATTTATCTACAAAATGGCACATGTTGGTGTAGATCGAAGGTGATTCATGAAGTAGCAAGTGCCCGCCACTGGATTTGATTTTATTTCATTTTGTGTTTTGGTTTACCCCTTGCTAATTCTGATGTTGTCTTTTCTTTGCAACAGAGACATATCTGCAGAGCGACGAGTGGAATTTGTGGACAATAGTGATGCGGCGTCAACCAATTTCTACTGCTAGAGGTAACATTTTACTAAATTTCCCTTCTTTTACTACAGAATTAACAGTTGAATCTGCATTTTTTGTATTTTTTTATTTTTTATGATTAGAGGGGAATGGAAGTATTGAAAGTAATGAATTAGTGTCTTCATGGCATGGCTTTGATCTTGCAAAGTTGTATCGATATTCTTAGAGAGATATGTTAGTAATGTATAATTTGAGTTCTGAAAGGATCCTTGTCTACAATCTCACAATGGATATATATATATATATATATGTATATATTAAATCCCTAAATATGATAGCAAAAGCATTTGATAAAAGAAGGAAAGGAATGATGGTATTTGAGAGTGGACTCTCACTTATTACGCAGAGATATTCAGACAAGGAGATCCATTGACATCTCAAGCTCCATTTCTTGAGCAATATATAAAGCCATTATTGCCGTTTTTTTTTTTTTTGTTTTTTCTTCTACATTTCATTACCAAACAATGATGAATATCTAACTGCATTCATTCATGTTTCACTTATTCAAATTTTCTCTTGCAAACTTTTTGGATGCGTTTCGAGGATCATTTGTCGTCGAAGCTTGTTTTGTGATTCACATGGTATCAAAGTGGTTAAATTATGCTTGTTTGAGTAAAATTTTCATTGGGTTTTGCTTAAAAGATATGAACCTTTATTAATATGTTGGCAGCCTTGATTCGACTCTCATATTGATATCATCTTTATGTGCAAGGGTTAGGATCATTTGTTTGATTGATTTTAAAATTGTATTATTGAATGATGACATAAAATATTTACCAAGCTTTACACGAAATTTGCTGAACTGTGAACCTTCTTATAAATATATTGAACTTAATTGTTGAATTATAGTTTAAATCTGTTAAATATATATATTAAAATATATTTGATCATATCATACGACTCCCACCGTCATCTTCATTACAAAGTTGCTAGTCAATATCTCTGCCAGCTCAACCATGATTGACGCCATATATATATACACTGAGATTAAGAAAGTAACAAGTAGTAGTAGTTGAAATATGTACAACTGATTCTCACCAGACAGCAGATAATGAATGATTCATACAAGATATTTTCACCACTTATGATGATTACATTTATGGTGCTTTGACCTTGACCTACACACAAATCATACATTATCATTAGCTTTCATATGCATAGTCAGTCAATTCACTAGTTATGAAGAAAATTCAACACCCATATTTTGACAAAGGGATTTTCCATTCCAAACACCCACAATAATTAACAACACAAAATAGCACTTATTAGTAACTGAAACACAATCAAGAAATGCCAAAATAAAATAAATCATGATCATTGAATGAATAAACACATAAGCAATCAGGGTGTCAGAAATACTCATCTTTATGCCAACTTTAACACACTCCACGTGGTTGTGTTCATCCACATATTGCTCTATTTGGCCTAATATGTGCTCACTATTCATCAACAGTCATCGTTCTATAAGAGCTTTTGCATGCATCACCCTATATAAAAATTGCATAGCATATCTTCCCACTATGGAGACAAGGTGGAGTGAGCATCCATGTGATTGTGATGTTGATATAATATGATCATGAATGAAAATTAAAGGGAATACAATGTTTCACCAATCAAAATCCAAATAATTTCTACATATTTATCTTTTTCCCTCTTGTTTTTTTCTAAGGGGGCTTTGACACCCTAACTATCTTGGATTTCAAAAATCCTCTAATACTATACATGTATCAAGTAGGCCCTTTACTTTAAAATAGAAATCACAATTATTTCCACTAAACTTTTAGAGGGCTTTTTTTAACATTTCCAATAATGCTAAAAGTTGTTTCTATTGCTAATCTTCATAGCTTCACACCAAACATTCCCTAAATGTGTAACCCAAAATAGAGAGTATTGCCCTTTGGACACTAAATGTCAAAGATGACATGAGAAAAGCAGATCAACACATTTAATGGGGTATGCATGTCAAGAATGTGTTTCTTTCATTAGTTTAGTTCCTATCACAACTTTACCACACATGCACACCTTCCCCACCTCTAAGTTCTGTAATTCTGAGATCAGTCAATAAGACCTAATGGTTTAAGTTCATCAAGCTTTCAAACAAACATATAATATTACAACCCCACGCTTTGTTTAATTCCCACAAGAAATGTAGATCAGGTTAGAGTAGGGCCTAACTGCTAATTATAAATAGATGTTCTAACCATAAAATCTCTCCCATCTAGATGGTACCATATAATCATATCATATTCCATACTTCTTCCTCAACCCTCTCCAAAATAACTAAACTTAGCCTGAAGAATTCAATGATCAAATGGAAGCAGGCAAAGTTCAAGAACAAGAAGGGCTCACCAGAATGATCGACTGCTCAGATCGCCTGGTGTTGGATCTAAACCTCTCGAGCAAGGAACTAGACGGAAATTCAAAGCAAGAGCTCATCCTTTTCGACAAGAATGATCAAGCTCAAAATGCCGGGAATGAATCAGACCAACCCCGGGTTTTTCCATGCAACTACTGCAACAGGAAATTCTACAGCTCACAGGCTCTTGGAGGCCATCAAAATGCTCATAAACGGGAAAGGACCATAGCCAAGAGGGGAGCAAGTAGCAGTATCTCCTTTGGAAAACATCGGTACCTTAACATGGCCTCTCTCCCTCTACACGGCTCTGCTTTCAACAGGTCTCTTGGAATTCAAGCTCATTCCATGATCCATAAGCCAGGTTTTACAGTCTCGACATCATCTAGTTTTGGTAGGATTAATCCCATTTACAGGCATTCAGGGTCAGTCCGAAAGCCGCTTGAACAGCAGCCAGCAGTTGGACGGCTAATTGCATTGGAAAATCGCCAGGTTATACCATCTTCTACTGGACGAGTGGCCTGGTTTGACGGTGGTCAAAAGCTTTCTCCAGCAGTAGATCGATTCGGAGGTGGATTCAGATGGGATTCCGGCTTTCATCTGAAGACTACCAACAAGGAAGAGTTGAAGCCATTAGACTTATCTCTCAAACTTTAGTGTTCTACTTTTATGTCTCATGTAACTTTCTAGCCTTTCTTAATTCTTCATATGAATTAATTTCTGTATTAGACTTTTTCTGTTTTTTGGAATTTATTGCTGTTTTTTTCAGTTTCTGTATACATATTTATGTATAAATTCTCAATGTAAATTGCAGTATAGATTTCCATCTCCAGAGAGTAAATTTGGTTCATTAAAAGGAAAGAAACCTATACTTGAGCTATTTTCAGGCAGATCTTGCAATCTTACAACTGAATTGTTTGAAAAATATTCCAGATTTTTTTATTCTTTAAGTCTATTATAAGACACCACCACTACAGAGATTATCAATCATTACACTCTAAGAGAAGAGAGAATATGCAACAAATTATTCATGCATATCTTCCTAAAACAATTAGAACCATTGACTCAAAGCATACACTACATATTGGATGGTTAAGATTTGCCCTGGACCCTAACAAACAGTATTGCTATGGCCCATCTACAGTTTAGCAGAAATTGACTTGCTGAGCATTGATGTTTCTCATTTGGAATCTTAAAGTAGTGTTTGGTTAATCTTGGATAGTTTTCCTTAACTTTCAATGATGGATTTTTATAGAATATAAATAATCCTTAAGCTCCTAAATTACATCACCTTTCCCAATTAAATGTTCACAAAACTGGAATCTTAACTTGGTGGTTGGGCCAAATCATTGCCAATTATAGTCATGTTTCATGTTAAACATAGTATTGATCATTTCACTCTCAAGAAACACAAACATATCTAATCCAGATCACACATGATCTTATTTTAGATGGCTTCTTTTTCAAAGAGTGTACACTACAAGTAACGTTCCGAGAATGCATATTTAATTTCATCGTACACCTAACATCATATAATTTCCTTAACCATACCTTTTTAAAATGTGTTCATATAATTTCCTTAACCATAGCTTTCAAGAAAGGGTATCCTTTTTACACAGTATTTTCAATAATGCATAATTAATTTCATCATACAACAAACATCAGGTATCCTTAATGTTTGCCATAAATTCTATAGCAAAAAGGAAGCTGTACTATCATTACATGGTTTGTTTTTAGGTTTTAGGTAATGATTCAGATGGTTATGTATGAGAAGATGATTGTTTGTTTGGAGGATTGGATTGGATTTACACTATTCATCCAATTTTTCCCTCCCAAAAAATCAAATCAAACACCTATTTTTTATAATTTATATTATACTAAAAATCAATTTTACATTCAAAACATCACATCAACACCTATTTATATCACATCATACAACTATTCAAATATAAAAATTTTTCTATTCAAATCCCAACTCAAAATCTAAACCCCCAAACAAACACACAAATTCTACATAATGATATGCCTTAGGAAAGTAGCCCCAACGGCGTGCTATGTAAGAGGAAATGATGATGTGGGGTTGGTGGGTAGAACACCAGCCTCTCTAATTATATCAAGGACTACGAAAAACACACAAACAAGTTCTTTAAAGTGTTTCTGTGAGCCATCAAACCTTAATATATATGTGGGACACAACACATAAATCATACCTGGTTTGACACTTCCTAGTTAGAGGATGTTCTTATTCACTTTGTTTCAATGAGAATAATCTATGTACTTTAACAGTAAACAACCCCAACTACATCATTTCCTTGATACAAACACAAATGACTTTTATAAGCTCCTATTTCTATAGTCATTTAATTAAAGCAAAAGAGATTATTGTGTTTGGATACAGTTTTGAATTGTTGGTGATTTGAGAATAGTAAAAAGTCAGAATGGAAATAAGTGTTGGATATTACTCTCTTTAGAGAGAAATTTTGATGAATATTGTGAAAATAAAATTGAAAACATAAGGAAACAAAGCATTTCAATGAAACATAAGGCGAATCTGACATCAACACAGTGAAACAAGTAACAACCACTGTGTGGATGCAGAAAAATGAAAATAATTACCATATCTCTAAAACTAAGAAAAGAATTCAAAGTTCTTGATTTAACTGATTTTCCTGATAAATTTTGTGGCTTTTAAAACTAAAGAATAGGCTCTTACCCTGAGCAAATGGGGAATGTGGTACCTACTATTCTCAACTGTGATGGGACTGGCATGAAACAGTAGTGTAAATAACTAAAGGAACACCTGCTGTCCCTAACTGTCTATCTTATCCAAGAGGACATTGATCATCTGTGATAAAGTAGTTTTGCTCAATGAATAGATGCTCAACACTGACAGCTTTTGGGACCTCTTACTGACATCATTGGCCATATATTCTCCTAAACACACTCATCACTAGGTCATATCAATCTGCTTTGCCTACATTAGTACATCGTTCATGTGTTATATATATGACTCACCAACAAGATCATTTTTTCAGAGAAATGCACTAGGTTATTTTCTCACTTAGTGGTTTGAGAACGGTAAATTTCAGCTCAATACCTGACATTTTCTTTGAAGACTAGGTTATTCCATTGAAAACATTATATCTTTGAAGACTAAACAAACCAGTTGATAGCATTCAAGGACTACCAGAACAGATTATATGAGTAGAAGCTTTACCAAAATGAAAAGAATTTGACCTTCTCTATCAGGTAGATCAACAAATTCGAATTTACCATCCTCTGCAGCCACTTATTATCCTCATCTGTGTGTACATTGGATCGATGTGGTAACTAATTGTCCACGTCTACCATAATCTGAAAGTAATGAGAGAAACCTATAAGAAACAAATTATCACTACGATCATGCTAAGCATAAGAAGGATTAATTTAAGGGTTCGTGTGTAATTATAAAATACCCAACATCTATTATGCAATGAAGTTGTCTGGAACACAGAATCATCGTCCAAAAGCACATCCTTCATACTTATAATGGTCCGAACAGAATGCTACAACTAGAGTAATAGTAAAGGTTTCACTGCAGAAATTACTATGTAAATAAGATTGGCAAATTAAAGACATATGTAAAAAATTGTGAATCGCATTGCCAACTGCCCATGATTATCTAGAAGACTTCAAAACATGGTTATATTTGCCCTTTAAGAGACACAGGGGGAAGAAGCTTCAACAACCTTCAAAAAAACCTTGTCAAGAAGAATGAAATTTCATATGGTAACAAGACAGAATAATGCCTTGGGCAACCTCAAAAACAAGACATTTAAGTATTTGAGAAGAATCTCACCTGGAATACAGGACCTCAAGCCTACATCTTGAAAATTACAACTAGAAACAAGTATTTCCGCAAAATCTTCAAGTCACTTTAATTATAATTTACAAAAAGAATCTGTTCAAGACATGTTGTTCAACATCACCCGATACGGCCTTCAATTGGCTAGTTAGAATCTTGTAATGCTTTTCTGCAAAATGCTTCCATGCTACAGTCAATAAATTTTTGAGAAGTAAAGCTAGGCCAATCGCTATTCTGTGCATCCGGGAAGGTCACTCATATATTGTTGTCCTTTTGATTAGTTTGTGAGGGATGAGTAGCTGGTTCTGCTCCTCTTTCTTTTGTAGTCTTCATTGATGATTCATTTTGACTATTATCTGGTTCCACCTGAGTAGCACTTCTATTCTCACCAACTTCTTGTCCATCTGTTACGGATTTACTTGGTTGCTTCTTAGCTACCTCAACAATTTCCTTAACTCTTTCTTCCAGTTTATTTAGTCTTTCTTTCACCTCCAAAAGCTGGGGATTTGACTCCATTTTTTCTTTTTCTTTTGCAGCCTTGAGCTCCATTTCCTTTGCTTGTGCCTCAAATTCGGCTTGTTTCTTTTTCTCCAATTCCTAACAATCAACCATGATGGACCCATTTAGAACCCATGGTTTCGGACTCACCACAAATAGTGCTAGCATGCATCAGAAACAATATCTTTGCATTTTGTGGAATTTAAAGCATATAGTTCTCAAGTACAAACGAATAAAAGCACTGTTGATGTGTCTCTAACATCGAAGACTGCCAATTACTAAAGTATGTGATCTGAATCTTACATTAGCTGTAGAAGGCAAAGAAAATATGTTTGCTTAAATAAATATTTCAGTCAAACACTACATTTTAACATTATATTCTGAGGTGGGCATGGTTTCACTAGTGTGAGAAATGATGCATCAAATAAAAAAAGTATCCATATTCTCACAATTCCCATAGATAACACTGAACACATTTTGTATAACTGATGTTTATAACCATTTATCCATGATACTTCCGCACACAATTTAATAAACTTATATGCTACAGAGGCATGCCTTAATATGAAGAACCCATAAAATGGATCTGTTAGTGTGCGCTTGTGGGATGAGATAGTATCTAGAAGGTAACACTAAAGGTTATTCTTGTTCCTTCTTCATGATTCGCCAATCCATCAAAGTTCCATTGCACATAAACTTATAAGTGGAAAAAACATAGAGTTAAATATATAATAAATTTATCTTTGCAAAGAGATACCCCCAAGAACATGTTTCCTTATTTTTCAGATTAAAATACATCCCAGTATTTCCATTGCAGGCATATAATGAAGCAGTCTCGATAAATTTAATGCATCATTCGCATGTTACATTCTGAATTCATATAAAAATATCACCTATTGACTTTGCTATAGTATGGTATTCAGATTTATTTTGATAAATCATTTCCAGCAAAAGGAGATTCAAATGCAAATCATTATGAGCAACACAAAATGATAGCATACCGCATCCATTCTTCTCATTTCACTGCGAGCATACTGAGCAACAAGATACACGGCTGCAATAGAAATTCAAATAAATAACCTTACATCAGACCGAAATCCAAACCTAAAATCTAGTGTGTGTGTGTGTGTGTGTTTTAATGAATAAATTGATGTACCCAATGATGGCAAACACACAAAGAAGAGCTGCACCAGGTGGAAATCCAGCCTAAAAACCATCAAACAAGCTAATCATCAGCAGAAAACCAGTGAGAATATCCATTCAATGTGAGGTCAACATAGAATAACTATGCTTTTCGCGAGTAAAAGCAGCTCGCTAACACCATAACACGGACGAAACACACCCAAATTTCTTCTTCTTAGGAGGATCGGAAAAGAGAATCTTTGCGGCCGTCGTGAAATCAAGCTTCTCAAGGGCTTTATACTGCTCTCCATAATTGCTCAACGAAGGTGCTGGCGAAGGGGCGTTGCTGCTGCTGCTGCTGCCACTGTTAACGACGGAAGGCTTCTTACTGCTGTTAGTGTTTGATGAACAAAAAGTTCTGTTCAGAATGTATTTCAGCCGACTCGAAACAGAACTGCAATTCGAAACACTCTTCCACCTATAAACCATTGTCATCCTTTTCGATTCTACATTTCACGACGAATCACCATTACAGAAAGTGCAGCGCAGAGAAAGAGCCAGCAGCCTGCAGGGAGAAAAAGTCGCCACGACCAACTGGTGCTCTCAATACTCTCTCTACTTATGGGCCATTTGGGCCTAGAATTCATCATGGTCATTTGGGCCCAGAACTATTATGGGCTGTAGTAAGATAGTGGCCCGGAATAAATAACTGGTGTAAACCCGATAGGCCCAATTTATATTTATCAACTTCTAGCACAAAAATTCAAATCTACTGTGTGTTTGTTTGGGGGTTTGGATTTTGAGTTGGGATTTGAATAGTAAAAATTTTGAATTTGAATAGTTGTATGATGTGATATAAATAGGGTTTGATGTGATGTTTTGAATGGAAAATTGATTTTTAGTATAATATAAAAAATGAAAAATAGGTGTTTGATTTGATGTTTTTGGGGGGAAAAAATTGGATGAATAGTAGAAATCTTATTAAATCCCCCAAACAAACACACCAATATAAACACAATATTAATAAAGCTCAAAACATAACTAGGTTTTTTAAATTTAGCTCCTGTATTTGTTTTTAATTTATATTTGGGCCCCTTGGCCCATTTTAGTTTATTAGGCTTGTTTGGGGTGCAGCCCATTATGGATCGTTAGTTTCTTTATATTATGTATGGGCCTCGCCCATTTTTTACATTAGTAAGTTCATTTTGATAAACAGAGCGTTATGGGCTCTTAGCATAAGTAAACCTGCATTAGACCCGAACCCTACCCAATTTCTGGTCAAACCCGGACCCGGGTCGGGTTGGGTCCTGCCGCGAGTATGAAAATATGTGTATATATATGCATGAAAATGAGCAACATCAAAGCATCAAAAACGCTTTTAACTTTCCAGACATCATAATTATACAAGTCCCGAACACGATTTATACTAGTAAACAATCTCCTCAGTATTGTAGGAGTTGGACGACAGGATGCTCTAAAAAACACAGGACACTGAACTGATGTATGTGCTGGAACGAACAACATCAACTAGTGATCCGGCGAGAGCCGGCGGGCTCAACCGCGCTTGCATCTTAACCATTCGACAAAATTGTCCAGGATCACCGGCCATGCAAGTTCTGGATCATAATTTTGGAGATCCAGGAAGCTAATCTGTTACAAGATCATTATCAATAGGGGGCCTGGATTAATTTCAGAACTGCATTCAATTCCATCATCTGCAAATTCTTAAAATGTCTGCAGATATGTTGAGAGGAAATGAAAGGGATCCAGGAAATTTCATTCCAAGGGATCAATAGTAAGTTACCTCATTGCAGAACCGGCGGAACCCCAACCACTGATCCATGTTAATGACCTTGTAATCAGTTTGTACCTGGATATCATTTTATTAGTTATTTTGGTTTTTCGAGTGTTAGGGAAGATAAAATGCCAAGAACATCTGAGTCACAGGTTAAAGTGTAAAAATAGCAATTGAATGTCATTAAAACATCAAACCTGCAGATACTCAACAAGTGCATCAACTTGAGGCCGATATTCTGATTTAAGAACAAGATCCAGCAATACACAAATTGTTTCGATATCTACTGTTTTCTGCTTTTCCTCTGAGAAAAACAAAATAAAATAGAAAGCCACACGTTAAGCAGAAGAATGGGATGTTCAGCTTCCACAAAAGAGCTCAAAACATTGGTTTGGATACGAAACCTGTCAAGCAATATTTGAATGCATAGGCATAGAAATCCGCAAAATTCGATGGCCCTCTGACCTTTTTACAAGGAGCATAAGAAAGGAATGTGGTTAGTAACTAATTGCATCCAGTACTTGATTTCAGGTGCACCAGTCAGTAAATACGCACCTCTCTCTCAAGGTGTGGAAGTGCCTTCTTCAGTTTAGGCATTGTGTCGGCTTTCAGCGCTTTAAGACCTCTTCGCCACTCATCCTAACAAATAGAAGCAACATATGAGAAGGGAGTACACATCATGTAACAGATTAATTTGGCAAAGTTGTAAGGCTAAGAAATGATTTTTCTATATAAACAATGAGCATTCGAAAAGGAACCTTACCAGGGTGAAGAATCCTTGTTTCCCTGCTTGCATTTTCCTGAGACCAAAAATCTCCCAAGTAAGGTTCCATATGGAAGATACCGATAAAAGATCGATATAACTGTTAGGAAAATTTAAATTCTCTCATACACCTTGTTGGAAATTTTCCAAAAAAATGAATTTTCCGCCTAGAATGTAAGAAAGGCGGGAATAAACAAAGTGCACAAACAATAAAGAAGGAAAAAATATGGGGTGGGAGAGCCCCACAAATGCCGAGACTTTACTCTAAACAATAGAGAATTACAATTTGGACAAAAGAATGATCAGTGGATACAGTCACCATTCCTACCACACAAATATAATTCTTTGAATAACGTTTACAACGGCTACTAGACTTCCAATAAACATTGGATTACAGCAACAATGCCATTAACTCACCATGCGAGCATTAATATCCGCACATCTGTATGATTGACTCCCAAATCTGAGCAGAAATTCTCTATTCCTTCTGGTCTGGTCACAAAGATCCCAAACAAGCAAGAATATAAATAAAATATAGTAGCGAATCACAGACAGCAGAAACGACAAATTTGTCTCTTACACATATAGGAAGACAGAGTAGAGATTTCAACTGCTATTGCATTGGATTTAAAGTTTCAACTTCTAATGATCACAAAGGAAAAAGGGAGCAGACAGACTGGAGAAGAACAAGCTACTAGAGGAACAAAACTGGAAAAGGAAGGTGTAGAAACAAGCAATAGAAATTCAAATCGTCTAGTTCTAAAATTTAAGGGGGTGAGAAGGAAACATCAATTATATCACATCCTCTTTACATAATTTGAAGATGATAGCTTTAGATTTTTCTGGATGAAATTTAATATCAGGTTTCTGGAGAAGAAATATATGAATTAGCAAATTTATTAAATTGATACTCAACGAAGGTTACATTAACTTCATCTAGCATAGCATATATCATCATGTGAACAAATCAGAGTGCATGTTGAGGACACTTACTCAATCATACCCGAGGAGTTGTTATAATATGCATAAAAGAGTTGATCAATCCTCTCCAGCTCTTTGGAAGCCGATCTACCCGAAGCTGACGTGACCAAGAAAAAATGAAAGAATGTCAAAAAGGAACAGTAACAATGTCAGATAATTTTTGTCTTCTCTTTATTTCGTCATAATCATCCCCATCATTCAGGGAGTTCATACAAGCTAATTTCACTCATGAAAAAAATCTATTTAATTTCATTTCCAAAATTCTCATAACCTGCTGTACTCTTTTAATGAGAATAAACCGAATAATGTACAAGCTAGTCCATCAGTTGCCTTTTTCATACACACTTATATCCTTTTATTTGACTAACATTCATAAAATTCTACCACGATGGCATTGTCTCACCTCCATACTTGGGAATTCAGCAGCTCACTATCTCTTTATTAAAGTAATTCCAGCTACACACCCACACTCTTTCTATATTTACATTCAAACCCACCATTGAAGTGTTCAACTGAGAAACTAATTTCACCATTTTAGCAACTCAAGAATGCTTAAACATGACATTTCAGTGTTCTTACGTAAATTGCATTCAGTTGTTGAAGACTTGCTTTTCCCTTTTGACTAAACATTGATTCTTGATTGAGAAGTGCAATCATTATCAAGTGAAAAGGGACCACTTCGTCTCCCAATCCCAAACATTTGTACTCAATTAAAAGCTAGAACCATTTCAAATATATATATATATACATATATATGTACGTATATATCATTCAGAAGGCCATATTTCAATCAGGATCAAAACCAATTGTTTAACAGCATGATAATAACTTCAAACAACAAATGCAGTAGAAAGCAGAAATTACAATTTACAGCTGCAATCCTTTCGAATACAATACTGATAATTGTATTTCAACAGACGGACGTAAAGATCACATTTGTAAATCAAGAGCTAAACAATACAACAGAATCGAGTGTCATTCTCATGTCATGCTCCCAACAGATAAGTAGTATTAATTCAAAAAATAAATAAATAATTCCCGAATTCAATCCAAATGGAAAGGCATAGAACCTGCACGGAAGAGATCCACAGCCGATGAATTGCACGATGCAGCCGCATTCGCGGCGCCTTTCCTGGATGAAGCGCGAGGCATGTTTCAGTTCAGCAATTCCGATTGATTTTATTTTAAATTCAGAAACGCCCTTCTCTTCTCTGTCCTTCCTTTCAACGAAGAAAAAGAAAGAAAAGAGAATAGAGGGGCTTTAGCGAGGAGGAGCGGAATCTGCCCTTCCGAAGGAAGAAACCTCCAGAGCAGAGACGGTGCGCGATTTCCTAAGCGGATCTCGCGCTGCCATGCCTTGAAGGCGGCGTACGATAGCAGTTATGGGCTCAAAAAAAAAATTAATAAAAAATTTGGGCTCTGATCCAAAACTTCTAGAAGTTCTTTATTTTTTTCCTTTTTTTTTTTCAACTTGGGCCAATGGTGCAAAAACGGTTTTAATTTACATATCTAATAATTAATTGTACTTAGAACTATTAAAGAAATCAAATTGTTAATTTGATTCGATTCAGTTCGATTTGAACTCGTTTGCGAAAATAATCGATGGAGACGGTGAGACTCGAACTTGAGATTGAGATCTAACCTAAGGTTTGATATTATGTCGGATATTAATTACCGTCTCATCTAAAAGTTCGAACAATTAAAAAAACTAAGCCATAGAGTCCCAACAGAATTGTATTATTTTACTTGACATAAATAGTTTATCTGTTTATGATATTATGAATATAAAATTAATTTTTTTTTATATAATATAAATTTTATTTTTTTTATTTTGCATTTTTAAAAAAAATATATAATAAATGATATAATTAGAGTTGGAAATCACAAACAACATAGGCTAAATAATGTCAAAAAGGGGTTTTGGACCATACATAGGCACAGACATGCAGTTGTGAGAAAATTGTCTAAAGTTAGATGATTATTGAATAAAATCGAAATGTTAAATAATGAAATAATTGAAAAGGTTGGGAATTAAAAAGGAAAAGCAAATAAAAAATATATGAATGTTTGGATTGATGAGTAAATGTGAAGAAAGGGAAACACTAATGATTTCTCAATGAATCCTTTTGTGTCTGATCCTCAGTGCATGCGCAAATCTTACCACTTTTTTTGGCTTTGTCATGTAGCCCCCTCAAAGCCCTATTACATCGTTCATTATGCCTTATCTAATATATTGAAATCAAATAACATAATTCTAATATTATATAATATAGTATAATACACTCTTCCCATCTCCTACAAATATATATACTTCTTTCGTCCCATATCTATTTCTCAATTTGTCTTTCATACGAAATTTTAAAAATATTTGTATTATATTGAGATATAGTATAAATAAATATAAAAAGAATAAACTAAATTTATTAGTATTGTATGATATAAAATTAATGGCATTTGTGTAATATATTGTAAATTGAAAAGGTATTTGTAATATTAGGTAGATAGTACAGTTACTTAAAATTTTTTTTTGATATTTTGTTATAAGACAGAGCAAAATGAATAAATTGGTATAGACGGAAAGAGTAATAGATTAGTGAATAATACTAAGGTTTTTTTTTTTCATTTTGGTTTTGGTTTTGCTTTGAATTTGAATTTTTTTTTTTTTTGAATTTTTTATTTAAATAATATTTTAATATGATTGAAGAAATAGTAGTGTATAGAGAGAATACAATTATTATAAATTCATTTTTTATAATTATTTTCTTACAAATAAATAAGGTTATGATTACACTTTTTTTGAAAAAAAAAACAACTTATATTATTCATTGAAAGTAATTTTTTCAAAGAAATATTATATCAAATACATATTTTCATTTTTTTTTCAAAAAAAAAAAAATCAAATACTAAATTTCTTATTACCTCTAAAATTCTTCAAAATTTGTTATATAAACTAAGTTATGCAAATTATAATCTAGGAAGAAATTTAAGTGTATATATATATGGAATCATTGTCCAATAGAATGTGACTAGGGAAAATAAACTATAAGAAAATCCAGTATAAATAATTACAAAATTATGTGTATATATATATAATAAATTCAATGCAAAATGCAAGGTGGTGGTAATAAAGTAGTGTTAAGCAATGATGCAAAAAAAACCTCTCATAATAATGATATTGACACACTTTGTTGAGACATATGGAAAAAGTAAAATTGTATGGACTCGGAAATAAAGTCATCAAACTCATTATCATAATTGAAATAATTTCTCATAAATATTTTATATAATATTTAAAATAAAAATAAATATTAATTATTTTAACACAACTGAATTTATTCGAAGTTAATAGACATTAAAACTAAGTAAACATCGAGATGGGGCGCTGAAGTGCGCTCTCGGCGACGCTAATTTAAAAAAATTATAATTAAAGAAAAAAAAAAGGAGAAACTTCTAAAAATAATCCATGATGTGACCACGCCTAAAATGTTCTCTAAATTATGGATAATAAAATGTATTTTTTTGTTAAATAATATTTTTCTTTTTTTTTTTTTTTTAATTTTTGAATTGAAAAGTAAATAAATGTACCCATTATTTAAAATGATTTTAAAAAACAAAATAAAATTCAAGCGTTCTTCGTATACAAAATTTCTGATACCTATAACAAAATGTATGGCGAAAATTATTTTATTTGAAAAGCATACTCAAAGTTATACCATGATGTTGAATTAATAAATATAATAATAATAATAATAATAATAATAATAATCATCATCCATACCCTATTATTTTAACCCCAAAATATTATTATTATAATATAAAATAAAATATATATTATATTATTGGATAGTCTTTTAAAAAAGTGATCAAGGATGACTCTATTCATTGGGGTTTAATTATTTGCATGATTACTACTGATTAACTCCCACCTGGTCATGTTTTTCATAATTATTATGTGTGTTTAATTTGTATACATTATACATTTTCTCAATTATTTCATTGGTATTATTATTTCATTACGTATCTTTATAGCCGTGGCTATTATGGTCAAATATAGCAGCTGTTGCAATGAAACCCCTTGTCGCAATTTTGCATGGATGGGTATGGATATTGGATTTTAATTTTTTTGTTTAAATAATAATATAAATATAATATATATGTTTGTAGGATGAAATAATACTATATTTCTATGAAAAATTATAATAATTTCAAAAAAAAAAAAAAAAACTTGAATAAAATTAATATCCTGTTTATTTTTATTTTCATCCACACCACCTATTCATCGTTTACCGACTTCGAGGAAGTAATTTTTTAGGTTGTCTCAAGTCAAGTCCAATTTCAGTAAAAAAAATGGCCTATGTGGCGATGTACTAATGACTGTGGGGTAATGAGTTCAAATTCCGATATTTTAGGTTTTGTCTTCCATACATCATAGTGTGACTTGTCTTGTGGAGATGAACTAGTAATCGTGAGGTCATGGGTTCAAACTCCGAGATCCTAATGTGACTTATGTTGTCGGGTTCGACATTATCTAAAAAAAGTAATATTATCTGTATCTATGTGTATTTATAAACCCCTCATTAATGATCTTCTACACATTCAACACCTCTCACAAAGAATATACATACATACATATACATATATATGTATATATATAGTCTGTCGTTTTAACAGACATCGCAAAATCTATGAATGATATTTGGTCTGAAAAAGAAACCAAAATGATATATATATATATATATGTATATTTTATATAACAAAGAAGGGTCCATCTCATAAATCCCCTAAATATATATACATACATATATATATATATGTATAGTTATTGCATTGCAGTTGCATGCCAGCTGAACGCCGCAAAGCATTGCCTTCCTACATAAAACTCTCCACACCCCTGAAATTACTCCGTCTTCATTTCCATCTCCCTTCTTAATTACAACATTAATTACATACCTTAAATTCCCCGAACTGACCAACCTCCATTTCATTCTCACACACACAAATATATATATATATATAATATATATATGGCGAGGCCTCAGCAGCGCTACCGCGGCGTCCGCCAACGTCACTGGGGATCATGGGTCTCCGAAATTCGACACCCTTTGCTGTACGTATCTAAATATCTATATATATATATATATATATTCATTAATTTTGGATGCGCAGAGTGACTGTCTCAGCTCAACCTATGGATACACGTCATTAATACACATTGAATGTCTATATATGTATATATCTGTATCTATTTGTATGTATAGGTTGATTAACTATACGTTGGTTTGCAGAAAGACGAGAATCTGGCTGGGGACATTCGAGACGGCGGAGGATGCGGCGCGTGCGTACGACGAGGCGGCGAGGATCATGTGCGGGCCACGTGCGCGGACCAATTTCCCTTACAACCCACACGACCCTCCCTCGGCGGCGGCGCGGCTGCTCTCGGCTACGCTCATGGCTAAGCTCCACAAATGCCACATGGCGTCTCTTGCATTAATGACGACGACGACGACGGCCAAGAATAATAATAAGCCGTCACCGGCGCCGCCGCCGAAGCCGCCAGTGTTCACTACAAGAAATGATGATTCAAACACGGCCGTGTTGGGGAAGAATGATATTAAGCCCCAGCTGGAACTGGAAGACGACAGATTATACATAGAGCAGATGATCCAGGAGCTGCTTGATTGTGGTTCAGACATTGAATTTATTAATTAATTAATTAATAATTAGTTATTACATATTTATATATATATATATGTATGTATGTGTGTAAGAAGAAGCTATGATTTATATATATATATATATCTCGATGGACCGACGAATTAATAAAAATCAATCGATGAATATAATTTGAATGATGAGCAATAATTAATTAATATGTAGTATAATGTATGAATAGGGTTTGATTTGGGTAATAATGGTGTGTTCATATATGGAGGGACAATGCAATTTGATGAAATGAATAACAGCTGCTGCACACTAGTCTAGTCTAGTCTAGTCCAGTGCAGATTCCATCATTTCAAAAAAAATAAAATAAAAATAAAGCATGCAGCTAATTATAAACTGGTACTGTTTTTTCTTCCCCTTTTGACCACTCATAATCATCAGTTCACATGTAGAATGTTTTTTTGTCAATATATATATATATATATATATATATTATACTGGATCGTACATACACATCCAATTTTGGTATATTTGTTGTTTCCATTCACAGATATATATGGGCCTGTCTGTTTCTATGTTTGTATACACTTCACTATCATCTTCTTTAATTTGTGGTTAATACTTTCTAATTTCTTACACCATCCACTACTGTAATAAACTAATTAAGTTAGAATATTTAGGGTGTTAATTAGGGCTGATATTAACATTAATTTTTATAAGAATGTTGAAATATTATTATTATTATTATTATTATTATTATTTTTAAAACAACACCTATCAGATAAAAGAAAATAATAAATATAAGGGCGAGATGCATGAATGAAGGTAGAAAATTGATGGTTTAGTTATGATTCATTTTCCAACATTCATTATGTTCCCGCGTGCAACTTCTCTTCTTACAAATCCATTTGAAAATAAGTTTTTATCGGATGTTTTAAATTGAAAACATATTTTTAATACAAAAAACTATATATTTAATTTGATATTTTTCAATAATTTCATTTTTGTTATAAGATTCGTGCTTGAAAGTAACATTTGTAACAAATTGCAATGAAGTCATAGCCTTATTATTTGTGATATATGTCAACATTCAAATTACACATTGGCATTTTTCTTTCTTGCCACGCATATATTCATTTTGTCTCTAAAAATGGATTAAGACGCGGATATTATGCTAGCATGATATAATATTCAATAATTCTCGGCAACGCTGTCCAAACCGGGTTGCCAATTATCACAAGACACGAGCTTTAATCGTGGCGGTGGAGCCGCCGCCGCCGCTGCCGCTCCTCCCCTCCGATCGGCCGGAAAATAACCCCAATCATCCTCTTTTTTACTACTACCATTTTTTCTCGTCTCATCGCTCGATTTTTTCTTTATTACAGCGTTCATACTCGCCAAACATCCGCTATCGCTCTCGCCATCGCTACTCTTATTCGAACTCTTGAACAACCAACACGGCGATGACAAATCGTCGTCGCCGTCCCTACTCTCATGAAACCGATCATCGGGAGCCGGGGGAGGGTGCTGTAATCGAAGCTTCCTTATCGTACTAACCGGAACCACATAGTATTTCCGGCCGGGCATCAGCATTGTCTCCGGCCGGACAACATCATACGGCTGGCGGAACACGGTGGGATGCGCGACGCAGCACTTGGGGTTGCGTTCGAGGACTTCGGCGGCGGGGATCGGCCTATCTTGGAGCTCCACGTGTCCCCCGGGATGGACGATCTTGATGAACGAGTTTTTGGAGCTGTTACTACATAGCCACCTGGAAATTGAACTCATTTTTGCCTTTGCTTTTCTTCTCGCATGAAATATTGTTCTTAATTAAGCATATGTTGTTTGGATTCGAACCAAATTAAGAATGAAAGAATACATAGGCCGGCCGTGAATATTAATTATTCTGTGGTTGGGATTAAATTAATTTAATTAGTTAAGTTTGATACTGTCGGGGAATCCTATGATTCGTCTTCGTAGCTTCTTATGTTTGGAGTTAACTGTCGGGTTCCGACAACTGTGTGTGTTCTCTGTGCCTATGGTGTGCCGTCGTAAAATTTACTTTATAAGTAAAATAAAAAAGTTCAAAAACAATTTACATTTTTACTGATCAATTAAATATTATTAATTTTTAAATTTACTAATTTCATCCTTGAGTATTTTATACATAAAAAAATCCATTTAAACTACCGGTAAAATAATACAAAATGAAAACAAAGATTGAAATCCAAATAACACACATTGTAATTTAAATTTGTTTATATAACTTTTTGTCTTGAATTTCATGGACGTTTTGGGCCTGTGTACAGAATCCAACTCGTCTGCCTGTCGAACGAACAGGCCACGAGGATGAGGAGAAGCATTCAGTGGGCTCGAAGCAGAATCGGCTGCAGAGTTACAGACGACGTGGCTTCGCCAGAGCTCTGCAATTCTGAGATAATTCTCCCTCCACACGGAATCTGGATTTTCATCCTAAACAGAGTCCTCTAATTTCGAACAAAAGTTCAGGAGCGAGGCTCCCGCCGATCGAGTGCACAATCACCAACGTCTTTGACTTATTCCGCTGGCAATCTACAACTTTGGTTGATTGATGCTGCTGCTGTATGCAATATGATTGGATTAGGATTGGAATCCTCTGCACATCTACCTGCTCAGAAATTCCAAAGAGCTGAAGTTTGTGGTAGGGCGACTGGATTCCTTCTTAGCTGCTCCCAAGGCTATAAGGTCATTGAGAGGAAGCAGTACCGCCTGGCATTGCTGAATTACCGCTCGTTTTCCATCTCTAGAAGACGGCCAAAGCCAATTCTATCTTCAGTCTCAGCTACTGATTCGTCTTCTTCCGATTCACCGGCGCCGCCTGGCTCACAACCACCGAGTCAGGTTTGACTTTGAACTTTTTTGTTTGAGCTAATTTTGGCTCCTTTTCTTCTGAATAATTAACACGCATGTGTCCAGGGTGATTCCGAAAGAAAGGCTCCAGATGTGCAAACCCTAGCTAGGAGGTTTTGGAAAGTGGCTGCTCCGTATTGGTTCTCCGATGATAAAGTTGGGGCGCGTTGGCGGCTTGCGGCTGTTTTTGCTCTGACGTTGGGAACAACTGGAATCAGTGTCTGCTTCAATTATCTTGGCCGTGACTTTTATAACGCTCTTGCCAGTAAGATATCTTGAATTTCCAGTACTTGTTGGTTTCTTTGTTACCTTGTATCCGGTTATTTTGCTACTGTGATTTACCTTTTACACCTTCTGATTCATTGAAGACAAGGACCAAGAACAATTCACTAAACAATTGTTGTACTACCTTGCTGGTTTTGCTGTTGGAATTCCGGTGAGCTCATTGCTCCACTTTCTTAGGTATTGCTTGTTTGAAGTTTCTCTGGATTTGGTATAGGCGTGATGTAGCTTTTTATGTACTTATCATTAATTTGCTTGTGATTTGTTCTTCCTTTAGTTGATTCCCTTTGGAGTGTGGATCCTAATTCATAAGAAAATTCATCCTCCTAGCTGTTGTTTGTCTAGGTTTAGTATATTGCTTGTTGCCTCTAATTCTAGCGTTGGATTTGCAAATCCCATAAAGATGTGCTTAGTTATATATGAACGATGAAAAATAGTTACCACTGTAATCTTAAAGTGTTGTTTAGCATGTTTGATATAGAGGACCTAGTCGGTATTTATTTTCTTGGTACTCTGGAAAACAAGCATTATTGAGTATCTCAAGAATCTGTCTTACGTTTCTTATCTTCAATAGATGCACGTTACCTTTTTGCCTTCAATACTAGCTTTTACAAATTTTTGGTATACTATATTATGTTACATGAAGGATATAGAGGATCTGGATCATTCATCATTTTCTTTTGTTCCACTTGTTTTTCATCAACATCTACCCCCCCCCCCCCCCCCCCAGTAGATCTAATATGTGCTTGGTCAAGGATTGCTTCTTTTAATTTTCTTCTTGCTACTGTTTTTTAGAAATTCAGCTATAGTGTTAAAGTTCTCCTGATTTCATGTCATTTTTGAATTTATTGCTGATCAGGTTTTTGTTGTGAGAGATTATGCCAAAGATACACTTTCTTTAAGATGGAGATCTTGGATGACAAGCTATTACATGGATCGCTATCTGAAGAATCGAACATTTTACAAAATACAGTCTCTGTCAATAATTGATAACCCGGATCAGCGAATTGTCGATGATTTAAGTTCTTTTACTGGAACAGCTCTCGCATTTTCCTTGACACTCTTCAATGCTACTGTGGACTTGATATCTTTCAGTAACATTTTATATGGTATCTATCCTCCCCTTTTTCTTGTACTACTTGGTTATTCTCTTGGTGGAACCGCTCTCAGCATCTTTCTTGGGAAGGTAATATTTCATCTTTGAAAAGTTTTCTAGCCATGATTATCACTATTATGTCAGTTGAATAGTACTTTGTCCTAATTCCAGTTGCCTGTCATTTTTATTTTTTTATTTTGGTATTATTTGTATGTGAAAGTTTTGCTTCTGAATAACAAAATGTTCTTCTTCAGGGATTGGTGACTCTAAATTTCTTGCAAGAGAAGAAAGAAGCAGATTTCCGATATGGGCTTGTGCGCATCCGAGAAAATGCTGAGTCCATAGCATTTTATGGTGGGGAGGGCAATGAGATGCAGCTACTGTTGCAACGGTTCCGCAGTGCATTTGAAAATCTTTCGGTATGGAAAATGCTTACTTATTTTAAAAGAGTGCTTACAAGTTTTATTCTATTTGGTGCTGATATGTACTTTTGCTTCCTCCATGCATGTGAAGAATTTGATACTTTTGTGGCAGCAAAAGGCTTTACTGAATTTTAGAACATAAAGTAGCCAGGGACAATTTGAGAGATTCAATATTAAACATATAGCTTCAAAGTGGTGAGAAATATATGCGGAGAAATGTGCATACTCTTAATCTGTTTTCTGTTGAGTAAATATTGTTAGCGTAGTCTATACACAGGATTAAGAACATCTTTGTTAGGTGGCAATACGCATTGTTCATTGACTCTTCTTAAAAATTGGTTTCAGAACAAATGTGTGATGCTTGATATCATTAATTAATTATAATGATCATTTCTATGCTATCTTTAACTTTTACAGAAATTGTTGATATCTTCCAGAAATCTGGAGTTCTTCACAAACGGCTACAGATACTTGATACAAATACTTCCCGCAGCTGTTGTGGCTCCGATGTATTTCTCCGGAAAAATTGAATTTGGTGTCATAAATCAGTCTGTGTCTGCGTTCAATCACATACTTGGAGATTTTTCTCTTGTTGTATACCAGTTTCAGGCTATCAGTGCCTTCTCTGCCATCATAGATCGACTAGGTAAAGTACTTCCCCTCATACCCACAAAAGTAAGGTGTTAATATATGCATAAAGAAGTACAGAGATATCTTAGAAGAAGATTGATATATTTAAATATGAACAGAGTTAACGGTTACAATTTTTAAGAAAATCATCATAAGGAAGCAGTATTATCTGTAAGTTCCTTCAAGTGAGGCTGCTTAGTTTTCATGCCTGTACATGTCAATGACATCTCAGTAATTAAACTGCATAATTGGCCATAAGTCTATTAATTGCGGAAAATGAATAGTGTTTTGTTAAAAGAATTCTGATGTATTATATCATGTATTAGGTGAATTTGACGACCTTTTAAGTAGTAGTGAATCAAGAAGTGATGATGAACTCCCTGAAGAAATTCGTCGTGAGCACTGCAGTATTAGCAAACCTGGAGACTCTAATGGATCTATGCCCCTTGGTAGAGGTTCAAAGTTACTAACCATCGAGCATTTGACCTTATTGACTCCAAGTAAAGCAACTCTTATTCGGGACTTGTCCTTGGAGATTTGTGAGAACGACCATGTTCTGGTTAGTCCTTCACTTACTGTCTGTGATTTCAGCTTAGGATATTTTTTGACATTTTAAGGTTTGGATTGATTCCTGGTGGATAGCTGCATTAACAGATTACAGGACCGAGTGGCAGTGGTAAAACCTCGTTACTGAGAGCTGTAGCCGGTCTCTGGAGCTACGGAAGAGGAACCATCACATTCTTCGAAAATGATGGATGCAACTCTTCTGAAGTACCTTCGGTGGATAACATCAAGAACAGTTACGATGAACCAGAAAACAGCAATGCAAGAGGTGTATTTTTCCTTCCACAAAAACCATACATGGTTTTGGGCACTCTTCGTCAACAACTACTTTATCCCACCTGGAGCGTCGACATTGATTCTGCAGCACTGCAAGACAGTGAAAAATCGAATGGTAAAAAAAGCAAGAAAGACTCGACTTTACCAGCTCCTGTTTTGATGCTAACTTTGCCAAAACATACTTTCCTTTAGGTTCACTTCCTTTCCTGACGCGTACCAAAGGCTCAGACACCCGAAGAGCTAAGCCAACAACTGATGATATAATCAAAGTCCTAGAGGATGTTCGACTCGGCTATATACTGTCGCGGTTCGATTTGGACAGTATATACGAATGGTCAAGTGTTTTCTCCATCGGCGAGCAGCAACGTCTGGCATTTGCACGGCTGCTGCTTTCAAAGCCGAATTTGGTCCTCTTGGACGAATCCACGAGTGCTTTAGACGAAGCTAATGAGGTAATAAATGGATCGGGACCAACCCATTTTCATATCCTGCAAAATTTATGGATTCAAACTGTGGTTTCAGGCACATTTGTATGAGCTAATTGAAGGTTCAGGAATAACTTATATAAGCATCGGACATCGAAGAACTTTATTGGAACATCACAGGAATGTGCTGCGTATAAACCCTGCTGAGGCAACAAGTGATCTCCCTAATTGGCAATTTGAGGAGCTCAATAAGGATTTGATCATAAGCAAACCAGGTTAGCAATCTTGAGCACTAACATGTTTTAATAATGAAATTGTTGATATAATATATGTATATTTGTTTATTTTATTTTATTATATTGAAGCATGTGCAGTGCTGAAGTGATTCCTTTCTACTCTGTTTAAGTGTTAGTAAGATCTGTTGTGAGTGTTGTCTGTAGAGGAAATACATAAATACACGAGAGTGCTTATTTGCTCTCATTAGCAAATATAATTAAGGCAAATAGCATATATGTAATAACATATGATATGATTTCAGATAGCATATATTATGTCTTGACATTACATAATAACATATCTATACAATACAATAGGGGTGGGTAAAAAAATCGAATCGAATCGTCGAACCGAATTGAATCGAACCGAATTTTCGGTTAACCGAGCAAATTCGGTTTGAATACAAATAATGCATATTTGATATTTGTTCGGTTCGGTTCGGTTTCGATTTTTCATATTTTTTTCGGTTCGGTTAACCGAACCTAATATATTTATGTATTTATATTATTATATTTTAAAATTTATATTAATAATTATATACGGTTCGGTTTCGGTTCGGATATTTGAAATATTTACAAATATTTTTTATTTAATTAGAATTTTAATTATTTTTTTATATATTTTTTCTTAATTTCGGTTCGGTTCGATTTATTTGCAAATACTACAAATATTTTCGGTTAACCGAAAATTCGGTTAAGCGCACTTTTCGGTTCGAATACGATTCGCGGTTTCGGGTATTTGTTCGGTTTGGTTCGGTTATTAAATACCTGCATATTTACAAATAACCGAACCGTGTCCACCCCTACAATACAATACTTCTATACAGCACAACACAACGTATGGATCTGAACTTTCAACTTAAAATCAAATTCTATTATTAGGATGAGTGACCCTTCATTCTTACAAGATAAGAGAATTCTCACATTATATCCAAGGTGATAGATAGTCAATACTTTTCATCAAGATGATAATGTAAAAAATCCAAACAGTATCAATACTCAATACGGACATCGGTTTTGATACTATGTTAAAAAACAATCTGAACTTTGGTATTAAGTGGAGTGGTTTTTTACTCTTATAAATCATATCTAATGTGGGAGATATTCAACATTCTTTTCTTGAGATAATAATGTAAAAAAGCAAAACAGTATCAATACTCAATTTTGATGTTGTGGCTCTGATACCATATTAAAAAATAATCCGAACTTCTAACAAATTGATACCAGGTGAAATGACCTTTCAATCTTATAAATCAAGTGAGTTTTCATACAGTCAACTTTACAATGGCCCTAAAATTTGGATGTGGCCTTCTCTGCACAAGGCAGCATCCATGGTGTTTTTTTTTCTTCAATTATGTGTCTTTTTGTTTTTCAAAAATGAAAAAATTTAATAATAATAATAAATAAACAAACAAACCTCAGATGCTATATCCGGTCTCTACAAATTATCCATGGTATGCTAAGCGCATATTCACGAGTCTTATGGATTAATACGGAGAAAGCATGTGGGAGCTGAACTCCCGGGAGTTTTGTTTGTAGGATTCTGAATGGTTGAGGAAGTGAGATTTGTGGGAGGGAGGAGAGCGTGAAGTAGACGCTCCAATGATAAAGAGAGAAGGTTGCTTTTTGGTAGGATTCAGGTGAGAGTGTGGGGTCCCACACTAAAAATGGCTAATGATTCCTAATATGAATAGGCATAGAAACAGGAATGAATGACTCTAACCGTCATCACTACTCACCCACACCCGACGGTATAGATCCATCCGGTTCTGAGGACCCGGGACCGTCCAAATCCTGTATAAATATAGTATTAACCTTACACGCGTGGGCCCCACGCATTTACACAATGGAGCGTGCTGTCACGCTCCTCACCTTCACGGTCACACGCCAATACTATGAGTATATAAATATATGTTTTTTTAAAAAAAAAAAAATTCAGAAAACATGTAGGAGTTATATAAATACAAGTAAAATAATAAATTGCCAATAAAAATGCAATAGATAGATCGGTAGATAAATGCGGTGGCATTATTTTATTAATATTATTAGGTGGGGATGGCTGGCACGTGTGGGGCTTGCTCTTCAACTTATCCATCAAATTTATTTCATTACCAAGTTCATACATGATTCGTGTTTCTTGGCAAATTATAGAGATACATGGTAGGTTTGTTTGCTCTCTTTTTCTGTGCATCTGTTTTCTTTTTTTCAATTTTGTTATATTTGAAGTTAATTTGTTATTAAATAATACTATAATAGTTCGAATAGAAAATAAGAGTTTGATGTAATAAAATGAGTTTTGAAATAAATATATATATATCATAGTATAATAATAGGTTTCTAATGTACTTTGCAAAAAATTAACCATCATCTTCATTACCCAATTAGAAATCTTAGCCTTTTTAATTGTCTTGTCAAATCTAATATTGACTATGCCTTTATCCCACTTACTCATTTTTGCAATAAATGGTTTTGAGTGTGGGCTCTTGCTTACCTTTTAAACAATGTACTATATATACTATTTACTGTTTAGGGCATAAATTTTGAATTCTAATTAGTCTCTTTCAGGACTATGTTCTTTTTAGATTATTTTATTTTTTTTAATTTTAAGATTTCTTATAAAAACTACACTAATTTTATCTCTTGAAATATTTATACTTGATTATATATATAATAAATTAAACACAAAAAGAACAACCTCTTGACTCTAAACACTTTGTTCCAATGCATTAGCTTCTCTCTCGAAAAAATTAAAATGAGTAAAGCTATAAATATGGAAAAGTGTTAATGAGAAGAAATTGCAATACATAATATTAATTAGGTGTCTATAAAGAAAGGAATATTTATTCATCAATCACATGGAACTTTTTTTAGGAAAGCCAAAAATTTTCATGATTTGTACTTTTATTTTTATTTAATTATTTTTATTAAAGCCTAGAAAAAAGAAGGCATTCAAATAAAAGCACAAGTTTTTAGTAAAGAAACACACACACTCTCCTATCTTTAATTATTCTTGTTTTTATAGCTCATTTTTTAAACCATACAATTTATAATAATAAAAGATTTTAAATTTTTAAAAATACTATTATTTCAATAAAAAAAAAAAAAGTTAAAGCAATCCGGAATATCTAGAATAACAGCAATATCAATAAGAAACATACGCATAGTGTAGCTATATATAAATTTATATATATTGAATATATAGAAAGTACTATATAGTTAGAAATTAAATATGAATTAAACCAAGGCTTGCCGTTCTCGCTGCACCACTAATTTAGTGGGAGCTCCGGGAGTAGCAACACCGTAGATCTGCGCCGTGCCCCCGCGTCTTTAACGGTGTAGATCTCCCCGGCGTTGCGGAGGAGCAGTAGCAGCCATTAAAAAAATAAAATAAATATTATTACAATAAATACATACACACATACATACATACATTGGATAGGAGGCTTGTAATAAATGCACCAGCCCATGCCAATGGCACACCTCACTCATGGGCCCCACTTCCCATACTTGGACTCGACTCCACTCTTTTTTTTTTTTTTTTCCTCTTTTAATTTAATCAATTTTAATTATTTAAATATTTCCAGTCTTGAATTAATACAAATAAATTTCGACTTTGTTCACCCCAAATCGGTTTTTTCATAGGATTGTTATTGAATATTATTAAAAAATATATATTGCAATATAACATATATTTTATCCACTTAATTTAATTATTCAATTTAAAATATTATTATTTATATTAAGAAAGCTTATATGCTATTTAAATTACTATATAAATATATATAAAAAATAAGAATAAAATACAAACAAACACAAAATTGTTACTAACCAACAATGACTATACTATACTAGAAATCAAATCAATTACAACAAACATGTCCACCAAATTATTTTGGAAAAAATATATACACATTTATATTAGGAAATTTAATGACTAGTACCGCTATTCCCACACTTGATCCAACGGCGTAGATCATTTCTGGACCTCCAACTCCCGGGAGTTGCCAAGAAAAACCACAAGAAGTTGTCAATAAGCATCTTCACCCCCCACACACAAACACACACGCACACGTATGTATGTGTGTGTGCATATACACGTATGCATACAAAAGAAAATCACTCATGTCATACCTTGAGTCCTCATCACACACACACACACACATATATACATATATATATACATATACATGTACATATATATATGTATAGTGTGTATTTAGTGAGGTTCTGATTTTCTTTGCCACCACCATTCCCTTTTCCACGCCTCCACACTCTGAACCCTTTTTTTGGCCCTTTTTTCTGATCGGAACTTATGAGCGCCGCCGACGAGGAGTGGGTCAAAGCGGCCATGTCCGACGACGCTATGGTCGTCGAGCTACTGGTGCGTCTCCACGGCGCCGCCGGCCGGACGAAGGCGGCGGTGGCGCTGCCGCTCGAGTGGACCGTCCGGCAGCGGAGGTCGAAACCTATGTCGGTTACCAACAGCCTGAAGAGTCAATCGCAGGCACAGAGAGCTAGCCCTACCACGCCGCTGTCGTGGAGCGGCGCCACCTCCAACAGCGGTGGATCTGGCGGCGCCGGCTGCGAGGAGTCGTCCAGCCGACCAGTTCCGCCGAAACCGTCCTGCCAGAGAAGATCTAAGGTTCGTTTCACTCGAAATTTCCTCACGAAATACGTGTATATATATATATATATATCTATTCCTGTGTGCTCGTACGCGTTCCTTCGCCGGCGACGGCGTCGGAGCGTCGTCAGGGTTTGCCGCTGCCATAGCTACAGAGTTCGTTTTTTTATCCATCTTCATCAGAGTCTCGTGTCAGTTACCATGTGAATTGACCAAAACACCCCCTCCCAACCCTGATATTCCCCTCCCTTGCAATCCGCGTGGCGAATACCTCCGCCACTCTTGCCCAATCATCGCCGCCGGAGATTCACCGGAATCTCTTCCTTCCTCGATTCCGCCGCCGTATTCTAATGGCGATTCAACCCCTCCTCCGGTCAGACGATCCGGCGGGTGGAATTTCTCCCCACTTTTCAACCCAATCCCATCCCAATATGCGCCTTGTTGTCGCACGACAGCTTATCCACCAAATGACCAAAACAGCCCTCTCTATTGTGGTCAATTTGTCCGATTCCCATTCCTGAAGTGACCCAGAAATTACATCCAAGAAAGTCCACGTTTCGATCGGGTCATCAGACTATTCCCTCAACTCCAAGTCTCCCAAAAGCTATCCCTAGTCAATTTCCTCCCCAAACCATTTTACTGGGCACATGTATTTTTTTTAATTTTTTTAAAATTCCAAAACAACAGCCTACCAGATGACGTCATTGAGGAGACAGGTGTGGAAGGCAGGGACAATAGGGTCATTTCAGTGGCCCCACCCTGGTTAATCGGTGGCGTGTTTTCGTGGCAAATAGGGTTGGGTCGAGTTTGGTGGGGGGCGTTTTAGTGGTTGTGCACTTTATGCATAATAACCTAAAGCTTCCAATTCTTGTAGTTTTGTGGAATGGCAGCAAATCTGGACCCTATATTGTAGACTAGTATTCATTCTTAATCCACTCTGCTTGCTTGCTTGCTTCTTCCCTTCATGGTTTCGCCACTCTTTTGGTGCCATATGTATGTGCTGCCAATTCTTGGTACTTGTTTTGTTTTCTTTTTCTTTTTCTATCATCGCCTTTGGATCAGTTGTATAGACGACCTAACAGGCCACATGGTCATTCCTTTGGTTTTAGCTTATCAAGTGTTGATAAGGGATGATGCATAGTAGGACAAAAAAATCAGTTAGGGGGAGTGAGGAATGTGACAGCTGCTTTTACAGCCTTTCATTTTTATCTACAGAATGAAAAAAAGAATCTTGGTGAGGTTTTCTTGCAAGGGTTCTTCTTAGTAGTGTTTTTTTTTTTTTTTTTTTTAATAACTGAGAGCATTATTGGCCATGGGGATTATTTGGGGGGTTTAATTTGTAGATTGCTGATGGAGTGGGGAACTCTGATGAAATGAATATGGCTTTGCTTTAAAAGAGTTGCAGAATTTTAAGATTTACTTTGCAGTCAAAAGTTAGGTGTGTTACTTTTGATATTTTAACCAGTGGGTAGAAGAAGTTTGAAGAACTGGATGGTTTTCAATGTATGTGAGGATCAAAATCAATTTATGGGCTGTGTTTGTTCTTTTAGTTTTTTGGTTTTCATAGTTCCTTTTTGTGGGTCCAATAAAGTTTGATCATTGATTGAATTGAATGTCCTTTGTGCATGAAGGATTAGAAAATGAATAGTGCTGGAGGTGTGATTTAGTAGAATTTTGTGCTTAAAGTTGTGTGGTTCGAATTAAGTTTTTGTGGGGGATAGGGGGGGACCATGGTGACATAGTTTTGTCACCAAACTATTTGGTTGTAAAAAGGGTTGATGTCACATTGGATAATCAACATCTACAAGTAAGCTTGCCTTCTTGGATTCCTTCAAGTAACTTTCCAAATGTTTATTCATTTCCTTTTGGCCACAGTTGTCTATATCCACATTGGTTGTGATATTATGGAACCAATTATTTATTTGGCCCTGAAAAGATTAGCTATGTCTGATGATAATAGAAGAACAATAATGTCTCCATCTAAGGGCCCTTTGATTACCATTTCTTTCTTCCTCTTGTTTTAGAAAGAATGCCCTTTGCATCAAGCGAAGTAGACCTTGCTTGAGCTAAGAACTTATGGTCGGGCAATTGTTGTCCTATAGAATTCAATAATAATATTCGGCATCGAAGATCATCTTCTTACAGTTATCCACACAATTCTGTTGCAGGTTAATGGAGATACTGAGAAAACAACCTTGAAGAGGTCAAGAAAGAAGAAGGTGATATCTATTGCAGTTGATCTGCAAGCCTTCAGAATTTTGTAATGTATACAATATGCCTAATTCGGTTTAAATCTTTGGGTTGCTACAGACCTTAGCTGAACTTCGAGTTGAAGAGAGCACACTACTGAAGGAAAAAAGAGAGTTGAATAGGGTACTAATTACTACTATAGTATACTTTCCTATGAGCTCAAACAGATTCACCCGTGCTGGTTGCTTAAATTTTGCTATTGTTCTTTACTTTGCAGGAAATAGCTGCCATACGCCTCAATGTCGAGAAACAAAGAACTACTAATGAAAGCTTGAAGAGAATGAAGGTGAATCATAATAACCAAATTCTTCACATATTGATCGATGATATTTCTAAGTTCAGCTTCATCTCAACCATGACCCTCATATCTAAGATCAAAAATTATAATCTAATTCACAGTACTTTTAGCATCGATCTTCATTGATGCATTCAATAAAGCATATAATAATTACCTGAACCCATCTTCTATCCGCAGATTGAACTGCAATCGCTTCCCGGTGGAGCCGAGGAATCAACATCTGACCAACTGAAGCAAAAGACAACGACGACCTGTTGTCCTACCCCTTCCATCACTCGACAGCCCTCTTTGCCTAACGGCTGTCCTGAACCAGATGATCCCGCTGCTGCATCCAATCCTAAGCTCATGCTTCCTGATCTAAACATCCCCTTTGACGAGAATCCCTGTCCTGATGTTATCTGGACTCGGGTCGGGTAGATGCCTGGTTGATTAGTGGTGAAGGTTTTCTTCAACTATGCGGCAAAACACACACAGCAGATGACAGATTCCTATACACTACTAAATAATGCCTATGCTAACCTTGCTTTAGGATCAAGTGTAATGTACTATACATACATATATATATGTATCACAGATCATTTTACCTTAACACACCCTTAGTGTGGTGCCTTGTAGCTATGAATATACTACCGGTGGTTAGGATCTCTAATGTTTTTGTTTAGTTATTACTGAAGTCCTGACTGAGTATAGACAAGCTTATAGATTTCAACATCAAATGTTCTAACATTCTTTTTCTGGCTGTATTCTACTAAAGTAGATTATGTTAGTTCCTCCATGGAAATTCTTTCCATGTTCGCATAAAAGAACTGAGTAAAAGCCAACATGGTGCACATAAAAAGAACACTAGGAATTCAGTCCATGGAAGAAAATCTAACACTTCATTCACTTTATTACATCCAAAGCTTAATATAAAACAAACCTGAATGGGAAATGTAGACTGCTACCTTTTGGCAACTTGATCAAGAACTGGAAAGCACTTGACCAAGATCTCAACAGCCTGGGCCAATTCCTGCTTGGTTATGATCAACGGGGGCACAATCCGGACAACGTTTCCTTTTCCGGCTGTCAGAATGAGAAGGCCCGATTGTTGGCATGCTTCCACCAAAGGGGAGGCAGGCCCGTCAAGTTCTATCCCAATAATGAGGCCACAGCCACGGATTTCTTTCACGTGGGCATTTCCTTGTAGTTTCTCGACTAATAGATCCCTCAAGAACTGACCTTTCTCCACCACGCTAGCCAGGAAGCTCGGGTTTGATATTTTTTCCAGCACTGCAATTCCGGCGCTGCAAACAAGAGGATTGCCTGCAAAAGTGCTGCCGTGATCTCCATAATTAATGGCTTCGGCAACTCGCTCGGTGGTCAGTACAGCACCAATGGGGAGACCTCCAGCAAGAGGTTTGGCAAGAGTCATTATATCAGGGTAAATGCCATATGCTTCATGAGCCCAGAGATTTCCAGTTCGACCCAAGCCACATTGTACCTAGGCAGTCGCCAAGAAGTCTTTCATGTTAGGATTGCACGCAAAAGCTACGCTGTTGGTTATTTCAAGGTAAAGAAACAATTACCTCATCAAAGACAAGAAGGCTTCCAGTTCTATCACAAGCTGTTCGCAAGGATTGGAGGAACTCCTTTGTTGCACTGTGTATCCCGCCTTCTCCCTGTACAGGTTCCACAAATACTGCAGCAATCTTTCCGGTCTGAATCAAATCTACTGCTGCTTGAGAATTGCCATATTCTAAGAAAGTCACTCCGGGCATGACGGGCTCAAAGGGAGCTCTGTACTGCTCTTTGCTTGTTAGAGCAACAGCACCCATGGTTCTGCCATGGAATGAATTAGTGAATGCAATGAACTCCATGGGCGGATTCTTCTCGTCTGGATGAGAAAACCTCTGGAATTTTCTTGAAAATTTAATTGCAGCTTCATTAGCCTCAGTTCCAGAGTTGCAGAAGAACACACGCTCGGCAAAAGAGGTTGCAACCAGCTGCTTTGCAAGCTCTATCTGCAGAAACAAACATGGTCAAGAAAAATCACCAATTGAAAGACATAAAAAGGGGCGAAGTAATCATCAAAGCTAGGAAACAACTGAAAACAGACTCGGGATGCCAATCTAGAGTTTTCAAACAGTGTCGGGATGCTAATATAACATCTAGAGTTTCTGAGGCTTTCATCAAACAAGAGACACATAACATTCAAAGCTTAAAACAATGATCCACGTTCTGTGCTGAATAATGCAAGGGATGCATAAGAACTATCACAATAAGACAGAGAATCGAAAAACAAGACAGAGATTCAGATTATCCTTTTTTATGGTTGTATGTATAGCCCTTAGTGTAGAGGCAAGGGGCTAAGGATCCCAACCCTCATTTCAATAGATCTTTTTACACCATTCAAACTTATAAGGGCTCAACCGATTACTGACAACATTTTTCACTATATTTAATTATAAATCTCAATCAACAATTTTCAGATAAAGATTGGAACAAAACTCTGAAATAAAATCTGGTTGCATACAATCAATCTTCATGATATGTACATCCTACAACAAGAAGACGTAACAGTAGCAAACTTCTATTGTCAAGCAAACTACATAAACTAGCTTCTCAATCAGAAAACAATATTTACAGCAAGCAGATTTAGAAATAGTATTTTAACGTGATTGTTATCGCAAGAGATAATAGTGAAATTTTATTAGCCATGGTGAGAACTCATAGAGAATCATATCCTTGATGATCATAATTTTTAATTGCAAACAAAAAATTGAATATCCTACGGCACAATTCTCGATCAAAACAATCTGTACTATGAAAGGAATAAAAATGACAGTAAGCGAAACAGAGAGAAAATCCTTGCCTGCGGAACGGTGTAGTAGACATTGCTAGTGTGCGCCAGCGCTTCAGCTTGATTTACTAAAGCTCGGAGCCAATCGGAATCCCCGTGCCCTAGGGCATTCACGGCAATACCAGAAGTTAGGTCGATATACTCCTTCCCTTCAACGTCGTACAATTTAGAGCCTTTCCCGGCCGAAATAACCACCCGCTGCCGCGCATAGGTTCCCACCAGAAATTTCTTCTCGTCGGCGATTATCGCCGAGGTCTTGTCCTCTTGAACAAGGTGAATTTTGGTCGAATCGGCGGCGGGGATGTCCACATTGAGGCATGCTTTGGATGGACCGGCGTAGCAGGGAGGTTTTAGGGCTAGAGAGCGACGGAGGCCAGGGGATAGCGAAGTGTTGAGCGAGAAAGCCGTCGTCCAGCTCATTATGTCGGCGGTAATATGACAAAGCGAGGTTGCTGAGTGGCGGCGGCGCGGCGAGGCTGATACGATCTAAGAAGATGACTCTCGTATTTATTCTATATAGACAAAATTGCCCGTTCATCTCGGTCAAGGATGGCTCGGTATGAGGTCATGGTTTCAAACATGTCAGCTCACTTGTTAAACATAGTTCACCATCTAATTCGTTATTAGTGTAACCAAGGTTTCATGAACAATTTTTGCTTCAATATATTCAATATGCAAAATATACCATTTATTTATTGAAATTTGAATTATAATTTTACGATTACAAATTTATGACATTTTTGATAATTTTTATAAATAAATAAAATATATATATATATATTATATTTTATTAATATATTATATCTTTTATAATATTTATTGAGTTTTGGCAAACCTTTGTAATTTCTTTCAAATTTATTTATTTTGTATTTTAAATTTGAATTTTTTTTTTTGTTAGTATTTTGTATGTATATGTATTATATTTTGTAATAATACTTAATTGTTAAAAAATTTAGTTAGAAAATAAATTAATTATGCTCATTTGAATCTTAATTTAAAATCTTTGATTATAGTTTAAAATTAAAATTAATATAGGATGTTTATTTAAATTTTTGTTTAAATAATTTTTTTAATGCGAAATTTCTGGTAAGATAAAATAATAAGTATATTTTTATTGATAACATATGTAGTAAATAGTAATTGTTTACATTTGAAATTACAACCAAATTACTATTTCTATCAAAATATTTTATTTTTTTCTTTGTAAATGTTAGAAGTTTTGAAAAAAAAATTATAATGGTAGAAAATCTAATACTCACTCAGTACCAAATAAAATTCTATTTTTATCATAAAAATAATCACATTAATATCAAAATAATACATATGACAGAATATTAAAACTATCTTATACATTTATACTAACCAAAGTAAATTCCTTTAAGCTGGAGAGTATGTATAATATTTTGTTGGAAAGAAGAAAAAAATTAATATATAAATAATTTTAAAAGTATCCATAAGACTTTTCATTTGTTCGGTGAAATAGTAATTCTATAGACATCCGTGGTCTGTAAATTCATAGCGTACGTATGTTAATTACTTCATTATTAAATATACATCTAGATATATACATAATTTAAGCACAAACTAAAAAAAAATAAAAAAATCCCAATCTATTTAAAGAATTTGGGAAAATCTCAAATTGTAACTGAACACCCGCAAATTCTAAAAGTTACCAATACCATTTGGCCTACCTTAAAATGAAAAAATGACATCCTGAAACTAAACCATTTTCTTAAGATAAGAATTCGATAGACAAATTATTTACCAGTAAGCAAACGAGGAAGAGCACAGAGCATTTCATTTTTACTGTGTAGTCTCCTTAGGCACCTATGCATCATCAAAATTATTTTTGCATCAAGCACATCGGGAATTTACGGGCGTATTCATCGTATATCCAATGCTGCATTTGGAGAAGCTTACCTCAAAGTCATCCCTTGTTTTTTCTTCGGCTGGAGGTCTTCTTTGAGGTGCCTTGGCTGCTATTTTTGGAAGATGATGATTCTGCAACATGGGGGGATGGGTCGCCGACTGTTGATTCATTTGTGGTTGGTGCTGACTGTTGCTCTGCATTCTCAGTTTCGAGGCACGCCATCATGGCCCTCAACTGCATTCAGTGGGGGGAAAGATTTTATGTCATGTAAGTGATGAGTAAAAGAACATATATGGGATAAACATGAGATGATACCTGCTCCTCTAATTCCGATATCTTTTTGTCCTTCAGTTCCAGAAGCTTCTTCTCCCTAACATGACAGAAAAGCTCAGATCCATACGTAGGTGAATGGTAATTATGAGTTACGTCAAATAAGTTGTCCTTCATATTCGGTGGAAGAGTGTATTACCTTTCTTCGATCTCTTTTATCTTAGCTTCCCATATGCTTTCATTCCTCAAAAGATTGTCATCAATCTACATGAGATCAAAATTAACCACTATGAGACCAAAATCAACAATGTAGTAATAGAGTGAATCCCGAATATGCAGACTCTAAATCACCTTGCATTGACTGTATACAATAAGATTTGCAGTGCAACATACTCACATCATCGAGGAATTTCTTCTCCTCAATAAATTTGTCTATCTTGGCCTGTAATTTCAGCAATTTTGGATTATGAGTTAAAGCTTTCTCAACAGCTGCAGACATTTCTCGTTCCGTGTCTTCTTCAACTTCTTGCAGCAAAGATTCAAAATACTGTGGCAAAAATAAGAACTTTCAGAATAAGCATATGTATATATATATAGTCATGCACAACAAGAAAGAAACTCACGATTTTCTGGTTTTCAAGTTGCGCAGTAAGAAGCTCGTTATACTCGTTCACTATCTGTACCAGATATGTTCAAAATTATTAAAGGATTGTAAACAATAAAAAGAATAATTAAATAGATTAAGAACCAAAACAAGATTAAAATTATGATATGAAAAGATGAATTTAAAGCTGAAATTACAAATTCAACTTCACTGTCCAAAAGAGTGTCATTGGATCCAGTCGAATCACCCTGGCCATCATTCTTGTGCACGCAATGGCTGTTCAACTCGACCAACTTTCCATCAGTTTTAGATTGGATCAGTCGATGAACATAGTTGTCACCAGCATAGTCCCACACCCTTTGTGTTTCCAGTTCAAGGGAATAACAATGTTCAGTCTCTTTCCAATGGCCTATGGCGTGCCCTTCTTTGTACCTACACCAAATTGAGTGATGACAAACCAGGTTTTATGTGTCAGGGTTTTGAATTGACAACCAGAAGGATAAATTACCTGCCACAACCGACAAAGCCACAAATGATACACATCCAAAGGTTTTCTGAGGTATGACATATATAGCAAATCGATTTTTCAGGTTGCTGCTGGCAATATCGACATACCTAAATAAGTTGCAGCAATTATCAGTCAGACATCCAAGATGTGGGTTACAAACCCCCAAAGAACACACACTAATCCTAAGGCCTAAGAAAATCCATGAAATTGTAATTTCAATCAAATCAAAAGCGTACACACCGGGCAAGAAGAATCTGTCCATTTAGATATACAAGAGCAGTGAAAGGAATGGTTGCAGATTGTTGTAAGAATTCCACTGGTATCCTGGTCCAGTTTCTCTGCAAGTTGTGTGTTTGTGATAAAAACATAAGTAGCAGCCAGTTGAGTGAAAATTCTAGTTAGCTAGCAATAAATTTAATCACTACATTGAAATAAAAGTAAACAGAAATTCTTAAGAGCAGCTGACAAGAAAGATTCAATTAGCTTCCGGCACATAAGCAGTATGTATTATTATCATGGAAATTAAAATCTTCCAAACAGATGGCATAAAAAATACTGATAGTGGAAATCTAATATCTTAAATACTAGTAATTACTCAATAATGTATTTATTATGTATTGATGTTTTTCAAAGAACAGAAAAACACTGCAGCAGCCTACATCCACTTAACAATACTGTGATTCAAGTGACAATTGACTTCCAACATCTACAATCTTCCCTACTACTTCAGACTCTTTTCCGCAATGAGAGTTCAAAAGCAATACCAAGACAAACCGGACATGAGGGCTGATCTATATGGCTTGGAGGGGAGGGTTGCGAATGCTCAATGGATCCAGTGTACTGTATATCAACAGCAAAAAATACACAACAGGTTTCCTCCTGTGTTTAAAGAGACAAATAGTTAAGAAATGGAGAGCTCCTTCACAATAAATAATCCTTAATGCGTCTGAGAACATAGACAGTGTAAGGAGCAAAAGTACCTCAAGAGATGAAAAGAGCTTTCCATTGAAATGCTTGTGAAAAGAATCAGCTGAATTTTGCTCATCAAGTCTAATCAAAATACTATAACGATCCTCCAACCCCTCAGTCCTGAAATGTATAGGAGATCAATAGTGACAGACTATCAAACACAAAATTGACAGCCATAAACCAGAAACAAACCTGACAATTCTCATTTCCGATATGTGTTGAATAAATGAACCACAGAATTGACAGAAATCAGCATAGGTCATGTGATTGGGAACCCCGAGTATAACAACAAGAGGCTTCCGTTCAACCTAAATTTGAAGATGATTATTAGCAATTGCATGTAGTCGGCAAACCTCAAAACAAAATGCAATTCCAACAGAACATCCTTCATTTCTACCTTACATCTACTCCGTTTAACAAAACATGTCTCAAAACAAAGTTGCAAGGCTATCCTAAGCAAAATTACGCTAATTGATTAATTATACGTTCTGCAACAAGTCAATGAAATTAAGTATAAATACAGCAGGAGGATAACTTCCTGCCTCAAATGAGAAGTAGCAAACAAAGAAAAGAGAAGATGAAACAATTTTACACATTAAGAGCGAACTGTTTGAAGGAAGAAGAAAACGCATACACACACATTAAATCGTCTAATTTTACACAAGTTGACATGTTAATCGCGTAGTCTTTAATTAGGTTCAATTGAAGCCAACTGTTATTCCATACACCACACAAAACATAGAGACAGTCGCGCAGAAATCAAAGGAGCTAAAGAGCACATCCAGCTCACCGGCAGTTGAGCGGAAGAACGAGAGAGATCATCGCGGTAGAGATGCACGACGCCTCTGATCTCTTCAATTCTAGGGTTTCCGGAAGAGAAATGCAACGCCTCAGCAGTAGCGGAAGCGGAAGAATCTCCAGCTCCTATTCTGGAACTGGTTGACGTCTCTTCGAACATCTTCTGTCCCCGTAGAGTAGACGACGCCCCAGCGGTAGCAGGCGCGGAGGAAGAATCTCCAGTGGCGCTCAAATTAGTCGAAGAATCTTCCATCATTTTTCGCTCCGGTGCAGACGACGCCTCAGCGGCGGACGAATCTCCGGCGACCAAGCTAGAGCTCGTTGAAGTCTCGTCCAACATCTTCCTTCACCGTAACACCACGCGAAATGGATTGTAGCCCTATTTATACATTCTACCTAACAAATATTTAAAATTACGTTCTACTGCTTCCTTTTCTCCTTTTTCCACATCGGCCCCTCCACTTTCTTAAATTGCATCAACTCCACATAGTTAGATCTCCTCCCGGACCTGCAAGTTAAGGGGCGGCTCTGGATACAAAATGTTACTATATTTTAAGTTTTTATTTATACCATATTATATAAGCTCTATAACAAATTTAAAAAAATGTTATACAACAAGTTTTCCGAGTTGGCTTCCTACTGTACTGTTACATAAAAAGAAACAAAAAAAATTGATGTTATAACTTCTAAAGATCATTCACTTCACCTATACCTTTAACAGCCACAAACCTTTCTTAAATGCATCCATTGATTCATTCACTGCAACACAAGAAAACAGCATTAGACATGTATTCTTGTTCTTCGTCTTCCCATCCTCTTCTTAGCCACATCTCCAACACCATCATTGACGAGCACCGTTGGATCATCCATATCCGCCAGGCACTCGACGACGACGAAGATCTCGATCAAGAATCCGACGATATCCCAGTCTCCATCTTCGCTGCTCCTAAAGCTCTAGTGCAAATCAGCCCCGAATCGTACGCGCCGCAGCACCTCGCCATAGGACCATACCACCATTGGAGCCCGGAGCTCTACGAAATGGAAAGGTACAAACTTTCTGCGGCAAAGAAATTGCAACGACAGCGAAAGGGCCCGAGATTTCACAGCCTTGCAGACCATTTAGCCCGGTTCGAGCCGAGGTTTCGAGCCTGCTACCACAAGTATTTGAACTTCAACGGCGAGACATTGTCGTGGATGATGGCCATCGACGCGTGTTTCCTGCTCGATTTCCTTCAGATCTTCGACGGGAAAGCGTCGGCAACAGGGCAAAAATCGGGGCACATCGCCGTTCTGAGGGACATTGTGATGCTCGAGAATCAGATACCGTTGCTTGCGATGAGGAAGGTGCTCGAATTCCAATTAGGTTCGGTCGATGACGACGACGAGCTCCTGTATCCGATGCTGATCGCATTCTGCAAAGAGCTTTCGCCTTTTAAACCACTCCAAGAATTGCCCGGCGTTCGTCAGGTTACGAAACGCGCTCATTTGCTCGACCTGCTGTACTTTATGATTGTCCCGGAAGTAGAGGGATCGTGCGGAGGAATTGGAATCGAATCGCCAGAACCTGAAAAGGAACGAGACAACGAAAGAGATGAACGTACCAGTTTCCAGAAGGTTACTTCGATCATCGAAGGAGGCGCCGGCGCAGTGCGTTTGATCAAACGAGCGTTGATCTCGAGACCTGTTAAAGCTCTCATGGTATTGCCATTGAAGATTTTGTCGAATCTTCCAGGTATAATGATTTTAAGGCAAGCTGAGTACCTGTTCTTCTCTCGGGAGGCCGGAGGGGAAGCCGAGCAAGAAAATCGAAACAGTGACTGCAATGAAGGCCTCAACAAGCCACCATTAATGGAGGAAATAGCAATCCCTTCTGTAACAGAGCTCTTCAAGGCAGGAGTGACGTTTTCAGTTACAGATTTAGGGATTTCCGGGATCAAATTCGACGATAAAACAGCGGCGCTGCACCTGCCGGCAGTTCGTCTGGATGTGAACACAGAGGTGACAATGAGAAACCTGGTGGCGTATGAGGTATGCGCCTCGTCGGGGCCACTGGTTTTCACACGATACACGGAGTTGATGAACGGGATCATCGACGTACCTGAGGACGCCAAGATTCTGCGAGAACAGGGAATCGTTTCAAACCATTTAAAATGCGACGAGGACGCAGCAAACCTGTGGAATGGGATGAGCAAATCCGTTAAGCTGACAAAAGTCCCCTTCTTGGACAAAGCCATCGAAGACGTAAACAGTTACTACAACGGCAGATGGAAGGTAAGAATCCGAGGATTCGTAGAGACACATGTTTCAGGATCATGGAAGCTCCCGGCGTTCCTCGCAGCCACTATCTTCCTGTTCTGCATCAGCTTGAAAGCTTTCTGCGCAGTCGTTCGCTGCACTCAGAGATCGGGTCATCTCAAGAACTGATTAGCAGCAGTAACAGATTATAACAGCCACATACCTTCAATTCATCCTGGAAATGACAAATACTTTGCAATGTTCTAACAGAATACAATCAATTGTCTGAACTGAACACAGATCAAGATTGTTCTGAGTTCAATCAACATTAGAAGTAACAGAAAAGAAACATTATTTTCAAGAGATGCATTTCAATATAAGACAAATAATACATAAAAAGATAGATCGATGTATAAGTGGTGCATCAGAAGCAACACTAAAAAATATTGTTATGTATCTCTAGTAAAGAACAAAGTATAAAGAAGAAAGGCATCGGATTTTCGAACTATTACATTTATTCAGCAGCAAAATACGTCTGCTAAGTCGATCATGCTTCGCTATTAGAAATACTCTGTCACCGGAAAACTCAGGCAAATAAGCAAAATCATCGTCTCGAACGAGCAAGAAACGAGGTTCTTACATTCGGTTCAAGCACTGTTGAGCGTATAGATATTTCCGATAATTCCAGCAAAGCTAACGATAATCGCAAGCGAAAGCATCGACCACGACAAGCATCTTTCGACACGGCTCAATTTGGTTCCTCCTTCTTTGTTTAACCTCAACGCGATGAGCGCTGGAAACGTGAATCCCAACGACACGGCTGTTGTGGCTCCAGTGAACTTAAACGCCATCCAAATATTTGGGATCATAGTCGAGCCGAAATATACGAGCCCTAATAGCACCATAGTTAATATCAGACACCTCTTCCGACTCTCGGTCAGCGGATTAAGCCCTTCAAAAATTAACGAATCGACCGTCTGCCTCAACGAAAAATGAATCACGGGGAACACGAGAACCAAATGCAGAATATAACCGACGCGAACGATGTAATCCAAAGCTGTGCTGAACCGGATGCCAAGATCCTCGTCAAAGTTAGTAAGCACGTCGGATTCGGTATCCTGCCCGAAGAGCAAATATCCTGCAATGGCCGTCGACGCATACACCAAGATGCATATAGTAGTCGTGATTCTTCCCACTTTGTACATTTTCCGCGGGGATCGATCCTCGAGCTCATTATAAATCGGCTGAACATTGAAATGGCACACGTAAGAATTCGACATGACTGGAATCACCACAAGCAATTCGAAAATCGCGTTGCTGGAACTGAAGTCGGGAGCCATTCTCGGAAGCTCGACTTTCCCCTCAACAAGTTTTATAGCGGCGACAACAAACACGATCACTACAAACACTACTGCAAGTGCTACAGAAGCGGCTGAAGTTGTGCTCAGCGAATCGATCTTATCTAACGAGCATAACGGCGCAAGAAAAATCACAACCGTTATTAGAATCAAGAGCTTCCGGTGATCCCAAAAGCCATGGCCGAGCCATTGGTCGAAAACACCAATGTGTCGAATGGATCCCGACATTACATCACCCATGATGATCAAATAAACAATCAAAACGCCGGCATTGTTAATTATTATGCATATTTCGGATAAAACCTTAGCCGTCTTCCCCAATGCAACTTCGACAACTTCACCATACGTATTCGCCTTACACAAGACTGCGTACCGAATCAACAATTCCACGCTGATTTCCGACAAAATGCCTATAAGAAATATCAGAATCACCCCCAAAACCAACCCTAAAACTTTCAATGTGGCAGGCAAAGCCATAATTCCAGCCCCAATAATAGAGGTAGTAAGGTTAAACACAGCGCCATAAATCCCCGATCCAGATTTCTTCCCTCCTTCACCAAAAATAAGAGGCAAATCATCAAAATCAACGTTGTGTTCGACATCCGAATCATCCGCATTGCGTGGATACAAATACTCGTCTCCTTCATCGGGTAAGATCCGCCGTAAAGACGAATCTTTCAATTGAAGGCTTCCATCTCTCGCCTCTAATTTAGAGTAATTACTATCCATCTAGATTCCTCACCACATAAATGTACGAATAAGTACAAAAAATTTCAAACACGAAGGCGTAACAACTGCAGCTGTCGGTGGAGCAATCGCCGGAGACTCGACAACAAGAAGAATAAAAAAAAACACAAAAACGAAAAGCAAAAGAAGAAACACAAAACCGCAGAAATTGATGAGGCTTTACCAGAGATCAATTGCGATGAGGAAGGTATAGATCTCAGAATCAACGATTGAGTCGTCCTTGTTTGCTTGACGGAGAGAAGATTTTGGGGGTCTGCCGCTTTTCTATTGGAGGAGGATTCAATTGAACTTCTGCGCTCTTTTTCAACTTTATTTTTTCATTTTTTATTTTTGTTATCCTTTGGGCCAACACAACAACGTAGTATTATTTGAATTGAATTAAAAATATCTTATAGGGGTGTCGAATCGTACAAGGTCCCGGGAGTACAGCGCCGGGATGGAAATTGTGTGTGTTTATTGGGCTAGACCTGGAGGCAAGAGTAGAGTAGCCCATTAATAGGCCCATCAGTGTATTTTTTTTAATTATATATTCCATTTGTTCTATATTTTTTATCCATGTCATATATTTCTTTTTCTTTTTTTGGCAAAAAAAAAATTATATATTTTAATTTTACTATGAATTTATAAGCACATGATTATGCACAGTTAAAAAAATAGCAGCTGACTTGCATGTAAGAAAATTATAACAATAAATAAATAATAAACATGGAAGACAAAGATTTAATCTTTTTAAAAGAATAAATAGATATAAATGCATAGCAAGAATGCATATGGGAAGAAAAGATTACCTTACAGAATGGGGAAATGGAAATTACTTAATATACACTGTATGTAATCTTAAGATCTTTGTAATTATTATTAGTAGTAAATGATTGTACTAAACCTTGACCAATTACGGTTTTTTGATTCTTGGCCTTCCACTTTCCTTGTCTCTCCAAATTTATATTTTTATTTTTGGCAGTTTTTCTTCTTCTTCTTCTAATTATTATTATTATTATTACAAGGTTTGTTTATTCAAAACTTCATATTATTGCAAGGTGAGAAAAAACAAGAAAAAGGGACGGATATGGAGGTAGAGAAGCTCAGGTCTGCAACTGCTTCTGTGGAGAGGATGATGATGATGATGGTGATGTGTTCTCTTTCTTTGATTGATCGATCTTTTATTGGTACATTATTTGTGGATTGAGCAACATTTTGAGGATTTAAGCCTTATAGTTATGATATAACCATCCTCAATGAGCACATGATTTGTTGGAAAAACTAAATATGAATAATTTTTTGTAGAGTGGAAGAGTGGTGGCGCTGTCCGAGAGGCACCATGATTCGGGAGATGGTGGAAAAGAAGACAACAAGGATGGCGGAGAGGATAATGGCGGGGATGATGATGATGATGATCCTTTGGAGGAAGTAAGTGGAGATGAGGATGGTATGGATTCGGACATTGAGTTAGAGTTTAATGGAGATGATGGGAGTGACAATGATGATGACGAGGACGACAACGATAATGTTGAAGATGATTATGAGGATGATGAGGAAGAGGAGGAGAGTGAAGACGAGGAGGAAGGTAATAGGCCATCCAAGAAGAAGAAATGAAGAAAAAACAAAGGGTGCGTGATTTTTTGTTTTAGTTTAAATTTACTGTTTTTACTATGCAATTATTATGATATTTTATATAAAATATATATATATATATATTTACTATTTTTATTTCTATTTCAAAATATCACATATAAAAAAATAAAAAATAAAACAAAAAGATCAAAGGTGAACATTTGAGTGTTTAGGTTTATAAATTGGGGCTTGCATAATGCATTGCAGCTGAAAAGGAGAAGAATTGATAACTGAGAGGAGTGGGGCTCTAAGAACAATTTTATGTTTAGATAGAAGTTTAGAAAAATCTTGAAAATAGTAAAAATATTAATATATATTTTCTTTCATTGTATAAATCTTTGCTTAAATATTTTGGATAGATGAATAGTTATTTTTTTTTTTACGGTAAATAAATACAAAAAATAATGTACTTATGAAAATAAATAAAAATACTTTTTTATAATCATCAAAGAAAATTTGAACAGTGAAAAAATATATATAATATTGTAAAAGAAAATTACATTAAGAGAGAAATTTGAGTAAGAAAATAAACTAAGAGCAATCACAATAATTACTCTTAAAAAAGCTTGGAAATTCACATGAATTGAATTTGAGTGGACGAAAGAGAGAGAGAGAGAGAGAGGAAGGATAAAAAAGGAGGGAAAAGGGTAAGAAGAAGAAAGAGAGAGAAAAATAAAGTTAGTTGACACCCACAAATAGGAATCTAGGCATTTTCAACACACCATGCATGCAAGCAATCTACAATATAAACGTATCTAGTGTTGTAGTATAAACAATCCAACCACTAATTTTCACTTCAAAAAACTCAAATTCTAAACAATCCTAATTCAACATCTGTGGATAGACAAAACTAAGCGCATGCATAGTAAGTAAAACGAGAAAAGAAGCAAACAAATGTACAAAACATACTCTACTAAAAAACATGTGGTTTGTAAAACATTAACATACATCACTTCACTTCACTTACTTTAAGTCACTCTACTCAAAAACATGTGGTTTGTAACGATAACAACGAACAACAAATGAATGGCGCGTACCTTACCTTTCCATTCCCATAAATAGCTAGCTGTCGTACGCTACAGACACCTCCCTCAGAACAAACGGAAAGTCCCGGGAGTCCCCGAAGATCCCTGCCGCAGCCAGTCCTTCGCACAGATTAGCGCCTGGAGCGTCGCATCTTTCAGCGAAGTGTGATTCCGATCCAGCTTCCGGCCCCTCGTGTCGAACACAGATTCGCCATAGGCAGTCGAGAGGGGAATCGACAGAACATCACTAGCCATCTTGGCTAAGGTCGGGAACCTCGACTTGTTCTCTCCCCACCATCCCAACACGTCAAATTCATGGACGCGGGGGAGGAGAGATTCTTCCAGATACTGATCCAGCTCTGAACCCATGTGCTGTTCGCCCATTATATCAGAGAGGTATATGTCGAAATCAGTGACGCCAACGCTGTTAGAGAGGAGGAAGCCATCTTCATGAACGGCAGAAAGCGGTGTTGCCGCCACTGCATCGATTCCTTCGATGAACGAGGGTGCGGGTGGCGGGAGGGGAAGCACCGCATATTCGAGATAGAGTTCCCGCAAACCGTCTTCTACAGCCTTGATCCAAGCTTCCGCATCTTGGCCATATAATTTTGAAAAGCTGAACTCCACGAGCTTCATTTTGAATCTTGGGTCCATAACAACAGCAACGGCTAAAACCATATTGCAACCTTCCCAATACGTAGTGAAGATATCCAACAACGGTTTAGTCAGGCTGCTAACAAAGGGATCCTCGCTAACAACCGAATTCATCAGTTCAAGGTGAATCTTGAAGGCCTCCTGGAAGAACATATTTGTTGTCGGGTACACCGGCAAAGTCAGAATGTTAGCCGCCTCGTAAAAGAGTTTCAGGTATCCGCAAAGAGTTTTTATCTTGCCCCAATCTTGCATCGACAGGTTGGGACGGTACTCTGGATCAAAAGTGTCTAAACAAGCGAATACCTCCTTGAATTCTGAAGCCGAGATCAACATTTGATAGGTTGTATTCCATTTCGCAAGATCATCGACCACTAAGTCCTTTGTGCTGGGCACTTGAAGTTGTTCTTTCAAATTGTTAAAGCTTTGCTCACGCCCCGGGGAAGTTTTAATAAACTTCACACTGTACCGAACTTTCTCAACAACTTCCTTATTACGCCCTATAGCCTCCAGCGCAAGATCTTTCAAAAGACGGGCATAACAGCTGTTGATTAACAGCTGGCCACTGAGAATGAAGGGACTCCTCAGCGACAATATATATCTGGTTATTTCTCTTGTCGTTTCATTGGCAAAAGAGCGATCCAGAGCGAACGCAAACAACTTGCCCTCCGAGCACCAGTCATTGAGGCAGTAGGCAATGGCATGACAATAAGCAGTGTCAGATTCCGGATAGTGTAGTGTAACAACATTCATTATCCGTCTCTGGAGTTTCCAATTTTCATCGACAAAGTGACCTGTTAGAACAGCATATGCCGAGCTCTGATCAGAAGTCCACAAATCAACTATGAGGTTAAGGCATCCAGAAACCTCATTAAGAACATCAAGAACCCTTTGCTTCTCCCTGAAGTAGATGCGCATGATTTCTTCCTCAACCGCAGCGATGCTAGTAATGTTGAACTGTGGCTGGAGGGCAAGTGCGAAATCACGAAATCCCAAGTGTTCAACCATGTGAAGTGGGTAATCATGCATGATTATCATCATCGCAAGTTCATGGCAACAGCTATCACCATTAAAAGCATGGGGGCGCTTTCTTCTTACTTTGGTCCGACTTCCAGAAGTCTCAGCTCTGCGTGCTGACATCATGAGAGGGCCCGATCCTTCTGCCACTTGTCTGTGACGGTAGACAGGGCAGATTCCCAATGTAATATGTCGTTTTAGGTGACTGGTGCCTGATATTTTAGCGCCAGATATGTAAGAAAATGATTTTTTGCACTGGTTGCAACAGGCCCTCATGCAATCAGCATTAACAGTTTCGATTGTGAAGTGTTCCCAGACCAAGGACTTTCTCCGCCTTGGTTTATTGGACTGGGCACCTGAATTTGGCAAACCATTTTTATCAGATCCATCCATTGGGCACATGCTGCATCAAATAAGGAAATCAGAGGCATGAATTTCTTTTATCTAAGAAAAAAACAAAATTGGATGAGCAGTAATCACTCGATGTTGAAAAATGCAGGAGCCTCCTAATCTAGAAACAGAAACATCTAAAAACTAAGCACCCACTGGTGGTCTACGAAAAAAACACTTCTTCATAAGTAATCCAAAATGATCTCTGTAAGTTATATGAATTCTAAACCACAGGCTTAGTATCAATCACAGGGACAATCTACTTATTCACTATGGCACTTCACTGAATCCATTTACAGGAACATTAACAAAATATAGCGGGACAAACATTTATCAACAATGGTTAAGTGTTTGGAGAAAGATTGCTCAAGGGCGGTGAAGTTCATGGCAAATGCCACGTTAGTATTAGACAGAAGCAAATGTTATTTTGTGAGATGCATAGAGAAGAAACAATTCACTAGGCTAACTATTCAGTATTCCCATACACAGTATATAATATAGCAAGCAACAAGAGGATACGATCAGGGATATACTATAATTGTAAGTAGCACGTGGCGCAACATGGCATATGTGTAAAGTCAAGAGAAAGGCATAGAGTGGATGAAAGATGAAACTGTGTGGCATAAGTCCAGATTCTCTATTTCAAGATCAGAAAGCCCAAAGCCGTTGCAATGCTACATAGCAAGGCACACAGCGTGGCACGTGGCAAACACCATAAATATTAATATATACTTAATATGCAAATATATATGTGCAATCAATAAATATTTAATGAAGTATTCGCGTCACATAGTACATAATCTAGCAACCAACAAGCGGATATGATCAGGGACATACAATAATTGTAAATAGCATGTGGCGCAACATGGAATATTTGGAAAGGCGAAAGCAGGCTACAGAGTGGATGAAACTGGTCTGGGCATTAAGTTCGGATTGTCTACATCTAGATCAGGAGCACAAGGCCTTTGCCACGTTATGCAGCAAGGCGCACAGCGTGGCACGTGGCACACAACGTAACTATTAAACTATTAATAGATAATTAATACCGAATGATATATATGTACGACCAATAAATATACTGTGATCTATGTTTTAACTGTTAAAGTCTTCTTACAAAATCTTGTATTTTGTCGTTAGTATTGGAATTTACAAGTATGCTATAAAAACAATATAATGTTATGACATAAATGACTCAAACTAAACACATTGGTCGCAAGTGGATAAATAGCAAAGCAGAGTAGGTGAGAGTCGAAAAGTAGGAAAGTAAAGGAAGCAGAAAGATGATTTTAATGCTAAAAACACCCTAAGATTTGGTGTCTAAAATACAATAATGAACGCAAGTCCAAAAAGAGCAACTAAAACCCTATAGCAGACAGCATTGTGCCACACACAGATATACGCACCATTTCGCACCTTTCGCGCCATCGGGCTCAGAAGTTTGATCTGGTGTGTATCTATTTGATTTCATATGTAGATACAGACCCATGGAAGGAAGGTATACCACGACAAAAATGCAAGCAAATTAGGTGCTATTTCACAAAAAAGGTTTTGCTACAAAAGACTTTGTAGTGGAAGAAAAGCATGGATGGTTTTCTAGGGCAACAGAATTAGCTAACTGAAGCCCCAACTAAGGTAGACTCATGTGGGAGGCTGCATAGGACTGAATTTTCAGTACTCATAATCTGAGATGCTGAGGAAGGATTTGGAAGGATCAATCAATCCTCCTTTGTAAAGGAGGGATGAAACATTCTACATATGGTTCTCCATTTTCCTTGCTATGGATGCTTACATGATTTTTTGACTCTCTGACGTTGGAAATGGAAGTCCGGTCAAGAATAAGAAGTGATCGGGGGTTAGGGAGAAGATGTTCCGTACGATCTCGCCATTTTTCTGAACCACATCGTGCATGAAACGAAACAAACGTATCAAAGCATCGAACAACATACTTCAATTACGATTCCATCTAATCAAGAAGAAACAGCGTCGATCGCTACCACGTTTCCAACCTCCGACATGGTTTCGACTTCGATGAAACTTTAATCATCACCAAATACTTCAATCCAAGACGCAAAACCACAAAAACTAAAAATAAAACCTATACGCCGGAAAATCGGTAAATATACATAATCACAAACAGAGATACACTACACAGAAGAAGGACGTAAAATCTCAGATTAACCATCGGAAATTGAAACTGCTCAACGAACGAACATTCATGTAACGGGAGAAGAAATGGAGACAAAGATCACCTGAGAAACGCAAGGAGATTCCGCGACGGAGAACCCGCGAAAGGGGTTCGGGGTTTTAGGAAGCACTGTTGTTGCTTATTTAAGGGAAGGAGTGATGAAGAAGACGATGCAGGTGGGCTCCGAAGGCTTCAAACCCTATGTGGCGGCCTATTTCGATTTGTGGACTCAATAATCGATATATATACATGTCTTATATATATAGCTTCTCTAGGATGTGCTCTCAGCCGTTCGATTGCGCCACCGACTTAGCTGGGCACATTGTAGCCGTCGATTAAGTCACCTACTATTACTTTTATTATTATTATTATAATATTTTTCAAATATTGGACAGTTTCAGTCCGGAAATGTCAGACAGTGACAACTCATATTTTTTTTTTTGAATTTTGATACTCCCTCTCTCCCCGTATTCGGATTATGTAGACATATAAATCTAGGGAAATATGATTAATGAAATTAAAATATATAATTATTTTTTAAAAAATAAAATTAACATAAGATGTTAAACAAATATAAACTATGTATAAGGTGTGGGACCGAGGAGCACTATTTGAATTTTTAGAAGTGCCACATTAGTTTTTTGTTCTTACAAATATTGCTTCAACGCTAACTAGTTGTTTGGCATTTTATTTGACATAATTTTAATATATATTTTATTTTTCAAAAAAAATTAATATTTAATAAAAAATACTCCCTCCGTACCGCATACCATGTCATTTTTTTTAAGATGATTACACACTTTAATCTCATTTTAAATTTTTTAATTTTATTTTTTTAAAATTTTAATTAAACTAATTAGTTATCTTAATCTTAATTTATAATTATTTATAATATGGGATAATTATTTTCATTAATACATTTTTAATTATCTATTAATTACACATCTCCTAAAATACAGTGTAGCATGCAGGACAGAGGTAATATTATTTTATATATTATCGATACAATTTTTTATATTTTATATTAAAAAAAAAATAAATCAAAACAGTAAACAAACATACTCCTTCCGTCCACCGTCTATCTATTTGTTTACTTTATGCACATAGATTTTAGTATATTAGTATTATATTGATATGTGATACAATTGATATACATAAAACTATTATATCCCTTAATATTTATGGTATTAAGTGGTGTTATTTGATTGCATTTGTGTAAAAGGTGGGATAATTTTATATTTTTGTGAAGTGAGTATTTTCAAATTTATCAAAGTTTGTTTGATTTTTATTTGAGTTTTTATTTAAATATTATTTTAATATAATAGTTTCTGATAAAAAAAAATAATATTCCCTTCATTAACTATAGATGACCTTTTTTTTTTCTTTGTCTCTTATAGAAGATAATTCATTTATTTTAGTAAATTGATTCACTTTAATTATATTTAACAAATATAAATTAATTTAATTAGAATTTTAACATCGTATACATACTACTCATTCAAAATCATTTTATTTATGTCTCTCTTCAATAAACAAATATTTTTATTTATATTTAAAACTTTTTTATTTTTAATAAAATTAATTTTAAGTTAATTATAAATAAATGAATATACATATTTTATTTATTTGTATTATATAAAATTTTATTGTCTACAAAATAATATTCATATTATATATATTTTATTGAAATATAATTTTAAAAATATTTAAAATAATAATAGCATTATTCATACAAAAAATAATATTAACAATTTGCTAATTCATACTATCTAAAATATTCCCTCTGTTCCCTCAACGATCTATTATTTTTTATTTTAGTCCGTTCTCATAACAAAATCAATTTCTTTTTTTTACAAATGGTATCATCTACTTAACATTACAAATATCCTTCCAATTTACAATATATTACACAAATGTCATTATCTTTATATCATACAATACTAATATGGATAATTTAGTCTTTTTATCTTTATTTCTACTTTATCCAAACTTGGTGCAAAACGGATGGAGTATATTTGTTTATTCTTTATTTCATGTGGATTAATTATTCATCGAGTTTGAATTTATTTGCTTTTAGTTATAAATTTGCTACCTTTATTTTATTAGATTTTAAAATATTTATTTTGTGTTTTACTATTATTTTATCAATTTTCAGCATTACTTTCAGTCCTTTTACTAATTCTTCTGTATTTGTAGGTGTCTAATTTCAAATTTTGTAAGATCAAACTCCGACCTTTTATTGAATGGATTGGAAAATATACTTCCAAAGTCTTCCGACTAGCCAAAATGTGGCAAACCATCTAAATGAAGAACTTCATAAACAACTATACTATTATGTTTCAAATTTGTGAATAATGAATATTAATATGTAAAGATTTTCTATTTTTACATTGAAAACAAATAAATATTTTTTTGTCTATGTTACCATTTCAATCATTTTTATATTTCTTGTCCCATTCCCTTATTTTTCTAAGATTACATACTTTATTTATATTTAAAATTTGGTTGTTGTAGATCCAATGCTGATGGACATACATCAGCACTATATTAATCATCTCTCAGTCGTTTGATGAAAAGGCAATAGTCTAGATCATACAAGAGTATGATGATCTTTATCTAATTCAGATATCTCATAGAGCAATTATGCAAGTCCTTTTGTTGTAGTTCATGTTGTTGTTGTCCCACCGTCGCTGCCCCTGCCACGGTTGTCACTGCTACTGCCACTGTTTTGACAGTGATCTTCATTTTATGGTAAAATATATAGACTTGGTTGATGGATGAAAAACCATTGATGATAGATGGCAAATCGTTGATGTTGAGCTAGATGTCATTTTAGTAGTATGGAAGGATTGAACAGAAAACGGCAGTTATGGTAGAAAAATGGCGATGATGGTAATCGGAAGACTAATGATAAAGTTTGTATCGACAACTAATATCGTGCTAAATAACATAGTATAAAAAGATCTTGATGCACGTAAATGCTAAAATCAATGAAACAAATGCTTATTTATTTTAATTAACAATAAGATTAGTATTTTTATATAACAATGTATGTTTAAATAGAATGAAATTTTTTTTTTTAATAATATCTTCTTCTCTTCTTCTTTTTTTCCAACAAAAATTAATATTATAAACTATATTTATATCACATATTTTATCGATAGAATACATGGTTGTGTAAGATAGGATAATTCACCATTAATCAAGATAATACATATAGTTATTGATGCATAATATTTTTAAAACAAGAACAAATTATGGAATCAATTTATATCTATATTTTAGGCATTTTCGAACCAAAATCAACACTATTTATTTACACCATACGTTACCTAATAAAAATACATCATTTTCTCTCCCAATACATCAAATGAAAATACTAATTAAACAAAAATTTAAATAAGCGCTTCATTTTAAATCAATTTGAAACCACAGCCAAACAAACTCATACTAATTTTACCTCACATATATATATATGTATGTATGCAAAAACCATGTCAATGTTATCCCAGAAAGCAGAAAAAGAAAGCAAGAAGAGCAAAGTGTACCTTGAAATACTATCAGAATGTGGTCTGTCATTCAGGCTGTAGTAACAGAATAGAACTGAGATGAGCTACAATTTGCAGCAGTTCAGAGAGGGAAAAATTAAAGAATTCATCCACAATTCTCATCCACTGATGAGATTCCTTGTTTCGAATCTACTAGAGAGTGAAACTGACCGGCAAAATCCATGGCGCCTGCTCAGGTGACTGTTTATGCTACGGGTACATGGTGACGAGAAGTTACATGTTATCTTTGAACCATTTCATAGCTCCACTTGCAATGGATCTGCAAGGAACCAATTGTTGTTACTGCATAAGTGGGAAAAAATATACAATGGCAGGGAAAAGAATGCTAACTGAAGACAGGATGATAAAGATTCATTGCTCAATTTATTTACATTGTGAAAAAGACAAATCAGTGTGGCGTTTTTAGTTTTACTTTGTTTCACCGAGCACAATTATGGCCATTATTTCCGTGTGGCTTAAACAACTGCCTGAGTGATTCGGACAAATGCTTTTCATATAACATTTGATTACCTTAACAAGAATTATGATCTTTGGACAAGATGACAAGCAATGACATATGGAGGAAATATAAGAAAAATTGAAATGCAAATTTGTGTGGCGTGAATGGGATAAATCTAGTAACTCGACGCAAGAAACTCTAGATAGTTAGTAGGAAAAGGAGAAGCAGAAGGTTTACCCGGCGAAATCTTTCAATTTCGTCAACAAGTCACTTTGATCTTCTGATTCATCTTTGTTTTCTGCAATGGTGTCTGTTTGATTCACTGTACTCTCAACTGAAATATAAAAAGTGGAGCTGCTGTTAGCATATGTAAATTGCTGTTTCAGATACAATCAATCATACAAATAAAGTATATCAGAAATATTGCATCGCAACACACAAAAAATAGCTGTCGTCTAAGTGTACCATGCAACCAGGGCATCAAATCTCAAGAGTTAAAAATAATAGTCTTAAAAGGTTGAGTAATGCAACAAATATCAAGCATTAAAGATATAGGGTTGAGTATAGTTTACAATTTTGTTACATATATGGAGCTACTCACCAGATTGTTGAACCTTTGTACGAGTTTTTGACGGATTGACAGGGGCTTTCCCAAGAGAAGAAAGCTCCTCAAGCAGTTCACGTTCTTTTTCACTGAAAATAAAAATAAAAAATAAAAGGAAAGGAAAGGAAAAGACATCTTAAATTTAAATCAAACTCAAGGGCAACAAATGTCTATAAACATTATTTAGTGGACAAAAAACATATATGTACAGGCAATAGCGTAAAGTATTGAAATAGATTATGTAATTTGCTAGACTCAAAACGCTACAAGAAACTATTTGTGCCAAATCTCTTTAACAACTGTTCACAGCCATTAAAAGAGGATTTCAGAAAAGCAATATTTAAGAAATGTGTAATTCAGAAAATGCGTGTGTGTGTAGGTAACTATATAGCAATGGCCTATGCACTAACATACTAGAATCTAGAATTCAATGTCTACAATAGTCATAGCAATGAAGGACAAAGGCCTTTGACGAACCTGACACGCTTCGGAATATTAACTTTAACGGTGAATAGATGATCGCCACGTATTGATGGCCTATTTAGCTTTGGAGCACCTTTTCTTGCCAAGACGAGCACATCCCCAGGTTGTGTGCCTGGAGGAATCTGGAGGTCAGCCATCCCATCTACCGTCTTAACCTAATCAGAAGCCACATATCAACATTTATCAATTTGCCAACACCAACAAAATACTACACTTATTACCATGCCATAATTGGAACATGATTACCTAGACACAGTTTTTGTAAGAGAGAGTCAGAGACAAGGTCATACTAAAGATACGCATGTTACAGAACAAACTTTATGTCTCTGAATTTATGATTGAATAAATTGTTTTCTTGCTATTCCGAAAATTGTCTTCTTACTAACGTCCCATAGAAGAAGATAGATAGTACTTTTTGTTTCTTCTTCCATTCATAATAGTAGCCACAACCAACATATGAAAAACTAATTAATTCCGCATACTGTTTGGAAAAAAAAAAAAAAAAAAAAAAAACCTTCCATGCTTCTATTACCCAAAAAAAAATGCAATGATAGTAAGATTGTTAAATTAAATACAGACTGTTCAGATTTTTTTAAAAAATAAAGGAACAAACCATATAGGCATGTTAATAACTATGCTTATTGGTCACCAAAACCATACGACTTTTCAATATACTCAACATAATATGTATATTGTACCTTGCAGGGAATACTGTTTGGATTATTAACCCAATAAAAGAACAAACCATATATGCAACTCAGGAACTGTGTCACCAAAAGTGTATGGTGTTTCAATATATTCAACATAATGTGTATAGATTGATTGTAACTTGCAGCGAGAAATGAAGACAAAAGTACCTTTACAACAGTCCCCAGTATAGCATCCAGATAGTTTATTGAAATGGTTGAAAGAAGATTTATGCCATCTCTCTGAATCTCTGGTATCTCTTTGATATCAAGATAGACAAATAGATCTCCTGGTGGCCCCCTATATAATTAGATAGAACCCCTATTAACACAGAATCCAAGATAAGGATCTCTAATTTTACTAGAATTCACAACAGACTAATTTGTATCAGCCACAATAATGAATGGACAAACTGTTCATCCATGGCATATTTCTTTGCAGTATTGGTAACAACTAAGTATGAAAATCAAATGAAGATATTATAGAATCTGCACCTGAAGAAAATACAGAAAACCAGCATAGTACATACCCTTTTAACCCTGCATCACCCTCTCCAGCAACTCGAAGAATGCTTCCCTTGCTGACTCCAGGAGGAATTTTGACTTTGATTTCTTTTCTAACCCGCATCCTTCCTGTGCCAGAGCATTTACGACATGTTTCTGATATCATTTCCCCATCGCCTCCACAACTCGGGCACACTGAAACCTAATTCATTCCGCATGTAAGCGCATGTTTTAAATAACTGGATGTTTCAGAATGCAGATAAAGCAACAAGCACTAAACAAAAAATTAGGTTAAAGCCTGCATAAACTTCTTGAAAACATACAAGAACTTTCAAGCTGTAAATGGAATTTATAAGTAGGTAGCTATGCAAGCAAAGACACAGCACAATCTTAAATAACTGGCATCGTTTGAAACAGGAGCAAACCCCCTGCATAGATAAGTACCTGTGAAAACATGCCAAAAGGTGTTTGCTCAGTTCTCATGACTTGACCTCGCCCACCACATGTTGAGCATACCCTCATTTTGGACCCAACTTTTGCTCCAGTACCAGAACAAGCATCACATGATTCAAGATGGGACAGCTCAAATTCTTTTTCGGCACCAAATATAGATGCCAAAAAGTCCAATGTCATGTCATAACTGCAATCCATTTTAACTGATATATCAATACTAATGAGCCCAAGTTGTTGAGAATACTTCAATACAGCAAATGAAGTCATCATAGAAAACTATGAAGAACCTAGAAGTGATACCCATGAGACTTGATTATGTATAGGAATGTTAAAAGAAAAGTTCTCTCAAAATTGACTCACCGAAGATCTTCACCTTTGGAAACTGCACTACGACGAGTTGATCCAAACGCTGATCCCTCCATTCCAGCAAATCCACCCATGCTAGGCCCAAAAAATGCCTCAAATAGATCAAAAGGGTTGGTTGACTGTGACATAAGACATTATCATCAACATATGCTATATTTCTCAAGTTCAAGTTGCTAATGAAGACTTGATGAAGCTTGAAATAGATGTTTTCCCAAAAATTAATCTATTGTTTGGAGATGCCATATCCATATAAAAAATGAGAAGGGAGTCATATTTGGTGTAATAAGCAAGAAGAAGATGAGCAGCCATCCAATAATACTTTCCTGTCTGACAATGGTGTGTTCTTTAGTGTTTTTCTCTCTCTTTTTTATCCTATTCAAATTACCATTTTTCCTCTAAAAACAATACATCCAATGCCTATTTTCTATATAAAACATTACTTCCAACAACTATTTTACCTCGAAATTATCAAAACCAAAAACACAACAAAAGTAAAAATGAACACAGCCACAATTTGCATTCAAATTTAGATTACAAAAACAAGTGTTAGCTTATATTTAATTAACCACTGAAGACCAAGAGCCTTGCCCCAAAAATTGGAACAGCTTGGGGAAGTTCATTCAATAAAAATGTGTTGCACTAGAGGAAGAGGGGGGAAAGGGTTAAGAAGTTCCGAAAATACCGTGTAACCACCTGCTCCACCTACGCCAGTTTTCAGTCCATCCTCACCATATCGATCATACATGGCTCTCTTTTTGTCATCTGATAGTACCTGACAAAGTGACAATATTGTGCTTCAAAATTATCATCACAAGAAGGGTACAATACTGCATAAAGCAAACAGAACTCTAGTTATAAAATTTACAACATATTAACCCTGATACTCTTTCAAGAAGATACATCTAAACGGATACTTCACAGCAACAAGACAAGCAGATAATAACAACAAACAAAAATATACATGAAATGATTACCTCCTGTGCTTACCTCATATGCAGCACTAATCTCTTTGAATTTTTCAGTTGCTCCAGGTTCTTTGTTGACATCAGGGTGGTACTAGGGAGAAAAACGAAATGCCATTCAGCAATTCTAAAATCAATGTATCGACAATGCAATGTTATCCCAGATAAATGTCCGATCGGTTGTCAATTCAACGTAAATAACAATGTTTATATTGTATGATGCCGAAGCACAAATGACGTCTAACTAAGCTGCTCCACGATCATTTCACTATGCTAGATAACGTACGGAAACTAATAAGACTCGCAGGGATCAACCTCATCATACACACGCTAAACAACGCTCGAATTCCATAAAATCTAGCCGATTTCTATTTCAGCCTATAAACTTTTGACAGAATAACAAATAAAACCAGGCATTTCCTGCACTTATACCTGCCTTGCCAGCTTCCTGTAAGCAGCCTTAATCTCCTTGCCACTAGCAGATTTTGTCACTCCAAGAGTTGAGTAATAATCAGCTGCAGCAACTACAACCACTCTCGAAAACCTCCTCGCAGACATTTTCTTATTCAATTGCGCGGCAGAGGATAACTGAACTTGCATAAACTTCCCACCCGCGAAGAAGCAGGACGATGAAGAACACAAAGGAGCCGAAGGATTGCTCTGGCATAGCCGCGTATAGCTCAAGGAAGAAGGAAAAGCCAACGCCGACGATGTAGCGGCGGCGGAGGCGGCGGCAGCAGCTACGGCCATCGGAGATTAAACCCACGATGTTGTCACTGAAAATTAATTAGGGAAAAGTTTTGAAGTCACTCCCAACAAACGTTCTCAGAGACTGCCGAGAAATCTCGGATTTTTTAAAAATAAAAATAAATAAAATAATTGCTTCCGAATTTATTTTAAAATTCATTATTTATATATTCTTTTCAATTTATTTGTGTGGGTGTGGAGAAACGAAACTGCGGCAGGCATAACCTTACACGTAAACGCTTTTGCGTCGGTACCAAAGCACGTTTTTATAAATGCATCACATTGGGCAAAAAGAGCTTTTTACACAAACAAGTAGATAAAGCCTAAAGGAGCAAATTATATTCCGGAAAAATAGTAAAAAAAATAAAAATAAAAACAGTAAAAACCATATAGAACAAGAACAGCTTGCAACGCCTAGGTTAATCAATCATACAGTAATCAAACTCATTAGTCATTACTCATTACTATAGACCATCCCGTCGAAATGGTTGCGAGTTCTTTAAGTAGTTCCGCGTAAGTATACGCATTCTATCGAAACCGTTTTTTCAAGTAAATCGACATAGGCCACGAAGAATTATAGCATATGTAGCTCAGAGTCAAATGGATTGTCGATTTAGAAGACGTCAGGATTAAAGCGTCCGGGAGTAGCGTTGCTGAGCTGAGCCTGTTGCAGACGGAGCGTCAAGGCATAGTTGTTAGCCTGCAAGGAATTAAGACAACATGGAATTTTGAGGATTCTGATGTCTCGTCGGGTATTGTAATAATTATTGTAATAATTAAGAAAATTGTGAAGTTTATGGGACTAACTGAGAGTGTTCGCAGTTGCTCCTGACACTGTGCTGCCAACTCTTTTAGTTGGAGGGCCTCTTGGTTCTTCTCGTCGTACTCCTTGTGGCGCTCATGTTGGATGGCCACAGCTCGTTTGAGGATGCCATTTTCCTGGAGAAGGGTATCGATTTGTTCCTTCAGCATTTGGTTTTCCTGGAAGCATGAAAAGTAAAATGCAGACAAAGACGACATTAATATTCATCGGAGGACTAAAATATTATACAGAAATGAACATAAGGATAAGAAATTCAATAGTCGGTTCCATCTATTTCTGAAATATATTATTACCTCACTACTCAGTATCGGGGACTTATTATCACTTATCAGCAAGAAAAGCTTTCACAAATTGCAAATACTGATACGTTGAATCGTGTATTTTAAATATTAATCAAACCTTGTGAAATCCTTCCGCGACCTCAAAGCTAGCACGAACACTGATGGACTTCTCCAAATTTTCTAGCACTTGTGCTGTCCGGGTTCTAGCATCATCCACGCTGCTGGAAGCAGATATTTGGTTTACAATATATTCCACCCATTCTGCACCGCCTATTGGCAGGTTGTTGCGGACTTGCGCCTCTTCCGAAGGAACTGCATTACCGCAAGTCAGTATTGTGCATACCACAAATGTACAATTATGACTACCAAAAGTTTTAGTAAGACACAATGACCAGAATAAGTGCTAAGGATTATATGCATCCTGCGTAGTTCTAAATGTGGACAGATGGCATGGCCAAATACACATCGTTTTCAATCCATAAAACTTTGAGTATGTCAAAGGCATCGCCATTCAGCAGACAGGAAAATACATCTTATATAAATTTTGATAGATACGCCATCGCCACATGGCTTCAGACAATTAGCTCGTATCTTTTTGTTGAAATGACATTAATGAATTAACAAATATAAACTGAAAGTTCAATAGATAAACGTGTAATGGATAAGGTATAAAGACGTGGACATGGGATTAGGGATATGCGACAAAAGTGAATATTACAGAGACACGCTTCACAGAAGTCCATATGTGAAGTGGAAACTCCAACCTACCAAAACTTGAATTCACAATTGTTCTGTTATGTAAATGCATACCTTTTCCCACGTGTACGTTTGTTTCGACAGCTAAGCCTGTATCGCACTTTGAATCTCCAAGATGTAATTGATTAAGGTTATTAATTGCAGATTCTAAGTCGCTGCCAGACTCTTCAAATACTTTCTCAAGAAGCTGAAAATAGTAAAGCAAAGTGATCACTCATGACTCACGATTGGCTGGCTATGCATTACTATTAACATCATGGAAATAAACAACAACAATAACCCATTGAATTTGCCATAATATCTCATTGAACGGTTTCACAAGGTCGAACCTGGACAGAAAACAAACTCTAAAAACTATGTACAATTAACTTCGCAAATTTGGCATCGTGTGACCAAATATACAGCATTATAATGGAAAGTTACCATCAATTATAGCAATTAATCAACATTGCACCGAATATTCAACAATGGAGTAAAGAACTAATCAGAATCTGCCACAATAAATTTTCAAACCGATTCTATCAAGATTACTTTGCAGACAACCAACAACATTATAATTATATTTTGGATTATGCATTGGTCTAGCTCCCAGATTAACAGAATTTTTTAATTATGCATCGTTCTCTACATGTATATATCTCCTCCAATGGTAACAAAACCTACCAAGAACTGATTCAAGCAGGCTGCAGATCACAGGTCCCTCGCATATTGTTGCAAGTAATAGAGCATAATTTCTCAGCACAAATAAAGCCATCCTAAATACATGCTTCTAAAAGAACCAAGATAAATCAACAACACAAAGCGCGCAACCATCAATCATATCAATCGTCTCCAAAAGACAAATAAACTAACGAGCAAGTGAAATCCACAAACGCCATACGAGCATAAAAGAATTCCCAAACACGCACCTTAATTTCCATATCAGGAAACAATGCCCTGAGCTGATCAACAGGACTCGGATGGACCGGCGGCGAACAAGCAAAACGGACCGGAGAAGTTGTCGAAGCGCACCGGAACTTCTTGTAAGCCGGCGGGGACGCCGACGCTGCCGATTCGATGTCCTCGAAAAACGATCGCTTCCCGCACACGATCGCGGACATTATTCTCGCAAGATTCGAATCGATTCGGTACAACAAAAATTAAATCGATCCTTCGGGTGCTCTTCCCCTCCAAACTCCCAAAATCTTTCCAGTGAAATCAAACGAAATGAAGATTATGGAGTAGGGTTTTGGAGAAGCACGCTTGCGCGGTGGGCTGGCGGGTATATGTGCAAACAGATGCGGCAGGCGATTGCAGAACACGCGATCAGGCGCGTGGTTGGACATTTTTCCGGAAGATACAAGTTTTTTGGGCCTTATTTTTCAATATTGGGCTGATCCATATTCATTCGCCGTATAGACACCGCGTAATTTGGAAGTATATTTGATATGTGAATTTTTTATTATTATCATTATTATTATTTTGTATTTTATATTTGTAGTTTTAATTAAATAGTGATTTAATACTCCTTTTGTGTATACATAGGGTTTGTTTGTTTGGGGGTTTTAGATTTTGAGTTGAAATTTGAACAGTAAAAATTTTGAATTTGAATAGTTGTATGATGTGATATAAATAGGTGTTGATGTGATGTTTTGAATGTAAAATTGATTTTGAGTATAATATAAAAAATAAAAAATAGGTGTTTGATTTGATATTTTTAGGAGAAAAAATTGGATGAATAGTAAGAATTTTGCAAAATCTTGCAAACGAACACACCCATAGATTGTTATGCAACATGAGTATAAATTGTTAAATGAATTATGTCAATATTATTCAATAATAATATATATTTATAGTATTGTATCATTATATGTATATTATATTTTTAAATAAAAAACGGTAACAACCAAAAACAATAACAGAACAAATCCATTATTTATATTTTTTATTTTAATTAAAATAATTTTAATCATTTTAATCTATAATTATTTTTATTAAATTATAATTATTTTTACTAATATATTTTTTAATTATTTATTAATTATACAACATTTTAAAATTTTATGCTGGACAAAAGGAGTACTATGTAAGTAGATTATAAATGCATGAATTTTTTGCTCTTTTTTATTTTTATTTTTATTTTAGATTTTTTCACTATATATTTTTTTATAGTAATAATTATTGTATCACATAAAATATTGCATCAATTTAATACACAAAATAGAAACACAAACCAAATGCATTGGTTAATTTGTTTAGGAGTTTAAATTTTGAATTGGAATGTGAATATTAAAAATTTTGAATTGGAATGTGAATATTAAAAATTTTGAATTGAAATAATTATATGATGTAATGTTTTGAATATAAAATTATTTTTTAGTATAATCTAAAAATTAAAAAAAAAAATGTTTAATTTAATTTTTTTAAAAAATAAAATAAAAAAAATTAGATAAATAATAAATTTTGAGTATAATCATGCAATCGAACACACCCTGGAAAAAACTCCCCATATGCAATTACACCCAAACATTTTTATTAATACAATTTTTATGGATATTACTTAATATATATATACTATATACATAATTATATAAAAATATATAATATAATATATATTACCTATTTACGAAAATCAATAATACATTACAATAATATATTTTTTTATATTAGCTACATACATTCATTCAAAAATATAAACAAAAAATACATTGAATTATAATATCCACTAACTATAATTTAAATACTCCATCCATTTCATTGAAATGTTGCATTTTTTATTTTCGTTCGTCCAAAACAAAGTTATTATTTTCTAATTTCGTAATTGTACTGTCTACTTAAGTAACCTTTCAACTTACAATACGTTACAGATATGTCATTACTTTTACTATAATCCAATATAATACTAATATTCAAAAATTCATGTGCAAAAAACAACCGTCACCCTTCAAATGGGACGGAGGGAGGATAATATTTGATTTCACTTTTTTTACTATAAATCAATTACAGTTATTCTTATAAATATATATATATATATATATAATTTTTCTGTTACAAAATATCACATTCAAATCATAAAAAAACTAAAATCAAACTTCAAATGAATACACTGTAGCCGAAAAATGACACAACATAACACTGATACAGCAAATGGCAGGTGTTAAATTTCCAGTAAATTATTAGCATTTGAAGAGGTTTAGTAGGCATTTCATCAACAACAAGTAGAGAATCCTAACTCAGATATCCAACAGACTACTATGTTCATAGAGCATGCCTTAATATGAAATAAGGGATCGAGCTCGGAGCGTGTTTACCTAACGAGGATGAGCAGAGCAGCCACTCGGAGCAATTAATGTTTCGCCACGAAAGGGATTGTCAATCCCAATCTGATCAATATATGCAAACAGAAAATTAAAAAGAAGGCTGTTAGTTTCGACAAACGCCATTAACATTAAGGTCATGGTTCACTTAGATGTTATGAAACAGTACCAAAAGAAGGGACCGTATTGGCGAGGTCCAACGAGGATGTAAAGTGGTTTCCCGTCCAACCTGCATCGGCCCTGGGGATAAAGCTAAAATAAGAACATAATTCAAGCTCAAAATCGACAAAAATGTGTGGAAATGAGATATAAAGTGTGTCGAAAAAATTCCATAAAATTAACAAAGCTCCAATATATCACAGTAACTTTTGGCACTATTCATTATAACGTTTCAAAAACAATCACATCAAATTCTAGTTTTTAAAATATTCCCGAATATTTTCAAAACTCGAAAACTCCAAAAGCCTCTGTCTAAACAAAGGCAGCTTTCAACTTAGATGATGACAGATCACATTCAATTTATTTACTATGCAATTTCACGATTTATTGACAAAATACTATATGTTTCCTCTCGCAACAGAACACATCCAAATCCTGAGTAAATCACAGCAACCACACAACACATATAGAATGTTCCTTCAAATATGCATTCACATCGAGGGGCAAACTTAAAATGGAATTCTTGAAGTTACCTCTGCCTCGGGCAATCCAATAACACATGCACACTCGACAACCTCTGCTCCGTTGCGTTCTAATCAATATTAAATAATCACAGTTAAATGCATTTCGAAGGAACCAAACAAGCACTCACAGTTCACATACACAGCTCAAATTAATGTGTGTGTGCTAAAAAAGAAAAATTCAACTACATGAATGCACCTAAAAGCCTTATGGCTGCAGAAAGCGTCCCTCCCGTAGCAACCAAATCGTCAATGACCAATGCACGTTCCCCCCGTTCAACAGCACCGACGTGCATTTCTAGACAGTCCTTCCCGTACTCAAGCTCATACTCTTCAGAAATAACTTCACCTTCCACATTTGAACTCAAAATGATTCAAATACAGAGATAAAATTCCAAATTGTCAGCTAAGAACATGCCACATGAGGCTGTAATCTCGATTAGAAGGCCAAATTTTACCAGGAAGCTTTCTTGGTTTACGCAGAGGAACAAATTTGACACCGATTGCCAATGCAATTGCAGGAGCAAATATGAATCCTCTTGCTTCAATCCCTATAAATAGAATTTGATTAAATTTGATAAAGATTTCACCAACTATTCCACAATTCAAAGCTTTTAGTCAACCAAATTTGAGCAGAATTCCCAATTATTGGCACCTAAACCAAAATGGCAGCTTACTTTTCTTTTAGGACTTTTGACAAACACTTAATCAGGATGCAAATTGCAGAACAATACAACCTCCTATCAAATCAAGTAGGCAATAATTTCTGGATTTGCTAAAGTGGCTATATTTGGCACTTGTCATCAATCAGAAAATTATGATTTCCACATGAAAGTGTTTGCAATTACCAGAAATCGAGCAAAAAAAGCACATTACCAGCAACAACAGAAATGTCCATATCTTTGTATCTCTCTACAAATATATCGATAATGTCCTTGAACACCTTGTGCTTGGAGACGATTGCTGTTATATCCTGAAACATAATTCCTACAAGCAACAGATAATAAATAAATAAATAATAAAATTAACAGCAGAACTCCCCCAAATGTGTGCTCGCACATGCACACAATTACTTCAAGCACAGAAACATGAGCAGCAACAGAGAAAAAAAGTGAAAAATTAAAACTTAAAAATCAAAAGATGGAAGCTGCGACAGCTATTCAGCAGAGCGGATAATAAAATACAATAGAATACGATAACCTGGTATCGGAAAGTTGGGGACAACTCTAATGGCGTCAGAAATGCCCTTCAATCTAGGGTCATCCTTTAGCCCATTCTCTGCTGCAAACATCTTCAGGTTCTTCCTATTATTTTAACTCTGCTCCTGCTGTTTCTTCAGAGCACTTTTGTGTGTGTCTTCTTCTCTCAGAAAAAATTCGCGTGTGTGTGAGAGAGATGGTGAATGTATGGTATGGATGGTTGGAGCTCTCCACTGAGGAAGATCCATCAGCTCAGTGGTGCCATTATTTATTTATACACCAACTTTTTAAGCTAAGAAATTATATATATATATTTTATATATGCATACAGAGAGAAAGAGAACGATTTGATGTTTTTGTTTTTACTCAATATATTGGTGAATAATTATTTTTTCATTTTATTTTTTCGTACTTATAAAATAAAAATTTATTGTTTTTAATAAAAATAATAATAATATAAAGCTAAATTTTGATTTTGATTTGTATTTTAATTTAAATATAATTTTTGATCTAATATATATAGCAATAGTAAATAATACAATTATGGATGTGTTTTTTTAACCCAATTTTTTAAAATTTTATTATTTGAACTATGATATTTTTAAAAAAAAAATACTTTTTTTTTTTTGCAAAATATTCTATTAAATATTATTTAATATAAATCAAAACCAATTTTTTTTAAACTAAATCAAAAGAAACAAACCGTATATTTTTATTAAAAATATAAATAAATAATGTTAGATTTTAGTTTAAGCTAAAACGGAATAAACTTGTGTAATGCTCTTTTATCATTTCATTTTTTTTAATTCTCTTTCATCAATTTTTCTTCTTTTGTTCTATAATAAAAAATATTGCTTTAATATTTTTATTATAAAATAATTATATTTTTACACTTTTTTTTAAAATTAACAAATGAACATAAATTTTGATAATAATTGTTTTTTATAAAAATAATAAATAAACTAATTAATGGGCTAATAAAATATTATATTTAATATATTTTTATTTAAAAGGCTATATTAAAAAAAAAAGAAGCTTATTTTACAATTATTTATAATATAGTTTATTATTAATAATATTATCTAATTTTATTTTTACTTTTAAAACAACTCCTTATGTAAGTGATAATTTAGTAGTGTTAGTGAATTCTTAATTTTATTCGTTAAACATGATTTGTCTAATGTGAATAAGTAGATAGTTATTAGGTTTGTTCTTTCTACAATTTTTTTTTTTACATATTTTTTTAAAAATATTAATACACTGTAAATATTTATTATTTTTATATTTTATATACAATTTTTTATACATTAATTAAAATAATAATAATAAAAATTATTTCTAACAATCTCGCTGAACAAACATGCTCTATGTTGTTTGAGTTTATGTTTAAAAGCACTAAATAAAATATTTATATTTTTATATTAATATTAAAGTTCAATTCTTTAAAACTATCTAGATAAATTTTCGGTCAATTCTAATAATGTATAAACTAGATTTTGCAAAGCAAACTACATTAAATAACTATATATAATTTAAATCATTCATATTTTTAATTTTAACAAATAGTATGAGGTATTATTTGTATCAAATATATAGATAACTATCAAATGTTTGGTAAGATTTTATTTGATTTAATTTTGACTATTTGATTATCCCATTCTATGATTTCAGTATTATAGAAAATACACTATATTGCTATTAGTATTATTGCTTCATTGTTATTTGTTAAATGCACATGTTTTTCTTTTCTATTATTTTATACTCCCTCCGTCCCAGAAAATATGGGACTATTACTGTAGATACGGAAATTTAGGTAAGTAATTAAGAAGTGTATTAGTAAAAATAATTATTATTTAGTAAAAATAATTGTAAATTAAGATTAAGATAAGTAAATAGTTTAATTAAAATTTAAAAAATTATAAAATTTAAAATGCGATTAAAGTTCATAATTATATTTTCAAAAATAGAAATGACAGTTATGTGGGACAGACGAAAATAGAAAATAAGGACAAATAATGTGGGAAGGAGGGAGTATATCTTATCAATCATCTTATATCTCTTTGCTATTTGGCAATATTTTATAAATATTTCCATTCATTAAATAATAATAATCACTATAATAATAATAATTACTCCATCCGTGACACGAGAATTTATAAGAAATATGATTATTAAATATTTTCTCTGTCCCACGTACCATGTTCATATTGCCGTTTTTGTCCGTCCCACATTTCATGTCACTTTTATTTTTTGAAAAATGATTACACATTTTAATTTTATTTTAAACTTTTAAATTTTTCTTTAAATTTTAATTAAACTAATTAGTTATGTTAATCTTAATTTATAATTATTTATATTATAAGATAATTATTTTTACTAATACATTCTTAATTATCTACTAATTACACCCCTCCTAAAATACCGTATCTACAGTGTAGCAGACACGGTATGTGGGAAGGAGGGAGTATATATTAGTAAAATTAACTAAAATATAATTATAGATTAACATTAAAAATAAGATAACTAATTAATCTAATAAAAATTAAAACAATTATAAATTATAAAAATTTAAATTTTAAAATATGATTAAAAGATAAAATACTTAAAAAAAATATAACGTAATATGTGGAACATGCGAAAATAAAAAGTGTGACGAACATAAATGAAAAGTGTAACATAAATATGTGAGACGGACATAACAATATAAATATATGTTGCTTGTATATCCATTTTTTTGAATAACTATTATTATTATTATTACTTACTTACTCAAAATTTTAATGTTCTTATTTTTAAACAAAGCCACCATAAATCTTTAAAATATTAATTTCAATTACTGATTTACAAACACTATACATGATGTTTTATAAATACAAATAGTCATATATGATATTTTTTAAAAAAAAAAAAACAAATTTATTATTACTAAATAGTATCAAATTTTTTCCACACACACTCTCACATATATATATATATATATATAAACATAACATTACCTAATCCAAACCTTAAATTCACCACCATTGTGGTTTTGAATTATTTCAAATATTTTATTATTATTATTTGTTTATGGACAACTCAAAAACTAAATAAATATTTTTTATTAAAAAAATAAGAATAATATAATAATATTACCCTAGAAAAATAGATAATAAAATAATGAGAAATAATGCTATTAATTTAACAAATAATTGAGGAAATAATGTCAAGAAATAAAATAAAATAAAAAAATTCGTCCATAAATTTATTACCATTAATTTAACAAACAAGAATCAAATTATTTATATTTTTTCTAAGTACACATTATTTTTTAATAGTTTTAATAAATATCATATAATATTCCATTTTACTTGTTATATATCTCATTTAATATTAAACTATATATTGTTATATATTAATCTTTGTATATATAAAAAAAACATATATAGATGTTATCGAACTGATGAAATATCTTTTATTTAATGATTAATCAACTTACATTTAATTATAAATTATTAATGTAATAAAATGAGGATAATATAAAGAGAGAAAATAGAGCTTGCATAAAATAGTCAACTTTATAGTGATAATAACAAAAATTAATAAGAAGTCAATAATGTCTCAAATCATAGGGCCCTCGGTGGCACAAAGGTACAACACTATTTAAACGCACGCTTGGTTGTACCATCAGCCCATCATCATTTGGTTCTGTTTTATTTTTATTTATTTATTTATTTTTTCATATTTTTACTATTTGGGGTTTTTCAATCAAATTCTATACTTTCTATTTTGTCCGCTTTAATAAATAATTAAAAATATATTAGAAAAAATAATTATTATATAATAAGAATAATTATATATTAAAATTAAAATAACTGATTAGTATAATTAAAATTAAAAAAATATATATAAACTAAATTTTTTAAAATAAAATTAAAGTGTATAATTCTTTAAAAGAAAATGACAAAATAAATGAAATGGACGAAAATGAAAATATGGACATGAGATGTGGGACGGATGGAGTACTATTTTTCTGTTTACAAAACATTTAATTGTATATTATTTTAATACAAAACTAAAATTAATTTTTTTTCAAACTCATAAAAAAAACCATACCCAAGATTATTGTTTATATATGATTCGACCTAGTGTAACTTTGTTTTATTCAACCTACTTTGCAGGAACGCATTAATCAAGTAGTTGTTGCGGGTTTTCACGTCATAAAAATAAAATGGTGATAAACTTTATATCAATTTATCTAATAATAATAATAATAATAATAATAATAATAATTAATATAATTATTTATATATAAAAAAACCCCTATAGTATACATATGTAGCTATATCAAATGAATCGCCATGATATAATTAAAATCACACCAATTAATATTATCCAAATCCAAACCAAACAAATGATGACTTTGGCTAAAATAGTGTCTGTGTGACTGTCCCACACAAAGCATCGGATCAGATCTCTAATGAATAAAATGATTTAATCATAGACTTTTGTTTTGGTACACACACCTTTTCGTTGCACGTCAATTATTATCATTATTATTATTATAATTAATCAAAATTATTCGTAATTCGTTTATGTACTACTACCTCGTATTGGTACTAAAAAAAAAAGAGAAATTAATATTTTATATATGAATAGTTAATTTTATATTACAGATGTAATATTTAATTAATTAGAAAGTTAATTTTCAACATGGGATGTATTTTAGTTATGTATTTTAATTTAATTAATAGATGAATATACTGTTTTGTAAAAAAATATTTTATAGAAACATGAAAATTGTATAAAAGATACAAGAAAAAATAAATCAAAAGAAAACATAAACCATAATTGATTTTAATTTTTTTTTCAATTAATTTAGATAAAATAAATTATTCTCTATTGATAACTTGACAATATGAATGGAGAAGTACATAACATTTATAATTATTTCAACAAACAGTTTTTTTTCACAATTAATTTCATATAAATATTATAAAAATACAATATATATATATATAACCTCACACAATATTTCTAATAAATATGTATGTATAACATTACATAAATGTAATTAAATATATTAATTAAGTATGAACAAGTGACCAATTGAAATTTTTCTTTTAAAAGTATGTCCAAATTACATGGGAGGGGATCTTTGCCCCCTCCTCCCCGCTCCTTGTACAAAATAATGTATATAGACTATGTGTATGTATATAGTATATGGATACATACATACATATATATTTAATTTGTTGTCTCAATATATTTAAATGAATTGATTTTTTATGTATGGTATAAAAAATTGAATTGATAATATAAAAAAATTAATAATAATTTTATGTTGAATTATTGATTTTTCACAAATGAATGATATACATATTAGATTAATGTATGTATATTTGTATTTTTCTAATAATATTTATAGAAAATTCTTTAGTTACAAATAATAAGTGAATAAACTAATTATATGTATTAAGTAGTTTGTATTTTTGGGTTGTTTTTACAAGGAGTACTTACAATATTTTATTTCAAATATATTAAATTTCTTATACATAATTAAAATATTATATTGACATTATTTATTAGATAATATAATAATATTTAAATTTAATTTTTTACTATTTAAAATTCAATTCCAAACAAATATAGTAAATCCTAACAAATAAACCCTAGCACCAATTATAAACGTGGATCAGGTTATGGGCCGGGCGGCCGTGACCCGGACTTTATTCGGGTTAGTCCCATACAAATGAAGCCCATATCTGTAAGGCGGTCACAGACCGCCTTTGCAGAAAGGCCCACAGTATAAATACGATGTCGTAAGAGACAATCGCCCAAATGCTCACTCACTACTTCAATCGGAGGGGAGAGGTCGAAAACTCATGCTCGAACCCGCTGCTTTCCAAAACCCTGATTCATTTCTAGCGATTTCAAGGGTATCTTGTCAGATGCTGTACTTCTTTGCGAAGTGAGTTCATTTTGGTGGAGTTGTAGGTAGATAAAATCATGTATAATAACGGGCAAGAGATGTGGAGCGACGGTATTAGTAATCCGGCGCCGCCGGGGACGAGTGTGGGTGGAGCGATGCCGCCTGTTATGGCGCCGCCTGGAACTAGTGGAGCTCAACCGGTTGCGCCTCCTCAGCCGCCAGTTCATCCGTCTTACACTGTTGTGCCGACTGAGTCGCAGCTTGATGAGCGTGCGAGGAAGTGGATGCAGCTGAACACGAAGAGATATAGTGATAAGCGGAAGTTTGGATTTGTTGAGGCGCAGAAGGAGGATATGCCTCCTGAACATGTTAGAAAAATTATTAGGTTAGTGTTACTTGGTTTGATTGCACCCTTTTATTCTAGGGTTTCCTGCTTATTGAATACTTAAATCTGGTCCTATATACTTCAGTTACTTCTTCCGCTGTTCATACTTGATTCAGTGTAGTTTTTGCGAGGAACTGGTAATAGCTCATTGAAATGGGATATCTGCGAGCTATTTTAATCCACACATGATATTATGTATAGTTGTTTTCTTCCATATATTAATGACGAACATTGTGGCACTGCAATTGGTTTTTCTTGGGATTTTGTCTCGAGTATTCTAGTCGAACAGTTTCTGGACTGCATGATACTTCTTGAACCTAGATAATATATTCTTTGCCCTTTCCCTAAGATTTACAAGTGAGTTGCGATATTTGCACAAGATTGTTATCTTGCTCTATTTGATTAGGGCATCCTTCGGATAGAGCCCTTCGATGTTCATCTTGCTAATTCTTTCCACAAACTGCATGCTGGAATTGTTTCTTGAAATCTCAGGTTAGATGCCTTTTTGGCAATGGGCCATTTCCTTGGAAGTTAGGTTAATAACTCATTGTTAGGTGGTGCTGTTCTCAAGTTCTCTATAATAAATCAATCAGAGATGTTTATTGTGTATTTTTATTGGGTGAACCTGGGTTCCTGCTATATGGCTGTTTGATGTTTGATTATTGTTTTGGGTTATTATGAAAGTAGTATGTTTGATGACTCTGCTGCATAAATGGCGGGGCATTTATTTATTTGCATCGCTGTTGGCACCTATCCAAAACTTCAATGTGGGACACTTTACAGATACACAGTCTAATATTTTTCCATGTTTTTCTTGAATTGACTGAAATTGAACTTAAAATTTTTTTGCAGGGACCATGGTGACATGTCATCAAAGAAATTTAGGCATGACAAGCGTGTATATTTGGGAGCTCTTAAATTTGTACCCCATGCTGTATACAAACTTTTGGAGAATATGCCCATGCCTTGGGAACAGGTATTTGTAAATTCTAAAGTAGTGGCAGTCCCTTCTGAAAATTGCCTTTTAGTAGGTGATCTTTTTAATTATGATCGTATTAAAATTATTTTAATTTCGTGTTCTTAGGTCCGTGAAGTGAAGATCCTTTATCATATTACTGGGGCTATCACATTTGTTAATGAGATTCCATGGGTTGTTGAACCAATTTACTTAGCACAGGTATGATGTTTTCTACAGTGCACGTCAAATTCAGTTCTTTACCAACTACCTTTCTGTGATTTTCTTATTGTGATATCCAACCTGGTGCTTCTAATGATTCTGTATTGTTTGGCATCTAATTATTTTGATTTGTCAGTGGGGTACTATGTGGATTATGATGCGGAGAGAAAAGAGGGATAGAAGACATTTCAAGAGAATGCGTTTTCCACCTTTTGATGATGAAGAGCCTCCCTTGGATTATGCTGACAATCTTCTAGACGTAGATCCTTTGGAGCCAATTCAGTTGGAAATGGATGAGGAAGAAGATTCAGCTGTTTATACTTGGTTCTACGACCATAAACCTCTTGTTAAGACGAAACTTATTAATGGACCCAGTTACCGGAAATGGCATCTCTCGCTTCCAATCATGGCAACCCTGCACCGACTTGCTGGACAGTTACTCTCGGATTTAATTGATCGCAATTATTTTTACCTTTTCGACATGGAATCGTTTTTCACAGCCAAAGCATTAAACATGTGCATACCTGGTATGATCATTTTTTATTTTCTGATGAGCATTATACCGTTTGGTCTGTCAGTATATGATTGTGTATGTACATGTGATGGTTATGCGCTTGATCTATGTTCTTAGCTTCTTTCTTTGTCAATTCTATTACACCCTTTTCAATTGTTTATTGTCTGTAAGCTATGTAGTTGATTTCATACTACTACTATAATATAAGAATCTATATGGTAAATTGTTTCTTTGTATATTATTCTTCTGCAGGTGGTCCCAAGTTTGAGCCATTGTATCGTGATATGGAGAAAGGAGATGAGGACTGGAATGAATTTAATGACATTAACAAGCTTATCATCCGATCGCCTTTGAGGACAGAGTACAGGATTGCCTTTCCCCATCTTTATAATAATAGGCCTAGGAAAGTAAAGCTCAGTATCTATCACACTCCAATGGTGATGTACATAAAAACTGAGGATCCTGATTTGCCTGCATTCTACTATGATCCTCTAATTCACCCGATAACAAGTACAAATAAAGATAGGCGAGATAAAAAAATTCATGAAGACGAAGATGATGATGATTTTGTTTTGCCTGAGGGAGTTGAACCTCTGCTTACAGATGTTCCAATTTATACTGACACTACCGCTGCTGGGATTTCACTACTGTTTGCCCCACGGCCCTTTAGCATGCGTTCTGGTCGGACAAGACGAGCTGAAGATATACCTCTCGTGTCCGAGTGGTACAAAGAACACTGGTAAGAAAGGCTTTTAATGAGATCTGTTTTACAAAGTAATTGCATTTCCTTCAATGCCTTTAAGTGCTTGATCTTTTCCTTTTTTGTTCTCTTGGCAGTCCTCCATCATATCCTGTCAAAGTTCGTGTCAGTTATCAGAAGCTATTGAAGTGCTTTGTGTTGAATGAGCTGCATCATCGACCGCCAAAGGCTCAGAAGAAGAAGCATTTATTTAGGTCTCTTCAAGCTACCAAATTTTTCCAGACGACCGAACTTGATTGGGCTGAAGCAGGTCTCCAGGTTTGCAAGCAAGGGTACAATATGCTGAACCTGCTGATCCATAGGAAAAATTTGAACTACCTCCATCTTGATTACAATTTCAATTTGAAGCCTGTGAAGACTCTTACTACTAAGGAACGAAAAAAGTCACGGTTTGGTAACGCCTTTCATCTTTGTCGTGAGATTCTGCGTTTGACAAAGCTTGTTGTTGATGCAAATATCCAGTTCCGTTTGGGAAATGTCGACGCATTCCAGTTGGCTGATGGGTTGCAATACATTTTTTCACATGTGGGTCAGTTAACGGGTATGTACCGTTACAAATACAGACTCATGCGGCAGATTCGGATGTGCAAAGACTTGAAACATTTAATTTATTACCGCTTTAATACTGGGCCTGTTGGGAAAGGTCCTGGATGTGGTTTCTGGGCACCTATGTGGAGGGTGTGGTTGTTTTTCCTTCGTGGCATAGTTCCTCTTTTAGAAAGGTGGTTGGGGAATTTGCTTGCTAGACAATTTGAAGGAAGACACTCAAAAGGAGTGGCTAAAACTGTGACTAAGCAACGTGTTGAAAGCCACTTTGATTTGGAGCTTCGAGCTGCTGTTATGCATGATGTGCTTGATGCCATGCCAGGCAAGAGTCCTGCCATATCTGTCTTTCCTTTGTTCTCGCTTTATGTGTTGTGGTGGTCCATTTTTGTTTGTTAATTTTGCTAACTTTGGCCTTTCTATTGCAGAGGGTATTAAGGCAAATAAAGCAAGAACTATCCTTCAACATTTGAGTGAAGCATGGCGATGCTGGAAAGCAAATATTCCATGGAAGGTTTTACATCTGTTTTCCCCTTGTTCTTTGGAATGGTTTGATGCTAGATCTTAATGCTGCTTTCTCTTTGTATGGTGGCTGACATTGTGCTGCATGTTGTTTTTAAGGTACCTGGTTTGCCTGTTCCCATTGAGAACATGATACTTCGTTATGTCAAGTCAAAAGCTGATTGGTGGACAAATGTTGCACATTATAACCGTGAGCGTATTAGAAGGGGAGCAACTGTTGATAAGACTGTTTGCCGTAAGAATCTCGGAAGACTGACCCGACTTTGGTTGAAGGCAGAACAGGTGTGTACCTCCACACTGTATGCTTTGCAAATGTGATTAAAATATGGAAGCCTATATTTAATGTTTTCTTATCTTCTTTTACAGGAGCGCCAGCACAACTACTTGAAAGATGGTCCTTATGTCACCCCAGAAGAGGCTGTGGCCATATATACGACAACTGTGCATTGGCTGGAGTCAAGAAAATTCTCTCCAATTCCTTTTCCTCCTTTGTCTTACAAACATGATACGAAGCTCCTCATTCTTGCCCTGGAGAGATTGAAAGAGTCATACAGTGTAGCTGTTAGGTTAAATCAACAACAGAGAGAAGAGTTGGGGTTGATTGAGCAAGCTTATGATAACCCACATGAAGCTTTGTCACGTATTAAGCGTCATTTGCTTACTCAGCGTGCCTTCAAAGAGGTAAAATGGTAGTGACTACTTCTTTCTTGCAATTTCATAGATGTCGAAATGATTCGGTTATCCACATCATTATTCATTACACTGGTAGACATTTTTCAGTTATGTACTGATTTATTTGTTTATTTATATGAAGCTAAATATCAAGTGTATTGCAGGTTGGAATTGAATTCATGGACTTATATAGCTATTTGATTCCTGTTTATGAGATTGAACCCCTGGAGAAAATCACTGATGCATATCTAGACCAATATCTTTGGTATGAGGGTGATAAAAGGCACCTTTTCCCCAATTGGATAAAGCCAGCAGATTCAGAACCACCACCACTATTGGTCTATAAATGGTGCCAGGGCATAAACAACTTACAAGGCATATGGGACACTAGTGATGGCCAATGTGTTGTGATGCTTCAAACTAAATTTGAGAAGTTCTTTGAAAAGATTGATTTAACCATGCTCAACAGGTAGATAAAATCCAAGAACTTTCACGCTCTTTTGAGCTATAGCTGGTTTTTAGGACTAACTTTATATCATGTATGTGCAGGCTTCTCCGTTTGGTTCTTGACCATAACATAGCTGATTATGTCACTGCAAAGAATAATGTTGTTCTATCCTACAAGGACATGAGCCACACAAACTCCTATGGACTCATACGTGGTCTTCAGTTTGCATCATTTGTTGTTCAATACTATGGGCTTGTCCTGGATCTTCTCCTCCTTGGTCTGACTCGAGCTAGTGAGATAGCTGGTCCACCACAGATGCCTAATGAGTTTATTACATATCATGATACCAGAGTTGAAACACGACACCCAATCCGTTTGTACTCTCGATACATAGACAAGGTGCATATATTGTTCCGGTTCACTCATGAGGAGGCTCGTGACCTTATCCAGCGGTATCTTACAGAGCATCCAGATCCAAACAATGAAAATATGGTCGGTTACAACAATAAGAAGTGCTGGCCACGGGATGCTAGAATGCGGCTCATGAAGCATGATGGTATGCTTATTTATTGTTTTAATCCTTTAATTTGTTGGATGCATCAATTTATTTGCACGTCCGGGGATTTTCGGGGTTCTGATGACTACAACTTGTGCGGAATATTTTTTAGTTAATCTTGGTCGAAGTGTCTTCTGGGATATGAAGAATCGGCTTCCAAGAAGTATTACAACCCTTGAATGGGAGAACAGCTTTGTCTCCGTCTACAGCAAAGATAATCCAAACTTGCTGTTTAGCATGTATGTGTAACATCTCCCTGGTTATATGATTTTGTTACCTATTTAATAAATGTAATAATTAACCCTATAATGATAAGCTGCTTTTTGGTCATAGGTGTGGTTTTGAGGTGCGCATCTTGCCCAAGATAAGAATGACGCAGGAGGCTTTCAGCAACACAAGAGACGGAGTTTGGAATCTCCAAAATGAACAAACAAAAGAAAGGACTGCAGTTGCTTTCTTGCGTGTTGATGATGAACACATGAAAGTGTTTGAGAACCGAGTAAGACAGATTCTCATGTCCTCAGGTTCCACAACATTTACTAAGATTGTCAACAAGTGGAATACAGCTCTTATAGGTAATTGAGTGTTTGAAATTGTATTAATCTTCTAATCCTCACTTTCATTCTCTTGGTGTTAAGCTTTCTTGCTGGTAATTTCCTGCTGAAAAAATTTGTTTAATTGCTGCAGGCCTCATGACATATTTCCGAGAAGCAACTGTGCACACGCAAGAATTATTGGATTTGCTTGTTAAATGTGAAAATAAAATACAAACTCGAATTAAAATTGGGTTGAATTCCAAGATGCCTAGCAGGTAATGTACTTTATTTGTTTCTCTGTATTTATTATAATATTTACATTTCTGTACTTAAAAAAATATTTGTGTGGTGTCAGGTTCCCACCTGTCATCTTCTATACACCCAAGGAAATTGGAGGACTTGGTATGCTGTCGATGGGTCACATTTTGATTCCCCAGAGTGACCTTAGGTACAGTAAACAGACTGATGTTGGTGTAACTCACTTTAGGAGCGGAATGAGTCATGAAGAGGACCAGTTGATTCCCAATTTGTATCGATACATTCAGGTATGTTGAATCATATCTTGCTCTACCATCTTTTAATCAAGTTATTAAACTGATCCCTTCTGACCCTCTGATTTGGCTTTGGCAGCCTTGGGAGAGTGAGTTCATAGATTCTCAGCGTGTCTGGGCTGAGTATGCATTAAAAAGACAGGAAGCCCAGGCCCAGAATAGGCGACTAACCCTTGAGGATTTGGAGGTGTGTTTGACATTTAGTTCTCATTATCCATGCCTTTATCTTATATGTCTGGAGTCTCTCTTAAGTCTGCTTATTACTATGATCCATGCATTTTTCTGATATTCAGGATTCATGGGATCGTGGTATACCACGTATTAACACACTCTTTCAGAAAGACCGTCACACCCTTGCATATGACAAAGGGTGGCGTGTAAGAACAGATTTCAAGCAGTATCAAGTACTAAAACAAAATCCATTCTGGTGGACACACCAAAGACATGATGGAAAGCTTTGGAACTTGAATAATTATCGAACTGATGTTATTCAAGCTCTTGGAGGTGTTGAAGGAATTCTGGAGCATACATTGTTCAAAGGAACATAGTAAGTTCGCCTATTCATCTGTATGCTTAGTGCTCTTCATTCCTTCCTATTTTTTTACTGTTTCTATAATCTAGTATCCTTGGTTTGGATGAACTGTCTGAGCTCTGTCTTTTATGCTTAACTATTTTCTTTTAGTTTAACGGTTTCTAGTTTTTGGTCATGGAATATGGACTTGTTAATGCCTTGTTTGTATTTCTTCTATCTTTGATCTTGTGAAGACTGGATATTTACCTCAACTTGCTGGATTTTTGTTTTATTTTCATCCTTTTGTTTTATTCCACCTGCAAGATACTCATGAAGTTAATGACTGTGAATGTTTCCTAATGGAAGTTACTATTACTGTCCGGCTTTGCAGCTTCCCAACATGGGAGGGTCTTTTCTGGGAGAAGGCTTCTGGTTTTGAGGAGTCTATGAAGTATAAGAAGCTGACTAATGCCCAAAGATCTGGGCTCAATCAAATACCGAACCGAAGGTTCACCCTTTGGTGGTCACCCACTATAAACAGAGCAAATGTGTATGTGGGTTTCCAAGTGCAACTGGATCTCACTGGAATTTTCATGCATGGGAAGATACCAACTTTGAAGATATCTCTGATTCAGATCTTCCGTGCTCACTTGTGGCAAAAAATACACGAAAGTGTGGTGATGGATCTTTGCCAGGTTTTGGATCAGGAGCTTGATGCTCTGGAAATTGAGACTGTTCAGAAGGAAACCATTCACCCTAGAAAGAGTTACAAAATGAACAGCTCATGTGCCGACATTCTACTTTTTGCTGCCCATAGATGGCCCATGTCAAAGCCCAGTCTTGTGGCAGAGTCGAAAGATGTGTTTGACCAGAAAGCTAGTAATAAGTATTGGATTGATGTGCAGCTTCGTTGGGGTGATTATGACTCCCATGATATTGAGCGGTATACCAGGGCCAAGTTTATGGATTACACAACAGATAATATGTCCATATATCCATCTCCAACTGGTAATTTGGTTCCTTAATTTTTTATGGTAAATCTAAATGGGCAAGTTCATGTTATGTTAACACGATAACTATCCTTGCAGGGGTTATGATTGGAATTGATCTTGCATATAATTTGCATTCAGCCTTTGGAAATTGGTTCCCTGGGTCAAAGCCATTACTTGCTCAGGCTATGAATAAGATCATGAAGGTAAAATGCATTGAATAATTTTTTTGTTTTTAAACTATGATTGATATGCTGTTTGATCTCTTTCTTGGTTAAATTGAGAAGAGAGAGAGAGAGTAATGTGTTTTTGTGTTGTGCAGTCAAATCCGGCATTGTATGTTTTAAGAGAGCGAATAAGGAAAGGGCTGCAATTGTATTCTTCTGAACCTACAGAGCCGTATTTATCATCTCAGAACTACGGGGAGATATTCAGCAATCAGATAATTTGGTTTGTTGATGACACAAATGTGTATCGAGTCACAATACACAAGACTTTTGAGGGAAACTTGACAACTAAACCAATCAATGGCGCTATTTTTATATTCAACCCAAGGACTGGTCAGCTTTTCCTGAAGGTTGTTCCATCACCTTTTTAATTTGGATTCTCTTTCTCCATATTTTGATGTTCACTCATGACATTTGTTCCTATTTTTCTAAATCTGCAGGTGATTCACACTAGTGTGTGGGCTGGGCAAAAACGTCTTGGTCAGCTGGCCAAGTGGAAAACTGCTGAAGAAGTTGCTGCTCTTGTCCGATCATTGCCTGTGGAAGAACAACCAAAGCAGATCATTGTGACACGGAAGGGAATGTTGGATCCCCTTGAGGTTCACTTGCTTGATTTCCCAAATATTGTGATAAAAGGGAGTGAGCTGCAGTTGCCTTTCCAAGCTTGTTTGAAGATCGAGAAATTCGGTGATCTAATACTGAAGGCCACGGAACCTCAAATGGTCCTCTTCAACATATATGATGATTGGTTAAAGAGTATCTCATCCTACACTGCCTTCTCCAGGCTTATATTGATTTTGCGAGCGCTTCATGTAAACAATGAGAAGGCAAAAATGTTGCTGAAACCTGACAAGACTGTTGTCACTGAGCCCCATCATATCTGGCCCTCTTTATCAGACGAACAATGGATGAAGGTTAGTGATTTTATATTAATATCTGGTGCAAGGTTACAGAAAATTGCAGCGAACTTTTCTGTGCATACTGCATTTAGTAAGCAATGCATTTCTTAGATGTACATCCTCTCTTGATGCAGGTTGAAGTTGCCCTCAGAGATCTGATTCTTTCTGATTATGCCAAGAAGAATAATGTGAACACATCTGCGCTTACACAATCTGAGATCCGTGATATTATTCTGGGAGCTGAGATTACTCCGCCTTCACAACAGCGACAACAAATTGCTGAGATTGAGAAACAGGTCAGCACTCCTGTCGTATTTACCATTTATTTGTCTCAGTTTTCTTTCTTTGCTTATCTAGTGCTAATCTATGTTTTCTTTTCTAGGCCAAGGAGGCTAGCCAGCTCACAGCTGTCACCACAAGAACCACAAATGTGCACGGAGAGGAATTAATTGTTACCACCACAAGTCCTTACGAACAGGCTGCATTTGGATCTAAGACCGACTGGCGAGTGAGAGCTATCTCGGCGACCAATCTATATCTCAGGGTGAATCATATATATGTGAACTCAGAAGACATTAAGGTACTTACTAAAATTTTCATGGTGCCACCCGTGTTGTATGTCTCCAAAGATTTCGCTGATAATACATGTCCTGCTGGACTAATTATTTGTGCAGGAAACGGGGTATACTTACATCATGCCTAAGAATATTTTGAAGAAGTTCATATGCATAGCCGACCTGCGCACACAAATTGCTGGATACATTTACGGTGTAAGTCCTCCGGACAATCCCCAAGTGAAGGAGATCCGATGTATTGCTATGCCACCGCAATGGGGTACTCACCAGCAGGTGCATCTCCCATCAGCACTTCCCGAGCACGAATTCCTGAACGACTTGGAGCCTTTAGGATGGATGCACACACAGCCAAACGAGCTTCCTCAGCTGTCTCCTCAGGTCAGTCAGCATTCAACTCTTTTATGCCCCTGTTTTCCATCATATTGCCTAATCCCTACATTTTCTGAAATATACATAAAATAGGATCTTGCTGCCCATGCCCGAGTCTTGTCCAACAACAAACAATGGGATGGAGAGAAATGCATAATTCTGACTTGCAGTTTCACTCCTGGTTCATGCTCTTTGACTGCCTACAAGTTGACCCCATCAGGATACGAATGGGGGAAGAGCAATACCGACGCTGCCAACAATCCCCACGGCTACCTGCCAACGTACTACGAAAAAGTCCAAATGCTCTTGAGCGACCGGTTCCTTGGTTTCTACATGGTAAGTGAATATTTTCCTTCGACTTTGAACTTAACTACCTTTTTTGTCGCCATTGCCTGCGTTTTATATAATGCTTGATTCTCGAATCTGCAGACACCCGATAACGGTCCTTGGAATTACAATTTCATGGGAGTGAAGCACACTGTAGGTATGAAATTCGGCATGAAGCTTGGCACGCCCCGTGAATACTACCACGAGGATCATCGGCCCACTCATTTCTTGGAATTCAGCAACTTGGAGGAAGGCGAAACAGCTGAGGGTGACAGGGAAGACACCTTCACGTAATTGGCTTTTTTTACTATCTTCCTTCAAACGACACATACCTATATATATATATATATTATATTGCTTAAATGCAAGCATATGATATGTCTTGTACTCAAAGTATATGCTTTTGTATCCATTTCACTTTCCCTTTTATGTACAATTTTGTAGTGTGCTATAACTGCTAAGTATCCTACATTCGTGATTTTAACATGTCATCAGTTCAGTAGTGATGGACACGTGTCCAACCCGGCCCCCTAATCCCCCAATTTAGCATTTGACTTGAATGAACGTTGTCCTCTTTTCAGGTTCTAATTTAATGACCTTATTTAATGGACGTGTACCAACGACCAACCTTAGCCTGTAGGCGGAGGCGCAGAATAATGAGTAAAAGTAAAAAACGTGTTTTTAAAAAAAGCCGAGTATTTTGACTACTGCGCTTTCCAAAATGCGACTTTCCATACAAAATCAACCAAGGTTATTCAATGTGCGTGTGTGGATGTCTATATATACCGTACTGTACTCCCGTCCATTTCTCGTGTGTTTGGTCGATCTGAGCTTCGGCGATCGTTGCTGTGCGTCCGCTCTCTTGTAACCGGGCGCAGCCGTCCGATTTCTCTCGTGGCAGCAATGGTCGTGGCCGCCCCGCGCCGCCGTTCTCCTCCGAGCAGAAAATCTGCTGCGCTACGCGCTATGGACGTCAATCCTGCACCGGCGTCCTTCCGCCGCGGATTAGCCAACGCGCATTTTCTCAAATGGAGCGCTTCCGACGTAATCGGCATCGCGCGGAACCACAAGGTGATGTGCGCTTTTGCCGCCTCTCTTTTTTTCTTCATGGCGGTTGAATACACTCTCAGCATGGTTCCGTCGACGGCTCCGCCGTTCGATCTCGGATTCGCTGCTACCGCGATGCTCAACCGCTTTCTAGCCGCTAGGCCTGATTTAAATAACGTTCTGGCTGGGCTTAATACGGTATGCATTTACATTGCTAATTGCATGCCTGTGTATTATGAATGTTCATGCAATTTTAACCTCCGAACGAGATCCGTCCTTTAAACCTACAAAACCTAATTTCAACATTCCGCTCTGAGGAGAAATTAATATTTATTTACATATTCCTATGCATTGAGACTTGAGAGCAATCCACGGCGTTAGTATTGAGATGTATCTCTGTATAAAACCGCGGTTTGTGGTTACACAGGTCTTTGTGGGAATGCAAACAGGGTATATTCTGTGGTCTTGGCTAATTGAGGGGCGATCCAGAGCTACCATTGCAGCACTCTTCATGTTCACATGTAGAGGAATCCTTGGATATGCTACACAGCTTCCATTACCTGAGGTCCTCAACGAATCCATCATCTGTGTTTACATTTTCTGTACATGCATAAATGTGTGTATATATATATATCGTTGAAGTAACTGATTGCTAAACATTGAAGATAATACAATAAATTTGTATACTACAAATATCTTATTTTTCAACTAGAGGTCGTAGTCCTCGTTCATTCAATTTAGTGTCAGATCTATCTTTATTCTTCACATGTCTCTTCTCATTACAAAACAGATGCTTCACCTGTTAGTTTCAATAAGAGTACCACAAGCATGGGATTGAGATAAAAATCAGATTATTGATGGCTTGATGCATTACAAAATGGTGAATTCTATGTTGTTTCAAATTGAAAACTAGCTTTGTTGTTGTGGTGGCAGGGGTACTTGGGGTCAGGTGTGGATTTCCCAGTGGGGAATGCATCGTTTTTCCTGTTCTATTCCGGGCATGTTGCTGCAGCAGTTATTGCCTCACTGGACATGAAACGTGTGCAGAGATGGGAATTGGCATACTTATTTGACTTGCTAAATGTTTTGCAAGTGATGAGGCTGCTAGCAACAAGAGGGCACTACACAATCGACTTGGCAGTAGGGTTGGGGGCTGGAATTCTGTTCGACTCCCTTGCAGGCAAGTATTTAAAGTTAAGATATGATATCAAATAATTACACACACACACACACACACACACGGCCTTCTCCACACTCATCTTGCTAGTTCACAACTAACATATTGCATCAGTTATATATATATATATACACACACACACACACCATACAAGAATGCCTGTTGTAGGAAAAAGAATGAACCTTTTTGCGGTTCTTCCAAGTCTTGATAATTTCTTGAAGTTGTGAGTTTGGTTTATATATAATCAAGCTATGTAATATGATATTTATATACACACGCACAAATATATATAGTAGTAAGAGTTGTGCTTTTTTTCATTAAATTAACTTCGGTGTTTTGATGTTAGATTTGGTACAGCAAACTTATTCCAGTCATAATTAACTTTCCTTGGATCATTTTACGTAGTTATGTTTACTGTTTTGAAGAAATATCACAGCACATCCTATTGACAAAAGCATAATAACACTATAGGTTTCGCCATAAGTTTTGTAGTACTTTTAAGTCTCTTTGGCACTGGAAAAAATATACTTTAGATAAGAGTTTTGGAGCATAGGAGAAATAAAAAGTTTTGGTATTTGATGTAATATTTTTTTAAAAATAATTAATTAATAATGTCAACTAGAATAATGTGTACGTAAATAGAACTATTTTTTATTCAATTAGCATAAAATATTTATCATATATTTTGTTTCATTCCTTGGCTAGTCAACTTGCTGATGTGTATAACTGTGCATGTGCTATCTAATTCACTAATAAGATAGATGATGGTTTTGATACCTCGTAGTATTATTTACGTTAGAGAATTGGAAAAATGAAAATCACAAAATTTAATATGAATACCCAAATTAAACTCAAAATTGAATTCTAGAAAATTAAAATGATAACTATACAATAAAAAATAATACATGTTTATTTTAAGGGATGAGACTAATAATTTCAGGATTAGTTTGAAGATTATTCTTCGCACCAAGACATTTTTACGGGGTAACAAGGCATTTATTTACTTGGTTATTATTTTTAATTTTCTATTATTAAACTTTCACAATTTTTATAAAAATATAGGAGTAATATTTTATTTAACAAACATGATATCCAAATCATAATTCAACCAAAAAGTTAAAATAAGAAATACCAGCTAAATATAGAAAATGTTTAAAAAGGATATTCCTATATTTCAATTTCAATACATTCGAATCAACAAATATAGGGGTTTGTGTGTGAATCATCTTTAATTCTTGATTCTCATTTGTTTTTCTTCCTAAAATTTATAAGTATATCGAATCAATTCCTTGGATTTCACACTGCTTTGGAAATGGACGGTCACTAATTTTGTGCGTAGTATAGATTTTAGAGCATTTTAAAATATAGAGTAGGTAATAGATATTATATTTTAAATAAAAAAATAAATACTATTAAAGATAATGTATTCTTTTATTTCATAAAACACTTTACAATGTATTACTTGCTGTAAAATAATATGTAAATTACATCCACCCACAAAGGGCATCTTTTATTTAATATCATGACAAATATGTACAACAAAGTGACAAAAGTGACCTATGTTTTTGGTCAACTCATTTATTTGTAAATATTTTCCACGTTTATTACAGGGTTTGTCTAGCACCCCCCCCCCCCCCCCCCCCCCCTTTTTTTAAACATATATATTTACACCCATATATAGAAAGTAAGAAAATTGATCTTTTATAGTGTAATTTAGGATTTATTCTCTTAAATAATAAATTTATTTATATATTTCAATTATAAAAATATATATTTTATAAAAATCAACTAATATATAATTAAAAGAAAAATCAACACTATGCTCCAAAATAACATAGCATTCAAGGGTTTGTTTAATTGAAATTTAAAATTAATTTGAAAATTAAATATTGATTCGAATATTTTTTTTTTCAATATTATTTCCATGTTATTATTTGTAAGAAAATATTATATTGTTATTAGAAATTATATAAAATGAATAATGTGTATTTAAATTTATTAAAATTTAAAAAATCCTAAATGTCACTTACATATCACGCGCACACGCGGGTTCTAATCGGAACACAAATTTCCCAAGAAAAGAATGCCAATAGCCGAAGCTGGCTCCTCAATGTATACTTGTACATTTAAGGACCAACCTGTGTATATATCCCCAATTTTCACAATTTTAAATTTAAAATCAACAATTATTATGAAAATATATTTTTTTTAAAAAAAAATTAAATTAGATACCATAACATACACACACGCTCTCTCTCTCTCTCTCTATATATATCGACTATCGTACTCTGCTAAATAAGAGTACAGTCATGAGTCATCTCATGGCGGTTTCGGAACACGCCTCTCCACACAAAGAAGAAATAACGCATCTCACTGTACGCAAAACTTCCCTCTTCTTCGCCGGCGACGGATTCACCGCTTACGATTGCAGCGGTCAGTTAGTTTTCCGAGTCGATTCCTACGGCCGCGACATAGGCGACACCGGCGAACTCGTTCTCATGGACGCCGCCGGCGGTTGCATCCTCACTCTCCGCCGCAAGGTAAAACTAAATACAATTGTTTGCTTTTTTACATTCTCTTAGTCGTCGGTCGATCTGCTGCAGCTTAGATTCCGAGCTTCGATTTTGATTAAAATCGTTTGATTTGGGAACAGAGGCCGAGCATGCACCGGCGGTGGGAAGGCTACGCCGGCGAGAGGATCGCCGGCCAGAAACCGGCGTTTAGCGTTCGGCGATCCGCGATTATCGGATGGTCGAACGTGACGGTTGAGGCGTACGGCGATCCAGGCGAGGAGTACCTAATCGAAGGCTCCTTCGCTTGCCGGAAGTGCACCGTCTTCAATTCCGAGAAGGAACCGGTGGCGGAGATCCGCCGGAAGGTGGATAACTGCGCCAATATCGTTCTCGGAAAAGACGTGTTCATACTTTCCGTTCAGCGCGGATTCGATCTCGCGTTCGCCATGAGTTTGGTTTTGGTGCTCGATCGGATCGACGGCGATGATAACGCCGTCCACAAAACACGATTTTAGCTGCACCAATCCAATTTACCTTCACATATATAGACCACGACTTCTAAGAGTCGTGTTCCTTCCTAGCTAGCCCTTGGTTTTAGTTAGTGATAACGGCTACTTACTTCAAAAGTCTTTCTCTAATTAATCCGTGAAAGCTTTTGGGCAATTTTTATGGAACAACCTTCCTTTAAGTAAATCAATGAAATGATTGTGAGTTAAAAATAAATCTACAATTGATAGCATAATGACAATTGCTGATGTGTGCTGATTGGATCTAGTTATATTCGAGTAGATAATCATCATATATAAAAAGAATTTAAAATTTAAATTCTAAACTCTATTTACTTTTATTTTAAATTTTATTATTGTAGAATTCATGATTATATGGAAGTGAACATACTTCTTTAACATGATGAGGTATTTTGATTTTGAATAGCAAAATTATGAATTGAAATACTTTATTTTTTATACGATATAAATATGTCTTAATGAGTATTTTGAATGTAAAATTCAATTGTAGTATAGTATGATAAATAAAAAATAAAAATTTGATTTGATTTTTTTTTGTGAAAAAAAAAATTAAAATAGTAAAATAAAAAATAAAAGTTGACAAGTACATACATTCTATATAAAATTGGATGAAATGGATTCAAAAGGCAAGCACACACTCCCAAAACATAATTAAATGCACTCAAGTTATTTTTCATAATACACGAGGAGCTAGCTTGCTTAAGATCATGTCATGTGACTATCTTCCCATTTAGAAATCATATACCAAACATAATCTTAAAAGATGATATTTCTGATATTCCATCGACCCCAACCACATGTCCCTAGTTGATAGATAGCACTAGAAATTCAATCTTAGTGAACTACTACTTGTAAATGGTATTCAGCTAGACCAAGTATGTATGTACATATTTGTATGTCCCAATTTTGTACACAACATAAAAGAGCCTCAAGAAAACTCGGTACAAATAAAATCAATAGAATGTCGAAACACATAACAATGATCTCCCCCACCCTTCTTCCACAACAAATCCTCAACTCAAATCAGGGCAACCACAGCTGCTACACAGCATATTACATGAACAGGAATCTTCAGGTGCCGGAACCAGCATTTGCCGTCGAACTGTACATTAGATTAAGATAAAACCTTCCGAAAGTTATTAGACAGCCAAAAGAGAGAAATAAACAACTCGAGAAACAACAGCGTTGTTTTTACCTTGATCGAACCAAGAAAGGCGGGAGCTGAGCTAGGGACGAGCCCGGTGAACCCAATATCATAGGAAATGCTACCATCAGCCTTGAACAAGCCAAAGTTCCTCTCAGAAGTCGGGCCGGGCTTTAAATTTTCGTTGAAGAGGGCGAACACGTAAGCCTTGACTACCTTCTTTGGCCTGTAGGGTGTGCCTTTCTTCTTCAACAGCCTCTTCCGTAGGTTGTGATTGTATGTCTTGGCATTCTTCGGGTTTGTCCCGGGCTCATCCGGATCGCCCTTAGAAGCCCACCCCGTCTCGGACACAATCACTTCCATCTTATCAAAACCGACCTTTTCTAGAGCAGCATATGCAGCATCTACCATGGCATCAAACATGTTGTCGTAGTGCAGCTTAGTCTTGGCGTCGTATATCCCGGGATTCTTGAGAAAGAGGGCATAATTCAGATCGATGTGCTCCGGATCGCTCTTGTAGGCGAGAAATGGATATGCATTGATGTAGAAAGGCGTCCCGACTCGCGAGAAGAAATGTAGGAGTGGTCTCATGTATGGCATGAGGCTCTCCTTGAATGCCCCAGCCGATGGCGGATATGTAATGGCGAAAACAGCCTCCGAATGTGGGCTCGACACCTCTATTTTATCTGCCAAGTGCAGTCGATTGAGGGCAATATAGACATTTCTCACTGCCGGCACGAGAACCTCCCAAAGTGCCATATCAGTGCCCCCTAGAACCTCATTCCCTACGGCAATACCCCGGATTAGTGTCCCCGGAAGAAAAGGTTCGACATTCTGTTTCACCCATTCCATGGCGCGGTCTTGGCTGGCGCTTATCTCTGTCAAATACTCATTCGGGAGCCCGATGATTATCTCTATCCCAGAACCCTTTAAGGCCGTCAAAACTCCATGATCAGCGTCATAGATTCGGATGTTCTTTATTTTAGCTGCTTTTAGAAGGGTGACTACGCTCTCCGGTGGAGGGATGTTGTCGGCTATCCTACCGTAGTTTACTCCATATGTACCTGTGAAAGCTTCAACCATCGATAGAGCCAAAATTCAAGAATCGAGAATTAGTAAGATATCTCATGAAGCTACATCATCAAGGTTACAAATCAAATCAAATCAAATAAGAAGGATTAGATGCTCATACCATCCGAGAAGGAAAAACCGAAAACCAGAATGAACCAGACGACGAAGGAAAAGGATCCCATCATCATTTTCAGTGGGGACACTATGCAATGCTTTTGAACTAATAAATATTAAGGCTATTGTTATAGCAGCTAGAACGATGGACGCAGAATGCTTCCTCCGAAGGGATGCCATGGGCAGACAGAGAAGGATGATACAGAGACTAAACAGTTAAAAAAAGATTCCTAACCTTAACCAAAAGATGAGTAGAAAATATGGTTTTCAGGGTTTATAAAAGTTGTTTAATGATGTGGGATAGGAATGAGATTCCAAACTTTTCACTGCCACAAAGCCATACCTTTTCACATTTGATGCTTGAATGAATCTTGATCATCACTTTTTGTGACTTACCTTTTTGTCTTTACTGCTTTCTGAAGATACTCTGCATCTTTCTCACTCTATCAAAGTCTCTCTAATTAGTCTCTGCTTCCTCAGAATCCTTCCCTTCAAAATGAACAAGAGGAAACAGAGAGGTTAGATCATTAGTTTTAGGAAGAAATAAGAAGGGCTGTCGAACATTTCCTGATATACATTACACAGAAATATCGGCGTACAGTCACATTATACATAAAGCTATAAATGTGAGAAATGATCCGTGGATCAACATCCTAAACAAATCCTAGTTACCGATAAGATTACAGTCATCTAAGCACATGGGAATGTCGATACACAAGGTACAAACTGCAAGGCAGAAGTGGCAGAAGTTAAAGTCCTATGGCATTAACGTAATGCGAATTTGGTCTTTTAACAGCTAACAGGCGTTGGAGAAGGATTGTGCGGTGCTTGGTTATCTTTGCGGTTTTTAAGAGCATCCACGTTTAAATTCTTGTCTTTATCTTGATCTTGATCTTGTTCGGTCATTTTAGATTTTTTGTTGCTCTCATCCTGGACTTGGCTGATTTCATCGACCTGTTGTGGTGCAACTTTATTCACTCCCTTTGAATCTGCTCCATCAGTGCCTACTCCATTGCAATCATCTGTAACTTCCTGTTCGACATCCTTGTTTTCAGTGTCAAAAATCTTAATTTCTGTTTCCCCATATTCCATAGCAACATCATCTATAGCAGTCTCCTGTTGGCTCTTCCCTTCAAATTTGTCATCACCTCTAGTTTCTTCCAATGGTGCTTCTTTCTGCAACATCTGCTCAGCCTTGTGCTCTGTATCCTCTTTCTTATTACTATTCTCATTAATTCCAGCATCTTGCATTTCAGTTTCTTTTAGATCATGGGGCTCTTCTTTTCCGGGATCCATTTGTTTGCCTCTCCTTGTAGATGATGATCTTTTGCGCTTATTCGGCGTGCTAGTCTCTTTCGATGGAGGTGTTGCCTTTGCCCTCTGGCTGATCCTAGCTGATCTTCTTGGAGTTTCACCTGTGCCCCAATCGAATTCAGATAGCGCAGGACTACCCTCATGAGCCTTTAGATACTCCTCCAACTGTTTGCGGCTGAAAATCTCCTCTCCAGTCGGAGCAACAAATAATATCTCATCCTTCTTGGGCGTACCTTCCTTTTTCGGCATATACTGAAGGACAAAAATAAAATCCCAAAACATTTCAGATATCATAGATAAGAATACCAAGCAATGCATTACTGCAGGGGATGACATATTACCCTACCCCATCTGCAAATTCAACATAATATAACTGTCGAAAACAAGTAAAACAGCAGCTAATGGCTTATGCCTGCGAACTTAGATTTAACACACTGCTGCCAGTCCAAGCCACACCACACCTTCTTCTCAATCTCTGCGATTGATCCAACAGAAAGAATCCCCAAAATTCCACACTCACATGATGAGGCTCTCTTTGCACTCAATATGAGGATGATCCAAAGAGAGCCCTTTTCAATGGAGAGATCACTGTTCAAGAATTTTGGTTTGCAGTAAACTAATTTTTGCCTTTAAAAACCATGGCATCCAACGACTCTATTTCATTCACAAAATCAATGCAAAACTTATTTTAGGTTCAAAATATTTTCAAATCCAAACATCTCACACAAATCACTCGAACATGGGAGGTTAGCTTCAGCTCTGATATCATTACAAATGTTCAATCCAACCTATATCTTAGGTGACATGGAAATGCATAGCTAACTATATCATATAGTCTTCTAGCATATCAAAATCCCTAGACACATTCTCTCTTGAAAATGGAACCTGCTACTAATTCATTCAGCTCTCTCTCTCTCTCTCTTTCACCCCACGTGTCAAAAATGTATAAGAAAAAACGTTATCAACAGCCATATCCAGTGAAGAAAAAAGACAAAAGTACACACAGAATCACCGCTAGGAAATCCAATAAGCAATACAAGCAAACAGTCAGATCTAAGAAATAAATCGAAACTACACAAAATTTATGATCACTACACTCTCCATATGCCTAACCCTAGTAGTTCAAAAACGCAGGAAATAAACTTCACTCAAGCAACCATACACAAATAAAATTACCAATTTCTTCCAAGACGCAGGCGCAGGAAGCTCCACAGACAGAACATCCTCCTTCCGCTGAATCTCCGCCATTTCCTCTCCACCTACAAAGAAATTACCACAAAAACTGTAGAACAAACGATCAGCGAATTGCCTGAACGAACTCCGCAAACCAAATCAAACAATCTTAAGAGAAGAGCTCGCAGGAATTTCTTCACCTACCTCTCTACTCTTCTCTTCTCTTCTCTCTCGTCTTCGTCGGCACGGAAAATACGCTCCACTGGCCACTCCTTGTGAGTCTTCAACGGCCTTACTTGTGGGAAGGGGAAGGATAATGCTAAGCTCACCTCAAAAGGTACAGACGGGTTTCGTCACAGTCCACGTGGCGTATTTACGGAACGCGGATTTGACCGTTAGAGGCGCAGTTTCTAATTACGAGAAGAAAGTTCTCGAGTAATATATGGGGACACGTGTCAGCATCTGGGAGTGGCCTTCAGTGTCCTGTCGTCATCGCCTGGTTCAACCTTCATTCGAAAATCCGATTATTTTGTATAGATTAGATTGTACTAGTATCAGGTTAATATTTTTGTCGGCTCTTACTGTTTATATTCTCATGCTACGATTTGACAACTACACGCGAGGAATAAGCGCGTGGTGCATACGGAGGATTCTCGACCGTTGGATGGGATTTGAACGGATTACCGTACCCAAATGGGTTTAATAACTGGATTGGAGAGAATGGCTTGGGGTCCGGTGGACCCTCCTTCTATTTGGGTTTGAATATATAAATAATTGGGCCCGGCCCAAATAAGAAAATGCTTATTCTCTATTTCTTTTTGAAGATCAGAAAATAAATAAAAAAATTGAATTAGAAATATTTACCGAGGGGGGCAATAATGGAATGCAAGAAACAGTGATGTTTGTCGAGTGGAAAACAGTGAAATGATCAAAGGCTCCAACAGACATGACACCACCTTGTTCATTTGGTCGTATTTTATGAAAGGGTAGTACACCAATTCTGACCATGTTCTTACAATGATGCATGTTATGTTATGGAGTGTCAAAAGGGAGAAAAAGTTAACCTGAGGAGATGTCCAATCAAATAGAAGAGAGAGAGAGAGAGCGAGAGAGAGGGCCCTATATTACAGTGAGAAACTGAATAGAACAGGAACTAACATACACAAAAACAAATTAACCAAACCAGACCAGATAGAGATCAAGAACCACTTCAAAAAGAAACCCTAAACAGACATTATTGATTCACACCAAATCAAGGGCTTGTTGGGATTATATATATATATATGTACGTGTTTATTGGGGTGGGGTGGGGCGGGGTGGGTTTAGTTAACATATTGAGCAATGATGATGATGATGAGGCTCTAGGGCTGGTAAAGCTTGTTCCCACACCTGCATTTCCATGAGAGGAGATAGTAGCTGCCATCTTCCCTGTGAGATGAAATTACATAATTAGCCTTTGTGGTGGTGATCATCATGTGGGGTGGGATGACTAGGGTTGCCTGGCATGGCCTGCAGCTCATACATCTGTTCACACATGACGGTGGCTTTGATCCCAGCACCTGTTTCTTCTTAATTAGCTGTTGCTTAATCTCGTTCATTGGTCCTGCCTTCAAGTTCCCACCTGCAGTATATATATATATGTCATGGCAAGGTGTGCTTTAGTATTAATTGAATTAAGCACCACCATTTAAGAAAAAATAATAGCATGAGCCCGGGGTTAGTCTTCTTCCTCATCATCACCCTCATCCTCAACATCCACATACATATATATATACATATATATATATATTCACACAGACATTACAGGGTTGGCCATATGGATCCCATGTTGCCAATGTATCAAGGTCTAATTTTCTTGCGAGATATGAACAAAAAGAAGAAGAAACATGGGATCGGAATGATGCATTTTGCTATGTGCTGGAGTTAGTTCTTCATTGCTGCATATATATATATGTCGAACAAATTTTAAAAAATCAGGGTTTTCACAAGACTTAACCTGTTGAAGGAGGCACCATGTTGATCAAAGAAACGAGGATCAAGATTGCTGTGATGGCAAGACTTGTGAATAGCTTCTTGTTTCCTGAAAAATCCATCACTACATACACACAAATGCATATACATATATATAGATATAAATATTGAATCAGCTCTCTACATCTACACTACAGTTTTACGCATGAATATGCATTTATACATATATATATATATATATATACACACATGCAAGGATATAGGTGGGGTGGTGGGGTTAGATTTTCTGAAGTAATAAAGGGGCCTGTACATGTCTGGGAAGAATGTATGAATTAGTAATAGATTATAATAACAATAATAATAATGTGTCGAAAGGGACAAGGGATGACACTGTGGCAAGTGCATGGGACGTGTCAGCTAAAGCCTGATATTATGGGCTTTCCTCAATCTCTCCCAACTTTCAAAAAGACATGTCATAACGTACCTCTTCTCTTCTCTTCTCTTTAGGTATTGGTGAAGGTTAATTGGGAAATGACCACCTGAGAATCTTCCAACTTGCTGTGGTTTTTTTTGTTTTTATGCAAAATTACCACATGGGATTTTTAACTAATTGGGATTTTATTTTATTTTATTTTATTTTTCTAGAGAACTTCAAAGATACTTACTTTGTGTTTCCCAAATCTTTGCTTCAAAGCTGAAACAGAGACATGATATATAAAAGCCAGAATGCAGTTGAGTCAAGTGAAGTTGCAGTTCTAAGATTGGCCTGAATTAATAATGTGCCATATTTTTTTATTTAAAAAAAAGAAGATGGTGCATAGTTTTTGAATAAATAGTTATGCTGAGTTGCTTAGAGTTCTCTCTGCTAAAACATTCCTTCCTCTTCCCAAGTATCCACCAGAAATTCGACCATTTCCTGCCGGTGTGTGTAAATGGTATATGAAAATTTACTTCATTTTAAGATAAATGTTGCAAGAAGGAAACTTATAAAGCTTACGCGAAGTGGGATAGGACGCCGATAAGGTTTGTTGCTGCGAAGCACGGTCTTAGAGTTCGACTCCCAACTGCAGGGCCAACACTTGGTAGCCGAACAGAGAGACAATGTTCTGGTAAAATAAAGTCCAAGAATATAAGAATAATTCAAACTTCCATAGCCCTTTAATCTTTCATGTGAATTGGTTATGAAAGATTGTGCATTTAAGCTGAAAGATAGATGTTGCTCTGTTTCCACAGACATTTTTGGAGGTTTTGGAACTATTTCTATTCATCAATCGTAACTTTTTTAAAGAAGTTCCGATCAAATACTCCACTAACCTTTTACTATTTTCAGTTTTTCTCAAAACTCTAAAGCTACCAAAATCTCTGTGTATATGGAGTAAGATCTCTAACTAAGTTGAACATATTATCTAACCTCAATTTGGGATCAAACATCTGTTTTGATTGATTTTGAGGCTGTTTCTGAGTCCATTTCTGTCTAGTTTCATTCCAGAGAATAAGACCTACAGGGAAAGCCATCATGGATTAGATTTTGCCAGAAAGTTCAAAGAACAAACGAAAATAAAAATTGCAACGGCGATCGATGAAAACCAGTTAGCAGAGTCATAGTGCAGTGCAAGAGCATTTCCTCCAAAAAGATCACAACATCTACTTTAGCATTGTCTAGTTTTTAAGAGCATCAAAAAAATTGAAAAAGGCTGATACATCGAAAAAGTATTTCCTCCCTAAAGATGTGACATCTGTTTCAGTAACATGGAAGGAAATTTTGAAAAAACAGAACCAAACATTTGTTTTCGCACAATGTATTATGCATTAGCATAGCCATGAACCATGTGTGCAATTAACTTACCATGATTAACAAATTCAGATCGGTTTTCGGTTGAATCACTTTGACACAATTGCACCAAACCAACATCCATCACAGGAGGTTGGTTCATTGTCTGAAAATCTTCAGATAGCTTGTGAAGGTCTACGAATGCAATTGTTCTCTTATGAAGTGAGGATATCCGTTGGGGCTTCGCTTGTCAGCCACTGCCCTGTTTCAAACAAACATTGAAAGTTGCCAACATACTATATATATATATATATATATATTCATTCAATCCAACCTATACCACCAACTGCACTTCCCAAATAATTCAATGAATTTCAGGGAATAAATAAGCTAAGTTAAACCTCAGAACTTATGCATAGAATCATATAATGGTGTTCTCTTGCATTCATAAGTTCTTAGCTGTATTTTCAGTTTCCCTGCTTGTCTAATGAATGAGATCATCAATCTCAACAGATCAACAATTATTATAATCAGAAGATCAAACCAATTTATTTTCCCCAAAACCAAAATAGTCGTACAATCTCAAATTGTGTTTCAACAGAAGCTAAAAAATTCGGGAACGCATAGAATATCCACAAAATTGACGAAAAACCTAGAATTATAAAATCAAAGCAAATGTAATTACCGCAGGAACGCAAGCAATGCGAAAACCCCAAGCGGAAAACCGATTCAGCCGTGAAGGTGCTCCGATCCGATCAAATGCATCCATTTGATCAGATATAATTGATTCCTTTCAGTTTCACAACGCTCTCAAATCCAATCCAATCATTTTTTCTGTTAATTTGTGTCATTCCCCAACAATTACGGAATTCCACATTTAACTTAGAAGAGAACGGGCGGCTGCAATTCTCCGCCTGAAAATTGAAATAATCGCTTCACTTCCAATTTCATGCTTCGTGTCATGGATTTTTTTTGTTTTTTAAATTAACGTTATTATATTACGATTAAACTTCTTTTTTTTTTTTTAATCTAATCCCTTGCAATTTATTTAATTTTTCCATCCAGTTCAATTTCAACTTATTTTAGTTTTAAAGACTAAATTGTTTTTTAATAAGCCACGCTTGATCATCATTTCAACAAGTCCTGTACCGAGTAAGCCGTCAAACAACTAATATTCAATGATCTAACATAAATATTTTAACATTTAATTTAATTTATTATTAATATTTATTTATAATTATTCAAATATTTATAATATATATTTTTTCACATTAATTCAAAATATAAAATAAAAATAAATTTATAAAAATATTAAGTATTTTTATTTCACACATGAAACCTCGCTACGATCCATCACATATAAGTGGCGAAAGAAGAAGATGACGATGAGATTTGTCCCATGTTGAAAATAATCATTTTAATTTAAATTGTTTGGCCTTCAATAATTGAAAAAATTTAACTAATTGAGGTAAAAGTTGGATTGGGCTAAAGTCTGGATTTTGGGATGAGACTCTTGTGAGGTTAATAAGTTCACACGATTAAATGTCAAAAGACGAGTCTTGGATCTTTCTTCCTCGTTTCATTAATAAGTTAGGTTAATAAGTTCACACGATCGCGTGCAACGCAAAACTCGAATTCTGTTAATTAATTTTCTACTGTCTCAACTATTCGTGTCATATTTCTAACCCATTCAACCAACACTTTCTTATTCAACCACATTATTCAAAATTCCTTACAACAATGTCGCCTCCAAACATCTTATTTCACAAGGAGCAGAAAAACAGCAACAAAAGTAGTAAGAAAGCTCGCCTTTAAAAAATCTCGAAAAATCGGAATAACACACCTCAGGATGTAAGGATCGGGGGGAGCAGGTCAGATTTGGCGCCGAGCACACGGGCTGTGGTGTCCGGGAAGCACTCGTGCTGAGGCATTTCCATTACAGCTCCTTCGCTGGAGACTTCGATAGGGTAGCGTAATAAATGCCCGGGAAGGTCTTGCCGGAGTTCGGAGCTGGCGTAGATTTCCCAGTACTTCTCGGCCAGTTCGTTCACTTTCCTAGCGCATTCCTCGCTGTGAGGTTGAAGAAACGAGTCGTGAAGCATCCCCAGGTGCTCGTACCATAAGGCCATCCGGAAGCCATGAACTTGGCCCCTCGCTGGCTGCCGCCCTGCTAGGTGGTGCGGCTGGTAGGCTCCCATGGCTATCTCCGAATCCCTCGAACCGTCCATTGAACGTTGGTTGATGTTGGCTGATCCGACTATTATATATTCGTCATCGACTGCAAGACAATAGAGGGAGGGGTAAAATCAACGAACTGTTCGCGAACTCAACTCAGCTCAGTTCCGTTCATTAAAAGTTCGTTCGCTAAACTATACGAGTCAAATTTGAACTTAAATTTTGGCTCGTTATATTCACGAACCAGAACATATATATATTAAATTAATTTTTTAATAAATACTGTCGAATGATCACGAACGAGCTCAAGCTTGTTCACGAAAATTCGACTGTGTTTGTTAAGAAATTAAATTAATATATTTATACTTAACAAGTATACATTTGTAAATATCATAACTAATTTTTTTTATATAAATTTATTAATAAATAATAATAATTAACTGCTTAACGAGCCGAGTTAAATAAAATTTTAATTTTGTATATCTCAACGGACAAACATGAACTGAGCTTAAATATAAAAAACTCTGCTTAATTCGGCTCGTTAACAGCTGAGAGAGTGTTATATAGTCGTACATATCGAACTATCAAATGATTTATCACATGATTTAGTTCGATTTAGAAGATTTTGATTAAACATGTCCTATGATTATATGATTCACCTCAAGAACAGCTTGCTATAACTAAATCAAATCAAATCAAACAAGAACTTATATGTATAGAGTATATCTGTGCTTACCGATCATCATCTTCGAGTGTACGTAGATCATGAAGCGCCGCGCTTCCTGTGCTTTGTAGTAATCCGTTTCCGGTTCCGGCTTCTCTGTTGGCTCATATTCACCGCTCTTTTTCACCTCCCGATTACCTAAACAAAAGAAAGTCAAGTAATTCCGAGGATCGTCGTCCATGCCCCTCTCGCGAAGGGCGCGCACAATGTCCTTATACATCATCTCTATCGTTCTCCGCTGCCAATCCAAGATTGCCTGAACGGACGCGCTCTCGGGAATCCCTTCCGGCCACATAGGCACCACCACATATGCCGTGAACCTTTCCCCAGCCTCGATCTTACCGGCGATCTTCATCGAGAGTTCCTTCGGCACAAGATGCAGAGCTCCGACTTCCTCCAAATTAACATCGTCGCAATCCCATGCGAAGCTCGACCCCAGAAAATACTGATTTTCGATGTAGATAAAATTCTTCGCGCGACGAATGGCATGGATGTACGCATCCTGAATGCTGCGGTCGATCACGTTGTCCTTCCCGCTAACGAGCCCTGCATTGGCTGCCTCCTCGGGGCTCTCGGGGAAACCGAACGCGGCTCCACCGTCGATCGATCGGAACAATTGGACGTTCCATGTCTCGTGATCATCGGGAAACATTACGGGAGACGGTGGAATGAATACGTCTTCCATTTCGATCAGTTTCAGCAATAGATCCTTCCCGCCCTGTTTCCGCCATCTCTGCTCGAAATTAAACATCACGTCCCATGCAACGGGGCCTTCCAACCGGCAGTGGATGTCGTGCCACGGTTCCCGCGGCCCGCCTTTGCTGATTGCGCCTTCCGTGAAGTTCGGCTGGTGGAAATCGTCGTTATGCGCAGTGTCGAGCGTCCTGAACAGCGAATGGAACGCCGTGTCGTATCTCCCATCGCAGAGATCGATCCCCCCGACGAAGCTTACGATTCTCCTCTTGTCCATCCCTTCGCGGGGCATGTCGCTGTCGACAACCACAATTTTCTGATGATGCGTGAACATTGTCGAGATCTGCAAGTTCTGCACAATGCTTCCACCGTCGTCCGGATTGCGCGGACAAAGCACGCAGTGCACCTCCGTCCCTTCAAAGTACTGCGCCGTCTCCTCGTCGTGCGTAGCCATCAGGCCGTCTTTCTTCAACATGTTCACCGAAGTTCTATCGTCCCAGACAAGCATAAGAACCTTAACACCCTCGTTCGCCTTCTTCTTAAGCAGCTCGCCGAGGGTCGTGTCCCCTCCCGGCTTCTGCCTCCGTGAGTCGCGTACCAAACTGATCTCAGTGTACACAGACCAGCCCGTGATGTAAATTAAGTGTCGCGCTTTAGTAATTGCATCAAATACATCTTCCCAGCATCTGTGAGGCTCGTAATACTGCCCTCCCGAGAGGGGAATCTTGGGAATGAAATTGTCGGGGACATGAGCATCCTGGTACAAGGTCACCCGACACCCGGTTTTCTGCGGAAAGAAAGTGTACGGAACACCGGGATACTTGGCGCTCTTTATGCCATGTCCCCAATTACGATCGCGGCTAATTTCAAAATACTGCAGCTTGACATGGATCTTGGAACCTGCACTGATCGGATTCTTTTCTTCGTCCAAGATCTCCACCCACTGATCCAATTCATCTCCATCCAACACATCTTGAACCGGGACATAAGCTCGCCCAATCAATGTCGCCCCGATGGGATCGTCGTCTTTGACAGAAAAGACTATGTTCGACGCCATGTGCGCGCAGTATATGTGGAAGGACTCGTACCAACGAGGATTGTTCTCATTCTCGATCAACCTCGTCCTCCCGACTCTACACTTTTCTAAATCCAAAGTTGCATAGATTTTTGGAGTCCCTTTGCCTATACCAACAGTCTCTCCAATGTTCTCCATAAGCTACAATACACGATAATCTCAATCAATAGCATCAAATCTAACCGGTAATAGTTATAAACACACAAACATGAATCAATGGCATCAAATCTAACCATGAAAACACACAAATATGAACACCACAACCAGATAACAATCACAAAACTGTATTATTGTAAAAGAGTTCTCAGAAGCATTTTGTCGAACATTTAATAAGCAATCAAAGGTACACATTGCCGAAAACAATCAGGAAACTAATTATTGTTCAAAAAAAATAATCTCACGAGCATTTCGTCGAACACTTAATAAGCAATCAAAGATATACCTTGCCGAAGAAATTCCCCCCTCCGTCATTGCTGAGCTTATCCACTTCATAGATCGTGGCTTGTAAAGTCCCGTGGAGCAGAACCTGAGACATTGAGCTTTACCTGCAATTTCGAACACTAGAGATTAATGTTCTTCAAAAACTAACTAGTTTTAATCATTAAGAAGATTGCTGCGCGACACCTTGGAACACAGGGAGGAGTAAATTAAACAATGGAGGATCGCACAAGTGGAATTTCTTTAAAGGTAAGTTTGGTGATGCCATAGGAAGGAATTCGATCCGATTTTGCTGCGCGAGTGAAGTGTGAGGCGTGAAAAATAGTGGAGCAGTTGTTCGTTAAAACTGGTTCATTCGTTTTTGCAAAATAACGCAACATTTACGCGGCGAACAGCCAAAAAGTTTTTAGCAACATAAATTTGAAATAATATTTGAGTAATGATTTAATATATATTTTATCAAAATAAATTTAAAAATATATATTGAAAGATTAGAAAATTATATTTCAATAAAATATATTTATACTACAAATAAATATATACATAATTAATACTTCATAAATTAATATTATAAAAAATAGAGTTGATTGAAAAATATTGAAGATAAAAAAGAAAAATTAAAAATATATTAGGAACTAAAGTTGAAAATTCAATGAAAAGACACGTATAGTTTAGTATAAATATATAATTCAGTAACAAAGGCAAAAACAAGAAGCAAATGGTCTTCCTTCTTGTGTTTTGGAATACAATTTTTGTACAATGCAAAGTATAATAACACATTTATTTAATAACAATCTTTCTATATACATATTATATTTAAAACACAAGGTTATACTTCCTCCCACATCATTTTCTTTCAGGTACGCCGCACATAAAGATGATTTTTTTTTATTTTTTTATTTTTAGTAAATTTATCAATTTTAAACGTATATAACAAATATAAATCAATTTAATTAAATTTTTAAATCTCTCACGTAGCACCATTCAAAACCCTTTATTTCTATCACTCTCATTAATTAACAAATATTTTTATCTACCTTTAAAACATCTCATTTTTTATATAACTAATTTATGGTAATGATAAATAAATAAATATATTTTTTTATTCATTTAAATTATATAAAATTTTATTATCTATATTTATATTGTATATATTTTATCTAAAAATATTTGAAAATATCAACTAACATTACACATATAAAAAATAATAAAATATTATCATAACTTATTATTAATAACTTAATAACATACGTTACCCAAAATACCGTATTCCTAGTTAAAGGCTTATCTTTCGCGGGACGGATGGAGTATTTTAATATTTATTTTAAATATTATATTCAATTCAAATATTTTTATTATTATTTATTACTTAAATTTCTTTTTTTACTGTTATGTGTAATATATTTAATTTTTTAGATAATCTTTTTAAAAATTGGTGATGAGTGTACTTGTTTGGAGTTTTGAATTTTGAACTTGAGATTTGAATAGTAAAATTTTTAAATTAGATTAGTTATATGATACAGGTGTTGATGTAATGTTTTCAATGTAAAATTAAATTTTAATATAATATATAAAATAAAAAATTGATATTTATTTGATATTTAGAAAAAAAAAATTTGGATGAATAATTAATTTTTGTCAAAATCCTATAAACAAAACAAACACACCCCAAATGAACACATTTGTTCTTTTGTATGTATCCATTTTGTCTCTACTCCGAATTATCAGTTAAATCTATACTCAAAGAATTTAGCCATACAAAATATATAAACAAAGTAAAGATCCATCTATTCACATCCAATGTGCTATGAATTAACTTGATGCAAGTCATTGAATCCGTTCCGATCTAAAAGGGATGAAGGCCTCGATCCTATGCAAGAACCAGGATGGTCATAAATTTGCATAAATTTTGTTTTATTTGATTGTTCGCCGTGAATATATTTATTTCTTTTTTATATGTTCATCTTTTGTAAAAAAATATACTTATAATTTAATATATTTACATTAATATTATTCAATAATTTTTTTTTAAAAAAAAAACATAAAAGATGAAGGTTGTGTTCTTTCATGGGTTTTACTAAAAAAAAAAATATCATATCAAACAATTATTTTTTTATATTATATTACAAATTTATTTTACATTCAAAATATCACGTCAATCTCTATTTATATCGCATCAAATAACTATTCAAATTCAATTTTTTACTATTTAAAAATCCAAACCCAAAATCTAAAACTCACAAACAAACACACCTAAAAGGACTTTTCAATTTTTTAATCTAACATGAATAATTTTATACAATAAATATTAATATTTTCTAAAGTCTATATAAAAACTAAAAAATAGATATTTTTGAGAGAGTATATTAAAATTAAATATATTGATACATAGATAAAGACAGAGTGTATTTTTATTAAATTATTTTGAAAGTAAAATAAGTGATTTTATTGTAATTGGATGATAGTTGTGTGTCGGGTACATAGGTGGAAACACAGCCAACTCCCTAAATCTTCTTCTCCTTATTATCGTCCAAAAAAGTGGACTATAACACTACATAGCCTTTCTTAGGGTAAACACTTTATTTACTTTATTGACTCAAGTACAAACCTCTAATTGACAGCTTTTGAATGAACCAATTATTAATTTATTTTTATTATTTTATCAAAATAACAATTTATAATTAAGTAGCTTGGGTGGGTAGGTGTATCCCACTCTAGAACTCATCTAATTAGACCTATATATCTATTTTGACATAGGCACGAAAATTTGAAAGGTGCAAAATTGCAATTAGGGCAAAGTAGCTCTAATTATTTGTTTAGCCATAAATATATAAAATAATTTGAAATTACAGCTAATTAAGGAGTGTGGCTACGCAAACAAGTACAATAGGCCTTTTTAGCAGCTACCAATAAATAATTAAAAATTAAACCTAACTTATTTTTTATCCCAATTATGTACCAAATAATGCACTTGTCATTTGCACACCAAAATTGCCTCACTGCCATCGCTATTATTATTACTATTAGTATTATTGTTGCTGCCTGCTGTTGTTAATTTGTGATTTACATTAATTATAACATGTAATTTAATTCTTTCTAAATGGACCACATTATTATTATTATTATTATTATTATTATTATTATTATTATTATTATTATTATTAATCTAATTTTATTTTGGCCCTAATTGCTGTATTATTCTAGTTTGATTAATTATTTAATCATAACTAATGTCCACACACATTAATGTTTATTGAAATTCGGTAGTCTTGAAATTTATAACTATGCTATTAGATAAGTAAATGTTTTATATAATGTAATGTGGAAATTATATGGTGAATGATATGTAAGATTAATTGAAAATTGAATGTAATGCTGATTAGATTTGAGGATAAAAGCAATTTAAAATTTTTATTATTGAACCACCTTATAATTAAAAATCTGAAACATATTATTGGCATATATTAAAACAACTTAAAACAATAATCCATTGAACCGTAAAAATATATGTTATTTACTTGATATGTATAGTGTATAAATTAAGTTTTATTTTTACGGTATTATGGTAGATAATACTTATTTATGTAAATATAATATAAATGCAAATATATAATTAATAACACATTATTTTTTTATTACAAAAAATTATGTACCCCCATAGTATGATTTTATTTATTATTATTATTATTATTACCATTTTATCCCTTTACTTAATTTGTTCAGAATAATTTTGTAAACCATACTACAAAGGTAAAAGAAGCAAAAACGTTGGAATAAAAGGAGAGTATCGAAACTTTTAACAGGTCCCAAATTAAAAGTAATAGTAAAAATACTGGGAGAGATTATGTATAATATTTATTTTTTAATTTAAAAAATAATTAAGAAAAAATTTACATAATACTCCTCAATGGTAAACTAACTATAGGAAACACACCCTATATTGGCATGCAAATCCTGAGCAGCCTTCGTAGGCTTTAGGTAAACGGAACGGGACCAGTGGTCCCTCCCTTTCTGTAAGAATACCGACAACCAGATCATTGCCCTAAACTGCTATCAATATCGTTCTATCCACACCTATATATACATGATACATATATATATATAATTATATATATATTCATTGGCAACGACTCAGTGAATACGTACGTATATATATTGCATGTACGTATAACGTATTTCTCTCCATGCCTTCTTCTTCTTCTTCATCTGCTTAATCAAATTGAATCCTGCGGCTTCCGATCGACCATGGTTCAGAAGAAGTTTCGCGGCGTGAGGCAGCGCCATTGGGGATCCTGGGTTGCAGAAATTCGCCATCCTTTGCTGTAAGATTCCAATTGATTTATTTTGATTTGATCCGTCGAGTTCTGGATAAACCCTAGAATTGGATTTAACCCCTTTTTTGTTTTTCTGTGTGATTTGGCGGAATTGTTGAGAATTTGGGGTTTAATTGCTTAATGTAGGAAGCGGAGGGTTTGGCTGGGGACGTTCGAGACGGCGGAGGCGGCGGCGCGGGCGTACGACGAGGCGGCGGTTCTGATGAGCGGGAGGAACGCTAAAACGAATTTTCCGGTGGCGGCGGAGGAGGATCAGAACAGTGACGTGGTTTACAGCAGTAGTACGAATTCTCCGATGCTCCGGCCACCGTCGTCGTCGTCGCAGCTGTCGTCGATTCTCAACGCGAAGCTCCGCCGGTGCAGCAAGTCGCCGTCTCCGGCGTCGATGACGTGTCTCCGTCTGGACATCGAGAGCTCGCACATCGGAGTGTGGCAGAAACGGGTCGGGTCGCAGTCCGATAAGTCCAATTGGGTCCTGACAATTGAACTTGGGAACAAGAAGAAGGATGAGCATCATCGTCCGGTGGGGAATGGCTGCCCGGCGCCGCCAGCAGCCGCGGCGGAGGGTTCGACGGTGGAGATTAATGGGGTTGCAACGGACGGTGTGGATGAAGAGGAGAAGATTGCGCTGCAGATGATTGAAGAGCTTCTGAATTAATTGAAGATTATTAATTATTTATTATTTTTCAGTCACATATATAATTAGTATTAATTAAAAAGTTAGTGTGATGGTACTTTGAGAATTTGCGTTATGACCCATTGGTGATTAATTAGTATATCTGAGAAATTAATTATATATTGTTCTGATTGTGGTAAGGTAACTGAATGATGTATGTGGAAGATTCATTCAAGCTCTGTCGCTTCTTTAATGTGGGAAATGATGACATGTTTCTGTTCATTTATTTATTTAAGTAAATGGGACTTTGAGGTAATTTTATATAAAAAAATAACTTGAATATAAATATATTGTAATAAAAGAATTGCATAGAAGTGTAGAACATTCAATTTTTGTTAGTATTATAATACTAATATAATTATTTTGAATATATTTTAAAAATAAATTATATGTTTTTTAGAATAATAAAATATTTTTGTTGTTAATATTATAATAATATAAATATCAATATTTTTAAGTATAAATATTATTTTTAAAAATAAACAAAAATCATACATATTCTTAATGATCATACTCAAATTTTAAAAGATCTGATCACTAGGGATTTCATTAGTATTATTAATATAAATATTATAATATTTTTAATTATAAATATTTTGAATTTTATTTTATTTTTGTAGAAAAAAAACCCAAATCATACGTATACTTAACGGTCATAATCAGATTTTAAAAGATCTGATTACTAATGATTTGATTAGTACTATAATAAAATATTTATTAATATTTTCTAATTATAAAAATTTTGAAAAATTATATATATTTAAAAAAACCCAAATCATCTATATGCTTAACGGTCATAATGAAATTATATATATAATGGTTTCGTTAATTACAAGTCACCGACTCAACTCAAATACATACTTGGATTGGGGGAGAAGAAAGAAATGATAGGGAAACAGAGCAAGAGACGGAGAGAAGAGAGTGCCCACGAGAGAGAAGAGGAATCTCGTGAAGAGGAAATAGAATCTGTTTCGTCTACCCCGTCGGCCGCGATAAGAAGAAGTATGTTCCTAATCATCATATAGAATTTTCGTTTTCATTTTCGTTTTCGATTTCCATTTTCCGTTCAATCGCTCCTATTTTGCATCTTCTAGAATTTTCGTTTTCGATTTCCATTTTCCGTTCAATCGGTCCAATTTTGTAACTTCTTTCATTCGATTTTTGTTTTTCCTTCTATAGGTCCGATTTTTCAGCTTTCTTCGTTCGATGGCACAAGAAATGGAGAGAAAAGGAAAGAGACCTCTGTTCGGTCTCTGTTCCGCTGTGCCGGCCGTACCGCTGTGAGTGTATACTTGTGCAATTGGTTTTCTGTTCATTTTCGATTCTATTGGTCTGATTTACAATTTCTTTAAGGTTTGCACTGTTTACATTTGGGGCTCATGAAATTTATGGTACTTAATCAGCTGATAAAGATAAGCCCACAACCTGAAAAATCTTAGTGCCGATGCACTTAATCAGCTGATAAAGATAAGCCCAGAAGTTGTTGAACAACACCAACCAGCTGCTATTGATTACCTAGAGGTGATAAATACGGTACTTTGATTTATGGTATAAAATTTGAACTAGTAGGCAGTAGGTTTGTTTGGTTTAACCTCTTATTTTTTTATAAGGGTTTATATTATTATTTTTTATTTTTTTTATTCTTGTTTCTGTCCAGGACTAGATGACACCTTTTCAATTTTATGTTACAAGGCCTCACACTGTTTTCTTTACCTCTTTTATGCCATAGGTGTTCTGCAGGGTCTTTGGGGAATCTGGGACTGCAAATGGGAAATATCCTGCCTCACATATTACTGGGAAGTTGTGTGATGTAGTAGAGGCACGTCCGGAGGACAACACAGTGAAGTAGGTATCTAGTTTCCTAATGCAGATTATAATTATGGTGCAATTATATTTTGCATGGAAATTATGTATTTTTTGTGGCCAACTTTGGTTTATTGATATTTGGAAGTCTTTGTTCTTTGTGCGCTAAAGAGGTGTTTTAAATTTTGTTCAGCCTTTTTGCAATCAATTTATATCTTTCAATGCTATTCAATGCAACTGATTTCCTGTCTAATTTTCTTCATCCTGCTGGGAATATTGAATTGTCTGAATGGATTCTTACAAAGATGTCACGAATGTGATAAATTACTTCAACGAAACTCTCATATGTATTGATTGTGAACTGCATGTTGAGGCTTAAGTAACTTTTTTGCATGAGATGCCTTGATGTTTGCAACTGATGATTTGGTTTGATGCTCGAATAATTCTAGAGTTATGGAATACTAGTTCTTATTTGATAAATTGTGAAAATCAAAGTATTTAAAAGGTTGTGGAGTACTAAACAAGTTGTTGTTCAAAATATGTTGTTAAGCTCTTCGGTGTTGTGATAGGACTTCATTGCTGCATGTTTGATGTATAACTCTAGTTGGATTGTCATGATCATTTGTGTCTGTATGATAAATCAAAGAGAAGCGAAAAGAGAAGGAGGAGACAAGAATATTATAAACCAAATAAACCAAAGAAAAGTCAAGGAATAATTTAGCAACTCCATCCTCAATGCTCTCAAGAAGCTTCCAACCGTTAATTATATGACATCGGAACTGGTTGCATAGCTGCTGCTTGGGCAAACCTTACGAGAATTGGTATGTACTTTTCTTTCAATTTGTTTTGATCAAACCGATGCTTCTTATTGCCGTATATTTTTCATTTTGTTGAGATCAAACTGATGACACATCACATGAGGTTGGTATGAACTTTTCTTTCAATTTTTTTTGATCAAATCGATGCTTCTTATTGCAGTATATTTTTCATTTTATTGAGATCAAATTGATGCGCACACTCTCTCTATGTTGGTTGAATAGAAAACATGGGGACACCTCACATTGGGAACACATCATCTCAAGTGGGGGTATAATATATGTCTTCTTGTTTCTGCAGCGGAGAGTCAAGGAATAATTTAGCAACTCCGTCCTCTACGCTTCTAAGAAGCTTCCAACCGTTAATTATGACATTGGAACTGGTTGCATACCTGCTGCTTGGGCAAACCTTACAAGAGTTGGTATGTACGTTTCTTTCAATTTGTTTTGATCAAATCGATTACCATAGATTTTTTATTATATTGAGATCAAATTGATGCACACTCTTTCTCTATCTTGGTTGAATAGAAAACATGGGACACATCACGTGAGGTTGAAGGGGCAAGATTTAGAAACCAAATCTGATAAGAATTGGTATGTAATTTTCATTCATTTTTTTGGGGTTGATGCTCCATAGTAAAATAGTGGGTTTAGAGGGGCAAGAAGAGGCCAAATCTGACATGAATTGGTACGGAATTTTTTATTTTTTTATTTTTTTCATTTTGTTGGGATCAAATGGGTGTTTTATTGTGCCAAAACTTTTGTTGGGATCAATTTGGTACATTTTTTTCTCTATATGAGGTTGAATAAAAAATATGGGACACATATGAGGTTAGTGGGCAAGATTTAGAAGCCAAACGCGATAAGAATTGATATATAATTTTCTTTCATTATTTTGGGATTAAATTGATACTCATTATCACAATAATGAGTATGGGAACACAAGTGGGGTGAGGGGGACAAGACTTAGTACTACAACTCTTTTGTTTTGTTAGGATCAAATTGATGTGTTTTATTTCTATTTGAGGTTGAATCAATTACATGTGGACAAGTACATCACGTGGGTTTAGAGAGGCAAGATTTAGAGGCCAAGTTTGACAACAATTGGTATGTAATTTTATTTCAATTTGTTTGTGTCGAGTAAATATTCTCTATTAATGGAAGCAAATTGTTTTGCAAATAATCCTTGGATATAAGCAAAAAATGTATACGCAATAGTCTACACTATTCGGATGCAAATTCCAGTCAGCTAGCAACCTGCACTTTGGATACTATAACTCTTAATATTGTTATTGTTTTTTTATACAGTACGATGTTGCAATGCTTGATTTGGACCATCTCATTGATATTCCTAATCATCCAATCCGTACTACTGCAAATAAGCCTATTTATGTTTTTTTTTTTCAATCATATACTTATTTTGTGATCTTTCTATACATGCGCTTTTCTTTTGTGTCGAGACCAGGTGTACCTGAAAGTTTGGACGATGTGTTAGGGATAGACGATCCTGAAAGCCTGCGTACCTATATGGACATTGCTTTTTTAATTTGTTGAGGCATGTATACTTCATTTTATATAGGCTGTCTATTTATTATTGGGGCATGCTTGAACTGTGTGTTTGCTTTTTATTTAGGATAGACATTCGCGGAAGTTCAAATATTTTGTTTTGATTATGTTTTGATGATTTGTTTGGGGGAGGCATGCCGTTACCCATGCATATATGCTTTGATTGTGTGCTTATTATTTATCGGGTGCAAGTATGTTTGAGCATGTATACTTTGATTGTGTGTTTATTATATATTGGGGTTGGCTTCCTCAAAAGCTTGCATATATGCTTTTATTGGGGATAGGTGTGCCTAGACGCTTGCATGTCAATTTTTGCAGGATGTGTATCATTTTTCAGGAGTGTACTTGTTTTATGTTGAGGGCAAGTATTCCTGAAACTCTGAATGCTTTTAATATATGCTTCCATATATTATATGGCTTCCTCAAAAGCTTGCATATATGCTTTTATTGGGGATAGGTGTGCCTAGAAGCTTGCATGTCAATTTTTGCAGGATGTGTATCATTTTTCAGGAGTGTACTTGTTTTATGTTGGGGGCAAGTATTCCTGAAACTCTGAATGCTTTTAATATATGCTTCCATTGTGTGCTTATTATATATTGATAGCATGTCTGCCGGGATCCTATATCTAATTTATTGCATGCATTATAGTGATAGCATGTGTGCCTTCATATATGTTCTCATTGCATGCTTGGCATGTGTGACGGAAGCCTATATATAACTTCTTGTGTGCATTCAATTGATAGCATGTGTGCCTCAAACCTATAGAGGATGGATCTATACGATATATTATTGAAAATATTGTATAACATATTGAGAAGTTCGGTATTTATAAATTTATAGGTATTATACCAAAATTTTAGTATGAAAAATACAGTATATTGATTTTTTTTTTTACTATTTTTCTTATATAAAAAAATATCAAAGCATACTATATACCATACTAAAAAAATTGGTATTTATAAATCCATAAAAATATTGTATTGAAAATTTTGGCATCTCTTAATACATGTCCATACCGTATGGAAAATTTCAATATGGCAAGTATATCAAAATAAAAACTATGATATACTAAAAAATTTGACGGACTCTCTGTAGTTCTTAGTATAATTGTTTGATTGTGGGCTTGTTTTATGTTGGAGGTAGGCATATTTGAAAACTTTCGTATTTATTTTGATTGTTTGCATTTTTTGTTTAATTTATATGTTTAGTTGATTTTTTTTGGAGTAGATACGGTAAAAGTAAAAGTTGCATATTTTTTTGAATGTGTTTTTTTTTTGTGGCTATTTTAATTGTATATTTATTATTTGGAGTGCCCGAGGATGTAACAAGATTGGTTGTGTGTTTATTGTATGTTTTGTGTATGTCTTATCTATTGGAGGTAAATGTACCTGAGGTTAGTGTTTTTGTTTTAATCACAATCACATATATGATAACGTTTGGAGTAGACACGATAATATGGTTGTTTTTTTGTTGAGGGCATGTATGCCTTAAAGGTTGCATATTTGTTCGGATGCCTTTTTATATTTGTGCTTCTTGCGTATTTATTTTAATTGTATGTTTATTGTTTGAAGTGATCGGAAGCATGTAATAAGATTGGTTGTGTGCTTATTGTATGTTTTGAGTATGTCTTGCTACTTGAGGTAGAAGTGCTCGAAATTTATATTTTTGTTTTAATTACGTGCATGATATTGATTGGGGTAGACACGATGAAAGTAAAAATTATATGTTTGTTCAGATTATTGGTTGCTTTTAGTTGAGGGCTTGCGTGCCCTAAAGGTTGCATATTTGTTTGTAATGTGTGTGTGTTTTAATTTGTGGTTGATGTTGCATATTGATATTAATTGTGTATTTATTATTTGGAGTGATCGCAAGCATGCAGCAAAGTCGGTTCTGTACTTGTATGTTTTGAAGGCAATTGTACTCACAACGGTGTGTATCTTTGATAGTTGTCATGTCTTATCTACTAGGGATAGATACGGTAAAAGTATATACTTTTATTCAAACTATGTAGTTACTTTTGGTTAAGGGTTTTAGAGTCTAAACGATTGCATAGTGTTTTTTATTTTTATTATATATATATTATACACCTTTTTTTTTTTTTTTTTTTTTATTATGATTGTCCAAATCTTCTTTCTATTGGGGCAGACGTAACCAAGGTTTTGGAGTAGACATTGTAAAAGTATAAGTTTGTCTATCTATTCCGATTGTGTGGTTTTTTTATTGTGGTTTTTTTATTGGGCTCCTTAAGGGTTGCATATTTGTATATTTGTGTTTGTTGATGCGTATTTATTTAATATGTGTGTTTATTCTTTGGAGTGCCTGAAAATATGGAACAAGATTGATTGATGCCTATTGTATGTTTTGAGGGCAATTTTATTTAATACATCTTTTATGATTATTCATATTTTATCTAATGGGGGTTGTAATTTTGTTTTAGTTACATATCTCAAATTGTTTGAGATGGACACTATTGAAAATTTTGATATCTATACATTCTTTCTCAACAATGGATACAAAACAATGTTGGGGTTGTGTTTTTGTTTTAATTATGTGACCCCAATAAAGATAAATATTTATATGTTTGTTCGGATTATCTGGTTGCTATTAGTTGAGGGCCTACGTGGCCTCAAAGATTCACAAGATTCACATTTGTTTGTAATGTGTGTATTTTTTTTATTTGTTGTAGATGTGCAAATTTATTTTGATCGTGTATGTATTATTTAGAGTGATCGAAAACATGCAAGAAGATTGGTTGGGTGTTTGTTGTATGTTTTGTGGGGAATTACTCGGAATAGTGTATATTTTTTTATAGTAGTCCATGTCTTACCTATTTGGGATAGAAACATTCAAAGTTCGTAATTTTGTTTTAATTACGTATCATTTAGAGTGAATATGGTACAACTATGTATTTTTATTCCGACTATATGATTGCTTTATTATAAGTATTAAAATTTTCGGCTGAAAAAAAATATATATATATGTTTATTCTCTTTGAGATGTGTGCTACATTATTTTGTGCATGTATGTAAGAAATTTTAGGAGAACTATAATTAGTGAATGATTAAAAAGTATATTAGTAAAAATTGTATATTTATTTCCTAAGATTGTTGAAAAGAATTTTTTTTTATATAGGTATAGAAAATTGCTTAAAAAATATAAAAATAATGAATATATAGTATATTAATTCTTTGAAGAAAATATGTTGGAAAAAAAACATAGAAAAAACAAAGTCAAGTAATATAAATAATTATAGATTAGTATTAAAATAATTAAATAGTTTAATTAAAATTAAAAAATTATAAATTATAAATTATAAAATTTAAAATTTAAAAGGTAATTAAAATGTATAATACTTTTTAAGAAAAAAGAACGGACAAAACGGAAATGAGAAAAACTAATATTTCACGTGAGATCGAGAAAGTATAACTTAACAGGTAACAAAAATAATGACATATTTTGGGAGATTTATAAGAAACATTATTTAGGTTTATAAAATATTACATTAAAATAATATTTATAAGTAATTTTTTATCAAATGCTCAAATTAAAACCAAACAAACTTATATAGCCTCAAAATATTGATTTCTTATGTTGTGCTGATAGTTATTGTCGTGTATAATTGCTATTAAATTTGAAAATTTTAATTTTTTTAAAAAATTATACTCCCTCCGTCCCACATAATTTGTCTATTTTCGTCCGTCTCACATAATTTGTACATTCCTTTTTTGGAAATATAATTATACACTTTAATCTCATTTTAAATTTTATAATTTTTTTAATCTTAATTAAACTATTTAGTTATGTTAATTTTAATTCACAATTATTTTTATTATACGATAATTATTTTTACTAATATATTTTTTAATTACTTGTTAATTACACTTTACCTAAATTACACGTTAATAGACCCATAATTGGGACTGAGGGAGGGAGTAATAAATTAGCAGGCTTGTTCATCAGTATTTATTGTTTTTAAATAATATTAAATTAATTTTTTTTATTAAAAAAATATGAAATTAAGAACTGAACGGTGTTGGATGTGTTTCGTGTATACCGCCTGTAATTATTATGATTATACTAATCTTAACTGAATGACCCAATCAAAACCATCGGCAATTATCGTGGAACCGCGCACACCAGATTGTTGAATAAACCCCAAATCTGCTGAACCAAAACCCTAACCTAAAATCGCCACGCGAACACCTCCACCACCATTAGTTTCTACTTCACTCGCCAAACTTCTTTTCATTTCCTGATTGATTACGTTCCTCGCAAGAATACAGATTCCGAATCCTCTCGGTTCGCACTATTGCTATTCCATTGCTGCCTAAATTTTGGATTCCGTCGATTTTTGCATTCCATTCAATTTTTTTTGGTCATTGCATTACACTGCACTGCGATTTGTTGATTCTTATTTTCCGAGACGAATGATTTGGTTTCCGATGGTCTGTATGGTGAGATATTGACGTAAAATTGATTTTAGGGATGTGTGGGATGCTGGGGTTGTTGTAGAACATGCTCTCATCTTTGCGATTGGTTCGCAGATTCGGTACCGTCCCCAATATTGCTCCAATCTCTATTTCTTCTTCTTCTTCATTATCTGTTGAGAAGGAGAAAGCTAGCTCGGTGACAAAGTGCCCGAGAAATCCGCGGATAGAATTGGAGGAGCCTGCATTGGTTAAGCTAAAGAAAGAGAGGGACCCTGAGAAGCTATTCAATTTGTTCAAAGCCAATGCAAGTAATAAAATTGTTGTTGAGAATCGGTTTGCCTTTGAAGACACTGTTTCTAGATTAGCCGGCGCCGGTCGATTTGATTATATAGAGACTCTTTTAGAACATCAGAAGAGCCTGCCGCAGGGCAAGCGAGAAGGTTTCATGGTTCGGATAATAATGCTTTATGGGATGGCTGGAATGACTAAACAGGCTCTTGATACGTTTTGTGATATGCATTTGTATGGTTGTAAGAGGACTGTGAAGTCATTCAATGCTGCATTGAAGGTGTTGGCTCAATCCCGAGACTTGGAGGCTTTGGAGTCTTTTTTGGGAGATTTCCCCTTTAGATACAATATTGAGATAGATGTATATTCGATTAATATTGTTGTTAAGGCTTTTTGTGAAATGGGTGTATTGGATAAGGCAGGATTGGTCTTGGTTGAGATGGAGAAGTGGAGAGTGACTCCAGATGTCATCACTTACACTACTCTTATATCGGCTTTTTACAAGGTGAATCGGCCTGAGATTGCGAATGGACTGTGGAACCTAATGGTGTTAAAAGGTTGCTTTCCTAACGTTGCAACGTTCAATGCGAGGATCCAGTTTCTAGTGAGTAAAGGCCGAGCTTGGGAAGCAAATAAGTTGTTGGGTTTCATGCGCAGCCATAAAAAGTTAGCTTTATGTCCTGACGAGGTTACATATAATTTGGTGATTAAAGGTTTCTGCAGAGCGCAGTTTCTTGAAATGGCTATGCGAGTGTACTCAGCCTTCCAGGGAGAGGGCTATAAGCCAAATCAAAAGATTTATCAAACGATGGTCCACTATCTCTGTAAAGAGGGAAAATATGACATGGCGTACGCTATGTGTAAAGATAGTATGCAGAAGAACTTGTTTCCTAGTGTGGAAACTATCTATAGTCTACTTGAAGGCCTGCAGAAAGATGGCGGAATCAACAAGATACAGAAGGCTAATTTTCTTTATAGCCTTGCATTGAGAAGACAACCTCCATTTTCTGCTGCAGAATTAGAAACCATGAAAGCTATATTGTCAAGGAAGTGAACTAACTTCAATGTAGTGTTAAGTTCCATCCTTCGCTGATTTATCATCTTGAGTGGAGCAGATTTGAAATCATTAGTTTTTGAGGAAAAGTTAAAGGGAGGAATTCTTCCATGCTATGCCTGCATTGAATATCTTCATCTAATTATGGTATTACTGAGGGGAAGCTTGCATTTCTCGTGAGGTTAATTTCTTTGGTTTTGTATTATCACAATTATTTCCGTACATGCTAGTATGTTACTATGCATAATCCTTGCATTTGTTAAGCTTATTTGTGCCTTCTCATATGCATGATTCTGATTTTGATTTTCTGGGTATTGCTGGTCCTGTGCAGATATGTATCGATGAGCTTAATGAAATAAAACCCCTCCAGTGTAATATCTCGGGAGCTCTGCTGGCTAGGTAAGATTGTAAAGCTTCAGCAGTAACTTGTTCATTCTGATACATATATTATTCTTTATCTGATCAGATCAGATAAAATACACATGAAATGTTGACTGCATACCGGTGTTGGGTGTGGTGGTTAAGAGGCTGAAATTTCATGATTTAGTATATCACATGATTTCGCATGATAGATAGACTAAAGCTCAGTGGCCATGCACAACAAGTTTCTTTATTTGCCTGGTTTTTTTGCCAATCAGAGCTCTTATTTCTGTGAAATTTTCTTTGTTAAACCGTGTCTGTAAAATTGAAGATCAGAGCTCTATAAGGGTTTTTATTGATTGTCTTATAGATATAAAAATTTCATTATGCAAATCAGTGGGTAATCCATTTGACATGCTTTTTAGTAATTGTGATGGGAAGGATAATGCAAAAATATATCAAAAAATACCTTATATTTTCTCATTTCAACGAAGTCAAATGGTTAGTGCCTAGAATTCACAAAATGTCCATTATGGGGCGTCGTTTTGCTGGTGTTTGTTATATGCTTTGAAATTAAAAGTCGCAAGTTCCTACAGCTGATTGATCAGTGCTATATTGCTTTGATTGTTTTAAGCTGGCTGTTTTTCTGACAGTATGTGCGGCTTTGATAGTAGAAACTTGCTGAAGGTTTTAATGAGTGAAAAATAAAAATTAAAGTTGAATGTTATGTGCTACAGAGAACCAGAATTCAACATGATAGCTGGTGGAAGCTGTGAGGATTGGAAATGCTTTGTAGAGAAATGTATATTACAAGTGAAAGAACAATTGGCATGTCTGATAGTGTACATAAAATAGGGACCCCCAAGGTTTCTTATTAACCGAATTCTTCTTTGAGAAATACATACACGTGATGAAGGAATAGTTATTCTTTTATTTATTTCATGAAAAATACTTGCCATGCGGACGATTGACGAAATTGTTATTGTAGTCGCGCAGAGAATATAAATAGAAGATCTAGAGGAATATCTTCTCCTACTATTTGCTTTACAAGTACTCCTTCGTTGAAACTGAGAAAAATAAACTTAGAATGTATTTGTAGGTTACATTTTGAGTAATTTAAGTTTACATTTGCTTGATCAGTGTGTCTACTCTTTTGTCTTGAGATGTTTTTGGTGCTGAGAATGTATGTAGGTGCAATTATTAAGGCTTTGTTAACAAAAACCAGGTTGAATAGTAAAGAAATTGAAAGGATATGAAAAGTAAGTAAAGTTGATACTCTTATTTGATAAGTGTGTACTTATTTTAAGTTGTTTTGGATTTGAATTTTCAAAATAAAAAATACTTATTTGAGATTAAATATTTTGTTTAAAATTTAAATGTTGAAGATGGTGTTTTTGTGTGAAATTGTACAGGTGAACACACCAAACATGACCAAAGCATTGTATATTAGTTAAAAATCATCTTTCAGAAAACATTATAGGCATTTATTTTATACATTCTAACCATATTTTATTTTGATATATTAAGATTCATAATTATCTATCACTCCATATACTAATTTATATAAATATTCCATAGTATCAAATAAATAATACATACAGAATTGTACAAATAAACTTACATTCTATGCTAACCTAATAAAATAGTCATTGCCAAGAATGAAAACATAGATGTGACTCAAAACACAACATCTTAAAGAAATAATTCTTGTTAAGTTCTTGCCAAGCCAACAATTAAGACCATCTTCATTCTAAATGGCCAAAGCTCACTAAATACACTAAACAATACGAGATTTGTTATCCACCCGATCGGTGAAAAATTATTATAATTAAATAATTATTTTATTTAAAAATTATTAATAATAAAAATATTGAACAAAAATATGTAATATTTCACATTATCAATAGACACTAGAGTGGAAAAAAATGAGAAAGAAAAAAAAAATGTTTGCGCTCTCTTTATGCAACAATTTTAGAAATCTTTGTTATTATTTAATTTTCACATCAAATATTATTATTATTATTATTATTATTATTATTATTATTATTATTCATAAAATATAGCATGAATTATTATTATTATTAACGAAATTTCAAAAACTCAAAAAAAGTCGTTCAAACGGAGCCTGTTCAAAATACACAAAAACACAAAAATAAATAAAACGGTAAACAAAGACAATGTAGAAAAGGTATAATCGTAATTTCAAATGTCAAATTTTGGGCCGCTGTTTCATCGCAATTCTTTAGTTCCCAAAATCAATTCAGACGCCAAAGCAATTCGACGAGGAATCGCGGCGCGAACATCAGGAACCTGGCATTATCTTCTGGAATTTGGGAGTAGCGAGGCTGCTTTGAATGTGTTCGCAGCAATTTTGGTTCGATCTTTTTTGTTCCATCTGTTTCAATTAGATTTTATAGAAGTTTCAGTGAGCACATTTCAACTCTGATCTTCGGTTTCTTCAACCTTTGGATCGTTCTGTGGACTAGATAATCAGTTGGAGAATTGAACTGGAGTGACGATCGATGGCGAGTACTGCGTGTTTTATGATAGTTAGCAAGAACGATATTCCGATTTATGAAGCCGAGGTTGGTACTGTCCCGAAGGTAAGGGATTCCGTTTCACTTTTTTCTCGATTTTATTGGCTCATCTTTGGTTGTTCTTCAATTCCTCTCGGATTGTGCTGAATTTGTGATGAATTAGTACCTGATTTGCTAGAAAGAGGATGCTGCTCATCAACACCAGTTCATATTACATGCTGCTTTAGACATTGTTCAGGATGTGGCCTGGACAACAAGTGCTATGTGAGATTTCTACTTTTGCCTTTTCTGCCATTAAAATTCGCGCACTCATATATGGAGAGAAAGTATCTTGTCTTGGCTGGCTGTAGGCTTTCTAGCCTTGAATAATTTTTGTGTTTGTGAATCAGGTTTCTTAAAGCGGTAGACAGATTCAATGATTTGGTGGTATCAGTATATGTGACTGCTGGTCATATCCTTTCTATTAACTTTACTGATTCAATTAACTGCTTAGTAGTTTACGTGTTTTTGAAAATTACATGGAAATAAACTAAATAATGTTTTGAATCTGAATGTTATGTGATGACTTGATTATTCTGTTCATCTGAAAGATCTTTGAACATTATATCTATTACTTGGGGAAAAATAATGTAACTGTAAATTTTCCATGGCAAAGCTGATTGCTCTGTGCTGCCGTCGATTTCTTTTTGTGCAACCAATTGGTATTCTGTAATATTGGCTGCTTTCTTCCCAGGTGCAAAATCTCGCTCATAAGGTGTTTAGTAAAATCATAATAGTTGAATGAAAATCACCAGCACTGCCACTTTGCACCATGTTTATATTCTTTGATTCATGTAGAACTTGAGTTTTGTGGAAACCAATACATCTTTTAATTCTTTGTTCGCCTTTTGCCGCAGTTATATTTGTAATAATATATCATTCAGTGATAAGTTGTTTTCCGGTGTTTCGATCCTGTGATGCACATTGAAACTTGATCTTCTTTTTGCATGTTTCCTGCATTTCTGTGTGGATTAGTGAACCACGATTCTACAATAGGCTTTCAATGTTTGTGAACTTCCTGTAAGATGCTTGAAGTAGTCAAGATTTTCGAGCAATACATGACAACAAATGCTGGAATTTCATTTCCATCTAATGGATTTGGGACGACTGAGCTTGCACGATGATGATTTAACTTTATTAAGACACATATGCTGGGTTGCAATTATGAATTTATTCATTACTCTGGAACATTCCAGAAAGGTAATCTTTAAGTCTGATGAAATCTCTAAACAGCCTCTTGTCTTTGCGATTTGTTATTGCTTTCTCAATGTGTTATCTAGTAGAATGCATTGCTGACAAAGTGAAAAGCGTGATTCACATTTTGTTCTAGTCGTATTTGGAAATAGAGTCTAGGATGCCTTTTTGTGCAGGAAAATTGGCCAGCAATGCATTCATAAGACATGATTTGCTAGAAATAATTGAAAGTAGCAACTTTTTGTTGAATCTATTTAATGCTAAAATTATATGATGCATTTGATCGTTCCTGAAAAGCTACATTTACTTGAATGTTAATTATTTACTAATTGCATCTTACAATTGAGAATGTCCCAATTACTTTAGCTGTGCTCAATGGTATAGTTTTCCAATGAGATTTTTCATGCTTGTGTAACTGTTCCAAATTTTGCCCAAGTGATTGCTGCTGTTTCACAAGTATCCTTGTTCTTTGATTCTTTAACTAATCAAAGGTATACATACTCGATTGATGCTGCTTCATGATTCTCGCAATGATGATGGAATAAAGAGCTTCTTCCAAGAGGTTCATGAGCTATACATCAAGGTAAGTGCCGTTCCACAAGTTTTGAATATCCGGCTGCAGTTATAATAGCCAAAAAAAATGATTCTCTCTTTTTAATCTATTTGAGACGTTTGAATGTCAAAACTGTTGATCTGTGATTCATGATTTTTCAGACACTTCTCAATCCTCTTTACCTTCCGGGGAGTCGTATCACCTCATCCCATTTTGATACAAAAGTTCGAGCCCTTGCTAGGAAATATCTATGAAGCTATTTCTTTGCCGACGATAGCCATATGGGAAGCTGCTTTCAGGTGCTTTTCTGTTTTAACATTGATTTATACTATACTGAACAGTCTTATTTCAATTCTGTAATGTTTGAGCTCTATCTACACCCTATATAATTTCATTACCAGTTCGTTCACTCGGGTCATCTTTTATTCTTGCCATGCTGCATTCATTTGTCGACTCGATTTGAATAGTGCAGTTGTATGCCTGTCTTAAATGCCCTCATTATATGGTGGATTTTCATCCATTTTTAACACATTATGTGACTTCTCTCTTTGTCTATTTAGATGAACATAGCCTGCCCACAATTATATATGTACCCAAGATTATTAACCTACTGATAGTGGACCAGAAATTGCAGATAATATGTGTTGAATCTGTAATATTATTATATTTTTCTATATGTATATTTAAATTAGGGGAATGTTTAGTTAGAGGCACTGAAAGCATCTCGGAAATGAACAATGACAAAAGAAAAAAGAAAAAAAAATGATGGGGCTGTGTTGTTATTTGGATTAAAAAAGACCTGCACATTCTCTACATTTCTTACACAGCTGGCTATTTGGGGACAGAATTAACATTTAGCTAAGTGTCGAAAACCTCTTATGTTTGTCTGATTGCGCATTATTATTAGTTTTGTTCGTTAGTTTTTAGTTGATTTGTTTGTTTCCTATGAAGATAACGTGATTATCCTCTGTTCTAATATGAGTTCATATATGAAAATGTAATTCATGAATAGGTACCAAAATTATGCGTGAACAATAGATAGCCCTAACACTTAAAAAATAAAAATAAAAAAAAATTAACTGTACTTAATTCTATGGCCTTGAAATCTAGGATTAGAAGAAAATTTAAAATTCACAGCAGAGGTTTGATGCTTCAATTTGTTGATCCATTCAAAAACCTACAACTTAACTAACGAACATGAACAACATGCATAAATATATATATATATATGTATGTAGCTGCGAGCGTGCACCTTGATGTACCGAATCCCTACCTCCTTCCAACTTATCTCTCACACCGCGCGCTTAGCACCGGTTGGTTGCGGCCGGCGGTGTGTTTTTTTACTTTTCCCGAAGGCGCTGCAAAATCCGCATGCTGAAACCTTCGGAGACGGAGGCTCGATCGCCGGCGACACTCTTCCGGTACGGAAATTCCGTCCGCCGTTGGATCGGCTCCTCTCGATGGTCAATCCGTCGGGCGGCGGCGAATTCCTGCCTGAATCTTCTTCTCTGTTCTGCAGTTGAGACTTGGTGTTAGTGTTACGGTCCTCTTTGTTCTGGTCGGCGAGCTGATTGAGCTCGCCGGAGAGGAACTTGTCGTCCCATACTATCCCCGAGGAGCCTTGCCTCCTGAAGGAGACTGCGGATCTCTGTAAACCTGCCATCATCGATGACCTCCAATTGACCTTATCGATTGGATTGTTGTTGATGATGATGATGATGGAGACTTGATTGGGAGGAGATTATCGCTTTTGAGCTCTGATTCAGTGTTGCTTTAGGATGCTGAATTTTGATAATTGGCATCACGCCCGCCGTATATATATATACACACACATGTATATATATATGGGTATATATGTATGTGTGTGTTCCTCAGTGGTCACCACATTCATGGCCTAGACAAAAGGGAGTAATCCTTTTTTTTTTCATCATTTTATTTTTTCTCATCACAACTCAGCATTTGGATACATTTTTATTAATTCTTTATATTTTCAATTTTGTAATTGATTTTTTTAAAATGGTGTTATATTAAACATTTATTTTAAATTATGTTATTATATTTAAAAAAATAATTTTCACTTTAAATACAAATTGACATTTCTAGGTTATGAGTTTTTTTATTCGAAATTTGACTTAAATAGTATAATATAATATCTTATCAATAAAATAATATTTTTATTGCAACAGCTGGTTGTAGTAAAAAAGGTGGGTTTGAAATACAAATTAAACAAATCCTATAATTTATTGTGTGTTTGTTTGGGGTTTGGATTTTGAGTTGAATTTGAACCGTAAAAATTTTGAATTTGAATAGTTGTATGATGTGATATAAATAGGCGTTGATGTGGTATTTTGAATGTAAAATTGATTTTTAGTACTCTGTCCGTATCCATTTACCTTTTGCGTCATTATAAGACACTAATAGAAATATATTTGCAATTTTTTCTTGATTTGTAATACGTTTTGATATAATAATTAATATTCAAAGATCGATATGCAAAAAGTAAATGGATACTTATGAGACGTAGGGAGTATAATATAAAAAATGAAAAATAAGTGTTTGATTTGATGTTTTTTGGGAAAAAAAAAAGGATGAATAGTAAATTTAGATTCCAATGCCCCAAACAAACACACCTATAGTTTTGAAATCCCAACATTCCACAACTAGGGTGTGTTTCGATTTGTAGATTGTAAAATTTAGGAATTGATTACTATTCTGGTTGGAAAAAATTAGTATTATCAGCACACAAAAAACTAAAAAGTGTTATTTGAAAATATGTATTATTTGTTCATATTTAAGGGTGTGCTCGAACAATATTTATTGTGTTGTGATTATTATAGTATATCGTTAGTTAATATATTGTATTGGTATTGTTAAATTGTATGTTATTCATCATTGTATCATGTGTTAGCATTCCGTCGAATTATGCAAAATTCAATACAGCAATTACAACTATGATATTTTGAATATTTTTCAATGTAATATGTTAAATAAAAATATTGTATTTGATTTAATGATTATTTTAGAGAAAAATTTTGACGAATAATGTGAGATAAAAAGAAACATATTAATTCTGAATATTTAGGTTGACCTTTAGGAACTTGTACAAGTTTGTTTGGCTGTGTTTTTCAGAGTAAAGTATATGCAATACATTATAAAAGGAGTATGTGATTAACGTTATTGTTTCTAAATTAGGTGTAAAATATCAATAAATGGTAAGGGTAGGGCAAATCTAAAAAAAATATTCATGCATGTGTGCAAGTAATTGTAAGTGTATGTATATTACTGTATGTGCATATGCATACAAATGTAGGTTGGGAACAAGAATGGGAATGTATATTGGATTGGTTAGCAAAAAACCCCAAATTCCAAATTATGTCTTTCATTGCTTTTGTTCCATTAGCTAATCTTTTCTGTACTTTTTGTAATCTTGTGTGTATATATACACACATATGGATACGTCACTGAATACTTTCAAGTTCCAATGGGTGGTGACAAATTTCATTATCCTGCTCCAATTACAGACTTATGTTGTTATTATTAAATATTTATCTGAAGTTTATCTAATTGGGTTTACTCTTTACAATAGAGTAGTTTTTTTTAAAAATTAAAATTAAAATTAAATGTGTAAACACACACAGGCAATAACATTGGTATGATACAGTTTTTTTTTTTTTTTTTTTTTTTTTTAAGTTCAATTATACTCATTTCATGTTATGCGGATAAATATTTATTCCCCATTAAAAAAACAAACAAACACACCCTAACATATGGTTCAACGCATCTTCATCCAATTCCATAATCGTGTTTTTGTTACCTACGACTTTTCGAAAGTGACAAGCTGTCATACGCCACTTTGGTAAGAGTCGTGCTGATCTTATAAGTATAAAAAGAAAATTAGGTATTCATCACCATTGCCAACAACAATTGTATAGAGATAAAAAGAAGAAAATATTCCTTTCAAAACATGGCTGACTTTTCGTGTATAGCTTTTTCATTATGTAAACAGTTTGGTTATAATCATCGCCGTGTAATTTTTTTATTTTTTTATTTTTATTATATAAAATATTATATTTAAATTATTATTATAAAAATAAACTCTATAAGAATGTAACTTTGTGCTGAATTATTATAGCATCATAAATGATCATTAATTTATTTGAATGCATTTTCATTTTGTTTTCTTATTTTTCACCACCATTCTTCCTAAAAAAGATCAAAATAAAAATTATATATTTTATATATATAATTCTAATGTTTTTTGAAGTAAAATCATCGTTAAAATGTACTAGTAATATTTTATATAAAAAGAAGTGTTAGACTTCAATGTTTTTGGATTGAAACAGAGAGATTTTGAATAATAAATAAATAAAATTATATATTTTATATTACACATTAAACTGTTTAGGATTCTATTATCTATACATTTTTTTTAAGTTTTGATTTTATTCATCAATCATTAACTATTTTTTTTTTTTTTTACTTTTTTCGTATATTTCAAAATCCTCATAACATAGGACATAGACATGGATCGAATTGTTTAATGTAATATGAAGATTGGATACGACCAAAAGTCAAATATATAAACACATTACATATACAGATACTATACAGGCTATACCAAGTCATCATCGAATCTGTCTACGGCTATGGCAATTAAAAACCCCAATTCACAAACACGCACACACACAAACAAAAAAAAGAAAAAAGAGACGATTCAATGCCAGGAAACCTAGCTAGTAGAACCAGCCAAGACTGCACTGCACGACCATGCACAGACACACGCACCATACTTACTCTCCTTGCATGATTGCGTGAATTTTAATTGCAGAAAGGGAATAAAGTAGAAATCTCACATAGCACTTGCTGTTCGGGTCACATCCGCAGCATGTAATATGAAGTATGAACTGGTGTTTGATGAGCAGAGCAGCATCCTCTGTCTACCACAATCAGACACCAATTCATCGCAATCCGAGCAGAATTGCACAACAACCAAATGAAACAAATTGCCTTACCTCGAGGACATTGCCAAGTTCAGCTTCCGAAACTGGAATATCGTTCCTGCTAACTACCGCAAAAAAACGCAGTAGTAGCCATCGATCGTCACTAATATTCAATCCTTCGGCTCGATTACCCAGCTAATTATCAATCGAGCCAACAAAATAAGATCCAAAGTTAAGAAACCGGAGATTGAAGATTCAAGTACTCTCAGAGCTGATCGTCCGCAGGGAGCCATGACAGTTTTTTCCAGAGGTCTCTGGAGTGACCTAAAGCTATGTCTTCAGTTAGGCTTACACCATATATATCATATTTGGAAATGTTTTGGGCCGTTGATGTTAAAGAGATCGACGGTCAGGAATACGGGTGCAGATTAATACCGCTGTGAACTACCACACTGGATATTTACTCGGCATAAGCTCCAAGAACCAAAACGAAACTGTTTTAGCTCTGGACTTAAGTCTTGCTGTAGCTCTCTATTGGATCGTAGTATATTTGAAGAGACTCTGGGAAGGACGAATACTGTTTAGGGCAGTTCTATGGGTGATAGGAAGAATTCTGGATGATAATAGCAGAGATACATTGATTTGTAACATATAAATTGTTGATCGACGTATTTGTAGACCGACGAAGCGGAAAAAGATGACTCTAGCGAGTGTGAAAATGTCGGAGGAAGTGTGGTGGACGTGTCTGACCCATGCATTGTCCACCGAGTCTGAGGAGATCATGGGGCTTCTCCTAGGTGATATTCAGGTTCGGGGATTACGAATTTTTTGTTCTGACTTCTCCATTTTAATGAACTTTGGTTTTTTGAGATCGTAGCTTTGCTAAATTTCTTTTATCAGGTTTGTGTAGGAAGGATTGGAATCTTGTTGCATTCTTCTTCGGGTAGTTTAATGGATTTTCACTAAGTGATTGGGAAATGTGATCCTTGAAGAAGTTTAGAATATTAGCATATGAAGTTCATCTGGTTTATGTAACAAGTTTGGAATTGATGGCTATCGTGAGTACAATATGTGTTTTACAAAGTTTGTACAGAATTGTGTGTTGTTTAAGATATGGGTTGTAGTATTAATGATATCACAATAGTGATGGATGTTTCTCTAAAATTAATATTTGGTTTCTGGTGCAGCATTCGGAGAATGACAATGTGACTGCATTGATATGGGGAGCACTCCCACAACCGCGTTGTGATCGGAAGAAAGATAGAGTAGAAACTAACCCGGAGCAACTGACTGCTGCAGCAATTCATGCGGAGATATCCTTTTGCCTCTGCTGGTTACTCATGACCTTTTTCAAAAAATTTGTACTAAATTATGTGTGTTCTGTGTGTTTAAATGATATATGTATTTCCTTTCTATGCTAATTTTGCATAATATTATTATTTTCTTGGTGTGTGTTTTATCTGTTTAAATGGCATATGTATTACCTTTGTATGCTAGTTTTGCATAATATTATTATTTTCTTGGTGTGTGTTTTATCTGTTTAAATGGCATATGTATTGCCTTTTTGTGCTACTTTTACATAATATTATTTTCTTGGTGTGTTTTATGTGTTTAAATGGCAACTATGCTACTTTGCATAATATTATTTTCTTGGTGTGTGTCTTATCTGTTTAAATGGCATATGTATTACCTTTCTGTGCTACTTTTTGAATGATATTATTTTCTTGGTGCTACCTTGGCTAGTAGATATTCAGATGCCAAGATGGTTAGAAAATAGAAATTTCAAATTAATGAACACCTTCTGGAAAGCCCTGAAACAAACTGGTTGCATCAGTGCTGCCTGTTGCCTTCACATAGACAAGATTAGAACAATATATGCATGAACAAATGTACATCTTATGCCGTATGTGTTACACTTAATTGATTGCTGGTGATGTTGTCCGGTTAACTTCAAAACACAGAATGACGATTGTTACTGGAACTACAACCAGAGTGATTGGATGGTATCACTCACATCTTCATACTACTGTCCTCCCTTCTCATGTTGGTGAGTTTTAAATAAAGAAATGGTTTTGAGAAAATGATACGAACCTTAATTTGCCCTTTTTTGGTGTGAGGTATTCTGCAGGAATGCCCTTGACAAAATTGAGCGACTTTTATAGTTTTATAACTTAATGAAATTTTTCCTTATTTGAAGAAACTTCAGTTCTTATATTTTCTCATAGTTTTTTATACATGCAAATTCTTATATGTTACATAAATCAGACACTCCTCTTTGGGATTTCTGCAGATGTGGGGACTCAAGCACTGTATCAGCTGTTGGAGTCTGGATTTATTGGGTTGATATTTTCTTGTTTCAATGAAGATGCACATAAGGTTAGTGTTCCTTAAAATGTCTCTTCACCATTAATTCCATCAATATATATATATATATATATATAGTGTAATTCATAGTTAATTTGAATCATTGTAGGTTGGACGAATTCAGGTCATGGCATTTCAGTCTTTGGATGGGAAGCAAAATGTTGCATTGCAGCCTGTTTCTATTGCCTCTGTACAAGAAGATTCTCTTATTGATAGTGGCATGTCCATGAGTTCCTTGGATAACACTACTGCCATTCTAGCCTGTTCCGGAGGAGAGAGTATTGAACTAGGCCCTGGAGATTCACAGGCTGCTATAGCTTCAAAGGTAATCCTAAATCAACCAACACCTGTAATGATTATTGCATTCTTTAGTTTATGTAAAAGCAGTGCTTCTTAATTTTGGGTTTTTGTATTTTTTACTTGAGATTTTACCATATGATTGCTTGGTTGACAATAAGTCATAGTTTGTCTGTGGAATGTGATTTTTTTTTTTTATTTATTTGACTACCCATGTTTCCTTTTCCATTTATGGATTTTAATTGTTTTTCTTGACACTGGGTGTATTATAATTGCAACTTTTTTTGGCTAGGGCAACGGAAGATCGATGTATTTGGGAAGTTCTTTTGTGAATGCTGATGCTAAGACAGGAAATAAGGACGATTATGATAGTTCGAATAATGCAATTTATGATTTGGATCCCATGGACATGGCAGAGGATATGGAAGAAGCTATGCGTCTGTCAAACTTGGAGCGGAGGTTTGTATGTGTGTGTGTGATTTATCCCATCAATACTTAATTCTTTTTTGAAAAAGAAAAAAAAAAGAAAATCTGTGTACATTGATCAAGAACAGTCTTGCAATAACATTGAAACAAGACACATTATCTAAGGAAGCACTGAGGATGACATTGCGTTAGAAATTCTGTTTAAACTAACCAAGCTAGCCATTAACCTGGTACCGTAGCAGGGGACGTGTCCATATTTGTATCTCCAACATTATCCATCAATTAAAAAGTTTCACATCCTAAGGCTTTACTCTAAAAATCTCACCTGCATGCGAAGGATTTTGTTGGAGGAACTATATATGAATGAATACAGGTTGATGCATTCCATAACTCATCAAAGCCAGTTGACACAGTCGAACTTAGTGCATACATAAACGTTTTTCTCAATGGATCTGCATATATTTTTTTGTACTACTGTGTCAGAAAACATTCTTTTAGGTAAATGTCAAGTTTTCTTACAATTATTTGAGATGATTTTGTTTTTTTCTGGCAGTGGAGCAGAATATGTGGGAAAGGAAATCCCTCTTCTTGTTCTTCCCGCACCATCCCTTCTCAATCTCAATGATACTTTGTCATCATTTTCAAATTTGCAAAATGTAATATATGAAGAGGAGAAGACAACATATTACCAAGTAATGGAACAGATTATTAGGTGAGTTCATGTGAATGTTGTACTAGAGCTCCTTTCTAACCTGCACTTGCAATGCCATTTATTAAATCATCTTTTTGTGCATATTCAGGGATAAAAAGGTTCATCCTCTTTCATTCATTCATCATGCATCAACATACAAGGCTTCTATGTGCAAAATGATCGAATATTGGTAAGCAACATTAAAGTATTTCTCCCAGCCGTTTGGATTGGCCTTTTGGTCACACTTGCAGTGCTTCTGATTGCAGCTTGGGTCCTGCTATCAAAGTTCTTCAAGATCGCTTGAGAGAAAATGAACTTCTGGTAATGTACTTATACATAAATTCAATGCTTTGTCACCTGCCTTCTTTGAGTGAATCATTTTAGGATAAGTAAACGTCAATCTTTTCTTGATCATTTCACTTGCCTTACCTTTAATCTGCATTTCACATTTCATTAAAAACAGATCAAACTTCTTGGTGAAGAAGCCATTGTTTTGAAATCAGAACTTGAAAGCGGCAAAGGCAGCCCGTGACGCACCTCCCCATACTCTCCACCTCAAGGCTTTTGAATTGGCGACTCCTTAATCTCTTCCTACAAATGATAGTAAGAAGCTCATCTCACTTACCCTCTCACTTTTGCATTTCTTCACTTCTGAATACTGATGCTTGCTTCTATTTTGATAATCCTTCCATTTATTGAGTTTGGTTTAACAGTGTTGCAATGAAAAATTTTGAATTTCATCACACTTATAGTAATGAGCCTTAGTATATTTGAACCATAAAATTTTTGTTCAGTGATGATTTTTGTAGGAGCCTTAGGTATTATTGAGTTAGTGGTATTTCTGTTTGAGTGATTGTTCAGCTATTCACTACAATTATTTAGAGGCGGGATGAACTTACAACACAGCACAAAATTCGAATACACAGTAGATGAAGTAATTAATAGAAATAAAAATGTATAAAAGAACCTTAGTATATCATCTTTCAGTAGGGGGAAGGAATCCCAACACTACCCATAATATAAGAAAAACTAACCACAAAAAAGGAACACAATTAACAAATAGCAACTAGGAAATGAAATTTTGTAAAAAATACTTCAATCTCCATACTGGGATTATTTCGGCTGTCTAATTGAAATGGTCTGATGAGTCATTCGACTAGTGTTGCCTAGTTTCTTTTGTCCACGTTAGATGGCATATTACTAGGAACATTGCTAGGATTGACTCCAGACACATTAGGATTGTTTCCTGAGGCAGCCGGGACCGCAGACTCGTTGCTTGGATTGTTCGATCCAAAAGTGTTCTTGACAGCATCAGCAGCCCCTTGGGCAATGTTGGCTGCCCCTAGGGCCGCCCCACGGGCCAAGCTAACGACCCCCTGTGCTGCCCCCACACCCACATCTGCTGCCCCTGATGCCATAGTCTTGACATGTGTTCCAGTCTTGCATTGTTGCATATATCATCATGCATGAAAAGTTTTGATTTAGAGTTAATGACATGAAATCATGAATAGGGACACCCTATTTTTTTTTCCTAGATTAAGAAATATGATTATTGAAAAGACATGGTTGTATGTGTGTGTGTACCTCTTCAAAAAGGCCTGGGTTTTGGAGATGGTTGATTTTCTGACTGTCATCCATATCTCTTTTCATCTGCAATATTTAAACATTTTGTACCACTATATGTGTATATATCTGTTCATTTGTGTGTAATTGAATTTGTGTTCAAAATGTTTGAAATTATTACCTGAGACTGAGCTTCTACTGAAGCATTGGCAGGGTTGTTTGTGCTGTCCATGCTGTTTCTTGTTCCTTTGAATTAAAACTTGTATTGAGAGAGAGAGAACTAGAGAGAGAGGTACATGGGAATGGCATTGTTGGTGGTGAATTTATATGTGGGTTTGGGGTCATAATTTCTGCCTGACTTTGTGCATTACTCTACACATGTTTGGACCATATTATTTCAAACTTATCTTCTTCTATTGTAGGACAGTTTGTTGATCACATTTTTGGTTTTATGACCTGATAATGATTTTTAAGAATCTATTTTGGGAACAGTAAGGATAGCTCCCCCAAAATAGGTATATTGTCTTTATTAGTTTTTCTTTTTTATGACTTTACACTAAAAATATTAAATATTATTATTTGTTTGTTCTTTTAAAATTATTTTTCAACTACGATTCTAAAAAAATAATAATAAAAAATATAAAATATTTTTTAAAAAATAAAAAAATCAAAATACTTATTATAAAAAATTAAAAATTTATTATAAAAGTTCAAAAAAAAAAATCAAATATTCAAATATAATTTTTTATATTACACTCAATAAATTATTTCATCCAAAAATACATTTTAATTTTATAAAAAATTAATACTAATACATCTAATAATTTGTTTTCTGTTATATAAATAATACTCCCTCTATCGTCCCATGTAATATGTGTATTAATTTAGATAAAATATAATTAGTAAGTAATCAAGAAGTGTATTAGTAAACATAATTATTATTTAGTAAAAATAATTATAGATTAAGATTAAAATAAGTAAATAATTTAATTAAAGTTAAAAAAAATTATAAAATTTAAAATTTAAAATGCGATTAAATTAAAGTGTATAATTATATTTGTAAAAATAAAAATAACGTGAGACAGATGAAAATAAAAAATAGAAATAAATTATGTGGGACGGAGGGAGTAATATAATATGCAGAATATATATATATATATGTATATACTATGCGAGTCCAAATATAATAATATATGTATGTATATGCGCATAACATTTTCGTCCTAATCAATTATGAATGCATTGCGTATCCACAGCCGCCACCGCCACCGCCCCCGCCCACGCCCACGCCCACGCCATGTCCTTCCTCTCTACTTCAATTCTCTCCTTTCTTCGTTTTTTGGTTTTTTTTTTCCTTCTCTTTGGAGTATTTTTTTTCCAAGAAAATTTTTTTAATACTGAACCGCCGGTTCGAACGGTTTCCGGTTTGAAACCCGAGAACCGCCGGTCCGAAATCGATTGGAGTCTACGGAATACCAGCGTGCAACCCAATTTGGGGATTCCAGTAGGGACGAACGAAGATGTTGCTCGCAGTTCTGATCGCCAATTCGGAAGGCAATATTCTTGTTGAACGGTAATCATACTTCTTTCCATTGTCTCGCAATATCTTTTGTGCGTCCCTGCTCTATGATCTGCTCTATATAGTAGATCTTTTGTTTCAGTTCATTTCTTATGCAAAATTTAATTTTGTAGCATTAGTTACAGCAAAAGGATTTGAACCTCTTGTCAGAGCGTTTATATTTCTGGGATTTTAGGTTATGGAAACTGTAGCACGACTGTGCTCATAGTAAGATCGGAACAATGAAGGTTACTTTTGTTGCAGAGATTTCTGTCGTGTACTGAATTGCTGAGAATCAATATTAATTTCACGGATTTGTTCTCATTACTGGAAGTGAAACTAAGGCGCTTATGATGAATAGTTGAAATGTTAATTTATAATTAGGTTCTTCTATTTGTAGTTTCAATGGAGTGCCAGCGGAGGAACGATTACACTGGAGGTCGTTCTTGGTGAAATTGGGAGCAGATAATCTTAAAGGAGTCAAGAATGAAGAACTACTTGTTGCTAATCACAAGTATGCTATACTTATTACTTATTATTTGAGCACTTAGAGTCTGTATATTTACTTGCTGTGGATAGAAATCTAATGTTTACGTATTCTTGAGTTAGCTATGGAATATGGGTTGGGAGTATGCTTGCTTGACATTGTACTTCTTTCTCCTATAAAATTGTATATGCAGCTTTCTATGATACCTTCATGTTTGCAGTGGTGTGTATTTGTAATGCACACAACTTAAAACAATCTAAGATATCTATTGCAAGTAACTTTTGTGATTGTGTGAATCTATGCATTGATAAGCATGGTTCTTGATGTGATGTGGTCTGACTTGGAAATCAGTAAATTTTAGTTTTCTTATAAATGTTCATTCTCCTCTCTGGAACTAGAAAATGACTAATAATTTGTTCGTGTTTCAAGTTTAATTTAAGCACTCTTCACACACTCGTTGGATGCATTTGTGAATTCTACAAGATTTGTGGGTTTTTATACATCATTGGTGGTTTTCGTCTTTGCTGCTAAAGGGAATATAGTATAATTATCACTTTCAAAAGTGTAAAGAATCAACTTAAACACAATAGCATGCATATCTTGCAAGTGTGTGTAAAGATTATTACTTTATAGATTAGAAAATTATTATTGCATCCTATTATTGGTCATAATATGTATCTTTGAAATGTTCTAGCTATTTATTGGTTGTATTTCTTGTACAGGTCAGTTTACATTGTATACACTGTGCTTGGGGATGTCAGTATATTTGTTGTTGGCAAGGATGAGTACGATGAACTAGCCTGTAAGTCTCGTCAATCTGCTGCTATACTTATAGAGGATAGGGAAATTTACACTGTAAACATGCTCCAATTGGAATACCAGTACCCATCTTCGGCTTTCATCTCAACATTTTTTATAGTATAACCACCGTATCATGTAAACTTCATATACGCATATTCGTGCCTTACCTGCTTTAGATGATACATGGAGTTTCAGGTCTCCATGCGTACCTGCTGTCTCTGGTCCTATTATCTTACATTATCAATCTGTCTTAATGCTGTTTTTTTATTTTTCTTTCTTTAATCTAGTGTCGGAAGCAATCTTTGTAATCACCTCAGCCCTGAAGGATGTATGTGGGAAACCTCCAAGTGAACGCCTTTTTCTTGACAAATACGGGAAAATTTGTTTGTGCTTGGATGAGATTGTGTGGAAGGTGAGTAGATTTTTCTCCAGCTACTCCATAACTGCATTTTGGAGATTACCATTCGATATTTTGATCTTTGTGGTGTCAATGTTTGGGTGTCTCATCACTCGTATTTTGATATTTTGATCTTTACCAGTCACAAAAACAGTCTTCACTGTTGTTGAATCTTCGTATACAGTTATTCATACACCTTCGCCACTTCTCTATGTTTTCTGCATCCCATTTTGAAAATATGAACTGCAGTTCGACTAATGCAACATTTACACTTTCTTGTTCGAAGGGCCTGCTGGAGAACACCGACAAAGATCGAATCAAGAGGCTTATACGATTGAAACCACCGACAGACTTCTAATCGGCACGCATCGTTCCTTCTACACTATTAGAAGGAAAACTACTTCAGTCCTTGCTGCAATTCATGTGCATGAATCTGTCTTCCGGCAGGCTTTAATTGCTTGTTTGGTTCTATCTTCCTTTACTAATTAATTATGTAATTTTCGCCATGGCCTGGATCATATCTACACATTTCTTATTTTCTTCAAATTAAAATTCTCACAGAGCATTTTATTTTAACCTTTGTTAATTTCTCATAAATGTTATGTATGCAATTATTCAGCTATGTAATATTTGCCTCAATGCGCTGGTGGTGGTGTCCGGTGGTGCATTCCCACTTCAAGCCTATCTATAGACTATAGGTGAGTAATTCTACAATTTCCATCTTTTAAAAATAATAAAAATACATATTTTATTAAATATAAATGGATATTGAATATAATTTTTATATAAATAAATATATTTTAATAAAGATAAAAATATTGTTTAATTTTTAATAAACATATACCGATATATGTGTAGTTGACTGAAATGCATAAAAAATTTAGCAGCAGACTGGGGGTATGATATCCATTTCAGCAATAGATTAGGGGTATTATAGCAATTTCAGAAGAGCTCTCTCCGTCAGTCCTGAAAACATCATCGATAACTACGCATCCTCTTCAGACGGCGGTGGGATATCATATCTCTCGCAGGGAGTCCTCGACCATAGGAACCTTCTGGAGTCTTCTATCACACGGTTTCAATAATCAATTGGCATAGGTTCGAACATTCTTAATTTTGTCGTTTTTAATCCCGGTATGGGTCAATTGTTTGCGATTTTGTGTCCGGTTGTTTTGAATGATGTTCGGTTGTTGTGTTGGAAGTCTATCGCTGGGGGTTAGGATTTTTGATTCTTGATTTGCTATTTCCAATTCTTTGGAAATGGATTGGGTTGTTTTTGGTGCATTCAATGTTGGGACTGTTTTGATAGATACAGGACATCAGTTTTATTTTATGAGGGTTGATTTGGTTGCGATTAATCGTCTTTGGGTGGTTGGAGTGGTCACTGTTACTCGACGTGCTGTAGCAATTTCCTATGTGAACGTTCCCAAGCGGTATTATGTCATGTATTCACTCTCTGTTTTTCTGAATGATGCGAATTTTCCATTTACGAGCGAAACATATCTGAACAAATATTATTGGGAATCCCTCATTTTAGATCTAACTTAAAACAAAAGCGGTGTGATTTCTCATTCTCAGTTGTTGATTGACTATGGTGGATGATTTTATATGGAATAGGGTTATATACCGATTAGCTTGATGGATTTCTCGTTTTCAAAGGAATCCCTCATCTAGATCTAATTTGAAACACATGCCGTGTGATTTCTCGTCTTCAGTTGCCAATCTCTTTGATGGGCAGTTTATATATTTGTGCTTTATGTTTTTTGATGTTTGTACGAATAATTAGTAAGTTTTTATAGTGAATAGTGATAAATTGAAAAAAAAAAAAAAAATCACAGTAAAAATAGCCTTATTTTTTATTTTTCCCTTTTTTATTTGTATTTACTAAAGGATTAGCTATTTGGTATGAACAACAGGGAAAGCGGTTGTCTGTCTCCATATCCTGCTAACACAAGTTGCCTCTAAAATCTGTTCAAGGATATCTCGAAGCAGTGATATAATAATTTTTTGGCTCTCAAGGTGCCGAAAGAGTGAAAAGCAAACTCATCATCTTTTGACCGTGTTATGGTGTCTCCCTATTCTTGCAGCTCAAAGAATTCAAGCCAGAGTGATTGTCTCCTTGATGTTGGGGATGAAAAATTTTGGGAAGAAGCACGGTGCCCAATTTGTATGGAGCACCCACATAATGCCATCATATTACGTTGTTCATCCCGGGATAAAGGTTGTCGTCCTTTCATGTGTGATACAAGTTATCGTCATTCCAACTGTCTTGATCAGTTCTGCAAATCAGCTGCTGCATCCTCTGTGCCAAATTTACATATAGAACAGCAAGCTAAACTTTTGTGCCCCCTTTGTCGGGGAGTGGTAACTGGATTGGATGTCGTGCAGCCAGCACGGAGGTTCATGAACTCCAAAACAAGAAGCTGCTCTTTGGAAACATGCAACTTCAGTGGAGATTATGATGAGCTAAGAAAACATGCAAGGCAGGAGCACCCTTTTGCACGCTCATCTGAGGTGAGCCCCACCCGGAAATCCAATTGGGAAAGACTAGAGCAAGAATGGGAAACCCAAGATGTGTTGGTACATCAATCAGGTGTCGATTATGACATGAATGCCTGGGAAAATTTTTGGGGTGGCGTTTTGGATTTCACAAGTGGAATATCTGACAGTGAGGATGATTTAGCAGATGAGATGTATGCCAGCCTGCCTTTCCCCTTGGTTTAGTCTGGATCCACCTATGCCAGAGGAGGATACACGGAATTTTGATAGCACAAGAAGTAGAAACAGATGCCAGAGGACAAGTGTATCATCAAATTCAGGTTTGAGGACAAATAATCATGTAAGAAATGTGTTGCCAATACCAGGGTCTGGATCTAGATATTCTGGTCAAAATGTAGCAGATATAGGAGAAAATTTTTATATTGGCTATTCAACGCCAAGAAGTTATCTCAGTGAAAATCCGCAACTGGATCAAGTAGTCCTGGTGAGGACTATACCCTCCTAGTGTTAGGAATAGGTCAAGATGAAGCCATCTGCTACTTAACTTAACATTTCCCTGGCACTTCAAGATGGCTGGATTCTCATATAGGCCATGAAGAATATCCACAACTGACGGCTTCTACTGCTGTTATTTAGGAGGATGGTAATGAGATTAACTTTTTATTGTTTTGAAATGTTGAAGCTCTTTACAATTCGATTGATTTGGGTTTTGGTTTTTGGTTTTCCTGGGATATACCTCGGAGTATATCCTTTTTCATGTATTTGATGTAGTTTTCAAATCTTTTACCTTCTTGTATCCCCACCTTGCAACTAAAGGACTAAAATGGGTATGCCATGATATATATATATATATATATATTTAAAGAATGAAGTAGCTTGGATTGTTCCTTCTCAATGCAAGAAAAAATCATTCCTGACTATGTGGGAAAATGAATGATCTTTTATTGCATGAAAAATATACTATACTTAATCACAAAATATAACATAGAATACTCACGCCAATACATCATTATCATATACTACTCTTCTCGACTATGGTGCAACCAATATCTAATATATGTAAGTTATGTTTCATCTTGACTGTACTGAAAAGAAGTCAGCCATGACCCAGCAACTTCTGTGTTTCTGCTTTGTCCCATTTATGTATGCATGCTCTCCCTCCTTCCTTAGCCTAGCATTACTGCTAAGTTAGTTTCCCGCTTGTTGAGACCGTGAATGGCACCCCTTAGATATGGCATTCTAAAATACCATTCTTAACCAGTTGCAAACATCATCCATCTCTTTAGGATTTGTGTAGTGCCCCATCCTGAGAATGAGATGAAAAAAAGTCAGTATGTTCCTCTTAAGATGATCAAGGGTTCTGGGTTAAGGTGAAAATGAAGATTTTGGTTATGGTCAAGTACTCTTCATATGTGTTAAACACAAGGTTTCTGAAACCAGCTATGCTCAAAGCACGGTAGGATCTCTCCCCATGTGTGTAAGGTACGACATCATCACCTGTTACATAGAATCTGCTAATTAGATCAATGTGCTATATTTTGTACAATTTGTGCTTTATGACTTCTATTTGCACTAATTCATGGTTCTGGTAAATAACGTGTATTTTGACAGAATACATACAGAGGCCATGAGAGAGAAAAATTGGCAGCCAAGCAGCACGCCTGGCAGCATCAGCAGATGCTTCAATCTTGTTTCTCAGACTCCTGCAGTTACAGAATTGCCAAAAATTGCATCCAGAAAATCAACATGCTTCAAGTTTAATACATCTATTAGTATGGATACTATAGGAGAAGAAAAATGAACAGGAAACCAACCTGGCACCAGGAAGCCAACCACTAAGCCCGATAACAGCTCTCAAATTAACAGGAAAAGGACTTCCATTTCCGTATTTTCCCTGTGCAAAGCAAGTTGCAGAGTAGAGTGCAGCTGCTGCCCCCATACTGAAGCCTCCAACAGCAACTTTAACTATATCCAGCAATAAATTTAGCCCAAAAAAGGAGTTAGATGCGAAACATGGTACTGAAATGTACCTGCTTTAGGAAAAAGTTAAAGCACACAGTTTGGACAAGGGAATTTAGTGGTGGAGAATATTACTGTTGGCAGGTTCTGCAGACAACAGATTAGCAATATGTGCTGCTGAGGCATCTAAACCTTCTATGTCATCAGGTCCTTCATCCGAAAGTTCCCCCGTATCAAACCCTGGTATTGATTGAAACACAGTTGAGTAAATGTTGTCTTGAAGTTTATAATTACTGTCATCGGATAGTCTAATTGATAGTTTTTTTTTCCTTCTTACAGGCAGTGCAGGGGAATCCACCAAGTGAGGTCACATGGCGCGTGGGAGCAGTAGGACATATCCATTTTATCTGCACAGGAAAGTTCCATTTCAGGTTGTAGATATCAACATTGATAGCAGCATATCGTTGACCATGAGTATTAAGACTTACATTTGGAAGTGGGAGACTCTCCAACATCTGTGACCAACTGCAGAAGATAAAAAGTTCGCAGAAAGGTAAGCAGACAATTCTATTTCAAGCCTTTTGTGTCCATATTAAATAGTTATTTTTATCTGTGATTAGTACAGCATGATCATCTGAGTTGCTATTTGTTTCCTGAGCTTGATTAATGGATGTATTAACAAAACTGAGCTACTATGGAGCTTAAAAATATGGTGGAATATTAAATCAGAAGTTGACAGAGTAGCAAAGATATATGCCACACACTAAATGATAGAACTAACAATTAACACACTGCCAAATTTCATGAATATTCTTTTGGAAGAGAACGGAAGAAAAGCATGTTTTTGTTTGATTAGTGTTCCACGGAATTAAGAATGCTTTGATGGTCCCAAAGTACGCACATATGCTTCTCAATCTAAGATATCCTAAAAATCCAAGAAAAAGCATAATAAAAATGAAAATGTAATTACAACACATCAGAATTACCTTGAACCATTGTCGCCAAGGCCATGTAACCAAAGTATAGTCGCCTGGTGTTTTCCTTTAGGCCTAACAACGTATGTGCCTCCGAATTCAGGTGTTCTTCTAGCTGCTCTACTCCCTGAAAGTTTCCATAATGAACTCATAATATGGCTTGAAACTATCAAGCTATCTTAAATAGAACTTAGTCATTGAAAATCATAATTCAACATTCTCTAGACTTAGCAATAGTGCAGATATGGAGAATTGATTATAGAGAAGGAACTAGGAATTGCTTCTAACCAGAGCTCATCGATGAATTTGAGTAGCTCATTCTGACTAGTTGAAACCTGAACCTTAACTTCTCTGAAATCCCTTTAGGTAGGCAATGAAGACAAGTGAAACCTCTGCAGGCCTATTTATACACAATCTAGTGTTGAAAACGAATGGGATAGAATATGAATGTGTGAACAGCAGGAAATTCTCTAGAAACACGAAAAGGGCCAATAAGGGCATCGTTGAGGAGAGGCAAAAAGTAACTAATCTTTCCAGTAGCAAACAGAATGAGAATCAAACTAACAAAAAGGGTAAAAAAAGGAAAACACGCAGAATTAATAACATCTATTCCATGAATTCCCCTCGACCGTTGAGGTTGGAGGCTATTGACATGTAGCTTAGGAATGGAATCTGTGCTTCTTGGCTGTGCAATGGCTATAAATGAAATGCCCTTACAGCTACATGCAACTTCAAGAACATATTAGTTTTTAGACAAAAAGAAGGAAAATATCTCCCTTGCAATCATTTGTTTATGCATTTGTGATGATTGGGAGATTCTCATTGTCTTGTCTGTGAAGATTTAGATCCAAATTTATGAAAACATTAGGCAAATGTTGTTTTCCCTGCCATGTATAGTTTCACAAAAACAGCTAACTTTGTTTTCTTGAAGAGCAAATCCTATTCTGTCCTTTAATGATTAAAAATCAAATATGTAAGGAACTTTTTGGGAAGGGTTCTTGTTGTGTGGATCCCATCTGGTCTTGGGGCTCAGAAACTCCAAAAAATAAGTAAATAAACATATAAATGCTTAACTCTCCAAGAATCAACCTTTAATGCATAAGAAAGAAACCTGTGGCTAAAATAGGCTCTCTATAACTTCTTAGTATTAGGATTTGACTTTTGGTTATGACTTTTAGGCAATAAATTCACAATGATGGCTGTAGTTTCAATCAAGACAAAAGACTTTTAGGGATCCTTTTATCCCTTCTTTTAGGAAGGCGTGTTATCTTTATAGTATGTCAACCCCATATTACTTATTGCCCAGAAAAGTGAAATCCTTGTTTAGTTTTGTTCAATTTAAAATTTTAAAAAAGAATATGCTGTTGGCACTCTCGCCTTTAAATAATGCATATTTATTGATAATTATAATATATGGTGGAGTATTATGTGAAGAAAAAAAGATGTGAGAGTGTATGCTGGTTAGCACAGTGAAGATGCATAAAGTTGTAAAGGTGGTTTAGTTAGGTGGAGTGATTATTATTTTAATTGGTGTGGAGCTGATAAACGGTGGGGAACAAATGTTCCCTTTTATTTATATTTATATATAATGAATATAGAAGTGTAAAGTGGGCATATGTGAAAATCTATTCTGTTTTTTTCTCCATGCATTTGTTTCTCTTCTCTTTATGCATATAATTAATAATACCCCCCAAGGAATCTGGTATGAATTCCTTTCCCAATATTGGACAGGTTTAGATGTGAGACAAAGCGGCCTTTTTTTAAAAAAAAAATTATAAGCAATCAATTAATTTATATTTGATGCATTTGGGTTGGGTGTGTGTGGGAGCAGCTTTTCATTCTTTGTTTAAGCCTAGCTCCTGAGGGAAGGAGCCGCTGTTAATAATGTATGCAATATAGTATGTCAATAATTGAGGTAGAAAGATTCATTTTTTTACAGTGGGAATATACTTCTTTTTGTTTTTTAGGCCTAAAATTAAATATAAAGGGCCTTTTTTGGGCTGAAATTGCCAATTTGTCTTAGACCCAGTTACAACGATATGGGTCGAATCCCGTCCCCATGATTGGGCGTAGCCCACCATTATTGATCAATTATGAGCTTGGGCCCACCCACCCTTTATATGCCCATTCTGTTTGCCTTGGTGGGCCCAGATTGAGTTATGGGCCCATAAAAGACAAACCAATATGGGCCTTTGGGCCAAACCTAGCGAATATGGATTATGGGCCAGGCCAAGAAAAATGGGCTGAAATAGCCAGTTACACTGGGCGCCCAATTAGATCTAATTGGGCCAGATTCCATTTCTATGATTAGGCCTGGTGCATTATTGGTCAATTAAAGTGGGCTTATTATAGCTTGGGCCCACGCCACATATGCCCATTATGTTAGGCTTTGGTGGGCCGCACACCAACCTATTATTGGGCCTCCTAGATTACGTTATGGGCCCATAAAAGCCCAAGCATTATGGGTTGGGCCAAACCTAGCGAACATTGGTCATGGGCCAGGCTAAACTTAATTAATATAATTGGGCTGAAATAGCGATTAATTTTAGGCCCAGTTATAACGATATAGGCCGGGTCCTATTTATATTATTGGGCCTGGCGCATTATTGGTCAATTAAAGTGGGCCTCTTATAGTTTAGGCCCACCAAACATACGCCCATTCTGTTAGGCTTTGGTGGGCCGGACCCAACCTATTATTGGGCCTCCAAGATACATTATGGGCCGATAAGTTTCTATTAACTATAGAAGCCCAAATAGTTTGGGCCTTTGGGCTAAACCCTTAGCGTCAAACCAAAGGGGCAATCTCTGAGCTATTTTTAAGGCCCAATAAGATGGACTCTCAGAATGTGGCAAGCCCAAAATAGGCCATAGAGAGAAATTGTCTGGCCCATAGTGAAAAGTTTGGTTCATGGACTAGGCTGAAAAAATTCGGGCCGATTCTTGACGACACAAGCCCAAACCAACCAATTTCAAAGATTCTATTCCCTTGGCCGAATTCACCTAAGCTTCTTGCATCGTAATAGCACAAATAGGACCATTTTAAGCAGGACCCGAAAATTTAAGATTATGTACCCTTTCAGGCCTTACACGGGCTTTGCTTTTAAAGATTAGTTAAACTACTTTAAGACTGTAGGCGAGGCTATTTCAAAAAAACGTTCACTTAATACATTTAGATTAAAATATATTTGAATAGACAAATTTAATTTTGAATTCAAAACATCAAATAAATATATTTATATCATCAAACAATTATTTCTAAAATTGAATTTTACAATCTAACAAATTTACCGTATTTATGACAAACAATTATTTTAATTTAAAAAGTTAAAACCTAAACCTAAAACCAAAATCCTACGAACAAACATAAGTTAATGAAAAATATAAATAAATACAGCATACAAAATAATCTGCAATAAGAATCATTATCAAGCCATGAGAGAGAGAGAGAGAGAGAGAGAGAGAGAGCACAACCTGGAGCAGAACCATGAAACAAAATGTTTATCTATCATCAATCAATTATTGAAAACCTCAGGAGACGGAAGGGGGTTGAAAATCCAATTTCCAATAGGGGTGGAAGAGGAATTGAAGATGACTCACCACCATGCTTTCTAAAATCCAAAATCCAGAAAAAAAAAAAAAAAAAAAAAGAACAGCAACAGGTAGGTTGGTAGGGTAGGGTAGGCAAACAACATGATTTTAAACTGTTGCCAAAGCAACCTAAACCCGCAATAGAAGAGCTTTTCAATACTGAACAAGAATAATATAACATAGTGTGTTCCTCATCTTATTCTGCAAGTAAAATTTGACATACCTTTGTATCATCATCCTTAAATTTAATGATGATGACCATCCTCAGCATCATCGTGTCCATCTGGCGATCCTCCTGGCCCAACTACTTCCAACTGTTCATTCCAAAAAGAAATCATACATTTTATATGAATTAAAATATAATATACACCAAAAAAAAACACAACACACATTCTATCTCTTTATGCATTTGTGATGATTGGGAGAGATTCCCTCATTGTCTGGTATATTAGGCAACATAAGAGTGTCATCTCTGAAGCTAAGCGACCTTTTATCTTTTATTTAAAGGGAAATTCGATCTAAGTACCATCATACAAGTGAGATAGCTGAATAATCTATTAATATAAAATACTTATTTATTATGCCTACAACACACGGTACATCAGCTGAATAAACTGTCGATATGAGCTACTTATCATGCCTCCAACACACCATAACTAGTTTCAGCTGCAAGACAAATGTGCTCTCTTTTCTTGCATCCCCATCAAATGTAACTTTAGCAGTTGCAATAATTCATCCAAGATTGTGCATTAAAGCCGGTAAATTTTTCCTAACATATGTGTGATATGTGGACTAGGTGAAAAGAATCAGAAAATCATGCAACTGTAAACATGCAAAATTATGGTCAGATTTTGTTTTTAATGGTAATGCACATGAACCAACTAATATCCACTTTGTTTACTGAATTATACAGGTGATGTGGGGGGCAGCCGTTACTTACCACAAAGTACTGCGAGCACACAGGGCACTCATGTGGCTTGCCCTTCTCTAGCCAGAACCAAACAACATCATGCTCATCCTCTGCGAATCATCATTTGTGCAGGGATTAAACTGATGAACCTTACCAAACAAGACTTTATGCAAATGGAAAGGAAACAGACAAGTGTTACCTCCTTCACCACCAGGGCATCCAACAATTCTTTTGTCATAATAGGACTTTACCACAGCAGGTTCTTCCTGCAGGCAACAAGAACAGATACATGGATTTTTCATCCGTAGCATTTTTAAAAAGGAAAAGAAATACAGATGACAGGCTCATAATGTTATTTGTCTATGACAAAAGTGTAACAATGCAGCTCAATCTGATGTAGAAACTAACAAAGTAATAAAGAGAGAATGAAACATATATATATTTGTGTGTGCAGTGTATACTTGCTGGATATGGTTAACTAGATCGATTGGCATCTAAAGTATTCTGTGAACCTGCAGCTCTGGTTCCCAATAATGGAGAATATAAATGGATGCTCAACCCATGCAGAAACGAGTGTATACATACATGTAAGCACATGATGGTAATAATAGGCACGGATATGTAAACAAATATTAAGGTTGCATCCATGCAAAAAACAAGCCTAAATATTTATAGGCTGGATCCAGAGTAAAAAAATACATAAACCATCTGGGACAGGCTGGAACGGGTGTACATAGATATAGTCAGACAAAGCTAATACAAGGCACGCTTATATATATATATATATATCAAGGATGAAACCATGCGAAAAAAATGCCTATGAAAGTGTAGGCTAGATCCAGAATGAAAACATAAATAAACCATTCGACACAGGCTAAAATGGGATGCATAGATATTTCTCAAAAAACTAGAGACAGTACTGGTTAGCTAAACATATAGAGTTCTGATTAAGATGTCATGCACCACAAATCTATTATGTTCAATACTTACTTCTGAATAGCCATTTAATAATCGCGAATAACATGATAATAAACTCCGTTAAAATCATCTGCAGAAAGGTTGAATTGATGAAGCAAAAGGCAAGGGCAATAATATGTCAGGGTGCGGAAAAAGCTGCAGGGTTAGGTAAGGGCAGAGCCAGACACCACCATAAGGCGCTGAGGGACAACATTCGGGGAATCATGAAGCTGGAAATTCGTCATCTGGCCCGCAGGGATGGAGTCATGCTTATTAGTGGTCTGATCTATGAGGAGACCAGAGATGTCCTCAAGATATTTCTCGAGAACATCATATTAGACTGGCCTACACGGAGCACGCTCACCGGAAAACTCACTGCCATGGACATGGTCTACACTCTCAAGAGACTGGGCTGCACTCTACATCGGTGGATGATTGGATTTAGGAACTACATGTAAATTTGTGTTTTAGTGGATTTTTTATGGCTTGTAATGAATATTGATTTTTCGTATCAGCTATTCAGCATTTTGAACTGCTGTAGCTTAAGTTGGTGGATTTATCTTAGATGTAATTTTTCTATTGGGTTGGGTTCCCAAAACACAAAAAAGAAGACTCCCTTAATGGCGATGACTCTAGTGAGAAAAAGAATAACCCTGATCAAGACCCATTGACTGATATGATAGACTTTGAATTCTACTGCTGTTATTTGCAAAACCGCATGAGAGTTTGCCAGTAAACTTAGGGTGTGTTCTCTTATCCAATTTCCTCAAATTTCTACTATTTAACAAAAAAATTTCCTCCAAAAACATCAAATCAAACACCTAATGTTTCTTTTTTATATTATACTAAAAATCAATTTTACATTCAAAACATCACATCAACACCTATTTATATCACTATCATACAACTATTCATATTCAAAATTTTTACTATTCAAATCCCAACAAAAAAATCCAAACCCCCCAAACAAACACTCTTAGTTAAACGAGACATCTTAGCTTGCAATTTTGAAGAGACAGAAGTGGGGTGTTATGAGGTATCAGCTCCTCTCTGGGCTATGGGTGCTCTATCTTGATGGCCCAGAGTGAGTGGGATTGAACATGAAGTCAATTCCATTCCACTGGTACTAACCTGAGTCACTAGATAGTGGCAACCCTGTATGGGTATCTTTCTAATATGAAGAACTATGAATACATGAATAATATTCAAGCTGTAAGCCCAGCAATTCATGATAACAAGGTATAGTAGAATTTTCTTTATTGTTCTAGCCGTAACCGATAGAAATAACCGTTGAGTAGTCATAAGCCCACTATAGCAAAAGCTAGTTAGATTCCATGTGTGTGCACACATTGCGTTCTCTAATCTTCTCCAAAATGTCAATCATGCCCTTTTCTTTTATATAAGTGATGATATTACTGATGTGGACATACAAGCTCTATTAGGATGTTTTTGAATTCAAAAGAGAGAATGTTTTTGAATGAAGGATTTTCTATTAGGATGTAAACTTTCTTACACAAAAGTCAATTTCTGAATGTTATTTTTAATCCTAACCATGAGTGAGTTGAACACTTAGGGTGTGTTCTTTTATCACATTTTATCAAATTTCTACTATTCATCATTAAAAATTCCCAAAAAAAGATCAAATCAAACATCTATTTTTCATTTTTTATATTATACTAAAAATCAATTTTACATTCAAAATATCACATCAACACTTATTTATATCACATTATACAAACTATTCTAATGCAAAACTTTTACTATCCAAATCTCAACAAAAAATCAAAACTCCAAACAAACACATCCTTATTATGCACATTAATTTCTGTCAGGCCTTAACAGTATGTTATAGCAGTCAATGTTAAGAACATTGGCCTTATAATCGGAGTATGGCAGTAACTTTCCAACTTGAGCTAATAGAAGTGTTACATCCTTATTCATGTAAAATAGTAGAATGGTTAGTGCATAGAGATGACTTCCATTGTCTAAATGGCATATCTCATTCATGTAATAGTCAATTTCAAATGTTATACAACAATGCATTTTTCCCATTCAATATGACATCCTTTAGTTCATAGTTATAAATGGCGCATGATGTCGATAAGTATTACTATATAATTAATTTAAACATATACACACAATTGATATATCTCTAAAAGTTTTGTTACAAAATTTACATTGTGCATTGTTTTTGTTAGTACAATTTTTTCCAATTAATTGCGTAGTTGAATACTTCAAAACAATACACTATTCCTACTAACCTTTAACATAAAACAAATTAAAATAAACACATATGAAATCATAGCTTATCCTCTTTAATAAAACTGAAAGATTTACTGATTAAAATTTGAAAGTCTTGTTGAAAAAAAAAAAAAAAAGAAGAAGAAGAATCATAATAGGCAAAAGATGGGCAGAGGATTTGAGTGCGCATGCAGGACGGTGGGCAAAAGAAGCCATAAGATGGTTTTATGGATAGAAAGCCCTAAAATGTTAAAAACTAACAGCGAGAAGCACCTCGCCAGTTGCCATGTTGCAGTGTCGTATAGTTGTAAATGTAATCTAACATTAAACCAAAAAATGTAATCTCACTCGGCAATATGAAGCAACAATACTGACCTTCGTTCCAAAAGGACCAGACGGGTAGTTGATTTCCAAAATGTTCTTTCCCTGGTAAATAAATTGAACAAAAATGTGCAAATTCGTTACGTGAAAAAAAAAAAAAAAAAACAAACAAACAAACCCTAAGTACTCGCCCCGAACATAAAACAAAGGAATCAATATTACAGTTGGAAGATAAACAACTAACCTGGAGTTCAGCTTCGAGCTCTTCACGCTCATGGCCAGTCGCAATCGGCATTATATCTTCAACTCTTTTAGCAGTCGTATTCCCTAAGTTAAATATTCAAATTAATATATACAGACAAAAATCACATATCAAATGAATCTATCGAAGCGATATTTGTTAGCGTTTGACCGATAAATCCCCGATTTAAACAATGACCGAAATTAGGGTTACAGGAGACACACACATACCAGATTCAGTAGAGAAACTCCGAGAGAAGGCAGAAAAAGCACGTACGGCGTTCTTCGGAGCGGTCAACGATGTATCGGCGCATCGGGCGGTGTTGTGGCCGGATCGAGCCGGCGCGAGAGTCCGAAGGTGAACAGATAGCCTTCTCCACATGATTGGGGTCCGATTAAGATGTTGCAGTTGAACTAAGGCGGCTCCCAATGTCTCCAACGTTGGATCTCCCTCTGGAAACGACGGAAATGGAAGGGCGGCGCTGAATATCTCTTAGGGCGTAATCACAAAACCGCTTCATTTGCAAATTGCAATTGTTGATATTGAACTGAGATGAGTTGAGAGGCCTCGCACGTGCCGCACTTTTTTTTCTCCCCATTTTACCCCTTTCCCTTACCCTTAGCCCGCTCCGATTTTGGGACATATACATACATCAACACGCCCGTTTCAGCGCATGGTGTGAGCTGCTCGTATATTTATTTCACCGCCTAAGAAATCAACCGGTAATCAGTGGTCAGTCAATCTTGTGAACACGCTTTCTATTAAAACGGGTTTCTAATTTGGAATTTAATTCAGCGACTTTGCTTTTATAAACAACATTGGGCTGCTGCTGGCCAGGCCAAAAGGAATACGCATAAAAATAGTTAAACGAACGTACCAGCTCGCGAACCAACTGAGACGTAATGCCAAATTAATTAATAAAGCCCACTAGCAATAATGATAATAATAATAAAGCCCACTTATATGCTGACCTGTCAAAATGTACGGCATAGGTTTGTATATTTGCTTGTACAACTTTTAGCCTAATTATACTATTCTAACTTTTTTTTATTAAAAAATAATAATAGTATATCAAATTAAAGCCCTTAATTTTTTATTTATAACGAGTGTGTTTGCTTGTGGGATTAGATTTTCAATTTTACTATTTTAACTTCTTTTTTTTTTTCAAAAATATCAAATCGAATATCTATTTTTACTTTGTTATATTATGTTAAATTAGATCTTATATTCAAAACATCACATCAATACATATTTATATTATATCAAATAATTATTTCAATTCAAAATTTTACTGTTTAAAATAAAAATCTTACAAATAAACACATCTTGTATTACACAAAATTTTAATTTTATATTCAAAACATCACATCAATATAAATTTATATCACATCAAACAACTATTCTCATTTAAAGTTTTACTATTTAAAACCAAAAATTAAAATCTGTCAAGGAAACACACGTACGTACATACATACATACATACATACATAGAGGGGACTTAAAGTGAATTAAAGTCAAAATCAAAGTCAAAGTCCACAGTATGTCCGAATGGCAGATGCCATGGTGGCCCCTCCTGCCTTGCAGTAGCGGAGGAATTCCAAGTTCCGAAATGGCTTAAACCTGAGAGGATTCTGGTCGTCGACGAGCTCTGGGGGCACACTCACCACCCCTCGTATGAAGGAGAATATCCCAATCGAATACTTCTCTTTACTTTCATGAGCAATCACTTTGTGCAGAGGACAGTATATTCTACCATTGCTCCATGCCTTATAATTACAGCACAACAAATTATATCAATAATAATAATTAATTCAAATGTTTTTTAAGTAGTGACTTCTATATAGGAATTCTTACATCAAAAGTGTTTATATATATATAATATTATTATTAGAACAACAGTCACACCGGCCAAGATACTGTACCAACTTTACTATCATGTGGGACTAAAAAAAATATTTTTAAATTATGTATAATTTTTAATAAAAATATATTATTCATATGTTTGCGAAGGTGATAAGTACCATAAGTGCTTCGCCGACGATGACGATGAAGGAGGCCGGCGAGGGGTGGAAGTCAACCCAGTCGCCGGCGGGGGTCTCGATCTGCAGACCGTTGACTTCATTAGTCCCTATTACAGTCATGAAGCTCTTGTCTCTGTGGGGAATTATCCCCACAGAATCCGAATTACTATTACTACTTATTTTGTACTTCATGATCCTCGTCATGTACAGCGGCGACGCCGTCAATTCATTATGGTACTTGTCCGTATCCAGGCCGTAGCTGCTCACCACCATCCCCATTACTGTTCCGTACACTTCCAGCAGCGCCTTGCAGTAGGCATGCAGGCTTTCCCTATAATAGTTAGACTCAGCTTTCACCTTATAAATCAGGAGAGTTTTCACATATTTACTAATACGGAATAATATTAATTTAATATATGTATAATAATTAAATTAAATTAATTACGTACGAGAAGGTGGGGTGGCCGTGGGGCCACATAAGGCGGGTGAAGCGTCGGGCAGCGTCGACGGTGGCGCCGTCTTCGATGCCGAAGTACTCGAAAAGGGGCATTAGGGAGAAGTTTCCGCCGTAGCCGAAGCCGGGGAGGTCGCTCGTGTGCTTTATTTTGGTCGACGGCGGGAGAGCGAACAGCTCCTCCAATAGGCCGGAGAACATCGCCTCCGGCGGGGGTTTGTTGTCGCAGGCCACCACCAGACAGCCGTCGGTTTCGAGCGCACGCCGGACGATCTCGGCCGTCGATTTCCACGAGATGGAGCCGGGAGTTGAGTTCAATTGGCTCAGTCGTACCGAGGGGAGCTGCAGCTTCGAGTGATCAGACTCATACTCGGAACCCATTTTTGTTGTGCCGTTGGCTTGGCTTCCAATCAATGTCTTTTATAACTGGAAATTTTGGATGCTATACATAATACATGAATATTTATTTATATTAGATGGTATAATTATTGAAATTCAAAATTGTTATCGTTCAAATCTTTAAATTTCCTAAACAAATGCACCGGTAGAGTTTACTTACATTTTAATTATTTATATAAAAAAAAAATATTTAAAAAATATCAAATTAAATATTTTGAGTATTAGTTAAAGAAGATTGGATCCTCTCGCTCAAAAATAAAATTTATCCATCTATCCCCACACATATAATATGTTAAGTGTGTAAAGATAGAAAAATAAGGTTTATCTTTTAGACGGAGAATCCTAAAAATATTTTTTATTTGAAATATAGAAAATTGTATAACTAATATTAAAAATAATATTTTCAAGTATTTTATGTTTGAATATGAAATATAATATATATATCAATGACATTTCGCTGCAACAAAATATTTATTTTTATTTTTTATATTATATTAAAATAAATTTTCAATAAAAAAGTCAAACTCCTTAAAAAAAAAAAGAACAACGGAGTATAAGGCACTTTACATACTACTCGGTTTGATTTATTTTTCAAATTATTATTATTTTTATTTAGTATCACAATTTACAAAAAAAAAAAAAGAAAATGCTATTTACTTATACAAAATACGTTACATTAAAATAGTATATAAATCCAAACATAAATAAATAAATAAATAACCAAATCCAAACACAAACAACACTCATATATTTTCAATTTTTTTGTGTGTATTATTCATTAATAATCTACTTTTTCAAAACAAATGATTTATTAAATTAAAAAGTGTAGAATTATAAAATTATTTTCTATTAAAAATATTACAACTAACAACAATTTATATGACATTAAATAAATATTTTAAATTATCTTCAAATCTCAAAGATATCTAAACACAATCTTGGTTATGCAAAGATCAAAAAGGAATTGCATACATCATAATCAACGGACGAGATCATTCCAGCCCATTTGATAGGGGTAAGGTCGTTATTGACCATGTCATGACGTGGTATGACGATGGGGGGAAATAAATTATGTATGTAGTACTATCATTTATTTATTTTTTTATCGAAAAAAATATATATATATATTAGTATATTTTTTATTTTATAGCGTGGGAATCTGTAGCTGAATCTAATATCTTTCAAATTAGATTCGACTGGCAAGTCACACTAGGCGAACCATGTCTGACAGTTGAACACATGACCTTACGATTACACCTCCAAGCCACACACCCATCAGCCGTTACGGAAAATGAAATATGGGGATTTAATTTGCAAATTATTTTTGAAAATGGTCTGTTTTGTAATGAAAAGGGATTTGTTTTTATTTATTTATTTTTGTAAAGTGGGGGAAGATTTGAATGTGAGTGAGTCCAAAGGATTTGATTTTAATTGGTTTGATTGGTTGGTCCCCAATTTCAGTGAAAATCAATCTCCACCCCAATCACCAATTTAATATTTTTAGCAAAGACCACCATGATGTGTCCATTATCAAATACTTCCTCCAGTCTCCTAATTTTGTATTCAAAATCTTTTGGCATGGTTTACAGGATATGTTTATTTTGAAAGAGTGTTGAAAATAATAATAATAAATAAATAATAATTATTATATGCCAATATAGAAAATTATATTGAGAATATAAAAATAATAAAATATTATTTTTTTAAAAAAAAAACTTGTGGATATAAATATATAAAAGAACAAAGCCTTAAGCCTTAGTGTGTAGAATTTTAATTGAAATTTTTTAGTATTTTTTTTTTATCTTTATAATAAAAAAGATTTTATCCGTCCCATATAAATATTGTCATTTTTTTTGTTCCTCTCAAAATAAAATTGTCACTTTCTTATTTGATAATTGTATTATATACTTAATATTATAAATATTTTTACTATTTACAATATATTACAAAAATATCATTACAATACTAAAGTTAAAAATCTACTTACAACCATCATGTTTCAAGACTGAGTGAGTATATATAAAAAGTGGTATAATTTTTTTACTAAAAAGAAAATAATTTTTTTTTTAATGATACAATAATAATAATAATAATAATAATAATAATAATAATAATAATAATAATAATAATAATAATAGTAAACACCGTTTTAGGAGATAATAATAATAATAATAATAATAGTAAACACCGTTTTAGGAGATAATAATAATAATAATAATAATAGTAAACACCGTTTTAGGAGATAAAAGGAGTATTATATTATTTACATATTGTTGAAATTAATTTATAATAATTTTTTTTAAAAAAAATGTTGATGCTAGCATAGTTGGCTTGCACATAGATATTAAAACTTTTGAGGGTGGTGACCATTTTTCCACAAAGATAAAATGATTTTGGCATCTGGTTTAGATGACAGTTTAATCAAATAAAAGAAAGACTAATCAAATGTTTATTTTTGATTTAAAATATTATAACTAACAACTATTTATACAACATTAAATAAATATTTTAAATTATCTTCAAATCTCAAAAATATTTAAATACAATCTTGATCATACAAAGATCAAAACAAATGTCATGGATTCAAATTTTTTTATTATAATTTGGCTTGTGAGACCTAATTTACAAGTTATTAGATTTGACTAGTGTTTATCCAAAATATATTCGAAAAATAAAGATACATACATCGTAATCAACGGTCGAGATCAATCCAGCGCATATATGATAGGGGTAAGGTCGTTATTGAGCAACTAATGAAATGTCTTGGTGTGGTATGACGATTATTGATGTACTATAATTAGTTAGAGAAAATGTATGTAATATGGGGATTGAATTTGCAAATTATGATTGAAAATGGCCTGTTTTGTAATGTTTTGTTTTTATTTATCTGTTGTGGGGGAGCATATGAATATTTGAATGCGACTGAGTCCAAAGCGTCACCTGATTTGATTTTAATTGGTTTGATTGGTTGGTCCCCAATTTCAGTGAAAATCAATCTTCATCAATCACCAATTTAATATGTTTAGCCAAGACCACCATGATGTGTCCATTTATCAACTACTATCTTCCCTCCATCCGCCAAATTTATTTTCATTTTTTTAGTCCGTCCCTAAAATTTATCACATTATTAATTTTGACAAAATCAACAAATCAATATTTAATTATTATCATTTATTCAACGTTTATTTACAACAAATATCACTAACTTTATTACATTCTCTCTCTTCATTTACTTTTATTTTTAACTAAATTTTAAAAAATATTTTAAACTACCTATCCTTTTTCAATAAAATATTTATTTTTCTTAAATTTCGGATCCAAATGGACTATTTTTAGTGGACGGAGGGAGGGAGTAGTATTTTATTATTCCTACATCACTTTGTATTTTCATTAAATTATAAATAAATATATATATATATTTTAAAAAAATTAAAAGCACAAAAGGGGTGGTGGCGCAGTTGGCTAGCGCGTAGGTCTCATAGCTTCTGAGTAATCCTGAGGTCGAGAGTTCGAGCCTCTCTCACCCCAATCCATTTTTATTTTTCTTCATTTGTTTTTAGGCTATTTCAAATAATTTTTTGAAATACTGTAATGCATAAAAAGAAACTTTAAACAAACACACCCTAAGAGTTTTTTTGTGTTTTTGGATTTAAATTTTGAATAATTGTTTGATATGATATAAATAGAGGTTGATGTGTTTTTTTTTTTTCGGTTTTAAATTGATTTTTTTTTTGTGGGTTTTAAGTTTTTTGAGATTTGATTTGTTGCTCTAAATTGAGATTTGTTTTGCTCTAAATGGGAAGTTTTAGTGACTGAATATATGGTTTGCTTATATTTGAATTTTGGTTTTGTGAAGTTCAGTGGCTGAACACAGTTTGTCGATTAGGTATTGGGGATTGTGATAGTGTAAATAAAGGAAACAATATTTTGTAAGTTATGAATTGTTAATTTTTAGTGAATGATACGTATTTGTCGGATAATATTTTTCTTGAGAATATTAATGAGTGTTCTTTTTTGCTTAAAAGAGGAAAAATCAATGTGATTTTTATTTAAAAATATGAATATTTTTTATATGTATAGAACAATATAAATATTAAAGGAATTATAATAAAGCCTTAATGTTTCATTGGTCTATTTTGCCAGCAAACATTAAGCAGCTTATCTAAGCCCAAATAGAATAAAAAAAGTTAGGCAAATTACAGAAACAAACATAAACTACAAATACAAATTCAACCTCCACAATCATAAAATAAAATAAAATAAAATAAAAACTAACATTTATCTTTGATCCACAAGATCTGAAAAATAGTCTAACCTGTCCAGCATAATATAATCCAATCAAGAAAATTGCAGTAAAAGAATAAGATCATTCCAAAGAATTCAAGTAGCTACAACAATGTTTACCAACATAACATTGATCTGATCAGATCATATATTCATATCATACCATAAATGCTACAACAAATTCAAGTCATACAAATCCAATGCAACATAAGATAAACTCCCCAGACAAAACATAGGCAAACGTACCTCAACTTAAGAAAATGTAGCTACTCCGCCGAAAGAAACTCCATTGTTGATGATCACCGGGGATTCGAATTCCACGATCAATCCCTAACCAAGCCAATCCAAGCAAAATGCCGGCGTCCCGAATGCCTACTACCCCTTCTTCTCAAGGGACTTTCTGTAATCCTCCAATTCATTCAACCACTGATCCCCAAATTCACAATCCTTCCACTGATCGAACCACGGCCCTCCGAGAGTGTAATGTATGGCCTTAGGGAACGTAGCCGGATTGGCCTCGACAACCTTATTGTGCCCGACGAGGAAATTCCACACGAAGGGGACCTCCCCGATCTCATTATCCTCTAGCCATTGAAATCTATGGAGGAATGCACCTGTCTCCTTGTTTACAACATCAGGGGTCAATACTTTGTTCTTAGGATGGCTGCAGTTATACAGCACCATTGATGACCAGTTCTTTCTAGGGTACACAGTCTGCACAGCTCCATCCATTTTTGTAGTCTCCTTTGGAGCGTAATCGTGCTTCACGCACATAATGGCGAACCGATCATCAACAGATTCAACTAATTCCTTGATATCGCCTAAGTATAAGAAATCACAATCGACGAACATCGCCCAACCGTCGTAGTTCGCTAAGTATGGCGTGAGGAAGCGCGAGAACGAGAACTCGGTGCTCTCCAATTTGCCTCGCTCGCGCCAGTAAACGCCGCGCTCGCGCAGCTCGGATTGCTTGATTGGGGAAATCTCGACAGGAATCGAAGATCGCTTGAGCAAGGAATACTTACACACCTCGTATGCCAGATCCTCACGCGGATCGTAGCCTACGAACACCTTGAACGCCTTCGCGTCGCCGCTTTTCCCATTCGCGTTGCCGTTAATCGTCGTACTCTCCGGAATCGGAGCAGGACTCTTCGCCGCACCGCCTGACATCAAATCCGTCCGAAACCTGCGAGCGATTCGACAAAATGTGAATGATTAATTCGAGAATTCGAGCAAATATCGCTTGAATCGAAGGAATTGTGGAATGTACCTTGCGTGCAGATCCGAGATTTAGATTTTCCTTGCTTGGCTGGGAAAGCAGAAGGATTTGAGATCGACAGCTTAAATAGGAAAGAACAATGATGGAATCCAGAGATTTGCTGTTACCCAATCAAGTTTGCAGATTCGATGGCGCAGAAATGTCGGCAGCGTTTTTAGCCACGAAAACCGTCGGCAGAAGAGGAAATGGCGCCGACGGTAATTGCGGTGATATTTCTGTGGGAAAATTAAATGGGCTGTTAATCGGGTCTATTCTGACCCATTTATTTGAGCCCATATACGGCCCAACCTTTGGAACTATTTTGATGGAAAAGCCCATTTAAATTTTCAATTAAGGTTTTCATAAACAATTTTTTATTGTATCTCTATGTTATTCAAAATACTCAAAATCCTTATATTTAATCACTGATTTAAAGAATAATTTTAGATAACATATTTATTTGGATACACTGCGGGTTTTGTTTGGATTTTAATTTTAATTTATTAAAAATATTAGTATATATATTGGAACGTAAAATAAAGTTGAAATGACTAAAATAACTTATTAGTATGTGTGATATAAAAGTAATGACATTTCTGTAATACATTGTAAATTGTTAAAGTATTTGTAATAGTAGATAGATAATACAGTTATAAATAAATACTTTATTATGAGACGAAGAGAATAAATTTTTTTATTTAAAAGCATACCGATCGAATTGCAACGGGGGAGGGGGACGTGTTGGTTTGTTTGGTTGTGTTTTTAGAATAGGAAAAAAAATTGAATTTATATAAATATAAATTAATATTTAATATAATGTTTGTATATATTTTTTGTATGTAGTATATTAAATTAATTATTAAAAATATATTACATTAATATTTTATTTTTTTATGATGTAAAAATTCCCTATCCGAAATTGCACATTTCTAAGTCAAAATTTAAATTTACATTCCAGATGAGAGGACTAAATTAAATTAATCATGGTGGCCAAATGTGACAGCAAAAACCCATCAAAGAAAAAGCCCAAAAATATACATCTGGATTAAGTACGCGACAAGTGTTACAAAATAACTAATTAATTCTTGAAACCTAATTTAAGTATGAATCAAACTTCTTGAGACACCAAAACAAGGCCTCTCTGTACAAGCAGCTCTTGAACTTGACCCAAATATTCCCACATATATATATATATATATATCACCAATCATCTAATGGACAAAACCCTTTGAAGCTGCAAAACAAAAGGGAACCAAAATAAATAATAAATAAATAAAGTTTATTAGCTAACACCTCTTTCTGAAAAAAGAAAATTTAAATAGAGAGGAAACCACTCTATATATGGTTCTTGATTTTATCACAACATGTCAGCACAAAAAGACATGCAAAAAACTAACATTTGTTTATCGATTTAATTATTAATTAACTAAACCCAAATTTAATTTTGCGGCAGCAGATCAGATAGAATAATAAAGGGTTGTTGTTTATACCTAATCCTCTAGCCTCAGAACTCTTCATCAACCTCATCCTCTTACATGATTCTACAAACATTCTGCCAAATATTGTGTAATAATAATATTAATAATCAGAAGCAGATATAACTTAGGGATAAATAAATAAACAAACACAATAGGATCAAATCAAGAATGCTTACTTCCAAGGAACATCCCCAATCATCATCCAATCCCCATCTCTATCCTCATATGTAGGCAGATATTCTGTGCCATTTGCTGGATCCATGATCTTCATCTCATCACCTAGTGAATCCAAGAAGACAATTAAATTATAATGAATGTTGATCAATTCATGCTAGCTGTGCTATTTGATCCTTTATGTATGAGCAATAAATTAATTAAACTTGATCTGAGATATGCTTACATATGGTTAAGCATGTAAACATGCTCTCCAGTGCAGCCAACAAGTGCTGATAATTGGTGTATATTTCCAGATCAATTTTTCTCAAGTAAGGAGCTCCATCTACAGCAACTTTCACGTATTTGCAGTTTTTCATCATGTTCTTCCTGTACGCTCTCACCGGCGGCCATCCAACCTGACTCCTGGAATTCAGAAAAATTCACATCTAATTAGTGAATGTATAATACAAATCTCAAATTAACCAAACGCACTACGCAGACGATCAACGGAATATATCTCTTAGAGCATTGATTTCTAACGAAGTAGATTGCACTTGCACGGGAAATTTCTACGTTTTGGAACTGATTTCAGTCTGTAGAGAACAGAATCATCTCGTAAAAGTCAATTACAGAAACTTCCGATATCGAGCAAATTGCATGATAATCGATACCGATAGAAGCAAATTGAGTAAGAGAATTAATTAATTAAATCAATCAATCAATCAATTAACTCACTTCGACGAAGGCGGAGTCGAGACGCTAACTTCATCGTCCTCCGAGCTTCCACACAATTTGAATCCAACCGTCTCCGAAAACCGCCGCTTCCCGCCCGATTTCACCGCCTCCGCCGCGCCTCCGCCGGGCAAACCCAAAGTGAGCTCCGTTTTCAGGCATCCTGTTTCCGGCAAACCACTTCCTCCGTCCGTAAACATCAAACAATCGAAGATTCAGTAGCTCTTCACGAGTAATGCGTGATTCGTGAACATTCATTCATCCCAAATGGGAATATAAAGGAAAAGGAAACACAACGCAGCTACAACCATAAAAATCAGCTGTTGATCAATCGACACGTGTCCATAATCGGAGGGCCGTAATTGGTCCAATTTCTCAAATTAATTATGATGGTAAGCGTGTGGGTGTATGAGTTTCCTAGCTCTTAAGTGCTTTCAACATTTGGGCCCTACACTGTACCCTATTGTCTCTTTCCTTTGCTGTGTAAGCTTGGCTGTTATACCCTGTTTGGCTGTACAATTTTGCATTTCTGCAATATTTCACAATTTCCAAGTTTGGTAATGATTATTTCTTCCGTTATATATATTCACCCTCGTTTGTATCTATATATTCATTTGTTTTTTTCATAAAATTTTAAAAATATTAGTATTATATTTTGATAAAAAAACTAAATTGTATGATATAAAGATAGTATTGTATAATATAAAGATAATAATATTTATGTAATATATTGTAAATTGAAAGGGTATTTGTAATGTTAGATAGGTAGTACAATTATTAAAAAATGAAATGAATACTACTTTATTATGAGATGAATCAAAATAAAAAAATAGATAGATTGTCAAAGAACAAAGGGAATATTTTTTTTCAATCTACCAATAAAAATTCATTTATTTTTATTTCTCTTTTATTTTTATGTATTTAGATTTTTCAATTTTCTATAAAATTAATTTTAAATGAATTATTATATTATATTTGTTGATACAAATTTTTCAACAATAAAAAGTAAAATCCGAAAATAGAGAAATATCTTTCAATTTGATAGATGATTGCCTGAGATTAGGGATCTCTAAACTATAATACATAAAATAAAATAGGGAAAATAAAATAAAATACTGGAAAATAAAGTGGTGATCCCAAAAGTAATTCTCTTGAATTTTTTGTTGATTGAAGATACTTTTTCAGAATAGACCTGAATCCTTAAATAACCCCTTGAAGAAAACGGTTTGAACCGTCGTCTGGTCGGTTGCAGCAACCGCTGTTCAACCGCCCAGAAAACCCTCATCTGTCAACACGTGTGTTAACCGATCCACCAACCGCTCGCGCCAATTACAGCACTCAACTGCTCAGCCGACCACCGTGTCGTCCGACGCAACCGACTGCGGACCGCCTGACCTGCTCAACCGACTTTGGACCATCCGACCTATTTAACCGACTGAGAACCAACCGACCACAGACCAACCAAATGTGGTCCCGACCACGGACCAACCGACTGTGGTCCCACTTCTTCCTTGCCCGACCTTCTTCTTGACAGACCTCCGTGTCTGTCCGACTTATTTTTTTCCCGATTTCTGGACCGTTTGGCTTATATCCAGACTCATTCAAAATCATACTGCCATTATTTATTATTATTATTATTATTATTATTCACATTATATACTCTGTCCAACCCTTTTAAAATGAATATTTTGAGATTTTGTAATAGATTAAAAATTAATAGTATTTTATTAGTTAGCGAAAATGTATAAAAAATTCTGATTTTTTTTTGTCTTTTTACCGTATAGAGTAATTGTATGTCTAATGATATTTTTATAATTTAAGTAAAATTTAACAGTATTTTGGTATTAGTGTATGATTATTTTTCTAAAAACAGATATACTTTAACTAAAACAAATAAAAATGATAAAAATAGTTATTTGAATTGAAACGAAAATAATATATTTTATTATGATAAAATATTAAAAATATTAATAATATTAGTTATAAGAAAATAATAAAATAATATCATAATTTATTATTCTTTGTTTCTTAACAAAATTATTCCCTTTTTTTATTATTTTGGTTCGTAAATATATATTTTATTTTTAATAACCATATTGTCTAATTAACATTATACATAATTTTTTAATTTATAATATATTATATAAATATCATTACTTTTATATGGTATTATATTAATAAAATTAATTTAATCTTATATTTTTTATTTAATTATATTTTAATATAATATTAATATTTTTAAAATTTTATGTAAAAAGTAAATAAATATATAAATTCAGTAAATATGGTACGGATAGATAATATTAAATAAATGGGTGAATGAAATGTTATGGCGCGGAAACTTTGCAATTTCTGTGCCGTACAGTAGATTTATTTTTTATTTTTTGGATTGAGTAAAAGTGGGAAAGGCAAACAGGGAATTGGGGCAGTAGGTCCCACGTGTCGGGTTTATAAAGGTAGAAGGTCAACTAGGAATCGGGTGGGGCATGGAGCAGTGGACCGCCATGTGACCCTGTTACTGCTTTGTCGGGAAAGTAGTCTCCTATAACCACAAACCGACACGTGTCCAATGTGGGTCCCACCTCTTCCTTCCAAGACCACTCTATGGTACCATGAATTAAAACCGCGGCTGCATGGATCGATAATCAATTCATCAACATTTTTTTTTTCAATAATTTTTTTTAGTAGGTAAATTATATTATTGTTTGTTCATTCAATCATTTTTTAATAGTACGATATTTCATGAATATTAATATAAAATTTATTTTTTCATAAAATATTAATAATTTAATAAAAAATAATATTATTTTTTATATTATTAATAAACATTTTTATCTATCATACAAAATAAATGTTGTGAAATTATGTTAAATTCATTATTTTATGGTCAGAAGTTCAATTCTCATGTTACTAGATAAGACTAAATAATGTCAAAAAAATTTAAATTTATGTAATAATTAAAAATGTTAAAAACATTTTATTACAAAACCCTAATATTATTGTGAATTGTGACAAAGAAAAGTATAAATTTTTACATGAACACCATCCAGCAGTACCAGTTTTTTAAAATTGTTTATACGAAATATTTACATAAATCTATATAATTAAATATTGAAGCAAACACATTTTTTCCAACTTCTTGATAGCCCTTTTAGGGTAGTTCAATAGGAACCGATTATTGACTTGCCTGTGGTCTTAGACATGCTAATATCAATAAATTCATTTATTTATATCATAAAAACAAATTATTAATTAAAAATATATATATTTATTTAGTTTTATAATAAGTTATACTTTCTCTGTCCTAAATTTATTAATATTTTTATTTCTAAATTAAAATATCTCAAAATTTTGCAACAGTTTATTATTTACACTTTTTTGTCATTCTAAATATTGTAATTTATAAAAATTATTAGAAATAAAAAAGTAAAGAAAAAATAATAACAAAATCATCAAAATTGTACTCTTTGTCAATTTATGTCTAATTTTTTAAATTGTCATAAAAATATATTTTCGTTTATTATTTTTAATAAAAATATCACATTATATATATATTTACTAAAAAATGATTTTTTATTTTTTTTTAGTTAATTTCTAAAATATTGTGCCAAAAGTAAAAGTTGCTACCTTTAGTTAATTTTACCCACCATATGAGTAAGAACAAAATGCAATAGAAGTAGTATTATATATTGACATGAAAAAACTAGCTCTGCTGTTTTACTGACTATATTAATTTTGGACGTTTAAATAAAATTATGAGTTAGGTTTGGGGGTATCATATTGATAAAATTAAATTATAGAACATTGCAATAAAAATGTCACATGTAAGTGAATCCCTAACCCAATGGAACACAGCCAAATTAGAGTAACTACCACACTAATTAATTACTGATGTCTTCCACTAAATATTTGAATTTTATCTATTTCCAGTACAATTTAATTTGGCACAAACTCAAATTGACTTCACCTAATGTATCCACCAAAAGTGGTCACAATCACCATGTGCCTATTAGGCACAAAATTTTAACTTTTGGGTCGGCATATTTTTAAAATGTTTGGCCAAATTGGGATGTGATTAATTAAATTAATTTGCTCATCACATAACGAGACAATTCATCTTTATGTTTATTTTTTTTATTATTATTGTTCTAGGAAAGATAATCCAGCCGTCCCAATTCTGCCACGTGTACGTTATTTGATAGTTATTTCCTAATTTGATTAGACATTGCACATTATGATAATGAGACGTAATTAATTAGTGTCTGGCATTTATAAATACTATGATATGGACATATCATTATATTCAACTAAAATGAAATGAAGTAAGAAAACAACTGAAGTATATTGTACTATTATTTAAAATAGAAGGGTAGTGAAAAATTAATTTTTGATATAAATAGTCAATTAAGGGAGTTAATATGATTTTGATTTTTTTCTAATTAAGAGTACAGTGTATTTGGACAATTGGTGATGATGCAAGTGTCTGTCGATCCAGATTTAATTAATTTTATACAATACATTGATAAATATATGTGATATATATAAATATATATATATATATATATATGAAATGAATTAATAGGTTCAGTGAATATGAGGCAGTAATTAGATTCATGTTGATGTCCATGTTGGTGCACTATTACTTTAATTAACTGTCCAATTCAACGAACTTAACTAATATCGGTACTTTAATCAACATCTTTTTTTTTATTATTATTATTATTTTGACCAGCCATGATTCTCCAGCTACTTTTGCTGTTTTGAATTTGAATTTTTATTTAATAATATGAGTTATGTTTTAAATGAAAATAATATTAACTTTAAATTACATAACATAGAATCAAAACAAAACACAAACATGTCTAAAGGATGGCGTGGCCTGCTGGTATGGGTTAAACTTGTAACTATGAAGTCATGGGTTTAAATTTCTGATGACGCCTCATTGTAGTATAATAATCGGAGGTAGTAAAGACGAATGCCTCTCATAGTAGGTTGGTGTGCCATAAATTTTTTCTTTTTTCTTTTTTTACCTTAATACAAAAAAGACATGAATTGGTGGAGGAAGCTTCAATAACTAAGCCATTGCTCTTAGGGTAAGTGGTCTAGGGGGCACACGTGCTAATGCCCCCTTAAGAATCTAATAATTCCCAACAACCCATATAACTGATCAGTTTGATGTCTAAACACAATCTAATGTCCTAACGAATAAAGCTTAATTACTCATACACACAAACACAAAAATATAATATATGTGTGTTATTTTGAC